ACGCTCGAGAAGGACATTAAGGAGCAAATCCAGCTGGCTAGCTGGAAAGACACCAATATCGTCGCTCTCAAGGAGAGTGCTAGAAGGTCTCACGTCAAGTTATTCAAGTTGGTTCGGAAGTACCGTGCGGCTCTTGCCCAGCTCATCCAGCCAGTCATTGAACAAGGCCTTTCTGATAGCCCAGGAGAAGAAGGTGTCTCCCAGCACGAGAAAAAGGCCCTTGCATACACTGTATTCCCTGAGGCATTGGCTTCTTCTCAAGAGACTGACGCGTGGAGTTCAAGACCCCTCAGATTCCAAAATCCCGAGGGCACTTCTCGCAACATGAAGAACTTGTATGCGGCGATTCCTTTGGAGTTTGATATTGCCAAGGACCTCGATGAATTCACCGTATCTGTTGTTGAGGGCATCAACGAATTCAAGACCCAGACTCCTAAAACCCTTACCGAAGACAACAAGGATGACGTCCAGCACCTCAAGGTTCAGAAACGTCGTCTCTACGCTGACACATTGAAGCGTGTCTTCGAAATGGGCGTGAAGCGCAATGCCGGAAGTAGCTTGGTTGAAACTCAGGTATCACTTGCACAAGTTCTTGCTACGAGTGCTGCTTTCGAAGCCGGCACTGCGACATCGAAGGCCATCTACAGCGCCGATTCCTACTTCCACCGTTTGTTGGATCTGTTGCCACGCGCTCGTCTGGCTTCGCGCACTTACTCTGACGAGTTGACCAATGTGGAAGTTTCCAGGAGCATGGGTTCCGTTGAGCATCTGTTGTTCATGATTCGCCGTCAGAGAAGCCTCATTTCCCCTGCTCTATCCGGCTTGGGATCTCTGGAGGCCATCATTGAAAACATGGAGAGTCTTTGGACAGTCGAATCGACTTCTTTCACCAAGGTCTATGCCATGGTTGAAGAAAGACAGGCTTTCCTGTCCAGAAAGGTGGCCTGGTTGATCCCAATTCTCAAGGTTGGTTCTGAAGTCATTGGGGTGCACTCCAAGTTCTCTGGTCTGGATGCATCTGCCATCACTCAAGGTCTTCTTTCTCAAATGACTGTTCTTGAGGATATACTCAAGTCTCTAAATGTGCTTCCTACACTTCCTACTGGTATTGTATCACACAAGCAGAGGGAATTGACCGACAAAGCACACGCTTTGCTTGAGCAGCTTTCATCAGACGTCCTAAAGTGGGAAGACGAGCGTCCGGATCTATCCTTTGCTCTCAGACAAATTCGGAAATGGTCTTTGCCAGGTATGGCTGACCATATGCATATGAATTCAGATGTTGCGCCTGGTATTTCCATTCAGAAGTTCGATGGTAGGCTTCTAGCTGCCATCGATAAGATGCTCGTTGGCCTGCAGAAATTGAAGGACGTGCCAACTTCAATCGACTTCAGCGGAGCTTTGTCACGAAGTGACGAGTTCTTCTCCCGTGCATCAAAGACTGTTCACATCGGTGAAATTACTTCGTCGCTTGAGGCTGTCTTGGAGCAGATGCAGCACTTGGACAACGACAATGATCTCAAACGAGCTGCTGCCTTGGTTGCCAGTATTCTGCCCATTGCCAACAGATACTACGACATCTGCAGAGAGCTGGTCAATCGCTTCATAGCGGTTCACCGCGAGGTCTGCAAGACGTCTTACACGTTGACTAAGGCTTTTGTTCAAATCGCCTCGGAAGGCTTCTGCAGCCCAGCCGAATCATCCCAGGAGCAAGGCCAAGACGGTAAGATGGAGAGTGGAACTGGCCTGGGTGATGGCGAGGGTGCTGAGGATATCAGCAAAGATGTTGGAGATGACGAAGATCTTTCAGAGCTTGCTCAGCAGGCCCCTAAGGAGGATGCCAATGAAGAGATGGACGATTCCGCCGATGCTGTGAACATGGACCAGGACGAGCTAAATGCTGAATCCGGCGAGCACAAGGAAGAGGAGGACGAGGAGGACAAGGATGGAGATGAAGATGAAGAGGAGGGCGATCTCGATGAAGAAACAGGCAGTGTTGACGAACTTGACGCTGGGGCTGTTGACGAAAAGATGTGGGATGGTGCCAACGATGATCAGCAGAAGGAAGCAGAGAATGAAGAAGGAAAGGGTCAAGCTGAGTCCGATGAGCAAGCCGCCGCTCAGGAGCAAAAGAAGCAGGCCGAGGAGGGCCAGAAAGGAGAAGAGGACGGTGAAGAGGAGGATGAAGAAGAAGAAGAGGAAGAGAATCCTGACGATGAAGGCGAAGCTGTCGGCCGTGAGGATATGGAAGTGACCGATCCTCAAACAAAGGAGGAAGAGGCTCTCGAGTTGCCCGAGGAAATGCAGCTTGATGGCGATGATATGGACGGTGACGACAACGAAGGTGAAGATGACGGTATGGACGACATGGATGACATGGGCCCTCTTCCAGAGGAAGAGAAGGGTGACGACCAGGATGACCAGGCTGGAGAAGAGGATGCTGAAATGGCACCTGATGACCAGGCCCCTGGCGAAGATGAGGAAATGGACGAAGGAGAAGATACAAACGAAGGCCAAGCCGATGGCAACGAGGAGGAAGAGGAGGATCAAGCTGGTGGCGAAGACCCAGAGGAACCTGAGCAAGATGATTTCCTTGCCCAGCGTGACGAAAATGAAGCTGCTGCCGATGAAGTAGCGCCCAGCGAGGCTGTTACTGGTGGACAAGGCGCCGACCAAGATCAGAACGAGGACAAGGGTGATTCCGGAAATGCCCAGCAGGAGAGTGGCTCTAACGATCCGACCGCCAGTGCCGAAGAACAAAACGGTGCTGCCAAGGATAGTGAGGAAAGCAAAGCCAGTCGCGATGCTGGTGGAGGCGAGGACAATTCTCCCAACGAGCCCCAGATCCAAGCCTTCAAGAAACTTGGTGACATTCTTGAAGAGTGGCACCGTCGTCAAAAGGAAGTGTTGAATCCGTCACAAGAAGAAGAGGACTTTCAGCCTTTACCTCAAGATACCGACATGGCGGACGCCGATTTTGAGCATCTCAAGGATGATGAAGATGAGGCCGACACCCAAGCTCTTGGGCAAGCAAACGACGACCAGGCCCAGGCTCTCGACCAAAATAAGGGCGTGGAGTCAGACATCAAGCCTGGCGAAAATGACGTTCTTCCTGACACTGCCGAGGACCAAGATGCCATCGACACTCAACTTCAGGACGAGATGCAAATTGACCGTGATCCCGTCCCGACCGATGGTCAAGCAGGAGCTTTCATCCCTGGTGATCAAACGTCTCAAGATCGCGCTGATGGCGCCCCAGGTGCCGAAGAAGTGAACGAGGAATTGGACCAAGTCGACTCGCAACTCGCGGCTATCCATCTCTCTTCTTCGCTTCCACAGTTGACCCCCGAAAGTGAAGCCCGTCGTCTCTGGTCTCACTACGAATCAACTACAAATGACCTTTCTCTTTCCCTCACTGAACAGCTGCGTCTGATTCTCGCTCCTACCATGGCTACCAAGCTACGCGGTGACTTCCGCACCGGTAAGCGGTTGAACATCAAGCGAATCATTCCGTACATTGCCTCCCAGTACAAGCGTGACAAGATCTGGATGCGTCGCTCGATTCCCTCCAAGCGCAACTACCAGATTATGCTTGCCGTCGATGACAGCAAGTCCATGCTGGGCAGCGGCAGTGGCCAACTTGCCTTTGAGACACTGGCCCTGGTCGCTAAGAGTTTGAGCATGCTTGAAGCAGGTGACCTGTGTGTTCTTGGATTCGGTGACGAGGATCACGTTCGCGTGGCCCACGAGTTCGGCAAACCCTTCTCCTCCGAGGCTGGTATGCAAGTCTTCCAGCACTTCAGCTACCAGCAAACTGGCACCAATGTGCGCAAGCTGATTGCCGATTCCATCGCTCTATTCCGCGAGGCACGCTGGAAGCGCTCCCCTGGTTCCGGATCTGCGGATCTCTGGCAGCTTGAGTTGATTATCTCTGATGGTATCTGCGAGGATCACGATACCATTCGCCGTCTTGTGCGTCAGGCTCTTGAGGAACGCATCATGATTGTTTTCATTATCGTCGATGCTGTCAAGGGCAGCTCTATCCTTGATCTGTCCCAGGCTAGCTTTGAGGCTGATGCTGAGTCTGGCGGTGAGATGAAGTTGAAGATGAAGCGTTATCTCGAGGACTTCCCCTTCCCCTACTACCTTGTTGTCCGAGATGTTCGCGAATTGCCTTCTGTTTTAGCTACTGCACTAAAGCAGTGGTTCGCTGAGGTTGTGGATGTTTCTTCTTGATCTATGATCTACTAAAAGCGTTGCAATGTTTGGAGTTTTGTATTTAATATTTCCATTTTTAGGCGTTAAGGTTGATTTTTGTATGGGATAGAGATAGATTTGTTTGTAAATTTCGAAATGCATTGCAATTTCATTATCTTGAAGAATCTGTTGTAATAATAAAATGCCACCGCGAGCACAAACAAGACAACATCAACATAAAGTCCACCGTACTTTTCCATTCTCTCACCATCACCATCCTTCTATCTTACCATCTTATTAAAGATCAATTTCTACCAGTAATTAATTCCACGATGTCCTCCCTGCTACTCCTCCACATGGTGATGTGCGTCTTAAAGCACGATATCGAAAAACATTAGCTTCATCTCAGCGTTGTCGTTCTCAATTTAAACATAGAAGAAGACGTGCTCTTAATGAACTCACTGTTCAGGGAAAGCAATTACGCCAAGATCTAGCGTTTCGGTTCGTGGGCCCTTCTGACGCGAGACCCCTAGTTAAGGGTCTCGTAGAGGTCAAGGCTCATGAGTATACAGTAACTACCCAGGGCCATTAGTCATATATTTGATGAATCCAAAACCTATACTTGTAGAACCAAAGCCAATATGATAGACTTAATATACGTCGTACGACTTGAAATAGAAGTCCATTCAGCTATCGAACCTCATTCTTGCTGAGCTCCTGTGAAGATGATATGTTTGATCGAAATTTGAAGCTATCAGAACGGAATTTTGGTATCACTTTAAACTCAAATCGCTATGCAGAAACTACCAACCATACTTCGACCCAGCTTCCTTCTTGTTCCTTTTTCCAGTGGCAAAATTCTCCTCCAAGGCCTCTTTCTGAGAAGTTGCCGCATTGACCAGCTGCTGCAAACTGTGCTTGCCCGCCGTGTTGATAGTACGCACGGGTTGGTGCTGTGTACCGGCCAGCTCAGTGTGTGCCAGTGCCTGGTTATGGGCATACTCCTTATCCGTATTGAATGTAAGAATGCGCGAGTCCATAGGCGGAGCGTTACGGCCAAAGAGTTGGCGCCGTTCTCCTTTGGATAGATTTAAATCATTGGCGATGTTGTCTAGCGAGTGCGATGGTGCTGTGGTAGAATTGGAGTAGGAAACGTCCTGTGCGGGTTCTGGTGCCGGGGCTGGCCCGGCCTCGGGTTCAGTGGTGTATACCAAAGGCTCGTAGGTGCCTGCTGCGGCTGGCTGCAGGTCTGCTCGGGAAGCAGATTCCTCTGACGATAGAGAGAAGAGGCTGACTTTGGGTTTCGGTGGTGGAGGGGCCGCTGTGGCCGGCGTTTCTGTAGGTTGAAGGTTGACTGGGGTCGATTTTGAAGCCGATTCTGCTGCTTTGGTGGTCTTCTTTTTCTTCTGCATTCGTCCCACAGACAATGGCCTGAACATTATGGGGTTACCCTGTAGCTTCACCTCCCCAATTTCAGTCTTTTGAAACGCTCCCGAGTCTGTGTCGGTTGCGGTTTGCCCCAGACTGCCGGCTGCTGGGATGTCTTCACCTGCGTCATCTGCTTCGGCAGTCGTATTTGATGCGAGGTCGAGCTTGAACTCGGCATCGGCTTCCCGGTCAAAACCTGGGGTGGCGCCAGTCTTCAGGCTGAATATTTTGCGAGTTGTGGCGACAGGGCCCTTCTTTTCTGCAGTACGTTTCGGAGCAGGTAAGAACGAGTTGAATCCCGAGAATGCCCCGCCTGATCCTGCACCTAGCCGGGCCTTTTTCCGCGCAGGGCCATCAGTATCCTGGTCCGCGGGGTGTTCGGGCTTGAGCTCCGGGAGGGCGACGCGGATCTTGCGCGGGTTGCTGCGATCGATCTGAAAGCCAGCGCCAGTATCAGACTTCTTGGGCTTTTCGACCACCGGGGCTGGGGTGGTGTCTGGCTCGGCGTCAGAGCCCTCTGAGTCGGAATAAGCTACTAAAGCCATGGTGAACGGAGATGGGAAGAAAGTTGATTACTGGACTAGACTTGCGCTATCTGCGATAATGATAGTCATTTATTGATACCTGAATGCCTTATATTGACGCCCTTTTGTTAAGGCAAGACATCCGCACCTAATGACATAATCGCGATGAATTCATCCATAAGCAAACAGTGGAAACAGTAAAAAAGCAATTCGATCTTAAGATCTATAAGCCTCATTGCAAGATCAATCTTTCCGATCGACGACTTTGATCTCATGTTCTGACCGCATGCATCCAAAGCTTATCTTGGAGGGGAATTGTCCTTGAAACTCGCCCCGGCCCCAGTATGCCGAACTCACCATGTCGCAACGTCATCGTCGTCATCCGGTTTCTCCGTCAACTTCCATGAGGACTAGGGTCTTTGCTAGGGTTATATTTTTGGCCAACTGTAGGCGAATTGTAGAACAGTTTGTAAGCCAATTTACATAAAACACAAAAGTCGTACAGTAGCTGTTTGAGAAAAGGAATTAGGCGGAGTATTTCAATTTGTGGCGGGAATCAAGCAAAGGGGGGGCTATCCCGTACAGGAAGAATACTCTTTACGACTCGACTCAATCAGAGTTTCCCTACAGGTTCTCGACATCCTGCACAATTCAGAAACCAATTTTGCTTAAGTTTCGCAGAGAACACTATCTAGTGGAGTTTCTCGTCCCGAAGGGGAGATCAATGCGTCATTCTGGCCGCGGGTGCCCCTCCCCACTCTCCGGACTCTCCTCCCTTCTTATGTCCTTCATCAACCGTCCTCCATGCCGAGCTTAGGAGGCTTGTTGAAGAAGCGGCGAACAAAGGACTCGCAGACCTTGTCCAAGGAGCTGACCCAAGCGAATACTGACCGATCCGATCACTCATCAAACCCGGACGCCAACCCGGACAAGGCTGAAGGTCAAGGCGCCTCCATGCAATCCGCCGAGCCGTCGCAAGAATCCTCCCACCATGCCCCCTCGTCCAACAATGCTGCCAGCATCAACAATCTCATAAATGCTCCGGCCAATGCCGGGAGTACTCAGAGTACTCAGTCCCCCGCACACAATGCGAATGCGACACCCAGTACGCAGCCACAGCCCCGCCAAGAGCGTACCACTCGGGGCAAGTATTCGCAGGGGGACTTTATGTTGCAGCGCACATTGGGCACTGGTAGCTTTGGTCGAGTACATTTGGTCCAGTCGAAGCACAATCATCGCTTCTATGCTATGAAGGTGTTGAAGAAGGCCCAGGTGGTCAAGATGAAGCAAATTGAGCACACTAATGACGAGCGTCGGATGCTCAATCGCGTTCGCCATCCATTCTTAGTGACATTGTGGGGAACTTGGCAAGATTCACGGAACCTCTACATGGTGATGGATTTTGTTGAGGGTGGCGAGCTCTTCAGTTTGCTACGAAAGTCACAAGTGAGTGTTTTTTTCCTCCCTTCCCCGATCTCGGTGAAGAACATTAGTCTTATCTTTCGCTCTTTTCTCTGCCAGCGATTCCCTAATCCCGTTGCCAAATTCTATGCTGCGGAAGTGACACTTGCATTGGAATATTTGCACCATCACCAGATCATTTACCGAGATCTGAAGCCAGAGAATCTACTGCTGGACCGTCATGGTCACTTGAAGATCACAGATTTCGGCTTTGCCAAGGACGTCCCCGATATCACCTGGACCCTGTGCGGAACCCCCGATTATCTTGCTCCGGAAGTAGTTTCCTCGAAGGGATACAATAAATCCGTCGATTGGTATGTTTTCCACTATTTTAATGCATTGCAGCATTCCTTTTTCTTGTTTTTAACCCAATTTTGCGTTAGGTGGTCATTGGGTATTCTCATTTTCGAGATGTTGTGCGGGTTTACCCCGTTCTGGGATAGCGGGTCCCCGGTGAAGATCTACGAGAATATCCTCCGCGGCCGAGTCAAGTACCCGCCATACTTGCACGATGATGCCGTCGATCTCCTCTCACAGCTGATCACTGCGGATCTCACCAAGCGTCTGGGCAACTTGCACGGCGGACCTCAGGACGTCAAGAGCCACGCCTGGTTCGCCGAGGTCACCTGGGATCGCTTGGAACGCAAGGATATCGACGCTCCCTACATCCCGCCGATTCGCGGTGGACAGGGAGATGCAAGCCAATACGACAAATATCCCGAAGAGACGGAGCACTACGGCATGGAGGGTGAAGATGCGTACGTATATTCCCGTATTCATTTTCTAGCATTACACGAGCTGACATTTCCCACAGATACGGTCATCTTTTCCCCGACTTCTAAAAGTGCTTGTACGATTTATGACGAGATATGAAAAGCCCGTTGCGATCACCCGCTCGGGACTGGATTTGGCACTGGCGCAAGTCGGAATCGCCGAGGAAAAACAGGTGTGATATCATAGTAGCCAGCCTAATGGCATTTGATGGATTATGTGAATCGTATATTTCAGCAATTGAAATCGAGTCTCCTTTTTTTTTTTGGTTACCCCTTCCGAGTCCGATGATATACATAAGAATAAAGTGGAATGTATTCCGCCGATCCTCTATCCTGGTCAACCAGACCTAAAGCCAAAAGAACCACGACCAAATAATGTACATGAGCCCCTGGCCTTTTCTATTCATACAAAGATCTTCTAGATCGTCCATATTTCATCCCCATCCCCATCTTCCAGGATCCGCGTCTCCTTTCAACGGGGATTCATATCCATTCGCTCATTCGTCCCGTTTAAAGCCCGGAACCCAGCGACGCAACGACGTTCGCGTCACCTCCCATACGCTTGCTCTCAACACCAATACGGTTGATGTAGGTGCGGCTGGTGATGTTCCACATGGAAATGTACTTGTCCATGCAGCTGGACAGGCAGGTGTTCTCCTGGGCAGACATGGAGGAGCCGGGGGCAGGGACACAGGCTTGGAAACAGTTCTCGTTCACTTTCTATAAATGTATCAATCAGGTTAGTCCGACAAGCATGATCATAAATAATAAAGGTAAAGATGCAATGGTGTGATGGCTGGTGTCGAGAGTGACGTACGTTGATCAACATGCGGGCGTTGGCCATGGCAGACTCCTGCTGGAGCTGCTGAACAAGGTTGGCCTTGACATCGCTGGAGCTGGAGGATGAAGGGGAGGAGCCGCCGAGGAAAGACATTGTGGGTGGTATTAGGTGTGGATGGAGATGAATAGTGTCGGAGGTATGGTATTTGAGGTCCGGCAAGATCTGAGCTTCCGCCGTGGCGGTGCAGGCGCCACACCATGGTGCCTTAGGATCCAGGCTGCAATTGAGCTTTCCATGGTGACAGTGTTTGGCCACGATATAGACAAAACTACCAATGAGTACCTCATTTTGCTGGTTATGCTACAGATATATAGCCTGGAATTTACGATATTGTTTTTCTATTTCGTGATTGGCTTAGCAAATGCAATGAGAGCAGAATTCACGTGGTCAGGTGCCTATCTGCCCAGAACCCGAAAGCTATCTCTACCAAAATGAATGTGATATCTCTACATTCGATGGCCAAATACTGTACTGTGGAGTGAGAAAGGTCAAAAAAACAGTTAAGATTAAGCTCTAGACGTTCACGGGCTAATGATCAGTCCATGCGATGTACCTAGAAGATGCTACACACAACACAGATGGACATTCTTCCTCCCTGGTTTCCCAAATGTGTGCTTTTCGGCTTTCCATATTTGGTCAAAGTAATCACACCAATCTTTGGTGACACCTGCGTATTAACCTCCGACAAGGTCGTATACATAGATATGCAAAGGCCGCCTAAATCACAGGCGAAGCGCCACCAGATAAGATCGAGGCTCCACCAACCAAACATGGCCGATATGAAGCATACAGGTGAACGGCTATTCAAGGCCCCGATAAGCAAATGTAGCTCTGATATACAAGGGAGGAGTCATGGGGCTTATGGCCAATCACGACCAGTTTCAACTGCAACTGACGCCAATCAAGGTGATCATGCACCATACCTTCCCCGCACATGCCGAGAGTACCTTGTGGTCTATCTACTCCCTTTCCAGATCTCCATATATTCTCAAGTCCTGGAAGGAAGCCACAAATATTTTCCCAAACAATCAACACTATCATGGGCTCTCCATTTTCCAAGCCGGAGTATATTGCTGAGAAGGCACCTCTATCGAAGATGGAGGCCGCTGTGACCAATCAGAACTTAGAACAGGAGTATGCTGAATATCGTTCGTTTAAACCATTCCCTTTGATCCGCATTACCCGTTGTCTTGATTAACGAAACAACAGCACCCCCGGCGTATCCTGTTCGAGACAGAATTAAGACTTTGACGCTCTCACACGTGAAAGATTGGGACCAGACTCTATTGAGCGATGACAAGGTTCGAGACTATACACCCAAGATAGCAAAGCCTTGCTAACACCACGAAAATAGAACCGTCTCGCAATCTCCAGTTTTGCTAGTCAGCCCTATACACAGCTCCTCACCGATCGCAAAGCTCTCCGGTCAGACTTGCAGATCTTCAATTTGACCATTCCAGAAGAAGGAGGACCGATCACGAACCAACGTTCTTCCGGACGCTGCTGGCTCTTCGCCTCAACCAATGTCTTCCGCGTCCCTCTCATGAAAACATATCAGCTTCGTGAATTTGAGCTCAGTCAAGCTTACCTATACTACTGGGACAAGATCGAAAAGGCAAATTGGTTCTTCGAGCAGGTCATCGCCACCGCAGATGAAGATCTGTCTAGCCGTTTGGTCCAGAAGCTCTGCGAGGATCCAGTCACTGATGGCGGCCAATGGGATATGGTCGCCAACCTGGTACAGAAGTACGGACTTGTCCCACATGCGCTTTACCCCGATGCCTACCACGCGCAGAACAGCTCTAAGCTTAACTGGCTACTCACGGCCAAGCTGCGCGAGCAAGCATTGGCCCTGCGCAAGCTGGCCGCGAAGAAGGGGGATCCCCAGTCCGCGTATTTACTCTCTGTTAGCAAGGATAAGTTCCTGCAAGAGATTCATTCGCTTGTTACCCTCCTGCTGGGCCCCGCACCGACCCCGGATAAGCCATTTGTCTGGCAATACTATGACGCTAGTGGAACTGCCCGTGAAGTGCGAAAGACTCCAATCGAGTTTGGTCAACAGGCTCTGAAGTCTCAGACACGACCACTGTCCCGCACTAGTGGTCCTACTCTATCCCCTGGACGAATGTTCAGTCTCGTCAATGATCCACGAAATGAGTATCAACGGCTACTAACGGTTGACCGGCTCGGTAACGTAGTCGAAGGTCAACCTCTCACATATGTCAACGTTGAAATAACAACGCTCAAGCGGGCAGTTATTTCGATGCTCAAAGCTGGGCATCCTGTCTTCTTTGGCTGCGATGTCGGCAAGTTCTCTGATAACACCCTTGGTGTCATGGATACTGGTCTTCTTGACATCGCGCTCGGATTCAATGTTTCGCTTGGTATGAACAAGGCCGAGCGCCTTGCCAGCGGGGAATCATCCATGACCCATGCTATGGTTATCACGGCAGTACATCTCGAAAATGATCGGCCTGTTCGCTGGCGTGTGGAGAACTCGTGGGGTGAGACTGCTGGAGAGAAGGGTTGGTTTGTTATGACTGATCGGTGGATGGACGAGTATACCTTCCAGGCTGTTGTGGACTCGAACTATGTTTCTTCCGAAATTCGGTCGATTTTGACGCAGAGTCCCAAGGTCCTACCCCGGTGGGATCCTATGGGAGTGCTTGCTTAGGCGAAGAGATCATTATAAACTAGCATTTGATGCAAGAGATTTCGGCAAAGTTTATATGGCTCCTGCTTCTAGTATTTTTTATCTTCTAAGTCCTGGGTGCAATTTAGAGGCACCTCGGGGATCATGCTATGGACATCCGGTCCTTCCAAAGTTCAAAGATGGGGATCGTTAGGGGTTGAATGAGTCAACCTCTACGCCACGTTGGCTTGGCTGTTCAATGTCATACAAATAAGAGAATGATAGCGAAAGATGGGTAAGCATATGGGGAAGGTTCGTATCGGCAGGTGTCGCAACACCCCACAAGCCCCACCACATACTATACTCTGTACTCATGCAGTCTGTCTCGAACTGCCTAGATGCTATGTCGTGCTTTCAAATTTTTCTTCTTATTTGACTATACTCGGGGTCTTTCCGAAGTTGGGAACAGAGAAGTTATTGCAGCTTGTTACCCTGGAGCTTTGGGGAGACTCGCATTAAATTATGATAGTGGCAGTAATAAATGTAAGGGGTAAACAATAGGACCATGATCTACTAGACTACCTGAATAGAGTGATCAATGTTAGTAAAACTATTCTCAAGTTGAACATTCATTCCCAGAGTGACCCTGTAGCTCGGGATGCCCAATTTAGACTTTGGATGTCTCGAATCATACCCATACACTATGCATGTGGATGTTCAAATGGTGATGGTAGTCATTTTGAAGTCGAACATGATATGGGGAGGTTTCTGCCTTCTTCAGATCTCAGTTTCCTGGTATTTAGCCCTTGGTAGCTGTGCTTATTTGATTTGCTGGAATTGCTGGATGAGGTTATTCAGAACCAGCTCGAGGGCATTTCGTCAGGATCGGCGGTGTGGCTGAGACGGTTCGCTGCGCCACAAGTTACATAGTGGACACCTTTAGCCTTCAAGTACACGCACTCGTATACGTTCACTTCCACTTCTAGTCTTTCCAACTTTACCACATTCCGGCTTTCGCTCTCTCTATCCGCCGCCCGCCGTTTCTTTTCTTTCTTTCTATTCGTTTCAAAGTCCCCTGGGTTCTCGGGTCCTGGTGACACCGCAGCCCCATCCATCCCACCCCCGGTCTATCCTTGAGCTTCCCCCCAATTGGGCCATAATTCGACTTCAATATGCGTCTGCCGACATTTTCTTCCCTGTTGTGCCTTGCTGGCCTGGTCTCTGTACCTGTCAACGCCTATGATGACCCCAATATCAAAAGCATTCCTGTATGTGCTCTGTTTACACTGTCTTGCAACCGAGGCACTGACGATCTTGCCACTATAGCTCCGAACCCACAGTCTTAGTTCGGTATGAAGCCCTATAATCCTTGTTGCTAGCTTTCGCTGCAATGCCGAGCGTTACCGAGAAACGCGACTCCAGACCGCCATTGTTGACATACGCGACAGCCATACCTCGATTCGGATTTCCAAAGCCGCTGGTTCGACTTCGGAGGAGATACAGTGATCCGGGCTGATAAGTGAGACTATGCGCGAATCCGTAGATACGATCTGTGCGGTGCTGACTGTTCTACAAGATACATCCGTCTCACAGCCGACCGCCCCTCACAGCAAGGATGGATCTACTCCCGCGTGCCTTTGACGGCGACCAACTGGCAGGTGAGTGCCAGCGACCTTTACTGGACAACAAACCTTGCAGCAAGAAATTAACCCGCTCATGCTTTCTCCAGATCGAACTGGAATTCGAGATTCACGGCAATGGCAACTTGCATGGTGATGGCTTCGCGCTCTGGCTCACCAAGCAGCGCGCCACGCAAGGCCCTGTCTTCGGTTCTACAGACCGTTTCGAGGGCCTCGGTATCTTCTTCGATACCTACAAGAACAACCGCCCCGGTGTCTCGTTCCCCTATGTCATGGCCATGATGGGTGACGGCGAGACCACCTACGACCAGGCGCACGACGGCAAGGCCAACGAGCTTGCCGGATGCTCCGTGAGTTATCTTGAAGCTTTAAAACTCCAACAGAAAAGCATAGGCTAATAAATCCTCAAACTAGGCTCGCGGTCTCCGTAACGCTCCCGTTCCCACCAAAGCCCGTCTCACCTACTTCCAAGACAAGTCTCTCTCCCTCGAGCTTCAGTACAAGACCGAGGACACCTGGGTCGAGTGCTTCAACCTCAACGCCGAGGACTCCAACATTGCCATTCCTTCTGTTGCTTACCTGGGTCTCTCCGCCGAGACTGGCGAATTGAGCGACAACCACGACATTATCTCTCTCAAGGCCGAGAACTTGTACTCCGTTGGCCGTAACAGCGCTGGCGGCAGCCGTGGCTCAGATAAGGACAATGGACGTGGTCGTGGCCGTAATTCCAGCGTTCGGCCCAAGAAGAAGAGCGGCAGCTGGACCTGGTTCCTGTTCAAGGTTATCCTGTTCTTCGGTGCCGTTGCTGGTGCTTACTTTGGATGGACTGTCTACCGGACCAAGACGCGTTCCTCGCGCTTCTGATCTGAAGGCCTATACTATATGGCTGTAGCGCAGTCACCAAACAAGAAAAACGGAATACGTTGTTTCCCTAAATATGAAGTCGCCCCAGTCTGTGTGGAACGACTTGGTCTTGCATAGCCTGTTTATCTCTTGATTTGTGTTTTGGTTTAGGCCGCTTTCTGTTCTTTGAAATGAATACAGTCACGATAAGTTTGTCAATGTCATGTAGCTCATGTAAAAGCAAATCTAAAGTATTGGGTATCATATGTATAAAACGCCATGCCATGCGATATCAATCCCGTCGTATAAATCAACTCTTCCGCTCTCGCTCCTCATTCCACATCCGATCCACAATCTGAAACACCTCTGTCACACTCCGCATAACCACATCATCAATCCCAAGCCCACTATACCGATGCTGAATCTTATCGGGATGCCACCGCACCCGCTCGGTCTTCAAAATAACCCCCAAATCCGCAGAAGCCGGCGCATGTCGCATGAACTCCTCCACAGACGCAGGAGTAACATCAACTCTCTTCCCAGATTCAACAGGCCAGAAAAGTAGATTCCGCAACGGCTTCGACGCAGTAGCAGTCTCCCCATCCTTTTCCTCGCCCCCCTTTACAATCTTCCCAATCTCCTCCCACCGCGCAAGATAACATTCCCAAGCTTCCCCCCACCTCTTCCTCTTCTTTCGCTCAGCCCCCCGCCTCAAACTATCCTCCATAGCCCTCTCAAAAGACATCCGCTCCGCATCTTCTGCCCGTCCACGCTCACGCTTTTTCTTCTTCCGCTGCTCCTCCCGCCACTTCGCCTGTGCATCTAACATGCCTTCGCGCGTGCGCTCCCACATTCGTGCGCGTACGTATGCAGCGTATTCCTCTTCGTCCATCTGTTCCAGTTCGCCATTCGGTCCTTCTTTTTCGGGGACTGCGTATGTGTGGATTGGTTGGCCGTATACTCCTTCCCAGTATGCAGCGCCTTCGTCGTCGCCCATTGCGTCGAAGAGGGACTCGCGGAATGCGGCGCCGGGGGAGAGGGAGCGTTGTGGCTCTGGGTTATCTTGAAGATGGCTTGAGGTGCGGTGTGGTGGGCGGCGCTTGTGAGTCCTCTCTTTGGGTTTGCTCGAGCTTGGGCTGTGGTGGCGCTTGCGTGAAGAGTGTTTTGAGCGAGAGCTGCTGCTTTTGAAGCGGAATTTGCCGTTGGTTTGAGGGTGAGTTCGCTCCTTTTGAGGATCGTCATTACCCACTGACCCCGTGGGTGGACTCTCGGTCCTCTCTGTGCTCTCCATGCTGGAAGATTATTGAAGTGAATGTCGTGCCTGGCATGAAAAGTGTAGAAGTGACGTCTAAGTTGGAGATCATTAGTCAGAATTCTTATCTTATCGCGCATCTATACAATGCGATTAAACAATCTGGTTATTTACGCCGAGATTGATAACTTTACTCCATATCTTCAAAAGCATCGTCTAACTTCTCCTCTCTAACCCATGCCAAAATCATCTCCGCAAACATTGCCGGCTCCTCCATATGCCACCCATGTCTAATACCCCGATGCAAAACAGCCCTGCTCCCATCCCCATCAACAACACGTTCAAGTAGCATCCTCGAACATTTGACCTTGTCCCTGCCCAAATACGTTTCTGGAGAAGCCGCACAGACAGCCAAAAGCCTAACACGGATCGCCCCAATCTTCCTGGGCTCACAAATCGCCTTCACGACTGCCGCCATAAGCCCATACCCCGCTTCCCCATTCTTCAACTGCGCCAGCTCTTCCCGGGGACAAGCCACGAAATTCGTTATATGATGGAGCACGAATATAGGCGGCGTAAGTATGGGTGTAAGGAAATGCGGTTGCGGGATGGTATTGTACCCCGATGCAATGACAGATAGGATCATGCCTGGTTTGGCGTGCTCGGCTATACAAGCTGCGATGTGCGCGCCTAGGCTTAAGCCTACTATATGTGCGCGGCTTTGTTTGGCTTGCGTTTCTATCAAGTTGATTATTAGGTCTGTGGCGGATTTTATGCTGAAAGGTTGCACTTTTTAAAGAGTTGCCGTGGGCTGGGAGGTCAGGGAGGAGGACGTGGTAGCCCTTCAGGATTAGGTCTGGTGCGACGTCGTCCCATTCTTTGTGGCCACCGCAGGCGCCGTGAATCAGTAGGATTGTTTCTGTGGCGCTTGGATTTAGGGATTTGTAGAAGAGTTCTGTGGTTGGCATGGGCTTTGCTGATGCGTCTAGATTAAGCGTGGAGGACTCCATATGAGCTGATAACTTTTATCGAGTATGATACTATGTTGAACAGGGCTGACCTGGCTTTGTTGGGTTATTTATCTTGTCAATTTGCTTCTAACAGAGCGTTGCCTAGATTGACACGGTGTAAGCTCAGACAGAGTGCCTGGTACATAGCCCCCATCCGACGGAGATCTTTAGTTCGACACCACGGCCATTAATCTAACACCTGATTCACCCCAATATAGACTAGCACGTAATTGCAATTTCTTGGGCACATCCATGTGTCATGAGTAGAGTCTTATTGGCCCAAAGTCAAGGGTCAATTGCATCGTCTAATACGTTGACTTTATTTAAGCGCGATACACAGATTATTCTATTGTATATTCTACTATGTGTTCTACAGGCTGTTCTTGAACAGATACCCGAGAGATCGGACCGTACATATATTGTTTGAATTACAATTACAACGTTACGCTACATGCGGCTAGTGTAGTGTCGAACTAAGGATTCCCCATCCAATGGGGCCAAAAGCCTTGCGGGCGTAGGCTGGCGGATTTGGTTGGACAGTTGAAACTTGAATGCATGAAGCTCTAGCCTTGCTGTGCAGAGCCTACAGGGTTTTTTTTCTTTGGAAAATTTCGAATGCTAAGATTTGATAATCGTAAATACCTAACTCCAAACCCAACCAATGAACACCACCTATAGAATCAGCCTCAAGCAGAGGTAAGTCCCGGAAAATCAAACACGATATTGCGCCATGTTCTTCTTGATTTCATCCACGATCTCAACTGCTTCTAGGGCGTTACGAGCCTCAAAGTCATACCGCTTCTGCTCATTGGCTTCGTTGCCACGCAGGACAACGACCCGGAAACTCTTCGGGTGTCGCCGACTCACTTTGCAACCAACCACATCATTGAAATTGATGGAACGAGTTTTGGAATCGGAAACGGTCTTCCCTGTTTCTCCGGGCACGATATGCATGTAGTCGTTATCGAAAGTGAGAATACGATGATTGGAAGCGGTGAAAGACATGGGTTGCTTGCGGTAAACATGGTACCGACGATAGTAGCCTCCGATCAGGTCCTGCTTCTGGGTAGAAGAGGGGAGCATATGGTTGCCCTTCTTACTCTTTTTAACTGCAGCTGACGTGGCGGCGTTGCTATCCACCTGAAGTGGTGCATTCGGCGATGAGCTGCCTGGTGAACCACCAAGTGCCAATGGCCCTGCTCCGAAACGTCGCCTGACGAGGTCGAGATCGGTTATGTTGCCCAGGGCTTCCACCGTCCGATCGAGCGGCGCGACGGTGTTTGACCCCATGACCTTTAGAACGTGGTTTCCTTTATTCAGCCTCCAGCGTTTGCATAGAGAGTCTAGAATCTCCGCAATATAGGTATCGCTGGTGGTGCTGAAAGTCGTAAACTGCGCCGGGACATCGAGATCGAGGAAACGCACCTTCAGAGTCTTAGTAACTCCAATACGAGGTGTTGCATGGGATATGGGGACTGCGGGTCGATCCGCAGGAGTCAATGTGTTGTCATTGAGGGCAGACGAGAATGGCTGACCCAGAATTGGATTCTGGCGCCCAAGTGTGAGTTTGATCTGTGGTACGGGCTGGACGCCTGGGACCACGGCTATTGGTTCGCTTTCCTCGGTTTCTAAACTCTGGCTGTACTGAGGATACAGCCTTTCGTTCTCTTCGAACTCGGCCGTAGACGCTTCAACTAGTGCAAACTCATCGTATGGTTTTCCACGTGAACGTCCTCGCGATTTCGCCGCTTGGTTATTGTTGGATGTAAAGTCCGTCATGGGAAGTGCTCGGCCAAGAGCTGGAAAGTCATACTCCACTTCGCCGTCGTCGACCATTCGTAGCGCCCAGCGATTCACATTCAGCTTCGCACGCTCCAAGGAGGGAACCCGCGCATCTTCAGAGTACTTCCATAGGGCTAGACCAATCGCTTCGGCGACAGTCACGTGCGCAGGGTGGTCGGAGAGCTTCGATTCTCTCATGAGTGGCAGATCCAATGGCTCCTCGGGATCTGATGAGAATGGTAGGTAGATCTTCAGATACAATGGATCTACCTGGCCAGATCCAGATAGCACCATAAATTTCTCGACCGGATTGCTTGGGGCGCGTGTCCGGGCATTGATTTGCTGGGTCAGCAAGCTCACAGGCTGCAAAGTGCTGATAGGTCGTGGTGGTGGAAGATCATGTAGCTCGGGGGTGGGAACTGTCTTCGACTTTCTGGGGGAGTTGCTTTCAGGGCCAGTGCCGGTCGGGAGTTTGTGCATGAGGGCTACCGGTGACGATGAGTCTAAGGCACCGCTCATGCCCACACCAGCCAGTAGTAGTGAGCCTGATCCAGCCGTAGCATCAAATTCAGAGGAAAGAGCGGATCCAACCGACTCGGCCCCGGAGTCTTCGTCCTGCTCTTGCAGGTCCTCGAGGGCCAAACTTTCCGCCCCACGGCTACCAGTCCTCTCTCGTCGTCTACGACGTCGCTCTATCACTTCACTGGTGGTCGCGAATTGAACTTGCCCCGGCTTGTACCCTTGTGTGTCGACCTCATTATCCGTTGACAGCTCACTACTTGTAGCCGTATCGCGCCGCGGTCGTCGTCCTTGACTCTTGACAGATGTCCCCAGGGATCCTGCTCGGTGGTGGGTTCCATTGTGATGCGTTGCGGGTGATGGGATCATGAGTTCGGGGCGCTCACGCTGTTCCCCTCGAATAGGGGAGGAATCGGATCGGTCTCGGCGAATGGGCATTTTGGGAAAATCGATTTGATCGATTGACCTATGTTTCGAGTTAGACATCTATGCCCGCAGTCAAAAGATAATGGGTAACCAACCGTCGTAGATTATCCCCATCGTCATCACTGTCGCTCAGGTCACTACTATCGTCATCTTCCGCATCCGCTTGCCGTTGCACTTCCTGCTGACGATCTCGCCGGAGCTTCTTCTTCGCAGCTCGATCTTGGTGCCGTCGCGCTGTGATATCCACGGTGCTCTTCCCAGTGACCATGCCACCTTCGTCCTCCTCACCATCCTCCAGACCAAGACCTTGGAGTTCATCTCGCGCAGCGTTCGCGTCTCGTACCGCGAGTCGATAGTATTCTGAGGAGACTGCTGCTGTGGTAGGAATGGGTGGAGAGTATGTACGTTTGAGCGAGGATGCGCTGCTGGCATTGTTGTTGTTGGTAGCAGTCGACCAGCCCGCAGCGCGAAATCCGGGGGTATTGAGGACGGAATTGTTGACGTTTATCAGTCGGTCTCCGATGCCGTCTTTGATTGTAGTAAGGTAGGAGGATCGTAATTGCCAGATAGTGAAGCTGTGAGACTTCGGTCAGCGCAACCCTACCGAGGGGGGATCAAGACAACGCTTAGGCAACTTACTCTTCATTGTGAAGGAGAGACATTTTTCCAAGGACCTTAGAGAGGTCTAGTACCAAGTAGAAATGGCACAGCCCGATGGGGTCGATGGTACTGAACGAAGCGCTTTAAGGCTGACACGGCATGCTCACAGAGGGCACGTGCAGCAGGAGGGGAAGCATACGCTCCCAGAAACAGAAAGGATTCCTTTGCAGGACCAGCCTGGGGAAAGGAGAGTTGACAAGTTGAACGCTGTAAACGCGGAGTGCATGGGAGGGTCAAGTCAAGTTGATCAAGTTGATCGGTGGCGGTTCTCCGCAGATCATTTCCCCCGCCCAGTGACCACGCTCTCTCTATCTTGTACTTCAACGCTTCGAAATTTAGTTCTACTTCGTATTTTGAATTTCCAAATTCCCAGGCCGTCATTAGAATTTATATATTCATATCTTCGATCTAATAAATAATTTATCCGAGGTCAAATTTCATCGAGGGCTTGTGCTACTTGTTTATATTTATCCGTGTCCGACCCTAGTAACCAATGCCACCAGACAGATCGCAGAGTTGTTTTCTGCATGAGGCCCCATTCCGATGGATTCGATCATGGACGGCTATGATCAGTGAATTTGAAGACTGCTCCATAGAATAGCCCGAAAAGTGAGGCCTTCCAAGGTTGGAGCTTCGAGCTCGAGATATCTAACACCTTAGTCATTTCCCGCGATCCTTTTCTCACGTAGGTATGCACAAGTCGATCTTACACCATCCGAGGTTCAGGCACTAATATTGGAAGTCTAGGCATCAAGCTAAATGCGTTGCCAAGCTTCTATCTTACCACCTGAGTGGCTTCAAATGTGTAGAGAGAGTCTCTTCTGCTGAGAACACCTGGATCCTAAACATGAAGACCTCGAGGTATGCCACTTCACGGCAAAAGGCCTGTCAGCACTGTTCAGTGGCAAAGGCCAAGTGCGATCGAAAAATCTCAGGGTGTTCGAGATGTGCAAGGCGCAAAGTCCGCTGCATTTATCCCCGTATGTGCGCCTCGAAAGACAAAAGCCCAAGCCCAAGCCAGGGCCAGCCAAGCCTGCAGAGCCCGGCTTCTATACCCGATTTACTGGTACCAAGCTTTGGCGGGTTGCCATCAGACAGCCAACCAGAAGCTTGGACTATACCATGGGGACAGCCAATGAGACAGAGTGAACATGTTTCTGCTGCACCGTCCAGTACACGCCCTTCAAACCCACTATCCGCCAAGGATGCCGAACTTGACTTTTCAAACCTCGAGCTTTTCTGTCCGATCAATGCCGACGAGATTACGACTCGCTGGATGAACCCTTGGATTCCAGTTCCTGGACAGACAATCAAACAGTATCCTCCGGGTGTCTCCAATTTTGTTTCCCGAATATTGAAGTCCTACGCAGCCATTGCAGCTCGTGGCCGTGGAACTCTACCGTTCATCCATCCCTCCCAAATATTGGAACAAGAGACTGGTAGCCCTTTGACAACATGCTTAAGTTTGATTCGATTATGCGAAAGCCCTTTACCGGGAAACGAAAGTACTGCTTTTATGGTTTTCCAAAGGGAGATGGACAACATCATGGAATACCATGAGAGCTATAATGCACTTGAGCTTCTCGGTGCTTTTCAAGCATTTCTCATATATTTCCTGGCCCTGTTTTTCAAGCTTCCAGACCAAGGAACACAAAGTGACCTTCGCTCAAATATGATGAACCTGCAGACTCTTGCCCACCGTTCGGCTAAACAGGGACTTATGTGCGTGACTGATCAAAATCGCACACGTCCTAGATGGGAGGAATGGATTATCACCGAGACAAAACGGAGAACATTATACGTGATGTATCTCTTCGACAGTGTCCTCTCCACGCAGGAAGCCCTGCCAACTTTCCTCGCGACAGAACTACTTGGACTGCCTGCTTCTGCTAGCAAATATCTTTGGTACGCTCGATCTCGCACTGAGTGGGAACAGGCATACAACATTCACCTCGCGGAATGGGCAGATAAAAGTCTTTCCATTGATGAGTTATGGCCAGTTCCCGCTGATATGAACGAACCTGATATTGCAGAAAGAAGTAAAAGAGTGGATGACTGGTTAGAAGAAATCGATGAGTTCGGGACCATGCTTTACGCTGTGACATCTTGCACCCATGGGGGGTAAATCAAAGGCAAAAGTTGGACAAAATTGTGGAGCACTCTATAGGATTCTCATAAAAGATTGTTCGTTGATGTACGAATCCGCATATTTTGGAAGTGTGGAGTTGACGGAGTTGAGGCTCTCAACTCCGGAAGTATGGGCTCAACTCCGATCGACTCCACATATTTCATGCAACCCACAGGTATAAAGAACCACTATTGATCCTTTGTATATGACCTCGAAGTAAAGTAAAGTATCAATCCTGTGCCAGCTTAATCTACCACGCAGGTTCTCTTTTTCGATAATCCAGGAAGCAGACCAGGAAGCACATAATGTCTCTTCAAAGCGATACCCCCGGCCTCGGCTCTAGAGGCGCCGTACAGCATTTTCGACAAGAGACAAAAATGGCTCATTATCGCCCTCGTATCCACTGCTGCAACTTGTAAGTTCTAACAGACTCAAAGACATTATTGTCGGTCCCTAATCACTAGTAGTCTCCGGCTTCGCTTCAAATATCTATTTTCCCGCTCTACCGACGATTGCGGGGGACATGAATGTCTCCACCGAGCAAATCAACCTGACTGTCACCTCATATCTGATCTTTCAAGGCATTTCACCAAATCTATGGGGACCTATCTCAGACGTCAAAGGGCGTCGGATTGCATATGCCGGCACATTTATCGTCTTTCTCGGCGCTTGCATCGGTCTGGCAGAAGCAAAGAACTATGCCACTTTGATTGTTCTACGGTGTCTTCAGAGTGCTGGCAGTGCTAGCACAATTGCTATTGGATCTGGCGTAATAGGTGATATTACTACCCGTGCAGAGCGCGGAGGGTTTATGGGTATCTTCCAAGCGGGGTTGCTTGTCCCTGTCGCCGCAGGACCGGTAATTGGAGGTGCATTAGCAGGAACGCTGGGATGGAGAGCAATATTTTGGCTTTTAGTCATATATAGCGGTGTTTTCCTAATAACGCTGCTGGCTCTCCTTCCGGAGACCTTGCGGTCAGTGGTTGCAAATGGAAGTCGGGTTCCTTCCAACTGGATAGCTGGATACCCGCTGAGTATTTACAACAAGACCACAACAGTTGAGTGGGAACGGGACACCACAACTCCGCCTGGGGAGAAGAAGCGAATTGACCTCACTGGCCCATTTTGTATTCTTATACGCAAGCACGCTGCCCCAATCATCGTGTTCCTCGCTATCTACTATGCGGTGTGGCAGATGAGCATCACGGCTATGTCGTCTCTCTTCAAGGATCGATATGGCTTGAGCGAGACCCAAATCGGCTTGACCTTCATCGCCAATGGCGTTGGGTCAATGGTAGGGACATTGATCACTGGAAAGATACTCGACATGGACTATCGGAAAATCAAGACCGAGTTCGAAGCTCGCTCGACCGCGAATAGCGAGGCAGGTATGGGCGAGTCCCATACGACAGGACAAGAGGACTTCCCTCTCGAAAAGGCTCGTCTCCGACTCGTGCCCGTATTTGCCTTTCTGCAATGTCTTTCCCTGGTTTTGTTCGGCTGGACAATTCAGTACACCGTCCACATTGCAGTCCCAATCATCTCTACCTTCATCACGGGATGGACGGTCGTATCTATGCAATCTGTTATCATGACCTATCTTGTGGACATTTACCAAGATAAAAGTGCGGCGGCCAGTGCCAGTATCAATCTTGCTCGATGCCTGTTCGCTGCTGGAGGGACCAGTTTTATCATGCCACTCATCGATGCAGTGGGAGCTGGAGTGACCTTCACAATCTGTGTTGGTGTTCAATTGCTCGCATTGGGTGGTCCATTCGTACAGTGGAGGTTCGCTGCCGGGTGGAGGAGGACAGACCATGAAGAAAAAATGAATGATTCGAAAGCTTGAAAATGGGGGGAATGCGCCAGAGGGCGAGATTTCCCGGAAAATAGCCCGAAGAATGCCAAGGCTTGGAGTCGGGGTAGGGTACATAGTGGAACTTCTAAGCTCCTAGTTCATCTTCCCAATTAGACGCCGATCTCTCCTAAAATCCAATACGAATCATGTCCACTACGTGCTTCTTCCGCGGAATACCCCTCATCTCTCCACTCTTTATGGATGTGGTTGGTCTCCCGGGATTTCTGGTGCTGGACCGTGTGAACCAGACACAAATAAAATAAAAGAAAGTACGCATTCGTGATAAACCATGATTCCAGTGATTGGATTAGGTCCGCCACCTGGCGTTCTGTCCACGCAATATCGGGAGTTGCTCTCCACTTCCTTCAGCACCTAGATGCCCTTGCTAAGAATGACCGACTAATTGCAACCAACTCCTCGTACAATTTGAAAGTGTGTAATGAGCCTTGGTAGCTTGGGAGGATAAATACGTATTGGTGATTCATCACAGGGGCCTACACCCATGAAGAGTGCAATTTTAGACGAAGGTTGATCCTTAGCAAGTCGAGGAGTCAGCACGGCTACAGACCAAGCTGGAGCTGGCCCGTTGGGCACATGACAACCCCTGGAGAAGACCCACGGGACACTTCAACTATTGTCTCGTCACCGTGATTGGCCGAACCTTCACACCCTTATCAACCAGAGAGGAACGCCCTCCACGCCCCGGGAAGTGGACCTCAACAGCTTCCCCAGATTCAGATTATGTGGGGCCCCGCATAATATACGCTAGGATGGCATATCCTATCGAGCTGGACGTTGATATATCAGAGGAAGCCCCATGTTTAGTGATGATCGTCAGTTACTCTACGGACATCTACCATGGCCCGTACAGAAGTGAAAGAGCGCTATGAGAAAGGCTTCTCCGAGCACGACGAGAAGGGTCCGCAGACCAAGACTCTTGGCCATCTTCGTTTGCGAGATTCTGAGACCAACGAGGTCATCCTAGTTCCAACACCGTCATCGGATCCAAAAGATCCCCTCAATTGGTAGACGAAACCTGTCTTCTCCGTCTGAGTCTCTCTGATTATATCTAGGCCACGATGGTTCAAGCTATACACTGCCATTGCAGTATGTTTCGCCATGATCCTTTGTAACTTCCTGGCTGCTGGTCCTACGCTAGCAATTGTTCAAACTGCGGAGGACTTCTTCCCTGACTGGAAGACGACGGGCCTCTCGAGCGCGATTGCCAAAACAGCCTATTTCTTCAATTGCACGGCCCTTTTCCAGGGCTTGGGTAATCTGCTGTGGATGCCTCTGATCAACAAGTACGGACGCCGAGCTGTCTACGTGACCTCCTTCACCATCTATTTCATTACAGCCATCTGGTGTGCCGTCGCCAAAGAGTATGCGAATTTCCTGGTCGCCAGAATCATCATGGGAATTGCAGCCGGAGCAGGAGAGTGCCTTGCCCCTATCACCATCGCAGACATTTTCTTCTTGCACGAGCGTGGAGCTATCACGGCGTAAGATTCCGGAGAGAACCCAGAGTGGGAAATTCTGTCTAAAATCTACCTAGTCTATACAATGCCTCCCTAAACTTGGGTGTCGCTTCCGGTGCCATCATTGATGGCTTCATCGTCAAGTTCCATCCATGGCGATACATCTACTATGTCGCTATCGCCCTGATCGGTGCGATTACCCTTATTGTGTACGCAACGTTCCCCGAGACAGCCTATATCCGAGCCCCGTCCATGGCCGACAGCATCACCACCTTATCACCCTCCGGTCAACGCATTCGTCGCAGTACCATTGGAGAGGGAGAGAAGGTATCTTCTGATGTCCAGGAAGAAGTCCTCACCCAAGAGACGGACAAGGACCGGGGCTGGCTTCAGGGCTTGAAATTATACCACGGTAGATACACGGATGAATCCCTGTGGCAAATGACCATCCGTCCCGTCGGCCTGCTAATTCTCCCACCTGTACTTTGGGCTACCCTTGTTATGTCGGTCACTATTGGGTTCATCACGGCCATTACGTCTAACGTCGCCACAGCATTTGCCGACACATATGGGTTTGCTGCATGGCAATCAGGTCTCTCCTTCGTTGCCGCTATTATTGGATGTGGCTTTGGTATTGCCCTTGGTGGATATCTCTCCGATTGGGTCGCGGACGTCTTTACACGTCGGAACAACGGTATTCGTGAGCCGGAGATGCGTCTTCCTGCTATGATGATCAGTGTGATTACTGGCCCTCTTGCGCTGGCTTTGTATGGCTGTGGCATCAAGTGGAAGATGCACTGGATTGTTCCTACCATTGGTATTGGTCTAAGTAAGCCTCCTCTATTTCATAATGCATGTGTTGGTAATCGTGCTCTGACACTTTCCAGTCAACTTCACTATCACTCAGGCTACCAATGTCTCACTGGTCTACACAATTGACAGCTACCGCCCCATCGCTGGAGAGATCGTTGTCACCCAGCTGGCGTTTAAGTCTGCTTTTGGCTTCTTGCTTGGGTTTTACACGAACCCCTGGGTTGAAATTCATGGATACAATGTCGCTTACGGAGAGATGGCCGCGATCTGTGGAGGAGTTCTTGTGTTCTGGATCCCATTGTTCTTCTGGGGTAAGATCATTCGTGAGAAGACTCTGAGCTGGCGGGTCATGAAGTGGGTGCAGTGGGATGTGGACAGAGAGGTTGGAGAATAAATACTCCTATGCTCTAAATTTGATAGGGTGTTGAGTAAGACCAATTCTATCATCATTCATGATATTAAAGTTCATATCCATTTAATTCGTGGTTTTTTTCAGCGGAACGGTCCAAGTATAATGTCTAGTGAAGATGGACACTGGTAGCAGTCATAAGAATGGGTAGTGAGGATTGGGATAGATAATGATTAAAGAAATGAATGATAAGTATGAGCATGGACTAGAGAGATGGGATGGACATCATCATGGCCAAGAAAAGCAACCCAAGTGTATGCAAATCACAGGTGGGAGAATCAACAGGTCGAAGCGATGAATGGTCATTTGCCACAGGGACTCATCCATGTATCTACCGTGGTATATCTAAAATGCCGACAATACTAGCTTGATTACTCATTTTTTGGTGAACTGTATCGCAATGACTGGCAATTAAGTTTCAAAATGGATTGTTTATTCCTTGCGATTACTTTCTAGACTACTTTCCATCTCCAGTGCGTAGTACGGCTAGACTATTCCTTAGATGCCGACATCTATAATCATTCGGACCGAAGATTTTCTCGAAACCTGTGAGTGCTCGTTGATACATTTCCCCTGCCTTCACTGGCTGTTTTTGGTCACAATAGAGAACCCCCAGGTTGTTAACTGTGTTGAGAGTGGACGTATGATCTGGACCCAGAGCCCGCTCATAGCCTGCCAGCACTCGCTGATACATTTCTTCTGCCTCTTTCAGCTTACCCTGGTCAGAGTAAAGGTTCCCAAGGTTGTTGATTATGCTGAGAGCAGATGTATGCTCCGAACCTATCACTCTCTCATAGCCTACTAGGGCTCGGTGAAACATCTCTTCTGCCTCATTCAATTTGCCTTGCTCAGAATAAAGAAGGGCCAGATTGTTGACTGTATCAAGGGTAGATGTATGACTAAGGCCGAGGGCCTTCTCCTTGCCTGCTAGTGCTCGCTGGTAGAACTCTTCTGCCTTCTTTTGCTGGTTCTGATCATGGTAGAGAACCCCAAGATTGTTGACTGTTTGAATAGTGGACGTATGATTTGGACCTAAGACCTGCTCGTAACCTGCTAGCGCTCGCTGAAACATCACTTCAGCCTCCTTCAGCCTGCCCTGATCAGAGTACAGAATGCCAAGGTTATTGACTGTCCTAAGGGTAGAAGTATGATCTAGACCCAGAGTCGAATTCTTTTCGCTTCCTGCCAGTGCTCGCCGATACATTTCTTCTGCTTCTTCAAATTTGCCCTGATTTCTAAAGAGAAGACCGAGATTATGGACAGTGTTGAGAGTGGAAGAGTCATCCGGGCCTAGCGCTTTCTCCTTGCCTAGTAGTGCTCGCCGGTACATCTCCTCAGCATCCTTGAGCTTGCCTTGGTTTCGAGAGGTTGCCTAATTCGTTGAAGGCTCCCCATACTGCAATATCACTATTCGACCATTTGCGACGACGTACAAAGTTCGAGTGTGGAATCAGTCGCTGCTGAAGCTCTGAATAGTTCCTGACATTCACATCAGGGACAGTGTACCCGACAGATATCAATGCAAGCTCATCAAGCTGGATGGAATCAACGATTTGATTTGCGCTGGCAAGCTGAAGGCACCAGTCCTGTACCACTGGGTGCATCGCGTAGCTTTCATCAAGTTCTTTGATATCAAGGAACGAGAAGTCGATGAGACTTCTCACTCCAATTTTGAATGCGAATTTGCTTGATACAGTCCTTTCGAGCCAGACTGGAAAATTTAATTTCTCACCAATTCATACCAGATATCTCGGTTATCATATCGAGCAAGTAGCAGTAGCATCAGAGCTGCATTTGGGTCTCGCTTCTCAATGTCACGATAGGAGATCATCCAAGTTTGCAGCAAGTTATGCTGGTATTGACGTCCGGGTTTTGACTGAAACTGTAGGTCGGACCAGGGTTCTTGGTAATAATGCAAGTACTCAATGGCGCTTGTTCCGGTTTGACGCATGAATGCACCGGCGATAACAATCGCTAATGGTAGTCCATCAAGACGATTCGCGAGAGTAATCAAATCTATATAAGTTAGCTTCATCAACATGCCCAAGTGGTAATTATAGACGTATGGAGAACTTTGTTACCTGGAGTACTCTCGTGCTTGATAGTGGTATCTTTTGCTAAGAGCAGACGACTGCTTTGTAAGAGAAGCTGGATTGAATCCTCAGAGTCAAGTTTATGCATCATGAAGGATTTTCCTAGTTCAGTCAACTCTTGGAGGCGAGAGGTGATGAGAATAGAACCATGATCAGCAACAGGGGAGAATTCTCCAATATCGTATGTCTCGTCAGCAGAGCTATTATTGGAAAAGTATTGGTCGATGTTATCAAATATTACCAGCCATCCTGAATTACCCTCTAATGCTAACCACTGCAAGACGTCTCTCGCTCGTTTCTTCACTTCTTCTTCGTTGATCGCTTCCTTGTTCTGGGACTGTCCTGGTAAACAGGGGAGATCGGAGCTCAAAGATTGTAGGAGTGTAACTCGATCCTTGCCATTCAGCCAAAATATGGCAGTGAAATCGTGACTGTGATCCCGGGCGAAGGGGATGGCTAGCTGTGTCTTTCCTATCCCTCCGAGACCATGAAGAATGGCTACTTTTCGTGACTGTGGATTCACTGGCTGTAAATACTGCCATAGGTGATTCAGCTCATCTTCTCGCCCTATAAATCTTTCAACTATAGGCACTGCAGTAAGGTCCAGTGGGACATTAAACCGGTGAGCTATGCGTGTAAAGCCTTTGTTAGTAAGGTTTGCAGACCGAGTGCCATCGATTGAAGTTAGTGTTCTCTTACTAGGGTCTTCTGAAGGGTCTTGTGCCATTAAAGTATTGTTGACCTGGTCGATAGGGACTACCAAAAGTAGTTCTTTGGCGTAGGCTGCCGCTACTGCTGCCGCATACCCTTGCCATTCCTTATTCTTATGCGAGTCTGCGTAGTCGCAGATGCCACGGATGACTAGACAGGGAAAATCATTCATGAGTCCCGCAGCTTCCATCTCCACGCAGTATACCCCGAGTTCCTGAGCCAGTAGGTCTCGCAGCCTACCGTCCTTTACTACCTGATTAGCGGATGCAATCAGGCCATAGTGAATGACTGGCTCCTCAATATCTCGTGGAGGTCGTTGAACCAGCTTAGATCGATCGCAGTCTCTACAAGTATGTGCTTCATGGCAGTAGTCCACTTGAAATGAACAGTCTTCTGTCGTTGGTCGAGTGAAGTTTGTAGCGCTTTGAGGCGTCGTTTTGGTCGGAATTTCAGAAAGGAATTCCTGAATGCGATTACTTGCTGCGAAGTGAGATGCTTGTAGCGCAGCGAGGGCGGTCAATAGCACTTTCGGTGGTCGGTTTAGCATTCCTGTTCGCGGGAACTGACCGCCGCTTAACGTTTTACCAAGGTCGAATTGAATGACACCCCCAGATGTATGCGCCGGCTGGCTCACCACAATGTCACCCAGTCGAATATCTGCTTTGCTGCTATGAACTCCCCCACCGATGCCGACCATTAGACCAAATCTTATTGAGTGAAAGCTGGACAGCAGCTGCATTGCAACCGTTGCAGCTGAGACATTGCCATATGCGCCACTTGGTAAACAGGCAATAACAATGTTGTGTCCACCGATATTTCCAAAGACATATGTATTGTTATCTGACGACGGTCGAGGTAGAGTTGGGTGTACTACGTCCAACATCAATTTCGCAGCTGCCATCTCTAAGGGCAAGGCGCAGATCCATCCGACCGTATAATCATCAAAAGATGATGGTGTCCTGGGAGTCATGGTGCGCTTTGAAATAGTCCGATTCCTTTTTGATTTTGATATGGAAGAGCGATTTGGTCGAGCTTGAGATCTGACATCACATGAAGTGGGGGCTAAACAGAAAAGATGAAAGAAGATGACTAGCAATTTTGGGTAGTCCCATGTAGCATTGCGGTATTAAAACTATTAAAACCTCCATCAGTACCAGTGAACACCATTTAGTCTGTTGAGAAGGTGTTTGAATGGCTAAATTTGGACTAGCGTGTTTCACGCTATGGCTCAGGTTTGGAAGTCTGCAGTGAAAGTGTACGGAGCAGAGGTGAATCTGATTTTGAATGTTACTGTATGTCCTTTAAGTATCATGATAAGGTATAGAACTCCATCCGGTCTAGACGTAACCCCGCGGTTTCCAGCTCCCTATCGTCTCCACTTGGGTTTGCGGGCCCCCACTTCAGAACACGGAACCCTTGGGAACCATGGGTATACTGCGGAGTATGGGAGCGAAAAACCTGGACAAACCCAGTTTATGAGGGGAGTTGCCGCCGTGAGGAGCTGGGCAGTGGACCTGCCCAATGTATGAGCTATTTGTTTGTCAATTCAAAAGCCAATCGACAATAGTATTCTAGTGATTCATGGGACTCAAGTATTCTTAACGAAAAGAATGCTTGCTTATCAAAGCAGAAATAGCTAGTGCTTGACGAATTTTACCTCCCCGTTAGACCAGATGATCTTTTGTATGTACGGACATCTTGAAATATGCATATCTTCACTTGGCGAAAATACTCAAACGTACGTTAGGCTTGATGGATGCTCCACCAAGGGGATTGAACAACTGCGGGGGGATATGGGGCTTGAAAGTTCAAAAGAAACGTGCAGCTGTATTGAATTGGACGTTCATTTATAGAAGTGGAATATTGAAAAGCGTCGCTTAAGCACGATATGCAAGCGACAACTCCGAAGGCGAGAGGTGGTGATGCTCGCCTAGGGTGGGTGGCTCAATCTTCGGAATACCTCAATTTTATGGAACACTCCCCACGGGAAAAATTGACGAGAAGACATCTAAAACAGCGAATCTCAAGATCTTTAGTATACTCTAGCCTTCACTTAAGAGACACCCGGAGATATCGCTTATAGACGAATGAACGCGGTTCGGCGATGATTTCCTAGAGCGGAGACGCCGGCCCTAGGCAAGGAAGAAGCCGATTAACCGCAAAAACAAGATCTTCCAAGGTTTAGTGAATTCGCCGGATCTTAATCCGATGTTATCTTGTTATCTGCAAATGTCTTCCTGACTCTTCACCGTCTTAACGTCACGCGAGGGTACCTATTTCACTTTTCTTCATTCTCAAATAATTAGACTATTCCCAACGTCAACTCCCAAAATTCACCTTTTCTGATTGATCAGTCCCCATACGACTGTCAAATTTTAAAACTCTCAAAGCCCCGCCTAGGTTATGGATGGACATTCCCCTCCTGTGCCATCTCGGCCCACCGACACTCTAGAGCCACATAGCCCCGCAAATGAAGCCGATCATGGCGATAATCCAGGCCATGTTGAGGCACAGCAACTCCCCAGTAACGACACTCCCAACGATAAGACCAAATTGCAAGACCAGACAAATCTGCTGCCCGTGAAGCAACTCCTAATTGTTTTTGTGGGTTTGAGCTGTGCTCTATTCTGTAAGACCTTCAGGGCTCGGGAGACCAAAAACTATTATAAGTAGTCAGCACTAACATGAGATTCGCTTTCTAGGCGCCCTTCTTGATCAAACCATGTGAGATACTACTGGCCTCAATGATGAACCACATTGCTTATTTGAATCTTAGTGTGTCCACCGCTCTTCCAACTCTCGGGCGTGTTTTTCACGATGCATCGGTTGAGTCATGGGTTGGAACAGCGTATCTTCTCACATCTACGGCATGCCAACCGCTATACGGACGTCTATCCGATATCTTTGGCCGAAAAATTATTCTTCTTACCAGTATGGGTTTTTTTCTAGTTGGGTCTATTTTGTCTGCTGTGTCCCAGAGTATGATCATGCTAATTGTGTTCCGTGAGTCTACTTTTTGATTTTCCCTGCTTTTTATACATGCCCCTTTGAACTAACACGAATTTTTTAGGTGCAATTTCGGGAATTGGTGGTGGTGGCATTCTCACTTCAGTCATGATCACTGTATCTGACGTTGTTTCCTTGGAGAAGCGAGGGACCTATCAAGGTGTCATCGGTGTGGTCGTTGCTCTGTCCAACTCCATTGGTCCCCTTATAGGTGGTCTTTTCACGGAGAAGGTCTCATGGCGATGGTGCTTTGTAAGTTTCCTGTGCCTGATTGACTGATTGACCCTAACATCTGGGGCCATACAGTACATCAACATTCCGTTGACCGGTATTTCTATTCTCGTTGTCTTGCTCGTCCTTCCATTGAAGAGAGTGAAGGGTGATATGAAGGTCAGGTTCAAGCAAATCGACTATCTGGGATGTGTCACTATGCTTATCGCGGCGATTTTGATATTGCTACCAATCTCCTGGTGAGCCAACCTTTCAAAGATGCGTACTGTTAATGTTGACGTAAACCTAGGGGAGGGACTAAGTATGCCTGGAGCTCAGCTGGAGTTATTGCTCCTCTTGTTCTTGGCATTGTGTTCCTGGGCCTCTTCGTTCTGGTGGAAATGAAATTTGCAGAACTACCACTCATCCCGAGTGCGTGATTCTGTCCCTTTGCCATTTGGTATGGAAAACTGACACTTCCATAGTGCATATTTTCAAAAACGCAACAGTTGCTGGTGCATTGGGCGGTGCCTTTTTCACGGGATTCATGTTCTATGCCAATTTATACTACGTAAAATTATCCTGTCCGCAACTGCTTCTGCTCATTCACTGACAAAATATAGCTTCCCCAATATTTCCAAGTTGTCTACTCAGCCTCCCCCATAAAATCAGGTGTGCTATTACTCCCACTAGTCGTGACTCAATGCGTCGTATCATTTACCTCCGGCTTCCTCGTCTCCAAAACTGGGAATTACACGATCAATATCTGGGTAGGTTTTGCCATTTGGGCTGTTGCATGTGGCCTGCTATCCACCATTTCACCAACAACCTCTATTGGACGCCTAGTCGGGTACCAAATTCTCAGTGGAATCGGCTCTGGTCAGACGCTTCAGACAAATCTAGTTGCTATCCAAGCCAATGTTCAACGTAAAGAGATGGCTGTTGCGACTGCTACTAGAAACTTTCTGCGTTTGTTGGGTGGAACTGTAGCATTGTCTGCTTGCAGTGCGATTATAAATAACACTGTCCGGTAAGTATCACAGGACATGGCGGGGGATTTCAACTTTCAGAAGGACAATCAAACTAATTTTGATCCGTTTTTAGGACTGGGCTTTCATCCACAGTGTCCTCCGCGGCCCTATCCAAGATCATTTCCGATCCCACACAAATCAGCTCTAGATCATTGGGCATTACTGCAGCACAAAGGTCGGCAGCTACTCAAGCCTATAGTACGTTCCTCCTCCCTTCTGCTACACGGAGCTTAATTTAATAACCTCCTCAGCCCATGGGATTCAAAACATCTACTACTTTATGGTTGCATGCTGCTGCGCCTCCTTCTTCATAACTGTTTTCTTCGTTCGGAGCACCAGCCTCAAACGCGACGATGATGCCAGACTACAGGAGGAAGGCAAAAAGTGGGCGGCTAAGCACCGGGGTATACATGCGTTGGGAAAAAAGCATATTGATACTGTGTCGAATAGCGAGAAGACGCCCGCTCACACAGCTGCGGAGCCGGAATCTCAGGTTAAGGGCACACAGTGAGAAGATGAGTAAGAGCGAGCATATAATGGTCTCGCGGAAAAGATGATGCATCGATACTATTTAATAAATCGATTAGAAGGTGCTTACGAAAATCACGAGAACAGAACAAAGTCAATTTTCTATTAAAAAACGGACTTTCAAAATGGACATTGATCCCCGTTAGAGCTCAAGCCATGAACGTGAATGCATACTCGCCGAAGAGATGAAAAACTAAGTAGCGGACAGCGCTTCCATGGTAGAAAAACAAGATAGGTATGATACATGGAAAAAGACAGCGTATTAACCCTTGGCCTTGGCCTTACCCTTCCGGGCTTTCTTAGGCTTTTCTTCATCATCGTCAATGAAGTCATCGTTCGCAGCCTTCTTGGTGGTCTTCTTGCCCTTGGCAGCACCCTTTGCAGCTTTCTTCTTAGGTTGGCTGACATATTTGTCTTTCTTGAGATCGAGTTCCTCGTCGTCATCCTTGGCTTCCTCAACAACCTCCTCTTCGTCGGATTCTTCAAGAGCATCTTCAATATCAGGCTTCTCCTTAGGTCCCTTCTTAGCAGGCGCAACGACATTGCTGGCCTTCATGAAAGGCATTGGGTGGGAACGTGAATTGTATAGACGCGTGAAGGTAGATTTAGTCTGTGTCTCCAATTTGACATTTGACTGGTCCATTGGCCCAAGTCCGAGTTCAAGCATCGAATCGAAGTCGTCGCGGGTCAGGTAGTAAGAGTCCATGAAATCGATGATGTCCTCGACGCTGTCTTTGCCTTCATCCATCATACGACGGATAGTCTTCTCCCAGAGCAGAGGCAGGTATTGCTGGCGGATCTCATCGCGGTTTCCAGATGTACGGAGACGCATGTGACCTTGTATCTCCTTGACGAATCGTGACAATTTTCCTAAAAAGAATGATCAGAGCTGCCGTTTTGAAATAACTACAAGTGATAACATACCTTGTTTACTGTTCTGACCTAACCAGCCGGCGAATGATGCTCTCTCGGTCATATTTCCGAACTGGAAACTAGCTGGTCGGACAAAGCTGAAAACAGCATGGGTAGGCATGAGACTCCACTGCTGCTGGGTTCCATGAATCATGCGATCCACCAGATCACCCTCACTGATACTCGAAGCTGCATTGTCTGCAAGCTCAAGAAGCTTCAAATTCTTCTCTTTGTCGTGGTAATTTCCAGCCAGAGTCGGACGGGTCTTCAGGTAGTTCTCCTGAAGCATCAGATAGCTGAATTCATGGTCGTTAAAGTAGAGCTCGATTTTGTCATTCAATGTGGAGGTGGAGCTGGGTGAGAACATCTGGGCGCTGAGAATCTTACTGACAATATCCCAGGGCTTGAGAATGATGTGCTTTTCCCATGCTTTTGACATCTCCTTACCCTTATCGAAGCTGAGACTCTCCTGGTCCAATTTGGCAGTAGACAGCATGTTGATCACCTGTCGAATATCGGCATGAGTTCCTTCAATGAGGCTATCCAAGACAGGTGGTGGGATCTTCAGCTTTTCACGGAAGCAAATTGTGGATAGCCTAGCGCGAATCTGCTCAACCGTGGGGCGTCTGAATGGAACGTCGAACGTGACAAAGTCAAAGGGCTTCATCTTGGGTTGTTTCCGTTCGTTGCAAATAAGAATGAGTGGAACACTGGTTTTCTTTGCAATGGCTGCAAGCGCACCAACTCCACCGCGATCACCGGCGGACATGCCGTCAACTTCGTCCATAATCAAGCAGACATTCTTTTTGTTACTGTCAACGTTCTTTCCATCTCCAGCAAAGTAGCCTTGAAGAGACGTGGTGTCAAGGACACCCAAAGTGCCAGTTTCAACGAGTTTCTTACTTCGTGTATCACTAGCGTTGGATTCAATGATATCGTACCCCTCCAGCTTGGCAACCATGTGTGCAGCCGTGGTTTTACCAATGCCGGGGGGACCGTGAATCATGATCGTGCGGTAGACTCCGGAGCCGTCCTTACCGGCATTTTTGAAGTTCATCTTTGCGCTCTTGCGCCAGTTGCGTAACCAATTTTGTATTTTCTCAACAGCAGCTTTGTTTCCACAGATCATTGAGGTAGATGTTGGTGCATACTTGGTGGTCCAAAGCTGGTCATCGATGGGAGGACCCTTAGAAGCGGGTGGACCGCTTGCGTTAGAAGCGTTACTGGTAGCAGCAGCCTGCTTCTTTTTCTCGTCCGCCTTCTTCTTCTCCTCTGCGTCGATCTCCCTGGCCATTTGTTGAATCTTATCTTCTTCTGCTTTCTGCTTGGCCTCATACTGTGCAGCAGCTTTTCCCGAGCCACCATTGGCGGGTAAGCGGCGGATCAACTCGAAAAGTCCATCCTCGCTAATCGTTTTGAGGTTATGTTTGGCAATTGTCTGAAGTTTTGAGGGACCTGCATCACTTCCAAGCACAACGTAGCTGGTCTTAGAACTAGGCGCACCAGTCACCTTACCACCGTATCTCTTGACAAGCTCTTGGCCCTCTTCACGACCGAGAGTTTCCTGCACACCGGTGAAAACAAATGCCAATCCTGCGAGACAGTTTTCTGCACCAACAGGAATCTCTTTGGTTCCGGTAGTTGGTGGAGTGCGGGAGCGTTGATCACCAAATTTCCATTTCTTCTTCTCGCCATTGTCTTGAGGAGGAGTTGGAGGACGGACTGTTGGGATGCTATCGAAGATGTCTTGGATCTCCTTGTTCTCCGGTACCTCCTCCTTAGTTTTCTTCTTGGGAGGTGCTTTAGATTTCTTCGCGGCTGGTGAGTCGGATCCCTTAGACGCCTTGGATCGAGATGCGGGTTTCTTAACATCGCCGAGTTCGCCATCCTCGTCCTTGTCAACAAGAGCCTCTGACTTGCGCTTGCGACCCTTTTGAGCTGCTTTAGGGGCAGGAGTCGGGAGTTCATCCATTACAACATCGTCGTCCTCATCATAAGTTGGCTGCTTCTTCTGAGTGCGCTTGGATGCAGACGGTGGTTTAACTTCCATTACTTCGAAGTCGTCGTCGTCATCCTCGGTGTAGGTTGGCTGTTTCTTCTGGGTGCGCCTGGATGCTGTCGATGGTTTGACTTTTGATACTTCGAAGGCATCGTTATCATCGTCGTCGTCATCGCTGTTCCCCCCTTCAACATAATCGTCATCACCCTTCCCGCGTCTTTTATACTCCGTAGCAAACACATCATCCCCACCAAGCCCTTCATCATCGTCGACGATAGTTGTGACTTTTTTAGATGCACCTCTCTTCGGCGGTTTCACAGGGGACTCGACTGTTGTGTTTGTGTCATTTTGAGTCTCACTTTTGGTAACGGGGTTTTCTGTCTTGGTAGGTTTTCCTCGCTTCTTGCTGGAGGCAAAGTAATCCGAGGTCGTTGTGGGCTCTCCTTTCGTTTCTTCGGATTTTCTGTGAGGGAAACGGTCAGGGGAGTCGCGAGCTTGACCAGCGGAATAGGACGGGAACATACGGTTGGCTCTTAAGCTTCGCTTTGGGGGTCGGAGCCTTTATAGCGGGAACATCTTCTTCGTCATCGCTGTCATCCACCACCTTTCTGCTACCTATAAATGTTTAGGCCTGGGAATTATGTCAAAAATGACCAAGGTGTCATACGTCTTTTTCTTGTTGCAGATGGGTCCTTCGGGTGGTCAAGTCAGCTACAAAGTCTCATTGTATTGAGAGGCGTTATATCGACTCAGGCCGTCGACAAGCGCCCGCATTGAATGTACAAAGGGTGATAGCATACCTCTGTCTTTGCGGGTTTTGGAGACTCGGCAGAGCTCTGCGGTGGCTTCCCGCCAAAAAAGCTTCTAATGTCAGATGGCATAGTGAATATTGCGCACCATAAGAGAATACGAAAGCCTTCTTTAAAAAGCCACGATGATATCGGGGACGATGAAGGAAACCAGCAGCGTACTCGAGGCAACAACCGGAGCTAGGCAATCAACGCGCGACGTGAGACGTGATTTGCTCACGTAAGGAACACGACATGCACGTGACCACCACTTCTTCCCCAACGGGCCTAGTGCATCCGGGCCATCGAATTGTGCTTTGGATCTTGCGCTGAAGACCCCAGTAACTCTTGATATCGTCTTTCTTGATCGCAATGGGCCCTCAGATCAAGATGTTTGCTGGGCCTTTATCGTCGTGCCTTCGGCCAACATGTACGAAAATCCTTCTGCCACCTACAATACCTCCGTGGAGATTGAAACTGACCGTTATGATTCTCCAGGCCTGTCGTCGGCATCTTTAGCGCCCTTCACTTTGGCACGATCCTTCTCTAACACATCCCCCGCCCTGGATTGGCTCACTCCGAAGTTTGCCGAGAAATCCAAGTCGCCTAAGGGTCGTCCCCATGTCGCGACCGGTGGATCCACACGAGGAACGACAGTCGTGTGGGGAGACTACGGAATTCGCATGAAGGACCACGACCGTCGGATGCCCGCATCGGCTCTTAAAATCGCAGAGGAGACTATCAAGCGCCGCTTGAGAGGAATGAACTATAAGCTGTACAAGCGCGTCAGTGCCAACATTGGTGTGTACACCAAGGGTAACGAGCAGCGTATGGGTAAGGGTAAGGGTAAATTCGACTACTGGACCGTCCGGTTGCCCGTTAGCCGTGTTGTGTTCGAGGTCAAGGGAGATTTGCACGAGAAAGTTGCCCGTGAGGCATTCAGATTGGCTGGCCACAAGTTGCCTGGTGAGTTTCAATTCCAGCTTACAATTTGCCATATTTCTGGTAAGAGTGACATGCATAACTAATCAAATACGCCCATAGGCCTTTGGGAATTTGTCAAGAAGGACGATCCTCCCGTCGTCGGTATCACCAAGCTTGGCAACGGCGTGACACTCGAATCTCTCAAGCGAGCACGCAGAAGCCCCCCGCTCGGCAACAACGAAACCGCAAACCCGCCCAAAACCACTTCCTCCAGCACTTCCCCCTCCCAATAAATGGTCGCGCATTTCACCACACTATCTACAATGTAGTGTTTCCTCGTCACTATTGCTCATGTTGAACTAAGCCCCAACCCCGGAGCCGGGCCCATACCCCTGTTGTCTCCTTGTCTTCGCGGCTGCTGCATCCTCTGCATTGTCGAGGTCCAGATTTCCTGTACAATATTGTCAGCTTCGTCCACGTCTTCCGCGGCCGTTGATTCCCGGCCTTCCGGCAGATTCTTGTTATATTAGGAGTTTAGACAAGGATTATTTTCTGATCATTCACCTACCTTTATTGGGCTCAACGGTGCCCATTCCCAGTCTTTGCGCTTGTTTGTCTTCTTCTCCGGAGGCGGGGGAGTCTGTCCCATCTGGGACGGCTGTCGTTATACTTTTAGTGTGCGGTTGGCCTACTAGATTTTAGTTAGCCATTTAGATAGTCCTAGACCACGCCTGCAGATGTCCTCAGATTCAGCTGACCTCCCAGTTGACCAGTCTGCTTTGCAGGCGTGACCATGAATTCTCGAATTGACTCGTATCTATCGAAGAGTTAACTCTATCAACTCGTAGGGGATGTAATGCATCCCGCCGGGGGGGGGATCGTACTGAGTACTCTCGCCGCCAGGCTCCATGTCAATCAGTCTCGGATCGGACATTCTGTAGATTGGATAAAATTGAGATAGGGATTTGGTTTGAAACCTTCTTAGTTGGTCGTCTTTTTTGTTTGGATGTATGAAAAAAGATAGTGCGTCTATTGTGGTTTTGGGGAGTCGGTCCGATGACTATATGTGGTGACGTAGCCATGTAAAGCAGCAAAAATCTTGGACGATCTACGCTACCATATTGTAGCCGAACGCTATACCTTTTACTGAAGTTAGTAGTACCACATACCCCGTATTCCAATTGGTTTTTATTCGACCGGTTTCTACCGATGAATGCATGGTTCACAGATGACAGCTAACAACGCCATGGTCCCTTATTATCATAACAATCAAAATGCCTTTATGCGCCGAGAATAGTAAAGTGAAAAGACAGGTCGTTCAATCCTGGGAATCCCCTGAAATTCTTCACATATAGATGTCGTTGTCCTGTGAGAACTGGTGACTTGCTCTTGTGGTGTACAATCATTATTCATGTGTTGGAAGTTAGGTCCATTTCTGACGCCTAGAAGTCCATACCCATCAAATAACTAGATAAATGTTAGCGTGGTCTATTAATGTTAGGCTTTATAAACGAACCTCTCGTAAATGCGCATGAACTTAGCCACGAAAGCTTCGAGATGAAAAATAATTTTCTGCATTGGCTTATGTGTTAGCGTTGTCATCATATCAGGGTTGTCCGAGTACTTACACTTCCCAATCTGATCCGGTGCTCGTAGAATGCAGACCACTTGATCACGTCAGGTTTGAGCGCATCGTCGACCTTTGCAACGAGCTTGAAAGTCAAGGTCTAAATCATTTGTTCGTTAACAACAGTGTACGTGCATATTTGATTCGTAAACATACCTTGAGAACTGTCGAGGGGGGGATACAATGTGTCAAGAGGTCATAGAGACGGGCACGGACTTGCAACAGCCGAGCCGGCGAGCGTTCTGCAAGAATCTCATCCGCAACAACAGAGATCAACGCTTCCCAGTCGGGAGGCGGAATAGGGCTCTTGTCTGTGACTTTCTCACTGTGGAACAAAATAAGAGTCAATTTCTTGCTGGTCTACAAGAACGCAGATAACCCATCACTTACTTCTGTGCATAGATAGACTCAAACATCAACAACGCACGGCGGAGGTTACGCCCGCTGTCCCGCGCGATCCGCTTGTTCAATCCATCAGCCTCATTCCAGCCCTCCCTCTTCGCGGCAATACGAAGCACAGAGCAGATTTCCTCTTCGGTGGGCGCCGCAACCCTGACCAGCAGGGTACGAGAACGAATCGGTGCAATGATATTGGAGGTACTGTTGGCGAGGAGAATCAATCGCAAGTTAGGACTGTATTTCTCCATGGTACGACGCAGAGCAGCCTGAGCATCACGGGTAAGATGATCGGCTTCGTTGATCACCACCACTTTGAACCGCTGCTTCGCCGAAAGATCCACCTGCTGCGTCTGGGCAACCTCCTTGAGCAATTCTTGAATGACAACACGGTCGTAGTTCCCGACATCGGCGGGTGTGATCTCGAGATGGTAGACGGAGGAGACGATGTTGAATTCTAGCTTGCGGTTGCTGGTAGTTTGGAATACTCGGGCGTCGATCTTGATCTTTTCAACTCCAGGGCCGTAAAGTTCCTTTAGTGTTGCGATAATGCGTGTCTTCTTGCCGGCCCCTGATGGCCCGTACACTAGCAAATGAGGGAAGTCGCCACTTTGAGCCTGTAGTTCGATTTACCAAAGGTTAGCTGCTGCTAACCTTGCGAGTGAAAGCTTCCTTACCAAGGAACGGAGACGGTCCGAGAGCTCGGGATGATATGTGAGCGCATCAAGCGTTTTTGGCCGCAATTTATCAACGAGGAGGGCCATTGTGAGTTGTGTCTGACTCGAATGAGGACTATGGATAGTGGTGGTGTGGACTTTCGAAAATGCGGAAGCGGGTGAACGCGTCGAAAACGCGCGACCAATTAATATGTGGCCCGTGCACGCTTCTTCATCTAGCTCTTTCTCTATATCATATATCACTAAAGCACTACAACTCTTCTTTTCGATTATTTCTTTGGCTAGGGCAAGCGTCATGTTAGTAGATTGCGCATTTGAGTTTCTAAACTATTCTTTATGTACAACCCAATCATCCAATCAAGGAATCGACATCGCGCAATTTCCAACACTGCAAGATCTATATAGTACACACACAATTCTTGTGGAGATGAGATGGGGATGAGCAGATCTGGGTCATTTGAGAAGCAGATCTGCTGGGAATATTTGCTTCGAATTTCTTCGGCAACACTCGCCTGTCTTTTGTGGAAATTCAAGAGTCGTGTTTCGGGCGGGCCGATCAAGAAGCAATCGGCTTCAGCACTCCGTTATCGTCATATTTCGCTTCTGCTAAAGATTAGTATCGGCTATCACGAGTCCAATTTATATTATCACTTACTGAAGAAGGTGTAAGACAATGTAATTGTATCAATGCCCTTCATAGTGGGATCCGTAGCAAAGTCTGGATCAATGAAGAAGAAGACAGGCATATCAACCGACTCGCCAGCATTGAGCTTCTGCTCCTCAAAGCAGAAGCATTGAATCTTACTGAAGTATGGCGCAACCTGGCCTGGAGTGACACTATATGTCGCAACTCCGATGATATCGTTAGGGCCCTTGTTGGTTGCAGTGTAAAAGGCCAGTGCAGTCTCGCCCGGCAGCACCCGGACTTCGCGTTGTTGCGGAGTGAACTTCCATGGCAGGACATCGGAAACAGAGCCGTTGAATGTGATGCGGAGCCGGCGGGAGTCGGTCACAGGCGTCACGCGGGATGCTGTGTCTTCGCCGCCGCCGCGGTGGGTCGTGATAGGTTGACCACCCCAGCCAGTTTGTTGACAAATCTATTGCAAGGTAAATAGTCAGCAATCGAGAAGCTCAACCCCAGCGATTGGGCGCTTGGTTGTAGGAATTGGATCATACCATTTTATAGAGAGGGACGGAGCCGTAGGCAAGTGCTACAGTTCCCAGAATCATACTGATGGTGTAGTACCTAATTGAAAAAGAATCAGTTCTGGAGGGCATTTGGACTGATCTGATTGTCAATCTCACATTGTAGAGGTGTTGCGCTGCTGCGACTGAGGAGTATTGAACGGTGCGGAAGAGGCATGGTGTTTTGCATGCAGGAAGGAATTCCTCGAGAAGTACCTCTTCTCTGCTTGAAATACACCCTTTCGGAGATATATTGATCGTGTTGGAATGACACCTTTCAATGGGCGAGGCCCCCACGAAGGGAATAACCTGGAAAACATCGTTCTTGAACTTGGATGGAATCATTGCATCGTCCGACTCTACGCCTGCAATTATCGGTAATCCGCGTCACGTGATGTGTCTTATCGATAAGCCGTTGGAGCCTCAGGTGGGCCGCGACATGGGAGATACAATTCCGACGGTCAGGAGTAACAACGATTCGATACCGATAAATAATGACAATGAATCGATCCATGTGCTTACCGTCTCTTGAGTTGTATTAATAATTATACTATACAGCGAGCAACCGCATCTAGAAATGCATAATAATAACGACAGGCTCTGAAACATTGACGGGCTAAGCCTCCCACAACACCATGCACCAAGTATCCGTTGGTGGCCTACACTGTCATATAGAGGAAGAAGATCCTTTAGTAATACAATAAGGAGGAGCCTGATGACAGAGGTCCCCGCAGAAGATAAGTTTACTTCAACACACTTGTCGTAATGCGGCCGAAAACTCCACGGACCATGCGTGGTCTTTCAAGAAGACATGTTAGAAGTATCGCAGCGCTGATGGAAAAAGCAATGCGCTCACGGCATTGATACTAGCCGGGAAGGGAAATCATTAGCATCGCGTGACGACTCTAAAATCGATCACAGACAACAAAATTCTCGGGGTTGGAGGAATAGAGAAGCACGGTCCGTCTGGGTGTGACCAAAGGGCAATGCGAGGGTTGGACATACTTTCTTCTCATACAACCGTGGCAACACCGTGGCCGCAGCCCGAGGTGCCACAAAGAGCGCCAACTCCTGTCTCTTCCGCGCTTTCTCAACCAGTACACTCCAGCCGCACATGAGACATCCGGCCCCAACACAGAGGCCAGAGTCCCACATTAACGGAGTGACAGTCTTTGGATCAAACATCTTGGGGCCAAGCCGTGTCCGGGCTAGGCAAACGGAGTAGTAAAAAAGGCTGACAAATGAGGCAAGGAAGGCAGATGACCGGGCAGCGTCAGAGATAGCACGGCCCAATGCAGCCGGAGACTTCATGCTCCGTAGGCGAAGGACAATTTGTAGTGGGATATAGGTTGCACAAGCAAACTTGAAAGTTCTGACAAAGCGCGATACCGCGTGTTTCTCACAGTTTGGACCGGCGCCCATGTGTACCATTTCGCAGGGAATGGGAGCCACCTTAGATGGATCCCCCCATTCCTCAGGCCAATTATAGTCCCTGCACATGGATTCGAGGAGCGGGGCCTGGCCTGTATCCTTTCCGTAAATAAAGACCCCGCGGCGAGCGCGACGAAGGGCTTCGATTAAACGTGTATCCACCTTGGCCACCTCTCCAATCCATTTCTCGTACGTCCGTGGCAACCGTTCGGGCAGATAGAACCAGGCCCACATGACTATGGCTGCACTCGAAGCAAAAACCCCGGCGTCAGCTAGACCAGGAGCAAGGGTTTCCATGGCGGTCCAGCGATTTTTGGCTTTGCGGCGACGATACCAGCTGTTCCATGCAATACATGCTATCACATCGACCGCTCTTGTGACCGTGAAAAGGGTCAGGTCCATTGTCCTCCCAACCAACACCGGATGAGGACGCTCGAGAGTATTGACCGGAGCATTGTTGGAGTCATCTTCGCCGGAAGAGATTCTCCGAGCCCTGGCATCCTGCCGTGAGATTTCACGGTTTTTGTTTAGCAGTTGGAAACTATACCATGCTGATAGAAATGCCATCGCGAATTGAAGGAGCCGTTGGCCTTGTTGGGAAATCCGGATGTTACCCTTAGAACCGGCTACAATACATACGCATATCCGATACAGCAAGATCGGAAGGATGGTCGATCCCCCGACTAAAACTCCACAGAACGTTGGGAAGCTGTTCACTCGTAAAGGCCCGGCAAGAGCGTGCGTCAGCTATAAGGTTTGTTTGTCAGCCCGCGTTATTTCAAAAGCCCTTACAATGACTATGGTTGGCGCACGGGGCGGATTGCTTGCTAAAGAAGTAGACAATATCAAACCCTAGGGCAGTCGAAACGCACCTCCTGAAGTTTCTGTTTCATGGATCCATTCTTGTTTCCCATTCGTCGGGCAAGACTGATGAGTTTGGGCGTAACTGCTGAGAGATAGCCTAAAGCGTAAGCCCGAATAATACTGCCGATCAACGGTTAGAATTCGGACTTTGTACTTTCTACTTTTCAGGGCTGCTATAGCTAGATCGCCCGTTTCACCCGCAGGTTAGAGGATCGAAGAAACTCACGGCTTGAAGATCTGGGCGTTAAAGTGCCTATCCGGGAGACTGAGCCGAACTGCAGGTTCCATAGTGCCGGGAACCTTCATGTCATGATCCGCAAGGGGCCTCGACTAAACATTGCGCGCCGGGGAGATATCCGGCAAGACCAGACGCGTCGGGAGGGGGGCCTTTCGCAATGTAGGATTCGGTTCAACGGTCGCCAATCAGCAGCACGGATCAAACGCAGCCGACAGACTTTAGGGGTGAGGGGGGAAGGTGACTAGCAAAATTGCCCAGCCCGAAATTTGGGTAGTATTCTGCGCCTGGAGCAGCTGCACGATCGTTTTTTTTTTTTTTTTTTGGTGGTCCCCTATGATCAACCGTGGATCTGTGTAACGGGGGATTAACTTATGTAGGGACCGCGTCCAAGGACTTCTTACCCAGGTTGTTAGACCTCGGTTCCTGAACAGGAAGAGTCCCCGCAGTGAGTTAGGATCAACTGTATTTCAGGGAAACACGCTACCAGCAAGATAACGAAGGATGATCGTCCGGGATGGTAGCGCACCCAAGGTTTGCGGGGTGTGGAAGGGCAGTGTATCAAGCCCGCGCGGGTTTTAATTATTGACCGAATGGAGGAAAGATCGTAGTATGGCTTTTCCAAGATGCCGAGCCGAGTTGTCGACCGCGGATGAGGTCGAAAGAATGAAGAACAGCTCCCTTGACTGGTACCTGGAACGGCTGGAATAATGGAGAACCCCAGTTTTCCCTGAACTGTGGTTCCAAAGTGGGTTATGGTAGTAACGAGAACAATTCTATTAGTTAAGACTGAAGACACGGCCTCGGGGATTCAATCTTGGTAAAGCAGGTACCGTGGATGTATCTTGAAATCCACTCCGATCTCCATTTTGACTATGAGAATGGTAATTTATTGACGCTTTGTGGTAATTTTGGTAATGTTGTTACGTCACGCGACCGGGAGAAAATTCACATGTGATCGATGCGATGAGCATAATGATCAACTCCACCTTTCGCTTCCCCAGCTTTCTCTCACTTCGATTCCTTCCTGTATTGCTTTATGACTGGGTTGGTGCTGCACAAGTGACTTTCTTTTCTACGTTGGAATCTCGTTGTGCGAGTTCCTCGTTCTCCTGTTATCCCCTGTCGCAGGTCGATCTCGATATACTATATTGACAAGTCGGAGTATTATTCACGAGATCTATCGACCAAGGCATGGTCACCTTGTGCTGGCCCAAACCGCTCTGGAATATCAGAGCACACCATCATTGACTTGCACTCATTCTCCGCCTTTTCCGGTCCCTTGATCTCACCTCGAAGTGATGAATGGTCCGGTGCCAGAGATCCAGACCGGGCGCAACTCCCCACCTCCGGGCCCGTTTGGTTGTGAGTTTCTTGATGAGGTGGTGAAATAGCGTCGCAGATTGCTAATCAAAGCACCAGATTCCTTCCTTTCCCCAATGGATACTCCATATGAACAAGCTCCCGCCTTACCCCCGGGTCCCTCTCTCCTTGACGATAATGAATCCAATATGCTCGATAACTTCTTTACGACCATGAATGCAAATAGCTTCACGAATGATTTTTGGCTCCGAGCACAACACAATAAAACGCCGGGGCTCAACTTTGATTGGTCTGATGAACTACCGCCGACCTTCGAAGGCTCGACCACATCTCTGTCGCAACCCTCATATCAGCAGCATGCCCTCGGAAAGCCAAATATGATGGTTGGGAGTACGCCAGGTCCAGATATCTATGCTGCCGCGTCAATGCTCTACCAAGGTGGCATAAATGGGACAGATATTGGGTCCGCGCTCGCTCAGCAGGTTTTCGCGACACAACCTTTTCTTAACGGCGCTCATATTAATGGATCTCATCCCCGTCACAACTCACAATCTGCCCCCGTCGCACATGCAAGCATACCCTCTCCCTCCAACGGCAGGCTACCAACTGGGTATCATACCTCCGAAATGCTCTTCGACGTGCGCGACCCTATTCCTGCGGATCAGCATCCCTCTCGCAAGGTTCGCAGCCTCCAGTGGGGCACTGATATCAGCTTCATGGACCAGGGCTATGTAGCCCCGCCTGATCAACCGGATGAAGAGACACGCACTCGAGAGCTATTAGATCATCTGGACTGTTTTGAGCCGCAGACTAGCGCAGCAAACACACGGGCTCCTAGTCCCGAGCGCATGCCAGGTGGCCATGCTCATCACTCCAGCATTCACAGTATCGATATAGATGATGCTTCTCAACCTCGCAAACGACCACGAATGATTAAAGAAGATACCCTTTCAGATGACGACGAGATGAAACTACCAGCTCGCAAATCACGCACCATGAGCAACGCTAAAGCGCGTCGCGCGTCAACCAATGCGCCCCGGAAAACCAGTATCCAGTCAAACAGCAAGAACGCACGTGAGAACCTTTCCGAGGAGCAAAAGCGCACAAACCATATTCTATCTGAACAAAAACGACGCAATCTCATCCGTCAGGGCTTTGACGATCTTTGTTCCTTAGTTCCGGGGCTGCGAGGCGGGGGCTTTAGTAAGAGCGCCATGCTTACACAGGCAGCTGACTGGCTCGAGGAAATCATACGTGGTAATGAGATACTGCAAAGTCAGTTGGCCGATATGAAAGGCATCAATGGCCTCGTGATGCCTAGGTAAGGCCAATGTCTTCTGACTTGGACATCATGCTCATGTTTTTATTTTTGTAATTTCATTGTCATTGAAGCGGTTCAGCGGTGGGTTGGGCAGGTCGTGGCTTGCTGGCTGGCGCGAGGGCGTTCATTTTGCGAAAGATACCATTTCTGTTTGGGCAGGCATTTTCATTCTTAAGGTCCTGACATACGATGGCGCTGAATAGGCTTCTGTACAGGCAGCAATGGCCCAGGTGGGTATAGGTTGTCTATGGAAGTCTTTCAGCAGAGCTTTCAACTTAGGTAGTTCATGTATACCTATGACAACATCCTGACCGTTAATTGTGTAAATGTAGCCCGTGGCACGAGGATTAGCCGTGGAGATAGGGTTCAACTACCTGGAATGTAAAGACAATCTGGCGCCGAACTCCAAGTCTATAGCTTAATCAACTGTATGTTCCAGGCCAGTCCATTTTGATAGAATGCTTGTTGATTTGGGATATATTTACCAAGATACCGCATCCTACCTACTCAGCTGCCTCTGTCATATATACATAGCCCCCCCCCCCTCTGGATGTCAGCGCGGGAGGAAATACTACTCTTACATTCGCAAATTTCTTGCCGAGCTCTGATCTGAAGAGATAGCTTTCTTTGCTATCGATTTTCAAGGTTTCACCTGAATACCAGACCATTCAACCGACACCCTAATATTACGGACCATGGTGCATGTCGACCCTGCAATAGAACCATTACACCTACGGAACAACTTCCATAGAACCCTCAATATCCCTTAGTAAATATGTAGGCCGCTCAAGCGCCGTGAAGTATCCATTCTGTTTGGCGCCTATCGCTACCATGTCAAACACTATTCATGGTTATTTAAACCTTTATACTGCTCTTGGGTTTTAAAGAGCAGAGAAAGGCATTATCTGAGTGGTCATGAGCATATTCTTCGCTTAACGATGATACTTTGTAGAATTCTGCGCAATTGATTTTGAATATATTATTGCGACCTATCCTGAGATTGTGTATGAACCAACTAAGCCTTTGCTGGGTAGGGGATCAAAAGTCACCAAGAACTTCTTGTGGTAGCGTGGTTTCTCGCAGCTGCTCGTTCACACACAATTAGTCATGTGTGATTCCAGGTTAATTTACATGATGTATATCGATTATTCAAAATCACAAAATGAGCCAAGAAAGCAATAATTATTGGATGAATCTCCGTACGACTTGGAAATGATATGAATGCTATCCATTGCGGGGCCTAATCATGATTAAGGTGCCGATGCGCTCCACCGCTCCGAGCTCCGCTCTGGTTTTAGGCTTGACGCGTCCTGCAGCACCTAAAGCTTTGTTGACACCCCACACAACTCTTCCAACCCTTTTTGCGCACCTCGCCATGCCTCCCAAACGAAAGCGCTCTGGCGACGATGACAATGAAGTTGAAGACGATACAGAAAAGCGCTACGCCTATTTGAAGCCACAAGTTCGTCGCGTTCCGGAAAAGACGATCAAATCGAAATGGACAACCCTTCCAGAACCAGTCCAGGATAAGGTCCGGGAGCTGTTCCATGCGCTCGAGCGTCCGGTTATTATGCGTCAGTCCAATGAGCGCAAACGGATTGAGGCGCAGAGCGCAGTTCAAGCGGTAGTTCGAAAGCATGTTCAACCTCTCATTGCCAGCCTGTGGATTTAAGCGCTTCGAGCGCATTGTGTCTGAATTGAGCTAACATGTACCAATCGACAGTCTCGGAAAGCGACTGCCACGAATGCCCTTCCCACCTATTACCAATGACTCGAACTTTGACTACGAATCTGCGCTCGATGAACACGTAAGAGATCCATCAACAACGTCGTTGATGAGCATTGCTGACTGGATACATGCAGAGGGCCCTTGAGGCAAGCTTGGCTACAATGAAGGATAGTACAGATCTACTGAAAGCTGAAATCGCGAAAGAAGAAGCCCTCCTTGCAAATGACAAGAAGGAGCTCCAAGCAATGGACAAGAACGCCAAGCGAGCGGAGGCCGAGCGAAAGAGGCTGATGAAGAATGTAAGAGGGTGGTTTTTTTTTTTTTTTTTTTTTTTTTTTTTTTTTTTTTTTTCGTTTATGTAGACTAGGATCAATCTCGCTGACATAGATGGCTTCAAGGAACACCCTGTTCTCCGGCAGCTGGACGAGCTCCCCCAAGACTCTGGGTCTTCTGGATTTACACTAGTTGATACTAAACCCAATCAGGCGACACTGGATGAGGTATGGACTCTGGATGAAGTTGCACCTTTTACACTACATCAACTTATGATTTGAATCTTAGCTCCATACCGACCCCGAAATACAGCAACTGATGAAGCAACTGCATGGTCATCTCCAATCCATGCAGACTAATACTGCCCCGCTTACCGGTCTGAGGGATGCGATTACTCGGTCGCAAGCTGCGCTGGACATTTTTGCAGCCTCCAACGACTGAAAGAAGCATTCAATGACCAGCTAAAGTTTCTCGAGTCTGAACCTTTCGAGAACCCCAATGCACGCGGGCATATACAACTGCACTACAACTGCAATTGAGAACAGCAAGTCATCAACAAGCGAGATCTGAGCGCCACGCATTACGCCCCAATACTACCAAGATAATCCCTGTCGCGTGCTCAGATCCCGATACCTGAGCTGCAGTCGCAGTTGCTACGCGCCAAGACAAGCGTGCCGGTACCGATGACATGTGAAACCCTCAACTATTCGCTGAGGATCATGTCAGTCAGATCTCACCGGAACAGGGTCTGCGCCCAGTCGATCATTTGTGGCTGTCCAATCTGGCCAATTCCATTGATCAGGATCTGCGCTAGAGGCCCCACGAGAAGGTCCAAGCTGGTGGATGCCCGATAAAACCCGCCTAGTTAGAGCAATGATTGAGAGATTTCAAAAAATGCAGTTCAGACACTAGATGTAAAGGATTTAATATCTCGTACTCCCATATAGACCAGAACGTCGTTCCGAGGCGGCTCTCGGTGGCGTTGCCGAGAAACGATGGGGGGATTCCCCACACGCGGAGCAGAACGGAGGGGTCACTCCGCTTTCGCGAAAGTCCAGCGAACTTTTGACTTTGACGTTTCAACTTTCGACTTTCATACTGCAATGTCTGCAGGCAGCCATTCCGCCTGGTCCTGGTGATTACACAACAAATCGAAACTATGACTGAAAGGAGCGTATCGGGCGCTGGTTCCGACAGGACTGCATCTGCCAAGTCCAAGACCGGTGACGCAGCAAAGGATGCGCGCGCAAAGGAATCGCAAACAATATCTGCTGCCAAGGCTGAAATATCTGGCTCTGGCAGTCATTCTAGTCCCAAAAAGCGCCGCAAGGTCAATCACGGTAAGCTGCCCACCGCGTGAGGGTATGCGACAGGGGTATGGGCGCTTTCGCTCGCATTCCCGTTCGCTTGGCGATGTGAGCACTCGACACTAACGATCATATCAATTTTATAGCATGCGTTTACTGTCGCCGCTCGGTGAGCTTCCCCTTTTGAAAATTTTAACTAGCGCTTGTGTCCGCTTGGTCGATGCGACAGCCTTTGGGCAACAAGTCCCCCCATCTTAATGGGGGCAGTTTTGTTTCCCAGAATCGTTTTTGCTAACGGAAGGCCATTGGTCGCGTTGGACAGCATATGACTTGCGATTCGGTACGACCTCTCCCAGATCAGTTCCATTCAGTCTATCAGTTAGCCGTGAAACTGGTTGTCAACCAGAGCGGCAAAAAAAGATGTGCCTGCTGACCAGTTTTGATTCGTGAAGGAACGACCTTGTGCACGATGCGTAAAGCGCAATATCGGTCATTTGTGCCATGACGAGCCCAGGGAACCTGCGAAACGCGCTCGAAGCGACCAGGAGCATTCCGCGGCAGACGAAGAAGGGTCGTCCAACAATGAGCTGGGCAACGTTCAAAGTATGCCACGGAATGTCGATGTCCCGGATGCTGCCGGTCAGCAAATCCTCTCAGACGGTACGATCGGAATTCAGCCCTCCTCGGTGCAGCCAGCAAACATTTCTTCGTCCGGCCAGGGCCTCGATAGCAATCCGCAGCAGTGTAAGTCTTCAGACGAGCCTTTTGCAACTCCAGCTGACGTGAAATATAACAGTGATGCCCTACAACGACTGGATGGGTGGACAGAACCAGTTTCAGGATATGCACTCTCTTCATCCATCGTACATGTTTAATGCCCCTGAAGTGACGAATGAGTACAACTTGCTCGGCGATTTCCTCAGCAACAGTTTGCTAGATGATGGGGCGATCTTCCAGAATCAGGACAACCCTCAAGGGATTTACTCCGATCCTTCTCTGATGAACTCGATGAATACAATGAATATGCCAAACGGGTTACAACTCCCTGCGCAGCTTCCTCCTCCGGCTGTACCCCACGGGGACTCCATCCAACGGACGGCTGCTCCAGCAGTGGTGAATGACAAAGCACGCGAGACATACTATATGACCGCGGCTGATCCGTCCGGATCAGACCCGCCAGAGGAGCGCATGAATAAGCTCCTAAAAGCAAAGTATGATGCTGGTTTGCTGAAGCCTTTCAACTACGTCAAGGGCTATGCTCGGCTCAATCAGTACATGGAAAAGAACATGCAACAAATTTCTCGGCAAAAGATTCTCCGACAACTTGACAAGTTTCGCCCCAAGTTCCGAGAGCGCATGCAGAGTCTAACGGATATTGAGTTGATTCTGGTGGAAATGTGGTTTGAGCGAAGTCTGATGGAGTATGATCGCGTTTTTGCTAGTATGGCTATCCCGGCCTGCTGCTGGCGACGAACCGGTGAGATCTTCCGTGGCAATAACGAGATGGCACAGTTGATCGATGTACCAATAGAGAGTTTGCGAGATGTGAGTTTCTCCTTGTTTGTCTGGTTTTTCTCCTACTAATGCAAGCAAAGGGAAAACTTGCCATTCACGAGATCATTGTCGAGGACCAGCTAGTCAGCTATTGGGAGAAATTTGGAGCCATTGCCTTTGACAACACTCAGAAAGCTATGCTTACAAGCTGTACTCTGAAGAGTCCTAATGGGTCTGGCGACGGAATCCAATGCTGCTTCTCATTTACGATTCGACGGGATAACCATAATATGTTCGTTCCCTTGTGGTATTTCTGCCTATGCACCAGCTAACATGACCAAATCTAGTCCCTCCCTTATCGTTGGGAACTTCCTTCCCACCCAGCGGATACACAAGTAGCATACTCCACCTGTTGGTTCTCATTGGTTATGTTGAAATCCTTTTTATGCTGGCCTGTGAACTTTTGATTCTTGATTCCCCGAGGCTGGAGGTCTGCGTCCTTGTTTTAAGGTGTACTGTGTCTGCGATGTAATATACTTCATCATATTCATGGATGTTTACATTGAGCCATTTTTGATTTTATTTTTGAAATCTACTAGACTTGTAGAGACCAGGGGATAGTGAGGTAGTATGAGGTAAAGAGTGACATCCAAAATACGGCGCCAACGTCTTCTAACGGAACTTTCCCTGCCCATATCCTGTTCGCGCACTTTTCTTCAACGTTTCCTTTTACCAATCGACACCAACTTCTTTCCGTCTCCATTCTTTCAGATCTCCATACTTTTCTTTTCATCATACTTTGTCGTATTCGCGTCACGCGTGTGATACCGTCTCATTTTTCAAATTATCCCATCCTTTCCCTGTTCAGCGCGCGCGATTTCCCCTTCACTTTCACCGTTTTATTTCTCGCGTCATGGCTCCCTTCCAGGATGATGCCGCCACAAAGCTTGTGAATTCGATGAAAGGTATGATCACAGATCCTACAAATCCGTCTACCAGCCGCGTTGCGTCACACCCTAACGCGTAAATTTCCAATAGCCATTGTGCAAACAGTGAAAAAACAAATGACAACGGCGCCGCATGGTCAACTGGCGTCCTGCGTGGTTACTGAACCACTTCGGAAACAAGTCCAAAAACTGCCCTCAATCACAGGCCTCAATCCCCGCAACTATGGCGAGATTGATCGTATCGGTACAGACCTATGGAACGCCTGCAGGCTTACCCTGTGCTCTCGTGCTAATGATAAACGGGAACATGTGGTCCTCAGCCGAGGTTTGTTTTCAATGCCTGGTTATACCATAGAATTAGCAACTGACTACTTTTATGTCCAGTGAGCGCGTTCGCCTTCTTCCTGATTGATTTCGGAACTCCAAAAACGGCCTCCGGGCATGTTAGAGTTCTCCGAGCAGCATTTACCGCAGCTCGCTTCTCTATCGGTATGTCACATGCGTATGTATTCTATTGGTCAAAGCTCATCAGTGATACAGAGAATGCAGAACTTGAGCTGGCACTGAGCATTATGGCAGTTGCTGCACAAAGACTCGAAGGCTTGAAAGCCTCGACTCCTCCTATTGACCTGGAGATCTTCCAATCCTTTGTTGCAGAAAACTTCACTTACCGGATGCAACTGGTAAATCATTCTCGTGTTGATTAATGTAGAATTTGGCTGAAGATGTATAGGAGTATTTGAAAGGTCGACCAGAGTTCGCTGAGCATCTCTTCAGTAAGGTGCCCAAAACATACTCTATCAACAATGGTGAACTTGTGGTTCAAGTTCTCTACAACATTGGATGTCATGCAATTGCGTCATCCCAGAATGGTGTTGCTATCAAGTGGCTGGAAAGAGCGGTCACTCGTGTCGACGAGTGTAATGAGCACTCAAAACATGAAAGAAGTGGCATCGAGCACTTAGAGCTGCTAGTTAGGCATTCTCTTGGTAAGCCCTTAAGCTCGCACTCTTATGGTCATCCCAGCAACCTGACTTATCCAGTCCGATCTTACTTGTCCATGGAAACATCTGAGACGAAGGAGAAAATGAAAGCACAGCTCAAGGTTCTCAAAGAGGTAAATACTGTGCCATCAATTACCGTTTAAGCTCACTTCATGACTGTTTTAGAAATACGGAGGCAATCCAGCCGTCATATTCCTTCAGTTGGAGATCCTTCGCCCCAAGGATGAGGAAGAAACAGCCGAGTTCTTCAAAGGTACTTCTGACAGCAGTTTAGAAATGAATAAATGTCACCTTGCTGACTTTTAATTGACAGTACTTGGATGGGTATTTACCGGATTGTCGTTTACCGACCAGACCTTTGAGCTGCAAGTTGGTGCTAACCGTTTGAATGACATGCACTAATGACTGGCACAGTGCCATGGGCTATCTAAAATACGGAGGAGATCTCAAGTAGGTTTAAACCCTTCTCTCACCGGCTAACGAGACTTGCTAAAAGTTTACTAGCGAGGATCATGCACTGCAAACCTTTCAACTCTTGCTGAAGCATGTACCACTCATTCGAACTGATTGGGTCGAGCGCAGCTTCATCGCACTTGTGTCCCAAGCTCTTTCAACTTCTCTACCAGAGGAAACCAAAATCGAAGTAATATGCGATACGGCACAGATCTTAAATTCACGAGGGTTTGAGATGATGAGTGAACCAGCCACTCATGCGGTCCTCGCAGTATAATCATCTTCACTGTGAAAATTATAGAAAGAAAGGCACACTAACAGTTACATAGTTCATCTGGAAACATATCAGCACCGGATTTGAGACCAATTCCTCCGTGGCACAGAAATGGTGTCTTACCGCACTGAACACTAAACTTTTTGAAGCCTGTTCTTCCGCAAACCGGATTCAAATCCAGAAGTCAGTAATAGAATATCTCCCATGTGAACATTTCTCTAATTCTTGACACAGAAAGTTCGTGAATTTTAGTCTAGACGGCTTCGACACGCCCTCGGCTAGAGAGATGTTGCAGCTTATACATTTGCATAACATCGTTGATTCAGAGGGCGAATTCAAGAACGATTTCCAGGTTCTGTTTCTAATGTGGAGACTTGCGTTGCAGGAGTGCAAGGATGACAACCCAAGTGAGTGAACTCTGCATTGAGCATATCTTTCTCATAATAATCGTTCAGAAGATTGTATCTGCCAACAAATCCTCCAAAAGTCCCCGCCGTTGGGTCATGCACAAAGACTACAATTCATCCAAGTTTGCACCCTAGAGGCACAGCGCGGGAAGAATTCTACAGAAGTGATGAAGTGCCTTCATGAGTTTACTGAAGAGGTGGCTCGGGAGGAGAACGAGAATCGTCAATTGCCTCTTGATCGAATGTTACAGAGGGAAGACATACTGTGAGGCATTCTCAACCTGGCAGCTTTACATTTGATACTAATCTAAGTATCTGCAGATTCCTTATTCATGTGTTGTCAATTGAAGTGGACAATGGAAATCTCGCCGCATCTGTTGTAACATCGTTGGCTCATCACATCGCAAATGGTAACGTCTAAATACTGTTCAGGTGAGATGAATACTGAATTTTCTAGCGATCTACCAAATTCTACATGAGCCTAAGAATGATTACACACCAATGGAACAAGAATGGGTTTTGCAAAAGTGCTATGCCTTAATCTGCATCTTGCTGGAGAATTCCAAACTCGACATGATAGAATCACTCATGCACACCTTGAGAGAGGTCTGTTTGAACCTTTGGTACCTTACTGTTTCGTGAATCTTCCCCCGCGTTGCTGACAAAAAACTCTAGCTCATCATTTTCCTGCAACCCGAAGAAACAGACCAACCAAGAACAGGGGAGACTATGGTGGTGGATGAGATAGGCTCACGCTATCTTCTCCTTGTTCTGATCTTGAATGTATGCCGTGCTCGAAGCACAAAGCTCGATGAAGTAGCCAAAGTATGTTGCAGCTCTCATGCTCCAAATCAGAGTACATGCTAATTTTTCAGTCCTGCCACTACGAAAAAGTCCGAATCGGCTTGCTTGAGCTGAGAAACAGTCGCATTTTCCCCGAGCTAGACGGTTCTCTTGAAAGCCTCTTGTGGGGCCTCTGCTTTGAAGCCTGCATTCATGGAAAGGAATGGAACATGGCTTTATGGGCCTTCCACAACTCCAGCCAATGTGATCGTGGAAAGCTAAGTGCTCAGTACTTGGAGACCATTCTATCCAAGGAAATGCCTTCCAAGTACAAGATCTGGCTTGTCCGGGTACAATCCTCTAGAGCAAGCCCCAATCACTTCATATTTCATCACTAACTATGACCTCGTTAGGAAATCCTCCGCCAAAACTACGGCAAAGATGATATTGACTCGCTACTCCTGACACCCACCCGGGCCAATATTCCTCACCACCTGCACGTTCTGTTTCATCTTTGCATCACAGCCCAGAACCATGAAGACACGATCCCCTGGGAACTGGAGTTTTATGATGACGACTGCCTCTACAACGTCTGGGGCAAGGACGGCGAAGTACAGATGACCTACTACCAGATTGCGGAGTCGATCCTCGATCTAGTAAATGCCGGTGCTTGCGATCAAGAATACTTGCTGAGCCCTGAACACTTGCAGATGCACTACAACAAGGATCCTGAGACGGGCGAGATGTCTCAGTCTCCGTGCGAGCATTCCCCGTACCCCACCGAGGAGCTTGCAAAGCTTGCAAGTTTGGCCTTCAACCAGGCGATGGACTTCTATGCGGATGGTAGGGATGGATTTTGCAAGTCATGGGCGAAGAAGTCTATTCATATGGCTTCGATGATGGGGGATGACGCTGGCGATGAACTGGTTGCGTTGTTCGAGGAGAGATTGAAAGGATTGTTTTAGGTGAGGGTCGTGTTATTGTTCGCGATGATCAGGATTTGAGAGAGATTCGGGGATTTATGAGAGGGAGGAGGATTTAATAAGACTGATGGGCTCATTTTTATCGACATTCAGTGGATCAAACATGTTTACGAGAGATATTAGAATAAGATGTTGGGATTACTTACTACTAATATGATGGCGAAGTAGGTTCAAGATTGAGTTGTTTAATATACGCGCCTAGGTAGTCGGATCGGACTTTTGGGGATGAAACTCCAAATATAGACGGAGATTCGCTAATTCGGTAACTCTTGTCGCATAACCAGGTTCAAGAACAAAGATGAGATTGTCAAATATGTAAAGCATCTAAGTTGAAGCTCCGTAGGCATGGCATAAGCCAGGTAGAGTAATATGGGTATCATCAGAAGTGAAAAATGTGAGAAGCAGCAAGACAGATGTCGCCCTCCCTAAGTGGTAGAGGGATGCAAGGAGCATATGAGATGATAGAAGGGAAGGGATGGAAAGAACGAAGAAGTCCAAGTCACCATAGAAGATAGCAAAGAAAAATAAAAGAAAGATGACGAAGTGAAAGAAAATATGGAAACGAGGAATGATTCTCGCAGATTTCAAAGGCATTGTGGGCCCTGATCATAAACTTCAGCAACGTCATATGTCACGGAGAGTCACCTACTCGCAACATCGTAGCCGCTCAAGATGCGATTAAATGGTGCTTGTGACCATTCCAGAAACCTGGAAAGTGATTATTCATTGGTGGTTGCGTCGTAAGATTGACTCCTGAGTTTGGGTACATTCCTGTGACGTAGTGACGGAGTCGAGGGCACATGACGAAGCTGTTGAGGAGATCTTGGGGAAGAAGAGGAGAAACTGGGTTTGCGATCCATGTCTTTGCCGCTACTGTCTGTTTCTGTCTCGGCACTTTCGTCGCTGAGTGACCGCGCATTCACGGCATGAAGCGTGAGACTAAGTTCACGCTCGAGCTCCTTCTGCGCTTCTATTTGCTGGGATGAGCCATGAAGCTTCTTTCGATACGCTCGTAGAGTGCGACATAGTTGCTCGCTGGACATTTCCAGGCTTCCAAACTCGCTGCGGCTCGATTGCTTCGTGCGTGCTCGAAAATCGAGAGACGTACGGCGATTTGAGTTCCTAATACTGCTGGATTTCCTGGAAACTGAAGGCCTTGATTTCGGGCTCACTGGTGAAGGGGATCGACGGTTGTGATTGACTGAAGTGTAGGATGTTGGCGAAAGACGATTAGGAGGTGATGGTGTTTCTGCAAGGGAATGGTTCTTCAGGTTTGATGGTGTCAAGGAGAGCTTGGACAGTTTCCTGGATAGGGTCGGAGAGAGTTCGCGAACCGGTGTGGGTGTTCCCAAGGGATTCTCTGGACGGAATCCAGCTAACTCGCTCCTCGAAAGCACCTTGCGAAGAGGCGGCTTGGCTGCTGCCATCTCCTTGATCGGGCCGTCGTCCTCGTTTCCATTGACCTGATCTGGAGATGGCTGAGGTTGCACAGAGAGGTTCCAGATCATCAAAATACCATCCATGCCAGCGGATATCAAATTTCGCTGCGGGCATGATTTATCCGAGTCATCGGCTTCTTCCATGAGCAGAACGTCACATACGCCTTCTGTGTGACCGAACTCTCCAGTGAGAAGGATATCTCTTTCCAAGTCATATACGCGAATAGACTTGTCCGTGCTGGAAAGTCCGATGAGTAGTTTCGGGCATTGTCCTGGAATTTCCGACGTAACAGTCAAGGATCCCATTATCACGGCATCATTCCCTTCAGAATCAGATGCACGGAAGCAATGGAGCTGTCGTCCAGAGGGAATGTCGAATTTCGAAACATTTCGATCCATGGTGGATACATAGAGCGTGTTTGAATCGTCAGGGCAGAACGCCATGGACACGGGAGATGCCTTTAGAGTAATGACCCGAGAAATAAGATAGGCAACTGAAGTTGCTCCATTCTCCTCTCGGGTTGCACGCTCTCTGACAATGACTGTCCGGTCTGCAGAACTAGACAACAGCTTCTCGCCATCATTCATGAATAGAAGCTGCCCCACTGCGCCGACGTGCTCATCCATGGTTTGAATTAGTTGCAATGTGTCGTCGGTTTTCTGGAAAAGTTGCACCATTCGATCTCGACCAGAGCTAGCGATAAGGCAAGAATCAGGTGAAGCATGGATGGCAATGTCGGTGATCTCAGCACCATGAGCACGCGCTTCAGTAACACAAGCCCATGGGTTGGCTGAGAGGAGTTTTAGAACTCCGAATTTGTCACCCGAGACGAACCATTCTGCTTTGTCTGCAGCTCTCAAGACTTTCAACTCATTGGCAACATCTTCGTCCACGGCAGCTGCTTGCTCAAGAGGCACAGTCTGCGAAGATAGGCACTTATCCGGAGCCTCCCAGAAATTGACAGTACCGTTTCGAGACCACGAAAAAAAATCGGCCAAAGATTTCTTCGGCTTCGTCAGGCGTCGAATACCGAGTACTGGGTCTCGGTGGGCCTGCATGGAAGTCTGCCCGTTTTCTTGCGCACCTTCGTCGCGTAAAGCATCCATCGAATATATATTGATTTCGCGGTCTGCCTCAACTGTGACCAGATGCGAGAAAAGGAATCCCATACAAGTAATTGCAGGGGCTTTGCACAGCTTGTCTGGTGCTGGTGTGGCTCTTCCCGATCTGGCAGGCGACATAGTTGTCGATGAGGGCGCTATCCGGAGCGAGTCGAAGGATAATTTCTGCATCTTCTTTCCGCGACCACCGAGCCAAATCGCTTCTCGATCGAAATCGACGGCTAGGGAGCTTATGCCAAATCCAAGTTGGGTCACAAATGATAACTTTTGAGACCCTTCCCGATCATCGAGGAGACACACGGCACCCGATTCAGTGCTAACCACCGCCTCTTGATCCGAAATACTGGAAATACAGCTAAATGTATTATCACCTAAAGCTCCCAGTAGACAGTTTCTTCCTGTGAGAGCCTTGGGAGCGGGGCTTGGTGAGGGAGCGGCCCCATCTGCGTGCAACCGGGACTTGGTTGGAGAAACAGGGCGTTGGGGAGCTGGTAGCCTCCATACCTTAACATGGCGTACACCGGTTCTATCAATTCATTAGCCATTTATCACAGGTTCAGCAATGTTGGCCACATACGTAACCAGCGATTGGCCAACCCAGCACATGTCACGAATGAACGATGTGCACTTGTTTGCCGAGTGTAATCTGGCCGAGCCATTCTTGAGATTAATAGCCCAAATCAAAAGAAATCCATCGTTCATGGTGCCCAAGGTAGCCAGGTATGTCGAATCGGGACTGAAAGCTAGACTGCGCACACCGAATGTGTGTTCTGAGAGTATAGAGAGCGGAACATCGGGTGAAGCGTCTTTGGCGGTTGAGAAGATCAAAACTCGAGGGTTGTAGCCAGTCTAGCCCACTGTCAAATTCCATCTTACAGATTGTGGCATTGTCTCATCGCACTCACCTCTCCTACAGCTAGGAACCGCCCATTAGGACTGATGGAGACACTAGTTACAGCCTTGACTCTCTCCCTGGAAGACCACGCGCGTGGGCTGCCATTGTCCGAGAGTTCGTTCGAGGGAGATCCATTGGGAACATTGAGGTGAGGGTTGGAGCGAATGTGGGATAAGGATCGTGATCGGGGGTCTGGTGTAGATGGCGGGGTCCCTTGGTTATAGAAGGAGGAGGTCGGGTTTACACTTGTGGCGGAAGGACGAGCTCGAAAGAATCGTTGGGTGACGTTGGCGTCGTCATCCAGTTCGGCAAGGACAGCAGCGGAACCGGCGCATAGCGCGAAGCTCTTGCTCTGATCATGGCTGGAGAATCCATTGGGGGTTGTGGTGGAAGTTCCAATGACTGTCTGAAGGGAGAGTATGGACTGGTGGGATGATTTGCTGGGAGATCGGGACCCAGGTCTGAGTACGGGGGAGTTGGAGGGGGTGATTTTCAGGGACGCGCCAGGACCGGCGAGCTTGCTTTTTGCGCTTAGAGGTGCGGTGGTCGCCATGGTGGGATGGTATCTCAGTCCCCTGAGCGGGGTGTTTGCATGTCACTCGGACGCATTCGTTGGGGCCCAATGGAGGTTGGGGAGTCGAAGAAAAAGAGTGGCGGGGAACACGAAAGGAGGTGTGGGGTGACGAAATCAATGAGCGACTAGTTGAGAGCTTGACAAGCTATCAAGCCAAGTTCAAGTGAAGAGGGAAAAAAACCTAAACAGAGTAACAAACATGGAGCTTCATTCCGCGCTAAATTTGTTGATCATTCCAGTCGATCAGGAATCCTCAACCTTGGGTCGCGCGCGGGAGGTTCCTGACTTTGGATCTATACAACAATCAATGGAAACGTCAAATACGGTCTTTCATCGCATTGCAATAGGTTGACTATCAAAAAAAGAAGCCTTCATCATTTAAAATGAAAAAAAAGCTATTTTTCTTAGCTTCAAGCTGAAATTAAGATGCGATGAACTGGTGGGTCGCGGTCCAAGCACGATGTACCAATCGGAATCTCGGAGATCAGTATGTGGGATGTCGGATCAAAACTGATTCCACGCCTTCACTGTCCTATCTCCGCTACCCACTCATCGAATTGCCGACCTGCGTCAACAGTCGCATTGAACGCCATCAATCGCTTGAGGTACCCCACGTGGCCCCATCCAAACTGAAAATCATGATCGGGATTCTCCCAATCCACGTGAAGGAAGGCTTCATCCCGGGCATCCGCCTCGGGTCCGTCAACCATATGGTATAGTTTCTGATTTGCGACGGCGCCTTGGACATTGATAGTCGTTCTCTGCTTGCGAATGAGCTCGTATAAATGCAGGACATCAGGAACCTTGGAAGCAGGGAGACCACTTCTTGAGAGTTTCCCTAGAAGGACGCCTAGAGCAGCTCCGTCTTCGACGGCCATTGCGGCACCTTGGGCTTGGTAGGGTAGGGTGGGATGGCATGCATCTCCTAGAAGAGCAATGGATCCCTGTGCTTGCATTAGCTGCTGCTCTCACTATTGCTGTGGAACATTCAGGGTCTTACCCTGCACCAGGTATCCAACTCCTTCATGTGGCAGATCTTCCATTTGAGGGCATTGTCGACTTGTGCGATCATCTTTGTCAATCTATCAAAGAATAGTTAGCTCAAGTGGAATTCCAAGTCATACTCAGGGTACCCTTGCCTTGGATCCCATCCTTTGAATAAATTTCGCATCTCTTGCGTATTTCCCTCTTCCGTGGCCACGCCCGGTGGTAGATCATCAGGACATCTGAAATCTGTTAGTCCCATAATATGAGAAATGGCTGATGATGAAGAGGTAAACGAACACTAAAACAAGGTTATACGTAGAGCCACCGCGCACCGGATACAAGACCGCATGCTGATGAGGTCCCAGCCAGCACCGGAGCGAAGGCTCAATCAAGGACTCATCAAGAGCCTCTACCCGCTCTTTGGGAAACGTTGCTCGATAGGCAAGATCACCCGTGTCACTAGGGCCCACATGGTAGCCAAGGACCTCGTTACGAACCACCGACCGCAGTCCTAGATCAGATCAGATGCGCATTAGAGTTTGGGTGCTACACAGAGATTCCCGTCGTGTCACCTACCATCGGCACCAATAATGATATCCGCATACAACCTCTCCTGGGAAGCGAGAACCACGGAGGTAGTCTTCGAGTCGGCCGAAATGACTTCCGACGCGAGACGAATTGTCGCACCCAGTCTAGTAGCTTCCTCGCGCAAGACACGGTGGTAATCCGCACGGTGAATCACATACCACGCTTGTCCAAAATGTTTCCGTTGCCACACGTGGCCAGGACGCGTGGCGATGGAGTCTCCATTACTGTACTTGAGCAGACAATGGCCGGAAATGTTGACGGCACCGGCTTTTTCGAGTTTCTCGACTAAACCGAAATCATCCATCACGCGCACCGCGTTAGGTGGCATTTGAATACCTGCTCCGATCTAGTGTCATGATGATTAATATTTTAGGAGGAATTCTGTCTGTTTTCCGTTGATGTACCTCTCCTAATTCACTTGCTTGCTCCACCATTGTTACCTGTAGGCCTTCTCTTAGGCAGGCGATGGCGCAGGTCAATCCGCCTATTGATTAATTTGTAAGTCTCCTAGCTTTACGGGCGAACGAGGGATACTCTCACCTAACCCGCAGCCGACAATCAAGATCTTGAAAGCATGATGAGGACGATGGCCCTAAGCGTCATACTTCCATTAGTACCATTTCGCCTTCCCCCAGGTGTCAGAATATACTTACAGTCTGTTCGATGGCCATTTTGGGATCACAATGCCAAGAATTTTCTTCAATTTCCTGTGTTACGACCGTAGGCTATTTTTCCCATTGAAGACTATGGAAACCTTGGAAGAGAAAAGAAAAGATGCCGAGGGGGTGATCCCTTGGGGGAACGGCCCCCCTGCAAGGTTCATGCCAGATGCATCAAACATCGAAGTGAACTAAAGGCAACTAGTCAATCACTGGCGCGGAGCCCCGGGCGCATGTCCCGCATTGAATAATGAAAGCTGTATAGCTGGTTGTATAATTCAGTGCCTAATTCCAAGCTTCCAAGGTTATACCCTTGCACAAAGTGTATGCCAAGGTGAAATGCCATGCCTTTTAATGTAAACTGCCGAATTTTATGACTTGTTCCTTTCTGCTTCTCTCCCTTTTCTGGAACACGTCTTACATGTTTCCTTTGATTCTTTTTCTTTTTTTTTTTCTCTCCGAGTCTTCTATCTCTTCCTCCTGGTGTCAATGTATAGTCCTTTTATTTCCTTTGGCACATACTCTGGTACACCATGGTTATACTCGAAGATATAGAGAGGAATGATGCGCCTGAGAAATTGAGACATACACCGTCTGGCCTCCTGCTAGTTCCACAACCCAGCAGTGACGCGGCAGATCCGTTGAACTGGCCACTGCGCAAGAAAATCGGTATCTTGGGATTGGTTTCAGTGTGTACTTGGATCGGAATTGCGCAGACTTTGGCCAACCAGTCGGGGTTTTTCGCGCAGGCGAAGGTTTACCACAAGGCTGTGAATGAATTATCCTACTCGGTAAGTCATGAAGCGTGGAACTTTCCACGGGATTTCCACGTGTTTTTGTGTTCTTCTGGGGACGATCTTTTGTTTTTCTTGCCCCCTTTTTGTTCTTCCTCTCGGAGCATTACTGACATGCCCCTGCATGGCAGGCATCGGCTGGGATCGCCGGGCTGGCAACCGGTCCCTTCCTATGGGCAATCCTGGCCCAGCGGATTGGGCGGAGCTCTTGTATCTTCTGGGGTCTGCTTGGGATGCTGGGATGTAGTGTCTGGTCCGCGTGCATGACTGGAGAGAATGACTACATCCCTTTTATCATCTCTCGCTGGGTCGGTGGGACGTTCGGCTCTGTCGCCTCGACTATCGGAGCTGGTATTGTTTTGGACCTCTTCTTCCTACATCAGCGTGGAAAAGCATTCGCTGTTTACGGCATATGTACCCTGTTCGGTGTCCAGTTTGGTCCGACATTGAGTGGGTTCATTGTCGAATATGCACCCTGGTCGGTCCAGTTCTGGTGGGGTGTTGGCGCCGAGGGATTTCTTGCAATTATCGTGTTTCTATTTCTAGAGGAGACTGGATTCTCGCGTGATGGAAAGGTATACCCTCGTCTTCCTAAGGAGTGGTTCCCCAACCGAATTGCTACTTTCTTGCCGGGGACTGCGACCGTTCCCCGGTCCAAGGAAGATGGCCGACGATCTGCAAAAACCTTACTCCTGGTCGCTGCTTGCCCAGTGACTATCTTGACTAGTGCCGTTCTCTTCTTGGCCTTTGGATGGGCTGTAGGCGTGGTGACACTGACTTCGGTGTTCCTGGGATCCCCGATCGAGGAGGGCGGCTATTCATTCTCTGCCCTCCAGGTCGCCTGTTTCACTTTTATCCAGTGGCTGGGTGTAGCTGCCGCTGAGACATGGGGCTTTTTTCTCAATGATCGCATTCCATTGTGGTTCACCCGTCGATACTGCAACGGAGTCTGGAAGCCCGAGAATCGGCTTTTCCCTCTGCTCTGTATGCCAGCAATTGTGCTTCCTATCGCGCTAGGGCTGTTTGGTGCTGGCTTACAGTACCATTTACATTACATGGTCTTGGGCCTGGCAATCTTCTTGATACAGCTCACCGAGGTCTCCCTTGTTCCAGTCATAGTGAACTATGGCGTGGAATGCTTTACAGATCACTCACAAGAAGTTTTCAGTATCCTGAATTTTTGGCGGCTGGCACTGGGTGTTGTTATTCCTTTCTTCATCCGCGAGTGGCAAGATACTGTAGGTACGGCCTGGGTATTTGGGATGATGGCGCTTTTCAGCGTCATTGCATTCTCCCTCGCCGGCCTGCTGGCCTGGAAGGGAGACAAGCTCCGTCGCTACTCATTTACCAGTCTCCAAAAGTCCGAAGGTGGGGTGCAGTTGATTCATCACTAGATTGCTGGACTGTGGATCTGGGCGGGATTTTATTTTCAACGTTAATTCTCTTCTTTGTTTTGTGCCATTTTCCTCCCTGTCTGCATACAAAAGAGCTACAGGGCATGTATTGAAGAGTTTTTCTTATGATTATGGATGATGCCTTTGACGACAAATCCCTCAACCATATTCGTGTCCAGCAGCGTCTAATTTACGGACTACTGTCTCGAGCCAGGAAATGTACGAAGGTGGACCCATGCATAATGCCGATATCCGGTTGGGTTACAAATTTACGGTAACTGATTTCCAATCTTATGCTTTCTCATAATTTGTTCTTTCACTGCATACATATGTGCAAATTACAGTACTGGAACATGGGTAACGACCTGCCGATGGATTGAAGGCGGAACCCAGGCTATGGATGTACTCACATACGAGAAAGTCAACGTTTACCCCCGAGCAGAATTTGTACGCGCCCTTGGTAAAAAGTTCAAGACTTTCCACCCCAAAGAATGAGACCAACTAACCCTTGCGTTGACTATTGCTCTAATTTGTAGGCCCGTGCAGGGAGAAGCTTAATGGTCTGTTAGCGTCGATCATATGAAATGTGACAGGTCTGCTCGGCACTCCACGTCAGCATTGTTTGTTCCGGCTTCCTTATTAGAGCCTGGGGACAAACGAGGTGAATTTATTCTAGCGTTGATAGCTGTCAGCTTCGGTATCCTTTGATTTTCCGAGAACACTTTATTGGAGAAAAGGCGAGAGCATGTGAGACGACAAAAAAAAAATCCATTCGTTCGCAATAGTTCGCAAATTATTTCCCTATCGGGTAAACCGACTAGGGATTGAATCAGATACGTACGGCAAATCTACATAATTGCACATCATCCACCCTAGCGTCATGCAGGTTGCCGATCAATCGCAAGGTGTTGGTACCCGCGGTTGTCGCAAGCCGGCACCGTCTAAGTGCAGACCAATAAGTAATCACCTTATTGGTCCTTCGTTCGGGAGGCTGACAGTCTCAATTCTAATCGTGGTATTGATCAGCGTAAGGTGTTACTCGGGTGGGTCAATGTATTCAATTTACATGACCCCGACAAACTCAACAGCGTGCCCGGTTGGTGTCATATTGTGGCTTGTTTTCCGATCAGAACCTAAGATCGGATACCTGGCTTGGATGATGATGGATAACTCAGTCTTTAGCATAAGCAGTATGATGATATGCCTGATGGATTGGCAGATGTTGGTAACATTGCGAAGCTCAGTAGTTGGAATGTGAATATTTGGGCTGGTCCCGATGAGATCAGGATTTCAGGATCACCCATGTACATACTGCATGTATACCGTGCAGGATTTCAATGTCCCTACCTAATATAGTAGACGGATAGATGATCGTGCTCCAGGCTTTGATAATAATCTAGCCCTATGGTCATCCCTGGCCACCTTCAACACGCTTCTCATGTTCTCTCTTCCCGATCAGTCTATGTGATTGACCTTTCTTTCCAAGAAATGGCCTTGACGGGCCAGCAGCCGCTCATCGTGGGCGTCTCGGTCGCTTTGATGATCTTGGCGACTGCTTCCGATGCCTTGCGGTTCTTTTCTCGGTGGATGATGAGGTCTGGTTTATGGTGGGATGATTGGTGCAGTTTACTTGCCTTGGTAAGTTGCAGAGCCAAGGCTACTATCTATTTGGAATGTCAACTAAACGTCACCGCCATTAGTTTCTTTCCTATGCGTTCAATATCAGCCAGTTTGTCAGTAAGTATACCGGCGCATGATCGAACTCTTGCTGTCTACGGCATCAACTCACCTATATCATCCACAGGCGTGGGCTGCAATATGGGCAAGCATGGCGCGAACGTCCCTAATGAAGCTGCCTCCATTACGTGCACCGCAAAGGTTCGCATTTCACCAACATTCTGGATAGCCCGTTGAGGAAGAAAAGGGCTGACGACTGAGTCTAGACACTATACTCAGTGATCATGATATATACAATTTGCATGCCATCTATCAAAGTGACCATGGTGCTTTTTTATTGGCGACTTTTTAGTGGAGGGAAAAAGATTCGAATGGCGTTGTACACTATCAGTGCAATGCTCTTTGCCTGGTTTGTTGGAGCTTTGGCTAGCGGTCTCATGGTCTGCGAGCCACTGTCAAAGTTCTGGGTTCACACTACTCCTGGACACTGTCTTCCCACAATCACTTATTTTCGGGCCATTGCCGGTACCAATCTTGCGACCGACGTTTTACTACTGGTACTTCCCATTCCGATCGTCTGGGGTCTTCATCGACCGACTAGTGAGAGACTTGCTCTAATCGCAGTGTTTGCGCTCGGGGCCTTGTGAGTGAATTTCATACCCAGAAGATTCAGACATTTAATCTAATCAGAAATATGAACAGTGTCACGGTCGTGAGTGTGATCCGAATCGCGCTTTTAACATCCCCGGATGATCCAGATCCACTATGTGAGTCTCGGAACGAAACACATTCCATCCCTATCTACCCACGCCTTGTTATCACCACTTACACGGATTTCCACTTAGGGGCAAACACTCAAGGGACTGTCTGGACTTCGGTCGAAACTAGCATTGGAGTCGTCTGTATTAATCTCCCCACCATGTCCCCCATATTCCGTCGATATATCCTACGTCGTGAGGTCAGCTCCGCGAATTCCAAGCCGAGGAGTCTCCCCTTGTCGTACCCTCCCAGCAGCAAAAAGCCCAGTGTTAATCGACGCCGTGGCTCAACTTCAAGTACTGAAGGCCTTGAAACCAAATGGTCAATTTCAGATAATGATCATTCGGACATGGTCATGACAACAGGTTTGACAGTGACTGGGCATGAAGAAGAGGGAATTGAGATGGACAAGTTAAAGAGACACTCGTCCAAATCAGTATGCCACGACTGTGAAGATCGTGAAAGAGATCCAAAGTTAGGCCATTGAGTCAATAAAGGTCTCAGAGTGTATAATAATGTCTTATGGCGTTGGGTGCATATAAAAATGTTGGCTTTGTTCTGGGACTCGCATCCCAAGATTAGAGGTACATTACAACTACCCCAAGATGGACTATGTATTGATACTTGCAAGCTAGAATTAGTAAAATGAACAATAATTCATAGATCAATTATAGTTTTTACTGCCCAGATGTTTTATTGGAGAACACAATCAGATCCGAGGTCTGAGACCCGTCTCTATAATCTCAAAACCTTGAACAATAGAGTCTCACAGCTCCCTAGATTTGTGGGTCATCAGCCATACACTCTAGCTCGACTCGGCTTGATTACCGCTTTCGGGCCGAGATCACTCGGGATCCATAGGGTTCCCGCCCGCGCATCTACCGGAATCCAGATCCAAGTGGGGGGAGGGGCCAACGAAGAAATCATGGCAGGAAACAGCTGCCCAAACGTGGGATGCACAAGATATTGTGGGCTTTGGAACCAAAATGACATGCACGTGGGTATTCCCACAAATTCAGGTGAATATGGAGTAAATTTCAGCGGGAAAACTGCACATGAGTGTAAAAATTTTCAGCTTGGGCTAGCATGGGATTTCGATTATCCGTCTTATCTATCAACTAAAATAACCACTGCCCCAGTGATTTTCGAAGAAGTCTTTCATATCCCACAAGTTGAATCAACCGTTTCAACACCTTGAAACCGAACGTTGATCCCCCGGTAAACCCTAATTCGAGCCGAGATCATGGGCCTGATTCCGACCCTAGTAAAGAGGCCGCCGAAGTACTTACTGGGCTGCATTTTATGCTCCTTGAATGGCCTTCTCTTCGGTATGGACACCGGCATCATCGGTCCTGTTACCGATATGACAGACTTCAAGACGCAATTCGGAGGAAGTCAAAATTCTACGATCCATGGTCTCATTGTCTCATGCATCTTGATCCCCGCGGCGATCTCATCCTTCTTTGCTGGCTATCTTGCCGATCGTGTCGGTCGGCCGAAGGGCATCTGTATCGGCACTTTTATTTTCGGTGTCGGAGCCGCTATCGAAGCGGGTGCTGTGCACCTGGCTATGTTTATCGTGGGCCGCATTGTTGAAGGTGTTGGTGAAGGCCTGTTTCTTGGCAATTTGGTCGTGCTGATTTGCGAAATTTCACCTATCAAGACGAGAGGTGCCCTTACAACTGGTCCTCAGCTGGCATGTACCCTCGGCTTAGTGGTAGGGTATTTCGTCTGTTACGGGTCATCGGATATTCAGTCCTCACTCTCGTGGCGCGTGCCCTGGATTGTTCTTTCTGCCTTGGCCATGATCATATGCGGAGTCTCCCTGCTGCTTTTGCCGGAGTCACCTCAATGGCTTGGCCTTCAGGGTCGTTATGAAGAGGCAGAAGAGGCGTGGGAAAAGTTAGGGGTCAATCTTGGGGATCGTGAAAAGATTGCGGTCCAAGTTCAGGTGCAGGAGATTGATCCTGTAACTGAGAAGGAGACACTCGGAACGACTAGCAAACTTCTGGAGGTATTTTCCAAAGAAGTTCGAGGCCGGACTGCACTTGGTGTCTTCCTGATGGGCATGCAGCAATTGAGTGGTATTGATGGAGTCCTTTACGTATGTTCAAGAAAACACCACTTCTTGATTTTTGAAAGGACTTGGTAAGCTGACCTCAAATCTGCAGTACGCCCCAGAACTCTTCCAAAAAGCCGGTCTGGCTTCTTCAGAAGCAAGCTTCCTAGCTTCTGGTATATCGGCCATCGTGATATTTGCCGTGACAATCCCTGGCTTACTTTATGCCGATGCGTGGGGTCGTAGAAGCAGCATTCTCATCGGCGGCGTGGGCATGGCGATTTTAATGTTTTTGATGGGCGGCTTGTACGCCGGAGATGCCGTTCATAAGCACGGCGGCGCTGGTCGCTGGATCGTGATTGTCTCCATTTATTTGTTTGCGGCTCTATACTCCGCTACTTGGGGTGTCACTGTCAAAGTCTACAGCGCTGAGATCCAGCCTCAGCGTACAAGAGCATCAGCCACCACGCTCTCGCATTCGAGTAACTGGGTTTGCAACTTTACAGTGGCTTTGATCACACCCATTCTACTTTCGAAGAGCAGCTGGGGAGCATACATCTTATTCGGTGGATGTTGTGTTATTACTGTTCTTGTCAGCTTTTTCTTCATGCATGAAACGCAAGGAAGAACCTTTATGCAGATCGAGGAGGCTTTCAAGGGCAAGTCAGCCAAAAAGAACGGTTTATGGGAACGCGATATCAACGAAGCATAATGGATGGAAAAAGCGGTGGTTTACGAATTGGATGACATATTTGAATTTTAGGCATAGATATAGATCAGTTGACGATAAATCGTTTAGAATAAACGACTTATAAACGATAGGAGAGGGAAATCAGTCCCAAGCGCAATAATTTTACAAATCACATCTTGCCGGGATAATGAGCAGAAGAGTGGATTTTACTGTGGGTACACGTCTATTAGGCTAAATTGTAGGGTGAGAAAAATCAGATGCCGACGGGACGAGAAAGGGAAAGGAGCCGAAGAGTGGAAGTACCATTCTCGGCCCGGCAACTTTGCCCCCTTCGGTCACAACTCTACCACGACTAATTGAACTTGAACCACGCCTTTCGGAACTCCCAAGTGCTCTCTGAGTTGAGCCAAGCTCTCGGTAATTCCCTGCTGGGAAGCATGCGCTCCTACTCCGGCTGGTACGTGCATCGTTCACCTATTGTAATTCTTAATTGCATATTTCTTTTTTAAACAAACAAAACGGACAATGCTTCCCATCAAAGCGTCGTGACTCACAAATTCTATAGTTTGACATGTAAACGGAGGAAGTTGAAATGCGATGAGTCTAAGCCAACATGTCGCAAGTGTATCAAAGCATCCCGAGACTGTTCTTATGGAGAACAGTCTATCTTTCGAAGCCAGACTGATTCAACGCCAAACCGAGCTCGAAAAAGTACTAGCAATCAGCAGGACAAGCAAGTCGATCGGCCCGGGGAGGAGGCCACTTGGGTAGAGCTTCCCTCAGAATGTACGTTTCAATTTGAAAAGCATTTATATATGTATTCTCACACCAATTTAGTCACGTTTGTCACCGAGGGAGATCCCGGGAACAAGGACAGTTCAAGGATCCTGGAACCAGGAGGGTCAGTTGCGGATTCAGGAAGAAGCGCAACAGAAGAAGCAGTAGGTGCAGGCGAAGCGAGTGACGTCCCTGAATACCATTATGCATCAAATAATGAAGTCTCTGCTGCTACGTCCTACTTCCATACGCCAACCACCGATTTTTGCACACCAAGAGGACACGAATCCCCACTTCTTGACACCAACCAATCTGATTCAGATCCTTTAGAAAAAGCTCTCGTCTCATACCTCTTGCGACACTTTAAGCAAGGCCCAGGCCAGTGGTGTGTATCCGAAATTCGATATTTAATTAAATTTGGTGCTAATGATGACCAAGGATGGATCTTTTTGATACAACATCTTACTTCTCTTCAAGAGTGCCTGTCTTTGCGGCAACAAAAGCATTATTAAAATCAGCAGTTTGCGCTCTTTCTGCAAAGCATCTGCGACATGTTTGTCGGGTTTTGAGCCGAACCGGTGCGGACCCCCGCTCCATTCCAAGCTATATTGGCCTTCCTTTCGCAAACGAAGAAATGTGGCGATATCATTCAGCAAGGTACTATGACCGAGCCCTTGGTCATTTAAAAATCGCTGTTAGCTCAGGGTCATATTCTCAAAATTTACCTGGCAGGGAAGAAATGCTCGCCGCTGTCGCAATTCTTTGCACTTTTGAGTTGATGGACGCCCCTGGGAGTGCATGGAGAGCTCATCTCAGTGCATTACCCCTGTTTGATGATAGATCGGCCTCAATGCCAGGTCATTCTCTGATTGTTATTCCTCAAACCGCTATAAAGGGCCCAATATTCTGGAGCCTGGCAAGACAGGACTTGTTGTGTGCCTGTGAGTTTCAGAGCACATCCTCATCGAAACGGGTTTCTAACGAAAAAATGCAGTCATAAGTGAGACTCCTACTCGATTGGACTTGAAAGACATGCGGCTCTGGCAAAATGCAGGCTTGGCCACGGACGAAAATGGGGAGCTTCTGCCCTACAGCCCAACAGATGTGATAGAAAGCCAAAACTCCTCTGGACTAGAAGAAGATATGAAGAGCAACGAATTAGCGTGGATTCTTGGGAAAATTGCAAACCACCTTACTGCCGGGGACGCTTTTGTTCAGGCAAATAACACGTTACCACGCCATGAGCGGCCTGTGATCGGATTGAGTCAGGAGCATCTTCTGGAGAGGTGGAATATCTTGATGTCTGATTTAGAGAGATGGCATGAGTCTCTTTCCGCTTCTTTCTCTGCGACTGCCCGCACGCGGAGACTGGGCACAGCAGCCTCGGGATTCGAACTGAGTTTTGATACCTTTGTGCAGATCTGGTTTGATTTGCCTTTGTGTGCGGCAACAATGCAAAGCTATCACCAAGCCAAGATTTTGTTATTGGCGAATGAGCCGCAAGAGTCAACCGCTATTCGGTCGACTGTATCAGCACGCTTAAGATCCTATCGCCATGCCTTGCGAGAAGTCGTCTACCATGCTAGAGAAGTGTGTGGTATAAGTCTTGCCAATTCAACAGACTCTTTTAGGGTCAATTCTGTACAAGCTCTGTTTGTCGCTGGGCAGGTCTTTCAGGAACGCCGCGAGCAAGATGCGGTCCTTGAATTACTTTCTGGGATTGAAAGGGATCTCGGTTGGACCACTCGATATCATGTCGCCAAGTTGAAAGACGAATGGGCAAGGGGGAGAGAAGGCAATCACGTTGACCGTGAGGAGCCGGGCCATGACTCTAACTGGTTTATTTCCTAGTGCGAATTGCATTTGTCCAACAAGGTGGTGTTTTCCTCTATGATATCGGCATCATGGCTGATGTTACACGCCAAACTCTTACCTTCTTTGCTTTGGGAACCATAACAACGGGTACTTGTCGTGTCTCCAATTCAGGTGCAAAGGTGTAGGCGGCAGTCTAATAGTACGTCGGAGTGGGGATGCAAGGATGACTTCAATCAACGTTTTGAAGGAATGAAAATTTCATTGCAGCTCTCTACACTGAACCCTCCCAGTCTCTGTTAATAATGGATCCTGGAGATCGTGAGGGTCCTAAAGGCTGTGTTAAGCATCGGCCTTGACGGGGTGGACGCGGTGGAGTGGATCATAGTGTGTGATCCGAGATTTTACCTTTCACTTGACCGGCGGGGTCTTAAATTCAAACTTCTTAGCTTTCGACATGATTCCTTAATTCATTCTACAACTCGGGCTTGTAGATCTCGCGAGCAGTAAACCTTTCGGAACCAGACCCTCGGCTCGGCTTCTTCTTACGATCCCGCTTTGAGTATACTTAAAATTTCGATTCGCCGTCTCGGGTCGACTTCCTTCTCCGCCCGTCTCCACTCTTCCTGTCCCTCGTTTTATAGCTTCACTTACTCCCATGACATAATTAGCATTGAAGGCGAGCCGAGGCGCAGCTCTTTAGGGACATGATCATCAATGAGTACGTAGTATCAGAATACTTTCTTCCGCGGAACTGTAATTAGGCTTTACGTTGTATTGCCATTAAATAATCAGTAACACAATATCCAATTCCGGGCATTTTGTTTTCTTCTCAACTTCAGACACATTCGTTCTAAATTTTTACTGCTGCAAAACAAGGCAACATGACACAGTCATTGCGCTTACAGGAGAAGGTTGCCATTGTGACCGGTGCTTCTTCGGGCTTAGGTCGAGCTATCGCGATTTGCTTTGCGCAAGAGGGTGCCAAAGTAGTCTGTGCTGATTTGACACCAACGGCCCGTTCTCAGGAGGAAGCTGGAATTACGACACATGGTTTAATTATCCAAGAGGGTGGACAGGCCGTCTTTGTGCAAACAGATGTCGGTGATGCCCCTCAGGTGGCGGATTTGGTCAAGAAAGCTGTGGAGGTCTATGGAAGACTCGATATGTATGAAGCCTAGTTCCAGTCTCACCATTAATTGGTTCGTCTTCTCTGATAATCTTCCAGCCTGGTTAACAACGCAGGAATAAGCATTGAGGCACGGCTCCCTGCGGTTCTCCATTTGACGGATGAAGCAACATGGGACACGACGATGCGAGTAAATGTGAAGTCGGTTTTCCTTGGCTGTAAATACGCCCTTGCACAGATGCTGTCACAGGAGCCACATGCTTCAGGGGACCGAGGATGGATCATCAACATCTCGTCGATTATGGGCATGATTGCGGGACCGGAGAATCGTTAGTATCAACCTCTACATATCTCAGTTCAGAACTAAAATCGCCGCCTTGCAGCCTCTTACTGTGCATCTAAAGGCGCTGTTAGCCAGCTCACGCGGCAGATCGCCTTGGACTATGCTCCGCACAGAATCCATTCTAACGCACTTTGCCCTGGATGTGAGTAAAGGAAAGATTTCCTAGTGAGTGTTTTGAGATTGACTTTTGGCAGACACTCAAACCGCTATCTTCAAAGAAACGACTACGAATCTTACACCTTGGGAAGATCTCAATCGCCGACACCCGTTGAAAGGCCCCGGTTTCCCTGAAGATATTGCCAAAATGGCTGTTGTTTTGGCAAGTGAAGATGCTAGCTGGGTCACTGGAGTATGCTTGCCTGTGGATGGTGGATATACTGCTCGTTAAAACACAACGTTATTGTATTACTGCTCAAGAAAGCCTAGACATCACTGCCAACCAATCCATTCTTTGAAATTTGGTAAAGACCTTTTCAAATCAAGCCTAGGACCTCGGAAGCAGTGCCAAATATGGATTTAATTGCAAGTTCCTGTAGATGACTTAACGATGAAATACGAACAATTTCTCGTTATCACTCATCACGTTTACTATAACTAAGTTAAATAGTTGTTTTAGGTTAGTAGATTACCTTACCATGGTTGACTTTGTTGACGCCTTGAGATTCTGGCATCGATTAGTTATCTTATCGGTGGCGTATTTCCATCCTTTCTATCTGCGCTTTTTCTCTCCTTTTGTAGCATTCAAAATACTACTCACAATGGCATCCCACTGCGCTGCGTCAGCCAGGCTAGCCCTGCCGACTGTTTTTCGCAACCTATTCCGCCCCGAAGCTCCTCGCAATCTACGCCCCTCCCGGGGTGTACGCTCCCAAGCGCTCTACCAACCCAGATTGCTCAGCTCGACCACCTTGTTCCGCCAAGTCCAGGAACAATCGCTACCTACAATCCCCAGCACTCATGAGAATACCATTGCCGAGGCTCCGAAGCCATCCGGATCTAATGCAGAATCGAGCGCACCCTCTGAAAAGTCACCCACGGACTCAGGGAAGTCATCCAAGCAGAATCCCGATTCCAAAAAGAAGAACAAAGATCGCAAAGATCGGAAACCCTCCAAGTTTGCCGACAAGGACAAAAAATCCGATATTGCGAAGCAAGACGGCACAAAGAAAAAGAAGCTTGAGCCCTGGAAGATTCAGAAACAGGCTCTTGACAAGAAGTTTCCAAACGGTTGGAACCCTCCCAAGAAGCTTTCACCCGACGCCCTTGATGGAATTCGAAATCTACACGCAAGCGCACCTGATCGATTCACTACCGCGGTTTTGGCAGAAGAGTTCAAGATCTCGCCGGAATCGATTCGCCGCATCTTGAAAAGCAAGTGGAAGCCAAAAGCTGAGGAGATCGAAAGTCGGCGCACACGGTGGGAGGCTCGACATGAGCGGATTTGGGGTCACATGGCTGAGTTGGGTCTCCGGCCAATGACCAAAAGCGCTCTGTCCAAATCCGATTCCAAACTACTCTATAAGAAGGATAAGGAGGACCTGGAGGATAAGGGAGAATAAGGATGACAAGGACTACAGGACTTTTTCGAACTGTTTCGAACTGTATATTATTTGGAAGTTGGGAGTTCAGTGCGCGTGAGAAGCTGAACAGTGTATATCATGTGTATATTATAATGCTTTGGGACAGCAACAGAATCATCTCTGCATAAAACAACCACAATTCATCAGATGGTCTCACGGTACTTTGGGACTTCAGGTCACCCTTGGTCAGACTGCATTTGAGTTGAGTAAAATTTCAATTCCCTCCAAGGCTTCTAACTTGCCCTGGTAAAAACACGACACAATGCAGGCAAATCACCTGGCATGATCTACATGGAGATGAATCAGGACGAAACATTCGAACCCTTACTTTGCCACCTCCAAGGATCAATTGATTACTTCAATTACAACGTACACCCCGACTTATCGTTTCTTTCTGTCGTTTGATGACAATAGGATTCCAAGGCATTTGGGTGCCATTGATATAAATAGATAGTTCAGCAGCCAAGCAAAAGCAGGCCATCGTTCAAGAAACACTATCTTGGTTGTCTGGTCTTCTTGAAGATATTAAACATGGATGCTTTGATTGTGGAATTTAGGGTCGTTTGAGCTAGCTGTTTATGTGGAGTTGTGGTTCACTGTCTGTGTCATCTATAGTGGGTTGCTACCTACGCAAAATCTACAGAATTGTCAATAATATTTTTAGAATAAGCACGTCATTCCATTCACTTCACAGAGACATGATGTTGAGTTTTCCAACATGTGCAAAATCCAACAGAGTTCGGGGAAGTCGAACTACTCCGATCCGGAGCTCAAAGTGTGGAGGCGCCGTCACGTAACTTGCTGATCTCCACCTCGGCCGCAACGCATGTACCTTGCACCTCGAACCTGCGGCCTCACACCATGGCGCTTTCGACATGAGAGGTTGTGAACGCCGGCACACTCCTTGGTGATCTGCTTAGCTGCCTTTGATCTTCATCAATCCCTTCGGCCCGCGACCGGAGATTCGTATTCAACACAGCTTCCGGCCCACATGCTGACCGCGCCGCCATGCCGTCGAACATCCAGGTCTTTGTGAAATGGAAGGATCAAACAATCTTTGCGGGGGAGAATGTGGAATGTACTATCACATTCAAGAACGTGGCAGAGACCGGATCCGAAGTCAACGCTGGTGAAGGCCAACACCAGCGCAAGGCGTCTCGAGTCGCCAACCATTCTGGCAACAATAATTCCGACTCCTTCTTTGGCTTCAAATCACCCCAAAGACTGTTTTCGGATCGACGGTCTTTTTCGATCGGCTCCTCAAGGAGACCGGTTGCCCACCGCACCGCTTCATCCCTGAGCTCCCCACTCGTTGCTTCTCAGAGCTTCCCGCCCGCCGGCAACCCCTCCTCCACACCTCGAAGCTGGCAACCTGGTCACAGCAGTAAGCGATCTGTATCAATTCTTTCAATTGATAGTGAAGGCCAGCCAGACAAATCGCCATCGCCGCACTTGACTCGAGGCAAGCCTGCTAGGGGTCATGGACGCTCAACCAGTCTCCAGATCACCCCAAGGAGGCATGATAGCTATGATGATTCTTACAGGAAAGGTATGCCAGACGCGTCAATAATGATTTAAAAGTAAGAGCGCTAACAAATTATCGTGATATAGCCGCCAGAGCTCCAATGCGCGGTCTGCCATTAAGAGAATCAGACGAATCTGCCCCCGGAAACCTACGAGTTGACACCAATAATGTGGGGGCTACAAGCCGACCTGGATCCATTGCAGAAAGTCCTGTAAATACAATCGAGCCATTGCGCCCAGCACGAAGACCTCAACTACCTTCCTTTGACTTCAAATTCCCGGCTGCCCCTCCAAACGACACCAATCGCCCCGCCCCGACCCCTTCACCCAAATCTGAAAGACTTCCATCACCAGGGAAAGGTCCAGGGAGAGATCCATCGGTATTGGGACCTCCATCGCACCAACAAGTCACACGGATTATATCAGCCACTAGTGTGAATGGAAGCAGTCGAAGCAGTGGTGAATTTTACTCGGTCAGTGATCACTCGACGGAGACATTGGCATCTGAGTATACAAACTATTCGGCCCAAGGAGGGCGTGCACCTCCGCCTGTCCGACACGGACGACATTATTCGAGTGTTGTACCCTCGTCAGCAAAATCCGCAGATAGCCAGGCGCTGCTGATGGGCTATGCCCAGATCAGTGCATCATTTACCGTCGACGGCTCATTGGTAAATCAGTCAGTCTTTGACGAAGTTAAACGCAAAGGAGTGGTTGGTGGCCAAGCAGGCACTGGTGGGCTGCCAGGACGACCAAGCTCTGCCAGTACTGAACGTGCTCGCAAAGGGGGTGGTGGCTTTTGGGGTGCGCTCAAGTGGAACGCCATTGAGGAATCCATCAGTGGTCTCTTGTCAAACAATGAGCTTGACGGTCTTCGAGACATGCGTGGAGTTGCTTCGTCGCGCTCAATTCCGCTGCTTTCTACTCCACAGTCCCTTCTTTTTGTCGATCTGCGACTAGCACCGGGGGAGGAACAGTCTTATTCCTTCTCCTTTTCTCTTCCAAGGGGACTCCCGGCGAGTCATAAAGGGAAAGCCATCAAGATATCATACAATCTCGTTATTGGAACCCAGCGACCTAGTGCGCCCAACGATACTCAGCGGGTCAACCGCATCAACATACCGTTCCGTGTGTATAGCGGAGTAAATGGTAGGTTAACTCATCATCACGGCTTTTTCATTTGCTAATAAATCTATAGAGAAAGGAGATGTTTTGGGTCATGATCTGATGTCTCCATACGTGCTTCTGCGTGACGAAGCCAAGGTTCAAAAAGTCGCACCTAACGCTCCGGTGGTTCCAAAACCGCAGAGCCTGAGTGGACTTTGGAATTCGGCTGGCGACTTTATCTCCTACGTCGATGAGATTCTTGAACAGCGTGCACGCTCAAATTCACTTTTCCCACCGGGGGCCCTTCCAGAACGCCGAGCAAGCTACGATGGACCTCCTCAGCCGCTGTCCTGCAAGGACATCATTGATATGGCAATTCTTCGCAGTAATCAAGCAGCTCAATCATCGCGGCGCAGTCCCAATAGATTTGAGATTGCCCGCGATGGCAAGCGTATTGCAGTGGTTGTCCTAAACCGCCCAGTACACCGGATTGGCGAAACCATCATTGCTACCGTGGATTTCGGCAATGCTTCCATCCCGTGCTATGCTGTGCGAGCTTCATTAGAAACATCTGAAAAGGTCGTGCCTACTCTAGCTGTTCGATCAAACGCCAGTATCCACCGAACTACCCGTCGCATCCATGCATCCCTATTTGAAAATACCCTCTATGCTACCCGTGTGGTCTTCAGCCCCGCTATACCTATTACTGCCACCCCGACTATTCTCACCAGCGGCGTGACCCTCGATTGGGACCTACGCTTCGAGTTTGTGACACCGAATACAGTCAATGAGCATGGTCACGGTCCTTCTGGCATCCAACTGCTTGAATCGATGTCTTGTGATGATCGTGGTAAAGTTTTTTCTGCATCGGAGCATTTGGGCTGTGAATCATTTGAAATTTCCATCCCGTTGACCGTCTACGGTGAAAGTGTCCGGGAACAATTGCCAGAAGAGAACAACGGATACGCTATTTGAGCGTGGTCTCCGATGTTATTTTGGTTTCTGCTGTGTTGGCAGCTTTCTTGTGTATTAGTCTAAATATTCCCCTATCCGCTTGTGGATATGTTTCTCGGTCCTCACCTCCATGGTGTTATCCACTTATCTTGAAGTGAGATCTTACTACCTGCGCCATCTGTTAGGTATTCACCTACGTATGTCGGTACTTGTCAAATCTAAAATTCATAATTCGTCTTAACTCCCATCCTCCGCGAATGCCGTAGAATATTGATCCCTATCAGAGCCTACACTTGCGAGATTATTGATGCGGGAAGAACAGCATTGTGCACGAGGTACACTTGAGATACGCTTGATATTCAAATTTCGGATGCCTCAACTTTCAAGTCAAGGCGCAGGTCCTTACACGTGCGTGGGCAGGCTTTACGCATGATGACCACGATATTCCAAAGTTCTCCATATTCAATTCGATTGAACCACCCTAGATACATTACATTGGCTTTCAAACGTTAATCAAAAATAAAAATGTTGCTAACTTGCTATAAGTCAAAAAGCTTTCATTTCAAGGACTGACAAATGAGGAGATTCAGGAGCGAGAGGGTGTTTTGAATAGAAATATAGTCGTGGCTTTAATAATCTACGAGTCGTTTCTCTGAAAGATGACGATGAGTAAAGCTACTTGACGCGGGTGTGGTCCCGATGTTATTTTGGATGTGTCGCGTTGGCACTTTCTCGTATTTGTCTACACATGCCCCTGTGCGCTTCCCTAGAGTTTCGTTCTACATAAGGAAATGGAGATTTTTACCCAGGAAACTGTGTAGGAGCTATTTGGTCACTTGCTACCAGGGGTCTCTTTGAATCTTTGTCAAAATAGCAAGCTTTCTATCTAGGGCGATCCAGCTACAAAGTTTCCTGGTATGCTTTGCAAATCAGGCCATGTCACCTATATACCACCGTATAGCGGGGAAGTATGCAGACGAACCCCTGTAATATGACGTAGTCTGTTTCATTCTTACGACGAGGGTGTTACAGCAAATTTATCCGGGGTTCATGGGTATTTGAGGGGAAACTGGGAAGTCAGCCCCTCCTTGGCCCCTGGGCCACACCCTTGTTCTTGGGCATGCCAGTGCGCAGCCCAACTTGACATCATACATTGAACACCAGTACCATTCTAGGCAGGAATCTTCAAGCCGTGAATATAGACTATTGAGCACAGAATATTTACTAGCTTGATAACTTACTCTTCTTAGAAGTCTTACTCCGTACAACGATGACAGTCACAGATACGGATTCTATTGGATTTATTGGCCTCGGAGCCATGGGGATGTGGATGGCAGACCATTTAGCTGAGAAACTCCCACCTGCAACGCGGTTATACATTTTCGATATCATCACACCGTTGATGAATGAATTATTTGCGAAATATCCGCAGAAAGTGGTTCGTTGTGTCAGTGCGAAGGATGTTGCAGATCAATCGGTATGTCCTAGGAATATTGACTTACATCTTCTTCATACGCTCAGCGCCTGACGATGAACTCATTCACAGAAAACAATTCTCACAATGCTACCTGAAGGGAAACACGTAAAGACGGTCTATCTATCCGCGGACGGCATCTGCTCAGCCGACCTCAAAGAAAAACTTCTAATCGACTGCTCAACCATCGAAACAGCCAGTTTCCTGGAAGTAAGAGACCATATAACCAATCTCTCACCCTCAACACTCTTCTACGACGCCCCCGTCAGCGGCGGTGTAATCGGCGCAAAGAACGGCACACTCACGTTCTTCCTCGGGTGCCACGAAGAAGAGACCCCCGAACTCAGTCGAGTAACTGATGTACTATCGCTGATGGGATCGACGGTAATTCCATGCGGCGGACCATCTCTCGGACTCGCCGCGAAGCTCTCCAAAAATTACCTCTCCGGTATTATAGCCATTGCTTGCTCCGAAGCTATGGATATGGGGATGCGCTCCGGCCTTGATCCCCGCACATTGGCGAAAGTTTATGCAGCTGGGACGGCGCAGAACACTGTTTGTGACAAGTTCTGTCCTGTACCGGGTGTTTTTCCTGAGGCTCCTTCGTCGAATGGGTATCAGGACGGGTTCAAGATTCAAATGATGCGGAAAGATTTTTCCCTAGCGGTTGAGATGGCGAGGAGAGTGGAAGCGAGGAATGTGCTTGGTGGTGCGGGATTGACTATATATGAGGGTGCTAGTGAAGATGTGCGGTGTAAGGATTTGGATTCAAGGGTCGTTTTTCGTTATTTGGGAGGGAACGAGAATTGGATGAATAAGGAGCAAGAGAGGGACTGAATTGAAATACAGGTGTGCAGTGTCACTACTCTTGAGAAAGAGCCATTGGGAAGCCATTTGACGTGGGCCAAAGACGACTTATTGCATTTATGTGGTCAATGCCTGGCAATTCTTGGTGATTTTTAGTGCTAACCTCCTCGTCACTTTTTTTCATTGGAATCAAGTGCAAAGTTGATCAACTAAGCCGATACACTCGATGAGTTTGATTTAAGTACCCGAGTTTGCTCGGCCTGTCCTGAGCACATCATCTGGTCACTGACATCTGAGAATTCTGGGTTGTTACTAAGCTACATAAACAATGCAGGATGACCTAAGTAAGCAGGCTCGATTAAACGCGACTCGCTAGCTCAATTGCTTTAAAACAAATATCGTCGTAAAAGTCGCTTCTAATTTGGCGTTTGCAACACTGAGGCGGGAATGTTGTACGGTGATAACTAGTCACGGTACTTGATCAAATGCCGGCCAACAACTTGCTTAGCTCTCATGGGAAAAGTACGGTGGGGCCTTATATTTGTGTCTGAGCCTTGTGGGCATGAGAGCAAGCTGGCGCGAACTAATCAGACGGCACGGTAGTAAGCCTGTACAATAAACCGCCTATTTCCTTCTAATGGTTCGTGACCTGGTATACCTTCTGGAAGACTCCAATCTCTCCTCGAGACTCCCCTGAGCCCCTGCCGCAGAAGGTCTATGCCAATTTGACATTCGGTTTATAGCTGAGCAAGCATTGGGCCGCTATTTATCATGAAAAGCGACCTTGTAGGACACACCACTAAGAATTCTTATCGAATTGATCATCACATGACTCTAGACCTGAGCTTGAGCACCAAAAAAGCGGCGGCAGCCGAGACAGGAAAGCCCCACCTGGAAAACATTATCCTGCCTATATAGTCAATCAAGTCAACAAATATCTTTCAACACTTCCCTAACATCCTATCACACTTCCAAGTATCCCCAAATTCCTCCGAAAATGACCACCGATCCCAAGTTCGATGACCTCCACAAAGGCCTATTCGAAGAAGGCCTCAAAGTCCGTCGTGCCGTCGTTGGGGAAGCCTACGTCGACAAGGCCCTAGAGAACGGCTCAACTGAGTTCTCTCGAGCCGGCCAAGAACACATTACCGAATGGGCCTGGGGCAATGTGTGGACAAGGCCGGGACTTGAACGAAGAGATCGCAGTCTTCTCAATATTGGCATGCTGATGGCTCTCAACCGTGGACCCGAATTGGCGGTTCATATCCGAGGGGCTCGTAATAACGGTCTGAGTGAGCTTGAGATTCGCGAAGCTATTATACACGCTACTGTCTACTGTGGTGCTCCAGCTGGTGTGGACGCTATGAAGATTGCCGAGAGAGTATTGAATGAGATGGCGGATAATGGAGAAATGCCGCGCCAATTGGGAGCCAAGGTGAAAAATTGAATAAGGTTGAATTATCTGCTCAATTCTGCTGCCCAGGTGGTCGCGACCTTATTCATCTTGATGGTGCCCAGTGGCTCTTCGTGCAGGGCTAAGCCGCGCCTTCAAATGGGTGTTTGGTTCCAAGGAATATCCATTATTCTATAGACTATTAAAGAAATTGAATTACATCCATGGACCTACATCGAGTTCTGTATAGCTTTCCAAGGAGCTTGTACATACTGGATGCACCTGATACGGTGGTATCCAGACAGAAGAGCCTGAGAGATACGTTTAACCTTGGGAAGTTGGGACTATATTTTCGACCCGTCGACCTCGGGATTCAACACCCTGAACCAACAGGTGTCTCAATTCTCAATTCTCAATTACCAGGTGGTCTTGAATATTTCCTCCTTGAGAAAAAAGCCTTTTATCTGGGTAGTACGCTGTAACTTGGAATCGATATCTGAATAATTAGGTCTATAGAAATTGATCTGACGTAGTCCTGGTTGTCACTGGGGCAACGCGCAACTGCACCCATGGATCCGATTGCTTTATCACATTTGGTGGAGCTGAACCGATAGCACTTCTTTCCCTTGCACTGTACGCGCATCGTCGATCCTGTCTCAACTGTCGCTTGCATCTCCAATAGGTACCTCTGATTTCTCTGAGTACGGCATGCCAGATCTCATTTCTTGAATTTCTCGAGAACGCCACAGCTAATCCTTTTGACATCGGAATGCAGGCACGTCGCGATCAGCGCCCACCCCGCCGCAATAACAACATAAGGGATTCTTCCTGAACGAAGATGGCTTCATTCATCACCACCATGTCTGTCCCCGCTCCTCCCACCCCTGTTCATTCCTCTACCACCCTGAATAAATCACCGACCCGATCCCCTTCCTTGAGTCTCAGCCCCTCGTTCTACCAAACCACCCGCACCTCTCATGTTCCTGCTTTAGAACCCCCATCATATCTTTCACCAGCTGTTCGCGCTCTCAAACAAGGTTGCTTTGGACTAACCCCTCCCAGCAATGCGCGAACACGGGCGCCCTTCAAGCCCCGCTCTGCGGCCAAGGGCACCAGCAGCTACCAGCTGAGACAATTCGCCGAGGCCACTCTAGGAAGTGGAAGTTTGCGCAAGGCCGTGAAACTGCCCGAAGGCGAAGATTTGAATGAGTGGCTTGCTGTGAACGGTATGTTTGCCCGGGTTTCCTGCCTTGTATGCAGTTAGATTGACCCGCTGCGTCTCACAGTTGTCGATTTCTACAACCAGATCAATCTCCTTTACGGCTCCATAACCGAGTTCTGTTCACCGCAAACATGTCCCGAGATGAAAGCAACCGATGAGTATGGCGCACCTTGAGGATACAGCTTTTTATGGACCAGATTTAGGCTGACAGGGATGTAGGTTCGAATACTTGTGGCAGGACTCAGAGAACTACAAGCGACCAACAAAGATGTCCGCCCCGGAGTATATTGAGCACTTGATGACATGGGTGCAAGGTAACATCGACAACGAACAGATGTTTCCCAGCCGAATCGGTGCGTTTTAAATGTTCTGAGGTATTTCAAGGACCGTTGCTTAATGTACTTCACAGGCGTACCTTTCCCAAAGACCTTCTCCAGTCTTCTCCGCCAGATCTTCAAGCGATTGTACCGGGTTTACGCCCATATTTACTGTCATCATTACCCGGTCGTTGTGCACCTTGGTCTTGAACCGCATCTGAATACCAGCTTCAAGCACTATGTCCTCTTTATCGACGAACACAAGTTGGCTAGCGGGAAAGATTACTGGGGCCCGCTAGGAGACCTGGTGGATAGCATGCTTCGCAGCGATTAAGCTTCATTTGCATGGGAAGGAACTGTGGTCATTGGTGCATGAGGGTGTGTTTTACTTTTGATCTTATCTCGACGGCTAAAGACTCTGGAAGAGATATGGTGGGCGGGCTTCCCGACGGCGTTTTTGGCGTGGGGCATGCATTACTAGTCGATTTATGTACTTTCTTGTTGACTAGGCTTTCTCGGTGTTTGGCATGAATGCCTCGGATGAAGGGCCCGCATCTATATTGTGTGCAGCTTTATTACTCAACCATTGCAATACTGCTTTAAGGTTATCGGCATGACTCTTGTGGTTCCGGAGTAAATTGCTATGCTTTGAGAATCTTGTATTGTAGTGTTATGGCCTCGCAAGGAATTTTCATGACCATTGTGTGCTCATTTATAGAATATTCCAGAGCTTCAGTTGTTCCTATGGAATAGCATTTACACTCATTTAGGTAAAACATGCAGACTCCTAGTTGTCTGTCATGTATCAGTGTTGATGCTTGGATGCTCAAAAGCAGCGAAAACCGGCCCGCTTACCTCAGCCCATGGGCACGTGATCCGGGAAGAAGTCGGACCTCCAACTCAACCTTCACGACGCACCCGACCGCCGCTCGCATCTCCCCCCATCTCAACTCTCTTGGTCACCTACCTCCCCTCGAGGCTCTCCTCACACTCAATTCACGATGATGTCCGCCCGTGTCGCCCGCGCTGGCCTGCGTGCCACCCAGCAGCTCTCCGTCGCTCGCCCGGCCTTCAACGGTCTGCGCACCTATGCCACCCCGGCCCAGGATGTCCGCCCTCCCGTTGCCTTGTTCGGCGTTGACGGCACCTACGCCTCTGCTCTGGTATGCCTTCGACCCCTTCAATGATCCGACTGCCGCGATATCAATTTTTTCGCGCGACTCCGTGTCTCCCCGGCCCCTCCTATTGTTCACCCCCTCTGTTTAACAACTTCGGAAATTGAAGCTTGCACGATGCAACAAAATATGAAATCCTACACGGCCGCTCTCTAACATTTTTCTTCTTTGCAGTACACTGCCTCTTCCAAGTCCGCCGCCCTCGAGCAGACCGCTAAGGCTATCGCTGCCCTCGGTCAGGTCATCAAGGCCGACAAGAAGCTGACCACCATCCTCGGCGCTCCCACCCTGTCCAACGCCGACAAGGCCCAGATCGTCCAGGAGCTCCAGAAGGTCGCCGGTGCTGACAAGGCCGATATCCTCAAGAACTTCCTCGAGACTCTTGCCGAGAACAACCGTCTTGGTTCCCTTGAGGGTGTCTGCGAGAAGTTCGGTACTCTCATGTCCGCTGCCCGCGGCGAGATCGAGCTGAGCATCACCTCCGCCCAGGTGAGTACCCCTTCAATCGTCTTTTGATGAATGATTCGACTGTTCCGACAAAATGCTAACATTGTTGTCATCGTAGGACCTTGACACCAAGACTATCTCCCGTCTCGAGAAGGCCGTTGCCAAGTCCGAGTACAGCCAGGGCAAGAAGCTCAAGGTTGTCACCAAGGTGCGTTTCAAAGCCAATATCTCTCTAGGCCCTGGAACCTAAACTGATTGATAATCGCAGGTTAACCCCGACCTTGTTGGTGGACTCGTTGTTGAGATCGGTGACCGCACCATCGACCTTAGCGTCTCTTCCAAGATCGCCAAGATGAACAAGGCTCTTACCGATGCTTTGTAAATGTAAAATAAGCCATTGAGAGTGGGGAGGATGTGTTTAGATATAGCATCGCCCTGCATGAACGGTAGCGTTTGGTGAAAGCAGAAAGGGGGCTTCTGATTCGGACTCCCTCTTTGTTATCATTTCGTTTGTTTCCATTATTTGTGAACTGCACAATACACCTTTTTCATCACAATCAGTTCCGAGTCTATTGTATTACTCCAACTAGGGGCCTTGATTGGCAATCTAATAGCTGCACTTGAGGCCTGAGGACTTCGGGATGCCCGAGCATTGTATGAAACACCAGGTGAAACAATAGACGGTGATGTAGAGCAAGGGCATCGAAGGAATGTTTCAATTGGTGCCATCGGCATCATGTACTGCAGAGTACATAATCTATTACAAAAACGGCTACGGTTATCGATCTCCCCGGAGTTAACGATCCACCCGTAGTCACTCCTGCGCAGAAGCAAGGGGCAACAACCGGCCCGACAGGTATGTTTCGCGTTACATATGTTCTAGATATGACAGTCTCAGATGATTGGCCACGCCATAATTGAGATCGAGACTACATGGCACTTTATGGATCTGGCAGCAAGAAACAAGCAAAGGAGAAAAAACTCGAATTACGCCGTAGCAGTGCCAACGAGAGGGCGAGAAGTCCTACTAATAGGGATTCTTGAATAATATGCAACGAAAGAGCAGCGATCGAAAAATAAACGAACGAGACCGCAAATCACAGCCGGAGCGGGGCGGATCTCCTGCCACAAAACCACGGATCTGATGCCGGAGGTGTGCTCCATAGCCCCGTCCATTCGGGTATACAAAAACAAAAAGGGGCAGAGACGAAAGTATTCAGCCAATTTCAGCCAATAGCAAGAGCAAGAGCAACAAACGCATCAATCTACCTCAGACTTCCTTTCCGTGGTAAACAAATCAAAAGGCAAAGTCAAGGAATCCGAAATCACGACTCTGCCTTCTGCTCTGGCCGCTGGGAATTGCCGTATGAAGATTCCGAAGGAGGAACTAATGTCGTTTTCCATCAGTCTTTCCCGTTGGAGGATATTCCATTTTCACATGTTCACCAAGTACAGCATTGATGGTTGAAAGATAAACAAAGGGTTCAAACATGGCATGGGGATGATCAAGACGACTCATCCTTACCGGTTGTCTGTTCCTGTCCTCCTCGGGACACCTGTGGTAGACCGGCGGTAGATTGGCGCTTAAGTCGCTCCTCAGCCTCGCGGATGCGCTGCTGCAGAGCCTCAAGCTCCCGGCTTTGAATTAACATCTGCTGCTTCCTATTTTCCAGGTCCTGGGTTAGTTTTTCGTCCCTTTAGACCGAACGAATATAGAGGTGAGATCATGTTTTTGACTTGACTCGAGTTTGGGGGGTTTCCACCTACTTCTGGTCCACTGTCTGGGAAAGGTGGTTCACGTCGCTGTCGAGCGAGAAAGCGCTATCCAACGCGCTGGAGAATGCCTGGGCCATAGTCCTGCCATGTCTTGGTCAACGTCCTTGTTCGGGGTGAGCTTGGTTGTTGGGTGAGACGCACGACTGAGGCCGGCACTTGGGCTTCCACTCTTGGTCTAGGTCGGACATTTCGAAGTGCAGGCTTGTTGGCTTGAGGGATCGGATCAAAGATGGGAAAGCTTTGAACCTCGATGACGGAGGAGAGGGGGAAGCTCTTTCTGCTGCTCGAGGAATATGTGCGACGTCGGGCGGGGCAGCACTCGGCCAAGATTAAGGATACACCTCTGGTAGGGATGTAAGAGGGGCGAATATGGAGACCCGGACCAGCCAAGAATCACAGGAAGATTGATATTATAAGAATAGTTGACCTTGAAGAGCAGAAGCGCAAGTCAGTTGAGACGTTGGGAGTTGTGGTTTTGTATACTTCGGGAACTCCAAAGAACGGGAGGGGGGGTAAGCGTGTCACGGTAGAGCGTAAAGGGGGGCAATTCCATACATACCGGAGATATATAGGGAAGCAGAACACCCAAATGCACGGATATTCCTGGGGGACTGGCAGCGGGGCCTTGCGGTGGTTTGTACCAATGTCAGAAATAGTTTATTGGGGAGGGGGGAAAGAAAGAGAAAAAAAAAAAGAATTGGAGATGGAGAAGAAGGACGATCGTAGCCCACCGACTCACTAGTCGCCGTAGAGGCGTGGAGGTCAAAGAATATCCACCGGCAAGGGGAAGCGTGTCATGGTATTACAAGGGGGCTCTTCACGTCATGGATGTGCGGGAGACGATCGAAGAGAGCCCACTACGGATTAGCCCGGGCCTTGCAGTGCTTAGAGGTGCCATCTTTCAGGGGCTTGTCCCGAAGTTTGATGAGATCCACTTTATGGCCAAAAAAAGGGGGTTTCCTTCATTGCTACTATTGGGCAGCTTTTAAGGGGCTATAGACTCCGCGATTGAAGCAGATAATTGGAAAAAGGGGAGTCATTTTGACCAATTATTTTTCGGGTTAGACTGGCCTCAATTAGATGAAACTTGATTATCATGATGAAGCTGCAGATGTACTGTCTGGACACTATGATCTTAGGTACTTTCGACCGGTAGAGCTCATAGATCGAAAAGTAAATAAAAGAATGCGTGGCTCTGGCAACCGGGTCAGGTGACTTTAATGTAACAATACCGTAATTCCCGGTACGCCAGAACCTGCAACCTGGCTCGTCGCGATCACATTATACGGAAATCCACCTTCTCATCAACTTCTCATCGGGTATCTTCGCGATCTTCGTGGCCTGGCTCGGCGCATAGGGACGGTTACCTCTGAAAATCCCGTCGCGTTAGCTTCCTACCCCTCCACAGTCCTTATTACCCCCACGCGACCGACAAGTTCCGTTTCCATCCCGATCGAAATCTTCGCTCGAACCAAACCACCCTGCCGGAACTCCTCTCCACCAACCACCGTGGCCCCCATCCCCAAAGCTCTCCTCCCAAACGGCCACCCGGGCGGGAAATGGGGAATGCCTCCTCTGTCGGCCTACACTCCTTTCGAATCCTTGCTCTTCTTTCAGTCCCTCGCGACCTCTGACGTGCGCCCGGCAAGCTTTGCGTCTATCTCGAGCCTGCTGAGCGACAACCCGTTAGTTCGTGAAAATGTCGCGTTTAGCGCCGATCGCTTAAGCCCAGAGGCCTTAGAAGACTTGTATTCAACCTTGCTCCGTGATGGATTTGATCGAGACACGACCAAAGGCTCCAATGGAGTACCAGCAGAGAGTCCGAACGCAATTAACTCGAAGAAGCGAAAGATATCTAGCCCACGACCAGAAGGATTGTCAGATGGAGTCACCCATGCCGTCCGGGTGCCGGAGCTGGTGTCGCATCTCTACGCACGGTACAGAGAGTTAGTGACGAAGGAAATCCGAGAGAGTGAAAGAGAATACGATGCAATCCAGGACCAAATCCAACGCATCAAGAAGGAGGAGGAGAAACCACCGGCCCCAGCCGAAGCAACGACCGTTGCTACGCCGCCAGTCGCAAAGCCAGAACGCCCAGAACCGATGGATGTGGATGTGAAGCAGGAAACCCCGCGACGCGAACGCCCTGGACCGATAGCTATCCCACCAGCCGCAACAGCATTTGGAAAAGCTACGGCGAAATTGCCTAACAAGGCACCTGTACCGGCTCAAAATTCAAAAGAAGGCCAACCTCCACCTGCTCAGCCGTCTGGCAAACCCATAGCACCAGTGCCACAATCACAGCTGCCACCTTCAGCTGTTCAAGCCGCACCGAATGCCCTGCCATCACCAATCGCGCCCCGGACTCAAGTAGCTCCTACAACGCCTGCTCCAACACAGAGACCTACTGCCGCACACCCCTCACAAGTCGCACCGCGCCCGATCACTGTGAAGCCTGGTGTTCCTGACATTGCCTCGACCCCTCAATCAACTCCTGCTCAGTCAAGCTTTCAGCAATGGCAGCTTGATCCGCCTCCCAAATCTCCATACTCCGCCATTTCACCTACCACTACCCCACAAGTCAACTCCACAGCCGCCAAACAACCTTTACCACCCCCCGCCATACCCGCAAGTCAGCACAGGCCCTCGGTCCCCACTATACCCAGCACCCCGGGGCCATCAACATCCGCTGCTCAAACCCCTGTTCCTATCGGTCGTCCGCACATCTCACAGACCCCGGGTGTTGTCATCCCTTCGTTCTCCGAATCACGTAGTTCACGGCCTCGGCTCTCGATTGATACCCCAGGCTCCTCGACACCATGGAAGCGAACCCCACGTTTGAGCATTCCGGACTCCCCGGCATCGCCAGTCCGTCCTCTGCCCGAAGATGTCAGTCCAATAAGCGAGAGAGCACCCTCGCCCGATGGCATGGAGATGTCACCTCCCCGGGGCAAGAAAACTCGCCGAGGACAGGCTGCAGATCAGAAACCATCTGCAACACCTAAAACTGAGAAACCTTCTTCCACGCGGAAGAGGCGTGCCGTGAGCTCCGCCTCTACACAGAGCCGAGGGCGATCCGTAGCATCGCGTGGCAGGTCTCCTCTGCAGACGGACGATGCAGAGCGTGACGTGCGCTCCTCGAAGCGCCAGAAGGGTACGACAACAAGCGCAGAGGAGACTCCAAAGGCTCGTTCCAAGCGCAAGCGAGGAGCCAGTGAATCTGCGGAGCAAGAATCTGCTCCTCCAGAAGCCATTAAATTTGACTCATCACGATATGTGATGTGTGCTCGCGGTTTCCATCGTACCGCCGGGACAATTCTGAACGACGTGACCACCCACAAGCTTGCCTCTATTTTCGCCAAACCGTTGGGTGAACGAGATGCTCCAGGCTACCACGATCTTATCTATCGACCTCAGGATCTCAAGACGATCAAGTCTGCTGTTCACCAAGGCAGCAAGGCTGTGGCCACGGCAACAGAGGCAGTCAGCACTCCCGCGGGTGACAGTGAATCTCCTGCACCCGTTGCTGGAGCATCATCTAAAAACAATGCACTCATGCTGCCGAAGACGGAAGACCTCCTTCCTCCAAAGGGTATTGTGAACTCGGGACAATTAGAAAAAGAGTTTATCCGCATGTTTTCCAACGCTATCATGTTCAATCCCGTTCCTGAACGCGACTTTGGTCCTCATTTCCCAATGATCAACGATCGTGGCTCTCGCGAGAGCTCTCAGTCAGGCGATGGTGATGAAGGCGGCATCATTCAAGATTCTAGGGAAATGTTTGAAGATGTCGAGCAAGCCGTCATTCGATGGCGCGCTGCTGAACGGGCCTCGGAGCGAGCATCGGAGGAGTTGGCTCATAAGAATCTTCTTGCCCTTCGCCGTCCGAGTGTCAGTGATATGAATACAGATAGTGCCGATGATGCCAAAGGGTGACGGATGGATTTTACCCATGTATAACTACTGTTTATGATTTGTGTGTTTGATTAGAAGCGAATTGATATTTTCACTGGAAGCTTTCGGCTACCAGCAGTCTTGAATCCATGCATACAATTCCAAAGTAGGAAGATGTGAAATTGGAAGGTCATGCGTTTCCATCAAAAGTGCAGGCGTTTTGATTCATCCATCAAATGCATAGAATTCGGTATTTACATTGCCAAGTGTCTCTTGATGCAGAGAAAAAGGATCGATTATTTCCCAACGCCAGCTTAATGCAATCCACGAGGATTTGATTGTACAATTTCGACCACTTAGAAATCGGTCACCCGGCCACCATAACTCCAATCACCACCAGCACCCCATCGCAGGGGCTCGTTCTTGGGTCCTCCGACCTCGCCGGTCTTGGGATTCGTCTCGCCCTCGAATTCAGGCTTCAAGCCTTGCGGCGCATCGGGGTGAAGCTCTTCGCCACTGCCATTGACCTTGATCTCAGTCTTGGGCGACTGATTGACTTGCGGTGTGCTGAAAGCGCCTGTTGATCGCTTCTGGAGCTCTTCAAAGATTTCCTGCTCTTCTTTGGGGAGTCGTGGGGGAGCGGGTCCCTTTGCGAAAGCAAAGGCAGGCTTGCCGTCTCCGTTGGCGTTGCGCAATGCGCTGGTGGTGGAAATCGGTCGGATGGCGACCCGGCTCAGGGAGGAGAGACGTGCACGGGGGAGAGCAATCGAGAACAGCATTGTGAGAGGGATTTATGAGTCACGAATAGACGAAGGTTCAAGTTTATGGGCGCGCCCTGCGGTAATAATGTAGGCTAACCGAGAGTCATCGGGAAGTGACGCCGATTCCTGACTAAGGTTTGCGGATCCCGATATCGCGGGTCTTTTTTATTTCCTCGGAACATCTGCGATCCGATCGGACGTTCTCTTTTGACTCTTCTCTTGTTGCTTCAGGTTGACGATTCATTCATTTGAAAATCATTTACTTGTTCACTATGTCTGCTCTTCGTGTGGCCGCGCGCCGCCTGCCCCGCGCAACCAGGCTGGTCCCTTCGGTTGAGTCACCGATCCAGCGACGATTTGCGACCTCCAATGCCGCTCAGGCCAAGGTAAATGAATTGAGTCCCATATAACCAATGGCGGTCTATGTGACTAACTGGATTATAGAAGGAGGCTACCCTGCCTAATCCTGACCCCTCGGCCGACTCGGTCACAGCGTCCTTCATTAAAGAGCGGGCTCCGTTTATGGTCCCGACCTACGTTCGCCCCCCTCCTATGATGATGAAGGGCCAGGGCTGCTACCTGTGGGACATGGAGAACCGTCGATATCTTGACTTGACCTCGGGAATTGCGGTCAACTCGCTTGGTCACTGCGACCCGGAGATCGCCCAGATCATTGCGGAGCAGGTGCGCACTAATTGGATCTCCATGAGCCTGTGGGACAATTGCTGATTTAATATGACTTTATAGGCCGAGACTCTCATCCATGCTTCGAATCTTTACCACAACCCCTGGACGGGTGCTCTGAGTCAATTGTTGATTAACCTGACTCGTGAGTCAGGTGCTATGCGCGATGCCTCGCAGGTCTTCATTTCGAACTCCGGAACCGAGGCCAACGAGGCCGCCATTAAGTTCGCCCGCAAGGTTGGCCGTACTATTGATCCCTCCGGTGACAAGCACGAGTTTGTCTCATTCCACAATTCCTTCCACGGCCGCACCATGGGTGCTCTGTCTGCCACCCCCAACCCCAAGTACCAGACTCCCTTCTCTCCCATGCTCCCGGGCTTCAAGTATGGCAACTACAACGATATTGAGCAATTGCAGACCCTCATTACCGACAAGACCTGTGGTGTGATCGTCGAGCCCATCCAGGGTGAGGGCGGTGTTAACATGGCTACTCCCGAGTTCCTGGTGGCCCTGCGCAAGCGTTGTGACGAGGTTGGAGCCGTCCTGATCTTTGATGAGATCCAGTGCGGTCTGTCCCGTACCGGTAGCCTCTGGGCTCACGGCCACCCTTCGCTGGCCCCCGCCTCGGGCGAGGCCGCTCACCCCGATATCCTCACCTCTGCTAAGGCCCTTGGCAACGGTATCCCAATTGGTGCCACTATTGTGTCCGGCAAGACCGTCGGTTCGCACATTCAGACCGGTGACCACGGTACCACTTTCGGTGGTAACCCTCTGGCCTGTCGTGTTGCTTACCACATTGTCGCTCGTCTCGCTGACCCTGAGCTCCAGGCCGCGGTTCAGGAGAAGTCCGATCTGTTCGTTGCGGGCTTCAAGGCTCTCCAGGAGAAGTATCCCGAGGCCATCTCGGAGGTTCGTGGTCGCGGTCTGATCTTGGGTCTGCAGCTATCCTCAGCTGTTGGTCCCAAGGCCGGTGATATCATCACTGCTGCCCGTGAGCGCGGCATGTTGATTATCACTGCTGGCGATGGCTGCCTTCGCTTCGTTCCTGCTCTGACCATCACTGCTGATCAGATCAAGACCGGTCTGAACATCCTGGAGCAGTCTTTGGAAGCGGTGATCAAGTCCTAGACGATCGCTTTTGGTCTGATTTTGAATGTCCCTGATGTTTTATCTGCTGTTTGATATACCATTTCGTTGATTTGGAGCGAAGCGTATATTTCTGTTTTCCTTTTTGGGATCCCACTGTTTTTCGGACGAAGCCTTGCATAGACACAGGTACGATAGAATAGAAAAAAGTCAATGATTTAAGTGGAGTGACACTATCCCTAATTCTGCCAAGGCGGGTGCCGTACGTACTCGGAGTTAAAGAGGAACGCGCGTGGCAGTGGATCCCGTGGAACCCATCCATCATCTGCCGTGATAAGCGTTCTGTCGCTCTCTGGCCCCAGGGCTGACCCCTGTGCAAATTAGACTGATACCATGATCCTAAATATCTCCGGTTCCCATCATATGTAGCCTGTCTATTCTCCCTCACGCGACCACCTACTCTACCCGGAATGCCTCGACTCGAGTCTAGCGGGGACACCCCGATGCCCCTCGAGGAGACGTCACCCTCACGCTGGTCTCGTTTCTGCGACCGGGTCAAAGGATCCTTCAGCGATGCAGACCCTAGAGTTTGTATCGCTTTCTGGCTATTCGGTGCGTCCATACCAATTAGATACCAGATATCCACGACGTCACTAACCTCAACCTCTAACCAGGCCTAATCAATAATGTCCTCTATGTGATCCTTCTCTCCGCAGCTCTAGACTTGGTCGGTCCTGATGTACCCAAAGGCGTTGTTCTCCTCGCGGATATCATTCCAGCCTTCGCGACGAAATTGATCGCGCCGTACTTTATTCACCTGGTCCCGTACTCCATCCGAGTCGTTATCTTCGTATTCCTATCGGTCGTCGGCATGCTGGTCGTGGCGATGAGCCCAAGCTATACAGAAGGCGGTGCGATTGCATCCAAGATTGCCGGTATTATCTTGGCTAGTCTCTCCGCTGGTGGTGGAGAGCTTAGCTTCATGGGCCTTACCCATTACTATGGCCAGTTCAGTTTAGCAGCTTGGAGTAGTGGTACCGGTGCTGCTGGTTTGGTCGGCGCTGGGGCCTATGCGTTGGCTACCAATACCATAGGTATCTCGGTGAATGCTACGCTTTATGCATCGGCTTGCTTGCCGGCTATCATGGTGGTGAGCTTCTTTATTATCTTACCCCGAGACCCACTGCGCACGGTATCTCCGGCTAGCTATCAGTCCGTCGAAAGAGGCGAGCACCCGAGTACCGATGAAGCCGATGAAGCTGGCATTGAGTCTGAGCGTGAAGAGTCGGAAGGACTCCTGGGTGTATCTGTTCATTCGGATACCCGGAAATCAGTTCAGATCAACGTCGAGGCTTTTTGGTGGGACCATATGCAAAGGAATCTGCAGCAGCTAGGAAAGCTCTTTTTCCCATTGTGAGTTCTCGGAAGTCGATTTCCATTTCAGTTCTAATTGTTGATTACAGTATGCTGCCATTACTCCTGGTATTCATTGCCGAGTACGTGATCAACCAGGGTGTTGCTCCAACACTTCTGTTTCCTATATATGAAAGTCCCTTCAAGGACTTCCGATCCTTCTACCCGGCCTATAACGCCATCTACCAAGCCGGTGTCTTCATCTCACGCTCTTCTACCCCATTTTTCCGTGTGCACTGGCTCTACATCCCCTCTATCCTACAGGTACTTAACTTAGTCCTGCTGAGCCTGCACTCTATGTTTAACTTTATTCCTAACGTCTACCTTGTCTTTCTTGTGATATTCTGGGAAGGTTTGCTTGGCGGCCTTGTGTACGTCAATACATTTGCAGAGATTAGTGACCGTGTCCCGGAAGAGGAGCGGGAGTTCTCACTTGGCGCGACGACTGTTAGCGACTCGGCTGGCATTTGTATTGCTGGATTCCTGAGCATGACGTTGGAAGTTGCTCTGTGTAGGTTTCAAATGTCCCGTGGTAGGGAGTACTGTCGAATGGTATAGATAGTTTTCTTGCTTGAATAGAATGGCTTATTGGTGTCCAAGATCTTATTAATCTAGCAAATGACCGCCTAGGAAGCCATGGCTCTATGCCATTTCTGTATGCCACGTCTGTATGCCAGCACGTTGATCTTGTATGTGGTCAGCCAGGAAAAGGTGAAGTGAAATTGTAATCAACAGAAGAGTATTATTGGAATTGAGAAAGAGGGTGTTGTTACTCACCTTCAGTTTATTGACATTTCTTGGCTTGCCCAATTATAGGCCTCAACATCGACCCAAGTTCAGTCTTTATACATCATCAGCTTTACTACGCATGCTCCTCTTGATCACGGTCTGCAACCCGTTGTAGTTCCAAGTAGGCATCTAAAGAAAGATCATCTGTTATCCATTTGTTTTCGTTGATAAACAGAGTGCTGGTAGTAAACTTACTGGCCACTTTCCATCGAGCACCTAAAGATTGTAGCATTTCTTCGCAGACAGCCTTTCCAATGGCATACTGTGGAGCGCCATTCTCTAAGCCCATCCACGAGAGATTTGCAGTAGAGCTATAGATACAATTCAAGACTAATGGCGACACTAACTCCATAGTTTGTGGATTAAGAGATTGCCTGGCATCTCGAACGAATAATACCACTTGATTGGAAGTGTCTTTCAACATTTGAACACTTCGTTGCATAATCTCCCGGACGCGAGTGGCTATTTCGATACCAAGGTCTTGCTCGATGTGCATATCACAGGAGTGATGGTTCGCCAGCTTGAACAAAGCACTAGAAAGAGTCAATATGCGTTGATTTCACGATACCGTGCGGAGTGTTTCACCTAAAGCATATTGCTGCTGCAGTGGTAAATGGGTTCGACGACAAGTCTTGGCTTGTAGTCAAGAGTTGCAGAAACGCAATTAGTGTCTGCGTGAGCCTTTCAAAGTTGTCTAACACATATTCAATCTCCATGGATGTGTCGTTGCAGTGTTTGACAACAAGGCCGAGGAGGTTAGATGCCTGCGCTAGGCGTGCGAAAGGACTAACTGGAGTGTCGCTGTTTGATGAGAGTAGCACACGCTCCGGGCACATCATCTCCTAAATAAGCGGAAGAGTGGGGTTAGTATGAGAAGTGCACAACAGGATACCAGTTAAAGAGGCTCACCCCGCTGTCCCAAGCATCATCACTCGCTGGGAGTAGCGTATCTTTATTTGGGTCTTCAGTACACAGCGGGCGATGGTCAGAGCCAATCGCAATGTACCTAATCGCATGTCAGTTTCTTGTACCAAGGGGACAGTTTCATCTGGACTCATCACCTATCAAGAATGACAACCATCCACCACACCCGCTGTCTTTCCTCCCAATCGACCCAACTTCGGGGAGTGCCAGCTAACTGGGGTGCCAATTTGTTATGCAGGCCGAGGGCAACACCCTGTCGTGCGCAGCTGCTGATGTTGAGGAATGCAGCTGGGAATATCCCATGGCCTACTTCATAGACACAAAGAAGAAGGCCGGCCTGGACTGCGCGGACAGTGATGATTCCGTTGAATTCGAGCTCTTGGCTCAGTTTCTTGGTCACATTGTAAAGATTTGAATGGCCCTGGCCCTGGTCGTAGCTGCAAATGAGTTTCATACACATTATCAGGAGTAGTGCATCTGATTTCAAGAGCCTGGGCTCGCACTTAGTGATGCGGTCCAATCGTATTTTGCTCACAATTGGCATCCAGGTGTGTACCGAATCAAAATAGCGATATTTGATCTCTTCCATGTCCGAAAGACTAAGCACGCTAGAGATGTCCTCTGGAGCAGGAACATGATTAGAAGGGTTGGGGATATTGCAAGTTGCGCTGGTGTCCGAGTCAATATAAGAGGCTACTGCTGACAGGTCATGATAAAGCACATGCTGTGCCGAGTTATCAGGATTGAGTAGGTCGTTTATGGAAGATGCAGCTGGTGTCAGAGTAACCGGCGTCAGTCGCTGCTCAAGTTCTTGCACCCGACTGCGTAAATCCTCGAGCTCATCTCTGTAATTTATTTGCGAATTATCTGAGTAATCGCAAACACGGTTGTGCCTAATTTCGGATTGACAGCAGTAAGTATGTATGACTCTATGAGTACCAAGGGTGTCGGGAAACGGACCTAGTACATAAGCTACACTGTGGAAGACCCTTATCACAGCCACGCTTATTCTTCTTGCACGAAGCGCAAGCCCGAGGAGCCTCGCCAATATCCATAATTGCTTTCCTGATTCCGAAAGATGGGTAAATGGTTTGAGTGAGACTTCGATGCGGCCGCAAGTGGGGCATTCGCCTCGGAACAAACATTATACGGGACCCATCGGCCGCTCGTCTTTTTGGCTAAGTTGTGGCGGGTAGATTTAGTGCGGCCGCCATAGTTAACCATGCACTCGATACATTGACTACATCTTGCGGCTGCTCAATCTCCTCACCATCATCAGTTAATGACAGGTCAGCGTGCGGCCGTGCTCATACCATTGCCACTTACCACCCTCTCCATAGAGATTGAGAAAGTATATAAGATGCCGTTCTCCCGCCATGTATCATTTCTACTCACCATCGATCTCAATTGAACATTTCCTTTACTATACCTCTTTCTCTGAGACACTAAGATGACAAGAATTTGGTTCATCACTGGCTCCTCCCGTGGCCTCGGACTTGCAATCACTCAGGCTGCTCTCAGCAATGGTGATAGCGTTATCGCCACAGCTCGCAAGCCCGAGCAACTTGCCGGGCTCGTTCAGAAATACGGCCCTGATCGGATTCTCGCGCTTGCCCTTGATGTTACCGACAATGATCAAGCTATCCAAGCTGTGAAGGCTGGCCATAAGAAATTCGGCCGGATCGACATTGTCGTCAATAATGCCGGTTACGCAAATACCGCTTCAGTCGAGGACATCGAGATCGAAGATTTCCGCTCTCAACTTGACGCCAACCTGTTGGGCGTAGTCTACGTGACCAAGGCAGTCATTCCTATTCTTCGAGAACAGAGATCTGGCCATATCATCCAAGTCTCCTCACTTGGGGGACGTTTAGGGGCACCGGGCCTTTCCGCTTATCAATCTGCAAAGTGGGCCGTCGGTGGATTTTCGACAGTACTGGCCATGGAAGTAGCTCCTTTTGGTGTTAAGGTTACCGTTCTTGAGCCTGGTGGCATCAGGACTGATTGGGCCGGGTCATCAATGAAGATTCATCCTGTGAGCCAACCTTATCAAAGCTCTGTTGGAGCTTTCATCGAGGCTCATCGGAGCTCGCCTGGAACCGAACCATCCATCCCAAGCAAGGTTGCAGGGATTGTGCTCAAACTGTTGGATGAAGCTGAGCCGCCTCTGCGCCTTCTTATAGGGCCTGATGCGGTCAAGTATGGAGGACAGGCTGCACAAAGTTTGTCTGCTTCAGATGAGAAGTGGCGCGAACTGAGCCTTTCTTCGGTATAGAAAGAACGTTGAAACATATATCACTCTGAATGAAAAGGGGCACTTGGTGGACACATGTACGGCACAAGTTCAATTGTTTTATTTTTCGGAATGGGAAGAAATATCATAAATCTGCATTATTCAGTCCAGAGGGAAACCCGCCTATTGGGTGCCGAAGCTAACCCAAAATGTGAGCCGATCGCCTTTTAAAGCCGTAGTTGTTCCGCCACTTCCACCATTAAGAATTCAAGAGAAACCAAATAGCCGACGTGGGGTAATTGTGCCAGTGCAAGTGTCCATTCAGACAATCTGAACACAGAAGGAAAGGCGAGTCAGCTGATGGCGTCACTGTGCATGTGATACTGACATGTGATTGTCAACATTTCTTTCTCCTCTTTTCCTCTTACACATTTAATCGTAAGTTGTACACTTGTGGTTTGTTTTCGTTTTGATTCTCTTTTGCATCAGTTCAGGAACCGGAGTTTTCCCTGGGGTGGCTGTACAGCTGCATAGTTAACGCCGCGGGAAATGATAGGTACGGCCCTTGATGATCACCAATTGAATTGACATTGACTCGCGGGAACAACAGACCACGTCTTGGGAAGACCCTCGACCAGATTTCGCAAATTTCAAGTCTTTGCGGTTGTTTCCTTCTGGTCGGTATATTTGCTGCGGTAGGTGATGACGTCCTCTATAGATACCTCGGGTCAACCGTTAATTTGCAGTAGAGGGAACAAACATGGTCCGCCACTTCTGCGCACAATTTCCACCCGCTTCGCGAATAGATTAACAACCTGGCAAACGACCACCATCATCTTCCTGTGCCTATATGTCAGTCGCAACTTCGCCAAGATTGTGGGGCTGGAATGTCCAGAACCACTAGCCAACCTCTATTCCCGATCCTTCTTCCGAGCAACATGGATTACGACTGGGCTGGATGCGGGATTTTGGACTGCAATGTCTATCAAACCCAAATGGCTGCGAGATATCGCTTCATTAGTCTTCACGGTCTACTACCTGATTGCGGCGGAACAGGCGGATGAAAAGGTGCGGCGGGTTCGTGCAACGCTGACCCTGGAACATATGCGTGTGTCGTGGAACAAAGCGACCAGCCCTTATCTGTGGGCGATGGCGAGCTTGATGCGCCCACGAATGACACGATACTCACCACGAGCTATTCGCATCCCTCGCCCAAAGCAATCCGTACACAGCGACCCTGTGAGTGCGTGGCTGTATTTTGATGGGCCTTTGAGCGCCTTGAAAGAGCAGACCTGCATTGTTCTGGATGTGCCTGGTGGTGGCTTTGTTGCCATGGGACCCCGCAACTCTGAAGACAAACTTTTGTCTTGGGCGGGGAAACTGAAAGTACCAGTACTCAGCATCGATTACCAGAAAGCGCCGGAGTATGCATACCCATACGCGCTGCACGAGTGCTACGATGTCTACCATACCATCGTGTCTACCAATGGTCGCTGTGTGGGGCTGAGCGGGCTGACCCGCCCACGAATTGTTGTGACAGGTGAAAGTGCAGGGGGGAACTTGGCTGTTAGCATGACGTTGATGGTCCTGCAATCCTCCGCGGCTCAAGGTTGGCGGAATGAAGACATCCTTCCTCGACCCGATGGGCTTGTATTGGCCTATCCAGCCCTGAACGTGAAAGTAGAAAGCTGGATGACGGACGAACAGCTGGCATTGATTCAGGATAAAAGTTCTCGAAAAAATGTGCTGCGGCAAAAACAAGACCACTACAGGAAGCTCACCCCGTTCACCTCACCGGGTCACTCAGTTGAAGATCTGACCGCCATATCCCCTCCAAAACAGGCGGATGAGAATGAGGAATCCAATATAGCAGCTGAAGCTGCCAACGCTCTTCGCGACAAGTTGAAAAAGAGCGAGGAGCTCAACGGTGAAAACCCACCCACGAATAGCGAGGTCAAGCCGCTCAAGACTCGACTGGCAGTCTCATCCATGATCTCATACGTGCATGATAGAATACTTGCACCTGAAATGATGCGGGCTATGATTATTTTATACATCGGACCGCATCAGCGACCGGACTTCAACACCGATTTTCTTCTATCCCCAGTCCTTGCTCCGGACGAACTACTCTCCCGGTTTCCCAAAACGTACATTTTCACTGGCGAGCGCGATCCATTGGTTGATGACACAGTCATCTTTGCAGGTAGGCTGCGCCAAGCGAAGTTGCAGTATTTCCAAGAGCGCCAAGACCTCGGACTTGAAAAGTCTCAACGCAAGTTCCGAGAAAAGGACCACGTGGAGGTTTCGTTGATCCCCGGCGTCTCACATGGCTTTCTTCAAATGGCAGGCTTCTTTCCGGATGCATGGAAGTACATAAAGCGCAGTGCATCGTGGATTGAGACGCTTTTTGAGACAGCCGAGCTGCACGAATCTGAGTATAGCCTTCTTCAGATGTCTGGTAGCTCCAGAATGAGCGCATCCCAAAGATCAAAAAGCTCATCAAAGATCAATGGCGTTTCGAAGGGCCACCGAAATTATAACCATCGCACTATGACAGCAGAGTCATCCGCAGATGAAGACAAACCACTTGAAATCGGCATGACCAAGGCGTCCTCCTTATCATTATCTACATCAGACTTGGCAGTTCGTCGAAAGAAATCTCGTTCCCCCTTTGCGTCTTCCAGGCTGGCCGGGTTCACAAGCTTAGAAGATGAGTCCGCGCCCGAGGCGGATGGCGGCTTTCTTGCGAGACTCAAACATCTGGATATGAAATACAATCACCACAATGATATCGACCCGGAGGATATCAACAGTGCTCCCCAGAGCCCTTCTGCTTTCCGTTCCCGTCACAGGAGCATTTCATCTTTGGGTAGCGAGGAGGATATATTAGACCGTCGCATGAACGGTTTAGCTGGTGGACTGATGGGAGCACATGGAGAGGGCGTGCAGACACCTGGCCCATGATTTGCATCGATAGACATGATTGACGATTACGAATGATCCCAAGGGACACCCCCTAGATTGAATATACAATGATAGACAGCAACTTGGATACATTTCCATTTCATGAGCTATACTATTGCCATATATCGCGGTTTCACATGTGATTCACATGTGACATCCACTGACATGTGAAAGGCATCTGCACTGAATTAGTAACCGGTCTCTCTCGTGAATGTGGGCCGATGAAAAGGGCCAGCGGATTAATGAAACCCCGCAACATCGGCCTCTTGGGTCCTTCTCAAATGCAAACAATGCAACAGCATCTACAGCATACTCATATAATCAGGCTCTTCATTAAAGGGGTTCTCGCTTGACATATATGCCGTAATGATGATTTGGAAGTCTATTAACAATAAATTGCAAATTTGTGAACTTGGCTCGATACATTCATGGAACCTCAAAGACCCAGCTATTATCGCATGCGTCGAAGATCATCTCTGCAAGACGCACAGGCTATTTTCTTACACCCAGGACACTGGAACGCAAAGCGTCGAGTGTCCTCAGCGCAGCAGCTACATCGAAACCGACCCTCGATCCGATTCCACCAGGCTCTGTGTTTACAATTTATTGACTTTGGGACGCTATGTGCCCGGCTTTCGGTTTGTGACCAATGAGCGTATGACCAGCCTTCACGTTTCATCTGCTCTTCCATCTTCGCCCGCTCTTCTTGGTCCCTCAAGTCTTTCTCCCTCGTCATTCTCCGAATATCATACTCAGTCGAAAAGAACCACTGACGAAGTAAGGAAATGTTTGCCTCGTGGGTTCTGATAGCTTCCAGTCGTCTGGCCTTTTCCGTCTCTTTGATTCGCATCGTTACGATTTTGTCACGATACAAGCGATCCTGCTCTTCTTTCTGCCGCTCTTGTCTTTCACTTCCTCCGGGAAGGAATGTGCCCAGATAGCCCCAGATTGTCTGCCTAGCTGCCTTGCCTTGCTCCGTGGTCGCAATCTCGGTATGCAAAATCGCTATTTCTGATTCGAGCTTCCTTAAGCGTGCATGTACATCTCGTAGTAGCTGCTCTTGGTCCCCGAGTCGGCTTTTCCACATCTTTGTCTGCTCCAGTAGTTCAGTCATTGAAGAGGTTGGCTTGTATTTGTCTTGTTTTTCGCCGCTATTCGTCTGACGTGTCGAGTGACGGGCACTAGAGGTAGACGTGTATGCTCGGTATTTGGCATCGTAGATTTGACGAGTTTCAGGATTAGAGAGGGTTGAATATGCTTCTTCAAGCTAGTCGCATGCCCAATGTTAGCTGTTGCTGAAATGTGGGTAAAGGACGTGGCTTACGAGCTGGAACTCCGCTGTAGCGTTCTTTGCAGGATTTTTGTCGGGATGTTTAATCCGGGCTAAACGCCTCCAACTCAGTTTAATAGCTGTGAGGTCTGCATCCGGTGGAACTTGAAGAATCCCATAGTAGTCATGAGGCCTTGTCGTTGAAGCCATGTCTTAGTTGCCCTTATTAGGAAGGTGGAAACATAAGGCTCGGGACGGGGCGTTCCAGAGGTGGGGTCAGGACGTTCAAGGCCTAAGGTAGCAACCTTGGAAGTATTTCCCGTATTTCGTTGTATAGGTATTAATCGGAGTAAAATAGTGTCCACACCTATACCGGAGTAAAGGCAAGGATTATGGCACAAAGACTGGACAAACAGTCGAAGTGAGACAAAAGTTTCCAAACTCAAAATGTGTTCGTGAGTCGATTCGCCATCATAACTGTGAACCCCAAAATATCTCGGCTTTATACATGCATCTCTCGCTAAACCTGCCACCTTTCCCTCTCTACTCTGCTTTCTTCTCGTTGAATCCCTCCTGTCGACGCGTAACGGCCACCCTCATATTACCCAACAAAGTCTCAGCATAAGGGGAGTGAACATGAGAACCCTCATCGTAAAACGCCATAGTAGCATCTTTCCCAATATACTGCTGCACCAACTCCGGCCCACCAGGGTGATCGGCCATGAATTCGGTAACATCATGAATAATTCCATGCACGGCCGTGATACACCGACCAGCAGCTGCCTGCTCCACAAAATCCTGCCACTCCATCTTAGGTAGCTCAGCAATTTCCGGCCCGTGAGCAATCCCCTCCGCGATATTAATCTGCCGCTGTCGCGCTCTCTCAATCTCAGCAGGACTGGTAATATGGAGGTCCCACGCAAGTCCCAACCGCTCGCACGTCCGAATAAACCACCGTGACAAATCACCTTCATACCAATGGAGCCCGTTTCGATAATCGGCCGGGAAGGTGTGATGGAAATTGTGGCTCGCCTCGCCCGCCAAAACCCACGCGAAAAGCAACACATTGCGAGCACTATGCTTATCTGAGTACGGCTGTGAGCCAAACCAGGGGAGATGGGCGATGGAATTGACGAAGAATCCTAGATGCCAGATCCACATTAACCGGCCCAGGACTGTGTGCACTAGTGCACCACGTGCATCATTCCAGCCAAAATGGGCTATTAGTACTGGGAGCAGAACTGCGGTTATGAACCCGACTAGAGTGCCCCATTTGTGTTGCCAGACTACCACGGGGTCGGCGAGTAGATCGGAGAGATCGACCTTCCCCCATGACTTCGGGTTATAACCAACTAGCCACCCGACATGGGAGAAGAAAAACCCGCGGGTTGGGTTGTAAGGGTCTTGTTCGGTATCGGTGTAGCGGTGGTGGGAGCGGTGGTGCTTTGCCCACCAGAGGATGGACCATTGCCATTGACCAGCTCCCATGATGGCGAGCCAGTATCGTAGTGGTGTTGATGCTTTATAAGACCTGTGAGACCAGAGGCGGTGATACCCTGTGCAAGGTTAGTGGTGTTTGCACGTGTAGTTGAAGAAGCAACATGTCCTTACCTGCTGTTATACCCATACCTCCAGCAAGGTAGAAGACGCCCGTCAACAAGAAGGTCTCCCACCGAAGAGGAACATGAAGGATAGCCGTGAAGTAAGTTGGGATGGCGCCCAGTAGTATTATGGCATTCATAACATTCAAGTGTTGGGCATAGTAGCGGAATTCATCGCTCCAGCTCCGCTTGCTGATCTTGGGTTTCTCAAGTGCTGTGTTAGACGCCATGATTAGCTAGCTGGCAATCCAGAGAAAAGAGAAGAATTTCAAATGATCCGGAGAGTATTTAAGTATGTTTTTCGGCAACCCAACTCTCACCCCCTCCCCCATTGCTGGTTTTAGTGTCTAGTCTATGGGATGGTGCTCAACATGTTTAGTGATGAAGATCTACCTCCTGATTGGATTTCTATTGCATGATACATCCAAGTATGCACACACGTCTTTCAAGTCACTGTGCAGTCCCAAGTCCTGACTGGATACAACAAGTGTTTGATCTATATTGCTTTTTCTTTTGCAAAAGCAATACGCATTTACCAACGTCATTGGTACCCCGAGCGTCCTGAAGCACATGGGCCCAAGCGGATTTGAGAGCAGTCAGGTCTCTTGGCTGGCACGCATTGCATTTAACCTGGCTCATATGATCAGGAGGCTACACATCTCCCATAAAGACACTCACGTGCTATACTGGATGCTATCTAAGGACCACTCTGATCAGCCTTAATTGGTAGACTGTGACTGTGACCCGATGTGATCAAGCTGTTATCCCTTATTATAACTAGAATATCCACTTCTGAAGTTTCAATCGCGCTCCAATATGGTTTTCAATGAAGCTTCCAAGTAGGATGAACGTTAGTTAGGTATTCGAAGATGACACATACTGAGAAGAAAAAGCAAATATAACGCATACTGTACATCGACGTGATAGATATTGCATTTCAGCTGAAAAACGAGGGCACAACAGGCGCCACTAAACGCCGATCATTTAGTTTTCGAGTCCAAAGTTACCGATTGGATATGAATTGCCATGAGACGACTTGACCTCTGGCAACGTCAAGTGTCGAGCACTAGAGCGTTGCAAGGGAACATTGTATGAGGAGTGGAGAGCTTTATGGTTACTATCTAGTTTTTGATTCTTACATTATCCACTTTCTTCGATGTCCCTGGCCTCCGTCTAACACGAATACAGCCTCTAGCCTAGTCCAAAGCACCGCAAAGGTAGCGGCAGCTAGTAAAACTCCGACCATGATACTAGTATTCTCATAGCTCCTAGGGCTGGCGGTTTGATGCGGGGAACTCCGGATCAGCACTCCTGCGATAGGTGTGCCGAGAAGCGTAGCAAACCCTCTGACCATGTACAGAGCCCCGTTGACAGAGACAAAGTTTTGCACCCCGAATGACTCCACCAGACTAGTTGGGAAAAGAGACACATAGGCCGAGGCAAAGATTCCATAAAAGATTGTGAACACGATGAACAGCGCGCTGCCGCTTGATTGTGAGGTTGAAAGTGATGATGGAAGCCACAGAGCTAGCACAGCAATTGCCGAGAGAAAAGTCGTCAGCAATAGCGTGTTCAGCCTTCCCATGCGATCCGCCGCGTACCCAATTACAATTTTTCCAAGTGCATTCGCGGCATTGGAAATGGCAATAAAGTTCGCTGAGCTCGTGGTCGAGTATCCAAGAGTACGAGCGAATGAAGAAAAGAAAAAAACAGGCGTATAGTAAGCGGCAGACTGGAGTGCGGCGCCCAAAGCATGCGCAGCGAATTTACGGGTCCGAGCCACGCGCCAATCGACCAAAGGAATGCGGAAGAAACTAGACGATCGCGCAGCAGCAGCATTCTCCACCTGGATGCGCGTAATTTGACTAGCAGGCCACTTCATAAACGTCCCCGATACCGAAATGAGGACGAAGGAAAGGCAAGCTGTGATGCGGAGAGTGTTGCGGAATCCGACGCGTTCGATGAGTGATCGAAACGCGAGTGGCCATGCGACACCGCCGAAACCTGTCCCAGCGAGGATTATACCCATCGCAAGGCCCCGGTGCCGTGAGAACCATGTTGGTGCCACTGTCACGGAGGGCATGTATGCCATGCATGTTCCTATTCCTAGGAGAAGGCCTTGAGTGAGCAGGAATTGCCAAAGGGATTGGCTGAAACTCGCTAGGATGAGTGCGAGGGAGTAAATTACTCCGCCACTCCACACCACTGCTCGTGGTGAGTATTGCTTCGTCCATGCCGTGGTGAATGGAGCACCGATTGTCATGAGTGCGATGGATAGTGTACCGATTAGGTCAATCTGTGCTGGGGTTGCCCCTGTGAATGGAGTATTTGTAACCTTGGACATGGAGTCGTATAGTTCCTGCCAGACACCGAAGGCAAAATTGATACCGCATCCTGTGAATACGAGGGTAGTTGAAGCTGCTACCACAATGGTTGGCTGTCTGGAAGAATTTAGTTTGAATCTGAGATGCAGAAGGGTGGAAGGCGTACAGGCGTTCCCATAGCGGGACGGGTCTATAATCGGTCACACTTATTGGTTCAAGGGGGCGGTCCATTGTGCTGTGAGAAAGATTGAAGCCGGAGCCAAGCTGTGTGTGTAGAGAGAGAGCACTTTTATTCGGCTCGTTGAGTCATTCGAAGGTTTGCGGGGAAACGGAGATTCTCGGAGTAAACGTCGGCCACAAGTATACACGCATACAAATGTTGCCGGCTACACCACCATATTAGATACAAATAATCAGAAAATCTTTTCCAAATGATAAACAACTTCTTTTGGAAATGGCTCAGGATTCAAACGCGCAAAGCTGGGTTCACTGTCATTAAGAAAGTTTTACCCAGCTTGCATGAACAACATGCTGAAGACCAGAAGCAAGCACCGCTTACACTATTCCAATACAGAAGACTCATCACCCTAGATCGATCTATTCAAATAGAATACCATAGAGATACTCCTCGTACATACCACGTCCAGTATACACCTCTTGCCCCTCAATACCACCAGTGACAGAGCCCAAAGCACGAGCGTAAACAATTTCGTCATGGACAATGTGCTCTTTGGTAAGGTTTGCGACAAGTGTTTGCCCATTGCCAAGGTCAAAGCGAGCGACCAGTCCATTCGCTTTGGCGATGCCGAAAGTAGGCGGATAAGTGACATTGGCACCCCATTGACGAACCCGAAGAGTGCTCTTAGCACAGCTGGTCTCAAAGACTCTGCCATCTTTTGATGCATAGGCGTACACATGCTCCGTGTTATTGTAATCAAGAAGATCGTACCAGACCAGAGAGTATGGTCCAAGGCGTGCGTGACCCCAGTCCCAGTACTTGGGGCTAGTGATAATAGAAGCATCGCCCCAGTTCTTGTCGTGATATCCAATTCCATCGGTGACATTAAGAATGGTGCCATTGATATTTAAGACTATAGTCGCTTTTGCATCAGGAACTGCATTGGCCCAGTGGAGATGGGGCAACAGGAGGGTGCTCAGGCCCTCGACGTTCAGATTGCAAGGGTAGTGAGCGGGTGCGAGCTGGATTGGTCTGTCAATAGGAGGTCTTAGACTGCTCTTTGGACTTCTGCTTGACTTACCGATTTCAGGTTATAAATACCCTTCAAGCCAATTTCTGGGGAATCGAAAACGATCTCGTACTCCACGTGCGGCTTGGCAAGGTTCGATCCACGGAATCTGGCTCCGGTCCCCTTCCAATCTCCAAAAACACCCTGCTCATCATTCTGAATGATAGCACCACCCGATGCCATTGCCTGAGCAGAGAATTGGGTGCCATTATCGAAGGTTCCCGAAACCTGGACGGCCAAAGGTTGTGGGTTGGCTGCAAAATCCCCCGTGTTGTAGAAGACGATATTGATAGCCGCGCTAGTCGATTTAGAGAAGGCATCAAAATACCAAAAGTCAAAGGAGGTGCGGTTAGCCGAGGTGCTCATCTTGGATCCGTCAAGGTTGCCGGGGGCAGAAAGGTTTTCAACCTTCACGCTGCCATTGTGATAGGCCGGAGGGATGTAGATGCGATTAGCGAATGTCTGACTGGAGACGAACCCGAGGACCGCTGCGAAGCTGAAAATACGCATTGAGATGGATAGAAGGATTGAAATATATTGAAGAAGATAGATAAAACCCTTGTCAGGCGTGAATGAGTTCTTTCAGGAGACAGATATCTTCGAAGATTTTATATCCAAGGCAGACATAGTTGGTGGAGAAAGGGGCAGGTGTGGATCCTGCAATTCCTGTAATGTCATTGTGTCCTTATTGCAGAACAGACGCGGGAAAGAACTTCGATGAAGTGCCGTTAATACCCTGTGCTGTATACGAAGGCTATTCCAAAGATCGACAGGCTTGGGTGGAGTAGCTCCACCGTTGAAAACGAGTACGTTAAGCCTCCGATTGGCTGAACCGGCCTTTCCCTTTTTACGACCCTCGGCATCCACACTAGAATCCATCTTCTACCCAACCAGATCCGCGTTGATAGTGTCGGATTTTAGGAGATCTCTAACAGACGTAGCCAGTGAACAGGTCGTCCAGCCGCGTATTATCAGTCAGGAAACGTAGATTTCGGGGTTGCATAGGAAAATATTGAATGGAGGCCTTAGGCAAGAGACAAGTGCTATGAAAGCGATTCCTTCGTTCCTCTGTTGTTTTCTTTCTTCGTCTGAACTTCTCTGTCCTAGCTTAATTTTATCGTCAATGGGCTGTTGGTTTTCAACTAGGTTTTCCACGCCGCCAAACGATATTTTTACTTTACTCATGACCTTATATTTTGCTTCAGCCTTCTAGCCGTAACTTTCTATGCGGTAATTGTGTAGCTTATGAATACCCTGGTCACATAGACTAAACCCCCAACGGATCCGGCAGGAAAGCTTCGAGAATATCCGCATTCTCAAATTTGATTAAAATGAAGGCTCGGCAGAGACAGTGATATATGGCCTGCGTTTGATTCTTGCGAGTCGGGGGCGACATGTAATTGTCTAATCTCATCGTTATGAGGGCTCCATCAAATGGTCAAAGAATGATCTTGGAGCAGTTTAAGTCCATAGCGTATCACTAACATGTCATACAGCAGCATCGCTCTTAAGGCCATATCTTCAGTGCCTATTAGCTTCATATCTCTCGATCTAGGCGCTTTCTTCTGAGGATTCTTTGCACCTATCTTTCGCCTGACGTGACCAGTGTACCCTTCAGGAAGACCCCTGTTACTCAAATGAGGCTTTTTTAATGCGGAATCACAGGATTGGTAAGTCTTCTGAGTTTCGTGACAAGGATGTCGGATTGACCTGATTCACGGTTAATGATATGTTGCCGGAAACTTCCATTCTAAGCCATGGCAACGGATAATCGATAAGGCACGGAAACACGCCGAATATCAAAGTGTGCTTTATCTGCTGCTTGATAGGCACGACTTGGATGTTGTGATTGGTTCCAACTTTAGGGTAAATCTACCCCGCATCTTGCTATATCCTGAATCATGATAAGCACGATAGCCTATCAAGCAGACATTCCTCCTTAAACCGAACGACACGGCATGTTTTGTCGTATTTTCCTATCCACAGCATTATCGACAGGGCCACTAAATGTCCTGACTGCCATGTCTGAAGAATCTAGGCATAACGGCGAATCACGTATTGCCAAGCGCAAGCGCGAATCCACTGGTCCGAGGAGACGCACGTCTCTGGCGTAAGTTAGGCTCAAAATCATATACAGACAGCTTGTACGAGTATTGACAATTTTCAGGTGTGATATCTGCCGGAAGCAAAAAGAGAAATGTGAAGGTGGCCAACCGTGCTGGCGATGCCAGCGGTTAGATCGAACATGCCAGTTTACATCTCAGCCGGCTCCTCAAAGGCCTAGTTGCTCATTACGAGAAGACATCAGTTCACCAACCTCGAATCAATATCAGCAAAATTTGGAAGTTATTGTACGACACTTTCTCGGGGACGTGTCTCTGGATGAAGAAAATGTTGCACGAATTGCAGCAAAGTGCACGACAGAAAACAAGGAGATGGAGACATCAGGGGTGGATGAACCACAATATATGCATTTTGTGTCGAGTAATGTTGCATGTCGGTAGAGCTTGCCGTTTGACTCACTTGTCCGCTAACCGTGCCTAGTCTACTCAGGGGAATTTTCGCACTGGAACTTCTCCGAGAAGTTGCGTCGCACCATGAGGTGTCGGGATGCGTCCGATTCAATTGTATGTCATCGAATCTAGCTCATAGCGATACCGTCTAACAATATCTAGGTCAAAGAATACTGGCGAGCTACACATCTTCAGTCCTCCACACATACCGCTGCCGAGGCAATAACTCATTTACCACCGAGAACCATTGCTGAATTTCTAGTTGCTGTGTTCTTCAAGTACACTGAAGTCAATTCTTTCTACGTTGAGAAAGAATGGATGCATGAAAAGCTTCAACTGTGTTACGACCCCTTCGCACAGTTGACAGCCGCTGATATCCCTTGGATCTGTTCGGTCTTTGCTGTGTTAGCAATCGGCACGCAATTTGCGCATATGGAAGAAGACAGAGCGAATCCAGATTCCAGTCTATCAGAAGAGATAGCCTTCTGCTCGGAGCATTCTGTTGGACTTGGCTTTTTCAATGTGGCATGCAAACTGGGTCACGATGTAATCCTAGCAGCCTCGTATGAAAGTGTGCAAGCTTTCCTCCTTCTCGCAGTTTATGCCCTGCCAGTCTCATGCGGTGGGCTCTCATACACATATTTTGGGTTGGCTATGAAAATGGCGATTCAAAATGGAATGCATCGAAGATATGTTGGTGGGGAATGCGATCGCAGGACTCTTGAATTAAGGAACCGCCTTTTTTGGACTGTCTATACCCTTGAAAGGTGAGAATACCCCGCATTCTGAAGGGTTGAAGAACTCAGTGCTGACTATTTATAGACGAACTGCAATCATGCATGGGCGACCTAACTCTATCGCACGGTCCGAAGTCAATACCGATTTGCCAACAGATTGTCCGACGTTTGACTCGCCAAATTTCGCCTGTATGATGACTTTCATTGATATGGTCTCTTGGACAGGAGAGGTAGCCGACACACTGTGAGTACAAATCCTTAGTTGGGAGATTCTCTTGCGCTTATACCATCTTCAACAGGGCAAAATTCAAACGATGTCCAAAAAGACTGCTTTCAGGGTATTTAGGTCAGCTTATGCAACTAAGGTCTAAAATTCGACAATGGTGGAGCTCTCGTTCATCCAAATTTCAGGAACAAGATACTGCTCCACAAGGATCCTTATTTCGACAAAATTGCCATATGAAGCTGTGCTACCTTTTAATTTACGTATACATGGGCCGGCCTTTCATCTTCGATACTCGAAGCAAAGAGGAACTACCAGAGAATCAGAATGTCGGCAAAGCCCAGCGATCAGAGCTAGTTAATGATTGCGTACAAAGCGCCTTGGAAATCATCGAAGTACTACAACACCTTGCAGAGAATTTTGGCTTATGTCGTGCCTCTTACACCGAGTTTAGCTCATGCAGAGCAGCTCTCCTCGTGATACTTGCCGAGAGCTTACATTCAGGAAGAACTGCGAGGTTGCAGGAAATTTTGAATCGCGGTATGAGTCTCATTCGTCAAATGACCGGTGGAACATCCACACAATCCGAAATTTCATACATCGAGTCAATCCAAGCGGCGATTGACCAATGGTCGTCAAATGAGAAATTTTGTGACCAGAATGCAAGCGCAGGACACAGCTCCACGTCCGCTTACGCGACATTCAAAGACTGGACACAGTCGATGAAGAAAAGCCAGAATATTGGTGGCACGATGGAATTATCTTCATTTAGTCCTATTTCACACCTGACATCCAGTGCTGAGAGTGCATTTAATCCAGATATGAACGACTTGACAGATCTTCTTGATCAAGACTGGGCAACAAGTGAATTGGGTCTGGATCCAGAGGTTTTCTTGACTTCCTAGGCTAATATAACTTCATTATCCGAATATCACATATCGAACGCGCTTAATCCATGCTGTTGTTCCTGTCTTTGCCGCTTGTTTTTGTTCTTGCGGTATCATTGCGTTCAAACGATCCTCTTCATCGAAATAATCTGCTGCGGAAAAATCCATCTCGGTGGATTTCACAATCTTTGTTTTGAAATAAAACTGTAAATTGTCAGATATCATGATTGCAGATTCAAGGGACAAACCGTACCTTGTAGGCGCAATAGTCAAAGACAAATAATGGAGCAGCGAGGTAGGTGGAGAAAAATGTCTTTGCAGAGCCTTTTTCACCGAAGGGCCAACACGACAGATAGAATTCACAACCGAAGATAAAGACCACTAGGATGAGACTGAAGTACTGTGCCCAGGGCGTAAAGAAACTCTTGAAAGGTAATGTCTTTAGATCCTTGCCTTGAGCCTTTAGTCCTTGTCTAAATCGTAGGTGAGAAATGTAACATCCGGACCATTCGAAAAGAGTTGCGATAGCGACCTGGGTATTATGGTAACGTTAACACCAAGTACCAATTTAATCAGAGACCAACATACCAGAGAGGAAAACCAATTGTATACCACAGTACCAATACTGTCACAATTGAGATAGCAGAGTCCACCGCCAAGTCCTAGGCTGATCGCTATCGCCACAAGCGGCCGGCCCTGCGCATCTTTTCGACCAAAAAAAGGATGTATAATATTCAAGTCTGCAAGTGCTGTCAGGCTTCTACTTGCCACGTAGACACTGGTAATTCCACAGCTAATCACGCTGAGAAAAATGAAACCGTTGATGGCATGTGCCAGTCCATACACGTCTGCGCGCTTAATAGCGATCACGAAAGGACTTGCCAGAGTTCCACTTGCAGTGGCCAGGCTGGTGTCATCAGATGGCACACACATACCCACTAGCCAAATGTTGACGATGAAAAAAGTGAACATGCGCCAGAAGACGGGACGGACGGTTTTCTTGATTGTGTGTCGGGGATTCGCTATCTCGCCGGCAATTACAGCAACATGTTCGCCTAGAGTGCATTAGTTGATTGTGTCAAATTGGAGAGTATAATTATTAGCATACCACCACCGAAGCTAAATGCCGCTTGCACGAAGGCTTTTGCAATGCCCTTCATTCCATTCTTGAATGCACCCGGGTTCTTCCAGTAGCGAAACTCAATAGGGCCATTAGTAGCCGCAATCCCTCCCGACGTCATGATAAACAGGAAGCAAATCATTAATATGATTGCGGCGCATTTGAAAAATGACATGTAGTATTCGATGTAGCCGTAAATCCGAACGTGGAAGAGATTGGCAAGCGCAATTACCACCAGGAAAATTGTGATGTATACGGCCAAAGGGAGGGCGTCTGTTGCTGGCCAGAATTTCAAGACTGAAACTGCTGCTGTTATCTCGGCGGGAATAATCATGACCCACTTTGTTTTCATTAGCATTGGATTCGAAAGATGTTTTAGGCCAATTGTGGTCACTTACTGCGAACCAAAAGTTGATTCCAACAGCGAAACCGAATGCGGGATCCACGTATTCAATGCATGTTCGAATGAAACCTCCATGAACGGGTTTGTATGCCATCATTTCACCAATTGAGCAGTACTGTGCGTAGACGACCATTCTAGCATAATGTTATCAGCAAGTAATGGTGGCTCGCTCTATTGCAGATTTACATACGCAGTCAAAGTATAGGTTAAGGCGATTCCACCAGGACCAGCTAGGAAACATCAGCATCGTCATCAATAACCAAAGGAACCTAAGAGGTAGTTGACATACCATAATATAACGCTTGTCCAGTTCCTACCCAGAGACCGGTCCCGATACCAGCACCAAAAGTCATCATCATCACCTTTCTTCTGGTGAGAGACCGGTGAAACCCTGCGTTATCCGCTGCCTGGATCTCCTTTGATTCGCCATGGTGCTCGGTGCCTGTCGTAGCTATTCTTTCAATGTCTATCTCGTCAGTTGCACCTCCTTTCATGACCACCTTCCCATCTGTTACTTCAGTTGTCGCCATTGCAATGGGAGTTGTTGATGGTAGGTTTGGCGAGACAGCGGCACCAAACGACCTCGAGAGATGACTCCAAATACAAATATCTTAAGAACATAGCTCTTTCCCCTCTTTGTTTATCTCGTTATTATCTTCTGGTCCGTATAACCTCACAGATACCCGGCGGGAAGCCTCCGATCGCCTTTCCCGCCGGGATGCGAGCGGGCTTGTTTTGGGATCAGATAAGTCGCCTCCACCTTGACTCTTATCTTCCTTTTGGCACTCGAACAATCTTTGCAGATCAAAGCGACTTGATTGATAGACTCACTCCGACCGCATCACTTCTAGCATAAATTACTAGCACTTCGTCAAGCTCCGATAAGGATATCTCCCAAATCGCAATCCCATCATCATCTAGTTCAGTTAATTCCAAAATGGCTTCATCCAAGAACGTGGTATTCGACATCGTCGGCACGCTCGTGAGCTACGATCATCTTTACAATGCAATTGACCGCCGCCTAGGCGACCGTCTTCGTGCTGAGGGTATCAAGCCCTGGCTCCTAGGTTCAGCATGGATGGAAACCGCCGAACGCGAATACACCAACCTCAGTATCTCCGGAAGGTATGCTCCATACGCCAAGGTTTTTGAGTCCCTCTTCTATCGCATCCTCGGTATGATGGGTGGCATTGAGAATCCGCGTGCTTTTGCTTCCGCTGAGGACCTTGCGCATATCATGCATGAATATCAGTCCCTTACTATGCGTCCTGGGGCTGCGGAGTGTGTACAGAAGCTACGTGATGCTGGATTTACCGTTTGGGCTCTCACGGCTGCGGATCTGAAGCGTGTTGGGGGGTATTTCGAGAAAGCTGGAATTGAGTTGCCAGCTGAGAATTTGCTTTCTTGTGATTCGGCTGGAGTTGGGAAGCCGGATTTGGCGGCGTATACACCTTTGTTGGAGAGATTGACTACGGAGAATGAGGGCAAGATTCCGTGGTTTGCTGCTGCTCATATGTGGGACGTTTCTGCTGCACGGAGGGCTGGGTAAGTCGTTCCATCTTCATACTATATTCACTCGGTATTAACGGCTTTGGATAGATTCAAGGGGGCATATTGTACAGTGCTCGAGCAGGAGGCGTTGACCAATCTATTTGGAGATATGGATGTCATTGGTGATACGCTGCCTGAGATGGCTGATAAGATTATTGCCCATCAGGCAGGCAATTAATGTTAAATAATTGATAGCTCTACACCTAGTCAGAGTATGGACGAACTTCACGCGCAAATGTGTTTCTCCTTGCTTCTATAGAATAATTCTAGAGAATAATTCCTGTGATTTGCCCGCGACAATGTTAAACGAAAGAAATCATGCCCGCCCATTGCATTTCATGCAATCACAGTGATGGTCAATGCATCACAAACAGCGGTCAAAATGATCGCTGCAAAGTACCTTTCCGGTGGTTTCGAGTTGATAATCGCGTCTCCACCCCGCTCCCGGTCCCGGCGGATCCACAGCCCGGTGGAGAAAGACCGCAACATCGATGAGGATAGATCTCGTGAATGTCACTAATAAATGAGCATCTTGGCGCATCTTCATTCATGAAGCAATATCGACGAGAACGAATAGCAAGATGGCACCCCATGTCCCCGTTCCAAATGGTATGCTGCCCTTCTGGCGGACAGAACCCCATCCTCTAGATAACTACCGCTCCAGCGAGACTTTGCCCGACCACAGTGACATCGTTATCATTGGAGCCGGTTATGCGGGGTCATCGGTCGCACACCATATTTTGCAACAAGTGAAGCCAGGATCACCAGTACCTTCCATCACAATTGTAGAGGCCCGGCAGGCCTGCTCCGGCGCAACTGCTCGTAATGGTAGGATATGTAATTTCGAATGGCGTGGAAATATATATTGACTCCTGCGCATCTAGGAGGGCATATGAAACCCGATATTTATAACCACATCGCCACCCTTGCGACGGAACATGGAGTCGATGCCGCAGCTGAAGTGGCGGCGTTCGAAGCCAAGCATGTCCTTGCGGTCAAAGATTTTATTGAGAAGGAGAACATCGATTGCGACTACACCGTTACTAAGGCCACAGACGTTCAATTGGACGAGGCGCACTTCAAGAAACTCAAAGAAGGATATCATCGGCTGATCGCTGGGGGAAGCAAGCCAACAACGGGAGCTCAGATCATCGAGTCCAGCGAAGCAGAAACCGTAAGTGGCCCTAGCTTCACCTATCCCAGATACCTCAGCTAATTATCTTCAGTTCTCTGGCGTCAAAGGTGCCGTAGGCTGCTTCACCTATGAAACAGGTCACATCTGGGCCTACAAATTCGTCCTCCATCTACTAGAGAAAATAGTCTCACAGGGGATAAACCTACAGACGCATACACCCGTGACAAAGATTACGGAATCCACCCATCCGAGCTCCCCTCATCGCTGGAGAGTGGAGACATCCCGCGGCACGGTTGCAGCCAATGTGGTCGTGCTCGCGACAAACGCCTATACATCTACCCTCGCGCCTCAGTATCAGGGAAAGATTGTTCCGGTGCGAGGAACGTGTAGTCGTATTGTTGTCCCGGCGGGATCGACGGCCCCTCGCTTGACGAATTCTTATACTCTGCGGTTGAATGCTTGGGATTATGACTACCTTATTCCGCGTGCGGATGGTAGTATCGTTGTTGGTGGGGCGCGATCGACATTCATCCACGACGAGAAGAATTGGTATAATGTCAGCGACGACAGCTTGGTTTTGGAGCCTGCCGTGAGGTATTTTGATGGGTATATGCAGCGCAATTTTGCGGGGTGGGAGAATAGTTTTGCCTATACTGATCGCGTTTGGACGGGGAGTAAGTTGATTGGCCCCTGACTGGCAGTGATACGATTCTAATGTGTGCAGTCATGGGATACTCTTCCGATGGGCTTCCGCATGTTGGTCGGGTTCCTGGGAATGAGGGTCAATATATTTTGGCCGGGTTCACTGGTCATGGTATGCCACAGATCTTCCTCGCGGCCGAGGGGATTGCAAAAATGGTTGTCAACGGTTTGAGCTTCGAGGATACTGGACTACCGCGACTGTTCAAGACCACTTCAACGAGAATTGAGACTGGAAATAGTAATATCTTGGAAAAGACCCCTCAAGCCGGTGAATCGGCCAGGCTTTGAGTATGGGATGGAGGATGGAGAAGTTAAATTACATGCTGCTTGGCATAGCGGTGTCATAATTGCCATTATTGTGTGCTCAAGCCACAAGGATCAATTGGAGGCAGCAAATGCCGCGATCAATGATTAGACTGCAATGATACTTGCATGAGCCCCACTAGCGAGTGCATCACCGACATTTCAAGATTTTCCATATCACGTTGTGCCATCTACAACTTGTACCTATGCCAATGTAGATAGCCTAGGTACATACTGTATCGCAACTTGGAGGGTTTCACCAATCCACAACGGTCAGCACTTTGGACCCAAATATATGACAGCCCAGAGTTGGACCTCCAGAGCTGTAACCTTGTCAACCTTGACCTCAAATTGAGACTTGATTTCGGTGCGGGGATCCGCGACCAGCCCAATCAAAACCCCGAGATTCAGACCGGGAACAAGCTGCAGACTCCAAATCAACTGGACCCTTGGCCAAACCTACATGCTTGGCGAGTCTTGGCGGTGGAAAAAACGTCAGTTTGGTCGGGAATTGTGTGCGGGATCCACTTGATCAGGATGCCGATCGCCCCAGTCCATACTACAGGAAATCTTGAGACCCTAGGGAAAGGTGCCCCCAGAATTCAACGATAGAACCGCAATTGAGAAAGTCTTTTATCAGAATGGCTCGCTTTTGACAAAGTATCCTTTAGATACCCCTTGCATACACCGAAGCCTTGTCGATCATCCGCATGTCATCACCAATGAAGATTGCGTGCTCCGCTAACCATCAGCTGCATCACTATTGCGCGATATTGACCCGCTCTCCACACCTCCTTTAACTTTGTAGCTATGAGTAACACCTGCACCTGGTATATAACTGATCGAAAATGGCCCCGTGCTGTCCCAATCCATTTTTTCCGGGTACTTACTTCGGGCCCTCACCGCTATCTACTCGAGGTGCCTCAACCCAACATCCCCGTCACCGACATCCCCGTCATCGGTCGCATTTGGCAAGATGGAATTGCCGCCAAAGATCGAGGGTGATCTCGAGTCCAATGTGACCTACGAATACGACTGGTTGTTGGACGACCACCCACTTCGCTCATATCCCACCGAGTGCATTCCCGGTCTGGGTGCCATCTTCACGGAAGGATATATCTCCGTGCGGAAGCATTGGAAAGAGTTCTTGGTGCGCGGTGTTTGCCTGGTAATCGCATGCTGGTGAGTGCGCATAGATGTCGGATCCAAAGGAAGGGAAAAACCTAACATTTCCGCTCAGTGCCGCTTTCCAATTTCTTCAATATGTCCCATCATTGAATAAAAGTCTAGCCCCGGGCTCCCGTCTTAGCCCTCGCGAGTGGGAAGTGAAATGCACTTTCCCTTTTTCGGATCCCCGCCCGAGTGCCCTCACGCAATCCGTTGTTGCCGGTTGCGATGGCTTCCGCACCGATATTTGGCTAGACAGTCATGATCTTCAGATGGGTCCCGTAGGCTCAGAGCCGAAAGATGATAATAACCTTCAACTTCGACTCAACGCGCTTTTCACGCGCCTGCAGCGGCGCGATCTCTCCGATCCTTCGCAAATTCCCTTGGAGACGGAGAGTCCGGCCGAGGCGATCGAGTCGACGCTAACCAAATCTTTCTACCTTGTTCTTGATGCGCAATCTCCTGTCCGGGAAGTTCTCGGTTTGCTTCTCCCACAATTTGAGACCCTCCGCCAACAAGGCTACCTGACCACCTGGGATGGTGCGCAGGTGGTTCCGGGCCGAGTAACTGTCATTGTTACAGGAGAGACTGTACCTGAATGCCTCGGTGTTCAATCCTCCGATATCTTTTGGGCTCTGAGGGATGACATTTCCCGGAGTGATCTCACGAATGATCATCTGATCCCATTGTGTGCCGAATGACTTCCACGCGCCAATTATTATGTCTGAGTTTTCTGGCCTTTATGATACCCATTGCCAATGTTAATTGAATTTACATTTACCTTCAATATCCCATCGTACTGTCATACATAGTTTGAAGTGGAGCCCCCGCATGGATGGGATCAACATTCCTGTGTCACGTCAAGGCTCGATCAGACTGTGGTCCGAGTCTAGGGTTCGTCATTGGTAGGTTAGCGACAGCTAAGATATATGGGATTTTGTCTCTCAGCAGGGAACAACCTGGGAAATGGTCACGAGATCGGTGGAAACCCGACAAAACTAATCAGCAGCCTGATGGAGCGTAGCTACCTAATCCCGTGGATTTCAGGCGATCAATTTTGCAACCTATTTTAGAACTCCTTTGATTAAATCCAGTTCAAGCTCGTTTGCCGCTATCGCGCACGAGTGTGATTGTGACAGTGAACCGATCTCCACAATGCAAGATACAGTCTTGGCCCCATCACGCTAACGCCGCATCACTCACCGTTTTTTTTTTCTCCGTACGCCCAGAACTCTTGACCTCTGGCCTAGACTTCTCTATTTTCCTCTTTTCTCTCTAAGTCTTCAACTTCTACAATATCCCCTGGATCAGCTTACTAAACCTCGGCTCTTCCCCTCAAACCCCTCCACCCTCCGACGGTCGCGCGCACTATTTCCGAAGAGGTCATGGCTCTCGGGATCAACCGCTGATCCTGCATTGTCTTTCTCCCCGACACCTCTTCCACCGCCATTCTACTCTAGCGATCCCATCATCACGGAAACAGCGCTTCTCATAATCTCGCAACATTAATATCCCAGATCCATGGATTTTTCTCGGCGGTATCAGGGCTCCTGGCCAACCCGTCCATCGCCTCTGGGAACCTCACAGGAATCGCGCAAAGAGCCTTCTCGGATACACACCTCGTCAGCGCCCAACGAACCTCGTCGACCCGAAAATGACAGAGCTCGACCTACCAACCGTTACGATTATGCTTCTCCCACACCCGTCCAAGTCTACACGGGCGCATCGCGTGCGTCGTACCCACCCCGAGAAAGTACCAGCGCACAGGGTTCTCCGGTCAGGAGTCAGCAGGGACATAGTCGTCATGCCAGTCTAGATGGAAGACGCGATCCAATGCACCGCAGACATAACTCCCAGCCACAAGCTGGTCACTCGCAAGAAGGTAGGCATAGAGCTTTTTTATTTTGTTTACTTGCTATTTCCTAAAATCATCTCTATCGATTTCTTTGTCCCTCGCTCTGCTTCCCTGCATATTTCACTGTGCCCCGGATTCAGGAACATTGGGGTCGGACTTGTCCCGTGGTTCCTGTTTGATCTCTCTCCACTTTCCCAGCACATGTCATGCTTGATCTATACCTCGGAGGCTGGTGCGGAGCGCCAGGGACTGGGAAACAGGAGAATCGGGTCAGGAGACAGGTCCTATTTCCGATCGGCCTGTCCTACCGTGCATCCCCAGCCTCTTGCCTCATGATTCCCCCCCCCCCCCCTGATGCTTCTATTTTCCCCGGTGGCGCTGATCCGCTGCTCGGGAACGCTAGTCCGGATTTGGGGCATCTGCACTATCCCTGTCTGGGACTAGCGGTCGAGCTTCCGGAGTCACGGGTTCTGGTGTTCTGGGTCCTGGGAATCATCGCCAATCTTCCTTCCTCTTGAAACACTACAAGGCGCGATGAACCACACGCCTTCCCAGTCTATGCGCCGTGCATCCCAGGGTAGCAGTGGTAGTCCCGTTCACTCGGGTGAGTAGAGGGTTTGCGCGAATCCACAGCGGTGTTGCGACCAAGAATCCAAGCGCCCTTTCTGTTATGGGACCATCTTTTCTTTTTTGACTTATCTGTCGCGAGTCATATACCACGATTGAAAATTCTCTTCAGTGTCTAATACTCTATCGCATAGGGCAACAAGACTCCTCCGTCCCCTCCGGCTTCAACAATCGCCAAATGCCTCCTCCATCCTCGCCTCGTTCTTACGCCTCGCGATCACAATCGGCGAACGCGCCCGCACCATCCCTAGTCTCCCGCGATACGCTAAACAACCAGGCTCATCGACCGGACAGCAGCATGTCGATCAATTCCCTACTGGGAAACACTGCTCCTTCGGCGTCGCAGTTCCCACAAACCTCCCGGTCGCTTTCCGGTACAGCACAAGCATCTGCCGCAGTTGGCATGTCACCATCTACTGCCCAAAGTCGACCATCTCTGGTGGATTTCCGCCGCTCTCAAACCCCTGAACAGCCCTTTTCGAACTCGCAAATGGGTCGGCATTACCGATCTGGCTCTGGTGGCGGATCAAGTCTCTTGGGTAGGGATCTGCTACAATTTGGGGGCCTGTCTCGTGTTTCGTCGTCGCAGTATCCCGAAAAGCCCCATTCGACACAACCTTCCCCTCAGAATTCACCGATCGATCCAAACCACGAATCTCGTCGCCGAAGTTTGAGTGGTAAGATACCTCGACCGAGCAGTCAGCCACCTAACGCGGAGGTACCTGCGCGGCAACCGGGCTACAGCCCGCTTTCTCGATCTGCGGGAGGTCTGTCCGACTTTGAGCCTGGTCAGCGACCACCTGCACAATACCAGGGTCTCAATACCCATTCTGGGTTTGCCAGTCTGCTTGGGGATCAGGATCGAGAGCGTGCAGCTCTTGGTATGGAGGCAAAGGGGCAGCCCACAGGATCTAGCTCGCGCTATGGCGAATCAAAGCCTCTGGGCCGTCACCCTTGGGACCAGGGCTCCTCATCCCGGGAAAGCAAGCGCGCGCCTGAATCAGCTTCGGGCTTTGAGCTTGGAGGATTTGGAGGGATCCAAAATTACACCAAATCTTTGGGGTCTCAACCTGGTGGTGGTCGTCAGTCGTCCTCGCTGAACACTGGACACAGTCAATCAACACCTTCTCGCGAATCACCCTATCTAAGTAGACAGCCACCTCCACGAATGGGATCCACCCCAAATACAGAGGCGGCTGGAGCGGGACTCCTTGGTCTGGCGGCTTCTGGGGGAGAGGCGCGGCGCAAGGGAAGCGATGACCTCCTACAGCCCCATTTGCGTGCAGTTGGTGTCGGTGGAAAGCTTGGTGGACGTGCATCGCCACTCCCTCAAGCTGTTCAAGGTGCGCAGGCCCCGTTTATCAGTCAATCTGGGGAGCCCAGTATCAAAAATGAGCTGGGTAGGGTGTTCTCTGGCATTGGCAGTGGTGTCGGTGGTGTGACCGCTGGTGCATCTGGCAGTGGACCATCGACGCCGTTGATCGCAAGCCCATTTAAGCATCATAGCGCCACCGGTCGCTCTGTGAATGGGGATGGACTTGATGATGGTAGAATCCCTCGTTCACTTTCCGCCTCTGGTGGCAGGCGATCTAGGAAATCTAGACATGACCATGATGCTCACCCACATCGACCTCGTAATTACTCACAACACCCAAATCACCACCACCACCATCATCATCATCACCATCAGTATGTATCTGGAGATCTCTACGGCTCTGGTTCACATGTACTGACTACGTCTCCTAGTCATCACCATGACCCTCACAAGGACCCTCAAAGACCAGAGAAGGAAGCAGACTCCCTATCCGGGCACCAAAATCCTCCCCGTTACGATGTCCCTTGGCCTCCTGCCGCCGTAGCACCTCCCATCCGAGCGCCTCGCACCACTGTGAACCTGGAACCCCTTCTCTCCAGCGTCGCCCACCTTCCTCGACATCACCTGGGATCAACATTATACACCCCTCGCATCAGTGCTCCGTCGACCAAGTCTTCATCAGAAAGTTCTAAATTCGGCTACAGCACGACCCCACAACCTCTTCCACGATTTGAACAGCGTGAGAATTGCACCTTCACGGTTCGTGTACCACGCTTCCGAGTTGATCAAAGCCACCGTGAAGAGATATGCGCACGGCGAGCCCTGTGGGGTACTGGCGTGTACACAGATGACTCTGATCCTGTCGCCGCCGCCATCCACTCGGGCTTCTTCCGAGGTGCGTGGGGTGAGGATGTGGAGTCTATGCTGGATCTAGAAATCAAAGACACCTACCAGCACGCCCCGCCAGCCGCGGAGGCAGACATCTCGAAACCAGGCTCCCAGGCCAACGGACCTCGACTACCGCCCATCCCTCCACCCAACCAAGATCTTCACATCACACTTTTGATCCTCCCCCGATTGGAGCGGTATGATTCGACAGTTATGTTTGGAATCAAATCCCGCAAGTGGGATGGCCGGCATGACGGCATGAGTTTCAAGGTGCACCGCGTGGACTGGGTGGATGACGGAGTTGGACGCGGCGAGGAGCGAGGCGGCGAAGCCCGACGCAAGCGACTTCGTACTTTGATGCAGACTGGTCGTATCTGCACGGGGCCCGCGCTAGCTAAGATGGACGAGCTTCGGCGAAGCGGAGTGCAGGTTTCCCGGAAGCTTGACGGCCAGGAGCAGCCCACGCCCGTTCAGCCGGTCTCCTAGGATGATCTTCTCCGGATTTTGTTGTCTCATTTGGCTTGCCCGTTCGATGTGGGGATGCGAACCAAGTTCTATGGAGTTCTGGCCCGACTTATTCTCCATCTAGACCTTGGACAGGTCTACGATTTTTCCTTAACTTATCTTCTGATTTGTGCCATTTCGATACTTATTTCGATCTTCTGGGCTGTTTATACCTGCGAATAGCGTTGGTCGCGATTGATCTTATTTTTTCTTTGACATTTAGGTTATCCGGATCAACGGGAACGGATGAAGGGATGTTATGGGAACAGCAGGACTAGTTCTGTTCCTTTGCAATTCTTGTTGACTTAGTATACATAATTTCATGTCCCCGCGGGGATTTTATCTATTTCCCAATAAATATGTTACGAAAGATCAGTGTTCTCCGAGCAACGCGTAGACACCTTCCCCGGCGCTAAGACTCAAGCTCTCCCCGCATTGTGCTCCCATTCGCAGCGGAAAGATTATCCACAAATACAGGGTTAGCATTTGTGTTCACCGGCACCAATTTTGATTATCATTCAGCAGTCGTAGTACTTTCCACCTTGTCCTTTCTCATTCCTCTCGGTATCCCGAGTCCCGAGTCGGTCGATCCCCTCCTTGTGACTGCATAGTGCCCACAATAACCCCAGAAGTCGAAACAACCGAGGCCCAGATCAATACATAGATTACCGGGGTCTATGGTATAATTCCATCATAGCCTCCTCTCATTGGCGTATCAGTCCCACCGACCGGTAATCGCGACGTCACGCCTATCCGCGGGCAACATTACTTCGGTCTCCTGCGAAGCCTCGGCTCTTTTACTCTACGTATTTGTTCTCCGACTGCTCCTGGGATCAACTTCATCTTTATCTTCCTCTCCCCTAGATACCCTCTTCTTTCCCACAACCCCGCTGTCCTACACATACGCGAGGTATGTTTGCTGCTTCTGCTAGAAGCCGTCTCTCGTCTACCTTGTCAAGGCCCCGGCTCCCTCCGACACAACTGCTCGCTCGCTCGGTAAGACGGCCACCTCCGACTTGCTGTCGCAAGATCTTTCAGGAATTTCAAGATCATAGGGATCAATTGAGACTGACAGTTCTACCAGACACCCGCTATGGCTCCCCGTCGAAAGGCATCTTCAATCCCCGAGGGTGAGTTCTTATCACATGCGTTAGTGGGGAATGCCGTCATATGGTCTCCTTGCCAATACTCTCCACCAATGCGCCCGGTTGAGGAACACTAAGCTAACCAAATGAAATTTTGTGCGTGCAGGGTACAAGGAGGATCTCTCCAAAGGCAAGATGCTTCGCTTTGAGGACTCTTTGCCCCACCTCCCCGTGCCATCCCTGGAGGAGACCGGCCGCCGCTACCTGAAGTCCGTCCACCCGCTCGTCTCCGAGGCGGAGTATGAGCGCACCAAGACTGCTGTAGAGGCTTTCATCCGCCCTGGTGGTGAGGGTGAGCCTCTCCAGAAGCGGTTGTTAGAGCGCGCCGCCAACCCCAAGATCAAGAACTGGATTGCCGAATGGTGGAACCAGGCCGCTTACCTGGGCTACCGTGACCCTGTGATTCCATATGTTTCCTACTTCTACTCCTACCGGGATGACCGTGAGCGTCGAGACCCGGCCAAGCGCGCGGCAGCCATCACTTCTGCTGCTCTCGAGTTCAAGAAAGAAGTTGATGCCGGCACGCTCGAGCCCGAGTACATGCGCGGTCAGCCCATGGCCATGAGCTCCTACGAGTACATGTTCAACTGCTGCCGTATCCCCGCTGACCCCGCAGATTACCCCCAGAAGTACTCCGCCGAAGAGAACCAGCACATTGTCGTGGTCCGCAAGAACCAATTCTTCAAGGTGCCCCTGGTCGTTGACGGCCAGACCCTTAACGTGTCTGAGTTGGAGCAGCAGTTCCAGCGCATCATTGAGATTGCCCAGCCTGCCCCGCCGGTCGGTGTGCTGACTGTTGCTGACCGTGATCACTGGACTGCGGCCCGCAAGAAGCTCATCGCTGCTGATCCGGCCAACGAGGAGGCTCTACGTGCGATCGAGTCTGCTGGATTCGTGGTCTGCTTGGATGATGCTAAGCCCGTTACTCTGGAGGAGCGCTCACACCAGTACTGGCACGGCGACGGTTCCAACCGCTGGTTTGACAAGCCCCTGCAGTTCATTGTCAACGACAACGGTACAGCCGGCTTCATGGGCGAGCACAGCATGATGGACGGAACACCCACTCACCGTCTGAACGACCACGTCAACAACCTCATCTTCAACAAGCGTATTGATCTCTCTGCCAAGTCTGTCCGCTCCCAGCTCTCTGACCCCAAGCCCATCACCTTCAACCTAAACAAGGAAACCAACGAGGCCATCGACATCGCGGCTCAATACCACCGCAAGCAAATCGCCGATCATGAGCTCGTCGTCCAAGCCTTCCAGGGCTACGGAAAGGGTCTGATCAAGAAGTTCAAGTGCAGTCCCGATGCCTACGTCCAGATGGTCATTCAACTCGCCTACTTCAAGATGTACGGCAAGAACCGTCCTACCTACGAATCTGCCTCGACCCGTAAATTCCAGGAAGGCCGTACAGAAACTACCCGTACCGTCTCCGACGAGAGCGTCGCCTTCTGCAAGGCTTTCCACGATCACACCGTCCCCCGTGAGGAGGTTGTTAAGCTCTTCCGTGCTGCTCTGTCCCAACACACCAAGTACACTCTTGAGGCTAGTGATGGCCGCGGTGTTGACCGTCACCTCTTTGGTCTGAAGAAGCTTCTCCAGCCTGGCGAGAAGCTTCCCGCTCTCTACGAGGATCCTGCATACTCTTACTCCGGTTCTTGGTACATTTCTTCTTCCCAGTTGAGCTCAGAATACTTCAACGGATACGGATGGAGCCAAGTTATTGATGATGGATTTGGTATCGCCTACATGATCAACGAGAACAGGTAAATACCCTCTCATTCTTCATTTTGTTTTTGTCGATGTCAGTACTAACATCATCCAGTCTCAACTTCAACATCGTCTGCAAACGCCTCGGCGCTCATCGTATGAGCTACTTCCTGAATGAGGCCGCCTCCGAGCTTCGGGATGTGCTTATGCCCGACCTGGCTGCCCAGTCTGAGAAGGCTAAGCTGTAGTCTTCAGCTTGTATTATCTGGTTTTCCTTTTATTCCCATCTTATTTGAGATCAGGATTCTATTTCAGCGTCTTCGATAGATGAATATATCTGTGTCTTTTTCTGTATACAACTTGACACATTGAGTTTAATTTCTTTCCTAGTATACTCATGCTAAGTACAGTTAGTGTTAGAACCATCTGCTTGCATCTAGGTAGAGCGGATATTCCAATTGAAGGTCCTTGTCATTTTATCCCAAAATCTATCAACCAGGGATCCATAGATAGGTATTCTTGAGCTACAGTGTAGATTGGACTCCTAGGCGGTAGTGCACTGCAAGGCTAGGTATACTACAGGGCTTACTACTTCTCGCTGAGTATATTCTAGGATTTCTGTAGATATTCCTATACTAACATCGAAAGGGCGGATAGTGATTCCCATGTATCATATATTTACTACAGCTTCAAAGATTGTACTACATGCAAACCCCTGTATCATATCTTATGGTTGGTTATTATTGGGATACCAATGCGTTGTGCGACATGCCTTGCTTGCTGAAGGGCTTCACCGATACGATGCGTATCTAGGTAATACCTTAGACAGCCAAACACGGTGCATATGATAGGTCGACGGCCACGCTCCTGTCGGGTAAATCTGCATCACTGCAACCTCATCTCAGACGCAGAGTTGCTGCATTATGCTTCAAGAACATCCACGCGAGGGGTCCACAGCGGTTTAACTGTACATCCGGGCTGAGATCGGAAATTAGGTAGCTACTAGGTAAGATAAAAAAAGCCCTCTGCTCAGTGCGAAGAGTAACAAAGGAAAAAATCCCTCATGACAAGGTGAGCGTCACAAGGCGGTCTCGACGTTTCTCATCATACCATGTTGACATTAGCGCATTTGCAGATGGGCCCACTCGATTTAGAATGGAAAGTTCAATGCGAGCCATGACTAATCTTTTTCCGGAACGGCCGCTGGTATTTAGGTGAGATGACGGCTTTTTTTGGGGATTTTCAGTCTTTTCCGTCTGCCGATCTTGCAGCAGGCGGGTCTGCCGTTTCGGCCCCCTCCTGCCCCGATGTCTCACCCGGTTCATTAGCTGGGGAGGCAGTTGGTATTGAAGAGACTGTCATGTCTCCTATCTGTCGTTCTATAGCGAGTTAGATTTCTGGATACCACGTGCTGTAAATTACAACTCTCCACTACCCCACGTCTAGTGAAGGCCTCTCTCCGCAAAGGGTGTGACTGTGCAACGGGGGGAATGATAGAGCGAATAATGCTTACCTAATTCATGGATTCTTTGTCGTAGCATTTGATTTTCTCGACTCAGCATGGCTGCCTCAGCTTGGTAGTATGCAGTTTCATCTCGGCTTCCACGGCGCGATAAACTCGGTAGAGCTGGGAATGCCTCCGTGCCTTCGGATCCTCGTAAGGCATCTAGGGGTTGCAGGCTTGGAGATGTCGTTTGGCTGGGTGGCCGTGAGGATCGGCGATTGGAAACCGAGGAGATTGACAGCCGACTGCTGGGTGCTTGCACAGGTGGGGGGGATAGGAAGGGAAAATGAGGAGGACCGTTCGGACGGGGTCGGCTCATCGACGATTGCCGTGCTAGCACCTGGCTGCGTGGACTGTTGTTGCTGGAATAATTGTAGCTGGGCCTGCTGGCTGCGAATCATCTGTAGTAAACGATTCTACCCCACATTAGTTAGACTGCTGTTGTTGTTTAAATTAAAGAGAGACCCACCACTTGCGCCTCTTGCTCCTGCTCTAATTCCTGGTGTAGCTCTCCAAGGGAGGGTGCGCGCTGGTGGTGCGGGTCCGCTGTCGCGAAGACTGGGCTGCCGCCGTGACTGGTGGGACTGGCCGTACGGAATGCATGGCCGATTGAGGAGCGGTGATCAGGCCAGGGGCTCTCGCCGTGAATTCCCGAGGCACTAGGCAACTCGTTCAGGTTTAGATTCATGCCGGCGGCCGACCGGCGTCGTTCGGAAACCGATAGTCGGCCCGCACTGGATCCGCGGGAGGGTCGAGGGGAAGTTGTGTTGGGGTTCATTGGAGCCGGGACCGTCCCTGGAGAGGCAGTCGGGGGGTTGCGATGAGGCAGAGATGAAGAGGTGGAGGATGAGCGAGACTGTGGAAGAGAGTTGATATCTGGGGACATGGTGAGAAAGGCCAGTATTGCAAATGATAAGGGTACAACTTCAGTGGAATCTAAGGCTGTGAAGCTCCATTACCGTCAAGAGCATGACGAGGCGCTGACTCAGCCACTCGGCGGGGCAGGTGACATCACATGACACAGTGAAAAAAGGCCCTGGTGCCTAAGGTGTCTACATCCGGGGATTCCCCGGTTTCTCCATAAACAGCGTCAACGATCCAGAACCCGGGGTACGCTCGTGACAAAGTACTTTATGAGTCACAGTGAACATGGCCATGTTTGGCACCGACTGTACATCCAAGAATCCTTCTCGCCTATCCCAAGGGCCAGAAGCGTGTACCAAGTGAGTGAGGCTCGTTCGTACCTGGGTGCGGCCAGGTCCAGAATACCAAGGGACAGAACGGCAGCTCCGAGGGGCAGTGGCGCCCCAAACTCAATACTCCAAATATACTACATTCGCTTCGACTAACCTCATGAATCATGATTTTGGTGATTTATACCCGAGATCATCCAAAGTCGCGTGGCTTGATCGCGATCGACGATCACGGCCCATGTGCAGGAATGCAACAATCCAATTGCGGTATCCTGCATCTGTGGTTGTTTCCGGATAACGTACCACCGGATGGGAGCAAAGCCAAACTATGTTTTGAAAAAAGGGGAATTATGGGGTCACAATGCATCCCCAAGTGTGGTTGACATCGGCGCTTTGACTAATCTTCGATTCTGGAAAGACTCGCCCTGCAGATCTCAGGATTTCGGGGTTGCGGCTTGGAGGCAAAGAGTAAGCGCAGCCCGTCGAAACAAGACTCTGGGCCCCTGCTCGGATGACGATCGCCCCGACGCCACGCCCGTCAGTCCCATGGCCCTGTACCTGCTCCTGATTTCTAAAGGTACTATGGCCAAGGCTTTTGATTAGTGGAAGGCCAGCCTGACGTCACATGAAGCCACCAAAATACACATTGTGAAAATTTTTTCTTGGACTTGGCGATCTCGAATCCTGAGGGGCTCGGGCAAGCCGGCTTTGTCCATGGGGAATTGATTTGATTTCTGCGTCATATTTCCCCTTTGTAGTTATACTTCTGAGCGTGATGGAGAACCATGCGATCCGTTCAGCGTTGACCCAATAATGTCGGCTCCTTGCATCGTGGGGCACCACACGTCCCTCCCCGTATTTTCCCTCATTTTCTATATCTCGGTCTTTAGGGTGGACATTTCGATGTCGCATGCATCGTGAAATGGGCCCTGGCTAGTCCCCGTGATCCCGATGCGGGCATTCTCATCGTCTTCTCCAAAAACGGTTCGGCAAACGTCCGGCGTGAACAAGCGCACTGACGACCGCCATCGGCCATGGGTTGAGTGGAGCCGATTGTCCAATTGCGGGTTTGTGTGCCCATGGGGCTTGCGGTTTACCTATTCCCGGGGGAAGGGGCGTCATCTCACGCTCAACTCCTAGAAAAAAGTAAAACCAGTACTAAAAGCGCAATTCAAAGAAACTAAATTGAAAATTCAAATAAAGCGAAAATAAAAATATCGGCATTCTCAGTCATTCAATTCAGCAACTTCGTGGTTGTGCTGAGGGAATTTATAACGAAGTGGAGCCAAAGAAAAAAAAACGGGGAAATGTAGTCGGCATCCCGCTGATTCGGTAGGGAAACTGGACAGCGAGCAAGAAATCTGGAGAAAGACTTTCCCCAATTGGAATTTAGACTGAATCCTATTATGTACAGTACTTGCCCTGGTCAAGTGAAATCTGGGGGCTTAAATCTATGGTTCCAAGGAATGTCCTTGCCGCATCTGATCTCTACGTCGTTGCATTAGGAAAAGTAAGTATTTATTACTCTCGGTCCCCCCCCCTCCCTCCTCTTTCATTCGCACATCTCTTACTCCGCGTTTTTCCCACACTTTCTTTCTTTCTCTAACCTTGGGCCGTTTAGTTCCCCAGGTTTTCTGTTTCATACCGTTCCCGTTTGTCGACCTTGTACCCTTAACCCCCAAGCAGAGAAAGATGGAAAGCAACCCAGGAAAACCAGGCAACGGCCGAGATGTTCTACAAAATTCAGAGTCATCCAGCACTACTCACGATGTCGTGGCTATCAATGAAAAATCAGACAATCTTCATCAATTGGAAAATGCCTCCCCCGATGGCCGCATCATACTCACTGAGGATATGTGCTACGATAAGCTGGGATACTCTTTCAGCGAGACTCGCAAGTGGATGATCATTGGCGTGATTTTTCTAGTCCAGGTCTCCATGAACTTCAACACCTCGCTATATTCAAATGGTCTCTCCGGCATCTCGGAGGAATTCGGTGTCTCGATGCAAGCTGCCCGATGCGGTGCCATGATTTTCCTGGTACTTTACGCTTTCGGTTGTGAGCTGTGGGCACCATGGAGTGAGGAGCTGGGTCGCAAGCCCATTCTGCAGTTGTCTCTGCTGTTCGTCAATATCTTCCAACTGCCCGTGGCATTGGCCCCGAACTTTGCCTCTATCATGGTCGGTCGAGCCCTTGGAGGTCTCTCATCGGCCGGTGGTTCCGTGACTCTGGGCATGATTGCCGATCTATGGGAGGCCGATACCCAGCAGTATGCGGTCGCAGCCGTCGTCTTCTCCTCGGTGGGAGGTTCAGTTCTGGGCCCAGTCATCGGTGGTTTTGTGGAGGCCTTCCTCCCTTGGCGCTGGAACATCTGGATTCAGCTTATCTTCGGTGGCTTTGTCCAGATCATGCACTTCATCGTCGTTCCCGAGACCCGTACGACCGTCCTCATGGACCGCATTGCGAAAAAGATGCGTGAGAGCGGCGAGAACCCCAACATTTATGGTCCTACCGAGAACATGTCCTTCCGTGAACGTTTCCCTCCTCGTGAGATCATGGCTACCTGGATTCGTCCTTTCCGCATGTTCTTGACCGAGCCCATTGTTTTGACTCTCTCTCTGTTGAGTGGATTCAGCGATGCCCTGATTTTCATGTTCATCCAGTCTCTGTCCTTGGTCTATGGCCAGTGGGGATTCAACACCTGGCAACTCGGCCTCGCATTCATTCCCATTGTGGTCGGATACTTCATTGCATGGATCTCATGGTTCCCCGTGATCAAGCGAAATGTGGCCGAGCGCGCCGCCAACCCCGATAGTGAACGTGCTCAGTACGAGTCTCGCCTGTGGTGGTTGCTGTACACTGCACCCTGCTTGCCTATCGGTTTGATTGGCTTTGCCTGGACCAGTCTGCCGCAATGCCACTGGATCGGATCTATGATCTTCGCTGCTATCATCGGTATCGCCAATTATGCTATCTATATGGCCACTATCGACTACATGATTTGTGCTTATGGCCCCTACTCTGCTTCGGCTACTGGTGGTAACGGATGGTCGCGCGACTTCCTGGCTGGTGTTCTGACCATCCCGGCGACTCCTTTCTTCACCAACATTGGTAGCACAGACCACGTCGAATGGGCCTGTACCATTCTTTGTAAGTTCCTATACATAATCATGTCTCCAATATCTGCTAACTTTGGTTCCTTAGTCTTTATTTCACTTGTGTTGGTCGCCGCTGTCTACGTCATCTACTGGAAGGGCCCTGCTCTGCGCAAGCGTTCTCCGTTCGCCCAGCAATTGAACGAGGCTCGCCATGACTTGGCCATCCAGGGCCGACGCGTCTCCAAGGTTCCCGAGGCATCGCGCGCCAACTCGTATGCCCGATCCCAGCAAGATCTCCGTCTCCGCCAGGCCCTTGGCAGCCGCCCAGGCTCCCGCGTCAACTCCCGGGCCAACTCTCGAGCCAACTCGCGCGCGAACTCCCGCCGCAACAGCGTGAATGCTTCAGACTGAAAAATTAGCCTCAAATCTCCTCAACCTCTTCAATACCAAATCAAATGACAGTACATCACCGGAAAACGTGACCTTCAACGGGCAATGCACCTTTCAGCCTTGGTCGCAAACTCAAAAACCACAGTCCGTGATACGGGCTTGCAATGGAAAGGACTGGATTGGCGATTTAGGCGCATTTCACAACTTCCTTTCTCTGTTCATGTTTTCCCATGGCTTAATCCTTGCGCTGGACGTGGTGGACTTGTCAAAACTTATTATTCCGGATGATCGCTGAGCATACGACTGTTTGACCAGGATATCTACCTCGTTTTAGAAGGCGGCGTACTCACTTAATGTGTTTTTTCTACTTGACTCGCAACGGTCTCGATGGAATTTATGGACTGTCAGGTTGTTATGTACTTTAGTCCTTTGGCTCTGTGATACCTTTATTACGACTCCTATGAATTAGCTTATTATTCACAAAAATCTTTAATAAATCGATTTCTACCTACAACTTTGAAGATGGATACTCTAAGGAAGATCATAATCATCTACATTATGATCTACAACAGATCTTGCTAATTTGTAGATACTCATTCCCCGGATCTCGATTCTTGACAAACACTATACTGACGATCAGCGGAGTCTTCGCGTGGTCTCACAAACTTATGGGATAAAGATCGATCTGATCTACCCGACTTCCCCGATGGTAGAGTAGCATTGAGGAAACGGTGCCTTGCCGGATCCGGCTTGATATTAACTTTCAAGCAGGTCCCCGGATTTGAGTTACACTGCCTGATTAGGCGTTTGGGGTTCCGTGCTGGGTGTTACTGCACTATGTGGTATTTGATCATAGAAGAAGTCGGCATCAACTTGACAACTGGATGTGAGGTACCTTTTTGCTTGCTCGGATGGTCTAGATGTGGTCTTTTTAAAGCCTTGGTGGTCATGATTTTTCGGATCTGCATGTGATTCATCAAGGTAGAGGCTGAAGCTAAAACTTAAAATTGGGTCAGTCTCTCGAAGCCTAGTCTAGAACTTGGAGTTTCTTTCTCTGTGCAGTGTGTCTTACAAGGTTTATATGCTCATATCTACTTGTTACGTGGCCTATATGCGATACGAAGTTGATATGAGGCTCTTTATATCCTAGGATATTCCTTCGGCGGACAGTGGCTGTGGATGTAAACAAGATAAATAAAACCAACCTCGGAGGATCTCATATTCAGACCTCATAGGCAATTGACTGTACTAATAGATTGCATCAGCGTAATTAGCAGTTCTGTGGTTGTAGTGGCACTCTATGACGCGACAAGGGAGAATCCAGTTGTACAGACTGGTTCCACGAGTCCTGGATTGTGCGTTCGATTACAGCTTTGCTTGATACCGATCTTTTGACCCTCCATTTCTCCCTAATGATGCCCAAATTGACCGACAATTGGAAGCTCGGTGGCGAAAGAAACAAAGATTTCAACTTGATATCACATGTTCAAAGAATTCTAATTTGCTATTATACCTCTTCTCCGACAGTGACCTACCGCATCTCCGTTCCAAGACCAGTATAGCGCCTCGTAACAAGGACCTTCCCGGGGTGGTAGAAATGAAAGACAGCTTGAACCACAAACATCGGGATCGTGTCAAACACGTACATGAACACCTCGTGGCCCATTAAGTACCCGTCATTTCCTTGGCAGAATTCAATAATGCGATAGAAACATCGAACGATAATCAACGCCGATACAGTAAATAGAACAAAGAGCAACTTTCCATACGGTAAGTTACGTAGCGCGGTCTTGGTCTGCTGAACTCGCCGCCCAAAGATAATTGCGATCGTGAGGAATGCCCCGAAGAAGATAAGTTGAATGAAAAGACCCACGATGGTAATGGTCTGTCCCATCTTCGCCATAGAGGATATCGCCATCATACCACCACCAGAGGCTTGGGTCAGGAACGCAAGAACGTCCCCAATCACAAAGATCTTGGTAACCTTTTGTGGTGATACGATGGATAGTGTTCGCTCTCCAGCATAGTCAACGATACGCCCATATATCATGTATATCGTAGCGGCGTAAAGGGAGGGTGGGAGGAGAATGCAGACATTTTGTCCAATGTACGGGCCCATGGCGGTCGTGTCCGCAGCTGAAGCGGCGCGCAATATGTAGCCAAGGGTCATCACTGCGCACCATAAGTTAGTCCGTGTGATCAGCCCTGAGCATAAGGAACTAACTCACTAAGTGCCCCAACGATGAATGTCGTGAAAAAGAAGCATTTCATAGCTACTAGTTGAAACACATGGTAGCCAGCACTAGCTCCATAGCAAATAAGTGCAATAATCGCTCCCACTTTGCTGGGGCTGTAGTCGTAGAAAGACCAGTTTGACATGGTGAACGAGGGCAGTATCGGCTGTCTGTTAAAATGGTTTCTTAGGAAAATTAAACAAAGTGAGCGACAGTTGGAGAGGCTTAGTAGACAAAAGGAAGGGTAATAAAAGACTGGACAGAACACGATGAAGAGAAAGACTAAAAAGAAAGGAATTGGGACGGTTGAGGAGCAGAAACTCGCGAAGGGGTTTCTCTTATGTGTCTTACATCGGAGCCCACACCTCTTCTGGTCAGCAATAACATTGAGTCTCCTTAGCTTTGATCCTATGTTTGCTCGTTTAGTTGTCCTTGTGGCTAAACAGTCAACCCCACTGACGGACATGATCCATGTTTTTCCAACCTAAACGTACTGTAGATGGAGATAGGTAATACATTGGCCAATCAAAAGGCTTACGTACTCGTACCTTTAGTGCATGAGGTGGGGCAAAGATTCCGTAGCCTCGAAAAGTAGTGAAACAGGATTTTTATTTATCATTAGTGAGAGCAAACGTAGATGTCTTTAGGCTATGTACTTCCTTCATCATATGAAGCATCGCTCTTCTGGTTCCAAGAATGAATGGTTGCTTCTATTATCAATGTGTGAACACAATGGACTATACGGAGTACATGTGAACCTGATGTGGGTTCGAAGTCTATTCCTGAATAATTCAAATTTTCAAAAAATAAGGTTCAAATATTATCAACGCAGTGGCTTTTTCGTGATGTGCACCAGCCTCATATCACAGCGCAATTAGCTTATGGTAATGGGCGTGAGCATTGGGAACCATAAGCTTGTGGCGGATAAGCTCGCGGGAAAGATCAGCGGGATACCTGGGATTATGCTTCCCCTTTGACTGTACGTGAACGCCTCTCCATAGCGGATCCATATCCCTAGTGGGTGTTGTAGTCGCCTATTCGTTATACGAGGCTTCGAAATGGCCTATTTTTGGCATCGAGATGACTGACAAATCACAGCATGCTGAGCTAAAGAAAATTGTTTTATATGCTTGAACTTCAAGCTAATTTGCATATTTATCTTGCACTTGAAGCCAGTCAGTCGCAGTATTCCCTTTTGTGTCATCGTTAATGGTCTGTTCAGAGTGAGGTACTCATTTTGGACGCATGAAGGTTTCAGTAAGCCTTGGCAAGAGTGGATTAGGTTTTAACTCGCAACCCACGTGACCCAACGACATAGGCTCTTCGACCGCTGAAGGCAAATCTTTCTGATGAAACACACTTCATATCAGTATTGAATGTGAATGCCTAGTAATCATTACCTGATTCAGTCAATTCACTGAACACTGTCAAATGTCTTGTTCGAACCTACACGCAGGTGTGGACTGTGAGCTATACTCGCAGCGTCATACCAGTCAGAATGCCCCTTAGTCGGCGGTCGCACAAAAAATCGAAAACAGGTTGCCTGAGCTGTAAGAAGCGTAGAATAAAGGTAAGGACCTTGTCCTCGACAGAACGTCTTTTTTTTGTGGACCCTTGTTCCCACTTTTTAGGGAGCAGGATTATATGATTATATCTTCTGTGCTCGATCTCCATGAAACTTGTCAGTCAGAAGATCACTGCTAAAATTGTCCAACAGTGCGATGAAGGAAGACCCAAATGCGGAAATTGTCTCCAGCATAGAATTCAATGTGACTACGGGCAGCCTCCAGCTCCAAGCGCCTTCATACAATCAAAGCTCAGCGCGCCTTATCCATCTAGAGAAAAAACCACGACATTCCCTGAAATATCGTCGAGGTTACCTTCATGTCATCAAATCCCGCTGGAGGATGTTGACACAACGGATTTCAGACTTCTTCATCATTTCACCACATCAACATACCGCACTCTATCCGATCAAGCTGAACTACAATCTCTATGGCAACTGCAAGCTTCCGAGCTAGCCTTCTCACACCCATTTCTTTTGCGAATGATCTTTGCCGTATCCGCCTTGCATTTATGTCGGACAACGTCTAGTACACGCTATCTACAATATGCACACCAACAATACGAAGCAGCACTACGGTCCTCATCCGCGGTTCTCTCAAAGATCTCACCTAAAAACTGCCATGCACTATACGCCTGTTCTGCCCTCGGATTCATATTCGAGCTTGCCACCTTCAACAACGGCAATGATCTTCTCTACAGCACCGATGGTTTCCTAGCACCCTGGACCGTACACTTGCGAGGCCTGCGGACAATCTTGGATTCCTCCTGGCATGATCTTGAGTCCGGGGTCTTAGGTGGTCTTTTCCAACCTAAGATCGGCCAGGGTGTTGTAGAAGATATTGAGACTTGTCTGGGCCATTTTTCAGTTTATATCCAATCAATGGGCCTTGACGATGTTCATCTTTCGGCTTATTTCACGGCTCTTCAAGAACTTCTTAAATGGTCGAAAATGGTGGAAATTGGATTTGTTGGGTGGATGTGCCATACTAGCGATGGGTTCGTGGATTTGCTAAAATCGAAGGACCCTTTGGCTCTCATTATTTTTGCTCACTCGTGCGTTCTTTTGGAATACGGGGAGCCGAAATATTGGATTGGACAAGGGGCCAAGCATCTGCTGAGAGAAGTATATGATTATTTGGATCCCTCTTTCAGAGTGTGGTTGGAATGGCCATTAGATAAAGTTGGCTGAATGAGTGTTATGTATTGATTAGTATTCCCAAATAGCTCATTCTAAATCTATGCTATTTAGGTAGCTATACGTACCGTTTCTTTGACGAGTGGGTATTCTCCCTAGTTGCTGCCGCTTTAATGAGGGCGCTTAGACTCAGACTCACTGATATTCATCACATGATAGATCAGTGACCCCATTCTGTTGATTACTTAGGGGCTTTTATTCACTGCCTAGTCTACTCCTAGTCCATTTCTAGGGTAGCTTCTGTTCTCTACGCCATGCATTAGCCTATTGCCTATTTACTTTTGATGGTCCTTAATTACCACCACCTTCGTACTCACCTGATTTGAGCCCTATTAAACCTATTTAAGGCTAGTTGGATTTAAAACTTTTCCAACTTCATCTGGAGCTGTTTGGTGTAAAAAGGCGATTAGGACTATTTTAAAGTATTAATCAAGGGAACGTAGTGGGTAATTGATCAGCGTATAACTGGTAGTGCGATCTTGAGTATGCCGAACCGTCTAAACGAGACGCTCGGGGATATTATATAGAATATGGAGCAAATTTTGTGTGTGGATCGATATCTTAAAGAGCATTTCAAAACATTCTCAATTTGAACAATATATGGCGGTGTGGTTTAATAGGTTATAGATGTATCTTTTGATGGTGTGGGCCTTAGAACCTAATCCATTTTCCTGTATGTATAGACGGAATCTTTCCCCTTATGAGCTAGGCTTCTCGCCCCTACCATTCATTAAGATCGATTATGCCAAAGTAGAACACTACCCACGATAGACAGTGTCCCCTGCACGTTCAGCACGTTCCTCATTCTCCTCTACACTGCTGTGTCCTGTCTCATATAACATCAGCGCGAAAATGGAAGCCTGGAAGGAGGCGCGGATAGTATGTATGGAAAGCTCGTTCTTCGCGTCAAGGTCTACAGATGCGCACACGAGTAGTACAGTATTGTCTTGTGTTGACCTCTCGTCGATGATGGCAAAATAGTTGGTTATGATCTCCGACTCGGTATCCTCGTGAAGCTTTAAGAGCAGTTTGTAACATTCTTGAGGCGTCTTTCGGATGAATGGGGAATTTTGGTCGCTGTCGACTTCCAATGGTGCCTCTGATGCCTCGGAGTAATACTCGTTAAGGGTGTTGACGAATACAAATCTTCCCATGGTGTCAACATCATTTTCCTCAATGAAACGATTCATGGTCTACAAACCTTGCAGGCAGGGATTAGTATTGAGTTAAGGCTAGGGAAGGGGAGGAGGGAGGAGATACGGCACTGACCTCCTCGCTCAGCGGAGCGGCGTAGACTACGGGAAACAAGAGACCCATCTTTAAAAGTAAAGATGAGATAATGGGTAACATTGAGGCCGGAAATAGCTCAGAGGACACTCACGACGGTACAGTGCTATCAACATTTTGATTGCACGGCCAGAATTACGGAAGAAAGAACAGGTAATAGACTAGAGTAGGGTGACGTACACAGTTCTAAATTTGGTTTTACGTTGAGATCTTCAAGCAGCCTCATCTCCGCCCTTGCCTACTTCCGGCTAGCGCGCTTGTCTGGTTAAGCGGAGAATTCAACTAAGACTCCCTCGGCCCTCTTTCCACCTCGAGTATTTTGCTCCCTGGCCCCTTCTTCGCCCTGCCCCGCCCCGCCCTTGCACTGAGTACTAAGGACTTTCAATAGAGGATCCATTAACCTGTAGCAAAATACTTCATCAAAGTATTCATAAAAATTATATAGGTATTCCTGCTGACACCTCCACAGCTGAAAAGTGATCACTAGCTCATTGGACGAGATTTCGTTAGGTTCACAACTCGATCTCTGATTTACTGCCATTATTGGTCCTCAAACGCAAAATTAATTGTCGGTATGATTGACTGAATATCGGTTGTCCTACGTCAAAGACTATTCGTTCCATTCTTAGCAGGATTCATTATTTCTCGATTTTCTAGGGTCCGAATATTAATCTGGATAGTAAATCTAATGAAAGTGGATAATTTTCCCCAGCCAGTTACGAGTACGTGGGCTTTCCAATTGGTTGAATGTAGCTTCTAATGAAGTGGATATGGATCCACAGTCCACTACGAGTACGTCGGCTACCCAATTGGCTGAATGTGAGTTTTCACCGAGGTGGTCTAGCGGAGAGGCGTCAAGAAATAGATTTGATTGGCTAGGCTACAAGGACTTCAACATAATCGCAGGTTGTATAGGCAAAGGTTGAATTATCTCCTTTATAGATTTTACTAAACGGGCTAGAATGAGGATTTTGTGTGATTTTCTGTGGACCGCACAAAACTCGTACTCGTACTCCAGTAGATGACCTTGCGAAGCATACGCATACACGTATCCAGTAGGTGTTTACGCGCATGATAGAACTCTGGCAGCTGCTGCGCCTTCAACCGTATGTGGCGATCGGTAACAATTATGGAAGTCCCGAATTACCCTTTAAGTTATAAAATCCTCAGTTTGCCTCCGAATTAATTGCAAGACTTGAACTTTGCGTTGGCAAGCTAACACCATAAAATTGATTCTCCCATTTTCTTTCAATCAGACTACCATATATTTGCAGACTCCTCTTCTTTTGCAACGCCCTTTTTGCCAAAATGGCCAAGTTAGAGCCCATGAAGAATGGCTACTACCTCTGGCATTATGTCCCTTCCATAGCGGCCGCTGTGATTTTCGTCATACTTTTTTTTGTGGTGACAGTATTCCACTTCTGGAAGCTGTTCAAAAGCAAAGCCCGCTTTACACTACCCTTTGCCATTGGCGGACTATGTAAGTCATTCGAATCCTCTTCGAGACAGCCTGTAAACAAATAAACTGACAAGCCGATCTCAGTCGAGATCATCGGTTTTTCTGCCAGAATAGCCGCTCATAACCATACCGGTGCCCTAATACCCTATGTCATTCAAAGCATCTTTGTCCTCCTTGCTCCGATTCTGTTTGCCGCCGCCGTCTACATGGTCCTTGCACGCATCATCTGCAGTGTTAGCGCGGAGCAATTGTCGCCCATTCGCATCAGATGGATCACCAAGATATTCGTCGGCTGTGATATCATTACCTTCCTCATCCAGGGGAGTGGCGCAGGCATGACGGCCGAAAGCACCATGTCTCAGATGGGGCAGTACATTGTACTTGCAGGTCTGGCACTGCAAATACTCTCATTCGTCTTGTTTTTGATGACGGCGATTATATTCGCTAATCGCATCAAGTTGAATCCAACTTCAGCAACTACGCAAGGCGAATCCCCTTGGAAGAAGCATTTGTACAGTTTGTACGCCATCAGCGCTATGATCCTGCTTCGCTCAATTTTCCGTGTCATTGAGTATGGATTGGGCAATGATGGATATTTGCTAGCAAGTGAATGGCCTACATATGTTCTGGACGCAACTCCAATGTTTATTGCCATGGTTTGCTTTGCGATCTGGTATCCAAGCGAGCTACAACAATTCTTGGTCAGACGTGACTCAGAAAATCCTCTGCATTCGACTTCATTGAAATCTTGAAAAGGGCTTAAAGATTCTTCGGGTATCAAACGTGCATGATCATTTTGCAAATATCACTGCTTATTTGATTGTAATTTACACCCACTGCCTTTTTATTTTTCTTGGACTCATCTTTTGCTTTGGATCAGACGTTCACAAGAGCTTTCTTGACTCTCTTCCCAGACTGCGTTGAATCTATATTGGGAAGCCCTAGTGTTCGCTGAAGTCAAGCTCAAATTATATGAGTGTAAATTTCATTTTTCACTCTTTGCGACATTGAATGTTTTTTATTATGAGATACGGACGCAGCTGAGACTGGTTAAAATAGTAAGATATACTTGTATTAATTCGAATATCTCAGTCGTAAACTTCTCCAAGAGTCTATGAGTGTACTGTGCAGTCCGATGAGCTCTGGATGTTCATCTATACCTCTTTTGTCATGAAATGTGACTATGTACAGCAAAATGAGAGTTGTTTGTACATACAGAAACTATCTTACATCATGATATTAAGATGATACTGAAGCTGCCTAGGCAGGGTTTGGCTATGCTGTAAATCTGACTTTCAACAGTCTTGACGTACAGTACGTGTGACACTCGTGGTATGTTCTGTTAATTACCTATTGACTCGAACAAGTATCAAGATACCCTAAAAGGACACCAATACATGTTACAAAATCACATATAGGCCCCTAACATCCTTCAGTCAATGTGGTTGGTGATTATAATCTACTTTCCTTGGAACTAACTACTAAAATTACCCTTTTCAGATGGTCTTTTTGTTAGTGTGACTGCCCAGGTGGTCGAAATCATGACTACCTCTAGTATCATCGCAAGGGAAACAGCTGAGGCGTCCCGAGATTGTTCGATTTACGATCAGAGACATGGATATTATAATACAATGTTCTTAGAATTGCCACGACCTCACAACTTCTTTCAGGCGCGAGAGCAACGACCTAGATGGGCTGTTAACGGGTACGTAGACTTTTACCCACGGCTGGTCATCGTATGGAACGACTAAATATCTTAGCGGTTTCCCTCCTGCTGTCGATCTGGATCGTTTAAGATCAAGGCTAAGGAATCGAGGCTGACTAGAGTATCGGGATGCTTTGGTCCGAAGACTCGCTGGCGGATCTCTACCACCTGTTTCTGTAGATCTTCTGCCTGCTTCCAGCGATATTGATCGCGATATATGAAGGATAGGTCGGTCATACTGCTCAGAGTATCGGTATCCCCTGATCCTAAAACCTCCTTACGGCCGGCTACTACCTGTTTATGTAGCTCTTCCGCCTTTCTCAAAAGAAATTGATAGCGATATGTGAAGGCTTGGTATGACATGGCTCTTAGATTATCACGATGCTTTGATCCGAACACCTGCTGGCGGGCATTTAGCACCTGTTTCTGTAGCGCTTCTGCCTCTTCCCATCGACCTTGATCCTTATAAATTAAGGACAGCTCATCTTGGCTGCTTAGAACACTGAGTAATTCAGCCAGAAAAACTTCGAAATCAAGAAGCTCTAGTTATAAAGCCCGCTGGCGGGTGTCTACCACCTGTTTTTGTAGGTCTTCAGCCTCTTTCAATCGACCTTGGAGGCGATATGTGGTGGCTAGGGACGACATGCTGCTTAGCGTCTGGGGGCGCTTTAGTCCGAACACCCGCTTGTGGGTGTCTAACACCTGTATATGTAGCGCTTCCGCCTCCTCTAATCGACTTTGATGATTATATGTGAAGGCTAAGCATGAAATTCCACCTAGCGTAGAGATATGCTCTGGTCCTAGGACCCTCTTGCGAATGTTTATCACCATTACTTGGAGCTCTTCGGCGTTTTCCCACTGACGATCAAACCTATATGCTTCTCCAAGAGCCTCAAGCTGTCGATCGTTCTCTCATCCTCTGGGCCGAACAATGTCATCCTTGTGACTTTTGCCTTTTCTCCCAATCTTTGGGAAGTGAGGAAATTTCCTCGGATCATTGCAAACCATGATGCATTGTATAGTAGTGAAGCCCAATTCTCCAACGAGTCTGTTGCAACTGGCTGGTGCATAACGGCACTTTCCACATGAGCAAATAACAGTTGGTACTCTTGCCAGTTCTTGGATGTAACATCGGGTAATCTGCTGGAAAGCTTTGGATAAACCGATCTTTCCAATGTTCAAGCTTCCCGTGCGCCTTGAGCCACTCTTGTATTGCTAGTTGAACTAGCTAGTGTATCTCAAAATTGGTTTCATCCGCACTGATAGATATCAAGGAATAATCTCTTAGAACCACTAGGTCGTCCTCAAACGTGTCCCCTATGCTGTCACTCGCGCTGTCGTCCTCATCACCATTATCCCCCGGTTGATCCTCGTTATATGTGGAGGATCTTCCGACTTTGTGTTCAATCTCTTTTTCGTTTCGAATCAGACTTTCGGGAATTCCTTGTCGATCAAAAAAGCTCATAAGAGACAGTAAATCTACCGCCGTCGGCCTTATCCTCTAAATGTGATCAAGCGATATCCGCCAGGTAATGAGGATGGAGCTACTGGCTTCCGAGTCTCTGCGGTGATCGAGCTCATTATAACGAAGGAGTTTTGTCTTCTGGCTGTCGCTTTTCCGGAACTGCTCCACGTAACTTATAATAGACAGGCGCGGGAACCGTTGCTTGATATAGGCTGCCGCCTGCACAATCGCAAGTGGCATGAAGTCGAGAGCCTCAGTTAGCCGAATAACGTCTTCTCTGGTCGCTTGTGCTCTGAATTTCTTCTCAAAGAGTCTGGTTGCATACTTTTCGCTCATTGGTCTAACTGAAATGATACTGCTATCTTGAACGGTGCGTAATGCCACGCGTCTGCTCCGACTTGTCATAATGATAGAGCCGCTTAAAGTCTTGGGAAAGTATGACCAAATAGATCGTCCTGGCGGGTCGCGTTTATCATTCATTGGGCCACCTTTCTCTGCCGGTGGGATTTCATGAAGGAATTGATCATCATCGAGATTATCACGAACGAGAATCCATTTACCGCTTTGATCCTGCAACCAATCGTGAAGGAGTTTGAATAGGTTCGCTTGAGAGTTTTGTCGACCGGGTATTTTAACTAGGTCTGCAATGTTTCGACAATCCTGGTCGAAACGGGCTGCATTACTCGCGTGAATCCAGAGAACCCATGTCTCGGGCGATTTTTCTCGAATACGATGACAGTATTCGATAGCAAGCTGCGATTTTCTTCTCCGGTATTAGAGATAAGAAGAAGTCCACAGATTCTTTGACACTCACCCAACGCCACCTAAGCCGACAAGGGCTATGCGAGACCCCGGTATAGAGCCTTTTTTCATGCATCTGATTGAGTATTGTTCCACGATCCACGAAGTCTAGGTCGCGACTGAACGGGACGGTCGATCGAGGTGATGATGGAGTCTCTGACTGCTCTAGATCAAATATAATTAGTTGATTTGAGCCTGGTAGAACTATTACCAGTTTTGACGCTCACCCGGGGGCAGATAGACCGTTCCGTAGTTTATTCCCAACTGGTTCCCACCATTTCCGTTCCCAAAGATTATATTCGGCATAGATGCGGAATCCATGACCAATATTTCATATACTATAGCCTTCTCCTTCCTTCTTCTGGGGCATAGACACGGTCTCAGCCCGGGGGGAAATCTACCCCTCAGTCACATCGTCACCTGACTTTCTAGGCGCTAAAATATGTAGGTTGCTTCTTTATAACAAGAGCAATGTGGACGGTCTTCTGCTAGACTATCGGATAATATGGGAGGCGGGGAGGCAGAGAGGAACAGGAACTAAGCCATGATGCTGTAGTCCTGTAGACAGAAGTGATGAAGAATATGGTCTACCAGAGTGATCACAGCGTTTATAGGGAGCATCAAGTTTTGGAACACAACGAAACGCAGGGACCCGGGCGTATTGTCTAAGCTTTCCAGATATCTAATAATTCCTTTCGGGCACGTGAAGTCTGTCAGTCATCTAGCCTAGCTTGATTTCTCTGGGTGGTCCAGGCGGCTTCACGATCGGCGTGACCTTGGGCTTTCGGGATGGTTTCTCTAATCTAAGATGGAAGCCAGTCTTCGAGTTTCGATTTCTATACTTTCAACTTATTACGCAGAGTAATGATCTATATCCCATGCTAGAGCCCGTTCTGCACCCATTGAAGCTTCTCCTGCTCAAGAGATGTCATAAAACTTCCGACAGTATAGCGATTGATGTCATGGTCCGTGCGCCCGGGACAGAAAACGCCAAATCCCAAATTCAACCGGAACAACACGCAAGTCCCAACTTGGAGAGTATGAGCTTCCCCCTACGTCTCGGGAGATTCTCCCTGTGTCGGCCTATTGTAAACTGCGCACGCCCCATTCCAAACCTTTCTCTCCGAATGGCTTCGAACACTCCTGCACCGCGCTTTGCGGAAGGTGAAGACCCACACCAATTGAGTTCCGACACTACCACACTGCAGCAACAGGGCTGGGCACTGGACGCTGAGGGGATGGGAGTCACCAAGACGTTCCACTTCAAGAGCTATTTCAAAGCTGTGGTGCGTACAATGTCTTGTGTCATGCGGGCTTTCTCGATTGACCTTTTCTAGTCATTTTTGAATATGATTGCGGCCGAAAGCTCGGTCAAGAAGCACCACCCCACTATGACTATTGTAAGTTTTTTTGGGCACTTTTCCCTGTTTAGCCGGAATGGTGAGATTGAGGATCCGTTGGTGGGGATCAACAAACTTGAACAAAGAAAATCATGTTCACCAAGCTAATGTGGTCCCAGCGGTTCGGTTCTGTTGATGTCCACTGGACCACGCATCACCCGCGTGGCCTCACCCATAAGGACATTGCTTTGGCTCGGCACTGTGATGCTGGAGCTGGATTGATCGGGGCTGTTGAACCTGGACAGGGATTGAAGTGCGGACCTGAGGCAAAGTTAACGGGCAGAGTTTAAGATTAATGTAATTAGGGAAGGCTTAGTGGAGCGAACGTTTGGTGCTCCACTCGACGCGTGGGATTCGCGATGACATGGTTCCATATAAGCGAGATGGAGTCTATCTGATATCTCTGTAGAAGTAATGACGGATGCCTAGAATACTCTCAATTCGATCCTCTTTGCTAGGGTTGGGTTCCCATATTCGAGGCGAACTGAGGGAAAAAAAAAGGGGCCGATTGGATTAGTTCGACTTAAATTCATGCACCTCGCATCACTTCCTGGTAGATCCTTCTCCCCCCACTTTTCCCCAATTCCTTTCTCCTGACCTCCTGAAACTCTTGAAACTTCTTGGAGAATCAGAGAAAGAGAAAGAGAAAAAATCAATTTCGGTCGTTCCTTAGCAATTTCCTTCTATGACGTTGGCCTCAACGGCCGTGCAGATGCGCCCACGTTCTTTTCCTGCGCTTGTGTCGATCTTTTCCTTCTTCATCCTGACCTCCTTTTCCTATGAGTGATGAATACTGAGGTATAACGACGATCAAATTGGACGTCGCAATGTCTGAAAATATAATGATGGCTCAAGAGCCCACGCCATCCTCGTCCTTTGGCGAACGGCGTGGGCATCGCCTTGCGCCGCTAAATACAAACTTTGATCGGCCAGCTGCAGCTCCGGCCACTAAATCCCAGTCACGATCACGTCCTCGTCCATCCGACTATCCCACTACCAATGGCTCGGAGGGGCCGGTTCCTCTCCAAAGCCCGGTGCGGCGCCAATCGTCGAAATCTTCTTTACGCAGTCTATTCAGTCGCGACAAGTCGTCGCGTGCCGCTGCGGTACCGGATACCAAATTAGCTGAGATTGAAGAATCCCAGCCGCCTCCAGTCCAATCGATACAACCAATTGTACCAGATCCAGAGGCACTGCTATCCTCGGATCTCACTAGCCCCCATACCGCTCCAACCACTCCGACAACCATCACATCTCCGACAACACCTCGGGCCCGAGCCACATTGAAAACGGCCCGACCGCGGCCCGCCGAGTCAAATCCGCCCCCATCGCGGGAGCAGTATGGATGGAAGCCACCACCTTTATTTCAAGCATATCCGCAGTCGACCAAACACGGATGTCTCACTGCGCCGGCGATGTCGGCAGATGCGATTTTACGCCTGCATGCGACAACCGGGAAGAGTGCGGTGGAGGATGCTAGGAATCAGGTAGGCCAAGAGGATGCAAAGAAAAAAGAGCAGAGGGAACGAAAACATCTTCGCACGTTGTCAGGGACTATCAATAAGGTTGAGTGGACCAACAAGATCTACGTGTTAGCCACGACGGGTTTCATTCTCCAATATGCTGGAGAAGGAAAGCACGATCGGCTGCCGGAGAAGATGCTGCAATTGGGTCCTAAGTCGGTGGCATTTGCGAGTGATGCAATTCCTGGAAAGCACTGGGTCGTTCAGGTTTCTCAGACCTCGACCTCTGATTCCGTTCCTGATGCCGAGTCGTCGAAGCCTAAGCTCTCATCTCGCTTTGGGTTTCATCGATCTCATGCGCGTCGTTTAGCCCGCAGCTTCCTCTTGGTGTTTGACAACCCGGATCCCATGATTGCCTGGCTTATGGCCATTCGTGCTGAGATTGAATCTCGCGGTGGCCCCAAATTCATTACAGAGAAGTACTCAGATGACGATGCGGATGCTCCTCAGCTTCGGTCCAAATCTAGCGTTCGACAAATGGTGAAGAAAGATCCCCATCGTATTTCCAGTTTGTTTCTTCAACCGCAGACCCTACGATCCCCCGAGGACGAGGATGATGGTAATTCGGTCGGTGGTTTGACCTGGCAGTCACGGCGAAGCTCGTACGTGTCTGTTAGTCGGTCGATGGTAAACTCAAGGACAGGTTCGGCCTCCACGGGCAAAACGGAAGCCACTGGTCCAACAAATGGGAATGGGTCCGAAGGCCCTTCTTTCGCCATGACGGGCCCGCCTATGAATCCGCCCCATTCACCCCCAGTGGGGAATGGTGTTGCGGTCTTGGAAGAGCTGAAAAGACCTGATATAGACCCTCCATATACCCGCAGTCCACCGTCCTCCAGTCAGGAGAAACGACAGTCCTTATATGGGTCCTCCAAAGGGCAGGCAATCCCGGCGCCTATACACCCCGAGCCAGCTCAGTCCAATTATTTTCAATCCAGCATTCCCGAAACCCTAGTCCGAAGTGCCTCACCGCCAGCTCCGAACTTTAGCGTACCTTTGTTTAGCAAGAAGTTTGCGTCAAGACCGGCCGTATCCTCCATCTCCCAGGTTGCTGCTACTTCTCCTCCATCTGTTGCTGGTGTTTTGCGCCGAGGTGAAAGTACAGGCGATTTCAGTACCTCCAGTATCGCATCGCCCCCGCAGTCTCCGACTTACAGTATTGCAAGCTCGCGTCAGACAGATTCTTCTGAGCCACCATTTGTGGCCCTGGATGGCACTCGACGCACCTTGCGCGCTTCCAACTCGGAGGACGCGTTATCCAGAGTCATTCGCCAAGCACCAGAGCACGGCAATGCATTCGCCCGTATGGCCCGCCCGACAGCCCCCTCCGATGTCAGTTGCCCTTCGTCTCGCCCTCTCAGTTTTGTCGGTCGTTCCGGACTGGGTATCCAAATGGTCAGCGAGTCGGACGTACTGAGTATTCCACCGGTTGAGCCAACACCTCGAAACCGTGTGTCTACTGCGCAGATTGATTATCAAAATGTGTCACGCCGGAAGAGCATGCCTGGCCTTAGCTTGGGACCTCCTGCTGCCCCTCCCCCCAATTGCCCTCTTCCCAAAATTCCTTCTCCCATCGCTGCGCAGGCGCTGCCCTCTTGGTCAACCAGTCCTCCCGTCAACCGGTTTTACCAATCACAACAGATTAGTGATCAAGTGCGAGATAACCGGAAAAATGGTGTTTCGAATGGAATCCCGGAACAACCGGCACAAAGTGGCGCGAGAACAGCTGCTCGGCAGTCCAGAATGATTTAACGAAACGATCATTCTATGTAACAATATACGATCACCCCTTGCGTCAAATCTGTCACTATCTCGTCACTTCGCACATGTCACACATACCCTCGATTATACGTCTGTCGACTATATCTTCATCTCTTTCATGTCATAAGAGCGACATTTAAGATTCATCCCTTCATTTCTGTCTTCACTTCGTTTATGCATTTGCATTCTTATTGTCTTAGTATGACGATACCCGCCTTTGTGTCTACTTGGCGTCGACTTTAATGGTTTCCGTTGTTGGGTCTGTCTTTCACTACTTCACTTCTTGTACTGTGTCTTACTTATACCCCTTTTTATACCATTCACAACAATTGAGACTTGATCTTATTCTCGATTTACTTTGGGCACCAGGTCAGATCTTTGGAAAACTGGAGTTGAAGTCCACTAAAACACAGCATGATCGATTACCTTCGGCATATGCAGATCATATAGGTGGTTCTTATATCTGTTGTAGGAAAATAGAACTGAACTGATCTCATTTGGACGAAACGAAAGGACTCGAATCATTACTACAGGAGACAATATAACGCCGGAATGAGAATCCTCGGAGGATAAAGTGCAGTAGGGATGAATGGAAACACCGCCTTTTCCTTGGTAAATGCCAGCGGACCCGGTAAGTGCTGACAATGTTTGAGAAAATGAGCTTGAACGACACTACTCTTCTACTTCCTCCACCCGCGCTGTCAGGTCCCGCTTCACGGGCGCTGGGCTGGAGGTAGTTGTAGCTTCAGCCGAGGTAGTAGTAGCAGACGGAGCTGTAGTGGAGGCTGCTGTAGTGAGAGTAGGAGCTGCAGCTTCCGACTTGACCTTCTTGCCCTTTTTCTTCTTGTTCTGTGAGCGCATTAGCAGAGATTCCATTGCGATTAAACAGATCGATAAAAACATACCTCCTGCCAGCCCCAAAGAGGCTTGAAACTATCGAAGAACCCAACATCCGCAAACAAATTAGGGTACAACCACAATCCTGGCGGCACAGCGAAAACGGTAACACAGAACAGAATTAACCGGAAGATGGCCATGGCGAAGAAAAGTCCCAGAAGACCCATACATCCAACACTGAGGTACCAAACACCCTGGCGCAGCATCATAGGCCATAATGGGAATAGCACAACGGTAAAGATACCAGCTACAACAGCTGCAGCCATGGCCTTCTGCTTCCACTGCGGTCCCTCCCACTGCCACACATAGTACATCATCGGTTCAAATTTCTGATCCTCCTCGATCTTCACGGTCCACAGGCCCTTTGTCCGGTTCTTGGGCTTGGCGTGATTGTGCCCTGCGTGCGGGTCATGCTTGCTGACGCGTAATGCGAGATAAGAGAGTGGGAGGAGGCTGAATGCAGCCTCAGCTGAGGGGTAGTCTGTCACCGGTGGGAGGAGGGAGTTCTTCTTCGCGGCGGCTTTGGCGTAGGCGGGGGACTGGAGAGCGCGCATAGCTCGCTTGACTGTGGAGGGTTAGTGATCTGATCTGATCTGATCTGATTCGATCTGATGATTTTAGAGGTGTTTTGCAAGATAGCTTGCATACCTTTGAACATGTCTTTTCGTTCGCCGTTCAGGATACAGGTTCGTGGTTTAAGAGCCTGCGAGCGCAGAAACTTCGCCACGGCCAGCGCCCTGGGGTCCACGGGCTGCCCTGGGCTAACAGCCACGCGCTGTGTCTGTGGTCCCTTTTGTTGTTGCTCCCCCGTCGCCTGCATCATCTGGTTTTGCCGCTTCATTATCAATTCCTTCTTGACCTCCTCTGGCTCCTTGCCCTGTGCTTTGCAAAATTCGAGAAACTTTCTTTCCTTCTCCTTGACCAATTCCGCGACTGGAATGTTTCGACGTTCAGCTTCCTCATTCAACTGTCGCTGAGCTTCGGCGTTTTGGGCGGCGATGAAGGCCAGCTGCTCGCGGGTAGGTTGGCCGGGTTGGGCCATGGTGAAATACGGAAAATTCTCTTTTGGTTGGTAGGGGTATCAAAGGGAAGCCAAACAAAGAAAGTAAAGAAGATGAAGCGTTGTGGTGATTGGACTTGGTCGGAAGTCGAAAGAAAGGAAACATTAGATGTGGCCAGATCGACTCAGGTGATCGGCGCGCCCGCCTTGCAGTACGGAGTACGTGATGCGGCCTGTGAGAACCCGCTTCTTCAACTTCAATCCACTTCACAGGCAATCATGCTCTACTTCAGCACTCTATGTCTGTCTCATATAGTTCTGAAGCAACTCTTGATAGTGCGACCTGGGTGGCTGTCTTGCTGGTTCGTATCGCCAAGAATTGATCCCCAAACTCAAGTCTGACGCAATGTCCAGAGCGAACGCGATGTCGCCGGCCAAATCCCAATCAACTTTGTAACCAATCCTGCGGTATCGTTGACGGCTGCCTGTTTTGGCGACGGCCTTTACGATAAAACTGCCGCTACAAAATGCATATCCAATCTCCTGTCGGTCGGGTACCGACGGCTAATACTAGACATATATTGGTCAGTCGAACATAGGACATGGACCTTTTGCCCTGTCGACATTCCCACCACGGCCGATATCATGCTTTCGGCATACACCTCGACCGTGCGCAGTTCCTCGACGACATCCACAGTCACATCGACCTCCACCGAGTCCGCGTCCACGTCAACGTCCATGTCCACAACAACCGAGGCAGCCGACGCGACGATAACGGGATACACGGATTCTCAGGATGACAAAGTCTACGAGCTCGGGCCGTACAGGTGTACCAAAAGCCTTGATCTATACACAATATCACAAATACTAGTCGGATACTTCCAGAACACGAGATCTAGAGAGGATACTTATACAACCTGGTTGGCTCTGAACCTTCATGTCGCAGGCAGTGATTCAGCGCCGACAGAGCCTACATCGGCAGTCACAGGTGATGACTTGCCCAAGACAGAGACGGAAAGGGCTGGCTCGTACCTTGGAACGGTACTCAGTGACTATATCTATACTCCGGCTCAGCTTGCCAAGGATCGAAGCAACCTGAACGAGTCCTGGTATGAGGTCGAGGAGAGCTACATGCCTATCGTGGAATACTACACGATCCACACAGATGAATCTGGTCAACAGAGCACTCCGGATGGATGGCCGTCTGCAAAATACATCCAATTTGCCAAATCGGACAGAATACTAATTGAGTATGGGTCTGTGGATCCCCAGCTGGCCGAGTATGATCTGTCGCAAGATGAAGATAAAATTTTCAGTCCACATTATATGTTTTCGGGTGTGGATATTTCCACCGCGGAAAACGGCACGGTGACTTCGGGCTGTTTATATGAACCGGGAGCCACCGCTGTATCACAAGCCAATTCTTCATGGGCAACTAGTCAAATCCCTGTTACGGATGGATTGTCCACAGAAAGTACTATGGGATCCATTGCCGATATTATCGCTGGGATTACTGCCTGTGGCATGTCTCCAATGCTAAACAGTACTCTTTTCGATCAAAGCGCTGATGCCAGTGTCGAGCATTACCGCAATGTATCTCTTTCAACGAGCTGGGCTTGGGCAGTCGGCGAGCCTCAAGGCGCAGGGACTGGCGGCGGTACAAATGATGAGCCTGCATTTGACCGCTGCTCCATCATGGATCTTTCGCTCGAAGGCCGCTGGCGGGCCACCAACTGCACTGAAGTACGACGCGGTGCCTGTCGAGTAGGCAACTCCCCGTTCTCGTGGACGGTGACTAATGCATCGGCGAAGTATTCGGACATCTCGGAGTCTTGTCCACCAGGGTCTACTCTTGCGGTACCCCGAACTGGTCTTGAAAACACCTATCTCTATAAGCAACTCCTCTCTGAGGATTCAACAGTCCTGGACTCGACATCCTCGGACCCGGCTCTCCGTGAGATTTTCCTGGATTTCAATTGTATTGATATTACTTCCTGTTGGGTCACCGGTGGGCCACAAGCGACCTGTCCTTACGCGAATAATCCACAACAGCTGGAGCGTAAGACAGTGCTTGTTTCCGTTGTTGCTGGAGTGGTGATCTGTGTCATCTTTGCATTGACTGTCTTTGTCAAGTGTAATACTAATCGTCGAAACTCTCGTCGTCGAAAGCGTGTTATTGAGGGCTGGGAGTATGAGGGTGTTCCCTCATAACATACTAGGTTGATTATACGTACGAGATCTCCTCTCTTGCGTGAGAAATATTGCGCCCAGGAATAAGAGGACACATGAAATGGGCGCCACTGCGACCAACCGTCCCATGACTATTGTTGCGCCAGTCTTCTCCGTAACATTGAATATATGAAGGGGCTCTGTGGCTCTCTGATCTACTGTGTCTCAAACATACTATCGAAATCTGGTATGAATTGTTTAATAGACGGGAGACACTGACCTTCGGCGACTGAGGCTGATGGATGACTTACCCCGCACCCTGCAAAGTCCAAAGTGCCCAATATCAGGTAGGGGCTTTGGCAGGGGCTCAATAGCCATTGCATGACTCGCATCAAAATACTGAGCCACTTTCATGGTCTAAGGGACCTACTGATCTCATGTCATCGCGCCCTCATACCATAAACAAAAAGCCAGATTTATGCAATGAGCGATTCCTTGAATACCAGGTTGGGTTGAAAGATTTGTCTCATGCACTGGGCTCAAGCCATTTGAAGCATGAATACCTAGCATAGCGCAGATTGAATTCGCCTATAACCAACCTGAATGGTTCTCCAAAGTGGCTCAAGATTTTTACCACTGATAGATACCCTTCCTGTCGCATAAAAGCACAGATTTTCTGAAAACGTTCGATCTCACCCCCCATAGTCTCGGGTAGGAACCAGACTAACAAATTCTTGGGCGCGGACATGTGTTCGTGCAGCACCGGCGGACAAATTAGGGCTTCGCGAAATCTCAATAGTAGACGCTAAATATGCACGTCACCCTCCCTCATGGTGCATGAACCTATTATAAAGATCTAGATAAGGATCTCAGGCCCCAAAGCCTGCTATTGTCTACGGCTTACCTGCAGCCGTCACCCGGGCAAATATATGAAGTTGCATAGTAGCGAATAGCCTTGTTACTACTCACCGATTCATCCCATAACCCTTGCTATTGTTCACACCATCAGGAAGACTTTTAGCAGAAATCCCTGTTCTTATTCACTATATTGTCATACCGACTTTTTGTTTGTGTTCAGGTGGGTGTTCTTACCAAGGTTAGCTCGTTGTTGGGCTCTATTCAGTGTTGTGGGAGTTGTATCAGGGCTTAAATACGTCGAGAATTCGTTCCAAAGTGATGGAATAAATTCATTTCTTCTTTCCTCCAAAAGCCTCCCTCTCTTGCTTGGATAGGTGTATCAAATTTATTATCTGCTTTGTTCATCAGTTTGTGTTCCATCAAAACAACATGGATGTGTCAGTGGCCCGTCAACCTGGACCACCTGCCGCGGCAGCAAATGATGATATAACGTTTACGACGGCAAACGAAGTCGGACAATTTTTTGACGAGCTCCTTCGTACATCTGGGCAACGTTTGGATAACTCAAAGGGTGCAACTGCCGAGACGTTGAAATGTTTTCTCGAATCCATGAATAAATCCAATCGGGCTTCTCTGAGAGAACTCTTCGCAGAATCTGGCTTGAGCATCAGTCCAGATTTAGTGTATACGGAGTTCAAGCGACAATATGCGCCCCTGGTTGTGAATCAGATGCTCTATATCATCGACGAGGAGTATCTGGTTAAGAATAACTGGGATGTTATCAATCCCTATGCACCTCCGCCAGCCGCTCGAAAAATCGAGATAATGATGAGCACAATTCTGTGGGCGGACCAACTTTACTCGTCATGCGGAGGCACGGAGTGGAAAATGGGCTTCATTACTTTTCCATGCGACTCCCTCATGAATTATCTCAAGTGGCTTGGAAAGGTTAAACAGCGCAGATTCTTGGAGGGAGACCAATTGAGCGACCAGGATGAAAATATCCTGTTTATACTTTGGCGTTGGTTCGAAACGCATGACCAGAGACCAATCAGGTTGGCATTTGCTATGGCCAGTCGGGGGATGGTGAGAAACATCCAGCAAGAATTAGGCCATTTGCGTATTATTATAGAGAATTTGGACGGATTTGATAAATACCCGATGCCCATTGGGAACGCTTCGAAATATTAGTTGACGTTTTCGCTTGTCTCTTCTTTTTTGTATTTTTTTTCCACACCAAGTTGGATTCAAATTGATTCAGTCCAAGCTCAAGCTAGAGAACCTTATAGCTCCCTGCTACCTAGTTCGTGCTTCTCACGTAGGCAGCTCCACAAGCGACGCAGGCCTAGAAAAAGTTTTCAGTAACGCGAAACCAAAGTCCCAAAACTTATTGAGATCGGCAATCCAGACCTGAAAGGTCTTTTAGCCTGCATGGATGTTTGATTACGGGGCTGGAAAGTTGATAGATCTCCTGGTCAGTGCGGAGAAGCTCAAATGCCAATTGTCCGAGAATGCCGAAGAGACAACAGGGGAAACAATGTCCTCTGAGGTCATTGAGACAGACTGCAGCATCAAAAACTCAAAAATGGGTCGTTTGCCTTATTTCAAATCTGAAGAGCTCAGTACTCGATTTATACTGAGAAAGCTTTGAGCTTGGATGCGCGGATGATGCAGGAGAGGTGAGCTGACGATTGTGGGTCGGGCAAAGGTACCTTTTTTCTTGACTAGGCTGCGAATCCTGAGAAGTTGATCCAGGTTGGAGCCTGCCTGGCATGGCCCAAGCTTGATTCCGTTCCTGCTTTTAGCGTCGAGAGACATAAATTCAGTAAATCATGGGGGAAAAACTAAGTTCTCCAACTTCTTCAGCTCAAGCGGCATTGGCCCCCAAAGCGCAGGAGGGAACAAGTCGTTGGTATCGAAAGGAAGCCAGTGGATATCGCAGAAGCACCAGCGAGGCAGAGTACTGGCCTTTCCGCCATGGAACAGCTATGGGGTACTGAACGCCCCTCTTGTTTTCCATTTCATGATCTTGAACTGATGTGTTTTTTGTGGCGACAGAGAATACCCACAGACGAGAATTCCGTATCGTGAAACTGTGCTTGGACGAAAACCCAGGAGTCGAGCAAGCCACAATCCAAGAAGTGACTCTGTGCAATAGACTGGGTGAAATTGCCGAAGATGAGATTCCACATGATGAGCAAAGGAAGACATGGGCTCTCCAAAGGCGTGTCTTCATGTACTGGATTTTTTGTGGGACATACAATGCGTGGGAATGGGATGTCGAGAGGATACCAGAAGAGTGCAGGAGAGTCCAAGAGGGCAAAGAGTACTATTCAGGTAAGCTGCAACCCAAGTCACGAGGGCAAGAATAAGAACAGGCATTTGGCACCTGCAGTTGCTGCACAAGATGTATCGGTCCTGGGTGATGAGACCGGTGGCTGATAATGTTCTTTCTTTCCAGATGATGACTATCTGCGCTTCCTGATATCTCTGTCTTTCATACCTCCTCATTTTGGGGCTTGTCGGACTCGAGGAATTCATCCCTCTGGGTAACACCAGGTCACGCGAATTTGTTTCCCGTTGACTTGCGTATAGGGTAGTCGAGTCAACAGTAACAAGCCAGCAGAAAATGAAGCAAGGGGCTGCGTGAAAAAGAAATTCTCTAATGGAGGGCGGGGGAAGGATGTGTATGGCCAGTGATATGTATTCTCCTGTACGCGGATCAGTCAACAAAGTCCATGTACATAGTCACTGTACAAGGGCTGAGCAGCAAAGCAACTACCAATGCATCAACCCACCATGCTCAGTACTCATCCGACTATTCGATTTATCCTATAGGCCCTAATCCTTGGCAAACATAATCCCAAACAGAGAATTGAGAGTTATACCGCTGGGGGTTGACGTTTAATGATCAAGCATCAGTGTAACTGTTACCTTCGGTACTTAGCTCCCTGTGACCAGTTAGCGTTGCGTATTACCCGGTCAACTAAAAAGCAACTACAAATGGACGATACGCAGTCATTCAAATATGTCAAATTCCAAGGGTCCTGACTAACCCGAAACGCAAAGATGATATCGCTACATGCCGTTCATAATGACACAAAATTAGAAAACGCCATGTCCGGAAACAATAAAAATAACAAAAACTTCCTCCCGAAGTTCCTTTCCTTTCCTTTCCTTTCCTTTGCCAGTACCCGAGTCTATAGGATCACAATCCTGCAAACCGTGCCCATCCAGCAGCCCGAATCTTCCCATCGGGAGTTTGATTCGGACTTGGAACAGCACTCGGACTGGGATGTACTTCCACGCTCTTTCCGCCTCGTCCTTCCTCTGCAACTTTACCACTTACATCGCGGCGACGTCCGACACCAAGTCCAGCGATGTAGTTGCCATAAGAGGAAAGCGATGCTCCAACTCCACCCACGAGACCGGGCCGAGCTGTGTCGGCACCGGAGTTGCTGACCACTCGGCCCTTACGGTCTCCTTCAGCCATGGCAGGGGATGATGGAACACGAGCGCTAAGGTATCCCTCGTCGTCACTGTCATCTTTTTTCAAAGATTGGTATGCAGACAACTTCTTGGAACGCTTCTTGGTGAGCTTGGATGGTTTGCGCTTCACATCTTCCTCGGCGCTGACATGGCGCGGCGCAATGCTTAGTCCGGGGTTGTTATCCTCCAGCTCGCCGTAGAAACGATTCTTGAATGTTGGAGAGTCGGGATTTTGGTGTGGAGTGAAGACTTGGGCTTTTTGGTTTTGCGAGAGGTTGGGATTGTCACCTAGGGCATTGCGACGCACCGGGTCGGTATCCTCTTGCTTCTCAGTCAGGACAGGTTGTGGAGTTGGAGGGTTTAGCATGAGAGGGTTGAAGGGGATACTGGAGGGTTCGTCATCGTTGTCGTGGTCATGTTCTTCTGGGTCGGGGAAAATGTTGAATCGCTGCTGGGCTCCAATGTCTTGTTCGTCGTTGCCTTCGTTGCCATAGTACTCGTGCACTGCCAGGGAAGCGTACTCGCCACGTGTATCCTCATGAATTACACTTCCCACATTGGCTTGATTTCTTTGGGGGTATGCGAACCAGTCCCGGATGCCACTACCAGCTGATGGCGCAGATCTGTCTGTTCGTCGGCTGTACACGGAAGAAGACTGGCGAAGAGTGGTATCATTGTTCTGGGTGCCTTGGCCTTGAACATCGCTGACGGGGGATGGATAACGCTCGTCGTGTGCAACCCAGTTGTCAGACATGGGGCTCACGGATTCGGACCTGTCAGCGGTGCGAGAGGCTAGGTGACGTGTGTGGATGCTTGGATCCACTATATTTGGGGATCGCGCAGGCACATTATGATATTCCGGTGCAGTGGTGGCTGTGGCCACATTGTAAGGTTCGTCGGAAGGGTTGTGGTAGTATCTCTCTGGGCTTGGGGGTTCCAGAGAGAAACGATGTGGCTGAACGAATATCTGGGATTGACGTTTCTCGTTGCTCATATCTACTGACCCGCGGATGGTTTCACCACCAAATGAATCTTCACGAGTATGTATGAATGGTACAGTGCGTGGAGAGCCCATGAGCGGATCTTCCATGTTCGAATGCAGCGTTGATGAGCTCATGTGCTTTTCATCGACATCGATCTCTTTACGGAAGCTTCTGCGCGGACGTGCGGTCAAGTTATCTTCCAGAGGGTTCATGTCAGGTGGTAGATGAGATATTTTTCGGAAGATGACTGCCAAAAAGATCGAAAGACAAAATGAGATGAGGTGTAGCCCTGTGTTCACAAGCGCGCAGATGAAGGTAGCTTCGACAATATCAAGGGTAATTTCACTGTCCTTGAAAAGGGTCCCCCAGCTATAAGCATCGTTGGCATAGTCAGCATGAGCCACATATGCTGTGAACACGTAAAATGGGATTAGCCCAGCATCCAAAGTGCCAGCGAACACTCCATAACTAGCTTGAGAGGCAGGAGGACGTGTAACAGGAGATCGGCAGAAATGGTAGACGCCGTAGAGAGTATGCAGAATTGCGACAATTGGCTACTTCGTTTAGTATTCACCTTTACCCACTGGAATGAGTAACTTACTCCGGACCGCATAATCCAGATAACCGTCGTGTCCGCATTTTTGATCACGATGGAGCAAAACAGGGATGCAAGTGCACCAAGTAGAGTGATGGACCGCAGACCTAGCTGGGTCCCTCTCACGCCTTTAATCCATTTTTTGACTTTGGGGTTCATCGGCGTGTGCGTTGGCTTCTTTTCAAAACTTTCCCACTATATATATAATCCATCTATCATTAGCCTTTGTTTAGCAAACAATGGCAGGGGTCGCCGTACCGAGTCCGGATGTCTGTTAAAATTGATCAATGGCCCATCCTGCTTCTGTCTGGGCACCGCAGGAGTCCGGCTTGCTTGCGTCACAGCCTTAGGATTGAAGAACGGATCGGTCGGTCCATTGAAGCTGTAAGCGGAAGGACGATCATAAAGGAATGGAGGCTCCGATCTACCCATAGTAGCGACTGAAAGCCTCCCGTGGCAGCCACACGAGACGAGTGGAATTTAATAAGGAATGGAATGAACCGTGGAATGATGCGATCTGACAGTGGGAAACCTTAGGTATGCGACGCGATGTGGGTTGTGCGGAGTAACAGAGGGTCAACACCGATTGTTGGCCTGGCAACTGGAGATAGTGGATCACGTGTGCCGATGACTCCAATCTAATTGAACTTATCATTGATTATCTCTCCCCACACCACGATGCTCGATCGCGCATTTGTCTGTGCTGGCTGCACAGCGCGCTCGGCTCGCCCAGTCCTACGGGTCAAGTCGTTCTCCCCAAAATCCATATCGAAACGATTGAACAGTCATGTTGCTTCGGGGAACCGGCCTACACGAGTTGCCGTTGTGGGCTCTGGACCTGCAGGATTCTATGCCGTGGCAAGGCTATTGAGCAAGCACGATGATCTCAAGGTTGACATGTATGAGAAACTACCGGTGCCATTCGGACTGGCTCGGTACGGAGTTGCCCCGGATCATCCAGAGGTAAAGGTACGTACCGGTAAAGCGACGCAACAGCTTATTTCGTCTCAACTGGCTTGCGAATATGATCGAATAATGTATCTAAAACTTGTCTTTGGTAAAACAGAACTGCGAGGACAAATTCACCGAGGTCGCAACATCCTCACGCTTCAACTTCGTCGGTAATATCGAGCTCGGAAGCGACCTACCTCTGGCCGCTCTCAAACCCCACTACGATGCCATTCTTTTCGCATACGGAGCGTCAAAAGATAAAGAACTTGGAATCCCCGGAGAAAATGCTCTGCGTAGCGTATACTCGGCCCGCTCCTTTGTAGGATGGTACAATGGTCTACCCGAACATCGGCATTTGGACCCGGACTTGTCCAGCGGTGAGGATGCAGTGATTGTTGGACAGGGAAATGTAGCACTCGATGTCGCCAGAATCTTGCTGTCGGACGTCGATGCGCTTCGAACCACAGATATTGCCGACCATGCTCTGGAAGCGCTGTCTCGGAGTCGGATCAAGCGGGTGCGAGTTGTTGGTCGCCGAGGACCGCTACAGGTCAGTACCAGAAAACCTACTCTGGTTCCAATTGCTCATTCTATATCAGGCTTCATTCACAATCAAAGAAGTTCGTGAATTGCTTCAATTGCCGTCCGTTTCGTTCGAACCGATCGGGAAGGATGTCTTCCCTCCAGAAGATGTCATCAATGCCCTCCCTCGGGCCCAGAAGCGATTGATGCAGCTCCTCGCTAAGGGCTCCGCCAATGACCCCGAGACAGCAACCAAGAAGTGGTCTTTGGATTTCCTCCTCTCTCCCGAGTGCCTCGATTGGTCACCAGTGCACCCATACCACCTGTCGCATGCTAAATTCTCTCGCAATGAGCTCGACCCCTCTGATCCCTACACCGCCAGCTCCAAAGTCACACCGAAATACCTCTCGAACGGAAATCGCGCTCAAGTCAATCTCCCCGCCAGTGTCTTCTTCCGCAGTGTGGGCTACAAGTCACTTCCGCTGCCAGGGCTGGAGGATCTCGGTATCGAGTTCGATACTCGGCGTGGCGTGATTCCTAATGATGGACTTGGTCGCGTGACAAGTCCCTCGGAAGCGGGTGAACCCCGCAAACTGCCGGACGGGTCATTGATTTCCTACTTGCCTGGCTTATACTGTGCCGGGTGGGTCAAGCGTGGCCCGACGGGGGTCATTGCGTCGACGATGACAGATGCCTTCACCACAGTGGACACTATATTGCATGACTTGGCCAGCCACAAAGGCTCTCTCCTACATAATTTTGAAAAGAGCACCGGTCTAGGCTGGGATGGAGTCAAGGCCGAAGTACAGCAACGTGGACTTCGGGCAACATCCTGGCAAGACTGGCAGCGCATCGACAGTATTGAGCGTGAGCGCGGTCAGCAGAAGGGCAAGCCTCGTGAGAAGTTTACTCGTGTTGAAGAAATGCTTGAAGCTCTCGATTAGTTCTTCTACCTATGTATATTAAAGAACCATTGTATTTAACATCAATCCCTATCCTCCACGTCACTTGTGTACCTCCAGGGCTAGTATCCAAGGTTCAAGACTTTTCAACCAGTTCTTTTGAAAGGGGAGCCCGCTTACATCCCATAGAACGGGCATCGGTTCGATCCCTTACTCGATTCCACACACGCTCTGATCCACCTCAACATAAGTGGCAGTAATACGACCAAGGCTTTCAGCCTGGTTATTGGTCAGACGGTTCATAGCTGTCAGACCAATGTTGAATCCTTTGGGGGCAGCGTCGATAGCAAGAACAGTGATGGTCTCGTTGATCTTGCCGGACTCGAAGTGCAGCTGGTAGCAAGTACCGCAGGCTGGGCTGTCCCAGCCATCAATGGTCGGCGCACCACCGATTAGAGGGAACGTGGGCAACGAGCCGAATGTGGGGTACTTGGTTACGAGGCCATTGACTCCATCTGAGCAGGCGACTGTGTTGAGAGAGCTTGTGCCAACATCATATTTTTGGTCATAGGAGACTTGGACGGTCTGTCCAGTGGCGCTGGTTGAAGCTTCTGGTGCGATGGCTGGTGCAGGAGCAGCGCTGACGAGGTGAGCGGCTGTCAGGAGAGCACAGGAAATGGCATTGATGGACTTCATGGGGAAGTAGAAGGTTGGATTGATTTTGAAATGGTTAAATGGTTTATTTATTCGGATGTTGAATTATATGCTCAGGTATACATACCTAAACCATTCGGGCACCTGATATTTATATATCCTCACCTGACAGACACAAGTGACAGGCTACATGTATGCTGATACTATTTTTGTACATCTGGTATGCACTTACTAAATGCATTGGTGCAGGTCTTAGACATTAGGCAAGTCGCCGACCAAGTGAGCTTTAATCTGTTGCAATAGTTGTTGCAGAAATCAACCTCCGGACGGTCGATTGCGGGCCTGGGTGCGGCAGAAGAGTGAGACATTGTAGATCTAGACTCAATCCCAAGATGGAGAAATGCCGTAGTCGTGTAGATCAGCTGCACGATCCCGATTTAGGCTTACATGTGACATATTTTTAGTATCTATCACTTTCACGGTGTAGGGAAGTAAAGCGTGAGCATATACATACTTCGGTCGCATTGGGGACATTTGAATATGTACGGAATGGGTGGCCGCAGTTGGGCAATCAAAGGCTGAGTCAGATCTGAGAGGAAACAAGAGAAGGATCAATTACAAAGTGGTCAAGTATTTAAAAAAAGACAAGAAATAAAGGGAGAAAGAACGATATCGTTGGAGTGATGGGACGGAAACAAAAAAAAACGTCCCCGGGAAGGCTCGAACTTCCAACCTCCTGATTAACAGTCAGACGCGCTAGCCAATTGCGCCACGGAGACTTGTTCATATATTGATGTCATTATTACTGAAATATATACTATAATTGTGTATCCTGTATCAAAAGGTCCTCATTTTTCATCTGATTAGCTCGACTTTGCACTAGTTCAACTTTAATCTGATGTGATCCCTGCTCATTCTAACCTCATCATCATATTTTGGTCGCTATTTACCATCGAACCTCACCCCCCTGACTATTAGGGACAATGAAACACTCTGTCTCAGGGAAAACGCAAATTCCGGCTGACAAGCATTATGATCAGCAGAGGCACGGGCCAGGGCCAAGGCAAACCCGTGGAAACCAGATTTCCAAATCTCTTCAGGAGCCCGAATGCCATCGTCCTCAGGTTACGCAATTCGGGGCAATTTCCAGAAATGGCTTGAAAAGCTTATACTTCATGCTTTGATCAACACTTCCATTTTTTTCGTTGACTGGAATAGCGTTGAACTCACATGCAAGTTTACCGTTTGATCTGCTTCACCTCCCTTCATCTGGTTGGATCGAAGAATCGAACCTAAATTTCAGTTCTGAACTATTGTGACACGGGTCGGGGGCTGTGCGTGGCCTCCACGAGGCTCCTGATCAGACTATTGTTTGAAAGTGGCGTCGCAATGTCACAGTGCGGACAAAGTACAAGCGCGAACTCCTTGTTTCCCTCCAATTCGTGAATCATGGTGGATCCGGGTTCTTTTGGGCTGAACCAATACGAGCCGGATCTCCACTTAGTCTCATCAGACAGTGGCTTGTTTTGACGAGACCCCACGTTTGACTCCATCTTCGTTGCCCCTAATGCACAGAAGCTGATTGATTGCGCGCCAGCACGGCCTTGGCATGGAGATTTCCCACACCAGTAAATCTTATTTGCACAATTCGGCTGGTTGATCGACGCCGCATTTTCCGGAAATCCGAGCGCTTTACCCTATTGCACCAGTTTTGTGGATAAAGCTCGGCTCGAGTGTTCCAATTCCAGCCATACATGGGCTTCGGAGCCTCACCCCGGGGACCCGAATCGAGTATACGGTGGTTTACTCATAATCTCCTGAAGCGACCGAATAGCCGCTACGGCGGCAATGAACCATGGATCTACTCTTGCAGCCCCCTATTGATTGACAGTGGGCAAAGCTTTCGGCCTAGTTTCCTGTGATTGAAAATCACCACTGCACTCTGGTGGAGCATCGGTAGCGGTGCAGGCCGACATAGAGAACCGTGCCCTCGGGTTTCGTTCGATTCTTTCTTATACAAGCTCAGGCCCTCGCACAAGGTTCGAGATCCATCCTACCCAGAGCCCTGAATCATGGTTCTACTCACCCATGTCCTGCGTTCGCTATACGCCGATGGCGGCGGTGGCTCAATCGCTCGCCGCTGGGAGTTCCAGGAGGAAGATCCGCTCAAGGGTAGCGACCGGTCGCTCTTTATTGCTATGGGTATCATTGCCCTCTGCTCATTAGGTTCCACTCTGGGACTTCTGTCGTTCCTTACCTATCGCTTTGTGTACTGGCAGCGGTATTACAAGCATCCCCTCGCTAAAAACCAATATGTCGTTTTGATTTACAATTTGCTACTGGTTGACCTGCAACAGGCAATCGCTTTCACAATCAGCCTATACTGGGTGTCGCGGGGCAGTGTTCACTTTGGGGAGGCTGCCTGTTACTTGCAAGGCTGGTGGATTCAAACCGGAGATCCTGGCAGTGGTCTATTCGTCCTGTCCATCGCTCTCCACACCGGCTTTGTCGTGCTCCGTGGTCGACAGCTGCCCTTCCACATTTTTGTATACTGTGTGATTGCCTTATGGGTGTTTATTCTTATCCTGGGATTCATTCCAATCGGTCTGTATGGATCCAAGGCCTTTGTGATCTCTGAAGCCAACTGGGTATGCTTGTTTTCGACTTACATGGTTAAGTGATGTTGATTGACTGAAATCATCTTTATTTTAGTGTTGGCTGAGTCCATTAAACGAAAGTGAGCGTCTATGGGGTCACTACTTCTGGATTTTCCTCTCCGAATTCGGTACCATTGTCCTTTATGCGGTCATGTTCTTCTACCTCCGGCGTCGTATGGCACAAGCAAAGATGCTCCGCCGTGGCCAACAAGAGTCTCTCCACCGATTGAACCGTGTCGTCGTCTACATGGTTATCTACCCCCTCGTCTACCTGGTCATGTCGCTGCCTCTCGCCGCGGGTCGTATGGCCAGTGCACGGGGTGACTCGCCTAGCAAGACCTACTTCGGTGTCGCCGGTTGTCTGATGGCCCTGTCGGGAGCCATGGACGTGGCTGTCTACACTCTGACTCGTCGCCACCTGCTTATCGACACCGAGCACAGCACCACCGACCACAACTACGACAACACCGACTCCCAATGGCAAACCAACATCACCACGAATGCTGGATCCCGGTCGCGCAAGACCTTCAAAAAGGGATCAAAGCTGGGCTCGAGATTCCGCCGCAGCCAGGCCGCCGACAAAGAATCCACCGCCAATCCATTCGAGGGTGGCTCTACCGAAGATATCGTTGCGAAGCACGACATGGAAATGTCCAACTTTGGTGGTGTGTATCAGGAGACCACCATTGAGATCTCTCATGAGCCTGTCTCTGAGATTGAAGCTGAGGAACGAAGCGCGCGTCGCAGCAGCTAAGACGGGATGTGGTTTACGATTCTTGACTGGCCTATGAGGCGTTCTTGTACATATGATTCTCCCTGTATTCCTGCCATTTGCATACACTCCTTTTAATTCTAATGAACAACAAAAACGTTATGAATCTACGTCCCCGCTGTCACACTGTAATCCCGCTGTCAATTCCCGTAGTCTCTTGGCGGGGAACTCAAACACGAGCATCCTTTTCTCCCATTTCTGAAGCCACAACTCAGTCTTGCTTCTCCAAGGATGATATCCGGTACCACCGATCGGCACTCAACTAGTCCGTCCCAGAACCCTGGACCATAGCTGAACCTAGATCTGGTTGAACACATGAACACACCCACCTCAACCACCCGGGCACGTCGCCACAGGATCCCGACGATTTGATTTTTTTTCTTACCCACAGTGGATCTTAATGCGACAATGGTCACCACTTAGCCCGAAGAGTGGGTATTATTCGGGGGTCTGTGCCATCAGAACTTACCGGGATTCTGTCATGCTATTCCAAAATAGGGGCTTTTGTTCCGGAGGCAAACCTGGATAATGTATTAGACGTGTTCTGGGGCGTGTAGATCCTCATCTCGCAACTGGGGCCCACATTTCCTCGATGGGAAATTGCTTGTTACGCTGATCCGGAAGAGAATTTCGATCGGGTCTCACGTATGACGTAGCGAGCTCGTCTCTGCATACCCGGGGGAGCAGTTAGGAAATGTAGTGCCGGGTTGCTTTTTCCATGTGTGCAGGGCGAAAAAGGTTCATGTCAGGTAAATCTTAAGTGAACAAGCAAAAACATGCTAATTTAGTGGATTATCGAAACTTAAAGAAGTTGCACGGCCCGGGGAGAACGAGGGATTCCCGGTGGAGAAAGCCCGAGTCAAACTATTAGAGTCTGGAATCATCCAGCATTTAAGCTTTAGAGACTGCCCAACCCCCTGAACCCAATTACTCAGGCTACCGAGGCACAGTCCTCCCATGTGTTCACACAGGATTGCCCCTCGTTGATAACGGAAGCATGAAAGAGTCAGAGAATCTTGATGTTCTCTAATGCGCACAGAGAGAGTAGGAAATGGGCACCAGGTGGAAACGATCATTTGGGAGGCGTAAGATCTATCATGACATTGGTATACATAAAAAAAATCTTCCAGCAAAATTTCACTCGGATTCCTTCCAGTACTCCTAACTTCCTAAAGCTTAGATGAGAGTGGTGCTTCAACGTCCTGCTGAATCTCCTCCCGTGTTCTTTCCGTGTCCCTAATCACCATCTTCACATATAACTGCTGGATACGCTCCGTAATCGGCCCACGTTTCCCACTCCCAATTTGCCGCCCATCAATCTCTCGCACATGGATCTGTGAGGGGAAGGTTCCTGTACAAAAAGCCTCATCGGCTCCATATGCCTCCGTGAGAGTAAAATCGAGCTCTCGAACCGGGATACCATTGGCGCGGCACACATCAATCGACTTTTGGCGGGTAATGCCCTGCATCTGATTATTCTTCGTCGGAGCCCATACTTCGCCGTCACGAACAATGAAGAAATTCGTTGAGTTGCATGTCTTGACGAATCCATTCAAGTCCAGCATCAAGGATTCATCCGCCCCAGTGACGTTCGCTCCGATACATGCTTGTACATCCGTTGCTTTGGAGATATGATTCCACATCTCATCTTTGACATCCGGTGGTCCTCGACGGATGTGCGATGTGATCAGCTTGAGTCCGTGCCTCTTGACACCTGGGTCTGTGGCCTTGATCTCGGGGATGATCACAATCAATGGGAGACCTATGTTCACCGAGGGATTCTGGTAGGGTGTCGACTTTAAGCCTCGGCTTACAACCAGTCGGATGTGAACGTATGGCTCATTGGACATCTCGTTTGCATCGAGAGTCTTGTGAAGAAGCTCCAGGAGCTGGAGTTTGGATAGTCCAAGATCCATGAACATTGCTTTTGCAGATTGGAATAGCCGGTTGATGTGATCTTTGGCGAACTGGATTCGACCGTTTCTGGCGCGAACTCCTTCCTTTGTATCCGATCAGTCCTCACTCCCGCCATACTGAATGGTTACATACCCATATACCATCGCCTATCAAGAAGTTCGAGTCGAACACCGATACGACTGCATCTTTTCGCGGCACTAGTTTGAAGTCCCCGCTGACGCCATCGCGCATCCCGATCTTATGCCTCGTTAGCAGGTGAAGGTCTATCAGATCCATTCTGGACCTATACTCACCAGGATATTTTGATTTTTCTCATTTGGCAACGTCGCGTGGGTTGCGCCCTTTTTGCTGTCATTACCGAAGGAATCCATTGTGACGTTTCGGCCAGAGTAATAAGCAAAGAGCAAAGTTGGACTTGAACCAGCCGTTCTAATCACGTTATTGAAGCGATAGGTAACGCCTTTAAGTACCAACCTGAGATAGGTTCTCTTCACCTGGTCTCCACTAGTTGGAATTTACCTCGGTGTAGACCGAGAAGATCAGTGGTACCGGTCTCGGTGTGGTCCGATTAGTACTTAGAATGCTTGTTGATGATAAGAACGCCAAGTCTGCGACCCCACTACGGCTCGGTGTAGACCGAGGTCATATCTCGGTCCACCCCGAGAAGCTACCCCATATTGACTCCATCATGGCTTAGGATTGGAAGTTTGGGGTATGATAAACTCGATTGCATCACCCGGTACCCCGATTGCAAGCTATATGGTTCCCCAAAGAAGCAGAAGATAAGGGCCAATCCTCGTTTTTCCAGTCTCCATTGCTTTAAGAAGAAGCTGCAGGCGCATTTTGAAGAGGTGTTTAGTGATAAGCTCCCAGTCTTAGTTCCATTCATACCAGTGCGGCTTTTTATAGGAACCAGCGCGATCATCTCTCATTTTCGGGGGAATCTAGAAAATGCACCAAACGGTCACTGCCGATAACAAAGACCATGACACCGTCCCTGCCAGCATCTTATGCGACGTGCACCATGGCCAGCTCGAAACTGAGGTTTCAGCTGCGCAATCCCGACGTATATTACTGAAGATTGACTCGGTGGTGTTGCCCCTCATCGTCGTTTCAATGACACTGGCATTCTTAGATAAGGTTATTGGCTCCTTTGCTCTCCCTACACTCATTCATACTTACCATCCCCTAGAATGGCCTTGCATATGCAGCAGTATATGGCTTAGAGACAGACACACATCTGGTCGGGCAGCAGTACAGCTGGCTGGGAAGCATCTTCTACTTCGGCTATCTTGCTATGGAGTTCCCCAATCTCTGGTTAATCACAAAATTCCCCACGGGTAAATACATGGGAGGCTGTCTCATGGCCTGGGGTGCATGTTTATGCCTCCTGGCGGTCTGCCGCAATTTCGCTGGACTCGCTGTCATTCGCCTCTTGTTGGGTATTTTCGAAGCTGCTCTACTTCCGTGCCTGTTGCTCGTCAACTCAAAGTGGTATCGACGCAATGAACAACCGTTACGCACAGCCCTTTGGTACAATACGTTTGCGGGTGTTTTCGGTGGTATATTGAGCTATGCTATCGGGCATATCAAGGGGGACCTGCCCACATGGAAAGTCAGTCAATTCAATTCATTATTTTCCTCATACTTTCTGACAAATATGATGCAGTATATCTTCATTATCTATGGGGCTGTAACTATTCTAGTCGGCTGCTTAGTTATCTTTGCCCTACCCGATAGCCCTGCAACTGCTTGGTTTCTCTCAGCGGAAGAAAAGAAGATTGCGTTGTTACGTGTATCTGAAAACCAAACTGGTTTAGGAACTCACAAGGTAAAGTAGCTTGTGATGGCCTTCAAGAAGATGAGCTGATGGTACCTACTTGTTCACCAGGATATGAAGCTTGGCCAAATCCTGGAGGCTCTTACGGATCCTAGATACTACATACTCATGACATTCGTCATCGCCCAGTCAATCACGAATGCCGGAATCACAAACTTCAACCCGCTTATTATTTCTGGATATGGCTTCTCACAAGCCAAGACAACGTTACTCGCCACGCCCCAAGCTGCAGTTGCAATGGTTGCCCAAGCACTTTTTACGACTCTCACATTCTTCGTACCCAATATCCGCTGTTTGCTTTGGGTCATATCCTCTCTAATTGCTATGGCTGGAGCTATAGTGGTCCATGTTGTGGATCCTACTACACAACGTAATGCTTCGCTCGCTGGTGTTTATATTATGGGGTTCTACAACGTACCATGGGTGCTCGCATTGAGCCTGCAAACATCTAACACGAGTGGAACAACGAAAAAAAGTTTCGTCTCTATCTCCGTGGCCATATTTTACGGTAAATTTTCATTTGGACTTTTTTTCACGATTCTTGCTAATGTGGGATTCTAGCTGTTGGAAACATCATTGGTCCACAATTCTTTCTTGAAGACCAAGCACCACGTTATCCACTTGGTATTGGAGCAATGCTGTGCTGCTTTGCTATAATGACGGCTACGGGAATTCTGTATTTCATCTCGTGTTTCACTTCTAATAAACGCCGTGATCGTATTCATGGACGAATCAGTGATCAGCCCGGCATGGAAGTTGCAGGGATCGAAGCCGATCTAGATGATTCAACCGATCACGAGAACAACAAGTTTAGATATTCATACTAGCTTTGTGAGATGTATAACATATTGGTGGAATATTGGAATTCACACTTTTATCGGAAACTTTGGAAATATTTACATTTGCATGCTATGAGTATCGCCAATGTCGCTAAGAACAGTCCCATACCATGCGGTCAGCGAATCATCAATACCAAGCATCTCGTTGTCAAAGATAGTCGACATTTGGTTGAGATAACTTTCTAGACTCTCTGATGCTATCGGCATCATTTCGATTTCGGTATTGAGGACATGATAGCTATCTTCCCGAGACCGATTAATATCCTGTGCGCTAGGAATCATTGGAAGATCGGTAATTTGGGAAAATGAAGCACCTTGAACGGCTTCATCGAGAGGAGGTGTATACGGATATACTTTGTCTCTGAGGGAAGAGAATATGTTGATGAATTTCGAAAGAGAATGCTCGTGAAGATTAGCGATGCCCTCACGAAGTAATCCAAGACATATTGCAGCATCTTCGGGTCGGAGCGTAGGCATTGGGGTTGGTGCGACCTTTTGCATGTGCCTGATCATTCAGTATATTGCTTCAAGACTTCAAATGAAGGTGCTTATTAGCTTACCAGTCACTGTAAAGACGAACCAAGCCCACAATAAGAATGTCATGGAATTGGCGATAGCACCGACAGATCGCATCGATCCCCGACTCAGAGGCTATTGCGGCCCATTGATGCAGAGCACTGGATGATGCGTGAGAGCAGACGGCAATCATGTTTTGCGAGGGAACCATAAAAGCTGGCGAGGGACGATTTAAATGCATCAACATCATGCAGTATTCAATTCTCATGAGTTTATATTCTCGTGATTGGCTTATTCCTGCAGCATCAAGTTGGCTTTTCCAGTGATCCAATTGCCGATGCAAGTCATCTGAAATCGAGCAAACTTCCTGAAAGGTGAGTGATGAGCATCGCCCATCCCGATTTCGAGCGATGTATATTGACTCCAGAATGCGCCCTGCAATCTTTCGGAGTTCAATCATATGGACAAAAATCCAAACCGATTTGGCATGGAATAAAGTGGCAATCTTCACTTCTTGCTCGGTAAGCTGATCAAGACTATTGAACGAAGGAATTGGAGTATCGATAGCTTGGTCGCGCACTGACAAAACCCTCCCAGTGGTCAGAGCCACAAATCTGCCGGTAGCGTTAGATGCGATTGAACTCTGGGAATTCAATGAGAAAGATTGAATACAAACCTCTCCAGGCTATATGTTGCCCACCATGTACGAGAACGAATCTCAGTCTCTTCGGGGCTAAAATGCCAAGATGGATTATGTCGGTGAATTCCCAGCTCGAGCGCTATGGACATGGCATATCTTGTCAGATGCCAAAGATCATTGCTATGGTTGCGAGAGGGCGAATTCAGCATCCAAATTGTCACCAGTAAAACTGCTTGGAGGCCTGGTAGATCGCGAGGGTGGTCTCTGAATCTTTTGAAGAAATGAAGCGCAGTTTGAAAATAATCTCGCGGAGTGTTGTAATCCAGCATTGAAGTATATGCATCATCGTGGGAAGCTTCGTCCGCCGCCAGTGCAAGGACAATAAAGAAAGTGAATCTTTCAAAATCACTACATGCTTGCGGTTCTTGATACAATCTTCTGAAACAAGACCGAGTATGCCTTAGATCCAAGAATGGCCACCAGAGATGAAGCCTTGCGATGTAAGTAGAAAGAAGATGCCCAGAAATCACTTTCGATGGAATTGAAGCCATGTACTCCGGAAGATTTGCATCATCCTCTGGATCTTTCTGGTTCGTACTCGAAGACTTGGCCAGTCTAACTTGTTTGAAAAATATTCTAGCGAAAGTTGAGCCCGCAGCAGCGCCCACTGGTAATTTCAATTAGATAACAGATCGACGTGTATCCAGAAAGGACTTGAGCATTTGACCGACCGTATTTGGCGTGAGAGTACCGATCAACAGTCCCAATGGCTAGAACACCCACTTCTTCGGCTTCTTTGCTCACATCTGCTGATGAAGCCAATTTACCTGAAGTGGGTGGAAGACCATTGAAAGATGGCCCAAGGCCGTGCTTATCGACAGCTGGCTCACAGATAAAATCATTTTTGTGACTACCAAGTCTATCCTCAAGCTCTTTCTCCTTCAAATGAAGGCTCTCCACAAGTGCGTATGGGTAGGCAACGTACTCGGTGATGTTGCAAACTTCACCCTGCCTTTCACATGCCGAGCATTGAGGTATTTTCAAATCGCACTTTTGGCTCATGTTCAGCAGATTGAGAACAAATGAGAATTGACAAATTCACCTTCACTTTCCGTGATCGGCATCTGCTACAGGACTTAACCACTGATGGCGAATATTGGTCCATTGCCCCTTTCGAAGTCATCTGCGTGGATGAAGGGGACTCTCCCCTTAATAGAACATCCAGAGTACCGAGAGCGTGAATACCCCGAAAAACGCCGGTATATACATGCAGAGAATGACGCAGGTACCAGCTGAAGGAAGAGATGACTGTTCGTTGAACTAGCCTCAGGAAGAGGGGCCGATTGATGCCTAAGGCCTCAATAGAAATATACCACTGGAATGCAAGAATTCCCGGAGGACCTGATGAGTATTTAAGAAAATCTGCTGGCCAATCTGACATCACGTTCAATGGGTACACTCGGAACTGATCCTAGTGCAAGGACGGACCCTGAAATATATGTTGTCATGGAATACATAGACGGCGCCTTTCATCTGGCTGAAGAGAACAAAGAAAGACCAATTCATCATGTCAATATCAACGTGCGGGACTACTACAGCTACCCGTCCCGAGTAGTTTGCATTATAAGTTGTTTAGATAGTCGCACTATATCAAACAATTTAATAGCCGGGTTTAGATCTTCGACAGGCTGAGTGAACATTGCCATTGAAACAGGGTATATTCAACAAAGAAAAGGAAAAAAGTAATCAAGGAGAGAAGGAGTAGGAAGCCAAGATCATGAAGTCAAGAGAGAAAATAAAAATAAAAATAAAGGTATGAGTTTCAAATGATAGTCGTGTGCATGGAAAGATTTCCAAATATAGATCAAGAAAAGAAAACACGCAGAGATAAGCAACAATGAAAGGTTGGAGATGCTTGTATATATGGTGACAGACTATGTTTGCAGCTCTTCGCTGGCGGTTTTGAATTCTTCCCTGTCGGGCATTTCTGGTCGATGAGTGCTTGAACCCAAATCGTTTTTGTCAGTCGCCAAGGTGTCGCCGTTCGAGGGATGCAGATGCAGGGATGAAGTATCGGTGGATGCTCGCGTGTTGTCGCCTCCGTTGAGCACCCCGATCACACCTCGAGCTGAGAGTACGGCACGTGTGCTGGCGGCATCTGGTGCGACAATGCCGCTGACCGCATCCCCGCCAATGGTGCTGGTGTCTTCGCCTGCATCAGAAAAGAACTCGCTCCGGCCAGCCACAGAGCCCCCAATCGATGAGCGTCGGCCCCGGAGGTGGGGGAGAGAGGCATCGGAAGTCATGGGAAGGGTACCCGCTGCATGAAACAGGGCTCTTGTACTCGCGTTCTCTTCGTTGAACTTGCTATTATCAACCCCTGGAAGCACTAGGATTGGACCACCATGCCTCTCCGATATGGGCCGGAGAGATACTGAGTCCGCCTCTGCAGAGGAACCTCCGTTAGTGGGCTTCTGTTCACTCGCAGCATCCCAAGTTACTACAGGAGCACCACTAGACATGGAGTTCGTGGCGACAGACTTCCGGTCCGCGGAGGTATTGGGCTGAACATTTTTCGCGGGCTGGCTGGACCATCGACCTGCTTGGCCCACATCTACGCTAGTGCGAGTTGAGGGACGACCGGATTTTACTGCGTCTTTTTCACGCTCAATAGTGCGTTCGTCATGCTTACTGCCCCAACCGCTCCAGAGAATCATGCCGTAATTCTTCTGTGCATGACGCTTGGGTAGTACGCCTGGGGCTGCGCGACGGGCTGCTAATGAGCTTGGGGACGGATATTCGCCTTCAAAGTCTTGGAAACCGTGCGACATCTCCTTGATTCGCCGAGCCTGGACCTTGAGCTTCTCTTTCGAAAATTTCATATCCCACTCATACTTTGCACCCAGCCATTTGCGGATAAGCTCTGGGTTAATTGCACCGACCTGTGCTGGTGGGATATCCAGAACAGGGTACGAAGATGGTGGATCAAGTGGATAGGTTCGTCCGCGTTTGTCGACTCTTTGACGGATCATATGTTGGTGAAAGGCTGGTAGCGGATCGCCGGCTTTACCAACAAACGACATCCCAGTACCTGTTCTTGGCTTTCCAGACATGCCTCGGGGTTCCTCCGAGCTTTCTGTAGCACTAGATGAGATGGGGGAGAGTAGTTCTTCATCCACAATCTCGACCTCGGCGCTCTGTGCGCGAGCGAGAGCCCAGGATCCAAATTGAGAGATTGCCCGGAACATATACTTTGCGGGTCGGGTGAAACTCAAGGTAGGCGCCACATGGCAAAGGTCATCCCATACTTGGAATTGCACGTATGTAGGTTCGTACTTATGTAGAATCTCTCTTTCGGGATCGTATTCGTCAAGGTACACATCGCCAGGTGGGTATGCAGTCGGATTGGCCGCCTTGTGGGCGATGTAGAACTGCTCATCACGGAGCATTTCGCCCCCACCGCTCAAAATCTGAAGGGGTGGCAGGCCACCAAGGGAAGACTGAAGAACTGGCGATACCAGGGGATGAGAGATCAATTGATTTGTCGCATACATCTGAATTTGATCCTTGATTTCGACGGTCTTCCCATCCATCACCACGTGAATGTTATCAGGCTCCGCATGGGTAGTTTGAGGATCTGAAATCTGTTGTTGGCCTGGATAAGCTGGTTCTACACCCGGAGCGACCTTTTCATGTAGAGTATAACCGCGGACAGCAGTCTCTTCCGACTGGCTATTGGCCGTAGGGACAGACTCTTCAATATCTTTGGCTGCAACAGTCTTCTTGCGAGACAAATTTCTGATCTTGAGGAGCTCGTCCGCATTAGGTGGTGGCCATGCTGTGGATGGCTTGTGTCTAAAGCCATACGGAGGAATGTAATCTCCTGGATTATCCTCAACAATGCTTGGGAATGAATGGGTCAAATCGACCCAGGGCGAGATGAGAATAGCGCCTGCAGGAAGAGCTATCCCTTGGTCGCGCATCATGACCAGCAATGACAACACCATTCCACCGCCAGCAGAATCACCAGCCAGAATGATCTCCTTGGGGTCGTACGTCTTCAATAGCCACAGATAGGCCGCCATGCAGTCCTGTAAGCCGCAGGGGAAGGGAAATTGAGGTGCGAGACGATAATGAGGCGCGAAAACGCGGCCTTTCAACTTGCGCGCATGACGCTGCAGCATGTAGCGATGCGTATCCACACTTCCGAAGAAATACGCGCCGCCATGCACGTACAGCATGATGCGGTTACATCGCTCCTCGTTCTTTTTGCTTTCATTGTAATGGCTTCGCATCTCAACCCATTCTCCCTTGAGATCTTCCGATGGGCCCCGCCATTGCCACCATTTCTGTCCGCCCACGCGTAAGATACCTTTAGGGCCCAATTGCTTGCAGAGCACTTCTGCTGCTACCGACAGATGCTCGTTGGGGATGGTGACGGTCTCGGTCCTCACCCAATGTGGGCTCGGGACGGCCTGGCGTGTAAAGGCTTGGATGTCCTCGACGGGGTGCTTCGAGGCATAATACAGAAATTGGCGGATGACCTGGATACCTTCATCATAGGTGAGATGGACGGTAGGTTTATTGTGGTGGGACTTGCGATGCAGATACTATCATGAACATGTCATTAGCAACATATCGTTCAGGAGCTTCGATGGACCCACATGAGAAATAAGAGTGTGAATGACTGTTGGGGTTAAGGCCGCCCCGAGTGCGACCGTGTGCAATGGCATAGTGTTGCCATTCGCGAGGATGGGGAAAGGGCAGCAGGAGTACACTTTGAATTCAAGAGTGGCCCGAGCCCGGACCAGACGTCATTACAAGGAGTTCGCAGTGATCGGAGGGGAAACTCAGCCACTCAAGTCAATGCTTGATTGTGAGTGGTTGGGAGTTGATAAACGCCAATGGAAGCGGAGTCAAAAGTGGGTCTCAGGGGGGAGAATACATAATGTGCACAGTTATGAACGGAGTCCTCCGTAGATCGAGTCCATTCCTTGCAATGATGTCATTGGTATTTACTGCTAAGTTTCTAAGGTTTCCCCTAAAACAAGAGATCCATCACAACCCGTGCCCTCATATGAAGGGCGCTATGCATCGCGCCCCGAGGTGAATTTGGATTTGGCTCTCAACGCCTCGCTATACTTCATGAACAAGAAAGGGACCGGTAACGCCAAACACGAGATCCCACCCAGCAGACTAGCCGCAGGTCCAAGGCCCAAGTTCTCAAACATAGGTCGGGCGGCAATGGGCATCGCACATGCAAGGATAGACCGAAGAATTGTGTTCGCAGACACAGCACTGGCAGCGAATGGGCCATAGGTGTCGACCAGAAAGTTAAGACATTGTTGAAAAACGATGTTGAAGCCTGCAGCTATAAAGCCTGTGGATTGTATTAGCCAGAGTGAAGGACGTATAATAATGGTGTGGATTTTTACCTCCTGCTACCACTGGCGATGGCCAAGGATACTTCGGAGCTGCGGTCCAGCCAAACCAAAATAGACCCACCGACAGCAAGACGCCCCCGACAATAATTGGGGGAAGACGGGCTTCAGGCACTGCTTTGCCATCATTTGCCGTCACGGCGCGCTGATATCGTGGCTGATTGGCAAAATTCAGTACTACCGCACAGATAACTCCAACTAGGATTGATAGGAAAGGAAGGGCTGATGTGACCAGACTCCAGTGTCGATCTTCGTTGAAGACTATGGGGAACACTTCGAGGGTCAAATAAATCAGGCTGTAGGTGAAGGAGGCATAGAGGGCAAGTAGCGTAACCATTGGCTCGGTGCATAGCATCCTATCAAGAACATAATTAACACGATGTTCCTGCAGGCAAAGAGTGGGCTCATACACTAATGGCCGAGCAAGGTGCTTGGCGACAGCGTTATGCATATCGATCTTTTCCTTCTCATGAGGATGCCAATATCGTTCATCTCCTGTACTCTTGCGTAACTTCTGTGCCTTTTGCTTGAGAAGGACTGGCGCATATGTTTCAGGGAGGCATAGTGCACAAACGGTGAATAGGAAGAAAGCGATGATGGCTTCAATGTACTCGGTCCCTGAAGTCATTATCATTAGCTCGGTCATAGACAATCATAATCTACCATTCGGGACGTTACTGACAGCGCCATCCTAGGCTGCGATTGACCGTCAAGGCAGAACCAATAATGGGCCCAATAGTAGGACCCCCTGTGATACACAGTGCCACAAATGTCATCGCATTTCCGCGTGTTGCCGGAGGAAAGATATCTCCCAAGGCCGCAGGCACATTACTAATTGGCGCCGACGCAAAGATCCCGCCCAAGAATCGAGTCAGAAAAATGGTTTCGGAGTTTTTGCTCGTTGCTGTACCAATGCTGAAGAGACCTAAAACAAAAATAGCGGGTAGCATGCCCAACCGACGGCCGTATACCTCACTGATGGGCGCCCATATCATAGGGCCGAAGGCCCAACCCAAGACAAAAAGGGCCACAGTCAGGGATGTGACCTCAACGCTAGTATCTGTGTATTCTGCAATCTGGGTTGATCCAGGGGAGATGATTGAGGAACCAAGAGCACCGGTCATCGCGAGCATGCTCATTTGGAAGACCAGCCATATCTTATAGAGTGTGCTGAAATTCTTGGGATTTGTGACATCATCTGATTCGAAACCAACTTTGAAAGCCTCAACATTCTCGAACTTGGTCTCATCAGTTGGTTGTGATTGAGATTCAAGATCGAAAGCCATGGCTGGAGACCTTCAGGGTGTACATGTGTCAACAGAAGAAAGCGAGAAAGCGTGGGCTTATATAGTGGAGGATCATCATTTCTGCAGCGAGCCTGGACAGACCGAGCCGAGATATCCGTGAAGCAGGTGTTCACAAGGATTTCTCGCCTGGAATTGTTCCTGAATTCGTAAAGAACATACACAGGAACATACTTGGGAATGAAGCACTATACCCGAATTGTGATAGCGGCGGCCGACAGCCCCACATCCGAATCAATGGGCCCCCAATGCGCATGTAAACTGCGACAGCGTTGATCCTAGCGCTCAGCTTCCAAGGTTTACCCGGTATGTCGCCTCAAAGACCAGTTTTCTTCCACATAACGAATATAACATTTAGCGGCGGCCGCTAGTGAATGCACGCTGATCCTGTGTTGGATCAGGTTACGTACGAAGACGCACCGGTGCCACTCTGGGGGCCAAAACTCCGACTCATTATGGAGCGCGCACCGAGAGTCTGTGCCATCTGCAAATCTCGAAAGAAAGGCTGTGACAAAGCTCTTCCACGCTGTGGATATTGCACCCAACGTGGTCTGGTATGTATCTACGAGGACCCGGCACCACCAGACTACCGCCGCGGCTTAGTCGGGAGCAATGCGCCGTGGTCCACCAGCCCATCACATCCCTCAAGTCCATTTCAAAATTCAAATTTATCATATCCACCCATGACGATTGAAGATATATTACATCATGAAGTCTCCAAAATTTTCAGAATCACGGAGCGAGCTTTTTGGGAAGTTTGCGAACAGTATTTTGGGAGCTTTCATCGGTGGCTGCCAGTAGTGTCTTATGATCTACTGGTGGAAAACACCAATCAGTATATTGACAAACGTCCGCCGGCGGACTTTTCTCTCCTAATACTGGCTATCTATTTGGTGACACTGGACCCCTCAGACGACAATAGAACACAGATTATACCCCCGCAGACTCTATATCTAGAGTTGCGCATTTCCTTTACACGCGTTCAAACCGTGACCTCTGCCTCTACACGACTCATCCAAACAGGAATTCTTCTCGCTGCATATGAATATGCTTGCGGAAGACCTCATGCCGCTTATATTTCTATTGGAACATGCGTACGCATGGCCTCAATTCTTGGGATTGATCAATATAGTCGGCCCAATCACGGAATGAATGGAGAGATTGCCACAGACATCGGATCTCTGGAGGCTCGAAATGTTTACTGGGCAATGATTATGCTTGAAAGGTATGCTACAGTAGAGATACCTTGGGAAGACTGTGATTAACTTGTAATCACAGACTCATTCTGTACGAATGTCCGCTCGACCATCTCAAACCTGCATTGGTTTTCCCAAGCTCAGAAACCGAGCTGCCATCTGACCTTATCTCACCAACTTGTGTCAATTCGCCCTCCTCTCAGGATGTTGGCCGAGCGGCAACCGTGGGTGACCTACATGCAAACAACGTCACATCTTTTGGTCGCCAAATTCAGGCGATTTCATTTCTCGTCCAGGTCCTACGAGTAACCGATGACAGGGATACGACATCATTCTCAGAACTTATCAAGCTGGACGAGAAACTGCGAGAGTTTCTCACTATCTTAATGGGCCAAAGTCCCGGAAGACACCAATGCGGTGCTAATGGAATTATGATAAGGTGTGCACGTGGCCAACAAAAATGTTTAGGCAGGTCAAGCTAACAATGGAAAGGTCGCTGGTCCGCCTACACCAATATATCCTCAAGCGGCCCTGTACGCCAGGCCACCCGGAAGCAAAGGTCCAAGAGCAGTCGCATGCCACCCTTGACACGCTTGCCCGCATGATGATCGAGGTCGCTTATGATCATTTGGAGCGCTTCGTGCCCAGCAAAATCGACTCTTTACCCCTGTCGTGTTCGTATAATATGCGATCCATGATGGAGCTCATAGAGGATAGATGGGGTCATATTAGCAGCAAACAACCACCGAAGGGGCTAGAGGCATTTGTGGCACTTCATAAAGCTGTCTGCAAAAGATGGAGGTGTTCGCTGGAACATTAGATCAAAATAGTAGCGCAAACATGCAGCCCATGTAATATTTTACATCCTTCTGAACGCTGATGTGAAAGCAAGGAGACCACCCATAATGTACAAGATAGACCTTTATAAGAAAGACAACGCCTGGGCTTGTTTGGAAAATAGCTATCACTTCCATTCTAGGCCGATCTTGTGTGCGACTTGCTCCGCAATGTTGAGGAATGCCTGGCGCCGGGCACTCCGTTCTACCGATTCCTCCGCTACAACAGTCGGCATTCCACGGTCGGCATCCTCGCATACCTTGGCATCAAGAGGGATATCGCCAAGGAAATCAACGCCTAGACGTTTGCACTGCGCCAGAACACCGCCCTCTTCACCATGACAATGATCCCCGTCACCGTGCGAAAAGATTTTGGTTTCATGGCCACAATTAGGACAAGCGAAATAGGCCATGTTACGAACCATTCCAAGTACGGGAACTTCCATGCGCTTGAACATGCCGAAACCACGGACGGCGTCACGGAGGGCGATGTCTTGTGGTGTTGTTACGATCACTGAGCCATCGATAATGATTTCTTGGTTAATTGTGAGTTGGACATCACCGGTACCTGGTGGGAGGTCCATTATGAGGACATCGAGTGGACCCCATGAGACGGAGTGAAGAAGTTGGTGCATGGCTTTTGTTACCATCAGTCCTCGCCAGGAGATTGGCGTTGTGTCCATTGGTACTTCTCCAGTGTTATCAGCCTGGGTTTGTGGGAGAAGGTATCCCATAGACATGGACTTGAGACCATAATTTGTGAGGGGAACGAGACAGTTGTCTAGAATTGTATTAGCATGGCCCTTGGCTGGGTTAGTATAAGGTAGATACTCACTTTCATCAAGGCGAGGCTCGCCGGAGAGGTTGAGGAGAGTCGGGACGGACGGGCCAAAAATATCGGTATCAAGGATGCCCGTTTTTATTCCTCGACGGGCAAAAGAAAGGGCGAGGTTGACTGATATGAAAGAACCTATTTAGCACTTTTACACTTTAAGGACCCCTCTGCTGTGAGATCTTCTGAAGCATGCCTCCAAAAAGATATCAGGATTCAGCGTAGGCCGGTGTCATATGTTCAATGAAGCTAAATCAATAACTCACCCGCAACTGTCGATTTGCCTACTCCACCTTTGGCTGAAGAGACGGCAACCACTTTCTTTACATCCCGGATCTTGCGCTTCTCTGGCATTCCCCGCCGACTCCGGAAAGTTGGTGGCGTGCCGGATTTTGGGAGACCCTTTCAAATATTTAGCAATGTAAACTGTATTCAATGGCTGTGTCAAGTATATCGATATCAGGAAGCACATAGACAAATGCACGAAGAGCCAAATTTTGATAGCTTTTACTCACCAGGGGATTATCATGTGAGAGAGCCCGGGTAGTTGTTGAGAATAGCCGTCGCATTGTGACAGCACCCGTCGGTAAATGGAACATGGTTGCAATCGTCCTCAATTTCAAGGACAATATACACGCTTGTGCAAGGTTATATACGTGAAGCACGACGAATAATGGATGTGGTTCTGCCGGCAGTTATGGACACCGCCATCGATCAACAGACCGCTTCGCTCTGTGGAGCTAGCCCGAATAGGATAGTTTCTACGGATAACGGAAAAACAAAAAAAAAAAGTCGCGGCAACTTGGAATTTCTCCAAGCTACATCACATTATGGCTCCCAGCAAGATAATCTCGCTGATTGATCAGCTTGCTGATCTAGAGGATCCCACTCCCAAGGGTATGTAGCAGGGACTCTCATCACCCTTTTCGCCAATTCGATACATGATGATCTGACTGAGTACCTAGATTTTGATCCCGAGGATCTTGAACACCACGACCAATCTAGCGATGACGATGGGGCAGGCGCACCGACAGATGCGAACGCTGGAAGAGAGCATTATGAGACCGTTGGGTATGATGGCGCTTCCGATTTGCTGGAGAATAACCGAATGCTAATCCGCGCAAACAGCAAGGGAAAACTTCGGAAGCGGGAACCTGTCAAATTAGGGAAGCAGTATGCTGGCGCGCGCATTAGTAGAGACGCTCTCGAGGCCGACAGTGATAATGATCCATTTGCGGCACATACCGATGATGAAGACAGCTCCGACGCTGGCTCCGACGAGGCAGGAATTGAGGACGACTCAGAGATGGAAGACGAAGAAGACGAGTTGTCGGTGTCAGGGAGTGATGACGACGAGGATGACGAGGATATCGATGAGGAGGACGAGGAGGAAGAGGAGGAGGACGGGTCTGAGGATGAAGACAGTGATGACGACGAGCGCAGTTCTGCCAAGATCAAGCGCCATAGTGGAATTGCCCATTCTGGATCCGGAGCTGCCTCAGATGATCGGGAAGAACTGAGAAAACTGATGGCTACGGATCAGAAAACAATCGCAGCTACGATCACGAAAGCTGCAACGGCAGACGCTGTCAAGGGAAAGGCTGTTAAGCAGCAACGTAGCACTTTCGATGCGCTTTTGAACACACGTATCAAACTGCAGAAGGGTCTGGGAGCAATCAACGAGATGGCTGCGATGGTTGGAGGTGACAACGAGGATAACGAAGCTGCCGATGACGAAGCAATTAAATCCGCCGAGTCTGCTGCCCTTGCACTCTGGTCTACTTTGGAGGAACTGCGTACTGCTCTTGCTGACGCCCAATCTAAGGATGACAGCAAGAAGCGCAAGAGACCTTTGCCTATTACTCCTACAGTTAAATCTGCTTTGCTTTGGGAGCGTATGGCTGATCTAGAGTCCGAATCGCTTGTACAACGTCGCTCTACTCTCGACAAGTGGTCCGCTAAGGTCAGAGCTAATTCGACCTCGGGACCCAATGCCAAAGGCAAGCTGATTGGCTCCGCATCTAAGCAATCTATTACTGCTGTTCTTGATGCCCACGTTGCTACTGAAACTGGCGATCGTTCATCCAAGCGTGCCCGCCAATCTAATAGCAACAATTCGACTGAAACCCCCGAACCTGTTTACGATGATACCGTCTTCTACCAGTCTCTTCTTCGTGAACTTGTTGAGCAACGCATGTCCTCTGATGCGATGACGGGTGGTCTTGATACTCAGCTGCCGACTCGTCTGAACATCCACCCCGTCACTGGAATGCGCAACGACAAAAACAAGCGCGCCGACGTTGATACTCGCGCCTCTAAGGGTCGTAAGATGCGCTTCAATGTTCATGAGAAGCTCCAAAACTTCATGGCTCCCGAGGACCGTGGCTCATGGTCTATTCGGGCCCGAGATGAGTTCTTTGCTTCCTTGCTAGGCAAGACTGCCAGTGGAATGTTGGGTGAAAATGAGAGTGGCAGTGATGAGGAAAGCGACGAAAACCGTGGAGAAGGGTTGAAGCTGTTCCGGAGCTAAACATCCGCCTATTTGTTGTAAAATATGATATATACACAATTGTGTGGCGTAGTTGCAACCACGCAGGTGGCATACAAAAATGAACTTGACCCAGTAAATCCATCGCAAATTATTTTATATTTTCTTTCAATTTGGCTTGCAATGTTAAGAAAATGGTAGTCGGCTTGAACTGCAGCAGTGCCACATTGGTTGTTGGTCTATTTGGTCTATCGGGGTTATGAATATTGTCTTGTAAATTATATCAACAACCCGTCTCCGACCTTTAGGTGCCACTCAGTTCCAGCCCATTTCGTCCTCAGAACGTTCTTGTTCCAATTATGATCTACCTAATCATTTCACTCGCCTTTTGCGCCGAAAGTCGTGCAAGTATTTCCTTCATGGGCACATACGGCTTGAACCCCAAGAAAGCATCACTCGATTGCGTTGTAGAAAGTTTAGCCTGCGAATCCCGAGAGTCGCTCTGAACAACCGAGGCATGCGGTCGACGGATGCTATCCCATTTCTTAAGAAGATCTGGAATGGTATCCCGGCTCGAAGCATCCGCAAGTATCGCGTTGAGGCCTTCAACATCCTCAAGAGCTTGATTTGTTGCCTGTGCCTGGTACGGCGCCATAGCATGTGCAGCATCCCCAATCAGCATGGTTCGGCCTTTCACGTACGTGGGCAGAGGCTCTTGATCGATCACCGGGAAGGGCTCGATCAAGGTGGTGCGCCTGATCGGGAGCTGCCATCAGTTCTGGCGCATTTTGGGAATTTGGAATTCGTCACTCACCTGAAAAGCTGCAGAATCCAGTCAGGGAATCCTTCGAATTCTTCTACCATATCATTCACGAGGCTCTCGTGGGTACCAGTGGCTTTGAGCTGGGCTAACACTCGAGGACTCGTGTCTGGGACGCCGCAGACAAAGTTCATAAGCTGAAGCTCGCGGCATGGATATATTACAATGTTCCGGTTCCCTTCATCACCGGCTGCAATGATGACCACGAAGTTGCCTTCATCGAATGTGAGTATCTCCGGCATTTTACCCTTAATGTCTCGGAGAACATCCATGGGCACGACGAAGCGATATACGCAAAGCCCACAAAGTGAAGGCCCTGGATGTGAAGATGGAATGACAGTTTCACGGACTTTGGAATGAATACCGTCGGCACCTGGGAAGAGATTAGTTCACCCGTCATTGTCAATTCGAGATTTGACTTACCGATGATCAGATCTGCCTCGACAGATGGTCTATCTGCAAACTTCAAGATTCCAAGCTCTGGCTCAATTTCCACAATATGGCTGTCATAAACCACCTGTATCGGTTCGCTTTCTCCATCAATACCCGTGACCTTGCGCAAGAGCGCATCTTTCAAGTCCTGTCGATGCACAAACCAAAACCCGGTCTCCCCATCTGGACGGAATTCTACCCGCCCTGTGCTCATCTGCTCCTCTCGAATATTATATGTACGGTATCCAGAGCCCGTGTCTGCGCGAATCTTCTTTCTGGTGATACCTAGTTGCTCGACAATAGAGGTACCGTTAGTCTGGAGCCCAAGCGCTGCAGATGACTCTTGCCAATCTTCGCTTCGAAGTTCGTAGACGGTGACGATATACTGGGGGTGTTTCCGAAGAAACCCCGCTGCTGCGAGACCGGCAATTCCACCTCCTATGATAGCAACTCGGAGCTTGGAAGGGGGTGTGTTAACAGTCATACTGATATTAGTGGGGTCAAGTGAGGGTAACAGGTTACGAATTTTATTGAGCTGAGGGGTATTTGGGAACGATTATCGATTGCAAAGTACACTTGTAAGACTTCTAATCTTAGCACAAAGTATGCATGTTCCCCGCTGATCGGCGTTCTATTCGGAGCCTTGTATCGGAATGAACTGAGTCCCCTCGGATGGCAATTGTCTCCGCGTCTCTGGACTACCCTTGACTATAATTTGTATAGCCAGAATGCGGACGGATTATCTCCTTATCGGAGATGCTTTATCTTTGAACATATCTGGGATTTCTTTTTGAATCTGCGGGGAAAATGATTCATCTGTAGATCGATGAACATCCTGCAATCGTCACTCTTCATAAATACCATCTTCATCCTGCCATTGTTGTCGTAGTGATTGAACCAAGCCATCCATATTCCATCCTGTCCTCGCGTGCATATCATGGAGAAGAGCCTCTGCAGCCTTCTGGTCTCTGCGATGTCGAAGTACCCAGCCCCCTTTACGCAAGTCAGCTAGAACATTCGTTTTTTTTTTTCCACTTACATATAGGGTAACTTACAAGCGACCAAACTGTGGCGTGCTGTGAAAAGTGTGTTTTCGGCCCGAGAATTAGACTGTGCTAAGCCAAGGATTGTAAGCAGATGATGACGAACGGTTCTCTACAGTGAATTTAGATTATTAGTAATTGCTCTGCCATTTTCAAGGGGATGTCTGACTTCGATAACGCGGGAATGTCGCAAACTGTCGTATGTGGACGATGAGGGCGGACATTCGGAAAGTGTTAGTATAATCTTGGCAATGTGATAGTATTGTAGACCAATGACTGGGCAACGTTAGCAACCATGCTGATGACATGTTGGCCTTGGTGCGCATACCATGCACAGGTAATAACATCCAAATGGCTGGAAATCGTCGATCACTCTCTGGGCCACGGGGTACAAGCCGTACTGGCTCAAATGTAAGTGGTTTCGATTTGAACCATGCCTCCACCTCGTCATTGATGGTATCGACCATAGAAGAGTCAGATAACGCGCTTTGAAGCACTTTGGCGAGTAAGAACACAATCCTACTAGACCATGCAAAGTCATCATCTCGCTGGAAGATATCTGAGTCATAGAAATTCTCCAAATTGGTTCGGAGGGGTTGCTGAGTGGTCAAAGATACATAAATCTCTTGGCGCAAACACAGCCAAGCTGCTGCTTCACCGAGACCACCCGAGGAGCCAAATGTGGACACGGTGTTTAGAATATGTGTTGTTCCTGTTAAATGAAACTGATTATCCTCCCCTAAGATGCGATTAGACTAAAGAACATGGGTGAATGTCAAACTTGATCAAGACTGACCATCCATTTCTTCATGTTGCCGCAGAATAGCCACTGCGGCCAGGATATCTTCTGTAATATGTTGCTCAGGATCAGAAAGCGCCGGAATGAGAATTTGCACACAAAGATTATGATATTGCAGTGCTTCTGCTGCGTCATCGGTCTTCCTATTCAAATGGCGAGAGGAAAATGCAAAGATTGCATGGCGTAGAACAGGCTCATTGAAGGCTCTAGTGGGCACATCGATCTCAAAATGCCGGTTTGGATCAGTGATATCGGCCTAGGTAGGAACCTGTTAGCGCTGGACTCTCACCATTTTGACCATCTAAAAGATGGACGCACCCAGAGGGCCATATTTTCCACAAAATTCCGCACCAGAATGGCTTCTCTCTCAGTGAACGGCTGGAACGGCTTTGAGCTAGTTCGTGATGTAGATGTGGAATAGATGGATACACTGGATGGCGAAACATCGATATGATCTTGTGGTATTTGTGGGGAGATATGATGAACGTGTTGCTGCTGAGTGCGTGGAGAAGGGCCTGGCGTGTGTCTGTTTCTTTCCTCTGGACTGGGACTCTTCTCCGCATTCTGAATCCAGTAGTCGTGGTCATCCTCCAAGGTAGTCAAGTATAGATTGACGATTTCCGGAGTCTCATCGTGGAATCGGACTGCAAGTAACTTAGTATGTCACCCCATGCAGTTGGGAATTTCATCGACCTTTTCCATTGAGTCGTGGCCAGCTCTGTTGATCTGGAAATGCATCATCCTGGTTCTTGGGCAATGCTAACCCGCTGCGGAATCGAATTGTTGTGCGGTCGCATTGAACACCAACACTTCGACAGTGTTGGCAAACCTGCGAGTGAATGTCGCCTGTAGGACTCAATTAATAACATGTGGTATATAGAGGGGCAGAGAGGAGATGCATGCATTTGAGATGACGGGCTAACGATATGATTTAGCACATCGGGCGAAACTGCGAGAAGTACGTAAGGACTTACTTCGACATCTTTGACTAACAACTTGATCAGCATCAAATCAGCAAAGAGGAAATTGGCTAGACTTACCATCCCGTCGCAAGTCGGCTTCGTTTCGGTGCAGACATATTGGACGGAGAGAATTACTGCGCGAGTGTCCCGGGGGAAGATGCGGGGAACGAGGGCCATTCCCTCCCCACAATTCCGCATCTTTAGCCTGAAGCCACGAGACATGGTTCTTGACGCCAAATCTCAAAATTGCGGGGATGCAGTGGAGCCACTGGCGGGGTTCGACTTGCCGCTTCGGGCGCATCCGGCAATTCTTTCCGCGAGATCGCTTTAGTGTGCAGATGGAATATCTCCGACCCATCTCCATCGTGGGAATACTTTCCTGGAGCTACCTGGGACAGAAACAGTTATAATCACAATGTGGGCATCGCAGCTCCAGTCTGAACTATTTAAACCCCTCTACGGGCCTCAGATTGAGGATGAATCAACTAGACCTTTGTCTTTCTTTTCACTATCATCAAACCCAGTAACACCACCATGGGAATTCAGAAGCTACAAGTTGGTATGGCCGGCCTTGGCCGAGTTGGCAAGTTCCATGCCATGAACTTCCTGCAGCGCACTCCCCGGGCCGAACTTGTCGCCGCGTTTACTCCAGACCCCACCGAGATTGCATGGGGAAGGGTGAACCTGGAGCCTCATGGCGTTACCCTGTACGACAACTACGATGACATGCTCAAGCATCCTGGTCTCCAAGCTGTGGCCATTGGAACCGCTACTTCGGTCCATGCGGAAGAAGCTATCAAGGCCATTGACGCGGACTTGCACGTCCTGTGCGAGAAGCCTCTCTCAATCCATATCGATGTGGTATGTGAGAATCCATAAGTTCGGGCGTGCATTCATTTGACTGACGATTGAAATAGTGCAAAGCTGTCGTTCAAGCCGCTAAGAAGAAGCCTCACCTGAAGGTGATGTGCGGCTTCTCTCGACGCTTCGACGAGTCCTACCGGGAGGCACACAGCAAGATCGAACAGGGACTCATCGGTCGACCTTCAATTATCCGCAGCCAGACTTGTGATAAGCTCGACCCATCTGGATTCTTTGTCGAATACGCAGCTTGGTCTGGAGGTGTCTTCGTTGACATGTCGGTGCACGATATCGATCTCACATTGTGGTTCTTCGGGGACGACATTATTCCCAAGAGTATTTCTGCACATGGAATCACGGCTGTCCAGCCCGAATTGAAGAAGCACAAAGACTACGATAACGCTGTTGGTATTGTCGAGTTCCAGAATGGCAAGATTGCCTACTACTACTGCTCGAGGATGATGGCTCATGGACAAGAGGATACCACGGAGGTCATTGGTACCGAGGGCAAGTTGGCTATCAACAATAACCCTCAGCGCAATTTTGTCAACTACTACCACGCGGGTGGTATCACTCGTGAGGTTCCTCCGAACTTTATGGGCCGATTTGGTCCTGCTTTTGTGCAGGAGGCCAATGAGTTCACTGCGGCTTGCCTTGACAACACTCCGTTGCCCATGAAGCTGAGCAATGCCGTCAAGGCGGTTGAGATTGGAGCTTATCTACAGGAGGCACTAGTCACCGGAAAGCAGATTCACTTCGATGAGATTGGTCGTCGCATTGAGAAGGCTCAGCTGTAGAAAGCTGGTTGTCGCGCTGTTCTAATGTTATAGACGATAAAATGACATGATTGTTTAATATACCAATCAACCCTCCTACCAACTCTAGAACTCTCAGAAATATCCATCAATATTGACGTTTGTTGGGTATGAATTGCAGTAATGTCGCGTGATGTGCACTGGCCTTTTTTCCGATAAGTCTTACGTCGCCGCCCCGCAAAACGCTAGGTGGATTGTCGCAGGCGCAAGACGTTGACCTGGGGTTGGTGCATGAAGCCCCACAATACTTGTTTGAACCTAGATAGCCGTGTATGGCGATCAGCACCGCCGGGATGAGGTGATGAGCCGTAGCATTGACTGGGCAGTTGTGAAGGACCCATTCCCCAATGACGACAGGCTTGTGATCGTCCCTGAAGCTCCCAAGGGGCATTCTTCCTTTCAGATTCCGGAACCCCTCAATAATCGTTATCACTATTCTCAACTCTCACTTGACACTTAATCTGTGCGGATTTGGTTTTATTTCTTTTTAAATATTTTTTTTTCCTCTTGTCTTTGCTCGCGTTGCGGAAGGTTTCTGTCAAAGCGCTCGGCGCGTATGATCGAACAACGCACTCGTGAGCTTTAAGCGGTCGAACTACCCAAGATGCGACTGAATTTACCGAAATCACTGTGCCTGGGTTCCGTTTGCGCATCACTTTCTGGGATTTTCAGTGGTAGTAATCAGGGCCAAGTCACTCATCACCCGGTCTTGCCACCATCTTATCCACTGGCGGTTCGCAATCCTTATTTGTCAACATGGATGCCCAGCGATCGCGTGCACCGACTACCTTATGCGGATTCTCAGTTCTGGGCGGGCCAGGATCTTGGGTGGTCGGTGATTGTGCGCGTGGACGGTCAGGCCTATAGTTTGATGGGTGTTCCTGACTTGGAGGGCAGTGGTATATACCCAGCAACTGTGCGCCATGCTGAGTTCACGGCGACCCATTCACTTTTCGAGCTTACCGCAGGGCCTGTGTCTTTGACTTTGGACTTCTTTTCTCCCGTTTCCCCTTCAAATTATCTCCGCCAGTCGCTCCCTTTCAGTAGGTAATAGAAGCCGTGGATTGATTCCGCATGATCTAATTGTAATACACCAGGTTACTTGACAGTATATGTCACAAGGTCGCAAGGACATGAAATTCAGGTCTACTCTGACATTGATGGAAGATGGACGGGTCGAGAACATCGCTCGGGTTCTGCCTTCGAAGAGCACGGCGATCTCGCTTTTCACTCGCTTTCGGTAGAAGATGCTAACACCTATGACGAGGGACACGATATGGCTCTCTGGGGTCAAGCCCTTCTAGCATCTCGCCCAGGGAATGGAAGCTCGCTCTCAGCGCTCGCAGGAAGTTCCAAGGCGGTGCGAGGACACTTTATGAGGCACGGAGACTTATCATCAGGGGACGCAAGCTGGTCTCATGGAAGCGTTGTGGCTCTGGCACACGACCTGGGGACCGTGATTGGCAAGACTTCAGTGAATTTTGCCGTGGGCTATGAGAGGGAAAAATCCATCAATTACTTGGGAGAAGCATACACTGGGTACTATCGGGCAGAATATCCAACCGCACGAGAAGCGCTTTCCTTCTTTTTAGATGACTATGAAGATGCCTATTGGGAGTCCTTGGAGTTCGACCGGGAGTTAAACAGCTTTGCGACCGCTGCAGCTGGTCCAAAGTACGCGGATATCGTTGCTCTTTCGACTCGGCAGGCATACGGAGGGATCGACTTGACAATCCCCAACGACTCTCTTGACACTGACGATGTGCTCGCATTCATCAAGGAGCTTTCCAGCGATGGAAATATCAACACCATCGACGTCATTATGCCAGCCTTCCCCATCTACTGGGTCATGGATCCGGATTGGATACGCTTGTTGCTTGAGCCAATAATGCGATATCTCGATGCTGGTCGCTGGCATTTACCATACACCATTCACGACCTAGGCACTCATTACCCCCATGCTATTGGCCATGATGACCAGGAAGCGGAGGCAATGCCAATTGAGGAGTCCGGGAATCTGCTCATCCTAGCCCTCGCCTACAGACAGGCCACTGGTGATACGGATTGGACCGACCAATACATAGCCATTTTCCAGCAATACGCCGATTATTTGATTGATAATACCATCAACATGGCCAACCAACTTTCTTCCAATGACGCAGCTGGACCTCTACCCAACGAGACCAACCTGGCCATCAAGGCAACTGTGGGGATCAAGGCATTCGGCGAACTGAGTGGCAACACATACTACTCTCAAACTGGCGATGACTATGCCGATCTGTTTTACACTCAGGGTCTAGGCACAGATATGGAGCAGACCCACTTTGTGCTTGAATATCCCGATTTCCCAGACTCGTGGAAGACACCATACAACATTTACCCAGACGTGCTACTTGGGCTGGACACCTTCCCCCGCGAAGCGCATGAAATGAGCAACCAGTTCTTCTCCACCGCAGTCCGTGGGGATTATGGCGTTCCACTCGATAACCGGCAGGACTGGGCGAAGTCGGATTGGAACATGTGGTTGGCGGGTACGTTTGATGAGGACACGCGAGATGAGTTTGTGAACGACTTGTGGGCTTTTATGACAAATGGCAAGCATAACTGGCCTTTTTCCGATCGCTATGTGGCGACATCTACCCATGGCAATGAGCCTGGTATCCCAATCTTGTGTCGGGCACGGCCGACTGTCGGTGGTCACTTTGCTATCTTAGCTTTGAAGGGACCGGCCTCGTTCCAGTCTCTTTCAATCAGTCATAAGCCAGGTCGAAAGACGAGTAAAGTGCAAATGATTAAGGGCCATGTCACCGACTCGGAACTTGTGCTACAGGCTGAGCCGGCTTGAAGATCCTCCATATGCTATGAGATTTAGTACATATCTATCACACAATGACATTGACTCACGTCTTCTCCATTACTAGTTGAGAGCGTTTACTTACACAAGCAAACATACTGCGGTAATGTAGTTGGAAGCCAAAGCTTAGGCAGGAACTCATGGAATCGTTCTTCTGTAGATTTTGCGTTTGTAGATATGCTGGGTTGAGCTGTTTAAGTCGTCTTTGATCCATGGCCGACATAAGAGTGTCTGGCACAATAGTCTAAAGGAAGATACATTACAGTAGATTCACAGCTAGCAGAATTCAGTTCAGGTTCTTAATATTTTCAAGTTGACTGATGTGCGTAGTTGTGTGTGCTAGTATGAATCAAAACATGATATAGGCCAGGTTCGGGCCAGGAAAGGCCCTGGGCAGACAACATTGAATTTTCCGGACGCTCCATGGTGGTCCAGGCCCAGCAACCTTGAGAAACCAGCAACAGAATGGCTCGGGCTTTGAGAAATAACTGAGGCCCAAAGTTTATCCAATTTAAGGAATCGTGAATCGTGAATCTCGATCAAGTGCGCCCCAAAAGGGAGAATTGTTGTCCAGGGGTGGCTTACCTAATCTCCCATGTCACGCCTGTTGCTTCATGGTGAATCTGATCTTCTTTTTGTCCTTCGACTGAATCCATCTTCATTTCTTTTTTCTTACTCCCTTCCTTTCCTTCCCATCTCGCCCAGTCCTCCACTCACGCCATCTTGTTAATTTCTTCCCACCCCATGGCTTCTGTAAGTTGCTCCTCGAATCGATCTCCCCTCTCCGGCCGCGGACTTGTCAGTCCAGCTTCAGATCTCCCGGAGCTCTTGACGCCAATGACCTGATTTCAAAAATTCCTGAACTGACGTCGCGCTCTATCTATCTAGCCCCGCCCTCACAACTTCGGTCCCCAAGGCTACCCTCTCGCGAACGGTGCGCCCCAGGCGGGTCCGCCACCTGGAGCGACGCCGCTTCTCCCTAACAATGGACGAGTGATTCAGAACGGTCCCACCCGGATCCTGTGTATTGCAGATGTTCGAGGTATGAATCAGTGAGGCTTTATACAATTAAAAGCGAGGCTAATTGGCCCTCGTGATACAGGAAATCTCAAGTCGCTGAATGAGCTGGCCAAACAAGCCCGCGCTGACCATATCATCCACACTGGTGACTTTGGTTTCTACGACGATACTTCATTGGAGCGCATTGCGGATAAGTGAGTGTTACCCCAGATATTATCAGGAGGGTGGCTTTGCTGCCCGACGCGAGGCAACACGTCTTGTGTCAACTGGGCACGCACCGAAATTGAAATCCAGCGGACCCTCAGCTAACCCTGTGGCTTCCCCGCAGAACCCTCAAACACGTTGCCCAATACTCTCCTCTGTTGCCAGAAGGCGTAAAGCGAACGATCGCACAGGTCCCCCCTCAGCAGTCTATTAAGCAGCGTTTCACTCCCGACCAGCTGCCCCTCTCTGAGCTGTCCATGCTCCTTGACAAGCGCATTACTCTCGATGTCCCAGTTTACACAGTTTGGGGTGCTTGCGAGGATGTTCGTGTTCTGGAGAAGTTCCGATCAGGCGAATACAAGGTTGATAAGCTGCACATTATTGACGAGGCCAATTCGAGACTGCTGGACATTGGCGGTGTGAAGCTCCGTTTGCTCGGATTGGGTGGCGCGGTGGTCATGCACAAGCTCTTCGATAACGGCGAGGGCAAGACAACCATCGCTGGTGGACAAGGCACTATGTGGACTACACTGCTCCAGATGGGTGAACTGATTGATACCGCCAACCGTGTCTACGACCCATCCGAGACGCGTATCTTCGTCACCCATGCCTCGCCCGCTCGCGAGGGCATGCTGAACCAGCTTTCTGTTACACTCAAGGCCGACTTTTCAATTTCTGCCGGTCTTCACTTCCGTTATGGATCCTCCTACAACGAGTTTTCAGTCAACCCTTCGTTGGACCACTACCGTGGTAAGCTCGCTGCTTCCAAGGCATCTTTCAATGATGTCTGGGAGACCGTTCGGGGAGAGGTTGAGTCTGCCATTTCTTCCAACGACGCGCAGAAGACCCTGCTGGAAAATGCTCTGGATGTGGTCACCAAGATGCCCTCCATTGCTAACGGTGGCAACCCGTTCGGCGGCCCCGTTGCTGCCGGCAATGCTGCAGGTCAGGTAGATGAGAGTGCATTCAAGAACATGTGGAATTTCAACCTCGCAGATGCTGCATTCGGATACCTCGTTCTGGAGATCGAAGGAGGACGCATTGCGACTGAGATGCGGGCTCAGGGATTCAACTTTGCTCACCGCAGTGGCAAGCCTGCTGTCGGAGGCGCTCCCCAGGCTGTTTCTGGTGGTCTGCCTGTTACTACTGCGTCTCCTGCCCCTACCGGTGCTGGACGTCCCGTTGTGACCCCTCAGTTTGGCCAGGTTCCTCCCACTCGTGCTCCTGTCCCCAGCCAGCAGGCCCAGGCCAAGGGCCAGTCTGCTCGCGCATCTCCCGCCCCCGTCATTCCCAAGGCCCCGAGCCCTCAGCAACCTGCTGCCGCTTCGGCCCAGCCTGCTGGCGAAGAGAAGACTGCCGCCGACACCAACGGTGCATCCCAGACTGATAAAACCGCTGACTCTCCCGTTCCTCGCGGTGAGAAGAAGCCAAGCAACATTCTTTTCCTTTCCGGTTTCGAGAACGAGCAGGCCGTGCGTGATGTCCTTTCCGAGGAGGATGCCGCCAAGGTTGAAAAGATTGAGAAATACGGAAAGTTCAACCATATTGTGACCTTCCCCACAGTGGATGATGCCAAGACTGTGCTCGATCACCAGTCTGCTGAGAACAAGAAGCCTGCCGCTGCCGGGGCCGCTCGCAAGACTTTCAAGTTCTTCGAGCAACGCGGTGGACGTGGACAGGGCAACGCCGGTACATGGCAGAGCAGCAGCCGGGGAGGTGCCAACGCCGGCCCCCGCGGTTACACCAGTGCCAGTGATAGCGAAGGTGCTCGCCGGGGCGGATTCGGAGGTCGGGGTCGTGGCCGTGGAGGCCGTGGAGGCCGAGGTGGTTTCAAGGGCTCAAACGACTCCGCTGCCCCCTCAACTCCTTCTAGCGACAAGCCCGCCCCCTCTGGCGATGCTTAAGTGCTGAGATTTCTATTCCCTATTTCCCTCCCCCTATGAGTCCCCAATCAAGAATTGTCCTTTGACAGTTTTCTTTCCCCTCTAACCCCCCTCACGCTGACTCTACGCCACTTCCCGTCGCATTCTAATTCTTTTTGTGTTTTTTTTTTTTTTTTTAACTCTATTGAAACATTCCAAATTCCCCAATCTATGTTTTATGTTTTCTCAGTTTTTGTCTGAGCGAGATGTTTATCTCGGTATCATTTAAAGACCGTACTGTTCTTACTGCCACCAAGGTTGTGTGGGACCGCGGTCGATAGTGAGATGCAGAGACTGAAAGATGCAAGCAAAAAGAATGAAAAACAACTCAAAAATAACTCCCTATCCCACCTTTCCCTTGTTACCATTGGTTCTTTTTCTCTTTGTACTTTAGTTCGGAGACAACATCGATACCCTTATAGCTTCAACTATTGCTCCTGCTCGTAAATCATCAGGTTTGAATGTTATTCAGCCAAATCAATAATCCACCTGCGATGAACCTTTTTTGTTCCGAGGTTTCAATACAAGGAAACCACCAAGTGGGTACTTGAGCTCTAGGGCTGCAGTAGTTCCATACGCAATGACTTGCCCCGCTAGCAATCAATGTGGCTGATACATAGGTCCTAAGGGTAGATCAGTGGGGATGCGGAGAATAGCTTGATAGCTGCACGCTTGCCAATCGGGTACATGGGTGGACGAGTACTAGCAAGAATCCTGCTAGTATGGTATACCAAATTGGTTCTCAACTACGCCACGTCCTTACTCAAAATTTGTTAATCAAAACAAGCATTGAAAGTAATAAGACTTGAGGTTGTATACAAGTAGATATCAGGCAAATTTAAAGAGCGCAAGCCATCCCAAACAAAACCTGTGTACCTAGTCCCAGATCTCAATTATGAAACACTCGTAGCGCGATAATCACCAGACTTGAAGAGATCAGAAAAGACGGGACTGGAAGAGAGGGTTACTTAGAACCAGAGATTCAACAAGAAAAGAAAAGACGGGAATGGAAAAATAAGAAAGCTTCACAAAAGGGAGCGAACGAGGCCGCCAGAACAGATAAATTTCAATTTCCAAACATTAAAGTCAGGTTCGCCGATATCTCCTCTTTGATTCTCCTGGCCGTGTTCATGACGCCGTGTGGTTTTCAAATGACATTTCAATGGTGGGTATGAATAGTAACAACGTAGTACAGTTTGAGCATGAGTCGTGAATGGAGTGGTTGGGGCAGTGAGCGTGATCAATTGAGCCCGTCGTGATTCAGAGTGTTGCGGGGCTACTTAGTGCGGCCCATGATGGCATCAACATCTTTCTGATTCACGACCACACCACCCTCGGAACAGCGAGCCTTGGTCCGAAGTTCGGTGCAGAGGTTGTCGACATCGATTTCGCCATTACGGAATTTCTCCATGGATTGAAGGCGATCCCTAGAAGAAGACGAGTAAGTCAGTGAGCTGCACATATTTAGCCATACGAATAGTAGAGTATACATACCAAATCTTTGTACATGACAACATTTGTGCTTTGTCCTCGCCCGGGACCACCTCTTCCTCCAGCCTACGGTCGATCTGAGAGATCAAATCCTTCTTGGAGGGCTGGGTGGCCACCTCGGTCAAATTATGCGATGGACTGCCAAGGTCTGGCAGAGGAAAGGCTTCATCGAAAAAGGTTCCAAAGTCCTGGGAGAGTACCGCATCCTGCGGCTCCCGCCAGTCTCCAAAGAGCGTTGGGTCGAATTGACCACCATTTTGTTGAGCCAGCCAGTCGAGCCCAAATGTCTCATCAATGGGGTGATTGTTCGAGCCACCGTTCGAGCCACCGTGGGATTTGTTCTGTTGGTCCCGCACAGCTGGGATGGGGTTATTGATGTTGCCACAGGCCATGCCAAGTTTGGCGCAGAAGGATTCCTCACCGTTTACGGAGCCGTGAACACTACAGCCAGACTCATTGTTCTTTGTGTCTGGCGGAGAGTTAAGACTCGGCTCAGGTGAGGTTCCGTTTGACGACAGCATCTGACTCTGGTGCGAATCGGATGACGATGACGGAGAGTCTGATGTCGATTTTTCATGGGTTGATGTGGTCGATGGTTTATTTTTGGTATAGGGAACCTTGGCGGAAGCGGTACTATTGGGGGTTCCCTTAGAGGTGGTTGCCTTGGTACTTCCCGTGGCCGTTGGGGTGCTGGAGTTCGAATTCGAGATGGGCGAAGCAATAGGGGCTCCAATTAGACCATGCAGGTTCTCCCGACTCAGGACACCTGGAACACGAGTCTGCCTATCTTTAGGCTTGGACTGGTCATTCTTGTTCTGTCCATTGAACAGATGCGAGCCGGGTAGATCACCAAATTTGGGGAAATCAAACAGAAACTCGTTATTCTGCAGGCCATAGGCGCCCTGGGAGTGTGCATTGGGAATAGCACTCATGGCAGACAACCCGTTCCCACTAGTCATCCAGGAGAGTCGCTTACGATATTCACGAAGCTCCGTCTGCAATCTTTCAACTTGGGCACGCAAAACTCCGTTTTCCTGATTAGCTGTGTCAGAGGCCTTTTGCAAGTCATCCATCTTGGTTTCGAGGTCCTTCAAGTGTTTTTCCTTGCGCTCGCGGAACGCTCGCTGGGCAGCTCGATTTTGAGCCTTGCGTTTCTGCTAAAAGTCAGTCACCCTGGTCATCCAGCTTCCTCGAAGGAAAGAATGCCTACAGTAGTGGGTTCAGAGGTTAGCGGCTTCCGACCGGGCTTCTTCGCCTCACTCTCGCGGCGCTTCTTCCCTGTTTCCTCGGCGTCCACCTCTGACTTGCCATCCATCGACTTCCGCTTCTCACCCGATTCGTAGTCATGGGACGGGGTATCTCCAGGAAGATCGCCGATCAAATGAGCTGAGCCAGGAAATTCAAAATCCACCTCGGGGGTGAAATCGAGAAATGGACTTTCATCATCCCCGAAGCCGAAGGCATTGAAGTGGGAGGGGTTTTCAAAGTTTCCAGAGGGAGGGCCACTCATGCCATTAGAGGAAGCCTGGTCGGGGCTGTGCTCAAGCTTTTGGTGCGGGGTGTGGTGAGGTTGCTTGTTGGCTGGCGTGTTGGAGGAAAGCGCGGCCATAAGAAGATCTTGCTGATCCTTAGAGAGATTGTAAAGCCCCTGTGGGTACATATGGTCGAAATCGCCCATGGTGGCGTTGCAGCGTGGGGGTATGATAGATAGTAGATAGAAGTTGCTCGATACTGTCGAGACTGGATCAACTGGGCCTCTCGCCCGCAAATGATAGAATAGGGAGTAGGAGCGTAGTTTCTGGGAGATCAGAGAGATACCGATCACCCAGGACTAGATTGAGAAGGAGAGGAGATAGCCTCGTGTAGTGTCAGGAGCGGGGGTCGGGATCTGGAGATACTTGGAGAGGGAAAAAAAGAAACGACAATTGAATAGAACGTTGAAACACTTCGGGGCCTGAGGCTCCCACTTTTTTTGATCTCCGCCTTTTGGAGATCCTAGTAGAGGGGCATGAGCTAGGCCAAATTGCGAGACCGAGAATTGAAGAAGGGGAAGGTGATGAAAGAGGTCATCTTTCTGCAGTCTGCGGTGGGCGCGGCGGCTTCATTGGCCCGAAGCCGGACGCAGGTGATCTGCAGCCAATCAGAGCGGGGCGTGCGGGGACTCGGCGTTTGCTTAGAAATCCAGTTCGATCTCTTTCTACAACGTACATGTATGAACTACAGATCCCTCAAGGGATAATACATGGAGCATGAGATCCTTGTGTCTGCAGAGAAGCTTACATTGGTTTATTACTCCCCGATATCCCGGACATGCAGGTGTATATGGCCACTTAAAAAAGAGGAAAGTCGTGACTCACCTCGTATCGTCTTTGCGCCTTACACAACCCCAGGGTCTGGGCCCCACTGCGTACCCAAGCAGGATCAGACCATCCGTTATCCGGTCCCGTGTGGCAAATGGTAAATCCATACCGGATATCTCAATAGAATGAGGGCTGTTAAGCTAAACCAAAGTAATGTATCTTTGAAAGCTTGGATCACTGCTAAATCACAAACATGCCTATACAGCCACTCGGAAGCTAAGGAAGATATAAAGTACCGCCGTTAGCATACTGCTGTCGATCGTTACGTAGCCTTATCCCTTATCCCTTATCAGTTCTCCTCAACGTCAGCAACCCCGGAAGCCTTGATCTAAATTGATATGGTAATCTCCAAGATTGTTTCAGTCGTTATTGATGAACAAATATGTAAACTTGGCTTATTGAATGCCTAGGTATTGAGTAACTATCATGCTAATTTTCCAGGCTACCCAATCGCTGCCTGCAGGCGCGTAAAGCCATAGATAAAGCATAGAGTCACATGACCAAATATCTTCCAACGTGAGCCGTCAAATCATTTCAGAAAGATCATCCACGCCGCATCTATTCCACGAGGAGCCCAAACAGTGAACTTGTGCTTTTTTTCTCTTTCTGCATTGAACAAGGTTTATCTCTATCTGATTCCCTTTTCCAAAATCTTTGATTGTAGCGATGTCGGACGTCGCGACGCTAGAGGCGGAGGTCAAGGAATTCAAGGACCAGGTAAGCACAAAGAGCCTCGGCCCGCATCCGTCTACCGGAAATAGTCTGATTAACTTGAATACTCTCACAGCTTGAAACTATCGAGTCAAGCTTGCTGTTAGATCCTGATAACACAGAGCTGCAGGGCCTCAAAACTGAAATTCAAGATGTTATAACCCTTACCGAAACTGCCATCGCCGAACTTAAGCCATCCGCACCTGTCACATCTAAGCCCCAACAATCGGCATCAAAAAATACATGGTCCAGAGAGCCCGCACCCGGAAAGCCCATCGCAGATCAAGATGAAACCCCAGCTGTGCCGGTATCTTTCGCCGTCAATGATAATGTCCTGGCCCGCTGGGTGTCTGGAGACAACGCATTCTACCCGGCCCGTATCACCTCCATCACTGGCTCGTCTAGCAACCCTGTGTATCTGGTGTCGTTCAAATCCTATGGCACTGTGGAGAACCTGACGGCCAAAGACATTCGGCCTGTCTCTGGCACTGATTCGCGCAAGCGCAAGGCTGATGGGACTCCAGGAAGCTCAGCGTCGCCGTCACCCGCACCGCCTTCACATGCCAATGTAATCTCAGCGGCCGCTGATATCAACCCCGCTTTGGCCAACCAAGTCCGCAATGAACCCAGCAAGGCCACAGATGGACCCGTTCGGCCTGCCAAGGCTGCGCGTAAAGTGAAGGCGAACAAAGAGCTGGAAGCAGGCAAGAACAAGTGGCAGGATTTTGCAGCCAAAGCCAAGGGCAAGAATAAGATCGGCAAGAAAGAGAGCATGTTCCGCACGGGTGAGGGTGTGAATGCACGTGGTAAGTCTGCATCGTTGCTCCATATATGGGTTTCCCTTATGCTAATTTGGATTACTTAGTGGGATTCACTGGTTCGGGACAAACAATGCGCAAAGACCCCACTCGAACCCGCCATATCTACCAACAGGCCGACGAAGAGGGATATTGACCGTGCCTCCTACCTTAAATAAGATACCCTCTTCCCGGAGCAGGATTAAGCGGATATGTCGTGGTCTCCGTTCTGAAAATCTTTTTTTTTTTCCCCAGTTCTTATGAACTATGATGTTCCTCGTCGCTAACTGGATCGGCGATGCAGATGAAAACCATGCGTTGAGTTCCCCCCTCGGAATCTCTGGGTTTGAGAGTCTGGTTTTATGGGAGTTTCATATCGAACAAAGTTGTATCCGGAAACCTTATCATCCTACTGGAAAGACTTTCTTCTGACTGTACAATTTGAATATAGACCTCTTGATATGCAGCCCCTGGTGGGAATATGCACCTTACTCAGTAACTGCGGTCGAGGGAGTTTTTTTCTATTTCGATTTCGATTCTACATCATATTCACATGCGATTGATCCATTCTTAACATCAACCATCATGCCTTCAAGTAATGTCTAAAGACTGATTCGTAGAAGCTTCTCTACTGACATCTCAATTGATCAGCAAATTCCCGACCGCGCTGCTCCACTAAGATCCACTCACCATGAACTCCAATCCTGTTCGGGAATGCAGGCTTGGGTCATCTCGACTACATGGAGCATGTGATTGCAATAAAGCCCAATGAGTAAGTAGCTGAGGTGGTCTTCTAGGTGGGTAGGAGTAGCTTTCTGTATATTTTGATATTCCCTAGGAGTATAATTAGAGTTACTATATACTTCCACGTTTACACCTAAAAGTCGACGTGAGAGCCACGGTCACGTGCTCACAATGGTCTCTTCCTATGCTAGGTATCGTCCGTTTTTGTAATCTATTTGTAAGAAGATTCAATCAACTTGTAAGGCAAATTACGGTATTTTGGCAATAACCGACCCATCTTTAATAGAAACAATATACAGTAGCCTGACATGAATTACTGGGGAACGGCTAAGATTGAACTAGCATGTTTTGAGCAAGGGTTTGGGAATGAAAGTGTGCTCCGTAGTTGGCTATCTGACTTCGAACACTACTGTACATGTGATGTATTCGGGGTAGAATGGGAACCCGGATCAGATAGTATGAGACAGGGCATGAAGGGATGTCCATTGGCATAGGATTTCAATGGGTAAAGAATACTGTCTGGGATTCTAGCGCTAGCGCATGAAAACGATCAAAGCATGTATTTATTGGAAACCGTGGTGGATTCGTGCCTGACTTGAGCTGTTAGCTCGTAGTTACATGCCAAGTACTTGTTGTGGTGCGGTTTTCGTGCGGGGCCGAAGTGGTACCCGCCCGGTTCTTATTTCTCCGTGCACGTCATGCTCCCCCAACTTCTCTTTTACACTTGATCATTGCGCTTCTGAGCCATCGCTCCATTACCACTCGCTCTGTTTTAGAACCGTGTGACTCTCGATGGTTTTCTGCTCCCAGATTTTTCAAGCTTGAGTTGTCCACCTCCTTGCGTCTACGATTCCAAAGCTCGCGCCATCGTCTCCACAATCCAGACCCGTCGTGTATGGCCATCGACGTCCCACGACAGTAACGTTTATAGAGGGCCGACACGCAAAATATCAAAATTAACGCGAAACTGGACATAGTATTTGGGACTTGGAATCGCCCTCCGCACGATGCGGCTACCGGGGCTTGTCGCTGCGATTGTCGGGCTGGGCTCCCTTGCCCTTCAACCGTCGCTGGTCGGTGCACAGGGTGAAACCAAGATCCACGAGGCAGGCCGATGTGCTATACGAGGGCAGTGTGGAAAGAAGTCCTTCTTCGGTGGTGAACTCCCTTGCCCGGATAATGGCCTGGCACGTCAACCGGAGGATTCAGTACGGCAGAAATTGGTGAATTTATGTGGTCCGAAATGGAAGGAGGGCCCGGTTTGCTGCCTTAATGAGCAAGTATGCAGGCCTTGATAACATGTCTGAATGCAAATTGAAACGACTCTTATTGACTTTGCCTTTTTGTCTTAGATCGACGCACTTTCAAGCAATTTGAAGCTTGCTGAAGGCATCATTGCATCCTGTCCTGCTTGCCGAGAGAACTTCTTCAACACATTTTGCACATTCACATGCTCCCCCGATCAATCACTGTTTGTCAATGTCACACAGACCGACAAGAGCAGCTCCGGCAAGACGGTAGTGACTGAGTTGGATAATGTCTGGTCGGAGGTATCCCAGAGTGGCTTCTTTGACAGCTGCAAGGACGTCAAGAATGGCGCATCTGGTGGGAAAGCAATCGACTTTATTGGTGGCGGTGCAAAGAACTACCAGCAGTTTATGAAGTTTCTAGGCGACAAGAAGCTACTCGGCAGCCCATTCCAAATCAACTATCTCACTGAACCCCGCGGGCCTGATGCCGACGGCATGGAGGCGGTGTCAATCAAGCCCAAGGCTTGTAATGACGCCGACCCAGCCTATCGCTGCTCCTGTGTTGACTGCCCCAACGTATGCCCCGAGCTACCAGCTGTGTCTACGCACGAGGCCTGCCATGTGGGACTGCTACCATGTCTCTCCTTTGCCGTTATCATTGTGTACTCGGCATTCTTGCTCCTGGTCATGGGTCTCGCCAGTTATGTCACCTACAAGGAACGTCGATTCCGGAAGCCTGAAAGAGTTCGCCTTCTTCAAGATCCTTCTCCCAGCGATGATGAGGATGAAGGAGAAGTTGTGCATCGTGGGGGGTATATGGAACAGCCACAGGGCGTGTACAAACCAAATTCCTGGCTTTCAGCCATGTTCTATCGTATTGGTGGTACATGCGCGCGCTTTCCCGGGATTACAATTAGTTCTAGCATTGTTGTGGTGCTGTTGCTGAGCCTGGGCTGGCTACGATTCACTGTCGAAACCGATCCAGTTCGCCTTTGGGTGAGCCCCTCATCTGCGGCAGCTAAAGAAAAGACATTCTTTGATGAAAATTTTGGCCCATTCTACCGCGCTGAGCAGGCCTTTTTGGTGAATGATACTGGTCCAGTCCTGAGTTATGAGACCTTATCATGGTGGCTTGACGTTGAGTCGCGAGTCAGTCGCATCCTCTCGCTCGAACAAGGCCTACTTCTGGATGATGTCTGTTTCAAGCCCACTGGCGATGCCTGTGTAGTGCAATCCGTAACTGGTTATTTCGGTGGTTCGGTCTCGAACCTTGACCCCAATACTTGGAAAGACCGGATCGTTCACTGCACTGAATCACCTGGTGATGTGAGTTGCCTTCCCGGCTTCAAGCAGCCTCTGAAGCCCGAAATGATCCTTGGTGGTTATGATGAGTCTGGCAATGTTTTGGATGCCCAGGCTTTAGTTGTAACTTGGGTAGTAAATAACTTTGCCCAAGGTACCGAGGAGGAGGAAAAAGCCATCGACTGGGAACACATATTCGAGAGCGTGTTTACTGGCGTCCAGGTAGAGGCCGCTGACCGTGGGCTTCGAGTTTCCTTCTCTGCCGAGGTCAGCTTGGAACAAGAGCTTAACAAGTCAACAAACACGGATGCAAAGATTGTCGTGATAAGCTACGTTATCATGTTCATTTATGCTTCCCTGGCTTTAGGGTCCGTCACTGTCACCTGGAAGTCGCTTCTAAGAAACCCTGCCAATGCTCTCGTCCAGTCTAAGTTCACACTGGGTATTGCTGGAATTTTGATTGTCTTGATGTCCGTCTCTGCTTCCGTGGGTTTGTTCTCTGCTGCAGGCGTCAAGGTGACACTGATCATCGCCGAAGTCATTCCATTTTTGGTTTTGGCTGTAGGGGTGGACAACATCTTTTTGATTGTTCATGAATTTGAGCGAGTCAACTTCAGCCATCCCGATGACGAGATCGATGAGAGAGTCGCTCGTGCAGTGGGAAGGATCGGGCCTAGTATTTTCCTTTCTGCCTTGACCGAGACTGTGGCTTTTGGCCTGGGTGCTTTCGTCGGCATGCCTGCGGTCAAAAACTTTGCTGCGTACGCAGCGGGTGCTGTCTTTATCAATGCCATTCTGCAAGTGACAATGTTTATCTCTGTTCTTGCTCTCAACCAGCAACGGGTGCAGAGTCTTCGTGCCGACTGCTTCCCATGTTTCACCGTGCGAAAGGCGAACTCGAACGGTGTCACCGAGGATCAGATCTATGATGATCAGGAGGCGGAGAGTGCATTACAGACTTTCATTCGCCGTATCTATGCTCCTTTCATCCTCGACAGACGGGTGAAAGCGGCCGTTGTGATTATTTTCTTGGGCCTTCTGACAGCGGGTCTGGCCTTGATTCCAAAGGTGCCACTTGGGCTGGACCAGCGAATTGCGCTCCCGAGCGACTCGTATTTGATTTCCTATTTCAATGACCTCGATGCCTATTTCCGCACTGGTCCACCAGTATATTTCGTGACTCGGAATGTCAACGTGACAGAGCGGAACCACCAGCGACAGCTTTGTGGACGGTTCACCACGTGCGAACAATATTCTTTGCCATTTGTGCTAGAGCAAGAATCCAAGCGTCCAAATGTTTCCTACATTTCTGGATCCGCCGCCAGCTGGATTGATGACTTCTTTTACTGGTTGAACCCTCAACAGGATTGCTGCAAGGAAAATGGCAAGCTCTGTTTTGAGGATCGTGTGCCGGCGTGGAACTTGAGTCTCTACGGAATGCCGACGGGTCCAGAGTTCATCCATTATGCTGAGAAGTGGATCGACTCCCCCACGGACGCTTCGTGTCCCCTTGGTGGGAAAGCACCTTATAGCGCTGCGGTGGTTATTGATGAAGAACACACCATGATCAATGCCAGTCACTTCCGGACTAGCCACGTCCCCTTACGGAGCCAGGACGACTTCATTCAAGCCTATGTTGCAGCTCGCCGAATTGCCGATGGGCTTTCTCAGGAGCACCACATTGACATCTTCCCCTACTCGAAGTTTTACATTTTCTTTGATCAGTACGTCTCTATCGTGCAACTGACAGGTACCCTCCTAGGGTCAGCTGTCGCCATCATCTTCGTCCTCACTTCTGCCATTCTGGGGTCGATCGCCACCGGTGCTGTTATCACCGCCACCGTGGTCATGACTGTCGTAGACATTATTGGCACCATGGCTATCGCTGGTGTCTCCCTCAATGCCGTCTCACTGGTAAACTTGGTTATCTGTGTTGGTATTGGCTTAGAGTTCTGCGCCCATATTGCACGAGCATTTATGTTCCCCTCGCGTACCCTGCTGGAGAAAGCACCTGCCCAGTTCCGTGGCAAGGATGCTCGTGCCTGGACCGCATTGGTCAATGTCGGTGGAAGTGTCTTCAGCGGCATCACTGTCACCAAGCTCTTGGGAGTTTGCGTTCTTGCATTCACCCGGAGCAAAATCTTCGAGATCTACTACTTCCGTGTCTGGTTGGCGCTGGTTGTGTTCGCCGCTACCCATGCTCTCATCTTCCTCCCAGTAGCCCTCAGCTACTTTGGTGGTGGTGGTATGTTTCCTCCCTGAGAATTTGAGCCTTTGTTCCTCGACTGACCCATTATAGGATATTTCGATCCGGCCTCGGATGGGGGCCTGGAGGCTAATCTTGCCTCGCGGGGCTACCGATCCTCGCTGGTTTATGATGAATACGACGAATACCACTCTGATTAATATTAATCACTATGACTTGGATTATATGTGTGGCTTCCGTCCGGAATGGATTTTACTACTGAGCCTCATGACCCCGATCGGCGAGGGAACTGGAGTTGCGGTAAGGGCCAAGGAGTCTCGGTTTTGTTCACTTTTGTTTCTTATCTCGTGTCTATCTCGATTGACCTCGTCTCGGATTGTATTTCGGAATCTCAATTAGTTAGGGGCCAAATAATATACATTGCTTTCGGTGCAAATCTCAGTGGATCTGGGGCTCCTCGGCAGAGCTTTGATCCAATAAATTCCCAAATTCCACAGTAGCTTGGACCCTGTGACGTGTGTGGCGGGTCTCTATCAGCTCTGAATAAAGCGATGGAAAGTTTGATTGGTCTGTGTTGCTGCAAGAATGAATGAAGCGTGGATAGCAGCACGTTAAAATGGCTGCCTGAAGCCCGTTTCTCTGTTTTTCCCGAAACGACCCTTTCTCCTTCCCACCGCGCGTGTCGTTACTGTCTGAGGTGAGATTCCTAACGAATGCCCATCCTTTATCTCGTTGGATTTCATGGGACATTCTCGTGTTCGGGTTTATGCTAACTTTTCGAAGTTTGTCGTTGGCCTCCACAATGATCGCCTCCACTTTGACTCCGTACAACTGGACTCTTCCCTCGAGTAGCTCTGGGAGCTCCGTGAAAAGACCTATCAAATCAGTCTCCAAGCCGTGCTTTGGATGCGACTGTGGCGATGAGGAGTGTGATTGTTGTATCTGCACTGTGATGTGATTTGGGCATATACCACCGAGGGGATCTGGACATCAGTGACTTCCAAGGTTTTTGAGGCTCTTTGGAAGAACGAGGACAAACCATCAAATTTTAATTTCCTTTCGCTTGGTCTGATTCCTGAGCTCTTTTGTTTTAATGCCTTTCTACGAGCCTTTAGCGAGCGTTCTTCATGTTCCATGCATACATCCCGTTGAATCGTCTCTCCACTGGGCTTTCATCTTGCAAGTCTTTTAAAAACCTTCGTAATTTAATTATACTACATTCAATCTCGTCGATCTAACCATTAGATCATTCGAATCTCTCGATGAATAAATACATAGATCGACCGGATTGCGACGATTGCCGGTTCACTTCCGCTGACTCAGCGCTTGAGTGGCCCTTCGTGAGGATCAATGATCAACTTGCAAATCGCACATCTCCATGAATTCGCGCGAGCCCCGCAAGCGCACTGCGCGTGCCTGTGATTCCTGCTATAGGCGCAAGGTAGGTGGCTTTCTTAGTGTCTTATCTCCGATACTGATATTGCCAGATTAAATGTGACGCTACACTGCCGCAATGTAATTGGTGCAGCCACCACAACCTCCCCTGCACCTTTGATCGGGTGGTGCAGCGTAAACGAAAACCGGAAGATCATGATAGCAAGTAAGCTTGTGGTCTCCAATTGGTATGTTCTGCGGAACTGGTGAACTAATTACATGGGACGTAGTCACCCCAAGAGTTCCCGGCTTTCCGAGAGGATTAGTCGCATCGAGCAGCTTTTGGCAGAAAATCTGATGCGAAAATCTAATTCTGGTATGTTCCTCCTTCTTAGCATGATAAGTGGAGAGTAACTGATTTAACCAGAACCGATGGATTATACACATACTCTCGATGACAATCCTATCAACATCAACGCTACCAACACTACTGCAAGCAACTCTCCAGGCAGCACCAGCTCTAGTAGTATTAGCAACCAGCCCATCCTTTCATCTTCAGTGGGTGTTCACTTCGCCGGTCGGGAGCTGGGTTGCATCAGTCTCCTCACCGGTATCCCATTCCTCCTTCCGGAGGGCCAAGAATGGATCCAGTCCCGCACAGGACAGACCGTGTCAAGCGAAAAATTCAGTCCAGCACGAGTACCGTGGGAGAAAGAGCGAGGTCAAAGCTCTAATAGAATTCTGATGGACTTACGAACTGATGACTTATTTGAACTGCCGGACCGGCGAAGTGTGCAGCTGTACTTTGATGCTTATAAGCGATCATCGGTGATGCGCCGCCTTTTCCCCGTCGTTGATGTTGAATTATTCGCGGAAACCATTGATGAAGCTTATCGGCAGCCTAAGGCGAGCTTTCAGTTTGGGCAAGCGAGTATCCGAGCATGCATTGTCGCTTTTGCTGCCTTTGTTGCTCGTCTTCCGCCCGTTGTCGAACTTATCAGGAACTCCGCCAGCGTTGTACTTCAACTCGATCATGAGGTTTTAGCTTCTAAGGCCCAGTTTCTACTTTCGCAGATTGCCCAAGAACCTGCGAGTCTAGAGGGTGCGCAGGCTGTGTGCATGCTGGTGCGTCTACAACTTCTGGCAGATGATCTTTCGCTATACTAATTTTGTCATATGGATTTATCCAGACCTTGTATGAGGTATCATCAGGGAACATGCGGGCCACCAACTACTTTGCCGCAGTGGCCGGACGTCTTATATTCATGTTAGGCGGTAATCTGAACAGCAGTAGATCATATTCGAATAGCAAACGAGACCAACGAAGGAAACAGCAGGTGCGCAACCTCTTTTGGATTTGCTACACAATGGACAAAGATGTTGCTCTTCGCACAGGGCAACCACCTACCATTGCCGATGAGAACTGCGATCTCACTCTCCCACCGGGCTATGAAGAACATGCATTTCTGGACCCCGAAGATGTGAAAATGACCTACTCGCAGCCGAGTTTTCCATTCGACTTGCGTCTGAGCATTATCAAATCTCGCACACATACCGCTCTCTATTCTGTGAGCGCGATGAATAAGTCCGACGCCGATCTTCTAAAATCCATTCGGGAATTGGATGATGAACTAGAGGAATGGCGATTGTCCATCCCACCTCATTGGCGACCTACGATGTCCTTCTCGGCCGAGGCTTCGGATCCGAATGTCAGTATGCACTCGATCATGCTGCGTCTCAACTACTACCTCTGTATGTCTATCATTCATTCGGCGAGTAGTCGATGTAAAGCATGGAGACAAGGAAATGGGATGCTGGATGGAGTCAACTCGAGTCTTGCTCTCTCGGTCGAGGCCAGCCGCTCCACTCTCTGTTACTTGGAGGCAGGAGAGCATGTATTGGTTGAGGGAATTTTCTGGTAAGTCCTTATGTTTATACCTCAATTCTAGCTATGTTCGTTTCTAATCCATCTTGATTTTAGGATTTTGGTTTTCTATCCTATGTCGGCGTTTCTCAGTATTTTCTGCAGCATTCTTTCGAATCCGCTAGACCCTCGCTCGCGTGATGACCTGGAACGTCTCAACATGGCAACGGTCATGATGGAGCGAATGTTTCATCGAAAGCTTCCTGGGAGTGAAATCGGTCACTTCAAGCTCGTGGCTGACTTTGTGGTGGAGATGAAACGTCTTGCGGAGTGTGCTATTGACAAGGCTTGGCGTGAGCAGAGTACAGGCTCGCTTTTGCCTGCATAATATTTCTTGTTTATTTCTATCCATGGAGGCTGTCTGGGTGACGATGTTGAATTACAGGGGATTTTTGGCAAATACCGGCGTCGTGGCTATCTTCAAATATGGCGCAGAGAAGGCGATCATCTTATTCTTAAACACCTGTGGACATAACTGTTTTCATCCCAGCTCCACAGAATTGTGCATTACCAACTTATTCACTAGAATATATCAAGCACCAATTAGGCATGAAGAAAGCACAAATGGAAGGCCCGGGGGATGTTTCTTGGGAAGCAGACCTGATACCTTATTATGGGGAGAGGTTTAGAACATAGGTTCTGGTCAATTTGGGTATCTATTGCTAATTATGTTGGAATCGCCATTGTGTCCGTCCACTCTTTTGAGTATTGTAGAACTGAGCACGAATTTCGTGGCTCGATTGGAGCCGTCATAATCATGACAAACTGGCACTAGGGATTTTGTGCTGCTGAATGCGAGTCCCGACACCCGTTTCAAAAGGCATATGGAGCCCCGCGGTAGGATCATTCTCCATCTAAAGAGTGAGCCACCGCTTTGCTGGACGATGCCTCAGATGATTCATAGGCGAAGTGACCAATCTGCCCATCCAGTGTATCCAGTCGTGGCCTTCTGGATTTCCGCAGGGTGTGGACATGTCATGATATTATATACCATCAACTAGCGTAACAGGCTCGTAGTTCACCAGGCGATATTTTGAGCGAGGTATCGATGGGGTGGGATGGAGTGGTTTGATATTCAAGTTGATATGCACGGGGCTGTTGCATATCTTAATCATATTTAGATTTCCTTTTCAAGCAGGTCCCAGACCATGCGCGAGTCCTCGGCTTTGCGTGAAGCTGACTCCAGACTGCTTGCATCTGCCGATGGGTCTGCAGAGCTGAGACGGCTGCCCTCGGCCTGGATGTCCTCTAGGACATTCTCAATATCAGCCTTGACCTTATCCATCTGCTTAATTTCTTGTCTAGTTCGCTCTAGTTGCTCTTCCATCATCATGATGAGTGATTCGCGAGCCTGGTGAGGGCGGTACAAGTTGAGAAGGTGGTGAGCGTTGATGAACAGGTTGCGCATGTCTTCTACCTTCGGCTCGAACTGTTCTGGCGATCCTGAGAGGATTCCGACGGTCTCCAGGAAGTTGAGGAGGAGTGATTTGCTGATCTTGAGGAGGTAGTAGGCATGGTTTAGCGGTTGAGGTGATTGGGACGGTTGCGAAGAGTCTTGGGTGGTATTCGTGGCAGGCTCAGGGTAGAGCTGTTCAATTCCCTGCTCTTGTAGCGAGGGTAAAGTGGTCGATAGCTAGGTTTCGGTAAATCAAGTGAAATGGGAAAGATCGCGGTCTGGTCAGACTCACTGTTTGCAATTCGCCGAATACTGAGTACTCCCCCGTGGGGATGTCTGGGGGAACTAGGAAGCGAAGCTCGGGAGGCAAGTCAAGTGCGCGTAACTCTGCCGGTGACCACTGCTTGTTGCGATTGGGCCGCCCATTCTTGTCTTTCGAAGCCTCTGTCTTGATCTCTTTTAACCTGTCGAGGTTCTCACGCGTGAAATGTTTCCATAAGGGCGGCGGTGGCGCAAAGGCTGTATTGACGGCGCGTTGCTGATTCGGATCGGCCATGCTAGAAGATGTTATTCAAATCTGACAGCAAGAAAGCACCTGGTTGGCGAGTCGGAGGAGTGGTAAAGCGGAAGTTGTAAGAAGCGCGGAAGGGTAAAGTGGGTCTGTGCATTGCGACGACTGCCGGATCAAACAATCCACTTGACATGCATTCCCGGTGAATCCCCTGAGCTTCTGCATATATTCCATTCTGCACACTTTTCGTGCAAAATGTCTCGAAGCGGCCCGGGGACTAGGGACTCGCCCTCAATTCTACACCAAGCCGGACTTGGGGGAGCTGTAGCTCGGTTCTACCAGCGCACCTATGCGGGTGACTATATCGCGTTAGGATGTCTCGTGGCAGGATGGTTTATGGTAATTCAGAATTTACGTCTCTCTCTTGGAGCACTTACTGACAAGAATTACTTTTAAATTAGATCCCCATCTTCGTGAATCCTTTCCACCGCATGTTTTCCCTCGATAATAAGGCCATCCAATACCCAATGACTGCTCACGAACGAGTCCCTCTCAGTAAGAACCTCGATATACATACCATCTCTCCACAAATGCTCATTGCCTTTTTTAGTCTGGTCTATAATCTTTGCCGGCATGATTCCCCTTGGCATCATTCTCGCATGGTCTGCTCTTTCGCGCCCAGGTGTTCAGCAAACACAGGCCACAGTGCTCGGGTTCCTCGTGTCTCTCGTCCTTGGCACATTTTTAACGGATATAATCAAGAATGTGGTAGGCAGGCCTCGTCCTGATCTGCTAGCGCGGTGTAAGCCCGCCCGGGGCACGGCGGATAATGTGCTTCTCACATGGACTGTCTGTACAGAGCCCAACCAGGCACTCCTCTTTGAAGGGTGGCGCAGTTTCCCTAGCGGACACAGTAGTTTCTCATTCAGCGGGCTGGGCTACTTGACTCTGTGGGTAATCTCGTGTGAATAGGAATCGGCTGTTTACTGATTGGTGGTTATAGCTTTTTCTGCGGTCAGATGCGTGTCTTCCGGCCTCGATCGGACCTTGGCCGGTGTCTTGTCGCATTCACCCCTCTTTTCTGCGCTCTCTTGGTCGCCTTGTCGCGCCTGGCAGATTACCGACACGATGTGTGGGATGTGACCTGTGGTGGACTTTTGGGTATGGGAGTGGCTTGGTTTTCATATCGCCGTTACTATCCGTCTCTATGGTCAATCCACTGTGATGTCACCTATGACAAAGCGGATTTCAAAACTCAGGAAAGCTTTGGTAGGCCAAATGATGAAGAGCAAGGGCTCTCTCGGCCGTTTATCTCCCGGAACCAATATGGCTCAGAAGAATATCCACTGGAGGACCTGGAGTCAACCCGGTGAAGAGCACCACTTGCCATGTACAGAACACTATGGTAGGTATGCTGGTGCTCGAATAATGATTATAATCCAGAAATATGAATGTAGGCTTAGAATACATATCTCGGCTTTCATATGAAAGCAATCGCCAGCAATGCGATTATCGGCATGACACGATGAGGCATCTCAATACGGCCCTGATCTTAATCTTGGAATACGAACCTCAGGACCAGCTAGTGTAGCAAGAACAGTCAAAATTGAGCTATGAAGCTCTAGCTCTTAAACGTCCGGGGTTGCGGGGTGGCCAATTTCGATAGTGAAATTTCCCTTATCGCCCCGCGGGGATTCTTGCACTTGGCTTTCTGATCTCCCTCAACCCACCTATACATACAAACGTGCGCACTTTGAAGACGTGCAGGTCGCTATCAAACTAACTGCACTCTTCCTCTGATGGGCGCTTGACTCGTCTGTCAACCGAGCTCATGTAACGTTCGCCACACAGCGGATGCCGCGCAGAAAAGCCGCCGACCGTACGGGACCGGTGAAAACCCGGTCTCGTAGCGGCTGTCGAGAATGCCGAGCTAGTCGAGTGAGATGTGATACAAAAAAACCCGTTTGCACGCGGTGCTGGCAGAAAGGACTGCCATGCTCTACCAACCTGGAGCTCAAGTGGGAGTCCGAGTTTGCCAGTCGCGGCGTGGCTTTCGGGCGTGCGGGAGTCTGGAATAAAACCCGACCAGACGGCACACAACTTTCTCCAGAGTCTTCGGATGAGACGCGCCAGTGGTGCCTAGTACCACAAATACAGCCATGGGGATTCGTCAACAGCGGAGTAGGCACATTCGAGAATCCCTATGAGGTGGATGTAGTCTCGAATGAACAGCATGATGTTTCCTTGGCTTATCGCACTGTGCCGAGAAACGCCCTGATCTTTCCAGCGCTTGATGCCCGTCCCTCACCAGCCATATCACTGTTCCCGCAGGCGACGCATCTTGGTCATGCGGAGCTTCTTGACTACTACCTCCAGCAGGTGTGCCCTCGTACGAGTGCCAGTACGACCATGTCATCTCCATTTGCCTCTGTGATCCTGCCTTTCAGCCTATCTGCATCGCCGACACTATTCAAAGCTATTCAAGCGCTAGGTGCATGCCACTTGTCTCGAGCTAACCCCTCATACGCTCCTCTTGGCCTTCGCTTGAAGTCTGAAACATTGAGGGATCTTCGACGCCGGCTTTCCAATGAAGGGTCCCTGACATGCTCTGCGGACCCCGAAGTGCTAGTGATCATGATGATGCTGTGTCTCTACGAGATTGCCGACAAATGTGACCAACAATGGACCATCCATCTCAAGGGCGCCAAAGATTTAATTCGACTGAGAAGGCAACGGGCTCTCACACCTCCGCAAACACCGGATGCGTCCCACCCAGTCTCTGCCTTTGCTGAGCATTTCTTTGCTTTCCAAGATGTCATGGGCCGAACTGCTTGTGCCAAAGAAGTGTTGTTTGGAAACGACTACTGGAGAGCGGATGATCGCAATATCGATCTGTGGATGGGATGCAGTCCCGAGCTCGTTTCTGTTCTTACCATCATTACCGATATGAGCCGTGATCGCCGACAGCTGAATTCTGATGTCGATCGAGATATTTTCAACCAACGTGCAGCGTCCATTGAAAACCAACTTGAGAATTTGATACAGGAAGTTGGAGACGGGGACGGGGATGATGATGCCCTCGCATCCGCTGCGGAGGCCAAGCGGCTAGCCGCCCTGCTTTACTTGCACTGTGGGTTGTATGGAGCCAGTCCCAAGACACCACTGGTAGCGGACTATGTGCATCGGATTCTTCAGTTGCTATCGGAACAGTTAGATCGTGGTCCTTTGGTCAGTGTGACATGGCCTCTCTTTGTTGCAGCCGTTGAGCTCGATCCATCGCACGATGAGCTTTGGTTTGCCCCCAATAACCCTATGTCTGGCCGGTCGATTATACTACGAGCCCTGGCCGCCATGGGTAAATCGACGATATCTAATATCGCTCGCACAAGAGCGGTGATCACTCAAGTTTGGCAAGCTCGCGACCAGGATTTGCTCAAAGCACCACAGATGAACGGGCTCAATGACTGGGAGTGGTATGTCGTCCCCGTAAGCGATTCTATGAGCCTGGCATGACCCTGTATCAAGACATGTATTTTTGTGTTACTCAAATGTATCTATATAATATTCGTGTATATCACCATGGATTCAAGGTTGAAGAATTGAAGTGTCGATGATTAGACAGTTGTATTGATCGCCACTGCGGGGCCAATGACGCCGCTTTCGGGTTAGCCGCCCATTATCTCGCGATCACTTCGCGCGTACTTCAACCCAGTTCTCCTAATTCTCTCGAGACCATGGTTGTACGGTGATACACTATTCTGCTGATCACAACGGAGAATGGCTCTACCCCGTCCTCCAGGGCCAGAGCGAAGCGCATCGGCTCATCCATTTGAGAGCAAGTTGAGCCAACAACTTCAGCCAGAATCGTCCTTTTCGCAGGAGCGTGTGTCGCGCTCGCCCAAATCACGTTCTTTGTCAGACGCTTCTAGACCTACAACTACCCCTCAACCATCCACAGGTGATCTGAGTCGTCCTCCGAGTAAGGACGACAGTGCGCTCCCCACGTTGCCAGCAACGCCCAATCGCTCGGACAGCCTCCACCATCCCAACCTATCCTTGAATCTCCCCTCCAGAGGATCAGGATCCCCCTCTATCTCTCGCGCCCCACTATCACCCAAGCTAGACTCCTCGCAAATCTATGGTTCTCCCGGGTCGGTCCTTCCGCGGCGCTCCCGTGGCCTGGACTTCTCACGCGCGTGTACCAACCTCCACCACTCTACCCTCGCTGAGTCCTCCCCTGACTCGTCGCCCACTATCGGAGGTCGTGGTGTGACAATACCACAGCGACGGGGATCCCTTGGTTCAACCTCGGTTCCCGTCTTCTCGACTTCCGGTCCCGCTGATCGCACCACAATCTCGAGCTCCGTGTCAAGCGTGAATATGATGGAATCAGATACCAGCAGTAGCGAAGAGGACGATGATGCGATCATGGGTGACCGTGACGATGTTATGCTATCTACACCCCAGGCATCACGTATGGCGGCTGGGCCGAGCCCCTTCAGTGCAAACAACATTCAAAGCCCCGGGAACGAATGGATGGGAGGCTATTCACAAGCAGCTGCCAGTCTCATGAGCTTTCAAGCTCGTTTTCGTTACAGACGAAGCCGCCACAGCTCTAGCAGCGCCAGTGGTAACAGCTCCAAGCCCAGCCCCGGACCTCACTCTCCTCCCGTCATGAAGAGTGTGGAGAATCCGACAGGAGGGTATTTCGCTCATCGAACCTCTGTGCATGCACGACGGGAGAGCTTGAGTCTCGGAACACGGGACCTTCGCCTGTCAGATTTGAGTGACGATGGCGAAGGTCGTGCTGTACGAGCGGGGAGCCCCACGGCTGCAACCCATTCAGATGGTGGGCCATTGGGTGTCATCCGCCGCGCAGTCACCCGACGAGGAAGTTTATTGGTAAGTGAATCGATACGTTTGATGACTCGACTAATCATCTTTTAGCCCAAAACCAAGACTTTTGCTCGCATTCGCGCCGCTTTGATGGAAGAAGGCCAACCCGTTGATAGCGATGTCAAACGTGAGGCTGAAGTGATTCGACAGGTTCGCGATACAGAGCCTGAGACATCTCCTAAGATTGGCACCTTCCCTTCTCTGCATCCAGCTGAAGCACTGGAGGAGTCACCTGCCGAAGAGCACACACCTGTAAAGTCAAATCAGGACGCGAGCAGTTTCAGCAAGCAAGCCAGCCGCAACTCTGGAGGTGTAGATTTCTGGAACTCATTTGATGAGCGTTACCGCACTCCCCCACCCTCCTTGCGCCAGGCCGCCTCGTCTGTCGCAGATGATGATATCCAGATGGACATGACTCCGTATACCACGATGGAATCGACCACTGCTGAGTCCAAATCGGGCTCCCGCTCTTCAACCCCATACGCCCCTACGGTCGTGGGCGAAATTCGACGGAAGCGACGACGGGAGGATGACTTTGATCCAAACCTCTTTAAGCGCCGAGCCGTATCGCCTAGTGTCAGTGCCCAAAGCAGTCCGGTCCTGACGCATTCGTCCGTTGTTGATAATGGACCGAATATCTGGGGCCCACCGTCTAAGCTTGGGGCACCTTTTTCTGAGCGTACCAGCACCGAGACCAATAATCGCACCACGCCACATACTGGGTCCACGAAGCGCGTGGGCTTACAAGGCATGACTGAAGCCAGCGATGGATTTATGAACATGAGCATTGAATAGAGCCGGCGTCAAACTCTTCCTAGGGTTTTCTTTATCTTTTTCTTTTTGTCTTTTCGATATCTTGCTTTCGATTTGTCTTTCAGGGAAGGCGATCATCTTTTTTAGCGCAGATCATGGCGTGTGGATTAGGCATTGGCGTTGGGGGAGCCCGAATTCATTATTTATTTCTCAGCGTTAAGATACCTCAATATATTCTCACATTATGGATTCAATGGAAATTCCCACTGGCGGTAATCGCAATAGACCTTGTTTGTCTCTTGTTTTGGTTGGCGGAACCACGTGCGGGTCCCGCCCCGAGCTCGACTTGACCTCCGCAGCCACTCTCTCCATTCCCCAATTCCCGTTCTAGCTTTCTCTGTCCCTTACAGCATGGCCTCCACTGTTGAAATTGCATCCTCGTTCATTGAGGGTGCCCCGCCGGGTGAAGTATGTCAATCCCCATTGTTTACGGACCCGTGCCTCTCCATGTTGTGAAACATGCTGACTGTGGAACTTGTAGCTCGCCGATGTGGTTGCTGGTAATCGACTCTCCTCTCCTCTCCTACCTAATTGCGATCCCGAATAGCTCTACAATTCTGGATTGTCTCAGCCCGCATGTTGATACTGAAACGCCGATAGATGTCCAGACCCTGACCGAGGGCGAAGATATTATTCCCCAGCTCGCACCGGCATTTGAACGATACAATGAGAGCCAGTTGACCACTGTCAAACTACCGGGTTCAAGTCAGGAGGTGGGATGATTGCCTTCCCCACATGGGCTGCATGCTGATATCGTTGCAGGTGATTGTCAGTGAATTTAATAAGCTCGAGGACAACCGCTACTTCGACTCGGAGAGCCAAACCTCGTTTGAGATCGATCACATTACACAGGTATGGAATCAATAGCTCGGGGTTATATACCATTAGTGGAAGCTCACGCACGCTCAGACTGCCTCCGCAGCGCAATCAGCTCCTTTGGAGTCTCAGAATGCCGACCTGATGTAAGGATTGGAAACCTCGACTTCTCCGGTGACCCCGCTCTCCATGTATGCGCTTTTGCTCACGTCGCTATAGTAACTCCTTGCTCAAGTCTTTGAGCATTCATGCCCGCGAGCATTACGCCAACTGCTCATACGGTGTCTATCCCATTGAGAACGATTCCGCTGTTGCGATTCTCCTGGTCGCCAACAAATACTCGCCCAACAACTTCTGGTATGTCTTGGAAACTATCGCAGATTCATTTGGAAAGACACTCATCATTCTGTATGTGAATAGGAACGGTCGATTCCGCGCCATTTACCAAGTCCCCGTCTCCTCCTCTTCTACTACTGTGACCGGCAAGATCCACGTCCACGTGCACTACTATGAGGATGGAAATGTGGCTCTCAACACCACCAAGCCGGTCAGCGCCTCGGTATCATCGGTTTCTGCCGAGGCCATTATGTCGCGCATCGCTGCGGCTGAGCGCGACTACCAGGAGGAGTTGAACCGGGCGTTTGTCAGCGTGGCTGAGGGCGCTTTTAAGGGACTTCGGAGACAACTGCCTATTACCCGACAGAAGGTTGAGTGGGAGAAGGTGGGTGGATACCGACTTGGACAGGATATCTCTGGCGGCAAGGGACGGTAGACTACTATTTTGTGGACCGATTGATTAGCGTTGAATACATCTTTGAGAACAATAAATGGTTCTTGTAGGCTGGGGGATAGAGTTATTTTAAGTTCTAGGATTCAATTTTGTATACTGAAGTGATCCCTGTCAAGCGGACCCCGGTGACCCATGCCCACCTTGAACAGTCTATACGTATATACACCACAAGCTTGAAAGCGCGAGTCAATCAAGCGTACCTCCATAGTTGAACTTCATACAAATGATCTATCTTGAATATTGCTTTTTACTGTCCATACGGTGAAGAAAGCTGAATAAGCAAAACCAGTCTAGGGAGGTCCTACCGACTAGCGGCACCCGTCAATCAACACACAATCTCATCTGCCTTTGAACATAAACAATTTAAAAAACTTCTTTCCAACGACCTGCAATGTCCTCAAAACTCACCCGTTTCGTCAACAATGGCGCCGGTCTAGAAAAGACTCTTCGCATGATCCAATCCGTAGCGCAAATCGCCGCAGTTTTCACCGTCGGCAGTACTGCCGTGCAATTGACGACCGCCAAGTTGCAATTGGCTCTGAGTGAGTATCCATTGGATTCTCAACACTTTTCAGGTTGACTGTTCATTGGTACTGGATGCTAACGTGAACTAGCTCGACGATTCTTCCGCTTCTTTGGGTTCCTTCAATCCTTCGAGCGGGTATCTACCCTCCTTTCGAATGGGGGAATTGGTTCTGTAGCCGGTTGGATAGACCTCGCTAAATGGACTTGCTTCAGTCTGTATTTCGTACTTGAGGATTTGACAATCGTATGTATTGTTGCGCGGAATTTGTGGATATATGGCTAACGTGAACACAGCTGCATGCTATGGGTGTCTATGCGGTGCCATGGGAGGAACAGGTCATGCGTGAGGCTAATACCTTCTGGTTCTATGCAATTTCGCTCTCAATTCTTGGCTCTGTTTATGCGCTTCTGTTCTCTGGGGCTTCTGGGCAGAAGGCCAAGTCCAAGGATGGCAAGAAGAACATCAACGAGAAGAACGGGAAGACGGAAAAGGTTGGGAAGGCTGAGAAGCCTGCTCCTGGTGTGAATGCCTCGGCCTTGATGAAAGACCTTGTAGTGGATGGGTGTGACATTCTACTCCCTGTGACACTTTTGGGTTGGTATCATCCTGGTGATCTTGTCGTTGGTGGCACAATGGCGTTGAGTACGTGGTTGACCGGGTCGAGCATCTGGGCTCAGGTGTGAACATTGTGCTCTCAAGATACGGTATAAACTTATGGATGAATAGACATAAACGTAGAATATATGAGCGACGACTGAATTGGACATTTGAAATACAAGCTAGGCCGGGGTGGACCCAAGAAGCTGTTCTTGATACCCAAAAATTATCATCGTTGGAATTAAGACATAATCGGTAGTTTACAGACTGAATCCTCACAAAAGTCACGGCCCCATGGCAATCTTGCCTACCAAAGTAATGGATCGAAAATCTAATAAATTGGTTCCACAAAGAAAAAGAAAAACTTCACTCTGTATAGAGCGAAGACAAAAAGATGGACTCGCGGGGAATCGAACCCCGGACCACTCCCATGCTAAGGGAGTATTATACCACTAAACCACAAGCCCATTTGATGAAGAGGGTGTCATTATAATGTTACATAATCTAAAAAGAAAATATAATACCATGGTAGATGTCCTACCTACCATGTACATTGGCCGACCACGAGATTAACAATTTAGCTCAGTCACATCACGACAAACGAGATGTTTTTGATTCCTGCTTAAAGAAGCATACGCCCAGAAGCCTGGGGCTTGTCATATATCTTCTGACATGAACACTGAAGGTAGTAATATACTATCTAGTCAAAAGTATTTCCCCAGGTCAGTTACCGGGCCTTCCAACCCCATCAATTATATATATTCATTAAACAGTTCACTGGGCACACCACCATATCTTGTTGAAATTCTATATAAGTACTCAGAGTAATTGATACCCATCTAACGCACAGAACTATCTCCTAATATGACATGAAAATCTAGCCCAAGATTTTTAACCGTTAGTAATTGTCTCGTCACCCTTCATACCAACACATTACTATTTACGTATAGTATTACTCACCATAATTCTGCTACATACCTCTTCAGGTACTATTTAGTACTGTTATATCTTCCTCCAGGGCTCTATATATAAGCTTTAGATACAAACTAAGAAGTCCTTGTTTTAATAACATGTAAATAATGTTGAATTCCTACTAACCCTGGGGTCAAGCTAGATTTCCTAATCTTATTCATCAGCCCCCGCCATCTTCGTCTGCAACCTCTGAAAAGCGATAGTATTCGCAACCAACAACTTATGCAATGATTTCAAGCGAAACAGAGAACCGAGTTCGCCCATCCAATCTTCGAGTTGGTGCAACCCCAGGTTTGGCCCTTGTGATGACCAACGTTCTGCGACGACCCGCTGCAGTCCTTTCCAGTGAACAAGGTGCAGTAGGTACCGCTTTCCTTGCCAGCACTAACACCGAAAGAAGCGGCACCGCTCTCGAGGTTGGTGCAAGTTCCTTCGATGCTGGCTCCCAAGCCCTGGAAGGCGTTGCAGCCGCAGCTATCGCAGGTGTATGCGTAGAACGAGTCGGCGGCTGCCAGAGATCCGTAGCTGATCAAGAGAAGGGAAGGAAGAAGAGACTTGAATTGCATGGCTGAAGGCTTTGGTTAGTACTTATGCCAAAGGTGTGGGTCGGTGTTGTACCTACTGTCGGTATTTGAGGCTCCCCTGCGGTAGACTGATTCAGGACTGATGATTGATAATTGGTAACTGTGAATTGTGATGAACTGGAACTGATGATAGCATTGAAATAACTGAAGGGGACACTGGCTTTTATAGACAAAATCAGCACAAAAGTCCGTCCCTTGTTCCACTGTTTGTGGTGACTATGGCCAGCCCAGGATGACCAAAATTGGAATATCCGCTTGAGCTGCGAACTTTGGCTATGTAAGGCGACCCATTTACCTCTTCAAGATACCTTGGTGCATAGCTATTATTGGTTTGATTCTAGATGAGTCGTATAGTTGAGATTGATGCTAGTCAGCTGAGCGATATTAGGCATTCTGATGCTTGGCTATATTGTAGGCCTAGAGGAACCTCTACATCGGGTAAGCTAAGTCGAAACAATTGCCCATTCAAGATGTATCGATGCATATGCTCGAAAAATTTCGCTAAAAGTGATGTAATCTAGATTGACGCTAGTCAATTAAGTCGAAACAGTTGCCTATTGCAGAACTTGGACCCTCGGCGCATATTGTTAGCCAATCCCAGAAGAGCGGTGACGTTGAGGTGGGCGCTAGTAAGTGAATAGTCCCAAGCATTGTCGGGTCGGGTGGCTTGAATCAAGCTGGAAGGACTGCCCGGAGTGAACGAGGCAGCTCCATGAATTGGGACCCTGCAGGAACTAGAGGACGTGTAGATCCCCTATCCCATATTCCATTTTCGTAGCGGAATGAAGGGTCTCGTGATGCCTCCACCACCGGGGGGGGGGGGGGTCAATGATGGCCCTTTGATTGGGTGACAAACGTTGGAAATAATGTACAGGATGAACCTGACATTCTGCATTTTTTAGGTAAAAAACGTCTAGATTGTTATTACTGATTATATCGATGGCATCTTTTTCCGAAGGCGCCCGCTTTGCTTTAATCTGACACGCTGAGGAGGAACGACCGTGCAATCCATGTGCATTATAAAAGTCACACATCTCACATGGAGATCTCCAAAAAAAAGAAATGCATCATCCGTGAATCGAACACGGGCCTCGTCGATGGCAACGACGAATTCTACCACTAGACCAATGATGCTTAGTAATATGTTAGGAGACATTAAATTCATTTCATGAAGCAAATATCAAAATGGAAGCCGAAATTCTCAAGACCAAAGACTTGTGGGAATCTTCCAGAGCAATTAATTGGGCTCAAAACATATAAAATCCTTAGAACCGGATATGTTCCAACTCCGATCCATCACCCTTCTCCCACGGGTGCTCCTGCTCCACGGCCACAATCAGTTCTTTATGTGAAGAGCTCCTGGGCACGACCTGCAACTTGCACGGGACCGGGTGGCTGATGACCCCAGGCTGGAATTCTGCTTTCACATCCACCTCAACGCCGTTGTCTTTAGGTTTGCTGATTTGGAACACGGCGAGAGACTTTGCAATACTGAGCCATACTGTGTTGTCTGCCAAAATTCGGCCAGGGCAGACGCGACGTCCAAAGCCGAAAATGAAGCCGTGTGGATCCGTCTCAGGTTCCAGGCCGTCGATCTCCAAGAAGCGTTCTGGCTTGAAGGCTAGAGGGTCATGATACAGCGCGGGATCATGCATCATACCCCTATCATGCGAATGAGAATGGATATCTCAAAGGAAAACTTTGGAACAATGGCCACTCACCAAATATTTGGCATCAGAATAGAACCTTTAGGGATATAATATCCATCGTACATGTCGTCGGCCGTGGACATATGTGGAACCCCCATCGGTACTACAGGGTGCCAACGGAAGACCTCCTTTACAACTGCATTGACATAAGGCAGGCGTGCGCGGTCTGCCAACATAGGGAGTCGACTAGTCCCGACCACCCGATCAATCTCATCCTGTGCCTTTTGTTGGACTTCCGGGTTCAGGGCCATGACGAGGAAAAAGGTTCCAACTGAGGACACAGTCTTATTCACGTTAGGAATAGTGTCAATTATGAGGAGACAGGGGAGTATCATACAGTGTCGGCGCCCGCACCATACAGCGATGCAGTTGTCCATCTGGCAACCAGCTCCTCTTCTGATCCGGGAGATGGAATCCCATTCAATTTGAATATATCAGAGAGGAGTGAGGGCTGATACTTGCCATCCTCTATTCGCTTCTGAACGAGTGCGTAAGGCCTTTTTGCAACTTCCTCAAGGGTTTTCCTCCACTCCCGAGCGGTGCGTTTGAACCCAGCGCCCGGAAACCAGGCGGGCAAATATTTTACTGCATTGGAATCAGCCTTAGGGACAAACAGACAATAAGAGACTTTCAGGCTCAACTCACATGCCGGTATGATGTCTACAAGCCAAGTACCCGGTGTCGATGCAATTGAGAAGTGCTCAAGGGCCACATTGACAAGGTTGACCAGCACATCTTTTTGGTGCGGCTCAGTCCTATAACCGTATGTTATCTGAAGAATTACTGCCCCCGCCTCACTATGTAATCCCGTTATTATGTGAACGCTTTATTTCGAGGGTATTAGGGAGACAACTGACGCCTGGATGTGCTGTGTGATGTTGTCTTTGTCCTTCAGAATACGCCACAAAAGGCGATGGGCTTCGACTTCCTGTAATGGAACGTACTGTAAAGCAACCCTGTCTGACCCGAAGTATGGTTTCAGAATCTTCCGGTATGCCTTGAACCGGTCCGTGTACGGCTGCATGGAAATAGCATGCCCCCAACCCACCCTGCTACTTCGTTAGTGTTCGGTCCGATGGCGTGGTAGTTGTGTTGAAATTTGGGGAGAGTTTCCAACTGACATTTCAGAAGCAAAAACCATGTGCGGCCGTGACGAGTACAAGGAGGCGCGTTTGCGTAATAGCTCTGATGCTATCTGTGTATCATTCAAGATTATAATCGTCTGTCCCATCACTGTAAGGGAGCTAATCGGCCCTTAAAAAGCATTTTCCAATCAGCAGCAGAAGAATTAAGGCTTTGATCAACTAGGGATTGTTAAGCCTACCATACAGATCCTTATGCTTGAGCCAATGCATCCAATCTTGCACGCCTGGAGGCGGCAGGTCGGCGATGTTGCCCACGAATGGCTTAGGCCGTGGGCCTGGAGGCAAGGGTCCCAAGGGCTTTTTGCTTTCCAGCCATCTTTTTGTCACATAAAGAGCAAGGAGCCCCAGTATACCATTTAGAAACGCCTTGAACATGTTGACAGGTCACACAATTTGAAAGTGTGGATGAAACCCCGGGAGAGAGAGAAATAGAAATCCCAGTCGCACATGAATACGAGCCAAACTGGTACCTCTGACCTTCTGCAATACATGGATTTGTCCACCCAAGGCAGTAATTCCGTGGTGGTACCCGCAGTTTGAAGGTGCCGAACGAACCACGGGTCTCTGATACTTGTTTTGCATTGCCGGAAGACCTCCACCGTTCCTTTGGATGCCACGAGATGAATGGCATCGTGAAATATATGAGACCGCATTGCAGTTCGTCACACATGATAAGATGAGAGTTAGCTGATTGGTGAAGAATGCCAGACCCTATCCAATCAATGCTCAACGATGGTCGGATACCTTCTTCCTCTGGCTGACAAGATCAACCAACGGTGCAGTAGTTCGACAAGTCATATGCAATGGGAGCAGCTGGTCTCTTGAACGGGTGTTTAGGGGATCGGCATGGGCCATAGTCTCAGTTACGGAAGTAAAGCCGGATGCCGGTGGCGCCTTCATTGGTTGGTTCCTGCTTAGCTCGTGTTCGACAACGGCTACAGCGAAAACATGTTAGCGTCAACGGTGTCGCTGTACGGGACCTCCCAAGGAAAATATTGATTTATCATGCGAGATAATTTAGACAAAGCTCACTCGGAATCAGGAGCATGAGAAAGGTATGTTTAGTGGTGGCGAAAGGAATATGCAGGGAGCTGAACACCTATATGTGGGGCACACGGCACGATTTTGTCACTGAAGGAAGTGGATCTTGGATAGGCCTCGGAAGGGACCCAGATTTCAGAAGTACATAAACAAGACACAATACGGCTTATTCTGGCCTAAGCTGCAGATACTGTTCAATAAGGCCCCTCATCGTTTCCTCAAAGCTTGTAAATTGCCACCCAAATACTTTCTCGCTCCAGAGCGCGTCCAGACGCCATTTCACAGTCCCCAAGGAACCTTCCAGCGGAAGCGTCTTATTTTCCACATCGGTTGGGAAATACTGACGAGCGATTCGCTTTATCTCTTGATCCCACACCACTCCTTCAGGTGTATTAGAGCAAAGAATATACTCGGAATTTCCAGGGACTAGAGCATCGTCTACCGCATCTACGTGGGCGCGCGCGACATCGGCCACATGAACAGGGACTCCGACATAGTCAAACGGAGAGTTGAGGGAGCTGGAGAGAGCAGGTGCAAGTACTGCACCCCGTGTTCCTTCCAGCAGATTTCCACGTGTTGCAGTATCATCGTAAAGTAGACGGTCGTCGGGGCCGATCACCACCGAGGGAAGTAGATTGACAATGTCAAATTGGGCTTTGCCCTGGCTGATAAAGCTTTTGGTTGCCATTCGTGCCAGGGCCTTAGCGGCCCAATAAGCTTCCATTGCGCTTGAAAATGGACCGGTGACCTTATCGTTCAGGTCGTTTTCTATGGTACTGATTAGGATATGCTTGCAGGTATGCTCTGGCGAACGATCTTTACCTGTGTAGAGTCTTTCATTGTCGGGAGACATGTTCCATTCAAATGGAATCAGTGTCACACCTGAGAGAGATTTTAGCTTTCGCGTGGAATAGAATGATAAAATTCTTACATGAAGAGGTTAAAATCACTCGACGGATCGTCTTGACGCGACGGGCCGCTTCCAAGATGGTCGTTACCATAGAGATTGTGGGCTTAATAATCGAAGACTCATAATCATTGCTCTTTTCGCTCGGTCAGAAAATACACCCAAGGAGCTGGAAAGGTAGAGAAAGTTGTTACCTCAACTGCTAAAGGCGAGGCTAGATGAATAACTGCAGTAATACCATCAAGAACATTGAACACAGCGTCCTTACTCAAAAGGTCGGGAACCAGTGCAAATTCTAGCCGACCCTGACCAAGAGCACTGGTAATGATAGGGCTTTTGCGCTGCAATCCGAGAATGTCTTGCTCTCTGCGAACGACAGCACGAACACGGTATTTTTCCTTGATAGCGACGGTCAAGGTTTTAAACCCTATATAGCCAGTCACGCCAGTAATCTAACAGGTGTGTCAATGTCATTATGTCAGTCCCGCTGGTCCGTGAATAACAAGCGGGCTTCTTACGAGGAGTATATTTTTTTTTTCTCCATTGTCTTCCCGGTTATTTGAACAACTGAGAAGCTCGACAAGCGTGTCCAGTCCAAGTGCCTAAGTGATGTCTGATATATTAATCCCACCGACCACCTGGGCAGGTCGAATGAAGGCTATATCCATGGATGTTCAAATATATATGCCAGCTGCCAAGACTCAACATGGTTAGTTCACATCCTTGCCCCACCAAACCTGCTGCTTAGCATATTCATGAGTCATTTTATTGCATGGAATAGTTTATCAAGGGCGTTGCAGCCTAAAATCTCGACCTTTCAGCCTGTTCCACCTAGACCTAGATCTAGATGCGGTAAATACCTATTTTTGTCATTGTTTTTCTTTTTTTTTTTTCTTTTACAGTAGAATTCGCCCCATGGCCATACACAAGATTTTGAAAACAGGTTACCCTCAGACACGTAAGCTTTGTTTCTCGGGCCCACACCTATTACGACGCTAAGCCATGTAAGGTATATCAATTTGCTTGAATTCATTCACTATGCTTGAGCTTTTCCCCAGAAATTCAAGGACTTTTGAGATCGTAAGAATCGCATCAATTCTTGAGTTACACGACATACATGTTTAGTGACCACTGCATACACAATATATCAATGTATGTTCATGTAGAATATACCATTTCTTGAACGAACTTAGAGCCTCGCCCAGGCCTTTTGTGACTGGTTGCCGTTTCAAATGTAAGACTGTAAGACTTCCCTCAAGTGCACGGCCTCGAACCCGTCGTGATGCGTCTACGAACTCTAAGACAATTTCCACCGTCTTGCCTAGCGAGGCACCGCCAAACGGGATCGTTCACGTAATTAGAACCAATCAGAATTTCAGTAGATATACCCACCGTCACGTGCTATGATGAATCGGCCAGATCCGTCCTTATCTAGCCGCTAAATGCTCCGGCCACCTCGTATTCTTATGCTCTCTATCAAATTGGAAACCGTGGTGCCTTGTAAGAATGGATATTCCTGTGGCAGAAAACGTCTTGGGCACCCTTGGTGCGGTTTGTTCACCAGTTGGAATTTTCAATCTATCCCACTAATGTCGCTCACAGGTTTGTTGGTCTATCCAGGTTGGTCATTTATTTTAACGTCGTACTAACTCACTTATGCTAATAATCCTCAGCTTTTACCCCAAATCATCATCAATCACAGAAGACACAACACTGAAGGCCTACAAGGGTCAATGATGCTCTTATGGGCTGCGGCAGGGGTCCCTCTCGGGGTGTACAACATCGTGGAAGAGTTCAATGTGGCTTTAAGGATACAGCCTCAGATACTTACAGCCTTGAGCCTTGTCACATGGTCCCAGTGTCTTTACTACGGAAAGGTAGGCTTCGTTTGTTTCCTGGCATTATTCTTCAATGGTATTGACTGCGAAATAGAAATATTCTGTCACAAAGTGCATTGCCACGGTCGTTCCTCTCCTTCTTATATTTGGTGGCATCGAAACGGGGTTGATATATGCGTTGAGAGAAGCTAAATCCCACGATCTAAGGTGGCCTCTCATCCTGATGGCTGTCTTAAGCGCATGCCTGCTTGCAGCAGGAGTATTGAGGCATTACTGGGACATTTATGTCCACCGAACAGTGCGAGGGATCAGTTTCTTTTTCGTTGGCATCGACGCCGCCGGCGATTTATTTTCGCTCGTATCCGTCTGTGAGTTAGAGTGAAACATGTGGGTAAGCGGTGGTGGCTAACATATGACAAAGTGTTCGGACCGACTATAAATATACTTGGCATAGTCATATATGGAAGCGAATTGGCGCTTTGGTTGGGCATCTTTGCCTGTGGTGGCGTTTTCAATCTCTTGCCCTGGCTTAAGTCGCGGTCAAAGAGACGTGAGACTTCGCAGGAACCCATATCTCTCCATCCGATGCCATCGTCAACTTCCGTGTTCAGGACTGCATCTGGATCCGAGGTTGTAGAGAGGCGGGGTTGGCCGCGTGTAGTTTGAGATTATAGCACCTGCAGCTATGTTTGGTATGTAAGAACACCGTCGAAGTAGCGCTCTATAGTATGAGGATGGAACAAGTTTCATTTGAGCAACACAGTACGATGAAAATGGCCTTTTAAATTAGCATATTAGTAGCTCCAATTGTGTCCAATGAAGCCTTTGAGTTTGGCAAAAAACATTCAATTGAATTCAGGTCCGGCGAGTACGGGGGTAGATACAGCGACTTAACTGCCGTGTTAGTGTATATCTGTGTAATATGCTCTGGATGGAACACTTTTTCATCCACCTGCATGATCAGGACAAATTTCGGCTCTAGCCATCTTTTATAAAGACGAAGAAGCTCATCGATGAAGTCTCCGAATATGGAGGCATCTGTTGAGCCGTGAAAGATGCGAGAGACTAGATTATTGTCCTTCCCAGATTAACCCCTTGTGGGAAAATCTAGAATTCACTCATCTGCAACATCTATCTCTAGAAAGCCTTTAATTCGATGGTATGCCCCAGTATTGATCTAATGTGCTTGGATACCTAATTCAATAAGGGGTGCGGGCCATTAACAAAATGGAGTCTAAGGTCGTAGAGCATCAACTGACAAGTCTTTCGGCATTGTTTTTCTTCCCCGTCCTCTTTGTTTACAACAAAACCCACACACCACACCCTACACACAGACTCCTCACAATGTTCAGCGATATCAAGACAGCGTTGACAAAGAAACGTAACAAGCCACGCCTGCTGCTCGCACTTTACGCACGGCCCAAGCACCCCGACGCCCCCCACTATGCGCTCCTGCTTACGCCGAACCTCAAACTCGGGACTCAGAAATTAGGATGGAACCCAGAGCCTATCCCAGCGACCAAATACCACGTGAAAAACACAATTCAAAAGATCAAAGATGTGCTCTGCCAGCCATGGATTTTCGAGCATGTTGACGTTCCCGACATAGATCGGGACCGCAATATTCTCGTGTGCACGGTCATTGCAAAGGTTCTATCGACGGAACATTTAGAGAAGGTCATGTTGGAGACCCACATTTACCAAAAGGACGACCCGATACAATTCAAAGCACGCGACTTTGACTGCAAGATGTGGTGTCACGACGCCTATGACGAACTTCGGAAATCAGGGGCCATCGTTGGGTTGGACTGGCGCACCGCCGAAGGCGGTACGAGGGCTGTGTTGAATCAAAGACATGGTGAGGGACGCTGGGCCTCGTCTATCACGGGCGAATGTCGTAACACGCCCTTTGTTCCCATCGTGGATCTATTGAGCGGGGCCCTCATTAGGGGTTAATAATCCGCCATCCAGCATTTGGGCCAACTCTACAGTAGAGGGCGAAGTTTGCACAGCCCACAACCGAATACGAGGGACAGATTAACCTTTAGTACGCGCGATCGACGGAACCGTGGATGGGCGTGCCCCGTTTTCCCAATGAGGCAATCTCGTATTCAGAATCAAGATGACCATGAGCTCAGTGGTATAAATGTCCCTTGATCGACCACGAGAATGAAAAAGAACATGAGAGATTCACACAAACACTATGTCTACCGCAACAATGACAGCCCAGCTACATCGGAAAGAGAAAGAGCTTTCCAACTCGGTCTCTGCTAGCAGTTCAAGTACTCTTTGCACACTCAATGCGACCAATGATTCAGCTTTGTTTTACCCATCTCGCACCTTAACTGTCGATGCTCGAGGAATCAGTTGCTTCCGTTTACCACTTCCTTCAAGTCAGACTGAAATCACCATCGCCCTTGCAGACGGCAGTACCGGCTACGTCTCTACTCGCGACAAACGTTCGTCCGGCAATAGCATTCTCTCGCATCCTATATTAGGAAATATGATCCGGACCGACTATTTCTTCGGCCCGAACCGGGATCCCGTCCTTCGTTTGTTGCAGACTTCTAGTGTGATCCCGGAGGAAGTAAGAGTGTCTGGCAAATGGACATCGCGCTCGGCTCATTTCATAATGCCCAATGGCACGAAATATGAATGGGCTTATGTGAAACAGAAGGGATCAGATGGCCAGAAATTGAAGTCGATTGTTCTTTATGCGATTTCTCCGGAGGACAAAGCAAAGGAATGCGAGCATCGTCGCGTTGCTCAGCTTGTGCGCAGCCCTGATACTCGTACGCCTGGCACATCGAAGTGTACTGCTGGTAATGGCGGGCAGCTGCAAATCGACGACGGAGCGCTACATTCCCTGCAGCTTGACGAATCAATTGTCGTGGCAACGTGTCTCGTCATGCTGAAAAAAGAAATCGATCGACGGCGCATGATACAAGCCGCAGTCATCGCGGGTGCAGTTAGTGGCTCTTAATGTATTCTTTCTTTAGTTCTGTTTCTCTTCAATTGACGCCGGCATCTTTTCTTTATGATCTAATTTCTAGTCAACAACTTTGGTATCTCTGACAAATCGTAGTAATCGGGTCCCAGCCCACCTGCCGGCATTGCATACCCTCCCCCATCTTACTGTCCCTGTAACAAAGCCTCAATATGCGGGTTCAACCAGTATTCTCCTAATACGTCGGCAGACATAGCCTTGGCCCCAGTAATCATTCCCCGACATACACTCGCACCGCAATTACATTGAAAAGGCTGATCCATATCCCACTCCGTACTCGGGTAGAAAAATGTCAAGGCATCGCCGGCTTTCAAAGGCCGATCATCCACCACCCGTACCTCCATCCGAGACATATCAAAAACCAATGACGGCGCACAAGAATGATTGCAGTAGACCAGGTCCGAGTTCAGCTCGATATGGGTGTCTGGTCCCGTCTGCACGCTGGTATAGGCTTTCTTGCCTGGAGTGGCAGTGGTGATTTTAGCAAATAGTGCACCGGCGGGAAGGTCGATGAGAGAATAGGCCCCGCTGCAGAAGGCTTTGTCGCTGCGATTGACTTGCAGTCGGTCGGGATGGCTCGGAGCGGGGAACTCATTGCGGAGCGCGGGGGTGGTGGGGACGGGGGCTGCGGTAGCCATTGTGTACTTTTCGTAAATAGGAAGGAGTGGAGGAGGAAGAAGAAAAGGAAGAGGAAGGTGTGTTCGGGATTTTATATTCTGAAGAGAGACTAGAGGCCACGGGAAGGTCAATTGGAATTGACTTTCTCTTTATACCTTCCCTTAGGCCGAGGGACTGCGCGGTGGAGTCATGGCCAAGAACGTTGCATTTCCGCATACCGAGGCCTAAATCCTCTCTACCTGATGAAGTCATCTGCCTCACCGGGCAAACCGAAAACCGACCGGCGCTCAATTGCAGACTAATTCTATTAGGCTCCACGGCACGGAGATCGCGCTAGGGCAGTTCTAGCGGATGATCAGCTCCGGTGGGATTTCGGAGAAACTCAGGCTACAAAGGGCAAAAGAGCCGTGTTTGGCATGTGAATTGGCGGGGGAGTGACTAACAGATTCATTGACATGCAATTCAATGTACTTTATCTATCCAATTTGGGCGGGGTTTAGTTCATCCTTCGTAACAATTCCTCGCCATTTAACCATCGCTCTAGATTCTCTGCTACCTCTTTGTACCACCCACGCAGCAGATCTTCCTCTCCATATCCCATGTGCGGGGTAAGAATCACGTCGCTACGTCCATCTTGACCCCAGGCAGTAGTGCGCCATGGACTGTCCAATGGCAATGGCTCCGGATCAAAGACATCCAATGCAGCCCCCCGAATCTGGCCAGCATTCAAAGCAGCCAGAAGCGCGGTCTCATCGATCAATGGCCCCCGGGAAGTATTGATAATAATTGCGGTAGACTTCATGGCGGCCAACTCGAGTGCACTCACAATTCCACGACTGCGCTCGGAAAGCACATTGTGCACACTAACGATATCGGCCTGCGCGAAGAAGTCGCTCTTAGACGACACCACTTTAAAACTGCCAACGGGGAGACCCTGCGCTAGCGCTTGCTCATCTGCTTTTTCCTGGGTCAGGTTGGTGGACCAAGCAATCACCTCGACGCCGAAGGACTGGATGCCGATCTTCCCCACCTGGGAGCCGAGCTTGCCCAGACCGAGCAAGCCGAGCTTCTTGCCGGAAAGAGTGAATCCCAAAGATCCTTGCCATGCGCCCCGTTTGACTGCCGCGTCATCCCGCGCGACATTCCTCGCCGCGGCTAGAATCAATGCCCAGGTATGTTGTACCGTACTGTTCACGCCGGGCGGGCGCCCCTCCGTACCCGCGACGGGGACACCCTGGTCGGCAAAGGTCTGCAAATCAAGGGAGAGGTTTCGTGTGCCGGTTGTGAGTAGGACTTTTAGGTTCGGAAGGGCCTTGATTGTCTTTGCAGCGAAGGGAGTTCGCTCGCGCATGGCGAGGATCACGTCGAAGGGTTGAAGGCGTTGGACGAGAGCATCGTGTTGGGTGGGATCGCGCGGGTCAAGGGTCTCGGGGAAGCTGGTAATGTCGACGCGTGACTCGAGGTGCGCAAAGTACGGGGTTGCAATGCCCTGGTAGTCGTCTAAAATGGCAAACTTTGGTTTCGACATTGTGTGCTTTGGTGATTTGCGGCGTTTTAGGAAGGTGCGATTTTCAAGTATAAATCCCGCTCCCTTCTTTACCAAATTCCGGACCTTCTCTTCTTTTGATTTCGATTTTTTCCCTTCCGAAAAGAAGCGACAAGAACGATTGAGTTCCTCAGACCCGGTGGTTTAAGAGGGAAAAAAATAAAGGCAGAGCTGTAACATTTGTCTTTATCTACCTTGGAACCCCGCCCCCACAGTTGGCAGTTGGAGACGGGGCTTGATTGTCCGGGCGTAAGAGCTTAGCCGATCGTTCGGGGATGGAGTAACCGTCACCGCGCCATCGCAACTGACTAGTATAATTTAACCAGAATAATTCGAATAGAACATCTAGTCGAAGTCCGGTGCATTTGTGTATTGTGAAAATATCCATTGGCCAACATCGACATAACATAGCGATCCTCATTTACCGAGGTCCATTAGAATACGAACTGGTGTGTGAGAGACGGAGCATAATTCTCCGCGATCTTAACCTGCGACCGAGCCGAAAGTGCCACTCATGACTCGGGATCACTGGGAAATACAGGAATGTCATTACGGAAGCCTGGTGAATCACGCTGGGACTGGTCGACTACCTAGTCAACTAACTGTCGAATTCCAGGCAAATTCAGGCATCCTTCCAAAACGAGCAAGTGATACGTTGTCATGCTAAGCTTATCCAACTCCACTGCCAAAGGGTAAACCAATCCCTTCCTACATGCTGACTCAAGGTACTCCAATTTGCCGGAGTCCGGCCACAGTACCGAAGTCTATCTCATGAGCCAATCACAGGCCACCGGCGTCCAAAATCAGCCTCCACTAGTCTGAATCTGGAGTCCGAGATTGGCGGGACTGTTTTAGCAGCAAATGAGTCAAGAGGTGGGGGTGTCATCATTAAAAAGATGACATGCCAGCTTCTCAAATTCAATTCAACACGCGGGGTTCACCTTCAAGATCACCATCATGACATATCAAGTCGAATACGCGACAGAACAAGATGCCATTGGGCTGGGCTGCATCAACAATGATAGCTTCCAAACTCGACTGATGCTATCAGCCATGTTCCCAGAAACCGATGAGCCATCGCTGCGTACATACAAGTCCTATCAAACCATGAAGCATCTAGCCAGTCCAGAAGCACACGTGTTGAAGGTCAGAGACCCTTCGAGCGGAGTCATAGTTGGCTACGGGCGTTGGCAAATTCCCGCGGTACTGGGCGTACCTCCGAATGTGCCCGAACTGAGCGAGCAGGCTCAAATCTACGCTAAAGATCCAGTGGCATTCGCACCGCAGCCCATGGATAAAGAGGTATATGCGGCTTTTCGGAGACTGTTGGATGAGGGGCGAAAGCGGTACACTACGGACCGGGATATGAGTAGGTTCTCCGCAATCCTTCAAGCCCCGCATTTGTTGATCAGTGTCATAGTGCTTGACTTGTTGGCTACATTGCCCAGCCATCAAGGTCGGGGTATTGGGAGTGCCTTGATTCGCTGGGGTACTCAGCTGGCGGATTCTTTGCAGACTCGCATTTACTTGGAGGCTACTCCGGAGGGTTATCCGATATATCTCAAGTATGGGTGGAAACGGTTGGAGGAGGTCGAGCTGGATATTGAAAAGTTCGGGGGTCATGGAAAGGAGTCCTTCATTCTGATGATGCGAGACCCTGTTCCGCAATAGTCCCTTGAGTCGATCTCGAAAACACTTTCTACTGTGGAGACTCAGACTCTGTTACTTGGCCCGTACCTGAAACTGCAACAAGCTATATCAGGTTTCACTCCAATGACCGTTGTTTGTCTTGGGGCTTATTAGATTCCACGGTGAGAGTAAATTGCAGTAAACCTACACTGAAGATTCTAAGCAGGGGGCTGCCATGGTGATCTAGAATTATCTGTACTAGCTCTACCCCTGCCCTTCTTTGTTGTGCAACCTCTCGTGTAAATCAATACATATCTCAAGGACTTCAAGCGCGCGCAGACAAGAATGTCGGTCAGAAATGGTCGTTAGTATACCTGGCTACACCGAAACCTGCGGATCAAGGGAATGTCGGACTGTCACTTTCAGCGTCCCATAGATTATCTCCAGGCACTCTCACAGCGTTGTCGCCGCCTTCAACGGTTGTAGGGCGGTCAATGAATGGCCAGCGATTCCGGTCACACGATATGGACGCCCCATAGTACTCGTCATATCTGCTACCTGGTTTCTGTTTGCTTGATAACAGAAGCATGTTGTGTCTATATAACGGTCTCTGTTGTGCGTCTCTCCCAACCCTCGGAAAAATTCTAGTTCTAACTCGACTTGTTCTCATTTCCTTACCAGATTGACAGTCCTCGTTCCCTCTTGCGAAACAGCTGCCAAAGGTAACAAAAGAGACCTCACCCTCTGGTCGATCACTATCCATACGCTCCATCCAACATGGTAGGTGCACGAGATTGCGAGGCAATTCATCCGAGTTTTTTATAACCAGTTCGACAGCAACCATAAGAGCCTTATTGATATGTACCGCGAAGAATCTGTGATGCGCTATGACTCCAACTCTTGTGGTGGTGCCACATATATATGCTGTATGGATTCATTCTAGTGTCAAGTAGCCAGTAGACTTAATTACAAGTTGGCAAACTTCACACCAGCCTTTTTCGCAGTAAATGCAGCAATCAGATCCATTAATGGCGGAGACAAAGCATCGTAGCTCTCCAGTCCCTCAGCCTTGAACTTCGCCCGAACCGCATCCATTCCCTCGGGGTTGTATCCCTGCTCAATGATTGAAGAAACAAAGGCGGCGAATTGGGGTTCTTGCCAGCCCTTCTGATCCGATAATTCAACGTGCACAAAGTCCAGACCTTTGAATGGGTGATCACGCTCAATGCGGCCAAAAAGGTGAGCACCGCACTCTTTACATGCGTTGCGGAGGATGATAGCTGAGGAATCGATGCTAAGCTGATGTTAGAACAGGGGTTGCTGAGGCTGGAATAGAAGTACGTACACATGAAGTTTTGACTCATTGGCCTCGACCTTGACATTTTCTCGAGGCAAGACACCGACGACTGAGAAGAGGGCTCCGGATGGCTTCCAGCACTTGGAGCAGCCGCAAGCGTGGTTGTGTGCGACGTTGCTCTTCAAGGACACGACCACCTGGTTGGAGGGGCAGCGGCAGCGCAGAATGCCACCCGGAAAGGCAGGGTCACCCTTGGCAATGCCATTGTCAATGAGAGGGTGGAGAGACGGCGCCATTTTGATGTTTATGTCGTCAAATAGTGAGTTCTGACAATATGCCAAATCCAGACAACGATGGCTCGAGGAGTTATATATCTGCAGTATGTCGGATATTGACAAGGATGAGCAACATTCTCCTCACGGCTCCAACTTCTCCTCACGAGGGGTGGGCAGGAATCGGCTTGTCTTCCCGGGATCCATGGCGGCGGGCAGATCTGGGCATAGATTCCGCTTGATCCCCACGGCTCTGTTGCAAGCCCAGCTCCGTGGTGGGGCTACCATCTGAAAGCGGTAAACAGATCCCACGACGGCAAAATGGGAAAACAGATTCGTGATTGGGTGATCGAAACGATGTTTTCCTGTTCTCCAACGGAAGGGAGCCCGAGTACTCCGTGCTGCATGCCGTTACGCAGTGTGCTGATAGCAGTCGAGGTCGTACTCCTGTGAAGGAGGACATTGCTTTTGTCTCAAGTTGCTGGGATTCGCTGGGCGCCAGGAATTCAGGCCAAATAGTTCAGCTCACAGCAGCTCCTCAATTCGATGCCATTCGAAGAGAGCATTCGAATCTGAGCGTCGTGATGGGATTTCATATTGTTATTGGTTCATGAGACTTAGGACAGCCCAGTTGGATCACACAGAATGCAGTGCTCTGTGACTATGGTTCCTGGTTTCATGACAGATCGAGAATATTTGAGAGTCGAAGTTTGAAACGATGCACTTTTTACATACATCTCGCCCAAGGTCCTCATGACCTTTAGAAACAGGAATGTTGACACCCGAGAAATAAGGCCCATGTACTCTTATCTTATCGGCCTCGTAGGGCCATCAAATCAATCCTTGGATGAGTGGGGCATTTCCCCATACCATTGCAATTTCCTGTTCCTTGAACATTGAAGCGATTTTAATGGCACTGAACGCATAAGATACGGATCTCCCCTGCTTCCTGCCTAGTATGAATCAGACCGGAGTGCCTCATTTCCAGTCCTCATCCATAGCTGCAGCTGAGCAGATGAGCGACATCTGCTTGGATGACGTCACAGCCTACCACGGCCGCGAAGAAAAGGCGGTTCGCACGATTCAGGTACAAGGACCAGAAGGAACGGTAACTGAAAACCAATACTAACGATCATAAAATAGCGATTCTATCGCGGCTATCGAACCAGGCGCGAAATTCGAGGCTTCACTGTTGCCGCATCGACAAGAGGACTGGAGGTAGGACTCCCCCCACCTATCGCACTAACCCAGCTAACCTTTATCTTGAATTTAGACCACTAGGGATCCACAAAAAGATCCATTCGATGACTTCGATGACGAGGAACAGCCATGCTCCGATAATGATGATGCCGACAAGAGCCCTGCGCGCAAGAACTGGCAGCGGGCTGTCAGTGTTGCGATCAGAGCCGGCGGAGACGATGATCGGATGGTGGAATCTGCTGCTCACGCCCGAGTGACGCCATCCCACAAAATAAAACCGATGCGCCCAACAACACCGAAGACCATGGATTTGCAATACTTCTTGGAAATGGTAGATGTGAAACACCGACATGGAAGCAATTTACGGGCTTATCACAATGTGTGGAAGGAGTCTCCTTCAAACGAAAACTTCTTCTATTGGCTGGACTATGGAGAAGGGAAAGATGTGGATCTTGAGAACCGCCCACGAGAACGGCTAGAGAAGGAGCAGATTCGATATCTTTCGCCCGAGGAGCGTCTGAATTACATGGTCAAAGTAGATGAGAATGGCATGTTCAGATGGGTAAAGAACGACGAGTTAGTGGAGACGGACAATAGGCGATTTAAGGATAGCATTCATGGGGTGGTGCATATCGATGACCGGACGCCTCGATTCCGAGGGAACTCGGTTTCAGAGACTCCTCTGTCTGAACCTGAGTTGAACTCGTCATCCTCCTCTTCCTCCCCACAAACACCTCCAAATGACGATAGCCTCGAAAAAGTCCAGAAGGCCACTGATCAAGACTATGAACTGGGCAAGGCAGTCAAAAAGTTCTCACATATCAAGCCCGAGGCAATATATGATCATTTGGCGGGCACCTTTTCGAAAAGGGATGGAATGTGGATCTTTGTGAGTATCACCGGGCAGGAGTTAGTATATATTCTGACTTAGAAACAATAGGTTGCAGACACGTCATTCCGAATTTATATTGGAATCAAGGAGCCCGGTGCCTTTCAACACTCCTCATTCCTAAGAGGCGGCCGTATCGCTGCAGCTGGAATGCTCAAAATTCGCCATGGACAACTAAAGAGTCTGGCTCCACTCAGGTATGATGTTATGAACCTTTTGAGATGATTGCAATAGCGGGATGCAGAACTAACAGTATTAGTGGTCATTATCGACCCCACGTCGCCAATTTCAGAGCTTTTCACCATTCTTTACAGGAGAGAGGGGTAGACCTATCACGAGTGTCTATCAGCAAATCGTATGCTGTTCTTGCAGGTATCGAGGGTTATGCCTTGACAAAGAAAAAAGTACACTCCGTGCAAGAGAAATTGGGCGAAGCGAAGCAAAAAGTTCGTCACCCACGCCAAGAAGCAAAGGTGCAATGATGTTTTTCATGTCCATCCGCGAACATGAAACACGGGCTAGGTCGGTATATAATGATCCTTCTGATGATCCAGGATTCCCACCGCTCGATATTACCAGCTCTTTTCTGTGATCCCCATGTCTACCAATGAAAGCCTATTGGAGGCAAAGAGGTCTCCCAGATGAGAATGTCGGTTGAGACAGCAAAGCCAGCTTCTCCCCCGCGCACAAATTATCATTACTGCGAAGAGCTGATGTCTTGGCATCTGAACCACAACTGAGGATTATGACAATAACTATAATATGATGCCAATGAAAGCAGTGGCATCTCTTCATGGTTGATTATGCAAGGAAATATTATGTAACCCTAATGAGACACGAGCGTGGGAGGTGCGCCTATTAGGCAGATGAATACGCATAGATTTTATGACACTCGATATGCATCATAATCAGCTAGAATCAGATCTGAAAGCCGCTCTGCCATTCCATAAAGCAACGCAGACGTATGTGCAGAAACCTGAGTAGGCACAATTGAAGCATCAACCACGCGGAGATTCCGAACACCATAAACCCGACCAGAGTGGTCTACTACTCCGCCTAGATCCTTCGCCATCATCGCACATGTACCAATAGCGTGGTAATTAGGGCCGAAGTTTTGGCTGATATGGGATACCCAATCATCCATCGCAGCATTTTGAGGAACTGTGGAGCCAGGAAAAGTCTCTTGTCGAATATAATGTTTCATCTCGTTTTCTTGGATGATTTTCCTCGCTAGTAAAGAGGCAGCTGCCTGGGCATACCTATCCAGATCATTCTCCATATATCTTGGATTTCGAGTCGCCTGCCAAAGATACGGATCCTTATTCATAATGTGAACATAGCCTCTAGTGAAAGGAAGAAGAATCCAGCTAGTAAGCCCAAAGCTTGTTGAGCTCGCATCCATGAAGATCTCCGCGTATGCCAGATTGTGGTTCAGGATCCAGTCACGATAGAGCCCCATATGTACTTTAAGTGCTGTGACATTTCCGAATCCTCCCTTCGACACGGCATCTTGGGCCCATTGATCCAGCTGTGAATCCAATAAACCACGAGCGGTTTTCAGAGAAGATGCCGTAAAAATCTCTTTCCAAGTTGCGAAATATACCACTTGTCCTTGCCCCGCACCAACTGGGTGTATACTTGCGGAAAGAGACGTGGTTGTCTGGTCCTGAAGGTTCAATCCGACGGGAAGCTCAACAACTTGAGGAACCCCTGCTGTATCTAGAACAGATTTGAGTCCAATCCCCGAATATTCTAGAATCAGGGGACTGACAAGAGCGCCAGCAGCCAAGATAACATCGTGCTTTGCATTCACCTTGAATGTCTCCCCGTCGGTGCCAAATTCCACTCCTTTTGCAGATGGGGGTGATGTATGTGTATCGATCAAGACGCGTCCGACACGGTGACCCACAAGAATTGATAAATTTGGCCGGTGCATGATAGGGAGGAGTATGTCACGCCCGGCATCCGATCGAGTCTGGTTTCCATGTATGGTATTGAGTAGCATCGATACCCCACGAGGATCACCGCAACTGAGATCCTTGTGTGTAGGAATCCCGCGTCCGGCGAGCATCTTCATTACTGAGCGAATCATTGGCGAGTATCGAGTGCCAGTATCACGAGCGCCAACATGGATTTCCCCATCCGTACCGTGACACTTAGGATCGAAAAAATGCCCAGCTTTAATCTGCTCCGGTGTGGGATGGCGAGCACGTTCAGCCTTGCGAATGTATGAAGAAAGATTTCTCCAGTTCCACCCATGGTTTCCCAAATGGGACTCCCAGGAGTCGATCTGAATGCTGGCAGGGCTGGTATAAGATGCTCCATTGATCAATGTAGATCCACCGAGGCCATTGCCTGAGTGAATGGTCAAGGGGCGTCCATTGATATCCAGTGATACGGTTTGAAAGCCGTAATCGAGTGTGCTGTCGAAGGCTTGACCGAACGAGGTTACATTTTCAATTAGCGGACCTCGGTTAGACTGTAGGAAGCCGCTTTCGATAACCAATACACTGATCTTCTCATCTTGCGTTAAACGCGCGGCTGTTGTGAGGCCCGTGAGTCCTCCTCCTGCGATGATGTAGTCGTACCCTTTGCTGGTCACTGCTCTAGGGTCGTTGAAGATAGTTGCTGAAACGCAAAGCACAAAAGCCAGGAAACTTAAGTGTAGAGAAGGTTTCATCTTGTCGAAATGCGTGGTACCTGAGCATTGAAGAGTTAAATTGTGAAAAGGTCTAAATGGGCGATATATAGCCGAGTATGATGGTAATGCCTAGTCTGATACATAGCCAATCTTCAGGGCTCGGACTACTTGTCACCGGAATTCGTATACTCCTAAAACAACGGAATGTAGCTGGTCTAATTCATGCAAGGGCGTCTGTTGTACAACCATAATGAGCATTTCTTCGGTAGAACGGAGGAAGTAATTCAGACGATGCTAGGATAAAGCGATGACACCTCGTTTTGATTATTGACAACGTATATCCTTGCTAACAGGTAGCAAAGATAGGAGTCAGGAATCTGTCATCAGCTTTGACTCATTAGATCCGGGATCGAAGCTTCCCCACTGTATCTCGCAAGACATAATCATGGCGTTTCGTCTTGCTTCGCACGCGCTCACCATCTTCGGGAGTAACATAACGGGCTTCAACAGCAGGATTGTATCCTACGTCGGAAGCCTGTTGAACCTCGCTATCAGATAACTTTCGGTTGGTCTGGCCATCTGCTCTCTTGTATACAGTAACAACAACAGCCCCTCCCAAGCCCAAATTATGCTGCAACGCAACGCCCGTATCAGAAACAAGGCGATTATTTGCCCAGCCACGAAGTTGCCAAGTCAACTCAGCACACTGCGCTAGACCTGTTGCCCCGAGGGGATGTCCCTTGGAGATCAGCCCTCCCGAAGGATTTATAATCGGACCGCGTCCGCCATAGGTAATGTCACCCCGGCGAACCATCTCGTGGGCCTTTCCAGGCTCCGAAAAGCCCAGTGCATCTAGGAGTAGAAGCTCGTTTGTCGAGAAGCAGTCGTGGAGTTCGCATACTTTAATATCCTTGGCCTCGACTTTAGCTTCCTTCATTGCAAGGAGAGCTGCTTGGCGCGACATGTTGAATCCAACCAAATCAATCGCACTTCGAGAGTAAACCTCGGGGCCATCGGTAAGTAATTGCTGACCCGCTATGTGGATTGCCTGGGATTTGAGGTGTGGGCGAGCATCCAAGAAGCGCTGCGACACGATCACCGCAGCCCCGGCACCGTCACTCGTCGGAGAGCACTGGAGTTTTGTGAGAGGGCCATGGACGGGTGTTGAATTTAGTATCTCGTCCAATGAATATTTCGTGCGGAATTGCGCGTAGGGATTGCGCTGAGAATGTTCATGGGAGATGCGCGCTATCTCTGCAAAGTCCTCAGCTGCAGCGCCATATCTGTGTTCAACGTTAGTGAAAAGAGGGCTAGCGTCCCGGAGAATATCTTACTTTTCCATGTATTCCTGCCCTGCATTCCCGAAGTATTGCGCATTTCGCGGCGAACCGTGTTTTCCATACGTCTCTTCCATCATCGTGGTCGATGGGCCCAAAGGGCTGGGTCGGTCATCCCACACGCTTTTAATCGAGCCTGGTCGCATTTGCTCGAATCCAATCACCAGGATACAATCCGCAAGACCTCCTCGCACCATGCTGCGTGCTAAATGCAGGCCTGTAGACCCCGTCGCACATGCATTGTTGGTATTGTAAATGGGAATTCCGGTCATGCCAAACTGATAAAAGATGCGTTGAGATGATGTTGTGTCGCCATAGCAATAGCACCCAATACCGGTCTGCACATCGTCGTAATTGATTTTAGCATCGATCATTGCCTTGACCCCGGCCTCATACCCTAGCTCGGGATATTCGCGGGTGCGACGTGGTTTGAGAAATTGGGTCAAGCCCACGCCTAGCACGTATGCTTCACTCAAAGAGCCCGAAGATGTCATCTTGATGTGTCAGTGGAAGTTGGCGATGATCCAGGATTATCCTGGGCGGATTGCGGTAAATATGGAGAAAGAGGGTAACCGAGAGGTCCGAGGTAAATGCTGTGACCCCCTCACTGGATCGCCGACTGATGTTTAGTCCGTCAAAAATCCCCGCAGAAATTGAGTTTAATAGGCTATAAGCTCCATGCAAGATCCTGGAATCATACGTGCGTGCGATGCGGAAGTACTGTGTATTACAATTGTTTTACTACCACTAGTAACACGCCCGTCTTGTTTCAGAATGTTTCTCCCTCCAGTTCTAGGTCCTCCTGGTTAGTCCAAGGTATTTGGAACAGTAATTCTCGACCAAAAAAAAGAATGCAGACGAGTCAAGTCTTTGAGTACACATAGTAACTGACTCCAGCCACAACCAACGGAGCTAGGAATTTCGAGATCCTCCAAGCAAGACGTCGCATTCCACGTCTGAGCGACAGCTGCACTTTCTCGTCAAGCCATGCCTTCTCATTGACGTGGGGAAAGGGAACATCCGGCACTGGTTTCCCAAGAAACTCACAGAGGGGCCCCCAGCCCTCGGCGAGTTTGAATTCCAGCAATCGGTCTCTCGGTGTAAGTCTTCGCACCAGCTCGTAATGCTCACGATACTTTGCCTTGCTCTTGAGCCGCGCATCTTCCGGGTTTTTAATACCCATCCACCCGTCAAAAGTGGACTTGTGGATCTTTCCTATGGGGTGGGTGAAGAAGCGATCCACGTGGTAAATAACAGTCACGAAGGGATCATATGTGTTTTTGATCACGCTGTTCATCCAGCTGTTATACCAGGAGTCGATATCTCTCTCCACAAGAACGACTTTTGCCTCTGGGTACGCTTCTAATAGGTCATCTGCAAAGGCAATTGCTGGCGTGTCGGAGGATACTGCCCCGAAATCATGAAGGAGCTGGTCAAATTCGCGTCGCCCGAACTTGGGTCCTGCCCCGAAGAATTTCCTATCGACGGCTTCTTGCCACATTTCCACGTCGGGAAACCTGGTTGACATGAATTGTATGGAGTGCCAGCAGGGTAGCCCGAGAATCTCCATTGCGTTGCACATTGCTGCTTACATATTAGACTGATGGACCTGATTTGAGTTTCGATGAGCCACTCACTTGCCGTACCAGTCCGGTTGAACCCCAGACATAAACATTCCATTGGGACAGATCGCTTTTTGCCCCGAGGCGACTCACTACTCACGGGTTTGAAGAGTTCGGGGTGTCTTTCTTGTGGTGTCGCCATTTTGAAATCTGCAGGGGGTATTAACAGTGACACGCCAGCTTTCGAGGGGCGGGCTTTGTGTAGAAGTTCTGGGAATAGGTTGGCGGAAGAAAAGCTCTAGGCCACGTAAAAATCATACCTCACTCCGAGAGATCACCTTAGTGATGCAGGTGATTAGGATTTGTGACTGACAAAAGAAACGAGATGATTGCTTTCTTGACTTCTGAATCATGGGGGCCATGAGTCCAATCTTGGGGGCCATATGCAAGGCCTGTATCCCACCAATCACGCGGCTGGAAACATAGTGTAGTCTCCTTTGATCCCCGGTGATCATGATTCTTGCCTTAATTTTATTTTTGTCTATCTTTGATGGAATCAATGCTCTCGGCTTCTTGTTCATTGAGTTTGAATTCGCGTAGAAAGCTTGAAAACCCCTTTTTTGCCTTATTCCTCTCGCAAAGCTGCTGAGATAGCTTTCAAACCTCCCTCTAACTCCTCGCGTGTCGGCCAACCATATCCGAGCCGGAAAAAGCAATCAGGCAGTTCGAACCAGTGACCTGGGCCAACATAAGTAGCATAATTCTTGAGCAACCTGTTGTAGAATGCCGGAAATCCACCACTGGGCTCCTTTTTGATTCTGAGAAAACAGACCACACCGCCAGTCGGCTTAACCCATTCTAGCAGCTCCTCGCTACTGATCCACGACTCGACCATTCGAAGACGAATCCTCATTTCCTCCGTGGTGTTGGCAAGGATCTGCTGTCGACGGGCGAGAACCTGAGTGGCAATCCACTCGTCAATGACACTGCCGCTGATACTGATCTGCTCTTTCGCTGCTAAGAACATCTCCTGAAGTTGCTGATTGGTGGTAATGAGCCAGCCGATACGAACTCCAGGGATTCCGAATGACTTGGACAATGAGCTAACACTCAAGACATGATCTCCCAAGGATGCTGCCACAGGGAGCTTCTGAGGAAAAACAATATCACGATAGGTCTCATATACAAGCAAAAGAATACCCTTTTGCTTTGTGATAGCAACTAACCGGTCAAGCGCCTCTCTGGATAGAGTAGAGCCAGTCGGATTGTGGGAGCATGTCACGGAGACGAGCCGAGTGTTGGGCTTGATAGCAGCCTCAATCTCATCAATATTGGGCTGGAAGCCGGACTCAAAGGTAACGTCGATGTAAGAAATTTGGCAACCCACAGCCTTTGGTGTTTCCAAGTTGGTCGCATAGTTAGGGCGCACAACGACTAAGTGATTGGGCTCCGAGCCATGCATGGCGCCTAGCTGTGACGTAGCGATGATGAACAAAGCACCGGCGGCACCTGAAGTGATGAGGACGTCGTCGACGCTCACGTTGGCGTCGTCGGCAATTAGCTATCGCAGCTTGGTCTCGCCTCGATGTCCATTGTAGAGAAGTGTGAGGTTCGGAATCTGAAGTCCCAAAGATTCGAGGAATTGATCGGTGATGGAATTTTCAGAAAGATTGTATTTGATCTTATCGTAGCCGTACTCCTCAGGCGACTCAATCTCGATGGCCATGCGCTCGTACTTCATCGTGGTGTGATAGAGGTGGTGGGGCAGTTGAAGGCGAGAACAGGATAGTGGTGCTCATGAAGAGGAATTGTATTCACCTCAAGGTAAAGATAGGCTCACATTTTATATTCAAGTAGCACAGCTCTGGTCCTACCCAGAGAGAATGACCAACCCGGAGCTCCACTTACCTTCCCAGTACAAGTCTCGCTTCGAGCTGCCCTCCCAGTTGACTAGCAGCTAGAACTCCACTTCCGTTGTGAAAGCCCTATCATAACATTGAAAGACTCAGGAACTGAAGTCCAATACAGCGACCAAGTAGACAATGGCTGATCGGCATCTTCGCTGCGAGATTCCTTCCCTGAAAATGCCCTTGCACCAGCCCTCTGGTGGCACAAAATATTCACATCGTATCTGTGGGATGTTATGTTCCGCTACATTCATTTACTCTACTAAGTGAATTACAGACTCTCACACCCATCCTGTTATAATTGCCACGACCCTCCATTTTGTCCTCTTGCTCTCATCTTCTCATCGAATATTCGCCCTCTCTCAACGTCAATCTACACCTTGAGCTCTTGAGACCTGAAAGAAACTGACGTTTGACGACAGTCATATCAACAAAACGTGAGCGTCTGTCAGGAATTCCGAATGCACGCCGTTCCGCCCTTGTTCTTCTCGCGATTTCCAGTACTCCTTCACGATCTTCAGCACTGTGGCACCATTTCCAAACCCGCCGCATTCCTTGACAAATTTGGCCAGAAGTGATTCGAAGAAGGCTTGATGCTTGGGCTCGGCCATGCATCCTATGACACAAAGAGGCCAAACAAGACCTTGGAGAGTGATGGCTCGGGAGAGTATATTCTACAGCCTTGTCAAAGATCTCCCTGATTTCGGGGAGAGATGACCATGGCCCTGAAACTATGGTACTTGACAGAACAAGGGAGGCCAGTGCAAATAGGTTTGTGATACCTACGGCGAGAGGGGCATGAGTATTTCCCTGCGAAGACATCACTAGTCAGCTTGTGCTGGTGATAAAGATTGTCCGTATCTCATTTTATACACACTCCAGTTTCTTTTTCCAACTCGTTAATGCCGTTCCGCAATCGCGCATCGATCTCTCGGTTTCTCATTACCAATCTTGGCATACTTAAGGTCCCTTGTTCCGTCATTTTCGTTTTCCACGCGTGGACATGCGCCAAATCGCCAATAGCAATCATCACTCAGTTATAACAACCCATTAAGTCGGCCATCTCAAGTTTTGATTCTTGCAGCCATCGTCGGTACATAATCCGCGGCACCCGACCCGTCGTGACACACGCCAAAATATCAAACCATATCGCATGGACTATGATAAAGTCAAAGCTCGGCTGGGTTTGATTATTGAAAGCATATTTTGTCCGTTTTTGGTCACTCTGCGTCTTGTTTGGACACCCATGCAGGGTTTCTGGTGAACGCATGCTGAGAACAGTTGTCACTGCATCCAGGTGAGGCAGCAAGTCATATTCAGCACCATTGAAAACCTGAAAAAGGTTCCAATGTGAGCATGGGAGGTATGAGAAACTTTGATGCTAATAGCCCCTGATGCCTCACCTCAAAACTTATCAGCATCAAGCTAGACTCTACAAACTCCGCAAGTTCCGCAAGTTGAGACTGGTCGCTGAGAAGCGTCGCCGTCTCAGTACAACCCGAAAATTCACAAAGACCCCGTATGGCTTTCGAGTGATATGCGAATGCTTCCTGGTTGCACAGGGAGCTATGTGAAGAGACTTGAACTTCATTTCGGTGAAGAGCGGATAATGCGGTGGCAGCGTGATACAGAGAACCTCCATTACCAAGGAACAACAGGAGCCAGGCTCTATCGCCCAGATGAGAACGTGGGCGGAAATAAGGGTATTGCCAGTAAAGAACATGGTCGAGGTAGTGCATGACTAAAGATGCTGCCCGCGGCTGAAAGACATACAGGGGAGCCGAAGGCTGCGAACGCAAGCTCGTCGATGGGCTTCTCTCTTCCTGCCCTGAGCGTTCACCAAACTCAGGGCTCACACCTGCAATTGTTGAGCAGTGGCTATACTCCGATATCTGGGAAACCTCGGTCGGACCATTTTGTGAAATCAATCGAATAGGAAGACTAATAACACTTTCGCTTGGTAGTGTTATGGGGCTCTCTTCATGAATCTGTGCAGATGAAACAAAGATGTTATGCGGTCTCTCTCGCATAACCTGCCTATTCCCTTTCCGGGAACTTCGAATATTTTGCGAATTCAACTTAACGGCCTTCTTGATACGTGTGAGTTCCTGTCTCTCTGCGACCGCCCCATCCATCCACGAGGGCCTGGGCCCGTACCCGTGGCATGGGATGCATCGGCTCCTGCACTCCCTCCAAAGTGGCGTTCGCAGATCACATTTGCGATGCCTCAGCTTGCAAGTCCAGCACCCAGATGGAAAGTCGCTCATCGTAACGACTGTCACCTGGGAGTGCGGATCTTTCAAAGGGTGGTGTATATTCGTAGACTTTACTGAGGAAGTACGGAGCTGGGCAGAATGGGTCTCCAATCCGTGTCTGTGCTGGATAGCATCGTTCCTTCCGATACCGAGGTTAAGTCTCTGCTTTCAAGATCATAGGTTCGTAGAGACCCATTCTCATCTACCAAGATCCACAGATACAACAGTGGGGCTCTTGTCACCCTCATTCGTCGGATCAAGGGCCTAGATCGATGGAAATCGAGCAAATCGCGGAAGGAGAAGCCTACACTGAACCTACTCTTGTGTACAGGAGCCAGCTAAGTCGCCATGAGCAGCAGGCGGCATGGGCTCAATCGCCTTTGCTATGTGCGAACACCTCGAAACTGTTTTTACGAATACGAGATACCAAACAATCATCACTCGATCTGATCTATCGCTTCTTCTCCAGTATTTGCAGGGATTCCAATTCAAATTCAGCTCAAATAAGCGGGCTTACTTCTTGGCGTTATCGACAAAGCAGCCTGAGACGAGATTGAAATTCTAGCATCGGTCCAATCAAGGCGACGCACGTCGGAGGGTTTGTGCATGAAGCAGCCGATGGGCGATAGCCACACTATCATTGAAAATAGATTTGGATCTTTGGGGACTTCTCAAACAATGTATCTTTCGGGGCTGCAAATCAATATGCCAAAGGTGAAGCTTACATAGCTTCTTCATTGTCGCCGAATCTCACTGCACTTGAACAAAGGTGCCGAGTCGTATAGGATAACCCCGCTTCTTCACATTGCGCCCGCACCCAATTCCACAAAGCACACATGGTGTCTTTCAACATCATCTACAGTCTCGCGTGTCTGTTCTCTCTAGTCGCGCTTGCTGCTTGGAGGGTCGCCAAATACGCCGAGAAGCAGCAGTGGTGGACGCTTCGCCTTCGTTTGTCATTATGGCAGCCATATATCCTCACGGGGTGGATTTCCTACATAGCGCTCACCTTGATCATTGCACTCTATGATCTTCAGTGGGGTACTTTCGGCTTAGCAGTCCGACTTAGTTTGCCAGACCCTCTGATTGCACTGCTTATTGGTGCCATCCTAATCGTCGGCGTCGACTTTGCTTTGACTGCATTCGAAACTCGTCACTATTTGTCGATCCGATGGAAGGCTTGGACAGGTCCAAGTAGAACTGGTATTCCACCGACATCGGCGAAGTACATTGGGACATCGGAAGACTGGGTCGCTCTCGCACGAAAAAGCAAAATTCAACAGCATCCCGTTGAAAAATTCGCTGGCTCTTTCTTGCTCCGAGACAGTCGCATACTTCAGGATCCAACTGACTTACTTCGTGCCACAGTCGCTCTCGATCAGGACAAAATTCCTCCATGGTCGACTGGTTCGCAACAAGTGTCAGGCGTATATCATCCCATCGTCGAAAACCAATCCGTTTCACTACTTTGGGGTGAACATCTTGGGTTTCAGAGACGTTGCAGTCGCGGGATCATCTCCGTCCCTCCGAATTTGCTCAAAACGTCACCTTTGCTGAAGTCGGGATTGAGCGGGAATGCTGTCTGCCTAGCATACGGAATTCTGGCGAGAAATAAAGGCTTGGAACCTGCATCGCTCATCTGTAATCTCCGGACGAAGAATTCCTTTCGTGAATTTGAAGAAAGTGGACATTGGCCTCATCCAGCGAAAACACTGCGAGGGTATTATTTCTCGGAATTCAATCGGACCTTTTCTCTCCTTGGTCCGTCTTATGTCACGGCTGCAACTGAACTTGCCATTTTACTCGCGGATACGAGCCCTGCTTTAATTGGTCACTGGTTGGATTTGCATTTGGAGCACCAGGATTTATTGTTCAATCGAGAGCTACATGCTTTGGGGGCGAGCGAGGAAGATTTAAGACGGATTTATCGGGGACATTATGCGGCAATGCTCGTCAGCTTATGTCTTTATCGTAAGGGCGTTCGAATCCGCCCTGAAATTACGGTTTTTGACGCAGTGTGTAAGCTCGAAGGTATTGAGCAACCCTTCTGGGCAGGATCTACCGAGATGGAAGCGCGGAGACAGTGGGAGTTGGATGAATATGGGCCTGAGCTGCAGCAGCTTGTGGCTGCCGTCATCTGACGGGCCTTGGCTTCAGGGTCCCTCATTCACCCAATACGAGTGGGCGTCCCGCGGTCCCTATACCTTCCAATCGCTTAGATTAACATTGTAATGTGGTGTCTTCACCACCAACCACCTTGCTGGATTTCATCACTTACCACGTGAAACACTTGCTTTCGTTTTCTTTCTTTTCTTTTTTCGCAAATTTAGTTCTCAGCGCGAAGTTCTCCATCTATTTGATTCGCGCGGCTCATGTCGGAGGGTCTTCCTGGACCCCAAAAATGGTTTATATGTGCTGTGCCCCGTTCGGCCACCCAGCAACGCTCTCGTCGTCCTTTTTCAATGTGACTATTACCCCTGCATTCCCATCATGCATGACATAGAGTGCATGCTCTGTTTCCTATGTATTGGCATTCTCTGGGGCCTTACACAGGCGAGGGCTATTCCCGCTGATTTGATTTCGGCCAGGCAAGCGACAGAGTCTACAAGCTCAAGGATTTTGAACGTCAGCGATGGAACAGCCAGGGGATTTCTGTGGTCATCCATCGGACTCGCTGTTCTAACGGCTCTCCTTCAAGGACTTGTCACTGCCCTTGCTTTGATGACCGAATCGTCTAATCAGTGGACATTTAGATTTCGGTTGGCAAAGATCGAGCACTGGTGGTGGACAACAGTGTCAGGGCTTCTCCTCATATCTTTGATTCTCATTATTTTATCATTTGCGACAGGCAATGGGAATGAATCAATATCTGTTCTGGTCCTCTCCTCCACGACATTCCTGACGATTGTGCGATACATGCTTCCTTCATGGCGGGCTCGTCATTACATCTACAACCGCTGGCTTGCATGGTCTGGGCCAAGCCGGACGGCCGTGAAGATAGCCGAGATGACATACTGTGGCACGATGGATGACTGGCGAAAGCTATCGAAGATGACAGTGATAGCGGAAGGCAAAAGTGTCCCCTCTGACTACTATGGATGGCATTTGTTCCCCTTGAAGGGGATTGCACAGGATCCCACGGATATACTGAAAGACGTGAACACCACGGCGCTCCGACCAGGGACTTTATCTAGGACAATCGACTACATTTACAACGACGGCTATGACCAGGATACTGTCTCGCTGCTCTGGGGTGCGGAAGCACAAGGCTTCCAACCCAGAGTTTCCCGATCGGTCTCAGCAATGACCTCAAGCCTTTTGCGGTCTCAACCCTTCACCAGTGAGGGCTATGCTGGAGAAGGATTCTGTCTTGCCATGGGCATTCTCGGACGCAATAAAGGTCTCAAACCGGGAAATATTGTCTTCAAAATGACCCGTGATATCTCGGGTAGTCTTGAGCAAAAGTCAGCTTGGCGTCCTCGGCCGTCAAAGACACTTCGAAGCTACTATTGGAAAACACTTGATGCTCAATACCATGGTCTCGGCGTCGAATTTGTTGACGCGGCAGTTGAGTTGAGTCTCATACTTATGGATGCATATGAGCCTGCTATTGCTGCTTGGCTTCAGGCTGGATGCGAGCATCAGAGCTTTGAGATCAACAAGACTTTGCAGTCCCTTAAGGCGACTCCCGCCGAGCTCCGCGCTCATTACGAATCCAGTTATGTATCCATGATAATATCCCTTAACAATATGAGGGATAAGCAACTTGGTCGCAAAAACCATGAGGTGGCTCAAGCAAAGCGACCAGACATTATCTGCCTTGCACTTCGACTTAAGGCTCTGGGTGTTGAAAACCCTCCACACTGGTGGAATAGTCCCGAAATCGACGGTTACCTTGCTGGTGAGCGACAACATCTGGATCATGATTGGTATCAAGATGCTGCAAAGTTACTGGGCCTTGCTGCATATCCTGAGGGGCTTGAAAATGGACATTGGAATGGTACGCCTAAGCCACCATCAGCTCCCGGTCAGTCTAATGGCTCGGCCTCGGGCTTGAGCGACCCCACCACCATCGCAGCAGTCCCAAGCCAGTCCAATATTGCGGTCGAAGATCCCATTACCGGTGACGTAGAGTTGAAGGAACTGACTATGCCCCCGAATGACATCAATGTGCAGGAAATGATCACTAGGATTCGATCTACAGAACAAGATCGGGTTGTTACTGGTTCGGGATAAGTTCGTCTGGGCATCCCAGAATGTAATGATAGTGTTTTTGTGAGTCTTGAATGTCATTATTTATATACGGACGATAATGAAGTGTACGATTTTCGGGATCGTTTTTCACGATGGGACCCGCGCAGCAGCATATTTCCGAAACTAATCTAAGGCGAGGCATTTACAACTACCGAGCTGCTCCCGCCAGCGATGCCAACGCAGAAACAATCATCCAGCCAGGGAGAAGTGCAAGTAATGTCGACGACTAGATTTGATGCGTGGGAGTCAGTCAAGTAGATCTTCTAATGACCCACGATTAGATAGAATTCATTAGTCACGTACAGTGCCGCTCTGGATGGGAGTAGTGGCTGTCATTGAGCCAGAAGATTGAGTGGTTGCAGACTCAGGCGCAGGTAATTGTGAGGTCGAAGAAGAATGACTAGTGCTCGAGGCGGTTGAAATTGAGGTTGACGCTGAAGTGAAGGCCGTGGTTGAGGCTGAAGTAGACGTGGAGGTCGAGGTCATAGAAATGGCGCTGGGAAGCGACGTAGACACAGAAACGGTCGGATAGTAACTCAAATAGTTGGAGGGCAAGCTTGTGTAGGTGCCAGGGACAAAGTCTACCTCCACACAAAAGTATAGATCAGGAATCAGTGCACAACCCGAGCCCACCTCCGTCACGATAGGGTTCTAGATAGCAAAGCGTCAATAAATACCGCAATCATACAAAATTATCGCTTTTATGAATTACCCATTCCTCAAACTCTGCGGCAGTAATCTCATACAACACCTCGACCATCTGGCAGGTCACGCCTTTCTCGTATCCGAACCAAGAACTGCAATCCTCCGCACTGCCTGGAGCAGCGGTTCCGTTGGGGCTAATGAGATACGCTGTTGCCTGTCCCAGAAGGCCGAGGGCGGAGAGCGTTCAGTAGAGGGGCTTCATAGTATAAGCTAAGGTATCGGGAGAACAGATAGGAACACAGATGGTAATCGAGGGGTCCAAATTGCTCGACCGACTAGCAGGATTGAACCGATCTCGGGACAAAGGGATCAAAGGGCAGATCCCGCAAACCCGCGGATTTGGCGGAGATAAAGAGATTTCTGACAACCCAATGGCTGACAAGACTCATCTAAAATTAGTATGGGGCAATTCACAGGTAGAATATGGCGATTTATTGGCCAGAAAACTGGGAAGTGCGCCTATCGCCAAGCTAGCGATATACTAAAGTAGCTTGAGTGGGGCCAGTGGACAACACAAGCTTTAGGATAATTAATCTCGTGCATAGCACATCTCCATCTCCAGAACGCGACTCGACACATGATATCAGTATGGTGCATACCCGGGCGAGATGGTCAATGTGGGAGACAAGACGGGAGATAATATGCAATGGATCTTGCTGAGCACTGTCATGTTGTGTAATTCATGACGCCACGTGAAAGAGAGGCGAAATGGGAAGTGCACTAACCGTAAGTCCAGTCAGGTAAGGTAATTGAAGAGACGAGAGAATGACCCTCATAATCATCTTGGTCATCTATACATGTTAACCTAATAACGGAACACACTGAAAAGGCGGTCCCCTCTATTTACCATCCCACATCTATCATTATTCACCTCGGCGTTAGTCGGCACCCCACTCCAGTGCACATCTTTCCCCGCATTCAAGATCCCTCGGAGTGATTGAAAATGCATATTTGAAACAACGTTCAAAACATCATACAATTTCTCAAAATGGCGACTTTTTTGAATCAAACAAGCCGTTATGCTCTACGGGTAGCAAGGAGAGTAAGTGTCGATCGACCGGCCCATTGGACTATCCCTCCAACCTATCCTCTGCGGCCCTTACGAAACCTCCATGCACGCGCTACTGAATTCCTTCAGAGCCAAGATCCAGAATTATCTGACTCCCAGCGAACGGTACGAGAATCAATTGGCAAGATCTGTTCCAATTTCCCTGACGAGTATTGGGCCCGCGTGGACCAGTCACATACCTTCCCGACAGAGTTTTGTGATGCGATCGCACAACAAGGCTGGTTGGGGATCTGCCTACCGCAGCAGTATGGGGGATCGGAATTGGGGATCTCGGAGGCAGCCGTGATGATGCAGACCATCTCAGAGTCCGGCGCTGGAATGACAGGAGCCTCTTCCATTCACATGAACATCTTCGGGTTGGAACCTGTCGCCAAATTTGGCACTGGCGAGCAAAAGGAGAGATGGTTGCGGCCTTTGATCGCCGGTCGCGAACGAGCATGCTTTGGGGTGACTGAGCCAAACACTGGTCTTGATACACTGAAGCTCCAAGCTACTGCGCGTAGATCGGGCGACGAGTATGTACTTTCCGGGCAAAAAATCTGGATTTCAACCGCGCAGAGGGCCGACAAGATTTTAATTCTTGTACGCACGACGCCACGCGATCAAGTCCAAAAGCCATCTCAGGGTCTATCACTTTTCTACACAGACTTACAGGTCCCCCAAGTTGAGATAACGGAGATTCCTAAAATGGGACGGGGGGCTGTGGATACCAACACCTTGTTCTTCGATGACTGGCGCGTACCGGTATGTGATCGCGTTGGGGCGCAGGATGAAGGATTTCGCATGATTCTGCAGGGAATGAACGCAGAACGGATTTTGATCGGAGCAGAAGCTCTTGGGCTTGGGTTTGCGGCTTTGCGTCGCGCCGCTCTATACGCGGGCGAACGAGTGGTGTTTGGGCGCCCTATTGGCCAAAATCAAGGCATTCAACACCCACTGGCTGACAGCTGGATGAAGCTAGAGGCGGCGCGCATGATGATTTCCCAGGCTGCTCGCCTTTACGATCAGGGGTACCATGGTGGAGAATACGCGAACGCTGGGAAATATCTCGCTGCAGAAGCTGCTTTCGAGGCTTGCGAAAGGGCGATCCTGGCTCATGGAGGTATGGGGTACGCCCAGGAGTACCATGTCGAGCGCTATCTACGTGAGGTCTTCATTCCTCGCATTGCTCCTGTCAGCCGAGAGATGGTTTTGAACTATATAGGAGAGCGAGTGCTTGGTCTTCCCAAGTCATATTAGATTGCTCATGCAGACAATAGTAGTGATTTGGATGGGATATCCAGTAATTAAGTGATACATATCAGCAACTTGAAAGTGGAAACTTCGCCAACGGATTCAGCGTTACATCGAGTTACCACTCGGTGAATCTCGGAGTTCTTGACAACACATATACCGCGGCAGCTGATCATGAAGTCGGCGACTTGTTTATGCGGGGTTCGGCTGTACTCCGATGTCCAACTAGGAATAAGTTAAGTTAGCATTTTATTTTATTATTTTATACAGCTGCGCCCATTTGACAGCAAATTTCAAACTGACCCTTCATGATGATTGGACAGACCAGTACCGGGTTGAAAGCTCGACTTCCTTTAACAAAGTTTCTTGGTAGACAGATATTACGCAGAAGCCATACTGCGGAGACTCCCGGGCCTTTGCACGGCATCAAGATTCTAGATCTCACTCGAGTTTTGGCGGTAAGAATTACTAGACCATACAGTTGAATTATTCTCATGAGATCAAGGGCCCTTTTTGTACGCAGATTCTTGCAGATTATGGCGCCGATGTCTTGAAGGTCGAAAATCCGAAAGGAGGAGTGAGTATCAATCAGCGTGTGGAGTTTGCCTCAGACTGACGTGATAAGGATGACACTCGTCTGTGGCGTACCGAAGCAGAAAAGAAAATATGGAAATCAGAACAAAATGATATATCGGCGTACTTTTGTACCATCAATCGGAACAAGCGCTCTATCACCTTGAATCTGAAACAAAAAGAAGGGCGAGATATTTTGCTGCGACTTGTGAAGAATGCAGATGTGGTGTGCGTACTTCAGATATGCGTTTGATCGAGGAGTTGCTGATAAGCTCAGCGTGGACAATTTTATACCAGGAAAGATGGATGACCTCGGAATCGGATATAAGACTCTCTCTGGAATCAACCCATCAATCATTCACGCCAGTGTTTCTGGTAAGATAGCGAGGACAACTCGTTGAAGAAAAAACTAACGCGACCCTCCAGGCTACGGTGCAAGTGGCCCATATGCCCATCGTGCAGGCTATGACGCGATTGCAGCGGCTGAAGCGGGCTTGCTCCATATCACTGGTGAAGAGGACGGTCCCCCCACACGTCCGGGCTTGGGCCTTACGGATATGAGCACTGGTCTCTTTCTGCATGGAGCCATCCTTGCGGCGCTATTCTCCCGCCAGCAAACTGGAAAGGGTCAAAAGATTGATGCGTCCCTATTCGAAAGCCAGGTGGCTCTTTTATCGAATGTCGCGATGTCGTGGCTCAATGCAGGGGAGATTGCTCATCGGTGGGGAACCGCGCATCCCAGTATAGTACCTTATCAGGCGTTCAAGACCAAGGACTCTTATCTGGTACTTGGAGCGACCAACAACCGACAATTTCAGTTGCTCTGCAAGCTAATTGACCGATTGGACTTGGCGAAAGACCCCTGTTTCGCTGATAACGATGCTCGAGTGAGGAACCGGAAGAGAATGAGTGAAATTCTGGACAAGATTTTCCTGACCAAGTCCACCAATGAATGGATGGCTACGTTAGCAGGAAGTGGAATGCCATATGGTCCGATAAATCCCATCGACCGCGTATTCTCGCATCCTCAGACAGCGGCAAGAAATATGGTGCACAGTCTACCGTATGGACCTGCTGTCTGTGGAGAACTCAAAGTTCTTGGTCAGTCCGAGTTAATCCTATCCTGAGTCAATACTGACGGTCGAATCAGGTAACCCCGTGAAGTTTAGTGAAACTGCTCCTCTCATTCGCTTGGCACCACCCAGACTAGGTGAACACACAGAGGAGACACTTGAGGAACTGGGATTTTCGAAGGAAGAGGTAGATAAGATGATACGAAAGGGAATCTTGTAAAGCGCTGATCAGATAAAACTACTATTTCTTAGGTCGGTAAAATATTGATCTAGTATGTAAGCGGTACTAATATATTGAAAGTTCTATTTAGACCCCAAGAACACCTACAATCGTCTCCATAGCCTGGACAAGTTCTTCCTCGCGCAGATGTCTCCCAACAACCTGAATACAACAAGGAGCACCTTCAAATAGCTCGGGCGAGACTGTGATTGCGTTAGTCCTATGTAGCAGAGAGAGAGAGAGAGAGAGAGAGACATTGAATTGAAAACTCACAGGGTGGCTTGTACTGAACGTCTCGAGTAAAAGCTGCATCGGCAGTTCGATCCGCTTTGCCAAATGGAATGATCGCAGCGGGATACTATTTGATGTAAGCAAATTGAATATCTTCAAGGCGTCTTAACTCACATCCAGAACGTTCAACAAAGTTGTATACAGAGGGAATCCGTAAAGATCGTGGGGCTGAGCTGTTCCTGCATTACCAGGCATGATGATCGCGTCGATGTTTGCCTTCGTGATGATATCGTGGAATTTCTCTTTGAGACTGTTCCGTTCTGCATGTAAGTCATACAGGCCATCCAAGGTCATCGGTGCATACTCGAATGGCATGTATTCATGAGGAAGAGATGTCGAGGCCAGTGCCGGTATCGTCGGTTCCCCACTTTTGGCAATGTTTTGAAACGCGGTTTTGGCAGGATCCATGGCAAACATACGGAATCCCAGTGCACAGGCATCTCGAATGGACGGAACTGACAACGGAACGATTTCATGGCCCGCTTGGCGTAAGCGCTCGGTCGCTTCGGTCAGAGTCCGAAGAACGGGCGGGTGGAGAGGGAAATGGGGATCCTCTTGAATGAGACCCAGGCGGAGTGTTGATTTGGGGGTCACCTTTCGCCATGGTGCAAAGATGGCGGTCGAGTCGAACTCCCAGACGTCCTCGTTGACCACAGCCCGCATCAGCAGCTCTAAATCCCGAGCGGAAGTTGCCAATGGACCAGCACAGGCTCTGATTCCTGGCAGACCACCTCGACCGCTTCCTGTCTGTCCACCATATGGAATGCGATCGGCGGAAGGCTTCAGGGCGAAAGTGCCGTTGCAAATAGCGGGAATTCGGATTGAGCCAGCTATGTCAGTGCCAATTCCTAGAATTGAGCCCCCGCATGGCGATCAAAGCTCCTTCGCCGCCAGAGGATCCGCCAGCTGTCAAGCTCAGGCGATGCGGATTGAGGGTTCGACCAAAGACGTAGTTATGGGAGTCCGCAGCCTGGCGCATATCGAGTCAGAAACACTAGACACGATACAACCATTTTCTTTCGCCGGAAACGTACCATCATAGTTTGCGGAATGTTAGTCTTCACGTACATAACAGCTCCGAGCTTTGTCAGGATTTGGACAACAGGCGAGCTGTACTTCACAGGCCCATTCTCAATAAACGCCGTGAACCCGATAGTCGACGGAACACCTTCGACGTTGAAACAATCCTAATGGAGATATTAGCTAGGCTCTCACGCAGCTCGTGTACGACCCCTATCACCTTTAAGCTGATTGGCAACCCATGCAGCGGTCCGATTGGTTTACCAGTGCTCTGCAGATGTTGATCGAGCTCTCTGGCGCGCTGCAAAGCTCGATCAAAGAAGGTCTCTGTAAGACAGTACGTCTAGATAACACGATCGATCAGCTATTGAGCATTATGAATATCACGAGTATATCCTCTCGAGACACATCAGACATACCACCTGTTGTGCAATTGCGGCACGAATGCAGAAAGCTTCCGTGACTTCATAAGCGGAGAGCTTCTGACTGTGTATTTGCTCCAACAGAGCAGTGGCATCATAGTTCTCGGTGATGTCTATCTGCTTCGGAGACAAGATACCACAGCGACGTGGTACGTCGAGAACATTTGTATTGGCCGTCTCTGAGATGTTGGCAGTATACTCAGAAGAAAGACGCCAGGCATCTGGGATTTTAGCAGCGGTCTCGGCTTGCTTTTTCTGAACTAGCACTTCCCAAGATTCAAGAGTCATGATTTTCGATTGTCCAGGTAAGTGTAGAGTTGAGGGAAAGATCTTGTCATGTCTGTCTTCGGAGGACAAGGAGGGGGTATTTATGCGGGGAGAGAAATCACCAACAAGCCTTGCGACCATTGGTCAAGATACTAACAAAGCATGTACAACCTCAATCATTGGGTGTGCTCTGTTGATGGATACCCTGTGCAAGTGTGATGTTCGCACATGTTGTCCAATCATAGACTTTAGCGCGACTGGCTTGCTATCTCCACATCCCCCGCTTTCCCATCCACGCCTCACACTGATAATGGACCAAGCCCCAGTGTAACAGAATACGGGATTGGAATATTCGGTGTCATGGTATTTGATCATTGTCCGAGGCTTGGGCGATTTTCCCAAATGCCCAGTCTCCCGTCATTGCTCGGCCCGGCCGGTATTTGTGTCGGCAATGGTGCAGGTGATGCTTTCTCGCGTACCGGTAAATGATGATTGCCTTCATTTATGCGGATGCAACAATGAATGCCGGTTCACTGGTTCTTGGCCTCTTCCCCAGCCGAAGCATGCTTCTCTGGCTTTCACTGCAATGACATTCAGAGTACCCGAGAATCAATACTGTCATCTGGGTTCCTCCTCGAACAATTGTGAAAAGGTCTTCTTGTTCAGAGTGATGGGAGATGGTATGAACCTCGAAACCTAACATGATATTAATGATATTATCATGATCCTCCTTCGAGACCATTTTCGTGCGTTTTTGCTGAGGAGGCTCGATGGTCGCCTGTGTGATTTGGTATCATTAAGAAGAGTGGAAAGGTAACCGTGGCAATAATGTCGTGCGGAAGTCAACTCAAACTATATATAATCCCCTTGCAGTCCCAGGGTTTAAGTATCTGGATAATCCAAATGCTAGATATGACTACGCGGAATCTGAATCTCGGTGGCTTTATATGTGATATACTTGGCTCTTGGAATAGTGGCCTCTTTTCAATTCTGGCCCAGACTGCTGCATTTGCTACATGCACACACCCTAAATGCGGTTCCAAGGTTTTCGGTGCACTCAGTACACTTCGCCAAACTGCGACCAAGCGACTGAAAAACGAAAGGTAGGCCTTAACTTGATGGGTCTCGACGAAAATGGAAAGTGGTCTATAGCAAATTATTAATAACTGGGGCGCAGTTGCCGTGGACAGGGTCAAGTGGAGATCTTATCTTCATGTTTAAGAATGTCTCAAACCGCAAGCCCTGTGAGGCGGATAAGCTTCTTTGAAAAAGGGTCTTCTCATGGACAGGGAATTGCGACATGCTCTCCATCAGACGAGCGAAAGAGACGATTGGAAACTGTTGTTTACCATGGAATTTTAGGAAATTGGGCAATTTTCACTCGGGAGGCCTGGAGGCTGTCAGTGACTGGGCTACCCTAGCACGCAGTAAGTCCGTTGCACGTTTTCGAATGATGTGGAGCCAGTAAGCAATTAGGTCGCACGTAGACTGGAGTGACCGACATCCTCAGTAGGCAGTGCTGATCGCTCCCCAAGTATTCCTCTGCCCGTAATGCTATAAAGACTAGCCCGAAGCGCTTGCTCCGAAATGCATCCCTATGGCCCGAAATGTCTGTCACGAGATTCCCCGTGAAATTTCAGCTAGGGAATGGGACGGTGCGCATTTTTCTTCTTTTCATTCCATTCTATGCTCTGCTCACCTTATACGCCCGAAACCGATCCGCCCATGATCCGGGGTCAGTCTTCTTCGATCCCTGGACCGGGTACGATGCATCCTATTCCGCGATCCGAATCGAAGAGGGCGACATCTATATTGAAGCCACGGACAACACAACAAGCTCTGATTTTCCGAAAGCGTCAAGAGCACCTCAGTTATGTGTCGGGATTACCACCGTTGCCCGAGAGGGAATACGGTACTTGCGAAGTACAGTCGGCACTCTTTTGGACGGTCTGAGTGTGGAAGAAAGAAGAGAGATATACTTGATCATCTTCATAGCTCATGCAGATCCATTAGAGCATCCTGCATATAATGAGCGATGGCTTGCAGAGTTACCGGATCAGGTCTTGCTGTATAATGAAGACGAGGTAGACATCGACCATATTCGCGCGCTTGAGAAAAGCAAGCAACAGGTCGGCTGGCAAAAAGCTCTTTTGGATTACCAGTATCTGTTGAAGGCTTGCAGTAAGATCGACACACCCTACCTTCTGATGCTTGAAGATGATGTCGTCGCTCAGGATGGGTGGTATCATCGCACGCGGGCGGCTATCGCCAGCGCTGAAAAGCAAACGAAACAGATAGGAGCGCCGAATTGTGAGTTTGAACCGTTGCTAAAGTCTGGTCGATAGAAACTGATACAGGCTCTTTTTTCCTAGGGCTGTACCTCCGATTGTTCTATTCGGAAGAGTTCCTGGGCTGGAATTCAGAAGATTGGCCGATCTACCTTTTGTACTCTGCCCTCGCCGTTCTCCTCGTTACCTTCTCAGCCCTCGGTGCCCGACAGTACCAACCAAGCCTTCGAACCCACCTCACGAATGCGCCCATCTTCCTCCTCGCATGCATCTGTACACCACTGTTGATTGGTCTTTTTTTCGCCGCTGGACGGGCGACAATGCTTCCAATCCCACAGGGCGTGAATCAGATGCCCAATTTCGGCTGCTGTTCACAAGCTTTGGTTTTTCCACAATCACGTATATCTGATCTCATAGATCTCTATCAGTCCAAGGATGAAGGGCATGTGGACTCAATCACGGAAGAGTACGCAGACTTGAATCGGGAAGTTCGTTGGGCTATAACGCCAAGTATTATGCAACATGTGGGCAGACAAAGCTCCAAGGCTCAGAAAGGAAGTTCAGGAAGACCCTCTCGATATAAAACGAAGGGAGAGATGAAGGGTGCGGAGCGATTGTGGAACTTTGCTTTTGAGAGCAATGATGCAGAATTATTGCGCGTGGAGCACAACAAGGCAAAGGAAGAGCTGGAAGTCAAATGAACTCGAATGTGACATCCACGATCATGAAAATAGAATGAAATATAGAGCAAGTTTATTCAATGAGATTCAGTAGACCAGCTATCGATGTTGAAAATATTGACAGAACACATCAGTTGTACACAGTAAATCTCCTGCCCAGGCAAGCAGAAAGACTCAAGCATTCCTCAGACATAACACCTCGCAGAGAGTGATAGGAGTCCAGATAGTTACGACCTTATCCATGTTCAAGCATGTGGGCAGATCTAGCTGGATGGCATTCCAGCAGCTAGGTTGGCGTATTTCGAGCCATTGTAGCTGAGTTGATTCTCGCTCTGGTCAAGAGCGCCAACACCACCGAATGCAGTAACCACCTGGGACCAAGTTAGTCAAAAGAAGTGCCAATTGAAAAGGAATGGTAGACACATACTGTAGTAATAAGGCTATCTGCTCCATCTTTGTCAGAGCTACTCTCCCACCACATGCCACCACCTAGGCCCTTGGTTTTGATGTACTGGGCCTTTAACTGAGCGATCGCGGGAGTGTCGTAGCTAATCAGCGTGAGAGTAGAGGGATCATAGCTATAGCTTGCAACTGGCTGATCGAGTTCATAAACCGTCGCACCCGCCTGGGGTAACGCTTTGTAATCCCAGACGCCGTTTTCCCAGCTACCACTGCCAACTCCAGTAAAGTTTTGACCAAGCCCATTTGTGTTTGTAAATGAGCGCCCATACAGTGGCATACCCATGACGATCTTGTTGGCAGCCACCCCGTTCGCGGTATAGTAAGTGATAGCCTGCTCCGTGTTGAATGGTGTGCTTGATGGATCGTCAGTAGAGGCATAGATGTTTGCATCGTCGCCAGAGACTGTATCCCAACTTCCGGCATAATCGTATGCCATGAGGTTCCAGAAGTCAAGGTATTGGTCCATCTGAGCCAGAAGAAGCTTCTCATAGTTGGTTGGGCCTGTTGTTGTTAGATTTACTTGGTTTGCTGTAGATATCATGGCCATCTTACTAACCAGCTGGAGATGCAACCGTCAACAGCAGATGATGATCTGGGGCATATGTCGCACTATAGGTATCCAAGGCCTGACTTTTGTTAGCTTGAATAATTCCCGATTTCGGATATATATAAGTCTTACTGAGCGCACGGCTTGCAACAAAGATACCATGTTGGCAGCTTGGCTTGGATCGGCAGGGTACTATTGAAGAGAAATTAGTACGACCGATGGGTTTCAAGCAGAGATTATTGGTTGGCATTACCTCCCAATCAATATCCAAGCCATCGAATCCAAGATCCTGCACCAACTGTACAGCGGATGAGGCAAATAGGGCTCTTCCAGCCTCAGTAGCAAGTGGTCCAGCGAAGTTAGAGGAGTAAGTCCAGCCCCCAATCGACAGGAGCACCTTCAGCTTTCTGTTCGCCTTCTTCAGCAGGTAAAGCTGTTTGACACAGCCATAGACATTATCGCCGACATCATTCCAGGAATCCGTGGGATAATGTTTATCAGTATCCGCGTATGTGTCCGACAGATAGACCTCCCCAGTCTCTGCGCGGACATTGGCAAAGGCGTACAAAACATGAGTGAGCTTGTCAGCAGGAAGATTCTGGGGCTGAAAGTCTCTGCCATAGATAGCCTGGTTTGGTGTGTCAATGGATTGGAGCCAAGATGGCCAATATAACAGGGACGAAAAATACTAACCCAGTTAACGAAGTAAGCTACGGAGCGGTATCCAGTAACATCATCTCGAGCTTCAATCTTGCTTTCCAGTGAAGGAATGACCGCAGCGTTGGCGAAGCATGCCAGGCTTAGGATAAAGGAAAGAACAAGTTTCATTGTGCAAGGAGTGTTGAGGGTTTATCAAAAAATGTAGAAGTTGTCGTTCCAGCGACTGATGATGAAGAGATAGACAGGATTTTCTTCACCATTTATAGTTTGAAGCAGTTGGTCGTCTGCCTTCTGATGACCATACTCACTTCGAAGGACTGAAGCATACACGGCGCTTGAAAGTTTCCCCATCACCCCGCGCACCCGGACGACACCCTGCAGAGTGACTGTACAGAGAATTGGTCCTTCATAATTTCCGTGTCCATTCCACTCCGTCGGGGGTGTCATCGGTGATAGCAGTCGAGCCTCGAGATAATGAAAAATGGCGCACATGGGCAGTGTAAAAAGAGGGTTCCCTCATCACGGGAGTTTCAGCAGCGAGCTAAGAGAGCGCCACATTCCTGATTGGGCACAGAGCTATTTGGCTCCTTTCCATCCACTAGGAAAATGGAAGCCCTGGGTCTGCCACCACAGGCGTGGTTGCTGGAATGTGTAACAGTGCATGAACAACGTGCTGGGCTGACATGCCGATCCTTTGCGTCAGTTCAAATATCTCTGTGGCTGATTTAATTGCCGTCCAATCGGCCCTGAAATTCCAGGAATGTCGGAGATGGTGACGTTGTCATCTGGGATTGCACATATATGCCCTAATCGAGACCGATGCCTCGGCGATAGAGGTCCTTGCCCCTCTAACAATCGACAACTTTCAGAAAGATGTTCGTGTGTTGCATCAACCCTGATAGATTAGCCTTGACCTGCAATGATACCCAGATTGTTGGATGTAACTCGGACCACGGTAGTATCGAAGAAGATTGAAGAGTTTCGATCAAGAAATTAGCATTGGGAGGCCATTAGCCACTTTGGGGGATGGGGTAGGTCTAAGCAGACGAATCGAACGAAAAAGGGTCCTTGGCTTGGCGGCAACTGTAGGTAGGAACGATCACCTATCAGTGATCACCCCAATCCATCACCCGTCCACCAATCAAAAAAGCCCGCGATGTAACACTTCAATTTGGCCATGCGACCGGGCCATGTGCCATGCCACCCAAGACGGACAAGAAGCCAGATCCTGCATGTTTATCAAAGCTCGCATGATCAGGGTTGAGGCAGACGACAAGGCAAAGGGGATCTATCCACCAAGTGAGATTGCCAAGCTGACACCCATCACAAGCTTCTTCTATCGCTCGCCTCCGCATGTCGTCTTATCTCCGCCGATTCTTTCCAAATTGGTGGAGTGCAGGGTAAATGAAGGTAATTTAACTTCTGCCGATCGAAGTTGGGGGTCAAATGTTTCCAAGGGTCCAACCTTTTGGCAGTGATGTTAGATGCTAGCCCTCTTGACCGCCAATCGAGGAAATGTATCCAGTCAAACTTTGACAAAGAACACCTGGAGAAATGTACATGTGGAATGATGCTAGGGGACTTGAGAGTCTTGGGAGCGTTAAATGTTGTCTTCACTTCTGCTTTTCTCTATACCTTCCGGGGCTCAACGACAGTATGAAATACGTGGGTCACAGCCTTGATTCTAGACTATATCTCACATGATCTAGTCATCATCACGTGCAATGGGCTTGTGGTTTAGTGGTATAATACTCCCTTAGCATGGGAGTGGTCCGGGGTTCGATTCCCCGCGAGTCCATCTTTTTGTCTCCGCTCCATCCGGAGTGGAGTTCCTTTTGTTTTGGGTGGACCCAATCTAAATCCACTCTACGTTCAATGGACTCTCCTGGATTTCTAGTGCAGCTATCGCCATTTGAATTTTCAGACCAGTCCCGAATCGCTACGAAGATCTTCTTATTTCTATCCAATCGGTGCAATCAATTCAAGGCTTATTATATTGGCTGCCACTTCAATAGCATAAAAAACCGAGGTACATCAAAACCCGGAGTGTAACATAAAAGAACCCCTCAGCGGTTCAGTGGATCTACTTCGGCCAACTCAGTCCACTGGCGTTCAAGCTGTTCTTTAATCCACGCCGTTCGCCAACCTAATACTTCTTCCACCCGACTTAGAAATCGCAATGATCCCTGTTGCTCAGCTGGATGGTGGAGGCAGTAGCCAACTGCATATTCAGAAATATACGACAATTAGTACATGTATGATATGAGAACGGAGAAGAAAACGAACAGCGATGTAGAAGATGGCAGGCCATAAAGTACCCATTTTCAACACTCTCATTTGACCAGGATAGCCCCACTACGGTCAGTATATGGGTCGCGATTGTTCGCTAAAATAGCTTTCGTTAATCATGGACCTCCAAGAGGTGAACTTGGTCTCACCTCTGCGACACGCCGGCTCCGGGCCAGCTCATAGTCGCTCATTGATTGTGAATGGGGATCTGACAAAGTTATAAAGATCCTTGCCGTGTGAAAGTACTGCATTCCGACGACTGAAAAATTGATCAGTACTCTATTCAATGGCTTGAAAAGGGGGAAACGGACCAGCAGGGCCTGACATCATCCAAATTTCAGGGAACGGGCGGTCAGCCGTAGCATCTGGAGGTTGGTATCGGAGCGGCTGCCAAGTTGGGGGCTTCGAGCGGTGCCACTCCTCCACAGAATGGGAGATGCGATGCCAGGTTGTTTCGTCAACTGGCATCCTAGGCACATCGCGGCAGAGTTGGATGATATTGGCGCAATGAAAAACAATCATGTTGGCAACGGCGGCATCGTCATTTCGTTGAAACATGGCCGAGCACTCATAGTTGTGCAGGTTTAGCTGCAATGGCTGATGCTGCACTATAGATGCGTATATGGCTTGTCGCAAAAACTGCCAACTTACAGCTTCTGATAGTCCTCCAGACGAAGCTGAACGAGACATCAGATTAATTAAACGATTTGATCCAAGAAGATGAAACTTCTCATCTGTGTTATTTTCCAGCTCCTCACAGATCCGCAGTATAACTACCGTGATCAAGAGGCTCTCGTCGTAGGTGTGCTCGGGCTTATCCAGCGCTGGGATCAGTAACTCGAGGCATTGGCCGAGATAGGAGGACGCCTCCCAGTCGCTTTTCCCAGTCATGATGGCATCGTGTCGAGCAGCCAGAGCTAAGACCGCCTTCAACACCATGGGGACTTGCAGGGCACGTTGGGGCACCAGCGTACTAAAATGGGATTGAGGATCACAGATGTCCGCCTGGTTGAACTGGTTAGGTTACACATTTACAGAGATAAAAATGTCCGGGCCTCACCCAGGGGGCGATCTTCTGAATAAAACACCGCATCAGAGATGCTTCTCGAAGCGATAAGGTAGAACCTTGTTCTTGCGCAGATGTCTGGGGGCTAGCACAGGCCGGATGCAATTGCTCTCCGCCCTCCTGCGACAGAGGCTGCATAGCTGGTCGCTCTTCCGCCATAATATCATTATTTGCATGCAGAGCTTCGTGTGCTGACCAAGGTGGTACCAAAGAGCCTTCCCTTGGTGTTTCGATTTCCTGATTTTCATTCAACTCATCGGCCTCGAGGATAAACGTCACTATCACAATTGAATAAGTGTCTGTTCCGGCAGTCAACTCCAACACCAAAACCTACCAGGCTTTGACACATCCACCCATACCTGCCCTTCATCCCAATTCAAGTCGAATCGAGCCGCTGAGCCCTGGCTTTTATGGTAGACATGATGGACGGCCTTGAATTGGAAACGCGGGTCCAGTTGACAGTCGCGGCCGAGACGAGTACAAGGGGCACAAGCTGTAGCCCCCGGAGGAATCACACAGCGGAGATGGCGATGGCGACACCGTCCACAGCCTTTGCCCACTCTCATGAAGATGGCATGGAGAGAAAGATTTGGGGGAATGTTGGTGCCCGATGATTCTCGCTCCATTTCCCCGCATGCTGACTCATCCCCCGCGATTCCTTTCCCTCAGACAATACAGATCTAATATCAAATCTGTCGAGTCTTCAGGATATACTTCTTGGCATCAATGATGTCAAACTGCCTATCATGGTCTCAGAATTTTGCTACCTAATCTACAGTTGATCTTGGTGGCTTGTGAATGGTCAATCCAATCCTGCTGCCTATGCAAAAAATAGAAACCGCTAGGTGCGTCTCCGCTTGAGCTACTGTAATGCACTAACCAATCACACAGCTACTGCCAGAGAAGGCACGCTAGCTGTGCCTGGTCGGCTTGGACTGGTTGAACTATTGCCCCACGACAAAGAAAAAACAAAACGCCAAGGCTCAACCAAGTAACCAAGCCCGACTTATAGTGGGTCTCCGAGATGGTGTTGATGTATCTGGTTGGATAATCGGCTCTATCAATGCATATACTCCACCAATCCGTCCAGCGCCGGTCATCCGATTGCAGTGGGCCGACACGGAGATTTAGTGCCAATGCAAAAATCTTGGAAAAAGTCGACTGCGCCCCGATGAACCCTGGGTTGAATTTATTATCCGCAATGGAGCGTCCCGCGCCCGTCAAAAACAAAACAGAGAGCAACATACAGAAGCGCGTATAGAAAAACGCGTCAATGCTTCTTCTACCTCTCTTGCTGCTAGCCACCTCGTGGCAGGTGGTCATTGCAGATTCCGATTCTTGTACAGTCACGGAAGCTTCCTCAAAGCTCAGGAAAGATTCTTGCTGACCATCTACCAGGTTCAAGTAGTGTGACTATTTCCAGTCAAAGTGACGCGGATACATATGCCAACTGTGACCAGATCGACGGCAGCGTCACCATCTCCTCGTCAGCCAGCGGCTCCATTGTCCTGAACAATGTCAGTGAAATCAAGGGAGCCTTCACAGCAGAAGGAGCTTCGGGTCTCACTACCCTAGCCGCACCGGATCTCGAGACGATCGACGGAGCTTTGACTGTGGATAGCATGAACTCGCTGAGCAATCTCTCAATCAATTCCCTATCCGAAGTATCCTCCGGAATCACGATCACGGGAAATGCAAAACTCAAGCATCTGGAAATCGAGAATTTGGAGGAGGTCGATGGTCAACTCAAATTGACAGGGTCGTTCAGCTCGTGAGTATCGGTAATAATTGGAATTTGAGGCAGGACTCGCAAGACTAATAATAATAAAGCGTGTCGCTGCCATCACTTGATCAGGTGAAAGGCCAAACAACTATCCACGGCGGCAGCTCCATGTCCTGCATTGCATTGAACAATTTACAATCCGAAGACGTGTATAAGGGCGGGTACTCCTGCTCGACCAACAGCGGATCTTCCCTGAGCGCAGGTTCCAAAGCCGGAATTGCGGTCGGCGTCATTATCGGGGTTCTGATTATCTTGTTCCTGATGTGGTGGGTCTATCGGCAACGTCGAGCACGTCGACAACGCCGACGGACTTCCAAAACTGTAGCCTTGATACCTCCGCCAGTAATAAAGGACGAGAAGCAATCTCCCCCACAATATCAACCTGTACCATCGAGCGACTTGTCACCTAAAGTCCCACGAAAGCCTGTGGGACCGGCACCAGCATTGTTGGACGGTCATTCGATCTACGAAGCAGCGTATCCTGCGAGTCCGATTCCGGTGTACCATGAGTTGGAAGCAGGACCAGTCTTCAGTACACATCAACGGCCCATTCACTCGGAATGCTAAGAGACATCACTAGAAGCAGATGATGCTGGGGTGCTGGTCCCTTATTTTGTGAAGTTTCACGCCCCAGCGGTCGCCGATCCTCGATTTCATGACTCAATGTTCTTTTTCCCTTTCTGCTGCGCTTATATACCCAGTCGTACTTTGAAATAACATGACCAATGAAGAATTCTTCCTCTTCTTAAACCGTGCATAACGTGGATATTACTCGAATGTGGTTTGGCCTAAGGTTGTTCGCGAAGAATTTTGTATACATCAAAGGCCCCCGGGCAATATACTCACCAAGGTGCTCGATACTTTTGAACTGATCGAAATGAGATACCTAGGATACGAGCTATTCAGTTCTACAAACCTTGAGACCTACGGCAATGCCAACCCATGGTGTGCTTAGCGCGAGTCTCTTTCTTATGCAACTGGTTATCTGTTTTTATAACGCTCGCTTGGCGTCACTCCTTGACTCGGATGTAACCCATGTACAGCGTGGAGGGTGATAATTGAACACCATCAAATTGGAAGAGCACTTCTTTGACCCGTATCTGGAGCAGTGCAGGAAATGTACATCAGAGCAGTAATATTATTCAGTATTTGTCTAAATCACTCCTTACTCACATTAGACTGCCCTAGAATGCGAAGGTGATAAACGAGCGATGCCCACAGCGCCTCTTTAATCTTGATCTCGGCTCTTAAGAAGCGTCATGTGCCTCATGTCCAATTCAACTACAGTTGAGGTGGTTCGTATGCTGCTCAACATAATTTAGTTTATTTCACAATTACTGCGCTTCGTTTAATGCGAAGACTGAGGCTATTTAAATGATCTTGTGGCGTTCAATTGGAGGGCTCCTAATCTACCTGATGGTGGAACAGAGTCGTTCAGTAACACTATTGCCGGATACCCAATCGCTGCACCTCTAGATGGGGCCAAAGTGACGGTCAATCTGCAGAGTTTTACTCATACCACAACTGCCGCTGCTTATTACGCGACGAATGTGGACTCGGGATCGCTGAAATTGCTGCGACTAGAACTGGCATTGAAACTGAGGGCAAGAACGGGCTGTGATATCTAAAAATTCCGGGATAGCCACGCTTTCTGTTGCTCACTTGATTGGTACGTCTGAAATATTATCGTAATGCTTTGTAGCCCGTCTATGATCTGATCCGCTACTTGGTAGCCAACTTTCAAGGTCGCTCTAGGGGGACCGTTTGCTTTGGCAACTACAAGCTCAATACATCTAATTCGTCCTTAACTTCCCAGAGATTTAATTGATATAGTGGATTGGAACTACTGTATATAGTTTATTCTCGAGCAATCTCCTGTTACTATACGCAAATCAATATGGCCTTCCAGAGGTCCAAACATCAGGCATTTCACTGATTCATAAATACCTTCAACAGCGCCGGGTAGTTAGGAGAGCCAAGTCCCGTTACGGGGTCCCAGCCCTCGGCGGCATAGAAGCCAGCAGTACCACAGCCAGAGTTATTGCCCGTGGTGACATCGAAAAAGGCATCTGGATTGGCATAGAGAGTAGGGTTCACGAATCCGACAGTGGACTTTCCAGCGGCCAATCTCTCCTCATTGATTCGAGTAAGAATCGAGGCAAATACGGGAGCGGAAGCAGATGTGCCACCAATCGAGGTAGGCAGACCTTTGTTGTAAATGACAACATTATCGCCCACGGCGGAGACATCAGGGTATCCACGGCCAATCCGGTTATAGATACCGCCATTTGCACCGAAGCTCTTGTTGTTGACGCTTTCATAGTATGGGTATTCTGGTTTGGCCTTGGAGAAATAGTCCGTCACAGCCTGAGACTGCCAGCTAGGTCGCTCGTAAATGTTACTGAAGCCACCACCGGATGGGAAGCGAGTGACTGCAACCTCTCCGTGGTCCTGAATCTTCGCACCGGGGGGAAGGTAGGTCGCTCCAACTGCGGTCATATAGGGACAAGTGGCTGGAAAATCGGGAGCGAAAACTTTGCCTGTTTCACCTAAGCAGTTGCTTGCCGTAGGATCCCCGTTGCGTCCTGCTACTCCCGAGTCACCTGATGCAACAATTACGGAGACACCTCGCATGCCGAGCTTCATGATTTCATTACACTGACGCTGTTGATACGAGATGGGCAGGTCGGCTTCCGCCATCCCATATGAGATTGAGAGTACATTCGGTGGGTCGTAGACGCCGCATTGCAGAGATCCTTTGTACCCGCCATCTTGAGGATCGGGGTAAGGGGGATCCAATGGGGAGATTTCATCACAGTATGAGCCATCGATAGCATCCAGGAAGGTGTTGAGGAAGCCACTGAATGTATAATTGCTTTCATAGACCATGTCGTCTGATTGGAAGAGAATGGAGTTCTGGGGCCAGATAAGTGGGTAAGAAATTTGAAAGTCAAGGTCGGATTCAGCGCCTGCATTGAGCAATGTGGTTGGTGCCTTGGCTCCATCAATTGCTTTCAAAATTGGGTGTGTTCCACTTGGGATATCACTGCAAATGACTCAATGAGCGCCAGGCCTCAAACAATAGTAGGACTGGGACATACCTGGCCAGAGTGCTGAAGAACAGGTTCAGATCCTCCTGAGCGTAGACATCACCAACGCCCTCAAAGATACCTAACTCGTTCCCTTTTGTAGCTGTTGTTCCGGAAGTGATGTTGTACATTTCTGTTTTTATTAGTAGTTGATCAGAATCGTCAATGGTCTGGAGATCTTACCCTTGACACATTGGGGCGTGACAGCAGTATCACAAACCTGCAAAACATTCTTCAGGATCTCTTCAATGGGCATGAGAATAGGCTCCAGAATTGGCAGCCGACCGTTCGAACGCTTTTGAATCTTATTACTGGTTTGTCGAACACTTGCCACCTCGCGCAGGGTGATACCAGGAGTGATGTAGTCGATATGATCACGCACCGAGTGCGGAACATGATATCTAGACTGGGTCAGCGTCCTGTGGCTTCCTGGATGAACGTTCAGCTTACTCGCGACAAGCCACGTGCGACCGACCCGTGTCAGCATGAGAGTAGATATAGTATTCGGTGTGTAGCAGCTTTTCCAGTTCATCGGCACCAGCATCAAACTGAATCCATTGCTTATTGACAGATTGTGAGATCCGGTCCTTGGAAATGCCGAACGATTCCAGCCATGAGCGCACAGTATCTACGCTCTCGTCACTCGGCGCAAACAATTCATGCACCTCGGATTCCGACATATGCTTTCCATAGCGACTCGAGGATGGGTTCGACCTAGTGGGTAGATGTCAGTCGTTTATCATGGCAAAATAGGTTATCAAACATACATCTCCATGAGAAGTTCATGCCCATAGGCCAAGTTCGACTGGGTCAACCCAACTCGGACAGGAAGCAAGGTCGACGCATCCAGGCGTTTCTCCTCGGTCCAGGAAGTCGGGAGGAAGTCCCGTCGCTCATGCACAGCATGACCATAAGGTGCTGGAAGAGCCAGGGCACCGACTGCAGCGGCTCCCAGGAGCAAAATGGATGGCTTCATAATGGACTTGAATAGAGTCGACAAGGTCTCACTCTATACTTGGAGATGAGAGCGAATGGGACTAGAAATCTCCGGCTTTATACCATTCTGCCGGGCTCCGCTTGTCCAGGAGGGCTCCATTCCGGCTCGGCTGCTTCTCAACCCATCTCAGGAGAAGCCCAATGACAGGGCTTCTGGTGATCAACAAAGCAGACCTCAAGGTCGGATTACTTACGGTGGAACTGCGATCAGCGTTAGGTGTGGGTCTGGAATGGGGCATTTGCTCCGAAGGAAGCTAGTTCGGTGGGTTTGGAGGACGTCTGAGAAGGAAAGAGTTGAGGTTGATCTAGCATCGCTTGGGCCCTGCGAGAGGAGAAGCGGGATGAGTGCTGTGGTAGGTGATCATCTACAACGTTCAACTTTTCACAATTATGACTTATCTTGCAAATTGGCATGATGTTAGATTGAACATTTTCATGTCACACCTCATGTCCAGATGGTCGGTGTCGCACCAAGGCCATGTGAGGGCGTATTTTGTGGTGTAGGATGGCACCTTCTGCGGTAACTTTTAGAAAGATAGCGGAGTTCACTAGCTCATTGGTAGATCGTCTTGCGATACTACCCAACTCTGCGTGATCGTCCACGCGACCTACAGTCATTGCCAGTACCAATAGAGATAATAGACATAGTTCAATACTTCAAAATACAACACGCGACAACTCGTAAATAGTGACCATGAGCCTCGGGAGATAACAATGCCATGTGAAGCAGGGAAACGAAGAGCGGTGCGCTAAAATAAGCCTCGGACGATACTTGGAACAAAAAACATGTATTGGCTTTCTAACTCCACTATGTAGGCGAAGTGGAGGATTGCTATGCCTTATTAGGAATGCGATAATGGGTTCCCCCAACTTGGGGTTCAGGAGCCGTTCAAGTTGGCCAATTAGCATCTTCCAATGACGATCCTGATGTCCAATCCCCCTGAGATCCCTTCCCCGCACCAACACAACATCAGGGAAGCCGACGATGAGGACCAAGTCATGAAAGATTCGGTCTTATTCTTCGCTACGAGAGTTGGGAGGTTTTCTAAATTCGGGCAAACTTTTTCAATAACGTCATGTCATATCTCCATTTCTGGGAGTTAAATCTAATCTAGGCACGGCCTCATAAGGCCGGCTTCTGGTTTCTGGAAATATATTTCCATGCCACATCATGACTACAGTGACCAAGCAATCAAATTATAGGTCCAGATACATGGTGCAGTTGAATGGACTTGCCAAGGTGAGTCCGAGGGGATACAAAGACACTGTAATTGCACAATCCCGATGAAAGCCGTAGGGAAAGCAATGCCCGCATTGCTGTGGATTTGTGGTAAATACCTTCCGCAACAAGCATTAAACTCTTGTCAGGCGGGGAAATGAGACCATTAGGTGCCCAGGTGGGTTTGATCATGCATTCGTCGCATGCATGGCAATGGAGGAGGGAGCTCGGACCAACAGTCCTGAGGGTTTGAACGACGAGGAGTTGGGTTGAAAGCTTGGCATGCTTGCAACAAATAAATGCAGCAAACGCTTGCGCGACTTGGGCCCAATATCTGCCCCATATATGGGTTCTGGCCGCCAAGTGGCGCTGAGCTTCGGGTTAGTGGGATCGACATCAAGGCCTTCAACCACACATGGTTTACAGATTTGACGGGTAAGCGCCAGACTGATGTGGACTAGGTTAAGATCCGCACCATTTCCAGAGCATGTCCACCAGCTGCTGCCGATGAAGCGGCTTTGCAAGGTAATCATTCATACCCTTTGCGAGATACATTTCAGCATCTCCCGTGAGAGCATTCCCTGTGAGTGCAATAATCGGAACATCGATCATCATCTTCCGAATTTGCTCTGTAGCCATTAGGCCATCCATGACCGGCATATTTATGTCCATCAAGATGACGTTGTAAGCGAGGGGCTTTTGCTTCACCATGCGTACAGCTTCAGCGCCATCCCAAGCTGCATCCACGCGCTCGAAGCCCAATGTAGATAATAACTTGAGCATGATAGTTTGGTTGACCTTGTTGTCTTCCACAAGCAGAATTTGCTTTTGCGGCGCGATAATTCGAAGCTGTTCGGTCGGATCATACGAAAAGGGCTTCACAGTCGACGTCACGCTTTTCGGCAGGGGAATTGGCGAATCGACGTGGCCCATCTTTGCAGAGATCCAAAACACACTCCCAGGGCCATCTGGGTTGGGGTGGAACCCGACCGCACCGTTCATGAGCTCAGCTAGACTTTTAGAAATGGAGAGCCCTAGTCCAGTTCCTTGGTATCGCTTCACAGCTGAATCTGCGAATCGTGTGAAAGGGGTGAAGAGGGTGTTGGTCGCATCCTCGGGTATACCAATGCCAGAATCCACCACCTGAACCGAGATCTCGTAAAACCGAGGATCAACTGGGTCCTTCGAGTAGGATGCGTTAATCTGAACATAGCCTTTTTCGGTAAATTTGACAGCATTGCCGACTAGGTTCTGGAGAATCTGGCGGAAGCGCAGCGGGTCTCCCTGGATACTATGGGGAAAATCGGGGGGGATTGAGACTTTCAAGGTGACGCCGGATTTCACCGATGGCTCGCAGTTCCGGGCCACTGAATTGATCACACTGGGGATATTCAGAGCTTCGGTGACGAGGGAGAACGATCCAGAGGATAACTTCGAATAATCCAGAACGTCATTAATGACTTGCAAAAGCAGCCCGGTTGAGTCCTCCAGGATCGTCGCAAATTCCATCTGATCTTCAGCCAATGGAGTCCTCATGAGCATGGTCAAGGCCAAAAACATGCCATTCATCGGAGTACGCAGCTCATGAGACATGTTCGCCAGGAAGTCAGTCTTCATCTTGGAAGATTCCTCAAAAGCATCAATTAAACGCGCCTCGGCTGCTTTGCGCTCGGTCAAATCCCGGGTCACCTTCACAAATCCAATGTGTCGGCCAAATTGTTTGATTGTGGTGATCATGACATTGGCCCAAAAACGTGTTCCATCTTTTCGGTAACGCCAGCCTTCGTCTTCCACCTTGCCCTCGCGAAGGGCAACCTCCAATTCCCGTCCGGGCTTATCGGCCTGGCGATCCTCTACTCCATAGAAGATAGAAAAATGCTTACCAATGATATCCTGGGCACTGTACCCTTTGAGGATGGCTGCTCCAGAATTCCACGTGGCAATATGGCCTCGCGTGTCCAGCATGAAGATCGCATAATCCTTCACCGTGTCGACCAGAATTTTGTAAGTCTCATTCAAATAAGTTTGTTCTCTCATTTTGGTCGCACGTTGCTCCCGTTTTTGGCCCTGTTGTGCCTCGAGGAGCACGTTGATTAATTTCTCACTGTCGAAAATCGGCGTGATTCGCAATGAGTAATCAAACTCGCAATCCTGAACACGAACATTATCGATCACTTTGACTTCTTTTGTCGCGACTGCGGCGCCCAAGGCACCACTCAGCGAGGCAATATCAGGTGCAGGGACACTCGCGGGTGCCAGTTCGTAAATGCTCGTTCCTATGAATTGTTCTCGGTTGGACTGGAACAGGGTGTGGTGGCTTTCGGAAGTCCCCACCACCCGAAGAGAACCATCTAAAATGACAGTGGGGGTTGGCGTGTGTCGGAAGATTTGCGCCCAGCGGTCGTTCTCCATCGTTTTCTTTGGCTTGTTTTGAGAGTCATTGTTCTGAAAGTTATTCAAATCGCGCTCGGAGGGAGGGGTCATGATCATCGCGTAGGTGACGGGTCGGCGATCCTCAAGGTTCAGATGGAGCATTTGCTGGTCCAACGCCATCGTGCCTTTGAACTTCCCTGCCACCGGGGCAGGAGAAAGTTAGCGGGATGAGGGATTCATCCACTTGAAGCACTTAAGTGCAATAGGCGCTGAAATCCGCAGAGGTGAGAAACGACTGGGGCACCTGGCGTAGGGGATGGATGCGAAGTTGCAAGATGAAAAATGAAAAATGAAAGATCTGAAAGTCAAGGCGTGTGCATGAAAACCTGGAAGGGTCGTCGAAACAAGCGGCGAACCCAGCCGATGCACAGCGTTTGTTCTACTGGACGGCAAATTTCGCCGGCGGGGGAGGCAGAGCCCGCTAACCCGGTTTCAGGGTACAACTCGATTCATGTAAATCCACGTACGTAGGTGTCGCACGCGGTGGCGAATTCTTAATTATGAAACATGATTCGTAAATTAGGATCAGAAAGAAAGGGTCTTTCCATGCAGGTCAGATTTTTGGATCTGGTTCTTCAGGATATATTTAGGCCCTGATCACCGCAACCTTGGATTGACGTTCTCTCCGCCTTCCCACAGGGAAAGCGGGCCCCATCCCTAGGTTCACGAATAATTACAACCAACAATACATGGATGTATGTATGTATATACATGTGTATGGATAACTTACAGAACGTCAAATTACGACCAATGTAATAAATGTGGAATGTTCAAGACATGGACTTCGAAAAGAGTTATTCGACATGCCCAGGTGGACTGGGGAGAACACGTGAGGCTACAAAATCACATTTTCGCGCTCGACGCTTTCAACCATCTTCACTACCGCATCTGCAATCCCGTACGAGAACGCGTATCCCCCACCACCAAATCCATAGGCCGAAACGACGTGCCGATTACCTTGTTTCTCCGAATCAAGACGAAATCCCCCTCGCCGCGAGGGTCGAATTCCAATGATGTGACTAATGTCCTTGTCTGCCGGTTGTTCCGGCACTACGTCGGGGGCGAGCCGATGCGCACGTGTGATCTCATCCCGCGCAATATCGAAATCAACTTCCGGGGACCTGAAATTTAGTCAGTGATGGACGAACTTCGCCAGAGCGGGAACACGTACAGATTGTCTTGTTGCTTCACACCTCCCAACACCACGCCGTGCGATAAAGGTCGTGGAATGACATAGGTATACTCCTGGCCATTGCGAAAGTACATGGTATTGCATTTTTCCGTTCGGAGAAACACCGTCTGTCCTCTTTCAGGGAAGCAGCGATCATCCAGAACATCCGTGAGGGTCAAACTGCCAAGCCCGCTGGCATTGATGAATATTGTCGATTCCGGAAACATATCGTACAGTTCTTGGAGAGACTGTACTCGATGGCGAACAAACTTTCCTCCCAGTTCCGTGACTTGCCTGCCAAGATATGGCATATGTCGTGTGGGGTCCGTGACCAGAGTCTCATAGGACCAAGCGCAATAGAAGTTATTCGGGAACTCATCGCGGCTCATCTCCCGAAACTACGCGTGGCGGTCAGCGAAGGACGAGCGGAAGGTGAAGAGAATGATTACCTTGGCGGTAATAGTTCTACCCCAGATTGCCGAGTCAGGAGCGGGTTTTTGTTCCAAAAATTCTCGTGCTTTGACCACACAGACTCCAGATTCCGGATTCTGGGCCATCTTGAGCAGGATACGGTGGGTCACAGCTTGGAAATATCGCTGCTCAGGGTTGATCCCACCGGCAGCATGCCAGGCGGCGCCTGCCCATGCAGATGCATAAGTAATATCTTGATCCCCGGGCAGATACTCTGCCACCACTACTACGGGGAAGCCGCTCTGGAGTAATTGGCGGGCCGTTGCACAACCGATAATGCCTGCACCTAAAACGACAATAGGCCGCTGGGCAAAGGGGACTTGCATCGCATCCTTATCGCCCTGCTCCATGGTGAGAAGCGGAGACATGCCGAAGAGTGATAGTAGACTGCGTGCGCCTAGTTGTATACGGAAAACATGTGCAAGATCAGCTGATATGCATCAAGGCGTAGACATCCCGGGGGGTTTGATTCCATCAATTTAACAAGTGCGAATTGGACTCTAGATAACTCCCTAATATTCCAAATTTTTTCGCATGGAGGGGAAGCGCCGTTGGAATCTCGTTTTCCAAGGCGCTCCGAGCCGAAGAGTGGAGTGGATGCAGTGGTAATGGCGGGTCATTCCGACAAGCTCTGCATGTTCAATGTCGCCAACAACATGGGGGTTGAGAGAGAAGGTTGCTCGTATTCGAATTAAAGTTATGACTAGTTTATTCGTATATCGATCGGATGGTCGATGTGATATTTTTGAGTATTGTGCTGAAGTAGAAGTGATTGGGCCAATGAGGATGGAAATCTCCAATATCCCATTTTTCCCTCTTTCATCATCCCTGTCCGATCGGGAGGCGCATCCTTCCGATCACTTCCCCAATTCAAATCCATGCAGCCTATAGCGTCTTTTCTGCCGGGCATTATCTCGTTTTCTTCTTTTTCTCGGCTAGTTCTTGATTGACCTCTGGACCTTCAGCCCTGAATCATTGCTCGGGGCCGCCTCGGCCGGAGCTCCCCGGGTCCCAGGATGGAGGGGGAGAAATATCGGCGACATTCGTGGTCCCAGGTGGGTTAAGATGGATTCCCTTGCATATTAGACTTCTCCTACGGATCGTCCTTCCCCACTGCGACCAAGACCTGCCCTTGGCGCGCCTCGTGGCCGTTTGGCCCCAAGATCTCCACGAGCTTTGGTTTCAGGCCCCCTAGTGGACCAATCCTTATCTGTCATCTGCATCCAACAGGAATGATCAAAGTGCCAAGAAATCCATGATTAACGAGATATGCTTCTAGAGATCGCCCGCGGACGCTGAAGACGAGATCTCCATCCTCCGCGATCGCGATGCCGAGAAAATCCTACCGTACGATGCCGACGATTCACCTTTCCCGGAGGTGCGGGCAGTCATTCAGCCCACGGATGACTTGTCCCTCCCGGTGAATACGGTTCGAATGTGGACAATCGGTATCCTCTTTACCATTGTGAGCCACCAGCATTGACGACATCGAACCCCAATTCATAGAATGCGTTGCTAATCTGGATACAGGTGGGAAGCGGGTTGAACCAATTCTTCAGCTTGCGGCAACCGAGTGTTACTATCAGCGCTCTGGTAGCTCAATTACTCGCATTCCCGTTAGGGTGTGCCTGGGCTAAGTGGATGCCACTCGGGATGTTGAACCCCGACCGTCAATTCAATATCAAGGAGCATGGTCTGATCACCATCATGGCCAATGTCTCGATTGGATCCGCCCAGGCGACGCAGGTCATTGAAGCAATGGTCAAGTTTTACGACATGCCGTCGAACGGAGGCTTTGAAGTGCTGTTGTGTATCACCACGCAGCTGTTTGGGTTTGGCCTTGCGGGCATGGCAACCCTTTGGCTCGTCACGCCGGCTTCGATGCTGTGGCCGCAAGTGCTGTCCAATGCCGCACTTCTCACGACTCTCCATTCCAGAGAGAACAAGATCGCGGATGGGTGGCGCATCACGAGATTGAGATTTTTTCTTTTCGTCTTCATCGGTGGAGCTATCTGGTATTTTGCGCCCGGTTACTTATTCACCGGCCTTAGTACATTCAGTTTCATCTGCTGGATAGTGCCTTCTAATGTGGTAATTAATCAGCTGTTTGGTCAGACGACGGGCCTGGGAATGTCTATCTTGACGTTTGATTGGGCCCAAATAGTCTATGCCAATCAGAGCCCTCTCCTGGTACCTTTCTGGGCGGGGCTGAATGTGATGGGGTCTTTTGCGCTCTTCTTTTGGCTGATTTGCCCGATTCTCTACTATACTAACACGTGGTATTCCGCCTATTTGCCTCTTCTCAACTCAAACACCTTCGACAACACCGCCCAAGAGTATCAGACCTCGCGCATTATGGATAAGGACGGAACGGTGAATCAAACTGCCTACCGAGACTACTCCCCCATGTTTTTGCCTGCTGGGTATGCGATGACTTTTGGAGTTGCGTTCGCCAACTTGACTGGCATTTTCTTCCACATTGGACTTTACCATGGCAAGGATCTGTGGAGACAGTGGAAGGGCACGGGTGAGCGCGATATCCATGCGCGACTGATGTCTACGTATCATCAGGTTCCCTGGTGGTGGTTTTTTGCAGTCACAATCCTCATGTTTGTTCTCAGCATTGTGACAAATGAGGTGTGGCATACCGACCTGCCGGTCTGGGCTGTATTGGTGGCCTTTTTACTACCAGTGTTCTACTTTATCCCCGTGGGTATCATCAAGGCCTTGACAAACATCAGCAGCAACCAGTTGAATCTGATCACGGAGTTCGTCGGAGGCTATGCTTTCCTTGGACGACCCATAGCAAACATGGTGTTTAAATTCTATGGCTACGTTGCCATTCAACAGGGACTTGAGTATGTCTCTCCTCTCTCCTTTGGCTGTGTGACGACTAAATTAATCTATCTTAGATTCGTTGCGGATATGAAACTTGCACACTACCTTCATATTGCTCCACGTACGCTTTTTGTGGCACAGGGACTTGCCACTTTAGTTGGAGCTATTGTTCAGTGTGGTGTGACCGTGTTCATGATCACCCGAATTGACGGAGTCTGTACATCCGACGCCGAGGGTAATTTCACTTGTCCTCATGGTCGCGTGACTTACTCTTCGTCTCTCATTTGGGGTAACAAATTCCTTGGACTTTCTCCACAGGGGTATATGCTGACTATTCATTAGGTGCTGTTGGCCCCGGTCGGTTGTTCTCTCCCGGCAAGACGTATAGCAATTTGCTCTGGTTCTTCCTCGTGGGTCCAGTCGTGGTAATCATTACCTATGTCCTTGGTCGTCGCTGGAGAGTTGTGAACTACATCTCTTGGCCGGTGGCATTTGGTGCAATGAGTCTGGTTCCTCCAGCCACAGGTGTCAGTTTCTCTTCGTGGTGGGTGATCAATGTCATATTCAATGGGTTCTTGAAACGCCGCAAACCTGCCTGGTGGTCTAAGTACAGTTCGTCATTTCCAGTTCTCAGCCGTTTCGTTATATCCTGCTGACTACTTTGAGATTATATCTTGTCCGCCGCGCTCGATTGTGGCGTTGCTGTATCTACTGTGATCATCTTCTTCTGCATCACCCTCCCAGCTGGTTCGTTGAGCTGGTGGGGTAACAATGTGTACTCTAATACTGCCGATGGTAAAGGCACACCCTACAAGCCTCTTCCTGACAGAGGCTATTTCGGCCCACCAAAGGGCTCATGGAATTGATCATTGTGGTTTTGTATTAAAGAAGCTGGCGTTTGGGCTGCCGTGCTTTTTATATCCATGCATATTTAATTGGCCGTTCATCTTAGCATATAGCAAGGGATCTAGCGCTGATATATTTCACTCTAATCCAACGTTTCATCGAAAGAGCGATTCGTGAGTGTTTCTGCTATACTTTCACGGAGCGCCCGCTCACATAGACCTTCGCAATATTCCTATCATCTCCAGTCATGATCCACTTCTCAAAAATCACGGAGACCGGATCCTTGTCTTCAATGGGAGTCATCACTCCCACATTCTCCTCATCACAATGAACCTCAAGGGCATCGAATTCCTTGCCAACGGCAAAATTCCCTATCTTATCCTCTAAGCCACAAACCTGAGCCCCGCCCAGCGTGGCCAGGAAAAAACCTTCAAAAAGGGTCAGTGCAGGGTCTTGGCCCTGGGTAGCGTCTTGTCGGGCGATTGAAACCACAAATGCCTGCCTCATGATCTCCAGCATAGATGTGGAGTGACCACCTCCACTATCAGTTCCCAACCCAACTTTGATACCCCGTCGGAGATACTCGCGTATCGGTGCCACCATGAAATAGTCCATGGTCGTGTTCGAAATGGGACAATGTGCCACACCGCAACGGAGTTCGCGAAGTGCTTCCATTTCCTCTTCTTCTAAAAAGATGCAATGTGCGAGGATCGAGCGGTCATTCAATAACCCGTAGGACTTATAAAGTTCTGTCTCGGTGCGAAATTCGGGAAACAGCTCTTTTGTGAAAAGCATTTCTCCCTTCGCTTCGTTAAAGTGCGTCTGGATTGGTAAGTCGGGATTCTCTTTTGCAATCGCCCCCAGCCCATTGAGCAGCTCTGGCTCGCAGGAAATAGCAAATCTGGGAGTAATGATCGGGCGCACGAGTTTGCTGTCCGGGTCGATGTTCTGAATATGTTGAATCAACGCTCGAGTCTGGTACAGAGAATCCTCGACCGATGAATCCCTATACCAGTCGGGTGAATTGCGATTCATATTGCACTTCCCCACCAAAGCACGCTGTCCTTTCTCCAGACAGATATCGGCCAGGATCTGTGTTGCTTTTCCGTGCAGTGATCCGTAGTACGATGCCGTCGTGATGCCCTGTTGCAGGAAACCTGATACACAAGAAGAGTACATGCGCTTAGCATAAGCTGGATCGGCGAATTTTGCCTCATGCGCAAAGGTAACGTCATTCAACCAGTCCAGCAGTGTCTTTCCACGACCGACTCCGCGTTGGGCCCACTGCGGCGCATGGTTGTGGGTGTCCACGAAGCCGGGACATAGGAATTGCCCGCGTTCCAGACACTTGACGGGAAACACATCTGGTGCGTATCCCAGGTCTGAAATGATGTCGTTGATTTCTTTAGGGTCGACTCCTGCTTGTAATGCTTGGATCTTGCCGGTCTTATCTACCAACAGAAAGCAGTTTTCAAGTGTTTCGAGATCATTTAGACTTCGGGAATGGATTATCGTGCCATGGAAGGCTATTGGGAGTCCCAATGTGGGTGAACTTTTGTCGAGTCTATCCATGAGTGAATAGGTAGAGAAATGTCTGAAAGATGAAGTGATGAAGTTGTGTTGTACAGTGGCTGAGGTTTATCTTATCATAGTGAGGGGTTTGCGTCACGACCAATAGCATGTGCGACGATCGGGCCTACAGTAGTTCTACGTTAACCAAGACCTTGCTGAGCTAATTGATTTGATACTGACGAACCCCAAGTCAAATGAGCCGAATACAATGTGTAGAAATTCATTGGTTGGTGTGCCCTTCCAATCCTTGCATAGAAAGAAAAGTGTAGGTGACCTTTTCTATGGGTACCATTACGCTAGTAAACCCTATAGAACATATTGTCAATTCAAGACCCTTTCGCGAAAGTCTTCAAAGAATCCTCGCTGCCATTCCACAGGTCTGAATCTCCTCCGTAGGTATACGAATCCGCGTTCTGCCAGATGCTCTGGTAAGGCCATCCCGAAGGGACACTGCTAATCGAGCTGCTGTATTGCGCTAGCACCAAGGGATAGTCGGCGCCGAACGCAGTGCTATCCGCAGTACAGGTTTTCCACCAATCGGTAGTGGTGTAGATCATGGGGTATCGGCCAGTACTGCTCTGGTATGTCTCTCCAAAGTCCTTGACCCAAGAGACCATCTCGGCGGTGCTCAAACCGTAACAGGTAGAACCTGACGGGTTGTATTCAAGATCCACCATGCCGGGGAGGGTTTGGCCGTCCGCAGACCAGCCTCCCCCATGCGCCAAGAAATACTTGGCCTGAGTCGCGCCGGAGCTGCTGTCGGGATGAGCGAAATGGTAGCCACCACGAATCAAACCGGCGTTGGTTGCACCTGTGTAGTGGCTCGAGAATGACGAATCTATGTATGTGGTGCCCTCGGTGGCCTATACTCTGGTCAGGGTGCCGAATAGACAAGGTAAATCAGGGGGAATTTGTTTCACCTTGATGATGACGAACCGAGCACCAGCTTTGTAGGCCGCAGAGAAGTCCACGGAGCCCTGGTAGCTGGAGATGTCGAAGCCCTGCACACCGCTAGTGCGAGGTTCTAGGGGAGTGGCATAAGCTGCCCCTGCAGCAGTAAGGAGAGAGAAGACAGAAGCTTTCATTCTGGTATAATGTTCAAATGATTGCTGTTGTCTTGTTGAAGACAATTGTGTGATATCATTGAAGGGGGACGTGACGAGCTATTTATCATCGCTGATGTGAAAGCATGGATCAATGCCGAAACACAATTGGATTAGCATAACTAATCGAGTGCCAAAATAACAAGCTCTTGGTGGTTGGGGGCGAATATTGGAAATGGGATACGAGGGATGCGATGCCGATTGTGGTATTTCTCGTGGACGATCGATGCACTAAGAGAATGCCGAGACAATGTAATTGCCCTGGACCCTGAAACACGCCCTGCAGAATCCGATCTGATTAGCTCGTCAGCTTGACGATATGCCCGGATATCAACTTGTTATACATTTTATGATTGTACATCTTGGACAGTCCCACTTGAAGTGTTTCATGATGCTCTTTCTAATTGACGGAACGTAACCTTATTCCTTCCAAGGCCAATGCAGATCGCAACTCGTATTCTACAAATAGAAAAGTTGATCAAGTTTAATGAAACATAGCCACGAGGTGACATCGCTTAGCAAACATGGCAGATCTTCAGTGTGGCAGTGACGGCACAGTTTGGATCGGCAAATCGGCTTCCCGTAAGCGAGCAGAGACTTGATTTCCCCGGAGATTGACTCCAACCCCTTCCCTTTCCCCACCTTTTCCCCCTCTGTACCCCTTGCATGTGTCTGGGTGGCTGAGATGGACGGAGCCAGCCGTCATGAACACGGGTAACAAGGACTTTCGAGACCAGCTGGGCAAGTTCCGGCTGGAGTCGATGGGCGGACCTTCTCCGACTTGGTCGCAACCCACGCCCACTGCCGACCCCGTTTCTGCCCTCGCCTCCACTCCAGCTTCGCGCAGCAAGCGCGTGTCCACGGCCTGCGACTTCTGTCGCAAACGAAAGAAGAAATGCGACTTTCGATACCCTAACTGCTCCGCCTGCACCCGTGCCGGAGTCCGCTGCACCATCCCCCCACCTGGTCCACAACTCACCAACACTTCCGTGCCCCGAGATCAGCTGGAGAACCTACAAAAAAGAGTACAATGGCTAGAAGAGGTTGTGCGCCGGAAGTCAGGTATCGCGGTCACCGACTTGGCCACCGGCACCCCGGTGGATGGTGAGGGCGACCCAAATTGGTGGTATCAGGTGCCGGCCATGATCGCGACTGGCGGTCGCGTCTCGGCGGCTTCAATACCCAGTCCAGCTGGCAGCGGGGGCTCATCGGCGACCGCGGCGCCGCCGGCGTCTGAATCATCAACGGGCGTGGGGACCGAGCTGCCAAATGTGGGCGAGATCTTTCGCGATCAGCTGGAGCATCGTCGGCCCTCGGTGGCGCGCCCTTCTGCTGCCCCGCGTGTGCTGCGTTTGTCGTCACTGGAAGCAGCGACACAGGTCGCCGGGCAGTATTTCGACAGCATGGGTTATCAATACCCGTTCATGTCGCGCCCCGAGTTTATGAATCACTTGCGCCACATCTACAGTGGTGACGTGCCGTCACCCGAGGTGCACAACATCTACCATATTATCATGGCAATCTCCTTATTGATTGGGTCCGCCGATCCAACAGAAGCGGCCGAGTTCTACCATGCGAGCCAGGAGACCCTGCCGTCAGCCTTGCAGAATGAGGATCTGCCTGCCATGCGGGCTTTACTGGGCGTGGCACTTTACACCATGTTTGCAACGTCAGGACCTAGTATCTGGCATGTGCTGGGAGCGGCCATGCGACTGGCTATTAGCCTCGGTTTGCACAAGGCGCGAGTTTACGAGAGTGTTGCGGAGGAAGAGATGGCCAAGCGCGCGTTTTGGAGTCTGTACAACCTAGATCGTCTCATTGCGAGCACGCTCGGTCGACCACTCGGGATCGCGGATGACGATATCAGCGTGAGTCTTCCACGGGAGCTCAATGATGACGGGACTGAAGCTCCGGGTGCCAGTGCGATGACGATCCCGCTGCAGGTGATTCGTCTTCGCCGGATCTTTTCGCGCATTTACCGATACTGTACGTCCTTTTGTTGACCCTACGGCGTGCCTGAATACTAATCGTTCCAGTGTACAGCAGCCTTCCAAGGCCTTCTTCAAGTGAGATTGGGGTAACACTGGGTCAATTCCGCCGCGAAGTGGATGAATGGCGCGTGTCAGCTCCGGTTTATCCTTCAGCACTCCTATATTCCACCTCCTACTACGACTACTTGTACTATACCACCCTTCTTCTTATGTATCGCCCGAGTCCACGGAATCCCACCCCCGATGTGACCAGTATCGTTAGCTGTGGCGATTCCAGCATCCAAGTTATTCGCTCATACTGGGACAGCTTCTCCGTTGGCAAACTGAAATGGATCTGGCTAACGCTCAGCCAAGTTTATTTCGCCGGCATCACCATTTTGTGGTGTCTGGAACAGAATGCTCGCTGTTTGCGTGAATTCCGGCCCACGCCATGGAATCCGGACGAGCAGATGATGCGTCGTGGGATTCAAGCGGTTATTGTGCTATTAGAAGAATTTGGCAAGCGGCGGCCAGGGGTTGACCGACTTGCTGAGACATTCCGTCACCAGAGCACAATGATATTCAGCCAAATGGCCTATCAACAGCAGCAATTAGAAGAGCAGCAGAGACACCAGCAACAACAGCAGCAACAGACACAACCTCTTATGCCACCTCAATCCTCAATATCATTGGCCCCACCACCGGCGCCTCCTGTTCCATTGGCTCCTGTTCTGGACGACGTTCTTTTAGTCGATGCCAGCGGAGCCATGCCTATGGTCGACCCACAAATGGCGGAACAACTGTTTTACTCTTACAACTGGTTCCAAGAAGAAATGGCGACTTATTATACCCTTTGAGACATCCTTTCATGATAGACCGACAGATGGAGTTGTGGTTTGGTTTAGCCTCCTCAATTAATGTATTAGCTAAATTAAAAGTAAATATATCATGCCTCATGTGACAATGCAACTGTTGATAGACTATCATGTTCAGATTCATAAATGTGGTCCCTAGATGGCTTAAGGGTAACGATATAGAACATTGCTCTTCCACCCAGAATACCTTAGGATATGGAAGACCGCCATCGGCTCTTGCTATTCAACCCTACAAATGATCTTACCGGCATTCACATTCGATTCCAATCGCTTATGAGCGTCCGATACATTCATCCATGAATAAGCCCGATCCACAGTCACCCGAACCTCACCGTTCTCCAAGTGCGGCATGACTTTCTCAAGAAAGACATCTCGGACTTGACCTTGATATACAGCATCACGAGTCCTCAAAGTAGTCGCCATCAACCAAATCCGCTTGTTGAGCAAAGCACGAAGATCAAAGTCATCGACTTTGCTTCCACTCAGAGCAGCCACAAGCACCATTCGAGAGTCCATAGCCGCAGACTTCATATTCTGGTGGAGGTAGTTCCGTCCCACGAGATCTACAATGAGATCTACACCCCGGCCATTGGTTTCCTTCTCCACGACTTGAGCAAAATCGTCGCCGGATTTATAATTCGTTGCGAAGTGTGCACCGAGAGATTTGCATAAACTGCACTTTTCGTCGCTCCCTGCGGTAGTGAAGATTTTTGAAGCCCCTCCTAGCCTGGCTAGTTGGATTGCAGACTGGCCGACTCCTGACGCCCCTGCATGGATGAGGACGGTTTGGCCGCGTTGAAGATTTCCAACGAGGAATATTGCCTGAATGGCTGTGAAGAATGTCTGAACGAGGCATTAGTCTGTTCGTTCCATCGTGCCCAGCGGCGTGTCTTACCTCGGGGATACCGGCTGCCTCTATAAATGAGAGACTTGGAGGCAATGGCATCAGCATCCTCTCTGAAACGACTATTTTTTCGGCATACTGTGGAGATACGTATGTCAATTTTTGCTCTTGTTAAGTCAGTCATGGGGTTTGTTGGCTCATACGGCTCCACCATATGCCAATCCGAAGACTTTGTCTCCTGGTGAGAATCTCTCGGTGCCTGTCATTAACGTATGTAAGCCGCCGATATACCAGACATCCTGATATTGGGTTCTTACACCCTTCGCCACGCTTCTCAACAATCCCACTGAACTCAACACCCATGATTTTGCCCGATTCAGGAAGCAGAGGGTAGGGGTATCGGTCTTCCCTCTGCATAATATCCATTCTGTTTAAGCCAAAGGCTTCAACTCGAACCAGGATGGATTCGTTTGCAAGAATCGGTTCAGGAACTGGGAAGCATTAATAAGACCCATGGGTAGTAAGGACGTTAATTCCGTTCAAGAACGAACCATTGGCATCAATGAACATAGCATCTGCATCTCCTTTGCCATTTTTGACCGATACTGCCCTCATCTTAGCGTTTGATTGGCTGGCTGTACTTTAGTGACCGGGACGCCAGGAATCTTGGAAAGCTTCGGAATATGAGAGATGGACGGTGGCGGTTAGAAAAATATATACAGAATCGACCCAATCAGGAAGAAACAGAGAAGATTTGGCTTAACCTTCGTTTCTCCGTACAGAATACAGTCGTGCGGACTGTGAGAATCCGTTACGGAGCGGTAGTGAGCGGAGGCTCATCGTCCGCTGTGGGGCAGAGCGGGGAAGTGCGTCACTCAATCTCTCATCTGGGGAACTTTACTGGGTGATATGGGAACAAGAACATGATATTGAAAAGGAATTTCAATGCTTTCGAAGCGCTATGAGCTATGTCGGCTGGGTGCTGGCATGATTATATTCAGCAAAAACCGTGGAAGGAGACGCCACAGGTTCATTCATAAACCCAAACAATAGATCCAGGTCCTGTGTAAACTCTGGGAAAATCGAGTAGTGAGTCTCGTCATCTGCAAGTTCGGGTAGCTCGAAAGTGGCAAAGGACTGGAAATCCAGATTCACATCCATGGTGTGGGGAACATTGATGTCAGGTTCTGTAGAGATAAAGGTTTAGCGATAGTAGAGAAGCCAGGAAATGAAGGCATGCTCACCGGGCTCAGGGGGAATATTGTTTGCCTCCATCAATCGTCGGATGATCTTAGCTGGAGCTGACACGCCACAGTTGGGTATGGCTAGTTCATCCAGGCAGCGCAGGCATATCGTCAACGGAGACGTGGCGTCTCTTCGTCGAGTTATCTCTTTAACTGAAGGGTTTCGTGCATGAATCGTGCAGGCAACATAGACAGCATAACTAAGCATATAATTGGCCCTACGTAGGGAATAGGCGGATCGATAGGCCAATGCAAGGCTGGTGATATTCCGGGCGGCAGTAATACATCGTTCCCATGAATGAGCCGGGCTATCAGTCGATTGGAGGTGTCCAGTGATGATAAAAGGTCGATGCAGCAAGATAATCAGGGCATTGAATGTAGTCAGAAGAATGATGTTGTTTGGTGCAGCTCCCGGCTGGTTGTCTTGTTCGTTCTCTGCCCAGGGCTCGAAGCGCAAATTAGCGGGAAGTTTGCGATACCAAGTAGTTAAACGTTGGTCAATCATGTCAAGATGTTTTCTTGCCACCTCACCGGTCGCTCCAACAACGTAAAATCGATCGATGATAATGGTCATAATTTTGGACAGGGAGCATAAATGCTGGAACACGGACACGGAATAGATCCGTGTCGGGGATGAAGGATATACTAGATCATTTGGAATTTTCGGGTCAATGTATGGCGTCCACAATTCATTCTCCTCAAAAGTATCCATAAAGTCACGAGAAACGTGAGCGTCCCGAAGTTGAAGGGTAAAAGGGCGGCCAAAGTATAAACTCTGCAGTTTGTCGCAGATGAAAGCTCCCCAAAACAGTCGGCGGCGAATCTCAACGTCTTCAGCACTACCGGCAACTTGTTTACAGTCAAGATGAAGTCCAAGATCGTAGACCATGCGCAGGGCATATCCAGTGTAGAGCCATCCTTTAGATATTTGTCCGCGGGCATTAAAGGTGCTTCCTAGCATGAGCAGTCCGGCGACAGTAGGAATGCTTGAATGAGTAAGAAGTGATCGCTCTGCCAGGAGCTGGTCACATCGATCAAAGAAAAGCTTCCCTGCCGTCTCGGGACGGGCTGGGTCAGATCGAACCTCCAATCGCTCTGAAAACTTACTTGAGCATGCAAATACCGCGTTTACTAGGAAGTCCGAACAGTAGGGTCCCCCCTGGACGAGGTCTCTCATGAAAGCTGGGCGGTATGTCAGCAAAAACGTGTGATGTTGACGATTCCAATGAAGGTCAAGTAGGTGCGTTGCTAAATCCGACGGCAAACCCGCTATTGAAGGCTGACGGAGCAAATCATATTCTTTTTGGCGTTGCAACGCGGCGTTTGCAATCAATCGATGTCGATCAATCTCCGACTTGTTCTTTGAGTCTGATGATTCAGTTTGACTGATGGGGCTGCCGACATGAAATGTGGACGATGGCCCAAAGGCACCCAAGGCACCACACTCGTCCCGCGACAAAAAGGGTGTTGGGTCATAATCGTCATCGTCTGAGCTTGAGTCAAGAGGCTCATCACTTGCAACGGTTGCAGAGGTGGCGGGTTGCCATCGCTCTGGATTTTGAACATTGGCCAGATCGAGAGATCCGTTCTTAATGGCTACCGAGTTCAGAATCCCGTCGCGCTCTTTGGGATCCGCATCCTTGAGGGCCAAAAGAACATTCTCCAACGCGCTCTTTTGTCGGTTGGCCTCGTTAATCAGAGCACGTGAAGGTCTGGCTATGTTACGTCCGGTGGTCAAAATTCGGTGCTGCAATCACTCACCTTTGCTTGGGCGGTTCAATGACATAGATACAGCGACGGCCATGGGCCTGACATGAGCCACAGCTGGGCTTGACCGTGTCGCATCTGATTTTCCTGGCGCGGCAGAATTGACATGCACGATTGGGTCTGGGCTGAGGACCATTAGGCGACGAGCGATGGGTTGGGCTCATGTTCCAAGTCCCTTAATCCCTATTGAGGGGATATGCGCCAAGACAAGATTCATCTGGGGAAAGAGCTAACTGGGAGGGGGCTACGACACCTGGTTCCTCAGGCAACAAGCCATGTTCCAATCTCCGACATTTGATTGACAAAGACGCTCGATGGATTGGGCTTTATTTTCCAGGGCGAGTGAAGACCACAGAGTCTGATCTTATGGATGCCAAGTTTGCCATGCTTTGAATACCATCGCCCCAACGACATCTGGAACTAGACGCGGGGCCTGCAGGGATAAATGACATCAATGTCACCAACAAATGACAGCACAGAGATTAGTCAAGATGGGAGCCGATCATCCGAAATTCTACAAAATACTCAAGTGTGTGTATTCTACTGGAACGTTGCTCGAGAACCTTGGAATTGATATTTGAATGATGGAAGGTTGGAATATCCCTAGAGGAACAACTTGTTCGGATTCGTGACCCATAACTTTTGCCAAACTTCATCACTTGGGATCCATTCCCGCAACTTCCGAATATGAGCATCGTCATTCACCTCTCGAAAACCCTCCACCTCCTCTATCCTCTGTTGATCTGTCTTTCCCTTCCGCGTCACTCCCAACTGCGTATGAGGCCAGTCGGTACCGAAGACGATTTGATCTGGTCCAGCTTCTAAAACGGCCTTGACAATGGGCTCAATGGCCCTCATCTGCGTCTCATGCCCATGGTAAAGCCGTTCGAATCCCGAAACTTTCACCCAGACCTTCTTCTCCCGCACCAGATCAAGAAAGGTAGCGAATTCCGGGGAGTTTTCTTCTCCAGGAAAGGTTCCTCCAAAGTGATCAGCGACCATCTTGACTCGAGGGTCCATGGCACGGATCATATCCGCCATGGCAGCCCATGCTCCGACTGGGCAAAAGACGCCAATGGCCCATTCCAGTCTAGCAAGACGGTGTGCCAAAGCTTCAATCTTCTTTGCGATGTCCCCAGCCCCATTTTGCTTGCCATGTCCCCAGGACATTTCATGGAGGCGAGCCCCACGCACACCAGCAGCATGAAGCGCGTCTAGCTCTTCGTCCGTTATACGGAACGGATCGATTGTTGTGAGCCCGCGAAGAGTATAGCCATCCATGTGGCTCTGCTTGTTCAGCGCGTCGATGAGGGGAGCGGGAGATTTGCCTTGCATCGATGCCTGAACAATGACGATGTTCCTACAACCAGTGGTGGAGGCAGGATACTCTGCTATCCGGGCAGGCTTTGGAGTATACGACCGAGGAACGGCGTACGGGAAAGCCTCTGGATCAAACACATGGATGTGTGTGTCCCATCCACCATTTGGTACAAGATCGGCCATGCTGAAAATGATATGCAATGACAAGATTTCTGCGCAGAGCTCGCAATTGATTGGATTTGGTCTTTTATTCTCTTTGTTTGCATAATCATGTCGCCCTTATCACTGGGAAGTTCATTCTTATGTCATCGGGAGGACTTTGCTCTCGCGCGAGATCACGGAGGAACGTTGCCCGTGTGAGGGGAACTAAATTCACCAAGGGCCCGGCACATTTTCACAACATTACGTGACACAGGAAACGATGTTGAAAGGGGGGAGGATGGATGTCGGGGCTGACCCTATACCAACGTCTTACAACCTGTGGTAGGGAATCATTGTCAACTTATCCAGCATTTCCTACAGGGAATATATACCTCTAAAGACTACCTGACCTCGATATTATAGGACTGTAATTTGGGAAACAAAACATATTGTGAACATGAAATCTTAAACCTGGGGGATATAGACACAGGTTGGCAAGATCCATCTTCCAGTAGGAGGACACTGTTTAGCATTGTATTGATGTCAGACCCTCGGGGCTTGGGGCTTCCAAGGTTCGCGTACCCCGGATTACCGACTCCGCATCCCCACCTTTCCCCAGATTCATACTTTCAACTGCCAAGACGTATCGAGATACTCCGTTCCAATGGCCAACGGGGCTCCACATTGCAATATATAATTCTTTTGATGTGTGGGTTTACGATCGCTACGGGCTTCGCCAATACTTTCCCTCAGCTTATCGCTTGTCGATTATTATTTGGTAAGTCAAGGATTCCTATCTTTTAAAGGGATTCGCTGTTCGACTCATCACCTCTATCAATAGGAATTGCATATGGTGGCACCTATGGACTCGTTATGTCCACCGTCTTGGAGGCAGTCCCCGAACGGGCGAGGGGTGTTGTTGCTGGATTCACGCAACAAGGGTTTTCCGCAGGTTATCTGTTCGCATCTGGCTTACATCTTGCAGTGGGTGAGTGTGTGTCCGACCAATCTGTCACTCATCAACTAAGTTCACCATTCTTCCTAGACCCATATGGTTGGCGATCTCTATTTTGGCTCTGTGGTGGCCTAGCAGTACCTATCCTGTTACTTCATCTTCTGACGCCAACTCATTCCGTGGTGACCGCAACGATACAGGAGACCGATGGCGATCAACCTATCAACGACCGTGCTGCCGTTGGTGGTAACTTGCCCTTCCTGAAAAAGCTGAGATATGTCCTCCGCTATCACTGGAGACCTTTTGTGTACGCCTGCTGCTTAACGTCCTGTCTTGCAACCTTGGGACACGGGACTATGGATCTTTATCCGACCTTCCTGGTCACACAACGCGGCCTCAACATTCACCAGGAAACTTGGGTGACATGTATCTTGCAGATTGGTGGCATCTTGGGTGGAGTTACAGGAGGCTTTCTTTCACACCGGATCAGCGCGAAGTGGGTCGCAGCTGGAGCGGGTCTCTTAATTGCACCCTTCCTGCCTTTGTGGACTCTTCCTAAGTCTTGGCACCTCCTGGCCCTAGGAGCATTCTTTCTACAATTTTTTTATGGAGCCGCGATCGGGAACTTGGGGAATCTGCTTCAGCAGCTTTGCCCGCATCCAGGAATTCGGGCTGCCTTCACTGGGGTTGCATACAACCTCGGGAATGCTGAAAGTATTGATTTTCTCCGGTTTGGTGAGCTATGCAACCTAATATGGGGGACTATCGCTAGGTTTCCTCAGTCGCTCCTACAATCGAGACGGCACTGGGCGAGCGATTCCCTCTTAGTGATGGGACACCTGATTACGCCCGTACGCAAATGACCGTGGTTGGAGTAGTAAGTCATGCTCTCAACTCCCACAATGAACCATGATTCTAACACAGTTAGGTAATTTTTCTACTAGTGACAGTGCTATCCTTGATGCCCCTGAAGAGCCTCAATAAGAGCTGGGACCAGGAAGATCCAAATAGAGATATTCCCAGTCAAGCCGCTATGAATGATGACATGATTATTGAATCTACCCGAAAGTCTGATGAGAAACCGACCTGCGAGATGATTGCTTAGTCTAGTGTCATATGGAGGTTGATCGTATATAATTAAGCTTTCCCTGGGCCGCGTTCCTCAGTGTTACGAGGTAGTGATATATGATTTTCCACAATGGCGAATGGTTCAATTGCAAATTCATTCAAAACAGAATGACAAGAAGAAGCAATTAAATAAGCATTTTCCAATTGTAAATCATTTCAAGCCTTCCTATATTGAAGAGGAAGTTGAACATATTAGGTTTCTGTCGCACGAGCGACAAGGCCCTTCTCGTTCTGCTCCTCCGGAATCCAGGACTCGTCCACAACGTCTGCAACATACTGCTCGCTATCAAGGTGTCTGAATCTCCACCAGAATATTATAGTTTGCAGCCCCAAAGCCACAGTGGGAGCTCCCCAGATCCAGATCAGATAGGGGTCTTTAGTGACCGGAACCAAGATCTCGCCGATGGCACTTGACAAAGCGTTGGTAAAGAGGAAAATCGCCATCACCAGGCCCTTCATGCTCTTGGGAGATCGGGCATAGGCAAGCTCGTAAGCGGTGACATTACAGAAGCACTCGCTTAAGGCTCCAAGAGACAGATTGGGGATCTGCCACCAGATGCTAATGTTTGCAACTTCCGAGCAGGTGGATGCATACGATCCACACGGCGAAAGGCTGTACACCTTCCATTGCACCAGGGTGCCAGCAAGACCTGAGATCATTGCAAGGATGAATCCAAACGTTATACGAGTGATTGGGCCGATTCGAATGTTGCGACGGTCCAGAGCTGGGTAAATTCCGTAGGTCAGGATGGGGATGAACACAATGATGGTGATAGCGTTAAAGTTGCTGAGGAGGTCATTGGGTGCGCCATTTGTGACCATCGATGCGCCTTGGTTTGTGGAAACGGAACCGATGCCTCCATCATTCAGAATCCAAATGGGCATGAAGCAGAAGATGTCACACGCAGCTAAAAGAAGCGAGTAAAGTCAGCGTGCGAGACAAAAATATGTTCAGTGATGCATAGACATACCCATGGTCTTGGCAACCTTATCCACAGCACGGTCAGTCCATTCAACTGTGATACCCTTGGCCTGCAAGGTTGTCGGCTTGACTTCATTCCAGAAATTCTTGCGCCACACTTGAAATTTGTTGTGCTTTAGGGCGGACATCATAATTTTGAAGGCTTGAGTGATTTCTTTGCCTCCATTAGGAGGCTCCTTGTGGGTCTTCTTGTAGACCGCAAACAGCAGAATGGGGAGTAGGAAGTAAATGATTCCTGATAATAGAAATGCGAGCCAGTAGCCAACATACTTTTCGGCATATGTAGTGGCAAGCATGTAGAAAGCACCCACGTTGATAAACCCATAGAACAGAAGCATTGTTCGAGTGGCGGTTGCTTCCGGGTCGACAATGACTCTCTCTCCAGATTTCAAAGTCTTCACATAGGCTGTCTTGTGTCGGTTTTGATCCAGAATGGTTGGTGCAATGTTGGGCTTGAAGATTCCAGCACCCACTGCCAGAATCAATAGTCCGACAATGAATGGTGGGGCAGCGTGACTTCCACCCGCTTGGAGGACTGATGGGATAGCACCGATAATCTGGATAATATGGGCAACACCGCAGATCAGGACGCCGACGATGATGGCCTTGTAACGGCCAACGTATACATCGGCCCACCAGCCTCCGAAGATGGGAATGACGTACGCCAGGAAAACGAACAACAGGACCAGCGCATCACTTGCCTGCAGACCCATATTCAGAGCGCCAGCTGTCTCTTGTGATCCTCTTGGAGGTGCACCTGCTCCATTACCACCTAGGAATTTATGTTTAACCATTGTCAGGAAAGATAAAGACGAGTGGTAGGCATACCCTTTGGTAGCGGAAACTCAATAAAATTAGAGAATACCGTATAAGCACCATAGTATGACGCACGCTCAGCAAGCTCTACCAAGCAAAGCGAGAAAGACACAAGCGGCATGGATCCTGCCACTTTCCGGAGCGTTGAGTTCTCTTCCTCTGTGGGAGCTGGGTAGTCATCTTCTGAAGAATCGAAGATGACCTCACCCTCACCCACCCGAATCTCCTTGGCCTTCTCAGAGGAAGAGGTTGTAACTGCAAAGCTTTCGGTGCTGACTTCTACCGTTCCAGCCCCCTCCACGATATGGTCTTCTCCGATTTCTCGTGCTGCTAGTCACACAAGTTAGTTACTTGAAACGTCTTCCCCATCGAGGGGTGTTATTTACCCATTGCACCAAATTTAAAGTCCTCTGTAGCAAAGGTCAAAGAGCCGAAACGTGAAATCTCCGATATCAAGCCCTACTCATTTCCTTATATCCTGAAACTGCCAGACATCACGATGCACGGACCACATATTGAAGACGACACTTACGCGTCCACGTCGACAATCTAGAGCCAATCTCCGCCTCAGCCTGCTTTATCTGAGTGGTGGACAAGCATGTTTGGTGGGGATATCGTGAGAAGCTAAAAAGGTCCACGGCGCTAGTGGACCCCTCACGCTATAGAGATAAGGCATGGCGAATGTTGCTCATGCAATCTCAAGGGCTAATAACAGCAATCTAAGCGAGCTTGTGCCACAGGGCTATGGGATGCAATATCCTTGATTGGACCGTAGACACCAGATAGCAGGTTTCTTCCACTGCTCTATCTTCCCTTCCCCCGCTCTACCACCTGTTTGAGCCGTACAATGGGCTGATAGCTGTATATAGCCTTCTTTCCCTTCTCAGTAGAGCCTGCATATTTCATTACCATGAGGTTAAGCTATTTTGTCCTGGTCCGGCGGAGTTCCGCGCATTACCCCTGCAATCCAGCGTTCATAAACTGGGTACCGGCAAATATATCTCTGCGCCAAAAGACCGAATATCAAGCTCTCATCCCGATATCCACCTAGTGGCGCTTACACCAATCAAGTGAACCATGAGATCTCACTGTTCGATTAAATATCTTCTTTATCTTGTTTCTCTTGGCAAGGGGAGAGATTATAGCCGACATCGTGCCGGCAGTGATATGCAGAGTTCCATACATAGGCTAGGTACATCTTTTGTTTCGCATTGACAATCTGGTGATCCAACTCGTGGACAATATAAAATATAATCATGGATAATGATATCAAAGCCAGATAATGGAGAATTCTCGGCAACTTTCCAGAGCTGGATATTGGAAAAAGGGGGCCCTAATGATTCCGCGCTAATGTTGTGGGCCCCGGTTCACACCATCTAAACAGCAGATTGCGTTGCATCTTGCCACCTTTGGTTTCCCTACCATGCACCCTGCGTAAAAATTGAAAAAATCTATACCTTGTCACCTGCAGGTGGCTTTCCTTTACAACGGGGCAAATTATCATGCCTTTCGTCGCTTAGGTGATGACAAGGCGTCATCCCACGAAGCGAATAAAATTGATAAGAACAAGAAAGATGAGTGGATCTGTGGATTTCAGAAAGCACACACAGTGCAAAAAAGACCCAAAGTATGAATTGAAGCTACCTAAGGTCTTTTCGAAACACAATACCAATCAGTGCAATGGTCACCTCGTTTGGTGGCGCTGTAAAAGCCTATCGGGATTCTCCGCTGCGGTGGCATTGCATGCAAGGATGACTTAGAGCACGAACCCTGCATGCCCAACGAGTAAATTATAGCTTCTACAGGGAAGTGTCAAGTACTGGAATAATCTCTGTAGCCATTTGGTAATTGAGAAGCTCTTATCATAGTTCACCCGTCAAACTCAGATCTACCCGTGTCGATATCCGCCTCAAGCGGATGCACAAATGACGGCCTCATAATGAATTTGTGCCCAATATACAGCACAGAAAACAAGATCAGACTCAGGTAATTGATGAAGAAGTCTGTCACGCTGAAACTTGGGATAAAAGAAGTAAACCCTTGCGTGATAATGATCAAGACATTAAAAAACAGTCCATACCAAGACAGGTATGGTTGCCAAGTCGCCTTATAAGGCAAAGTGTCTCGTGAAATCCCACGTGCCTCCAAGGCTCTCATAAAGCCAAGATGGCAAATGATAAGGGATGACCAGGTAATAAACCCTGCCAAGCCAGCGATTTGCAATAGCCAGTTGAAGACGGTACTCCCGGCATTGGAGACATTCAAAAAGCCCAGAAGGCCGAAAAGGGCCGTAAATCCCACACTTATGTATGGTACTCCCCACTTGGTGGTTTTGGCGAAACACTTAGGCGCAAAGCCCTCGTATGATAAACCAACTAGGATTCGACTTCCGCTATAAACATTAGAGTTGGCGGCCGAGAGTACCACTGTTAAGAGAACAGCATTGATGATTGATGGTAGAACATTCACACCAGCACGCTTGGCAGCAATGACAAACGGTGCTGAGTTCGCATTGTTAGCACTGGCACCACTTCCTTCACTGCCAGTGAGACGACTATCAGAGGAGGGAACAACGATCCCGATGAAGAAAATGGTCAAGATGAAGAAGAAGATAATTCGGAAGAAGGATTTACGGATGGCGGATGGGATTGTCTTTCGTGGGTTCTGGGTCTCGCCTGCGGCAATACCAACCAGCTCTGTGCCCTGGTATGAGAATCCGGCTTTAATTAGGACGGCCCAAAAGCCGATGAATTTTGCTAGCGCATCTTGATCGGGATTGGTGAGTAGATATGCGTTGAATGGGCCTGGATGTACCCAGTATCGGAAGCCAATATATCCTTCCTTGCCGACGCCGGCATTCATACAGATGGCAAAAATCATGAATCCAATCACTGTCAATACCTAGATCTTATTGTTAGCAAGCTGATAGTGTCATGAAGAAGGGTCTTCACTAACCTTGATACTAGATAGCCAGAACTCGGTTTCACCGTAGTAACTGACGGGCATCAAATTCAAAGCAATGATCACAACCCAGAACACTGCAATGAAAACAGCGATGGGGACTGACTTCTCCCAGTACTGGATGATCATCCCCGTAGCGGTTAACTCAAGTGCAAAGGTTGATGCCCAAGAAAACCAGTATATCCACCCCATTGCAAAGCCAAGGCTCGGATCCACGAGACGTGCCGCGTAGGAAGCAAATGCTCCGGATACGGGCAGGAAGGTCGCCACCTCCCCTAGCGAAGTCATGACTGAGTATACGATTGTTCCCACAAAAACATAAGCGAGAAGAGCCCCAACGGGCCCCGCGTATGAGATTGCGGTTCCGCTGCCGATGAATAGTCCAGTTCCTATAGTCCCACCTGTGTTGACGTTAGAATTGATTTCTGTACGGTAATCACACAGATCGTACCAATTGCGATCATGGATAAATGTCGGCTTTTCAGTCTGCGTTGTAAATCAGGCAATTGATTCATTTCTCCAGTCACACCCTTCTCCTCCGCACTGATATCATATTGGTTCGCACCATTATCTCCGGAAATGGAATCTTCATTGTTCTTCTTTGGTAAATCGGCATGGTCGGTAGGCAGCTCATTAATCATTTTCTGCTATATTCGAAAGGTACTAAACAACCTCCGTCAACAAAATGCGAGGAGCAATGAAATTGAAGATATTATATTCGATAGTCAACGGCACTCTCCGCGGGTCGTTCTTCTACTTTCCGGGGCCCCAGGAAACTCCGCACTGCGCCGGGCCGGGACAGATCCAAGGATCGTCGATGATCCACCAGTGCGACCGAAAGAGAAACTCCGCGCGATGGGAATAGTGGGCCCCTGAAATAACACTTTTGGCACGGTGGGGCATCGGGCGATGGACCAGTCACCGCCGAAGAACCTCGTTTTAGCATGAATCTACAGCGTTAGCAGTCCTGTCTATGATGCACTTCCCCCACTGTGCCCAGCAGTACCGGGCCGGTGTTGAGGAGAGGTGGACCGTGGACCCATTGAACGCGAAATCTGCATTTATTTATCTAGACGCGGGGTAATAGTGGACAGTAGGTAAGGCGTATTATTCAATTAATGTAGTCATGCCTTTATGCGCATGAACAGTTGCCCAAGGACTCGGGCATCCAATTGCAGATATCAGAATCCAATGTTTCTCTATTCAAACTCACCCATACTATCATAGAAGCATTGAGAGGAGTAACCGACATTATAGAAATAAAGCAGCCATCATCAAAAGCTCCTGAACCCTTCAAGATCATCCTGCCGTAGGTGTGAAGCAACGCGTTGGAAGAGAATATGTAGTAGGGTCAATTCAAGGCCACGGGGAGGATATGGACAACATGGTTTTCATAAAAAGCTGAATTTTTCTGATCTAAACATGCAGACAAACATTTGCGAGATTGATGTTACTCCACTTTCATCTCTTTCTTGCCAAAACGGTCTCGCAGGGCAACCAGTTTTCCCAGGAGCCGACTCTTCAAGGTTTGGGCATTGAGAGCAGCCGCTTCTTCCACGGAAACAACCCGCCGCACCAGGATGTTGAAAACAGTGCCAAACGCAAGCGCAATCACGGTGCTGGTGAGGATAATCACATTGTATGGCATACTGAAATCCGGTGTCGGCAGCGGAAGAAGAAGACTGGTAGTCCGAATGTATATTGGCCGGGAGTTCGCACCATCTAATACTCGAATCACCGCTGGGGCAACGTTGAAGCCTCGATTGGCATCTGGCGGGTACTCCGTGTAACGCAACACAGCCTTCTCGAAGTCATATGTCAGGGTGACGGTAGAAGCGGCAGGGACGGAGAGAGCAAGTTCTAGCTGGGTTCCACGTTCACGATCAATAGCGGGTCGGTAGAACGTCTCAGTTACGAGGTCAGACGCGGGGATCTCCCGACGTACTCCACCGCGTCCGGTAATAGTAGCCTGCAAAGTGTGGATATAGGGACGTAGGAACCAGGGAAGCGATTCGAAGTAAATAAAGTCTACCGCCTTGGTGTCAGATGGGTTGCCGAAAATAATGCGCATGCCGCCACGCTCCTGCCCATGTCCAACAATCGTTCGCTCGGCATGAAGGACAGGCTCCTGAAGGGGCACTTCGGTCTGGACTTGTTGCTCTGGGATTGAGATGTCAAAAGGCTCGGTAGAGGGCAAAGAAAAACAGCGGGTGAAACCGTCATCTTTCTTTAACTCCAAGGCCCCGGGGGTTGTGAAAACTCCCTTTTCATGAGGCACCCGAAGACAAACGGATTGTTCACTCGAGTCCGCGAGAGGGCAAATACCATTCAAGGTTTTTCCAAAGATCTCATTCAGTCTCCACGCCTTGTCAATAACTTTTTCCAAAGGATAACAGGTGTCGTCAGCGTTGTAATGCTTGGACGTATCACAAACGAGTTGGTCGTTTGAAACCGGTCGTGGAATCGGATTATCTAGGATGGGTCAATCAATTGCATCCTAAGCAGGATGTAAGTGGTAATGACGTACCTCGCGGTCGCTTCGAGCGTTCAATGTCGAGAACCATGTCGACCGTTTGTTCAATTTGAACAGTGCATTCACCATCTGATGAGCAGATTGGTTGCACATCAACCGACATGCTTTGCCATGCGGCATCGAATAATTTATGACCATCGAAAAGAGTCGAGATTCCAGTTTTGCCCTTGCATGGAAGCAATTTCAAAAACGGCGTGAGGTTTTCGGTACAAACCACCTCTCCGGGCAATGTCCCATGCAGAAGATGTAGTGAGCTGGCGTCAGGGTGATTTCCCGTGGGCTCAAATGAGACGACTGGTCGTGTTGTTCGAGTCGAGTCAACGAAGTTCAAGGAAGCGCAGAACAGGCCGGATAAGGATTGGGTCAAGGTGATCCATTTTGCGAATGCTCTGGATAAAATTCAGCATGCATATCCTCAAGTTTGTGTACAAGCAACGTACTCCGCATCATCTGCTGCGTCAATCCAGGCCCAGAGCTCCACGCCAGTGCCTCCTTCCTTACTACCATTCCATGGCCGTGAACCCCAGCTATCTGCATCCCATCGTCCTGTAGTAAAACGTAGGTGAAGCTCTTTTGTATGCGCGTGTTGAAGGATCTGGCCAAGCGCTCTTGGCACGTATCGAAAATGCTGGTTGTCGAATGATTGTTGTGAGGTATTACCCCGGAAATTGAACGAAGCTAGGAGGGAGGACTGAGGCAGAGGCTGGAGGAAGAGTTGTTCATGGTAGTCTGATGAGGCTGAAACAGGTGAGCTCCATAGTGTGACAGCGAGTGCCAGCAGCAGAGAAATTAGTGAGGGGATCGTCATCACTTCATGCCGGAGCTCGGTTTGCGCTGCCCCTAGTCCATGCGAGATCCAGCAGGATGTAAACTCCCGGAGTGGTGTCGACCGACTTACGACCAGATGCACAGGATAGCCACAGGAGAGACCCTGGAACTTGCCGCTGGACTTGTACAATCGAGACAAATGTTCGAATGGAATGGGGGTTACAGCTACAGGCCGAAGCAGTCCATCTGGTCTGTTGATCGCGCTCTCACCGCCTTCTGTAACGCCCGCGCGGAACCATCAACGTCCAGGCTTCTATACTTCAGTCAACAGGTGCTGATATCTATGATCATGGTCTTTGATCAACGAGGCATACATAATTTTGCAAGGGTCGCTCAATAGCTTGAACAAGCAAGGCAAAACATATATCTATGTCTTCCAACTGATGTTCTATCGCCAATTCACTCGCCCCCACAGGCCTGAGGACTCTGAATATGATTCTTCTTCTTCTCATCACCTTCAACATTATATCTCTGGGCCTACGCTGCCACTTGCTCATCTTTTGAGTTACCCAAATCCCATCTCTTACTTATTGCCAGCCATGATGTGCATCAACCTTCTCCAGCTGGTCCTTGGGGCTTTCATGCTCCTTTCCGTAGCATCTTCCATCAATCCAATTTTCGAGGACGTCACTCCTGCCGGATCGTCTGCTGGGTCTACTACCAGCTCTATCCCCAGGTCAACAACGACTAATACCAAGTACTTTACCCAGAAGGGTGTCGGTGCCTTGACCACCGCGGACCTCACCCAAGACGTCATCGTTATGCTCGGTAGAGCGGCTTTCACTGCAATGGCTCTTTAGGAATGGGGAGAGTAATGATGAATGTGACTGCTTTAATACGGTCCATAGTCCAAGAACCCGATGGTTTTTGAAACCATCACGGATAACCAAGAGCAATTGACCAGTAATCTCACAGACTTAACAGGCTGATAACATAATTATTGGAATAGATCATCAAATATATAAAAGACTCAAAGTACATATATCCGTGGAATATGCGGTGGGGTATGTATGGGCCACACGTGCGACCGGAATGCGCGCGAAATTAAAATGATAGTTTTGTATCCTGTCCTCAACCTGATCACCTTCGGAGAAGTCTCCTTGGAATACCTCATCTCCATCAACAATCAGCTGTAGCGTCACTCAGTGCGCTAAACTCCCAGCCCCCTGCCACCGCTCCTCACTTGTCCAATAGCGGACCACACTCTCCCAGGCAGGGATGTCACCATCTCGGAGTAGCGCCGCAACATCCACATTTAGTGGGGAGTCGGGCTGCGGGTCCGTCAACAGCTGTTGAATGGCGGTGAGAGTTGACGAAAGCGTGTAAACAGGGCTCCAGTGCTCGGTAGTCAGAAGTGTCAGACAGATCTCGCCGGTCGTGAAGGAGATATTAGGGTGGGAAATTCGGGTGGTGAAGTTGATGGTGGGTGGCGCAAGAGGGTAGTTATGTGGGATGGCGATGCGGAGATGCCAAAGGCCGCCTAGGAAGCGTTCATCGTGGTCAGCTTGAAACAGAACGCACAACAGGGCGAACATTGATTCGTATCCAACAAATTAGAAGCACGTCGAACGTACCTGCATAGGGAGATCCATTCACGCCCTTGAGGACCGCCTCCCAGCGGAGCAAGTCCTCCTCATCAACAGGACCGAGGTGGAGGAGAGCTTCATTGGGCGACTTTGCGTAATCTTTAAGCTCGCGCAGAAGGCGCTGGGTTGTTTGACCTGACGGAGCTGCCATCATGAAATAAAATACGCGTCCAATAAATGGAGAACAGAAGACGAATGCAACAGGTCCAAAGTCGGGGAGTTGGAGCAGATCCACGAGGGTGGGACCGAGGTAGAGAAACAGGGGATGGCCGCTGATTGGCTGGATGATGCTTTGGTTTTTCCCCAGTGTGATTGGGAGCAGAATCCACCATGTCAAGAGGTTCCCACCTCCACTTATGGCTTTCTAGTGGACATACCGCTCTACCCCACAGAATGCGCACCTCGAGAGCTTCTAAAGAGACCTCAAGAGTCTTGCAGGCCCTTGCATCTCCTCCGCGGCGCCAGACACGAAGCAGAACATCGCTTAACGCGAGTGCCTTGCGCAACTCTGCCTTCAATGGCGATTCGACTATGAACGCCGAATTGATTCCGACAATCGCCAGCATTCCACGTGATATGGATGATGATGAATCTTCATTATCATCGGCTAATACCACTGACATCGAAGACCTCCTTTCTCCGCCTAAGAAACGCCGGAAGCCCAATGCGAACACTAGTCCCCTGCCTGTCCCCCGTCGCGTCTCAAACGGGCTGCCTCGACAGATGAATGTGCAAGATGAGCCCGAGGAGAAGACAAATTTTGCACAATGCACGACACCACGCTCCACGACACGACATTCATCAGCGCGGACTACTCGGAATGCCCGCTCTGTCGTGGAGTCGCCATCCATCAAGTCTGAGCAGCCGATCGTGAAAGATGAACCAGAGGAAAAGAAAGTGCTCCCACAATCCAAAGCCCGACGACTGCCAGCACGCCGGACTCGGAATGCCGAGGGATCTGTTGTCATGGAGCCGCCGTCCAATTGGGAGGTGATGTACGACACAGTAAAGAAGATGCGAGAGGATAACCCGACAGCACCAGTCGATACCATGGGCTGCGCAGAGCTCTACTGGCGCGCATCCTCGCCTAGGGACCGCCGTTTCCAAACCCTGATTGCACTGATGCTTTCATCACAAACAAAAGATACGGTGACCGCCGTTGCCATGCAACGCCTGCACACCGAACTTGGACAGCCTGTCATGAGTACCGAGCCTACTGGAGACATGAAAATCAAAGCCGAAGACGACGACACGCAAATGGTAGAGTGTAAAGAACCAGACAGCACGCTGAATTTGGAAAATATTCTTGCCGTCTCACACGAAAGACTCAACGAACTGATCCACACAATTGGCTTCCACAACAACAAAACAAAGTATATCAAATCTGCTGCTTTGATCCTCCGTGACCAATACGATGGCGACATTCCATCCACCCCAGAGGGGCTGATGTCTCTCCCTGGTGTGGGTCCCAAGATGGCGTACCTATGCATGAGCGCCGCATGGGGTAAACACTTGGGTATCGGTGTGGACGTACACGTCCACCGGATTACAAATCTATGGGGCTGGCATCAGACCAAGAATCCAGAGGAGACACGCATTGCTCTACAGTCGTGGCTGCCCCACGAGAAATGGCATGAGATCAACAAGTTGCTCGTTGGTCTTGGACAGACGGTATGTCTACCTGTGAAGCGCAGATGTGGGGAGTGCTACCTTGCTGGCACAAAGCTTTGCAAAAGCGAGGTCAAGGGATCAGCGGCTCATCCCAGGCCGGATCCTAAGCGTGAGGAACCAAGGATCAAGATTGAGACGGTTGTTGAGGCGGTTTCCGCTCCTGATGAGCCGGAGATTAAGACAGAGGCGGCTGTCAAAACTGATCCCATGCTCGGGGAGCGGAAAGTGAAGCTTGAGAGTGTACCATAGTGTATGATACTACTCGAGGGATACTATCTACTTAATAATTTTTCGGAACATACATGTGTATTTACACTCTCGGATTACCTCTGGGATGCAAGAAGCCCTGTATATCATGCAAAAGGGTATAAATAAGGTCACCACCGAAGACTGACTATAAATGGGTACTGTACAAAAAGAGACCAGCTCTATCATATGCGAAGACAAGGGCGCACTGGATGCGAACGCCATGCAAAGTCGCCGATGTCGTGTAGGATCCTTCGCCTCAATCAAAGATAAGTACGAAGGGTGGAGCTTATTGCAGATCAACCACGCGTTGTCCTAACCTCACTCGTCAGTGCCTAATACTAACGCACCCATCTAAGGAACCCACGAGGGAACTCACGCTTCCTTGGAGATTTCCACAACGAGGTGGTCATGATCTGAGCCACCAGCCTGCGCATCACTACGAGTCATATCCGAATGCGCATCCTGACTCTCAGAACCAGCCTCGCTTTCCTCCCCATCGGCACAGCCGCAATCGTAGAACGAGCCCAAGTTATTACAGTCGAATTCCGGCTTGTCGAGCATCTCATTAACCTCGTTGTGAACAAAACAAGCCCACCCTGCCGCTGCCTTGCGGGATGAAACCTGCGGCGGGTACTTGTTTATGTGTTGCTGGAAATGCTCAGCGCATTCACCACTGTCATATAATTAGCCCCTCATTTACATTATACAGACGTGGCGAGTCCACCGGAAAGCTTCAATCCACTCCGCGTCCAAAGGGAATTGAAGGGTTATCATCGTACCAAGGGTATAGTCGCGCAAATAGATGGATGTATGTGCGTAGAGCGTCCTGTTCGTCTTGGGTGGGTTGTTCGGGGAATCGTGCCATAACAGTGTGGAAGTACTTCCATGTTGCACGGCCTAGCTCGGCTCTGTAAAGGACATGGGCATAGGCCCACCAGTTAGCATGGTCTGCTCGCTTCGAAATGCAATGTGGATTGGTGCCCTTCTTACTTTACTGTTTCGTTTCCAAGCTTTGGCATCACCACCGACCCTTTCAACAAGTCCTCCTTAATAGTGGTACCCGGTACGGGCGCAGGTGCGGGTTCATGGGTGATGTGGCCTGGGGCTCGGACGGCAGGGCTAGGTGGGCCTTGGGGTCGAATGAAGAGGAAGAAGACGAAGAATATTGAGAGAGCCGCGCTGATGGCGATGCGCCTTGTGATTTGTCGGTTGGCCATATTGAATAGTGAAGAGGCGAATGCGCAAGATGCCGCCGGGTGTCGCCACATTCGAAGAAAAAGGATCTCCTGGGGTGTAATAGAGCCGCTGAAGAGAAGGAAGATTCGGCTTGGGGCTTTAGAGGTCGATAAGTCTCGAAACGAGGGTGAAAAGCTTCAAGGAGCGAACCCACGTGTCGCGATAAGGGGCTTAGTCAGGACCCGCTGTTCGTCGTTTTTGGCTTGGAATTGGATAGACATTTCTCGTTATCTTCAATTAGCGACTCCCGAGGTCGAAGAGCTATGGACACTTCATAGTGGAACAGCGGATGGCGATTCTATCAGACTATATGGAGCATTCTTGTCATGTCTTGACGATATTTTTGCCGATCATCGTTCTCCGAGTTCAAGTCAAGGTTAAGCCCCACATCGGATATACTTCACATCAGATAAATAGTATGCGATCTGGTGAAAGGTTACGCCGGGCAATAAAAATTTTGAATTCAGTATGATTATTCAAAGTAATAACGACATATAATACCCTTGCGTGGCGAACAAAAAATTTAACAGCAGCACAGAATACCCAAGCCCATCAAGACCAAAAGTAGATAGACCTTGAGTCTATATATCCAAATTTAACGTCCAATATTCGAGCACATGCGAGTTTATCACCCAAGATCATCCTAAGTGATATCCGGGGTAATCGGTGCCGACCAGCGGCATTCCGTGGGTAGGGGATTGAGAGAAGGCGCCCTGATGCGGTATTTCCATATAACCTCTGGAGTTATTCATAAGCAAATCTTCCAGAGCCGCAGAGTCCCGTTCGAACTTCTCCAGTGGGGCTCGAAGATTCCACTTTCGATCTGAATACGTGAGTAAATCTCTGATATATGAGAGACAGCGAATTGCGCGAGCGCGGCAGTTTATTCGGTCTCCTTCGACTAGCATTGGAGGGTCAGGAGTACCCGCGGGGACGGTGGGCGGGGTTGGTACAGTGGTGCTGAGAAGGAAGTCATATTTTTGAGAGAGGACCTCCACGAAACGACACGCTACTTGCTGCACGCGTTGGATGTCGAGGAAGTTGAGGAAGGGGAGGTAGCTTGGGTTGTCAAGAACTTGATGGATTTGGCTGATGTAATCCATGGATCGGTCAAAGAGTAGCGCAGTGTTATAGTCACAAAGGTTGGGGTATCGGTGAGAAGGTGATAAGAGAATAATTATAGTATAGAGTTGTTCGAGGCGGTAGAGGAGAGAGAAGTGATTGGGGGCATTTTGGGGACATTCGTTAAGCCATTTTTGAGCTCGGTAGCAGAGAGTCCAAATTTGCACAAGAGGTTGTGATGATGGCTCGCGAGAACTGTAATGCATATCTGTATACCCGACAGATAGGATCTGCCGGATCTTGACGATATGTAAAGCCGGTGCTGGGCTTCGTAGAAAGATGTGGTTTTGTTCGCTGGTCGAAGACTTGGTCGAATTGTTGCCAATGGAGGGCATTTCGACGCTAACAGAATCGTCGGAAAATGAGAACGTCCTTTGAAATGCGGTACTGATTCCTCTAATGCACTGTTAGCAAAATTATCAGCCCCAAAAAGACCACAAGTTGGTACCTGTCCAGGACGTAAAGACAATGAAAGACGCGACGACGGATGTCAAGCGGACTTGAATTTGACAAGACCTCTGCGGGCGGGTCTTGATGAAGGCCTAGATCCACGGCTACCCTGATTGCCATTCCTACCAAGAACCAGCTACGAAATCGCCCTGGGTCCACCAAAGCATACTGAGCCAGCAATAGGATTGCCTGGATGCAGTTGATGGATCCCGGACGGAGGACATGCTCAGCGTATGTCAATGCTTCTGCCACAAGCGCCAATGCTCGTTGGTGGCTTTTGTCATTGTTCCGGTATGAGACTGACGCAGATGCAATGGCTAGGACCATACGGAGCATCCAGTGATCAAATGGTTTGGCAAAGCGGCCTTGTGATTGATAGACCGCGTCGACCGATGTCCAGAAGCTGGTTTCGACAAAGAACGGTAGCTGAACAAAGATATTGTCAAAGTAATGTTGCAGCAATGGGGTCGCCTCGTGGCGTGCGGGTAGTGAGTTGGGGGTTGGTGTTGGGGGATATCCGACAATCGTGACCGATAAGAGTAGATTGGCAAAACTGGTCGTGGATGTAATGCCGTGGAAATCGCGTGAAGTCGCGTTCACCGATAAAAATCCGAAATCACCAACTAGATCGTCGATATCGGAGACCTCTCGGCGATGAGCTGGGCCAGGAGGACCAGTGGACGATGTCGCTGTGATGGAGACCTCCCGGGCGACCCCATTCCCTTCAGCTGATAAGGAATTTTGGCGATCTCGTAACAGAGCCAATTTCTTTTCTAATTTTTCACAATATCCCTCAAGAGACGCGACATAGCTTCGCTCCTTGCCCTTGGCAAATTCATCACTAGCACCTGAGCAGGTGCTCGCCTTACCAACCTTCTCGCAAGCGGAGCAAGCGGGAAGCTTTCCATCGCATTTGATTTTGGCAGTGCGACAACGCGAACATGCGGCGACAGGCCGGCTAACCTTCAGCAGAGGGTTATCCAGAAATGTAGTGGCCGTGGGCATGGTCACCGATATCCCAGGTGCAACAAGTTGGGGTCGATTTCAATGAAGGTTTCGTTTAGTGGGATTGGAGTGGATTGTGAGTTTACATTCCCCGCCGGGGTCGCATCATCACGGGTACAATAACGGGTTTCTGACCGCCTGAGCCGCTACATCTCCAGATCAACCCCCCATTGCATAAAGCCCTTGGACCATATTTTGGGTGACTATGCATTGCAAGATTCCCGTGAAATTGCCGTGGCACAATTGCATCACGGCAACCTAATGGATACGTTCCTTTGCTCGCCCCACTAGATTTGCAAATACGAGATACCCATTGATATGATATGATTCTCTCTTTCAAGGTCCGAGGTCCAGGCCTTGCAAGGCAAGCATCTTTTTCATGATAGCAAACTCATATTTAGTAGCTCAGAATAGAGTTACTATTGAAAGTTGTCCCGGGAGGTGATACGCGTCCATGACTGTCGGACTACGGAGTAGCTTGGTCAGCTTGGCAACGGTCTGGATTCTGGATCCATGGATACACATGCCTATTTATGGCGATCAACCGCCGATTCCAGTGTGGGGATAATATGTGCTACTTGGAATCATTCTATTGTACAATACTGCCTCGAAACAGCTTTACCTTTCTTCGACCTTGGAACTTGTTCATACCATCATTAGGAAAATCTATCACCGAGACTCTTCAGTTTCCATAAGTTCTTCGCGCTGCATAGCCATCCGAGTCATGGCGTCCCGCGCCGCAACCTTGGCTTTACGCTTTTCTTCTGCTATAGCTGCAGAGTCCTCAACGCTGGCGCCGCCACCATCACTATTCGTTACGCCATCCTTAGAAACGACCGACTCGCCATTGGCACTTTCCTCCATAGCTTTTTGAATAGGCGCCTCTGGATCGGTTGGTGCAGTATGATTAGGTTCTATTGGCCCCATAGACCGTGATCGAGTGGTGCGCCGAGGACGACCACGGATTGGCTGTTTTTGTGGACTTGAAAGAGCCGTAGGGACCTGGACAGACGAGCTAGATACGGCCGCCTCCGAGCCTTCGGGAGAAGTGTTTGATATTTGGGTGACGGACTTTCTCGGTCGGCCCGGACGCTTCTTCTCAGAGTTATATTGTGGGCGGGATAGATCGATAGACGATTGCGTCACCCTAAGTCGTTTGGTCGGACTCTGCTGTGAAAATGCTGGTCCTTGGTTGTCGATAGCGGTCCTTGAGTGTTGCTCATGATCCCCATCGTGGACGTACGAAAATCCGGAAGTCGATTGATCTTGAATCTCACCATTGGTGATTCTATGCGAGTCCTTGATGGGAAGGCTGACCAAATACGATGGTGGGGTTTCCATAGACATATCGTCGATCATATCTTCTTCGCCGAACGAGTCTGCGACCGTGCGAGAGCGCCCATTTGAAAAGGCGTCAGGCCAAGCACGTTTTCTTCCTGCCTGGAGCAAACCAGGGCTTTGAACCTCAGGCAACGAATCGTTCCTCGGGGACAAGTAATCAGGGTTACTTGACCTACGCTCCTGAATGAACCGATTTCTGAGCTTCAACGCTTCAATCTCCAACTTTAACTTTTCGATCTCATCTGACTTCGACTTCAACTCTTTCAGTACAGTCGCAACCATATCAAATTCTTGGCTGTTGAGGCTTCCATTTTCTGATATGTGACGACTTGGCCCCTGAAGTTCAATGCGGAGCGAAGTAAACGAATGTTTCAAGTCTGTCATAGTATCCTGTAAGTGATTTACCGAGCTGGAGATCTGATCTATACTTCGTCCCTGGTGTTGCATCTGGCGCTGCAGGACTGGGTCCTTGGATAGACCAGATGTGCCAGTGGGGACCAATGCAGCTTCGTGGACGGAGGTGCGGTCTCGTCGAACAGGTTCTGGAGGGTTCGGGCGGAGGAATCTTTCAAGAGCACCGTCTTTGAAAATAGGCTCAGCGGTTCGCATGGTCACAACTTCCCTAAATGCAACCCTAGACATCTTCCAGAAGATGTTGGGGCTAAGATACAGTCAGCACAAACCGCAGTGGTCATGAAGCGACACACTACTTACCCATTATCAAGGGTGCATAGAGCGCCGAGTTTCTGTTGACAGAGTTTGCAAGTCACTTCCTGAGTAGTGCGCCCACGTAAAAGATGAAAATCTGGTGTTTGTGGGATTTGCTTTCTCTCTGGCGAAACGGAAATACGGTTGAAGTTGACACTCAGCCATGCCGTCGCAATAGCATAAGCGGTTGAAAGTGTCGCCCATTCATTCTCCAGAACTGCTAATGAGCTGGAGCATCTGGAGCACTGACTCAGAATGGCGGGCCGTGACAGACTGTTGAGATCCATCATCGGGCAAGGAGCGAGCTCTTTGTCACAAAGTGCATCGGGTATGACCCGCACGCAGCATTGGATATTGATCTGCTGACTCAGCGGTCCAGACGCCGGGGCTCGGGCCTTATAAGCCCCGGTCTTATCGATAAGACGAAATTAAAAAAAAAAAACATCTGGAGCAAGACCAAGCTACGTATACCAGACCAGAGCAGGCGCAAGAAAGATGCTTCGCTTTATTACACGACCGGCTTTTAGTAGCGCTGTGCTACCCACAAAACAACAATCTTGGACAACAGTACGATACGCGTCGCTCAATTATGCCATTGGCCGTGGCATTCGCAGATCTAGCCCTCGGCCATCATCCTCGAGCTTTTCAGATGATGGAGACCGCCATCCAAGGGAACAACGCGATAGGCAACGCGACGATAAGCAAGCATCGCGAAGATATGCACGTCGAGATAACGGAGAAGACAAGGTATTTCGGGAGAGACGTTTCAGGTCAAGCGAATCCGATGGGCGGCAGGCTCCGCGCAGTTACCCACGCCGGGATGACAGACGAGAAAATTCTCACAGAGACAGGCCTTTTCATTCGAGCGAAACTGAAGAGCGGCAGGCTCCGCGTAATTACCCACGCCGGGAAGACAGACGGGAAAATTCATTCAAGGACAAACGATCTGGGTCTGCCACGTTTGATCAGAACGAATTCATTCGGAGTGGCAATTTTCAAGCCTTACCCCGTGAACACCAAACCAGTGGAGCGTCAAGGTGGAAAGAAGAAATGCCGAGCTCAAGACCTAGACGGGGGAACCCGAAATCTTCGATCAGACCTCGTTCCGAATGGATATCAGAGACCATGCCGGAACGCGTCAAGGACAATGTGAAAGTGCCCGACTCCATTCCCTACACCACTCCAGCCTCTGAGTTCATCTACGGTACCAGTGCAGTGGAAGCCGCACTTCGGTGCAGTCGGCGCAAGCTCTATAAACTATATCTGTATCAAGCGGCCGAGGAAGAACTTGGCCCAGCAAAGGCAGCCCTTCGCAAGCTGGCTCTGACGAAGAACGTCACCACCAAGTTGGCCTTTGCGGGATGGGATCGGATCATGGACAAGATGAGTGCCGGTCGACCTCACAACGGGTGCATTTTGGAAGCATCTCCCTTGCCCAAACTACCCATTCGGGGCCTTCTTCCTGTTCCTACCACAACTGAGAGTCACTTCCGCGTGGAATTGGCTCCACAGTCTAAGGAGGAATCCTTAGTGAATGGCACAAACGACAGTATTCTGGTTTGCCAACCACCTGTATCAGCAGAGGGAAAAGAATCCAAGCGTTTCCCTGTGGCGTTACTTCTGGATGGGGTTGTCGATACCGGCAACCTCGGCGCTATCATTCGATCTGCTTACTACCTTGGCATTGATGCGATAATTTTCGCCGGTCGCAACTCCGCACCTCTATCGCCTATCACTATTAAAGCATCTGCTGGTGCAGCAGAGAATATGGCTCTTCTGCAAGTCAAGAATGAAGTTGATTTCATTCAACGGTCCCAAGCCAATGGTTGGCGGTTTTACGCTGCCGATGCCCCGGGTCCGGGTGCCACGTATCTTGGCCGCGCTGATGCCGATGGTGATTCAAACAGCCGTCTTCTCACCACCCAAGCCCCAAGTGTACTCATGATGGGTAGTGAAGGGTCCGGTCTTAGCGGGCACATTAAATCACATGCGGATGCGACTGTCAGCATTCCTGGTGCTCGACACAGCGCCGAGCTGGGTGTTAAATCTGACCCCGCGCGGATCGACAGTTTGAACGTCAGTGTAGCTGCTGCTATCCTGATGGAGATGTTCTTACGAACACCTCTGGCGCTATCTGGATCATCCAAAAAGTCCAAGGACAAAATGTGGTGAACAACAGGGCTCGACTTTGTTATATTTTCTTCATCAATGTATGTATAAACAACCTCGAAATTTAATGATGGGTGAATCAATTCTTTTTCACCATCGAAAGCACTTTAGTGTGTCTCATGCGAAGTTATGTCATTTCTTACCATCCAGGTCCTTTGCGCACTGAAACCTTGAAAGCCGACGCTGGATGCTTCAACTCTTATGACTTTCTGGAGGAGGTCTATAGATAATTCGATCGATATCAGCCCAGTGGAGCACCTGGTAGCTTGAACTCTACGTACAATTTAATTGGCAACCACCCTTGAATATAGAATTCCAAATACCTTGTAACAATGACCCCAGACAAATGTTTCTAACTTGTAACCTCAGCCGTATTTTCTGCTAGCATTCGAGCTCATGATCGTGGTAGCTGTTTACAATTCATCCATATCCATGTTTAAGCACGGCACATACGCCCACTCTCCGAGACGGTCCACTCATCAGAGCCAACAGCAGTCAGCCCGTAGAAGAGGTGGTGGGGGTCGTACTTGGCCTTGATTGAGCGCAACTTGTCGTAGTTCTTGCCATAGAACGTCGTCTTAAAGTTGGGCTGCCGGAAGTCGGCCTAAAGATGCATCTGTCAGCATGTGATGAAGCAAAAGTTCAAAGCTTCAAGCTTAATCATAATCTAGATGCCATACCTCATTCAGGTAAGCGCCGGATTCAGGGGCCAACCTGCTCAGACTAGGAACCAGCACTTCCGTCATCAATTTTCGCTTCTTGAGCATCTTCTCTGGCTCATTAAACTCCCACGCGGTGGACATCAGCGTGTGGGCAATAGCGTTGCGCCATGCAGGGTTGACAGCGTTGTAAGTATCTCCAGTGACGTCCTCAGTCACCTTGATACCCACGGTTGTCAAGGTAGCGCCATAGGAAAGGACGGTACGGACGGACTTTGTCAATTCATGTCGGGACTTAGGGTCCTCGACGATCGACCTTGGAAGAAGCCAGCTACCATATTGGGCCACTCCAACCTCAACGAGCGGCGTCTGGGCATTGAATTGTTCCAGGTAATAGCCAAATTCTTCTGCTTGATACGTGTAGTTGATACCAAGCTTGTCAAACCCATTGAGAACGGGCTTAATCAGGCTCTCGAGCTTCTTCAACGGAACACCGGGCCCGGTCATAGGAGAGATGGCGAAGGAGGCATTGGTAAGAAAGTTCAGACTCATGACACCTTCATCGACAATTGAAGGCAAGTAGGTGTTGTAGAGCTCCACGGCCTTGAAGAAGGTCTCGTCGGAGATACCATCAGTGGTGAATGTAAGATTAAGGCCAGACACCTTGCTGTCCTGATGAGCCTTGGAAGTCATGGACCAAACGACACCGTAAGTACCACCACCGCCACCGGCCAAAGCCCAGTAAAGATCGGTGTTTTGGTCACGATTCGCCACGAGGTACCTGCCATTGCCATCGATAACCTCCCACTCAAGGACCTGATCTGCACCAAGTCCATGCTTAGAAGAAAGGGAAGAGTGACCGCCTCCCTGGCTGTATCCACCTGCAAGACCGACAGTAGGGCACTCTCCACCAACCATTCGAAGTCCATACTTGTGAGCCGCCTCGTAGGCTTCAATTCCCTGGACCCCAGCGCCGAGCTTGAAAGCCTTGCCAGTGTAATGCTTGTCCTTCCAGTTCTTGAGGTCGATATCCTTGAGGTGGTGCATCCAGACTGAAAGAGCACCCGCACCGGTGGACTTCCCATTGTAGCTAGTGAAAGTTAGTTATTATTGGATGATAGTTTTGGGATGTTGGATAGACAGTACTCATGACCGGTGTTGCGAATGATAAAGCGGATATTGTGCTGTGTCGCAAACTTCATTGTCTTGGCCACATGGTCAGGCGACGACACATTGACTGCGTAATGGACGAAGTTACCCAGAGTGCATGGTTTAGAAATGGGGTGATATGGGTCGCATGTTCCGTTTGTGAAGAATGGGGCCATGAAAGACGAGGAGGATTGGTAGCTTGCATCCGTTAATATATCATTCCATCTGCATTCGAAATGCTTACTGTTCCTCAGGCAAAAGCCAGCCTTCCTTCAAAGCCTTGCATTTCTTTTCATTGTACGAGGGTACATGGCAAGGGGTGGCGAGGGGCTCAGTAGCCACAAGACGCCCATCGACCGACTCATTGAAGGCATTCCAAGTGGAAATTGAGGGCCAACATTCATCAGAGGGAAAGCAACGGCAGGTCGCTCCCTCGGAAGCTTCAGAAGCTTGGAAAGCATGAATTGAAGGGAGAATTGCAGCAAGGCCAAGGGAAAACCCCAGCTTGATGTTTGACGATAACATGGCTCAGAGATTTGTTTCAGTTCTCAACATAGCTCAGGGTTGCAAGGGGGACAATTGGATTTTTGGTACTTGTGCCTCGGTTAATAAGCACTCGGAGCTCACCCGCGCTCACGATGCTCTGAGTCTAGCAAATGCAAGAGGTGCACTGGCTCACGTTAGTGTTCTGGCTCACGTTAGTGTTGTCTTGACTTTCTCTAGTCAGATGAAGATCGGCTCGGCGACTCCACCACGGCTTACGAACTTAAATCAATCATGATTGAGGGCCTGTTGTCTCTCTCATTATTCATGTGGCAAGTTCAACCTTTTGCAGTCAAACGCGATTTCATGGTGCCAGTCTTGTCTTTCAAGATTCTGCATGAAAGTTGCCGATGCGTGTTGGGGACCATTTTCACCCAACCACATGTGTGACCCGAATTGGTCTCGGATTTAGTGTGTAGAATGTACGGACAATCACGTAGCTCATCTAGGGTGGAAGACTTTTCTGTATCCGAAGACATTGCCGAATCTAATTCCAAGCACTCATTTCCAACCAGCGCCAAATGGATTGCAATGTCGAGCTATACATGCAGAGTCCATATGCTCGTTCTTGTGGTCTAGCTCCATACTGCCACGCAAAGCCTTTGGAAACATGGAAAATCTCGTGAATCCCGTCTCTAGGCAGCCTTGCAGGATGCGGCGGCGAAGGATGCACTAGAGGCGCATGGGCCCCGGTTCCCCATTGGACCATGGACCAACTAGCATGAACCCCAGCTTTAGCTTCAAACTCTGCTAATCCTTTGTTTTCGGGATTGCGACAATGTTCAGGAGTGGCCTGAGGGTGTCATCTCTAAAAGACCATCTTCCAGAACTTTGGCATTCCCCACGCGTTCTGCCTTCTTCGTTTTCATCGCCAACAGTTCGATATGGGAAAATTGGTCGGGGTAATTCCTCCACCCGCCGGGGTAACGGCGGATTTCGATTATTCCAATCCTTGGAAATTCAAAACCGACTTGGCCATTGTGGCCGTTGGCCTTTCTCTCAGCACGATTTTCTTGGTTATGCGAATTTACACCCGCGCATGTCTGTTGTCGAAGTTTGGATGGGACGATGGTATACAAGCCTTTTCCCGTGAGGAATGAACCGAGTGGATTGCTAAGCTTCTGGCATAGTGTCAATGATTATAGCCTGGGTAGGCAAATTCGACCTGACAGGACCACATGCGTTGCTTACCTTGTTGAATTTGAGTAGCTTTTCTCGCTTGGAACACAAGTTGCGTGTTTGCGTATGTGATCCCTGTCTCTCTACCAACTACATCTATCTTTGACACGACTTTGCAGATGGATACCTACACGGAGGAGTTGGTATTCACTTATGGAATGTGACTCCAGAGATGTTCGATGTCTTCCAAAAGGTATCCTTGGACACGACCACTCCGTTCCATAATGCTGCTAATACATGATATCAATTTTGGGAAGGTCATTCTCACTGCCGCTGTGATCTACGTGCCCGCCCTCGCATTCGCCAAAGTCGGCCTCATTATCCTATACCATCGCATCGTGAACAAACAAGTCATCTATGTGTGGACGCTCCACATCATCTCAGCAGTTGTTGGCGGATACAGCATCGCCATTGTCTTTGCCTTAATCTTCGCATGCAACCCCATATCAAGAAGCTGGGACTCTTCTATCACAGAGGGCTACTGTATTAATCGCAATGGCTTGTATATTGCAACGGCCGCCACAAACATCGTGACCGACATTGCCCTGATTTTGGTTCCTATACCGCTCGTGATGGGTCTCCAAATGCCGAGAAGACAAAAGTTAGGGCTTCTCATCCTGTTCGTCGTTGGTTGCGCGTGAGTTTCATGGCCCGGGCCGCTTCCTGATGTCGCGGCCTGTCTAACTAAATCTTTACAGCACATTAATCACCAGCATTCTGCGACTCACCACACTCGTCACATATCTCAATCAGACCGATGTGACTTACCAGTTAGCACCATCACAGCTTTGGATGTAAGATTTGATATTCCTTATCCGAGAATGCCGGAAAGCTCATACAGATGTCTTGTAGCTACGTCGAAGCAAACCTCATCATTATTTGTCCTTGTCTACCATTCCTCCGGCAGTTCTTGCGTCGCCACTCACCCGCGTGGCTCGGCGAAAACAGTAGCCAACGTTATGTCAGAGAATACAGTTCTGGCACCACCTCGCGTAGTCGTCGCAAGCAGGGGCTTAGCCGCCTGCAAGACGACATTGCTCTCGCCGAAAATGCAGGAAGCACGCACAGTCAAGCTCACATCATCAAGGAGGTTCAATGGCAAGTAACAGAAGAGCGAATAGACGCGGATCCTTCGGCCAGTGTTGGACCCTTCCATTGATTTCAGCTTACGTACCATTAGGGGGTAAGCAAACTCCGGTCGACATATAATGAATGCCGATCAGCGGCCAGAAACTTTTACATAATATCAATCTACTCACCAACGAAGTGAATTGGAATATTCGTCCCAACCGCATCTCAACTTACAGCTAATAAACACGGCCTAGAAGCAATGGGGAAATGTCAAACAGCCAAGGCGCCGATCTTCCCCACGTTGGCCTTTGTTCCTCCATGCGATTGGTGCTGTCGTAAGCCTCGGGAGGCCCGAGCGACGGGGAAGAGGCGAGCCGCGTTCCATGGGGCATTGAGTTCTCCAAGTTCCACTTTTATCCACTTGGTGTCCGAATGTCAAATGAGTGCAAATCGGTCAGCACTATGTACGGAGTACATGGTATAGTCTACTGTACAGGGGTCTGGTGGCCCAAGACGAGGCCTGAGCGTCTACTGAACGTTCCCGCCTCCATGAGATACTGCTGTGGGTCTTGTTTAGGGTTGGGAATAACTAGTGGGTTAGTGTTCAGTTAGAAGAGGCAAAATGTCGCCTGATTTACAATTTCTCGCCACGCCCACGCAACTGCCCCCAGGACCTAGATTTCCGCGGCAAAACGTACAACCGGTAGGAAACCCTGCAAGACCGATAGCAAAATGGCCCTTTCGGGTCATGAGATCATTCAGGTCTCTGGCTCTGGAAAAACAGAGACTATCATCGAAATACCAGATCTCATATGCTCTGATGGTTGGGGAGCAACCAAGGTGTATAAGTAGTCATCGCGATCCGGGGGAATCCTGTGCGGATTCCTCATCTCTCTAGGGGCGAACTGGTTGCCGAGTGGAAACAAACAAGCCGTACCAAAATATTGCACAAATTTCCCACCTGCCTTGTTTGATTGGTACATGCAGAAGTAGACTGTGGAAGAAAGTCATTTTAGCCGCTTGAGACCTTGGAAGCTCCGAAGGTTTCCCCCACCTCCTCAATCCCAATGGATTGCAACTGGCATTGAAATCAACCGCAGCTCAAACCTAGCAATGGATTCTGATCAGAATCCACTAAGGTTGCTAGGCATGATCGAAGCCGGTATTTCAAATTCTTCGGCATCAGTGTATGTTTTGTGATTTATTTCAAGAGACTGTATTTTTGAGCAACTACTCGGAGCCAATATCTCTTAAGGTCGATTTCATGGAGAATATATGCATTGCGGGACACGTGACTGATATCAAAGTCTTGGGACTGATTGAGGGCGAGGAGGATTTCTCTACAGGGACTCTGTCGGGTTTGCCAAAGCGCACATCAAGACTAGAACCGAAGAAATTCTCAAAACTCCAGAGAATTTCAGCGCAGATGTCTCAGATAGACGTAGGACCAACAACCATGATTTGTGATAGTGCTATGCAATATTTGATGTCAAGCTGCGTCCTCTGTTTTGGTCATCTTCTGCGTACAGGATGACTGCCATCCTGCGACAGGAAGGCACGAGAGTACCTGACTGCCACAGAATCGATTCCTTTTCTTCTTTCCATAGTCAACGAGATTGTTTCAATTGATCGAGTGCAAAGGCACCGAGATTTGAAAATTAGGCCCCCATTTGGTTTAGCATCGGATATTTAACATGAACGCGCTGGTTTTTACAGAGGCATATGACCCCCATGGAGTATGGGGCCGTGGAGGAACTTCTTTTGATACAAGGCAGCTACCTACCGGGACCTGATGGAATGTCTATTATCAGCCGCGTCATGACCTGCATCAGGTCAAACGAAGACAGTGGCAGACTTCGCGGATTTGGCAAGAATATACAGTCTCTCAAGTCTCACCTGTGGGAAGGTATCACGCCCTTGAGCGACTAAAGATGGTGCCAAAAAGGTTTGCAACTCCCCGAGAAGGAACTTTAAAGAGGCTTTCCAAAATCTGTCAGACGTGGTTGTCGTGTTTGAGTCACAAATTCACCTTTGACAAGCTAATTGTCAAGTACGCACTTTAATGAGGTATTGAACGATGAATCGAACGAGGAGCAGAGCAAAATCCCCCTGGAACTAAGTTCGGACGCGTTTCTTGCCATCAATTCCGCCTCCTTCGAGCCATACACCACCGAACGGTATGACTGCCCAGCATCCACTATGCTTCCGGGAGACTTCAGTGGTCTTGTTCTGGCTATTGACCCTCAATTTGAGCCGAAAAGGGTCTTAGCAGGCCAGACGATTCACCCGGTTATAAAGGTCAGATGCGTGTCCTTGAAGGTTTGGTCTGACGTGATTGCACACAACACTGGAGCAAAGGGCCGGCTTGGAAGAACTGTGGCCTCTGGCTATGCACCATCCAAATGAGATGTACGTGGGCCCAACTGTCCCGTTGCAGGGGTCTGACTGGCAAGCTCAAGACGAGTCGCTGGAACATCCTGACCAGCGCATTGCAACACACAAAGACAAAGTTTAAGCAGGTTTAAGCTTGGATCATTCACCAGCCAAGCATGTGTATTAATTAGGGACCTGACAAAACAGGAGAATTGTAATTAATTTCAAGTGCATTCAAAACAGGGTCCAGCGTAAACAACGGCAATAATGAAGATCATCCCGCCCCGAGGGCGGTCACCCCACAGGCATGTTTCTGACTTTCTGCCGTTGTCTGAAGCTGAAGCGATTTGTTCACAATTCAATTGCTTCCTCATGGACCTTGTCGATCGCGCCCTCGAGGCCACGGCAATGGATGCCATTGATGCCCTGCGCGTCTTCTTCTTGCTAGCTGCAGCCACTGTAAGCAATTCACCCTTATTTCGGTTTTCATAGTCAATCAATTCCGCTAACAAAAGGATTTGGAATCACAGACTATCACCGTTAGCGTTCCATCTTCCCTACGCTCCCGCTTCCTAGTCTATGGTCCCCGTGCCGTGTCCAACTCAACACCTGGATCCGAGCCAAAGACCCTCACCTCACTAGGCTTGCTCGACTACCTCGCTACCTGGCAGGTTCCTCACAGTTACTTCACCCAATTCTATGTCGTATCCGCTCTATCTTCTGTATTCTGGGCGATTCAGCTAGTCTTCCGGGGCCGAGTGTTCGAGCTCATCGCGACACGGATCAGCGAAGAGCATGCACAACAGTCCATGTCCCTCACGCAGGTCCTAATCTGCTGGATTCTGCTAGCTATTCAGGGCGCGCGCCGGTTGTGGGAAAGCCACACATTCGCGAAGCCGTCCTCGTCGCAGATGTGGGTTGTGCACTGGGTACTGGGATTGGGATTCTATCTGGCTGCGGGGGTGGCCATTTGGATTGAAGGTTCAAGCACCATCCTATCGCATAAGCTCACAGTTGATGACGTGAAAATGACCAATGCCCCGACGGTGCGAACTTTCTTCTGTATTCCGCTGTTCTTGATGGCCTCGGGCTTACAGCACGACTGCCACCACTTCCTCTTCTCTCTGAAAAAGTATACTCTTCCCGACCACCCCATTTTCTCTGCAGTCGTGTGCCCTCACTATGGAGCCGAATGTGTGATTTACTTATCCCTTGCACTTCTGGCAGCTCCGCCCGGTCAGATGGTCAATAAGACCTTGCTAGCGTGCTTCGCCTTTGTGACCGTGAACCTCGGCCTTACTGCACGCACCACGAAGGAGTGGTATATGCAGAAATTTGGCAGAGAGGCTGTACAGGATCGATGGCTCATGATTCCATGGGTATACTAGAGTAATAAAAAGCACTTTGAAAGAATCGGCATATAGAGATAGACTTAGAAATAAAAATCTAGAACTGCTGTAGGGCCTGCGGGAATAGAAAGCACAGTAAACATTATTTTCTTTCTGTTGACATCTGCCGACCAACCTACTCAGTGCATCGTCCTTCTCGAGCTCATGATCATGGTCGATATGCAGCTACAGCGGTATGACAGACGCGCTTTCGTATTGCCAACCCTCGCCTCTACACCAACCTTGGCCCCACCACAACCGATCGTTGTGCTCTCTGCACTCCATGAGAACATAGTCTCAGCCCCGTGCTCCCGTGTTCCCATTTCCAATGAAATTGCTCAGCCTGATTTGATGACAGATGTTCGAAAGCTTCGTCAGACATCTCAACGCATCTCATTGCACTGATTTGAGGGAAGACCTCAGTCCCCACGATGGACCCCCGTCTACCACATGAACTCGGAAAAGCTTCATCGCCTTGCCTACCTCAACCCGGCTCTGACATTTCACTGTATACGATAAACTCTGGGCCCAGCATACAAGATTACCAAGCTTGCTATCGTACGATGCTGATCCCGGTCTGGATCCTAAATTTCCTGATAACATGATAACCGAGACCTGTGCTGCAAAGCTGGGGGAATGCGACCCACCTGCATAATGCATAAGACATACGCGATATGTCCCGGTCGGCTAATTCCTCGGCACCATGGACTCCACGTGGGTAGATAAAGATGCGATAGGCGATCTATCTGATTCTTTCATTCGCCTCTATCAACGCGCTTGGATGTCGAGATAGGCCATGTCACACGTCGCATTATCCGAGTCAGAATTCAGCATGGATGAGCATGCCGCACAAGGCCGTTGCTATCCGTGCACAAGGCATCGTCCCGCTTTTGTTGTGCTGGCCAAACCACTGAGCGCGGGCGCGTCCGGGCTGTTTGTCAAGCCGCGGCCAACTGTGCATGCTCTATCCGTACGCCGTACTGACTGCTAGCCCCGTGGAAACAACAATTATCTTTGCCCCTCCGTGAACTTATGTGGGCAAATGGGAAAACCTAATTTTATTGTGGTCTATGGAGCATTGATTGTCCCGGCAAAGCTGTTGCCAGCAGATTATTGCAGCGCATTGCAATTGAGATGGGTTATGCGTGCAAGAGATCTTTGGCGATTCGAGCTGGATTATTTACCAATGAATCCTTAGCCATAACTCCGACATGCACTCTACTCTTGATTGACACTACAAAACATGATTATCTGACCTGATGACACGCTCCACGCGCCGAGCTCCATTTCGTTCAGGTGACTGTACCAATCAATTAATTACGACATCTAAGCGAGATCCATTCCTCCTACCAAAACTGCAAGTGCAGCTTCCTATAATTGGTTTCAGGATGCCTTGTTCTATATTTGGAGCGACCGAATGTCCAAATTGTGTCCGCTTCTGTCTGTCGGAAGGTCCGCGACTGTAATATCGCAGGACGAAGCTGAAGCAATACGGCACCCCAAAACTGAAGAGAGACTGGGGAGCGAAGCTTTCACCTAGACTGACTGCCAGACAACTTACGTGAACGGCGTATTCCTTTGCAGATTTTTTCCTAGCCCTGTGGTCTCGCCTCTTCCAATGACGGACTACCTGCCTATAAGTATCGATCGATAGTCTTACGCACGCATGAATTGTGGACCAAATGACCTCACCGGGAACCTTGTGAGTAATATCCCCGCGGTCCTCACGACCCAATATTGGTGTAGCGGGGAGGGTCTCGAGTTTTCTGTTGGTCAGCGATGTATCAGATGCGCGCTCAATTGCTCCTGAGGGGTTATTTGGAGAAGGTGGGGACGCCTAAACAGGATTCAGTGGTATCAATTAGCTAAGACAAAGCTATAGAGAGTATCTCATGGGTTCATCTAGCCTACCGTTTGAGTTGTCCAATCCTCGGTCGATTGGTCCCTATCTCGCGCCGGGTCGGGAAACCACCGTTTCCCATCGGAAAACAGGCCATGTTGCCCGTCGGAAAACCTAACGGCCCTACAAACTAGGGCTACTGTTGATAGTATATCAAATCTCTCCAGTGTATAGGTCAACACTGGATACTTTTATTCAGAACCTTGTGTTGTCTATTTTTGTTTCTTTATACACACGGTCGTGCAACCCTCGATCTATTCAACTATTGTCTTTGACATTGCTTCATACTTCCCTTGGGGACTTACCTATCATCGCCCTTGAACAATAAATCTATTCTTCTACATCCGTCGAACACAACAGGCAGCATCATGCCTTCCGCCGAATACCAGACACCTAGCTTCAAAACTCCATGGATCGAAACTCCGCTTGTCGAATCCGCTGCCTTATCTCGCGCTGCGGGATGTAGGATATTCCTGAAACTGGAGAATGTTCAGCCTAGCGGCTCTTTCAAGTCTCGTGCTATGGGCAACCAGATTCTATCCCATCTTCGCAAGCCAGAATATGCAAACCGCCGAATTCACTTCTACGCCTCGTCCGGTGGAAATGCCGGGTTAGCCGCTGTGTGTGCTGCTCGAACTCTGGGATACCCTTGCACCGTTGTGGTGCCCCTCTCTACGAAGCCATTAATGCTTGAGAAATTAAAAGCTGCCGGTGCCGCGGACGTCATTCGCCATGGCGAGACATTCTTCGAGGCCGGCTCCTACATGAAGGAGGTTATCATGCAAACTAGCTCCGGTGATGATGAAGACGTGGCCAAAATTGCCCTACACCCCTTCGACAATGAGCCCATCTGGGAGGGTAACAGCACTATCATTGATGAGTTAGAAAAGCAACTCCCACCGGCCGCTAACGCCGAAGAAGAGCAAGCTTATGGCGGACGGGCACTCCCCTCTCGATGCTATCCTCTGCAGTGTTGGTGGTGGTGGTCTTTTGAACGGCCTCGTTATGGGAATTGAGAAGCGGCGGTCTATGAAGCAGAGGGATAATGGCTTCTCCAGCACCAGCCACTCCTATCTGGATACAGCTTTGGAAACAGTCACTACCACCTCCTCCGTTCCCGTCTCCACTACTCCAAGTCCTATCAACCTTCTCGCCATCGAAACAGACGGCACCGACTCCCTAGCAGCGGCCATCGCCCACAAATCCCTCGTCTCTCTACCTAAGATCACCTCCCAAGCCACATCTCTCGGAGCCATCCGCGTCTCAGAAACTACATTCCAATACGCAGTGTCGCCTCCGCCCGGTATCAAAGTTCACAGTGCCGTCCTCACAGACGCTGAGGCGGCACGAGGTGTTCTCCGCCTTGCAGATGATGAGCGGCTTCTCGTCGAACTCGCATGCGGAGTCTGTGTCGAAGCGGCCATCGGCGATGCCGCCGCCGCCACTGCCGCCGTTGAGTCGGCGATCCCCGTCGCTGAAGGTCAAAGCTCCAAGAAGCGCAAGAGGGATATTGATGATACTGCTACCCGAGATGAGGGTTACGGCGACGACCGGGCCTCTTCGACAGATAATGAAGCCGACCTGGAGCCTAGGCCGGAAACCAGTGAAGCTGGCCACGTTGTCACAGCTAAGACTCCTGAACTCACATCCAAGTTGAAGCAACTACTACCTGACCTCAACTCTCAGAGCAGGGTTGTCATCATTGTCTGTGGCGGAAGTAATGTTACTATTGATATGGCTGGGGAATATAGAAAGTTGCTGTCAGAGGGATGGGTTTAAACGACAGCGACATAGACCGTCCTTTGTTTCGGGTTGCTTCACTTTGCTGTTTATAATGATGATGATATTACTCTTTTAATTTGATACTACCTAGTTATTGGCGCAATTATGTGTATTCTTTTGTTCATAAATCAATAATGATCGGGTCAGGCTTAGTGAACTCCAACAACGTTCTGCAATACAAGGAACGAGCAAAAGGCTACCTAAATAAGGCAGGACGTCCGATGACCAACTTCAAGTTTAAGCTTCGCATCAAATGATTTCGTAAGATGAAAAGCGAGTCTTTCGTAATGCAAATTTCCCCGTAAATCGGCTTCCAGAGTTTTCCGTAAGATCTCGAAAGAGATCGGGGTTTTGTCTTTTTTAATAGGTTACAGCACAGATGCCAGGAATGATTGGAAACTTATTTCTAGGACTCGTAATCCATGAATAGTGGGTCTAGTATGGTCACATTTAGATTGGATATTTCGGTGCAGTCTTTGTCTATATACAAAGAGTGAAAAAAAAAAAAAAAAAAAAAAAAAAAAAATTGAGATGAACAAGAAGGGTCAGGAATCTACTTGAGTGTGATGCTGACTCTGATTTTACCGACCCATCCAGCCGCCGTCAACAGTAATAACATCGCCTGAAACATAGCTGCTAGCGGGACTAGCCAGGAAAACCACCACACCCTTAAAGTCCTCAGGCTTACCCCACCGGCCAGCAGGAATTCTAGCCATAATGCCGGCATTTCGGTCGGCATCATTGATAAGGGCCACGTTCATGTCCGTGTCAATGTATCCCGGGGCGATGGCGTTGACATTGATACCCTTGCCGATCCATTCGTTGGAGAGAGCCTTGGTAAGCTGCCCGATACCCCCCTTTGAGGCTGCATATGCGGGCACAGTGATGCCACCCTGGAATGTCAAGAGGGAGGCAACGTTGATAATGGAGCCGCGCCGGCCTGAGGGGAATTCGGACGCATCGCGCTCCAGCAGATAGGCACCAAATTCACGGCAGAGCACGAACACAGATGTGAGGTTGATCTCGAGGACCTAGAGGAGTGCATTGGTCAGCGCATGCAACCTATAAGCAGGGATTCGTCTGGTGGCTCACCTCATCCCAGTCCTCGTCGGGGAATTGGTGACTTGGGTGCCTCCGTTGAATACCGGCGCAGTTCAAGAGGATATCGGGCTTGAGTCCTTGGGCGATCACTGCAGGTACAATATCTTTGACGGCCTTTCGGTCAGAGAGCTCGGCGACATGGATATAGGCTTTTCGGCCAAGGCGATTGATAATTTCATCCCTGGTGGCTGTATTGGATTCGTCTCGCTAAAGAAGCATTAGATGTCTGTCTCACCATTGCCTCCAGATAGCTTTGCTGCATGATTTACCTGAACCAAAATAACATCGGCGCCGGCCTCGGCCAGGGCAAATGCCATTGCTTGGCCAATCCCTCGTGTGCCGCCAGTGACGAGGGCGGTCCTGCCGCTCAAGGAGAAGAGAGATCCCACAGTTGCTGCCATTGTGCTCTGTAATTGAGAAGAATTAGATTTGAGGTTAATTTTGAAGAAAAGAACCAGGCAAGGGAAAATGCACGTAGAAATAACTTATGACGACTACCCCACACGCGGGGTGATTCCGAACATGGAAAGACCCGTTGCCGAGCCAATCGCCGTCGGTAAATGACTAGACTCGTGACCATTACCCGTAACCGTTGGCCTCGTGACCGAAAGTTTGACATGAAGTTTGTTCAAGTCAAGCTTCTCGTGTCACTTGCACTTCTATACAGCATATTATCACTAGACACAAGTTATCACTTCATACGTTGCATTTTATCAACTATTCTTTCCAACTCAACTCTTCGGGAACTAGTCTTTCTCAATGACATGTCTGACTTGAACACTTTGAACTCAAACTCATACTTGAATTTAGACAGTAATGTGTAAAGTGCTCCAATGTAAGCCAGTATGCAAAGATGCTGTGGTGAATATCCTCGAACGCGGCCACGTGAGGTAAGCAAGGCTCCCGTGTATTCTCCCGAGGCTTGATATGTAATCAGAAAATCCACCCAGAGCCCCTATCGCCTTTCTTTATGCGATTCTAGAGGCCCAGATCAAACATTTTTCTCTTGCTTGGTCCACACAACGGTCAATTCATTGAAATGTCAGAGTCGGGAACTTTGTTAAGATATGCCAGTCAGTGCCGACGCCCGACCCCCAACACATGTCCCGAGGCAGAAGTGATCCGCAGTATTGACTAAAAATCAGGTCCCAATGAGCGCCGCACAATCAGTCGCGAAGAGCTAGGGTTTTACAAGGCCCTCATCGTAGGCGCTGTCTATGAGATTGAGAGTGATGGAAAAGATTTGACCTCGTCCGGATCATTCATTGCCCCTCTGAAAGCCTGCATCTTGAAGTACCCTTTCCTGTCCGCCATCGTGAAGAATAAGCATACCGAAAAGTCGGCTTATCATGAGGTTCCAACTATCGATCTCCATGATCATATCTCCATTCTTCAAAATGACAATCTTGAGGGTGATGACAACTCATCTTTCGAAGGCATTCTACCACAGATCCTCGATCGTCCGTGGCCTGCTGAAACACCCCCTTGGAGGATTGTCGTTCTACCTCTAGCGTCACCACATGGCTCTGCAGCAACGCGCTGCTTGATTGTTTTCGCCTTCTCCCATACCATTGGAGACGGCATGGTCGGAGTCGCCTTTCACCGTACATTCCTTGAGGCATGGCGACAGAGCGTTCGTCCCAAGGAAGAAGAGTCTTTCCTGATCAACCTATCCGGCCGATCCCTTCCAGCACCCTTCGACACGCGCGAGAGACTTACCATTTCATGGAAATTCCTTCTTGCACCGCTGGTAGCAGTATACCTACCAAAATGGCTAGCTTCGATGCTAGGACTGCATGCCCGCGTCAGCACGGTGGACGCTGGTACTTGGACTGGGTCGCGTAGCTTTTACGATGCGGCGGTCAGCAACTCCAGCAGGGTGAAAATTCTCGAAATCGCGGCTCCGCTGGTGGAAAAGAGCCTGCAGATCTGTAGAAAGCATGACACCAAACTTACGGGAGCTCTCCACCAGATGATTCTTCGGGCGTTGAGTAAAGCAATTCCTGATCCCAGTGTCACAAACTTTGTGTCAGGGACCGCTGTTGATATGCGAAAATCTGTCGGGATACCGGCTCTTTCTTGGGGCCTTTATGTGTCTGGCCTCTATGCGGTGCATCAGCGCGCACGTAACGTTGAGTCTCCAGCGCTACCAGATTATATGTGGACGGATGCTAGCTTAATAACCAAGAACCTTGCCGAGTGCTCGGCAAGGCTTTATGATCAAGCAATCGGCTTGCTCAGATATATTCCAAGCATTAGGAACTGGACACTGGGGAAAGTCGGGGCAGAGCGTGATTGCTCATATGAAGTTAGCAATTTGCTTGCCTTTGACGATGGGAACAGTGAGGCAGATCAAAAGTGCCACGTTACTAAGATGATCTTCTCACAGCCGGCAAATGTTCCTAGTGGACCCTTGGTATTTAACGTTATCAGCGTTAAGGGGGGAAGCTTGGTTTGCACGGTGAGCTGGCAGGCTGGAGCTTTGGGTGTGCCTGTGGAGGAAGAGATGCCATTTGTTGAGGGCATATGCTCCTCAATTCGGGAAGACTTCGAGTCTCTACAGAAGTGATGTTGCGTAAAGTATTATCTTCATAAATCTTGTAATTATTCAGCTCTATAGCGAGGCCTCCTGGTCATCCACAACTAATACTTTGATGCTGCCATTTTTTGCATCAGCACACAGATGTAGGGCCTCCTCTGCTCTCTCCAGCGGAAAGACATGAGAGATGAGCTTCTTCAAATCAAGGATGCCACCACTAAGACATGCAATTGCAGGGGGCCATGTATCACGGTAGCGGTTGATAAATCGTAGATCGATCTAAAGTAGTTAGTGACAGCGAGAAAAATATTGTTGGTTGACATACCTCTGCAAGAGAAAGATGCATAAAGGGAAGGTTGTTCATGATGGCCTTGCCCACGCCAATGACCATCACGGTACCTCCGCGTCGCGCAGTATATGCAGCCGTGCAGACACTGCTTTCCACGCCCGTACATTCGAGTACAGTCTCCGGTGCAGCATATTCTGATGGTCCAAACAGAGCTCGAATTGCTTGGGCATTGCCCTGGGCATCTTTTGTCCGGTCCACCTGGTATGTGATGCAAGAAGGAACGAAGTCTTTCGCAAAAGCTAGGCGTGTCGGTTCCAAGTCAGTGATGACAATGGGATGGGCACCGGAAGCGCGAGCTGCGGCCAGTGCAACAAGTCCAATTGGGCCAGCACCGCAGACAACAACTCCACGACCCAGGCTCAACCCTGCGGTGGTGATGCCATTCATGACAACTGAGAGTGGTTCAAGAAGCGCTCCCTCGGCAAAGCTAATGTTGTCGGGGAGCTTGTGCAGCCACTTGGCGGGGTGCACCTTGTATCGCTGCATCGTACCGGCGTAAGGATAAACCCCCGCAAACTGAACATCTTCACATAAGTTGTATCGTCCGTCGTCGCAGAGGAAACAATGTTCGCAAGGAACGCCAGGCTCAACAGCCACGTGGTCACCTAACAGTGATCAGTCATTAGCCAAAAGGCGTATGTTGGTTTCTTACCTGGCTTCAAGTTGGTAACATCATCGCCACACTGTAAAACAATTCCCGAGGCTTCATGGCCGATAATACAATCTCCCTCGAAAACCAATGATCCAATGCGACCAGTCTTCCAGAAATGAATATCCGATCCACAAATCCCGGTCGCCTTGATGTGGACCAGCACCTCCCCCCGCCCCGGTGCATAAATCGGTGCATCCACCGACTTTAGATTGTGGTCCGCGGTAACTTGTAAAGATGGGTTTGAATGAGAGGCCGTGATGACGGCGCGGTCCAGCGACTTTGTCGCGGGGACCGCAATATTTTGATCCACCAGGATTGAGGGAGCCATTACTTCGTTGAGCGGATAGAATTGACGGACATGGTCATTTCTTAAGTATAGGATACTTGGCGGCAAAGTAGCCTTATTCGTTGTGGACGTTGGTGGTTCAACCTCCCGCATTGGTGTGAGAGTGGTTGGAGTTACCCCATTCGTCAACTGCCTGAATGGGTTATTATTGTCGACAATCGTCACCCACTATTTGAAGCGCCAGTGCAGCCCAGCTTATAGAATGCAGTCACTTGATGTTTTTTTTTTCTTTTCCTTAAGTCAAGTTCATTGTCAAAATGACTGTCCCGCAAAGCAACGGCCAGAAATCCTTGCCCTCGGCATTGCCCTTGGTGCAAAAGCTTTCTAAGGACCATGACAACGTTCTAAAGACCTTTCGTCTGTTGATCGCAGATCTCTGCCAACAATTTGGTGGTGGTCACCCTGGGTAAGACTCCTAGAGATGTTGATCAAAATTACCTATGACTTGGACCAGTACTTATTATCTTCAGTGGTGCTATTGGTATGGCCGCTATCGGTGTTTCGCTATGGAAATATATTATGCGCTACGCCCCGCATACCCCGGATTTCTTCAACCGTGATCGTTTCGTACTGTCAAATGGTAAGACACAATATTTCAGGAGAAATATAAATACTAATATCATTTTCAAAGGCCACACTTGCCTCTTTCAATACTCTTTCCTGCACCTTACTGGATACAAGGCGATGACCTTCGACCAACTAAAGTCCTACCACTCAGATCGAGTGGATGCGCTTTGCCCTGGGCACCCCGAGATTGAACATGAGGGAATCGAAGTGACAACTGGGCCCCTGGGACAAGGTATTGCGAATGCAGTTGGTCTTGCCATGGCCACTAAAAACCTTGCAACCACCTACAACCGTCCCGGCTACGATGTCGTTTCCAACCACACATGGTGCATGATCGGTGACGCTTGTTTGCAGGAGGGAGTGGCCCTAGAGGCCATCTCTCTAGCAGGACATTTTCGCCTGAACAACCTTACTGTGATTTACGATAACAACCAGATTACCTGCGACGGATCTGTCGACCTTACCAACACTGAGGATGTCAACGCCAAGATGCGTGCCAGTGGTTGGGACGTTATTGACGTCGAGGATGGCTGCTATGATATCGAAGGCATTGTCCGTGCATTGGAACAAGCTCGCAATTCGCAGGAAAAGCCCACGTTTATCAATGTCAAGACGATCATAGGTCTGGACAGCCATGTAGCTGGCACCGCTACTGCCCACGGAGCTGCCTTTGGTCCCCAGAGCGTTGCTAACTTGAAAACACTCTACGGATTCGACTCCGAAAAACACTTTGTTATTGGCGATACCGTCCGCCAATTCTTCCAGGACCTTCCTGCTCGTGGCGAGCAGTGGGTGCAGGAGTGGAACCAGTTGGTCAGTGACTATACCACCAAATACCCGGAGCTTGGTGCCGAATTCCAGGCTCGTGTTCGTGGTGAGCTGCCTGCAAACTGGGAGCAGCATATCCCCTCTAGCTTCCCTGAAAAGGCAACCGCATCTCGTGCCTCCTCTGGACTTGTCTTCAACCCCATTGCTAAAGAGGTCAACACTTTCATGGTTGGGACTGCTGATCTGTCTCCATCGGTGAACATGATCTGGCCTGGCAAGGTTGATTTCCAACATGTGAGTATCCCTGATTGCTATCTGACCTTTCAATTCTGACTCGATAATCAGCCTGGCCTGCGCACTACTTGTGGTATCAACGGAGATTATTCCGGTCGTTATATTCATTACGGCATCCGCGAGCACGCCATGTGTGCCATTTCCAACGGCCTAGCTGCTTATTCTCCTAACACCATCATCCCCGTCACTTCAACTTTCTTCATGTTTTATCTATATGCGGCTCCAGCCGTCCGAATGGGTGCCCTACAGCACCTCCAAGGAATTCACGTCGCTACACACGACTCCATTGGCATGGGCGAAGACGGCCCCACTCACCAACCCATTGAACTTGCTGCTTTATATCGTGCCATGCCTAACATCCTCTATATCCGCCCCGGTGACAGTGAAGAGGTGGCTGGCGCCTGGATTGCTGGTATTAACGCCAAGAAGACCCCTACCATCATCTCCACATCCCGTCAAGCTCTTCCTCAGCTGAAGCAAACACGTCGCGATGGTGTGGCCCGTGGCGCTTACGTCCTTGAAGAAAATGAGTCGGCGACCGTGACTCTGCTCGGTGTCGGTGCCGAGTTATCCTTTGCGTTGGAAGTTGCTGCGCAGTTGAAGACTCAGAAGGGGATCGCCGCTCGTGTGGTCAGCTTCCCCTGCCAGCGTCTGTTTGAGCAGCAATCACTAGAGTACAAGCGGGACACCCTCCGCCGCCACCGTGACATTCCAGCTATTGTTATTGAACCATATGCTCCTAATGGATGGGAACGCTATGCGGATGCCGGTATTAATGTGAACCGCTTCGGTCACAGCTTGCCAGGCAAGGCTGCCTACAAGTTCTTCGGTTATGAAATCGATACATTGACGACCAAGGTGGCGGGCTACCTTGACCAGCTCAAGGGAGATGAATATCTTCGTCGTGAATTTGTTGAGCTATGAAAGATTTGATGTGTATAATGAATGAGTTGTATATAGAATATTGTTTGATCTTTGACTGTCACCATGTAACCCTTTTTTGGCTTTTAGTCTGCAAATATCCTTATTCACAAAGAAATCGTCATCCATCAAGCCAACGAGCCAAGACATGATCTTCTTGGTCAGACAGGACAGAACACAGGGTTAAATTAACGAATCAGATAGATACAGAGCTTGTGAGACCAAAGGGAATGAGTTCAAAAATATGGATCGACTGCGTACGCGGGCAGGGGAAAGCGAAGGGGCGACATTCTTCGTGAATCCAGGGATTCCCAATGTTTTGTTCATCCCCTTCCCAGGCTCCCACGGATATGTATAGGACGCGATAAAGTATAAAAGAGCGCTTAATCATGAATTAGTAATCATAGATCTACTGTAGCATCCCTGCGTGGTGAGATCTAGGAATAAACAGCAAGGAAGCTACATTAGCATAGTTATGGACGATCATCTAGGAATATTAGCAACTAGGGTCATTAAGGGCAATGGGTTAGGTATGCAGTGGTGTCAACATTGAATACTCTTGAAAAGGCACCTTTGCGTTCCCATTAGCGTCTTCACTCTCGCAACTCTTGATAATGAAGGTTTCCATTCTCCTAGTTGCTGCCTCCGCTGGCGCTGCTCTGGCCCATCCTGCTGCCCTCGTCGCGCGCACAAGCAGCACAAGCAGTGCCTGTCCCAACAAATTGTACAGCGTTCCTTCATGTTGCTCGCCTAACCTTTTGAAATTGGGCTGCAGTAACCGTAAGATGATCCTCCACAAGCTGTTCGCCAGTGATCAGGCCATATGTTCGGGTTCAACTCTTGCTGACCTATCTTGAAACCACAGCTTCTAGCGCAAAAGATGGCCCTGAGCTGAAGAAGAGCTGCAGTGACCAGAAGCCTCTTTGCTGCAGCACACCTTCTGCCCTTGCTGGTGGTCTTTGTGTCAACCCCGCGGGCATCAAGGAAGATCATTGATCAAGTGGAATCTACCTTGGATCCTCTGTGCTCCGTTGATATTTGCGTGACTTCCTGGAGATTGTCAGGCGTCAAGGCTGAATCAAATCGATTCGGCCATTCTCGAGCACATGCTATGCCCTATGCGCATCTTGCAGGACAAAGATTTGGACATAGAAGAATTTCATTTCGTGATTTTGTCGAATGCTTTCAGTAAGATACGGATGCTTGGATCATCAACCAATGGAGATTAGTTCATAAGCTACAGTAGTTATGATTCTGTAAACGATCTACACCGTGGCCTATTTACTGATTAGGAAATGCCATTACATAAGATCACATCCGCTGCCAGTTTCTCCAGGCACCCAACGCTTATCGACGGAAACAAATGGAGAAATTGAGTAAGAAAATGCGCAAATAGAGTGATGAGGGGCCAGACTGCGGGACCACGAAAAAAGTCAGATAAGCTCGAATCGAAAACCTTTGTGACCTCATTCTTCCTTCCTTAACGTGTTCTAAGGTCGATTCCCATCATGTCTGTCACGACACCCGTCATTCCGCCCGTGGCGCTGGATAGCATTACCCAGCACATCGGCAACACCCCTCTGGTGCGACTGAACCGCCTTCCTCAAAGCCTGGGTATTGAGGCCACCGTCTATGCCAAATTGGAGTATTTCAACGCAGGCGGCTCCGTCAAGGATCGCATTGCCCTGCGTATGATTGAGGAGGCTGAGCGGTCTGGTCGCATCAAGCCGGGTGACACCTTGATTGAGCCTACCAGTGGTAACACGTTAGTGGTGGATTGTTTTTCCCTTGATTGAGAAATCGTCGTGGCTGACCCTAATCGATTAGTGGTATTGGACTGGCCTTGGTTGGCGCCGTCAAGGGTAAGTGCACAGCTACGAAGGGGCAGTCTTGACAATGCTAATCGATACTATGCAGGTTACAAAACCATCATTACCCTCCCCGAGAAGATGTCCGCCGAGAAGGTGTCCGTCCTGCGGGCCCTCAATGCGACAATCATCCGAACCCCCAATGAGGCCGCCTTCGATTCCCCTGAGTCCCACATCGGAGTCGCCAGACGCCTGGAGAAGGAATTGCCTAATGCCCACATCCTTGATCAGTATTGCAACTTGAACAACCCGTTGGCCCATGAGCTCGGCACTGCTCAGGAGATCTGGACCCAGACCAAGGGTGAGATCAACGCTATCGTCGCAGGTGCTGGAACCGGTGGCACCATTACCGGCCTGGCTCGTGGTCTGAAGAAGCACAATTCCAACATCGAGATCATTGCCGCTGATCCTTTCGGTTCTATCCTTGCCCTTCCGCCCACATTGAACGAGTCCCGTGTCAACGAGCCCTACAAGGTGGAGGGAATTGGTTATGATTTCATCCCGGATGTGCTGGACCAGAAGATCGTCGACCGCTGGTACAAGACTGAAGATCGCGAGTCATTCCAGTACTCGCGTCGTCTCATTGCTGAGGAGGGTCTCCTGGTTGGTGGTAGCAGTGGAAGCGCTGTTGCCGCTCTTGTGAAGGCCAACCAGGAAAAGAAATTCTCTAAAGACGACGTTGTAGTCGTCATTCTCCCAGACAGCATCCGCAGCTACCTCACCAAGTTCGCTGATGACGACTGGCTCGCCGCCAATGACCTTTTCCCTGCTGCTGTCCCCGTCGAGACCGCTACCACCAAAGCCCAGACATCTACCTCCGAGGATCCTCTGGCTGGTGCCAAGGTCAGCGCTCTCCGTTTGAAGCCAATCACCACCGTTACCTCCAGCTTCCCCTGTGATGCAGCTATCGAGATTATGCGTGAGAAGGGCTTTGACCAGCTTCCTGTTCTCGCACCCTCGGGTCGCAAGCTCGTCGGTCTCCTTACCCTGGGTAACGTCCTGAGCAGACTAACACACGGTCGGGTATCGGGCAAGACCCCCGTTTCGGAGGTGATGTTCGATTTCTCGAAGATTCCCGAGGTTGTCACCGACCCCCGTGACATGGGCGCCATCGCCCAGTCGAAGATCCAGCCCAAGCGCCGCCAGTTCATTGAGATCACCTTGGACACCCCGCTCAGCGTTCTGAACCGTTTCTTTGAGTGGAACAGCGCTGCCGTGGTGACTGAGAAGGACGCAAACGGCAGCATGAAGCCGCTGGCGGTTGTGACCAAGGTGGATCTGCTCACCTGGTTGCTGCACCAGAACAAGAACAACGGCAATTAGATGTGAATATGACTTACGACCGCTATGCCTCTCCTGAACCTTGCCATTTCTTGCCTGGGGCGTCAAAATCTGCTGTCTCTCGATAATGAATTGGCGTTTATCTTGTGTAGATCTCGGTTGGGACTACGAATTGGTCGCATATAGACTCCGGATCAATCCACATGATTTACCTTATTGCAATCTAGATAGAAGATAATACAATAATACCACTGGAACATCCCAGTTATACAGCGAAAATGGGTCCAAGCAGGATAAATAATCATTATCCCCCGCATGAAAAGCTCCAGGAGCTACAACATAGTTCCGAGGTCGGTGACGCAGACGTCCTCGGACTATCAAGGTCCCCGCCATAGAACCATTCATTTCTCGACCTCTCCATCTTGAAATTTCAAACTATTTCCAGTTGAGAAGCAAGGTTCTTTTGGTACGTTGTATTGCGAGACATAGGAAATTCATTTCGTCTTTAACGAGGCTAGGCAATTCTAGAAATCATTCGGGTAATTCATCAACGCCATCCTTTCTCATCACGCATTTAAAAGGCCTTGCCAGCCTCAGCTGCCTTCACGTCCTCCTCGGAGCTCATGATCTGCACCTTGATAGCTCCGGTCTTGGGATTGGCAGCAGTCTCGAACGCCTTGAGAGCATCCTCAATGGGGAAGCGGTGGGTCACCAGCTTGCGCAGGTCAATAACGCCATTTTGCACCAGGCGAATGGCACGGGGCCAGGTGTTGCAGTAACGGTACTGGTACTGAAGATCGATCTCCTGGGTACTGAGACGCATAAAGGGGATAGTCATCTCGTTTTTGCCCACACCAATGACGAATACCTTGCCACCGAACTTCATACTCCAGATAGCTGAGTTGACACTGCTCTCGACACCGGTGCACTCCAAAGCCAGCTTGGGGCGCAGAGCATCGGGACCGGAGCCCTTGCCGTCGTTCATGGCATTGATGATGCCTTCGGCACACTCCTCGGCCGACTTTCCAAACTCCACCTTATAGGTGCGCACCTCTGGTACCAAGCTCTTAGCGAAGGCTAGACGACCCTCGTCGATATCGGTAATAACAATGGGACAGGCGCCAGCCGCTTTGGCACTGAGCAAGCTAATCAGACCGATCGGACCAGCACCGGTGATAAGCAATGCGTCGCCAAGACGCAATCCGCTGCGCTCAATAGCTGCCAGGGTAACACTCAATGGCTCCAGGAGGGCACCGTCTTCATAGCTCATATCACCGATCTTGTGACACCAGATGGCGGGGTGGTTCACGTACCGACGGAGCAGACCGTCGACGGGAGGGGTGGAGAGGAAATCGACCTTCTCACACCCATTGTAGCGACCTGTCAGGCAAGGCTCACAGGCGTTACAGATAATGTTCGGCTCGACAGCGACGCGGTCGCCGACCTTCAGAGAGGTAACGTCGGGTGCGACGGCGACAATCTGGCCGGCGGATTCGTGACCAAGGACGTGGTCGCCTGTGACGATCATGGGACCAATGCAGCCTGCGTGCCAGAAGTGGACATCGGATCTGGAACGCGGGGGTGACGGTTAGTCCCTGTGAAAGTTATAGGCTTTTGACGCGGCGCAATTGTATGGACTTACCCGCAGATACCAGTGCTGCGCACCTCAATGACCACCTCACCGGGCTTCAAGCCCTTGCCTGACTGGACATCCTCTACTTTTGGAGTGGTCTCTGCAATCCACAGGTCGTGCTTGGGATTGGTGTACACACCAATGTTGGTTTTGGTGACAGTGGTTGCGGAAGACATGGTGGGTGTGGGACGAGAAAGGAGGGGGAGAGATTAATTGGGAAACTAATGAGGACCAGGATCTTAAATCTACGGGGGGAGCAGGTCTTTATTTGAAATTTCACTTGGACAGGTGATCACTCGCATCTTCCGTCATACAGAGAGGGAGTAACATACCCAAGTGGAGTGGGGGGCAAATGCTGGGGCAGTTGCATTTAACCGCCGCGGGGCTAACTTGCCCGAATGTCTCTGAACCAGGCAATGGCGAACCGCGTACATCGGCCCGAGTCCGACTGTCGGCTGTCGGTTAAAATCAGTCTCCAGTCGCTCTTTCTCTCTATCTAATTGCTGAGGGACAAATGAATTCCTTTTTCCACTTTGTTTCCGTGGATGAAATCAGGTGGTTTTAAGGTAACAGTAACCCCGGCAGATCTGATTTAAACCACGAATCTTGGGCCTTTCTCAGGCACCAAGCCCCCGGAAACGGTAATTCTCCGGTGGGAACGCGGGTGTGGAGTAGTAGCGGGCGTTTCTAGAAGGACCCCACTATCGAGCTAGGCAATCAGAGACCTGGTCAGATTCGAATTCATGTTGCTCGGCGTACATAAGGGGTCTTTTAAGCTCCATGCAATACATTTGATAAGCTCATGATATTTCACGTGACACGCAAGGCCAGGCACAGGATCTCGGCAGAAACTCCCTTGGACAAGAGGGATGAGAGGAACCGGAAAGTTTGCTATTTTAACTTGATGACCCTGAGAGTAATGAGGTCCATTGGACGTCCCTTCTCTAGTCCGGGCCAATGTATCCCTAAATGGATTTGGCCTACGTTGAATCCCCAAGGTCCGAACCGCTCAAAGTTCGGTTGGCTAGGCTTTGCAAGGGTCACAATACAAAGCCACTTAGGGACTGGTCCTCTTTATTTTTCTTCATCTTCGACCTACTATGCCAATCCCGCGAGCCTGGCACCCCATCGCGTCATCTCAGAGGGAGTAAAAGGATACGGCGTATTGTGGTCGGGAAGCCAGCCAAAGGTGTATTTGAGAAGAAGAGTATAGCCAACTGCACCGGCACCAACGACCCCAAGCACCCAGTCACGTGTAGAGAGCAAGCCATGCTTCTGCATATAGCGCATATACTTCATCCCAAACGGAACAAAGCCCAGCACGACCGAAGTGAGTCCGGGATTATAGATGGTACCAAGCTTCATATTCATCATAATGCCGTGGATGCCGACTTGCCCAAATCCAAACGAAACAGAGGCTAATCCGAACCCAGAAGCAGCAGCCGAAACCCCTCTCTTTATTCGCCCAGCAGCGTCCCCACTATTTGCCGTCCTTCGGCCCTTGCCGACTTGAAAGTTACAACATGAAAGTTCTAGGATTTAATAAGACAAGGAAAAATCAAACATGTCAATTTCTAATACTGTAGCAGCTCATTCTGAAGCTAATATACACCGCCCCGAGAAACTTGATTTCCACCTCCTTATTGCATCATTCCCAGCATTTGATGAGAAAATTCTTCACAAGCAGCACGACGTTGTCTAGCGATACTGAAAAAGCGTTCCTCTGGTGGCATGAACCCAACGTGAACCTCATCATCACCCTCGACCAATCCCTCCCAGGCTTTGTCCGTGAATTCCTCCAAGGGCATTCCCATTTGACGACCCTTATCCGCTCCCATATAATCATGCAGTTCCGCTGTTTATGTTGATTAGCCCAATACCTCTGGTAATTCCTCTCTGGAGGTCATATTAAAGAACGGTATGTGCGAATTAGAACTCACTTTGAACAGCTGGGGGGAAGACTTCGATCACGTTGACATTGGACTTGGCCTCTTTTAGTTGAGCCCGGAGACACATGGCGAATGTATTTAAAGCAGCCTTGGATGCGCAATATCCAATCAAGGGGCCTACGGGCACGATGGCAAGGTTGGATAGGGTGCTATTACTTCAGTTAGCTTGGATGCACATGAAGATGCAAAGGGAGTCATACAAGACCAAGCTGGTCGCAGTCGTCTTGCCCGATAGGTAAGGGAGAAAGGCGGTTGCCAGAGTCACGGCGGCAGTGTAGTTGACATGCATGATTTGATTTAAGACGTCTAAATCAACGGTCTGCGGGGATGTGAAATCGGTAGTCCGTTGGAGACCGGCATTGATGAACACACAGTCGATATCGGGATATTGACTAGTCACCCTATTTGATTGTTCGATTTGTCAGACTGGAGGATACCATCAGAGCAAGGGGGTACACCTTACTCCGCCACAAAGTTTGGGATAGCTTCAAGTTTGCTGATGTCGAAGACCACGCCATGGGCTTTGTCGGTGCCATATTCTTGCACCAGTGCGTCTAGCCGGTCTTTGCGTCGGCCCACAGCAGTCACTTGAATACCATGCTGGAGCATTCTGACGGCCATAGCTTGGCCAATACCAGAGGTAGCTCCGATAAGCAGGACATGTTTGTAGGCGAACTCTGTCATGATGTATACCTCCAAAAATTCAGATAGTGAGGAAACGACAATAAAACTTGGAATTGGAAGATACGAGAGTCATATATACCTGCACAGGTAATTATGAGTGGGTCTTGATGTCTGTTGAAAGTATGTATCCGTATTTTCAACCCACCGGCTCGGGAAGGTAGTATAGATGGCGTGCACCGGACTTAACAAAATAGACGTAATTTAGAGAACATCATTACCCCGATTACAAGTTTGATAGAACTCCGGACTGAAAACTCTAACATTTAAGCAGAAAATCTAATCGTGGCACCTTTGAATCCTTATTTTAAATATCAAGTAGACTGGAATTTCTCGGCAAAAATCACTCGGCCTTAGGTTGGCACCACAGTCACCAGACTACTCGCCATGTTGCATCTCCATCCGCCAATACCTACAATACCTGTCTTCTTCATCTGGAAGAAGAAAAAGGCACCGCCAACTTTGAAATGCCATTCACAGGCCTTATACTATCTCCAATCATCCTAAAACTTACACTGAAATTCACACCTGGAACCTCACCATCCGTAATTCCTCATTGCTGCTTGCCGTATCGCCCAGTGTACCTTCTGCCGCAATCTGTCATGGACCGGCATCTCTCCTGATGGATCCCAAGGCAGAATTACTTACGATATCCTAAGACTTTCTGGTGGAGAAAGCCCTTGATAGTTGTGGGTTCTCGTCCAATTAACCACTTTAGCACGTTCGTGTTGCCTTTGATTCCATAAAAGTTGTAATAGAGTAATAACCGATGGATCGCATCACGGGCACCAGGTGAAACTTCACCATTCTTCCCAGCCAGCATATTTTGGAACTGATCTGCGGATTCGAAGTAGTCCTTTTTAACGATTGTATTAGGTCTACCCATTTCTTCGCTCAGCATCGAAATCACTTCAGCATAGGAAGTTGGTCCAGTGGAGCAGGCTGTGTACTCTGCCAAATAATGGTTTTCTCTCTCATTCGGAATGACCGCAAATGCCTCCGCCAGATCATGCAGGACGGTGAACGAGAACGTTACCTGTAGATCAAAACTGGCAGGGAAAACAGGTTCTTCCGATTGCAGCAATTTCTCGACGGAAAATTGGTCCAGGATATGACTGAGTTGAACAATAGTGTAGTTGAGTCCTGATTCAACAAGATATTCCTCCACGTAACGCTTGCAATCGTGATTCATCAATTTGCGGATTTGCGGATGCAGCACGGAGGAGAAGACGAATATGCTTTAGTGCTCCATGCTGGGCTTCTTGACGTGCAGCGTCGATCATGGTGTACCCGATTTCCGTTTCATGGTTGTGAAGAGATGGCCCAATATAGAGTACAGCCGTGACTCCTGACAAGATGCGCCTCGCATCCTCCGGGCGGGACATGTCGGCTCGCACAACTGTTGCGTTGGGATAGGTTGTCTTCAGGAGCTCTTCCGATAACGTAGTGTTCACGGCTAGCCTCAGGTTCTGCCATTTCTTGTAGAGGAGAGGGATCAATTGCGAGCATTGGTTGCCGCTCGCGCAAGTGAGAAGAAGAACGTCGTTTTCGAAGTCGACTGACATTTTCGATGATTGATTACTTCCGGAGTTTACTAGGGAAGATATTGAGAAGACCTGATTGTGCTATATAATAATACATAATAATACTCTGGGTAAAGTTTCAATGACGAAACTTTGAATAAGGTTTTTATAGCCGGAGTTAACGAGATAAGATTACAGCCTGATCTATAATCTACGTAAGATGTGGGTTACTATCGTTCGCTTGTATGGCTGTATCCAAGTCGGAGCTGGTAAAGGCCGACTTTCCGTCCCCAGACTTGCAAGGGTGCGAAATAAAGCTCTTACTGACCCACAACTTTGTTTTTTTTCCCTGAAGAAACTTAACTGACGCATATTTACAGCAGATTTTAGTTGCCTCACTCATACTACTGTCTTAATCTGTTGGTTAGTATGAAATCATTTCTCCTTAATCCTTCCGGAAGGAATTCGAATTGGAGCTGTGCACATCAACAACGTGTCCAAAATTAAGATGTCGGCCTTGCGCGGAAGCAAAGGCCGAACACCGATCAAAAGGCGGGCTAATCCCCAAACTTGCCAAGGTAAACATAATTTGATCCACTCTCGAAAACACAACCGATCTACGGCAGCAAATCCTCTTATCTCCGGAATATTGGAATGGCATTACGCCAGGGAATCTTCCATCGTTTCGATTTTACAATTGATCTATTCCATGCTCTGTACTCTCCTTCCATAGATTTTAAATCGTCATATCATGTACACTCCGGGGGCGAACATCCAAGGCTGTTCAATCTCACAAAGCTTAATTCAGGACCTGGCAACTTCATCATGTAGTCATGGAATAATGAAATCGAAAAGAATCAGGAACAGGACCAAATGATATCTCGTAAATTGTTCAGAACATGCGATACATCACCGACGCGGAAACAAGGAATAATACTAGCATCATATTTATGCTTCGAAGCCCGCTTCGAAGTCCGTAATGCACGCCCTAGTAGTTAGGGATGCAAACACCGTCATTCCACTCAGTGGCGCCAACGCACTGCCAGTCGTCGCAGCAAGAGGGGCCATTGCTCTGGCAGGCAACTTTGTAGTCTGTAGACATATTTAGTCAGCTGTACTCGATTTGCGTTGCTTTTTGAATCAGACTCACGGCCGACGCAAGTGCGCTTCTCGAAGGCATCAGGGTAAGGGGATGCAGCGGCAACAGCGGCCATGGTAGCAATGATAATGGTGATAAACTGCATCTTGATGGTGGATTTATTGATCGGGAGATCGGCTGTTTGGTTGTTTGGTTGAGGAGTGGGGTTGCTTGATGGATGGATGGATGGATGGATGGATGGATGGATTTTCAGACTTTGAAGGAGATCTCCAGCTATTTATGCTTTTATTTGACCATCGTAGATGCCATTGTGGCGTGTAACCTCGGTTACCTCCCTCGTACTATACAAATTAGATCCGCGACGTCTCAACATCATCGATGTTTGGCCCCCAGGGTGACTTGGCGTTTACCAGATAGTGAGATGACGGGGCCGTTTCTGCGTTTTATCCATTATGGGCAAGCGGTAGGCAAGCAAGGATCCACATTTTTGCCTCTGAAGGATCGAGTCTATCTGGTGATTCCCTAACTTGGATATTGTGAGCATCCAGCGCCCCGTAGCGATATACGAATGCTGGCAAGAGGCGCTTTCGGCAAAATTCTCGTCTATTTCGATCCTTGGCCATTTGATAGAGCTAAAATCCTCCTCATAAGGCTCGATCTCTCCAAAAAGGTCGCTTTGTGAACATTTGGTAACGTGAACGATCAGATTCGTAAGCGAATACCGGGAAAAGGTATGCTTTAAACAGCGCGGAGCAAAGAATTGATTGTTCCAAAGCTTGTCTTAGCTTTTTCTGAGGATAGTCAAATCTCTTCCAGGCTCTATGTTGCTGTGACGAGAGGTCATGTTCGGTATGTTACCACAGGGGCATTTTAACATTGCCGTCGCATGTCGAACATAATACATACGTAATGGTGTTCGGCTTCCAATGGCTCAACAATGGCTTGGGATTTTAGCAAAGATGTGCAACGCCTTTATAGAGCACGATAGAGTAGAGCAAAAATCTAAATGATTCGTCAAAAGGTGATGGTTGAATGTAATGATTCTCTTGTCCTCTTGACATGTACACCAGCGGCGGTGTGTTGAGCCCCACGCAAATGGGAATTTTTCTTGGCTCCGAAACCTCCACGGTATAGACGAAAATTACCAGGAACCATTTGAAAGAACAAACACGAGGACCACGATCAAGCTGTATTGATCTAAGCTAAGGATCGACGATAAAATTCAAGGAAAACGGACCCGTGCCCTGTGATCACATTGTGTTTCCACCTGCCATAGGCCTATCAGCAAGGAGCATTTGGCGTCAAAATTCATCAGCCACCATGTTCACACTGAAAGAGACAGCATCTTCATCGCTGTCGCTACCGACAGACAACTACATTTACTCCCTTGTGCCGTCTGCAGCCGGCGCCTTTGCCGCTATCTCCTCGGACGATTCTCTGCGCGTTTTCGATGCCGCTAATCTTAATCGCGTCGCGGTGGTCTCCCAAAAGGCCCACGACGGAGGTGTCACTTCACTACGGAGCTATGCATCAGGTGAATCACAGCTGCTGGTGACTGGTGGTCGTGAGGGAAAAGTGAAGCTGTGGGATGTTCGAGCTGGAAATACAGCGATAGAGGTAGAAACAAGTGAGTCAGGAAATACCTTGCATTTTCTTTCCCCGTCTTTTCCAATCACATCTTGCTTCTTACCTTGGAAAATATTATGGACCAGCAACGAGTCTGGATGACTGTTCAGTGGTCAGTCCGAATGAAATTCTCGAATGGTTGCACAATTATCGGAGGATGGCCCAGCACTATCAAGTTCCTGTCTCCTGGTCTTTGACTTAGCTGATCCATTGGGTATTCTAGTGAGACATGCACCTGTGCTCTCTATTGCATGCAACCCGGAAACCAATACCATTGTCGCGGGTACAGAGCTCCTCTCGTCACAGGCAGTTGTCGCATTCTGGTAATTTCTTTATAGATGAATCACGAAAAATCATGTGCTATACTCACACCTACTGATAGGGATATAAGATCTCCACAGGCTCCGCGCCTTCAATATGTGGAGAGCCACAATGACGATATCACAGAGGCAAGTCACTTTTTCGCGCATCTAGATCGGTGCATACCGCATTGCCCTTCCTACAAGAAACGGCTATCTAAAAAAAAATAAAATAAAATAAACTAATCGATAGATAGCTTCAATATCACCCAGCCCGCAATAACATCTTACTTTCTGGCAGCACTGACGGGCTTGTTAATATCTATGACACAACAGTGACAGACGAGGATGACGCCCTGGTGCAGGTCATCAACCATGGCTCGGTTCATCATGCTGGCTTCTTGTCCGAGAGTACTATCTTTGCGCTGAGCCATGACGAACAGTTCTCTATTCATCCAGCCACCAATCCCGACGATCCTGGGCAAGAACCCGAGCCAGTAGAGTTCGATGACGTACGAGAGCCATTGAGCATTGAGTATGTTGTGCAGGTCTGCATGGGTGGGCAAGGACCGTATATTGCGGCTGGCAACAAAATGTATGTTTTTCCGACACTTTCTCTTGTACACTGCCCAGGTTACTAATTTCTTTTCTCTGCCACAGTGATAAGCGCCTTGATTTGGTTCCGTTGGTCTCCAGTCCCGGCTGGCAATTTGACCAGAATAACCTTTGGCGCCTGCCTGGTGCGCATGGTGATGAGGTTGTGCGCTCGGTATACTTGGATGATCAGGTATTTCTTCTTCTCCCATGTTCAGCCGAATAAAGCACCTTCGAGTGCAATGTCTGGTTCTTCTTGCTGATATTATTCTACAGAGTCAATCAGTCTTTACTTGTGGCGAGGACGGGTTCGTGCGGGTGTGGAAGCCTGATGGGGATGATTCGCAAGCCCAGGCTGGATCTACAAAGACTTCGCGGAAGGAGAAGAAACAGAAAGATCGGTTCCGGCCTTATTAGATATGGAGCAACTTGGTTCAGAGACCTGAGGTCAGGGGGGAGTCAGACGGCAAAATACCTAGATGTCGATACAATCAAATGACAAATAATTTCGGAATTACAGCGTCTCTGATACTTTAGTTTGACGTCCGGGTATCGATTACATGTGTCATGGATGATGATAAATCATGTGAATTGGGCTCTAGGGCTGTTGCCATCCACAGGAATATATCTCGGGTGACCGCCAGGTCACATGTCTATCGACCACCTACCCAGGCAAATGTTCCGTGATTTCCCCAAGAGACTTTGTTCTTATCATGAAACACCCAACAATCCGTTCGGCGAATTGATCTTAGCACCTGGCATATGAAGTGTCATACTGTAGTGCAGACATAACCTTCGAAGGTGGGTCTCCATATTTACCGCCACAATTGACGTCTACAACACACAAACCCACATGCCCTTACCTTCCATTTTCTTCACAACGGAACAAAAATGGAGTCGGCGCGTTCTCTTTACAAAAACGGGGTCAATTTCGAGGAGCTCGCATTACAAGCGCCTGATTTCGCTAATTTGTAAGTGCATCTTCAAATCAAAGGGAACATCAAGTGCTGAAGAATCATCAGGCTCAAATTAAATAAAAAAGTGGACTTCAATGACCCAGCCACTGTCCGGTATGATATGAATTATACGGTCTAGCAATGAAAACTCATTTCGTTACAGACAATTAACCATTAGCTTGCTGAAGCGCGATTTTGGCCTTGAAGTCAAACTTCCGAAGGATCGATTATGTCCCCCGGTCAGTACAGACACATGTCTTTAGTGATTCTATATTAATGGAAAGCTCTAGGTCCCCAACAGGTACGCAGCCCATGCTCAGTCATGACTCGCAGTATCTAATGAACTAGGCTCAATTACATCATCTGGGTGCAAGATCTTCTCGACTCTACAGAAGGAACAATTGAAAGAGAATACAACCAGAATCGGGAAGTGTTAGGCTTAGACATGTATGTCATCGATTTGAGCATGCGCCTTGATGTGCCGAGCTAACAAATTCCAGTGGAACGGGATGCTGTGCCATCTATCCTTTACTGGGCTGCAAGACTCGACCACAGTGGAAGTTTTTAGCGACCGGTATGGGTTTCGCTGACCGAAGCGCAAAGACAAGGCTAACAAGATTCAGATATTGACGAAATCAATTATTGGGCAGCCGAAGATAATATCGAAATGAATGAGCTCGAGTCACGTATTCACATATTGAAAACTGAACCCATGGACCCGTTCTTTTCGCCTGAAATGCTAGGCCATGATAGGTAAAAGGAGATGTACAAATATGAGAAAAAGGAACATGTGATTGATACCTGTCTAGGCTGGACTTCACAATGTGCAACCCACCGTTTTATACCTCACACGAGGAAATGGTTGCATCTACCGAGGCGAAAACGCAAGCTCCCTCTTCAGTAGGTCATCCCTGCGAATCACAGAGCCAGTCACTGATTTCTTCCAGACATGCACTGGAGCTGATGTGGAGATGATCACTCTTGGCGGAGAGGTTGGATTTGTTACGCGCATGATTGATGAGAGTCTACAAGTGCGGGATCGGATCAAATGGTATACAACTATGCTAGGCAAGCTGAGCAGTGTGACTACGCTCGTTGACAACCTGATAAAACGTGAAAACCAAAACTATGCCGTCACCGAGTTTGTGCAGGGGAACAAAACGAAGCGCTGGGCTGTTGCCTGGTCGTGGGGGGATATGCGACCTGCAATGGTACGACAATTCCATAATACGGTATGACTGTTTCTAATGATCATACAGAGCGTCGCAAGAGGAATTCCGGGCTTCCCAAAGCACCTCCTGCCTTTTCCTGCTGACTTTAGCTTCGTGCTTCCACCGACAAAATCAATCGATGTCGCAATTGCTACTATGGATACCGAGCTGAGCTCCTTGTCCTGGTACTGGACATGGGATCAATCCCGTAGTGCTGGCGTCGGATTTGCGCCCGAGAACGTCTGGTCTCGTCAAGCACGTCGCAAGCTCAAGTTTGCTGGACAAGATGGTGCGCCAGGCAAACTATTGGCCATGCCGATGAGAGTGGAATTGGGAATTCGAGTTCAGTTGACACTGGTTCGAGGGCAGGATCCTGAAAGACACGAAGTCCAAGTGTTGATTAGCTGGACCCGAGGCACAAACAGTGTGTTGTTCGAGAGTTTCTGCGGAATGCTGAGGAGGAAAATGGAGCCATAGTTTATCGGAAATGGCCAAAATCGCTAGCGTACTGAAAACCAAATTCTGTGACTTATGTAGTATGTATGATGTGCATCTCGGATGTTCGGACAGACTGTGGGGTCTCGGCGTTCACTTCTGGATGCCGTGTCCGTACAGTAACCTCGGGATTGCGTCTTTCAAAACCAAATGCCCTTTGCAACTTTCACATACACCACGCCATGTCAAAACTCTCCAGTAGCTTGAAAGCATTGATCAATGCCCCGGCCGCCAGGCCACACACTGTGCCTGCACCCGCCAACATTGCCTCGGTCTACTTCAAGATCCAGCAGGCGGCCCAGGCCCAGCAACTTTCACAGCCATCATGGATCGCGCTGTCGGTCAGCAACCCTACAAGCATGCAAAGTAATGACAACAGGTCATACTGACTTGTCTAGACCGCTGCGACCATGACCATGAACTCTCCCGAATCCCTCGCCGTCCTCTACCAGCTTGCCTCCTCCACATCCAATAATGTTGAAACCGCCGAGCTGATGCGCGAGGTGGGACTGAAGTGCATCAGCTTTAACGGAATCCCACGAACAATCAACTGTCTGAATGCGTTCAAGAGTAGTCTCCCGGAGGCTGTTGGCGATCAGCTCTCCCGCACTCCTACCCGCACTCCAACACCAGCGAACATTACCGAGATCAGCGAACGCGGCCGAGCACTCTGGGACTCGATCTACCGGCCCTTCGAGAAGAAGCTATACAATAAGCTTGCCGACTCGCACCCCGATCTGCCGGTCCATATCTTGCATAGTAACTACGGTGCTCTACTCTCAGACCCCGCACGGGACACCGGTGCCTCGGCCGGTCGCGTGTTGACCTCCATCGTGGCCGTGTCCTGTCTACGCGCACAGACGGGTGTCGGTCCCCAGGTGCTTTCTCATGTATTTGGACTCCGGAAGGCACTGGAGGATGGCAGTTGGGCTAGTGACGTTGAGAGCGAGCAAGGTGCACGTTGGTTGGCCAGTGACGAAGGCAACACCTGGATCCTCAACAGCGTGGATGCGATCGTTGAGGCCATTAGCCAGGGTACTGGCTCGAATTTTGCGCCTGGTAAGGCGAAGCTATGAACGTTTAGCCCTTGGAAGGGTATATCCACAATTTGTATATAGACCATCGCAGAATCACAATATCGCATAGATGCAACTTGTCCCTGTAGACCTCTCAAGTTTAGCGTTGGATTGGGGTACTTCGTTGATTTCCAGTGCCAGGAGTGCGGAGTCGGAAATCATATGATAAGCTGTTAAGTCCCGCCAACATCGGAACACCTCTCTTCTTTCCGCCTGCTCTACACCCTCTCCTCTCGGACTCCATGATTGTTTTATCCCAATGATATAGATTCCCCAGTTTCCTTCAATCTCACCATGGCTGGAGTCGGGATCTCCTGGGGAACGTAGGTTCTCCGCAAACCCCTACGCGCTTCGATTCTAATCGTGAACAGCATCAAATCCCTCCTGATCTTCTTTGGTCCAATCCTTTTGCCCCGACTACTTGGAGCCTACCGGGCCCTGCGAGTCTCCATCGCCAGTCGCCCACCACCCCGTCCTCTGCCCGCCGCCCCCAATCGAGCGCTGAACCTCTTGTTTGGAAGCATTGTCTTCTTCCTCATTCTCAGCTTGCCTTTCAACCCTCATGCCCCCGAAGCCAACATCTTCGCCCTCACTCGCTCACGAATCAATACTCCGATCGATGTGGTCTTCCACCGGCTCACCAGACTTCGGTCTGATGGTTTATTGACCGACGCGGATACCCTGCTTCGAGACAAATTAACCTCTCTTGGCGCTCGCAAGGTCTACCTCACCTTTGGTGCCGATGCCTTGACCTCCTGCCAGTACTGTTCCTTCGACAACCTCTATACCTACTTCTTATACTATCTGCCTGCCAACGTGCTCCGACCGCATCTTCTACATCTCCTGATTCTCGCTGTTGCCACATCCGCACCGTTCGGGGGACGGGAATCTAGCCGCTGGCGGACCAAGTTCACCCTCGCCGGTCTGGCGCTGGCGCTCGTGGATGTCTATTTCGTTGCTACATATGATGCCGTGAAATCGGCAAGCCCTGCAGTGCGGGCGGGCCAAATTCCTCCCACTGGTCTCTATAACCTCATGGTGCTTCTGCGGCCACTCGCATTCACCATTTGTGACAGTCTATGTGCCATCGTCATCTACCTCTCAGCTACCAACCGATTCTTCTTTAAACCACCATCCACGGTGGAGCATCTCGATCAGGCAGTGTCGGTTGCATTGGCCGCGGTCACCGGTGCCAACTCAAAACTTCATGCTGTCAATGTGACTCGCAATGCCGTTGTTCGGGACAAAGCGCTGAAATCGCGCGATGATCTGTATTGGCAAACCGTGGTGGCTGTGGAGAGCAATGGGGGCCAAGGCGGTTCTTCGGCCGAGAGAGGAGCAGTAGTGAACAATATCTGGGAGGAGGAGGAAGTCGCTCGAGCCATGTCAAAGACGATGGCGGGCCAGGGAGGAGTGGATTTGGCGCAACTCGGGATGAGTGCGAATGAATTTGTACGCGGCGTGACCGAAGGTTTGGATTAGGGTACATATACATTAGACAGACACATGACATTTCTCGGCTAGACTGACTTGGGGCATCATGTATAGCTCTTCTATTCGTAGAAAACGACATGATCATTTTAATGAACAGATGGGCATCTATTCAATGTCTGCCTTCATCGCGACCACTCCATTCAATCCAACAATGTGCACCTTAGACCGATCACCCTCCTCTTGCAACACCACCGAATACTCGTCACCCGCATACAACGGACTCGTTGCACGGTATGAGATGCGCTGAGGGACCACCAGAGTGGGATCGGCAACCTTTCTACCTTGAGTGTCCCTCCAGAGGTCCAGGATTGTGATCAGGTTCAATGGTCCATGAACGACCACATCTTTATGCCCCTCGACATCGCGCGCCCAGGGAAGTGAGTAATGAATTTTGTGCGGATTGAAAGTTAACGCAGAGAACCGGAAAAGAGTGACAGGGGTCTGCACAAAAGTCCGCGAATGGGTATTGCCTTTAGTGGATATCGCGGTCTGCTTTGGGGCCGCAGTATGAGAAGTTGAGACCAGAAACTGATCACTTGGCGCTGAGGATGCTGACGGCGGTGGTAAGGCCTTGCGGAATACCCAGTTTCTAAGCCACGGGTCAATATCTCACATACTTCATCGTCGATGTGCCGACAAGGTTGACTACTCACCTGCGATCAATGACCGAGACTCCCTGTTCATTTGAAAAAGCTTTCTCGACCCCGACTACGATCATATCTTCACCCGTCTTCTTGACGACCTTGTGCTCAGCGCTCAATACATGTGTTGTCTCGTGCACTTCCTGGCCCACCCGCAAGAGGTTGGGCTTCCCCTCTGAATTCCTCGGCCAAAGCACCTCACCTCCTGCCCACATGCGGCGAGTGAAGGGCGTATCAGGGTTATATGATGCATCTGTACCGTCCGCGCCAAGCTCAGCTTCTAGGAAAGCAGGGGTAAAATATACTAGGTGGTATCCGGGTGGGACGGGTGTTTCGGCCGGCGGCCCTGTTGGTGCATTGGAGAGCAAGGGCGAGCCAGGAAAGAGGGAGGGACGATTGAGTGTGAGGCTCAGAAGCTGAAGTTGGTTGGCATCTAGTGTTTGAGTGCGGGTCTGGGGCCCTAGTGATTGGAAGCGCGAAAGGAATGACGCAGCCACATCTGCGGCGGCGGGATCCCGCAAACTGTAGGAGATGGTGAAGCTCCGGATCGCAGCCAAATTCCCTACTGGTGAACGTAGAGACGGCCGGAGCCGGGCTATAAGTGTAGTCATGTCTGTAGTTAAACGCTGGAGATAAAAGAGGTACAATTGGGGGCGCATGCACGGCATCTCCAATTCTTATACGCGGGGAAGCACATTAAGTTGCCGCAAGTCGGCTTTATGCCCGGACCCACTTTGTATTCGAGATCATGGACTATGCGCGATTCCACGAATTTACGTGGCGTTTTAAATATGGTAATTGTAAGAGAGGGACTAAAGACAGACACGCAACAATTCCAATATAACAATGGATATGTACTTGGATAGTAACCTTCTAAACGCTATGCAATACAGGTATCCCACTCTCTTTACACTCATTTATATGCTTTGCAATGCTTCTCAGCCACTCACAAGATTATCAGGAGTCAGGGTTGCAGAGGAATCAGTGACACCGTTAACGGGACTCGCAGCATTCACAGAATTCGGGGGTTTGGCCTCGGTTGCTTTCTGTATCTCTGCTTTCTCGGCCTTCTCCTCCTTCTTGCTGTCCTTGTTGCCCTTTAGCTGCAACGCTCCAGATTCGAGGGCTTCTTCAGGCAAGGGTCGAATATGCGGCTGGCAAATCCACCATGGACGTCCGTATTCCGCGATAGTAGCCTTTGACCCAGTCAAGGTGGGATCGTGAGGTCTCTCAAACTTCTCGGGGTTCACTTCGTACTCTTTCAGACCATCCTTGATTGCTCGCTCCACAAGAGTCAGGACCCGCTCAAAAGCAGGCATGTCACCAGGTCGTGAATGAGCAAGAGCATCTCGAACATGAGTGTGAGTGGAAACCATCGGCCGCAGAACCTGGAAAAGATGACCTTGCATGACACCCAGGCTGGGAGAGTTGGGCTTCTTAATCTTATCACGTTTTTGTTTCTTCTTGGCTGGACCTTCCTCCTCTCCCTCAACCTCGTCCGTACTGAATTCTTCTGCCTTATCTACCGGGTCTGAGGGAAGGAAAAGTGGCTTTCTTTCTGGGACGGGTTGCTCAAGAACGTATTGGTAGATAATGTCGAGGTATCGACGGAGGATCGCGTCGATTCGGTAACCACCTTTTCCATTGCGATCGCGCCAGTATTCCCGTCCTCCGGTGCCGGGTGGTGGTGGCTTACTGAAGATAGTCGGATCAGAGAGGTTTCCCTCGGCGCTCATGACACCGTCGGCGCCCGTTGCTTCAAGGCACCGTTCAATATCATCGTAGTTGAGGATATTCCCGTTCGCAAAAATCACAGTGTCAGGGGGTAGATTATCTCGCAGATAGCGAATGTAGCTCCAATCTGCAACTCCTGTTTCATGACCCTTCTGTTCTCGTCTGCGTCCGTGTACCGCAATAATATTTGCGCCTGCGGAAAGAATCATCTTCGCATACTCCAGAGTTTTTTCCTTGGTCTCCTGAATCCGGAACTTGGCTGTGACCGGCACGTCAAGTTCAGTGTGGAGCTTATTGATGAGCTTGTAGATCAAGTCCCAATCTTCCTGGAGGAAAGCACCGTAGTGGCCCTTTCGCGCAATACCTTGGGGACAGCCCAGATTCAGGTCCACGGCATCACAATAGGGTGCGGCATGGCGCGCTGCTTCCAAGAATTCGTCCGGGTTGTTTGCGCAAAATTGGACGAAGAGAGGTCGGTCAAAGGCCGGGTTGCCGTCGAGAAACAGGTCATCTTGTTTGGTCGTTTCACCAGCCGCTCCTCGGGTCGGTTGAAAATGCTGGGACCGCATGCGAGGATTTTCACCAAAGAGACGCGCATGGTACATAGGGGAGTATGAAAGTAAAGATTTCTGTTCTTCCGCAGGTAAAAAGGATCGAGTGAGCATGCGCCACGCCTGAATAGACCCAGATGATTAGTATACAAGTGGCATATCGGACTGAAACAAAGCGGCACTCACAAACTCCGATCTATCAACCATAGGGGCAACAATATACTTTGGACTGCCAATACTCTCATAGAATTGTCTGCCCTGTAGTTTCTTGGGTGCGGCAGACGCCGTCACGCCATTCTGCGCATCGTTGGAGGCCATTTGGAAAGGTAATCGAGGCGCTGTCTGGATGGCACGACCCAGCCACGGGACTAGCGGAGCGAATCGCTTCGGAAGACCTATTTTGGCAGGTAGGATCGAAAAAAAAGAGGGAAAAAACTCAAGGGAAGGAAGCAACCAGTTTTCGGAGATCAGCGCGGGGAGTTGGAGACGACTTTTTTTCTGCGCGTCCTCCTTATCTCGGAGCGGAACTACAATTATCACTCTTATCGCTTATCGTTATTCCTGGGGAAACGTCTTGACCCTCTCCTAGGACCACTCTACAACCCTGTCCTATCGCTCATCATGGCTTCGGGCGAGTCGGCACGGTTGAAAGCAAAATCGTACCTGATTTTTATTGTGCTCATCGCGACACTGGGTCCGTTTCAATTCGGTTATCACCTAGTACGTATAATCTAAGCGCGCGGCCACCTTGTCCCCGATGTCCCCACTTTCCACTAACCACGAACAGGCCGAACTGAATGCACCCCAGGAGGTCATAACTTGTCAAAAGAAGAGTATCGGAGTCAAGGCTCTTCGTCATGGCCTTCTGCAATGCATCCCCATGGACACGTCCCAGTTTGGCTTGATCTCATCGATATATACTCTGGGTGGACTTTTGGGGGCTCTGCTAGCAGGACCTATCTCGACCAAGTCCGGACGCCGCGTCACACTCCAGGCGACAACGGTCTTTTTCATCCTGGGGCCTGTGACTGAGTCTCTAGCTTCTGCCATTCCCCTTCTTGCTCTCGGCCGATTCTTGTCTGGGATCGGTTGTGGCGCTGCCCTCGTGGTGAGCCCTATTTATGTCTCTGAGGTTGCTCCTCCAAAGTCCCGCGGGTTGTTCGGAGTTGTAACCCAAGTGATGATCAATGTTGGAATTCTCTCATCACAGGTGCTAGGGTACTTCTGGAGCCATGATAGCATGTGGCGATTGATACTCGCGGCGGCGGGTATCGTGGGAGTGTTAGAACTCGTGGGCCTCTTCTTGGTGCCTGAGAGCCCAGTCTGGCTGGCAGAAAACCACCAAAGAAGCCGGGCCCGGCATGTCTTGCAGCGCATCCGAGGCGCGGATGCGGACATTGAGGCCGAAATCGCGGCTTTGGGAGATGCTAGTGCTGTGCCGACGTCCGGTGAGGAGGAATCTCTCCTTTCCCCGCCGTCTGACAACCAAACTCCCAAGCCGATGGGAGTTACAATGCTTCGGGCTGTACAGGATCCACGCTATCGACCCGCCATCTTTGCCGTCGTCGTTTCCATGCTTGCCCAGCAATTGACCGGGATTAACAGCCTCGTGATGTACAGTGTTTCCATCCTGCAGACTATTTTGCCCACTGGGGCTGCACTGCTTACCATCATGACCTCCGTGATTAATCTCATAGCGACGCTGGCATGCATGCCTTTGCCCGATCGCATTGGCCGTAAGACATGCATGCTGCTCAGTATCAGTAGTCTGGGTTGCTGTTCCACCCTCTTGGCGCTTGGGTTTGCTTTCCAGCAGAAGGTTGTCTCTGCAGTCGCATGCTTACTTTTTGTTGCCTGCTTTGCGGTGGGACTAGGACCGGTTCCCTTTTTACTGTCGTCTGAGTTGGTCGGACCGGAGGCAGTTGGTGCAACTCAAAGCTGGGGATTATCGGTCAACTGGATGGCTACATTTGTGGTGGCACAATTCTTCCCCGTTGTCAATGATGCGCTGGGTGGCCAGGGCAGGGTATACTGGATTTTCGCGGCTATGGCGGGACTCTTGGGAGTGCTTCTTTATCGAATCCTTCCAGAGACCCGGGGAAAAGCCAATGCAGATGAGGTCTGGGGTCGAGTACAGCGTCGGGAGGATTGAATCGAATCCCTTTAGACCGCTTCCATAAATTGCTGCCTTGGTTCTTATCGATAAAAACGATCGAATGGAAAGTCGTAGTTCGTAGGGCCGCGTTCGTTGATTGCCTAAGGCATCAACATCACCTGGCCGTCGACTGCCCTTGCCCTAACATCCTTTTTCGGGCTGGCAAATGAGGCTTAAACCTCGGTCCTCTCCATTCAAGCCTCGGAATGAGATTGGGGAAACAAAGACTCACAAGTACTTGCTTCTGCGTCAAAAGATAGCGATACTCCTGATACCAGAGCATATTCCTCTTTTCTATTATTTGCGTTTCTGCACCCTGCTATCGAGATGGCCATGAATCGCATTCCTGGTCACAACATCTACGTCGGAGGGTCGGTCTCTCAATACTTCTAATTAGATTTCTGCCGAGTGGGCCTCTATACGACCTCCCGCTGACAGGTCCCTACAGTATACTATCTCTGAAGAACAAAGCTGCTCTCGAAAGAGAAAATATCACCCATGTTGTCTCTGTGCTACGTCTTAGTCCCACTGAGGAATTATTTTCGAACTTTCAGCATCACAGAATAGACGTTGATGATGTTGATTACGAAAATCTTCTCGAACATCTCCCGGCTGCGGTCAAATTCATTCAATCTGGGCTGGATTCCAATGGGGGCGTCCTTGTGCACTGGTAAGCTGTCGTTCAATTCTTATCTGTTTTCAACTACAAGGTCCCTCATTTATTTGTGTTCCTTGCTTTGTCTCGTTACGGTAGGATAATTCAACTGACCTTCCTCCAGTGCAATGGGCAAGTCCCGGTCCGCAGCTGTCTGTATTGCTTATTTACTTCGCCAGCAGCACAGTGCGCTTACACCGCAATCTGCCTTGGAGATTATCAAGCAAGGACGGCCACTCTGTGAGCCCAATGATGGTTTCATGCAGCAACTAGAGTTGTACCACGAAATGGGATGCCCAGATGATGTCACAACCCACCCAGTCTACCAACGGTGGCTATATCGTCGCGACGTTGAGGACAGTGTGGCATGTGGTCGTGCTCCGGAAATTAAGTCAGTACGCTTTGAAGATGAACAGCCTATGCGGCCTCAGTCCGAAGATAAAGGAGAAGTGGAGATTAAATGTCGCAAATGCCGGTTCGTATTTCGTTCGACAAGAAACAGCGGTGTGGATAAAATATCGAAAGGCTAATTTGCTCTCACAGACGGGGCATCGCATCATCTAAATACATTATCTCTCATGAGCAGGAAAAACGCAGCAATGCTCGGGCACATTCCAACGTTGATTGCGCACATATATTTTTGCATCCAATGAAATGGATGAGTTCAAGCCTGTTTCCAGCAGCAGGTGCTGATGACCCAAACGGACAATATTCTGGAGATGCACCCTTATCCGGCCGCTTGTCTTGTCCAAACCCCACTTGTGGAGCCAATATCGGTAAATTTGCATGGCAAGGTATGCAATGCAGCTGTAACAGCTGGGTGGTACCTGCTCTGTGTCTGACTAAAGCTCGTGTGGACATCGCCAATAAGCCAAAGGCTAGAGGAACAGGAAACCCTCCTCCTGGCGCCCTTGGCATCCGTCTTCCCCCAGGAATGCGGCCTGCTGAGCATAACGACACTGGCTCTGGACGTGGGAACCTGTGATACATGAATACAAATGGCTTGAGTGCAAGAAATACCCTGACTGTTTATTGGTGCCGCCAAAGAGGAGCTTGGCCCTGGAGGTAGAGAACATGACACTTGCCAATTTTACCACCTAGGGGAAAGTCGATCCTCCATGCACATTTATCAACACGGCGACATGTTCTGCAAACTATGACCTATTTACGCCCATGCATATAACCCCTGGAGTGAACCAATCAAAACACCCAGGTGAGTGAAACAAAGAATTCAAAGTATTCGTTCAATTTGTAGCCAACTGGATTTGAATATGTGATCCACCTTCGTATACTTCGTAGTGACTTCAGCTCTCACTTCTTTGACGCCATGATGAGAAGTAATGGCCAGGAAAATGCTCGCTTAACATGAGAACCACCCATATTCGCGGCAAGTTGCTCCCACAGTGGCTTCACTGATTCCTCATCCATGCTTTGAAATGGAAAGATATATTCAACAAATTTCCTCAGCTCACTCACATCCCAGTCTTTTCTCCAAAGCTCCCTGTCTTCTTTCTTCAGCACCAGCTCATTCTCCGTGACGCTACTCTTGGGCTCAACGGGGAAATCACACGCAGGTTGTCCAAAGAACGGGAGAGTTGTCCATGACGAGTTCCACTTGTGCCGCTCCACGGATCCCCATTGCGCCTCGGGAAACGGGATGTAATCTAACCAACTGGCCATTCCATCCGCTGCACGCTTCCACCCCGCCTGGTGCTCAGGCCCACCTCCCTTGATCACACCGCCAAAATGATGATCAATAATTGCATTTAACAGTGGCTGGCACGTTGACGCATATTCTGCCTCCGAGAAATGAGCACGTCCATAGAACCAGATGGCAAGAGTACCGTTAGGTTTTAGTAGGGAACGGAAACTCTGTAACGCGGCTTGGGTGTCCATCAACGGGAACATGAGTGCACAAGCTACAAGATCTGCGGACGCAGCGGGGTGTCTTGATCCGAGCTCCTCGCCCATTGCGATATCGAATGAGAATCGCGATGCCGGGACGTCCGATTGGAGAAGAGAGCTCCGTGCATAATCCACGTGGTTCTTATTGTTGTCGCTCACGACGACGTGGGAGAATCGCTCGCTCAGCTTGGCGGACACATGGCCTGGTCCTGCACCCACATCGTGTGCGACAGAGAATGATGAACTTTTGGAGCGGGCGGCATGGTAGTCATACATAAGCTGGTAAAAGTCGTCGGTGTATTTCGGCCGTGTTGAGAGGTAACCATGCCAATATTGACTTTCGTCATCTTGGGTGAGTTTCCACACATTGGTGCTATCTTCATCCTTAGAGCTAGATAGACATGGTCTGCGAGCGGAAAACGTTCTCTGCCCGCTAGGTAGTGGAAATATATGGAACAATTTGCCACGAGGTTGACAGCGAGGCTTAGTTGCAAGTGCGGATGTTAGGGAAATCGAGCGACGAAATAATTTGGATGTCATGGTGAATGACCTCCTGTGAGAGGGGACGTTCCACAATGGAAATGACCAGAAACCGGGAATCCGGAGGGGCTTTGACCTAGTCAACAGAGCACCGTTGGAACCTCGGAGATTAAATCACTAATCAAGGTGGATTTGTTCAACACAAGCACGCTAACCGGAAGTCGTCTAGAGCGACAGAACAGTGGCGTGGGGATCCACGTGGACATTAGGTTAACCACTGCGTTGGTATCGTGAATACACATCCCGGTTGTATATTCATTAACTCAAGTATTATAGAATTTCAAGTCCAGCTTGATCAGACACATGCTAGAAGTAAAGATATATACAGTCTAGATCGATGGCACAGGAATGCTCTCGAACCCTTTCTGACCAGGCTTTCGGTCCTCCACGATGACCTGCAAGCCCCGACGACCACAGTATCCATCATTGCCAGCAATGCGGTCGATCAATTGAAAAGATCCACCGCCTTCCTGGGCAACATCGGGGATCCACACGGTCTCCTGTACGCTCTGTCCCGGGCCTTCGGTTCGCCGAGGATTGTGCCAAGGAAGACCAACTAGGTGGTTACCAAGATTATGGAGGAAAGAGTACAGTTTCTCAAACCGCCTCGTCACACCGAGCCAAGAGAGCGTACGGGCATCGTACGCGACCCGCACAAAGGGGTTCATGTAAATGCCAGTGTCCGTAATGTCATCCACGTTGGTTTGAGGGTCTTGAATATCGGCGTGAATCAAGCAGCACTCAGACGCCTCCCAGAACAAATCGGCGCCAGATCGGAAGCGGGCTGGTGACGTACCCTCGGTCAAAGGAGTTTGGAAGTATTTCGCCTCGAACGCGACCATACCGCCCCAGCAGCTCCGAACGCGCACAGCGTCCTTCCCTCGCAGAACGTCTCTTCGACTGTCACCATTACCGGCCGTCGAAAACCACGGAAAAAATGGAAGACCCATACTATATCCTTGAAGGTCTCGGGTGGCATATGTATCGTAGAACTTGAAGGGATTGTCAAAGTCAACAGCGCACGCAGCTCGGTATTGAGCCACGCCATCTTCATTGGCATTGGTCGAGAAAAGCAACTGTAGGGCATCGACTGGATCAAAGAAAATGTCGTTCAGATAGAGAAGTTTGTCGTATCGAGTATTAGGGTCGTCGGTGAGAGGTTTCAAGGCTTTGTTTCGGACCTGCGCTAGATACTCGATGCGCTTGACTCGTTGACTGCCGCCCGGGATGGTCACAGTTGGCAGACTTTTGGGGTCGAGATGCTTCTCGTACACAATATCCTTTCGACTGGTAATCTGTCTCTCTAATTCACGGAGCGCACTCTCCCCCTCCGCGCCACTGTCATTTTCGTAAATACTGACAAACACATTCTGATCGCCAATCATATCGATCAGTTGTAGCAGTTGATTGCCCCATTGTCCTCCAGCGAGCTCGCCGCCTCGATCGTATAAGCTGGCGGCGATAAAAACCTTCTCATTGCGGGGATTTCCACGGCCGGCATGGTTCGTACCTCGAGCAGATGTCCGAAGAAGGGCGTAGTGTGCAGGTGGACTGGTATAGGACGGGCGGAAGATGGAGGTTAATACGACGAGGGCGAGGACAATGCCAAAGACGACATGAAGATAACAGCACCGGCGACGAAAGAAGATGCGCGGTAGGCATGGGCGTGACGAGGATGCCAAGACAGGTCGAGAATTTGTTTTTAGGCGGCTATAGCCACCGAAGGATGAGAAGATGCGGGGCAACCAAGAGAATCGACCAGGCGCGACCCTGCTGATCCTGGAGAAAGGAGGCACCTGGGCCTCGAAATCGGCCTCATCTAGATTGAAGGTCCCATCGGAGTCGACCGAGGAGCGTGACGCGAGCTCGTACTCGTCGGGGTGAAGAAGGCGGGAAGACATGGCTACTTGGCGATCGCAACTCAGCCCATGGTTTCAAATGAGAGACAATGATGAAAAGGCCAAGTGAGTAGCATCCTCCACAGCTGTGGCCTATTGCATTGGGGGCGGCCGGAAGCTTGTGAGTTCAGGGACTATTGGTCTGCTTATGTAATCACTACCCTACAGAAGGGAAACACAGCTACTGAAGACTGTAAGTGCCGGCAGCCGTATTATGACTAGGTGTTTGCCCTTGCACTGATGAAAAAGCTGTACTGTATTGAGATGCAGATGGGGAGAGTATCCAATTGCCATAAGTACATGGGGGATGATTAGTTACAGAAAATAAAGGTTATATAACTATGAAACACGCTATGCAAAAATATTGGAAGTATGGGAGTCGAGAGGGGGCTGAAAGTACGAGACAGATAAACGAGCAACAGATGAGCGATGAAGGTAGCAAATGATGACCAACAAACAGCCGGGGCAACTTCTATAGTCGGCTCTCGAGCAAGTTGACATGTTGCTGACCAGGCCAGTGAGCATCCGGCCAGATCTTTCCAAGGGCTTCCCAAATATGCCTACACACGTTAGAGTTGACGACTAAATTAGACAGGGTGAGGTAGCTTACTGGACATAGATAATCTCCAGGCCATCGTGGACTTCTTGAGGAACGTCCTTGACATCCTTACGGTTAGCTTGGGGAAGCAGCACAGTCTTAACACCAGCGCGGAGAGCACCAATGAGCTTCTCCTTGATTCCGCCAACAGGCATCACGCGGCCCCGTAGCGAGATCTCGCCGGTCATGGCGATCTGCGGAGGGACAGCCTTGTTGCTGAAGAGGGAGATGAGTGCCACGGTGTGAGCAAGACCAGCCGAGGGTCCATCCTTGGGAATAGCCCCCGACGGGCAGTGGACGTGCAGGCTACGGCTCTTCATGACATCCTCATTAGGGTCATGCGTGAGGCCTAACTCAAATGAGTGGGCCTTCACCCATGTGAGAGCTACCTCAACGGACTCCTTCAGAACATCACCAAGTTTGCCGGTCAGTTGTACACGACCATTACCAGGCATGTCCGCCACTTCGATAAATAGGATGCTTCCCTGGCCACCCGTCGAATATGCCACAAGACCTGTGACCACACCGGGGCGACCGTGCTTCTCAGCAATTTCTTCCTCGAAGCGCTCGACTCCAAGGATATCCTCCAGATCTTCCACACTGACAACCGGGTTATATTCATCCAGACGCTCAGAGTCACCAGCATCGGCATACTGGACGGCTTTGTGGCGACAGATAGAGCCAAGCTCACGCTCCAGGTTCCGAACACCAGACTCACGAGTGTACGAGGTAATAGTCTTATCAATTACCTCGTCAGATAGCTGGACCTGTCCATCAGAAAGACCATTGGATCGGATCTGCTTCGGAATCAGATGGCGCTTGGCGATGTGCCTCTTCTCAACGGTCGTGTATCCAGACAGTGAGATCGTCTCCATGCGGTCCAGCAGAGGTGCCGGGATGGTATCCAAAGAGTTGGCAGTCGCAATGAAGAGAATCTTGCTAAGGTCAATGGGGATGTTAATATAATGATCTGTGAAGGTGTGGTTCTGCTCCGGGTCCAAGACTTCCAGCATGGCCGCAGATGGATCTCCCTGGAAGTTTGCACCGCCAACTTTGTCGATCTCGTCGAGAAGGAAAACTGGGTTGGCCACGCCGACCTTCTTCAGGCCATTAACGACCAGACCGGGCATAGCCGCAACGTAGGTGCGTCGGTGGCCACGGATTTCAGCCTCATCTCGCACACCACCGAGAGAAATCCGGTGGAACTTGCGACCAAGGGAAGCAGCCACTGACCGGGCCAGACTCGTTTTACCAGTTCCGGGAGGTCCTACGAGGAGCAAGATCGGGGATTTATCAGTCATGCGCTTCGACTTGAGACTCTCAAGCCGGGCTTCGATAGCCACGCGGTCGCTTTCCGACAACAATGGAATGTCCTTCTCAAGGTCTCCAGATGAAGCAGCATCGAGATCCTTGGTCATACTGACAATTTCCCGTTCCATCTCCTGGTTGGTCGATTGCTTCAATCGAAGCACAGCCAGATATTCCAATAGTCTCTTCTTGATCCGCTCTAATCCGTAGTGATCTTCATCCAGTTGTTTACGGGCTAGCTTTAGGGTCTCCGCGCCGAGCTGGTCCTGGGTCACCTTCGTCCACGGGATCTCCGACAGATTCTCCAGGTAGGTTCGGCAAACACCATATTCCGCGTTTGCAGGATTCATCTTGCGCAAACGTTTAAGCTCCTTGTCAGCAATCTTCTGGGCCTCGGGGCTGAGCTTTGCATCCTTAAGCTTCTGTTGTAGCTCGTCAACCTCGTTTGGCTCCTTCTCTTCTTGATCGTTGCCACCGCGTGCACCGGCCGGCCCTGGTGGCGTGAGGCCTGACAGACCCGCCATAGCACGACGTGCCAACACTTCCCGCTCACGAGGGTCCATCTGGCCAATGTCGATACCAGAATTGGAGGGGAAAGAGGATGTAGTAATGGATGTGACTTTCACACTACTTTTGATGTGCTGTGCCTGGCGAGTCAAGATCTCGACGACTCTCTGGAGCCGAACCTTCACATCGAAAGATGCCAGGATTCGTAGCTTCTCCTCAAAGCTAGCATCGGATACGTCGGCCATGAAATCCGCAAGCTTCCCTGCCTGACCTAACTCGGTCTTCGCAATATAGAGTTCGAACTTCCGAGCCACAAGTGGTGACAAACGGGTGGAGGCGGCCGACAGTAGGGAGGATAAGCGCAATAAGGTGAGAAGCTCACGGGAGAGCTGTCTTAACTGCTGGAACAATTCGGCGGCTTCCGAGTCGCCGTGGATTGAGGTGGCTGGCAAGGGATCTGGTCAGCCGGGACTGTCTTCCCGTAGTGTTAGATAACAAACTTACTACTCTCATCGTGAAGGGCAACCTCCGCTTCGAAGTATGGCCGGTCACGCAAGAATTTCTTCACAGTGAATCTCTGTGTTCCCTGGACAAGCAGGAACGGCTCTGAGTACGCACGACGCTGAACGCCAATGACCTTGGCCACGGTACCGTGGGAGAAGATATCCTCCTTCCGTGCCTGTCCTGCATCGATTGCTTCGTATTCCTCCTTTTGTACCTCATCCGAATCATCACCCTCGATGAGCTGCAGCCCATCGCGGCTCAGAAATGGCGAGTTGAAGGGAATGCATCCGAAAGTGATCTGACTATCACGCTTTGAGGGCTTGTCCACCAGGGATGAGAGCAGATTAGTCAAGTCGGGGCGGTTTGATACCGGGATGCGCAGCTGCACACCGGGCAGCAGAACGGTGCCTTTGGCCAGTGGCACGAGTGGAAGCTTGATGGTTCTACCGCTGGAACCCATGCTGAATTGCCGCGGAGAATCAGGTGTTTGGCAAGGGAAGACCGCAGGATAGCAGGAAAATCGAGATTAGAAGATCAGGTACAAGAAGTGGTCGGAGAGTCAATGCGTTCGATGATGTGAGAGAGTTGTAGGGGGACAAAAAGAGGAGAAGTGGAGGCCGGGGTTACCGAGGTCCGTCATAGGTAGATAAGAGAACCGGGGGAAAGTCATCAATACCCCGGTCGCACAGACCAGCATCACGCCACGGGTCACATGATAATCTACTCTTCTAGTGATCTACGTTGATTAGATGCAATAGATGCATCAAGTCACTACTAGTCAGGGAGTAGTTCTCTATAAAAAAAGATTACCAGCATTGTGAGCCTAGGAGAGAAGATTTGGATGAGCTGGCAAGCTTTTTACCTCACTTCAGCTCCGCAACTAATTGGTCCACACTCTTCATCTCACGAGCGTTGTTCTCACCCACATCGAGCGCGACCAGAACTCGGCTCACACAATTATACCCAGCAATTCCAGTGGTAAGCTCCACGATCTCCCGGTCATTGTATCCAACGGTCTTTAGCTGCGCGAAAACTTCATCTTGCACCTTGACAGTCACAGTCATTTGGTCGGTATAGCGCAAAACCGCCTTTTGCTGCGGTGTGAGCGGGCTGCCCTCGAGTTGAGATAGGTCACCCTCAATAGTCGAGGGGAGGATGCGGCAGGCATGCAGCTCCTCGGGTTTAATACCGCCCTTGAGCGCCAGCGGCGCATGGGCGTTCCATTCGTAGATAGCGTCGGTCAAGACGGCGACACGGCACACGGCGAATTCGAGGGTTCCTTGGTCGACGACGGTGCGGGTACGGATCGCACCGATGAAGCTATTCCAGCCATCGGCGACAGGCGGGCTGTGCAGCAGGGATAGATCGAGGGGAATCAGTGGGCGAGGGTTGCGACGCTCAGCGATGCGGGCGTAGATGTCGGCTGTATCGGCCGGGGCATCGCTTGGTGGGGTGTTGGGGGCGTAGGGAAGCCGCATTGTGCGTTTAGTGTAGCCGAGGGATGGAAATCTTGCAAGGGTGATTCTGCGTGGGAATGATAGGTACATGGACTTTTGTTTTCAGATGGATGTCTATGGCACTATCAACCGACATCGGGAATTCCAGTGTCGTCACTGAGCAATTACCGAGTGTGTATCCCGCGTAAGCGGATAAGCTCTTTCCCTACCGTGGAGCATCACCGCCTGTAAATCCGGGGTAATTTATTCTTTATCCCGTAGGACACATACAAAAGAGATGTTATTGCGAGGAAATATTATAGATTGCCACATTAGGAAAAGAAAAAGGCCATGCCGCCAACCGAGGTCATTAATACACCCAACCACCACCAACGGTCAGGACTCAAGAGCTCTTCTTTGATGATCATGTTGAACCCCTGATGTATTCCAGATCCGGTCAAGTCTCGCTTTTTGTGAGAGGTTGGACTTGGATTCAATGTGTTGGTGGGCAGCATTCTCGGGGGTCGATAGACCAGGTACATGGGGTGCATGATCTTCCCATCGGCCTGTGTGAGATCAAGTCGCCCGACGCCATGGTATCGATCAATCGAAGTCGCAAATCCCTGCAGGTGTCAGACAAGGTACCTCAGAACCTATCTCATCGGCCTACCTTAAAGTGTTCGCTATTGTTGTAGCGAGTATACTGACCGGTGTCATGTTTGCACGGTTCGGAGAGTAATTGACGACCATCAATGGCAATCGGGGTCAAAGTCAGACTTCCATCAACGTGGACGACATAGGAACCGTGTTGCCACTGCATAATTCCAGCAGGACAGGATGGGTCGGTCGCTATGAACGATCAGTATACACCTCTAGTATCACATGGTTTCCGGTCTTACGATTGGCTATCGCGCGATAGAAAGCCTCTTCATAGTATCCATCCGCGTCGAATGAGTAGGAGATGCCGGTGAGGTTCGGTTCAAGGAACTTGTCGTTGAGCGGATCGTAAAATCCCTGTCTCCAGTCAGTACTTATGCTGAGTCTCGAATGCCTCAAGAAGAAGCCATACTGGACCCGTCAACACCTCGCGGGACTTGGTAGTCCAAGTACCAACCAAATCATCCACGCTGGCGGCTGCGACCGATACAAAAAGACCCCAGATCCAAATCATGATGGCTTGACAAAAGCAAAAAGGTGTTCAAATCAGAATTACAGGCCATTGATCCCTTCATTCTAGGGGTGACAAACACTCAGCATACCGCGATCCACTCTTATCCTTTATCGGGGAATGGGAAACCTCCTTACCTTTTCGTTCCCGCACCCTTGAACGCCATGGCCTTTCAAACCGCAAAGCGCGACCTGCGTAAGCGGATGCGTGAGACGCTCCAAAAGATGCCTGCCTCACTCATCAATCAACAATGTTAGCACTGCGTTGAAGCGTGATTACCCCAACCCCACACTAACAATCCCAGCCGGTGTCGCGACCAGTAAATTCTTGTCGCTGCCCGAGTACCAGAATGCGAAAAGTATCGCCGTTTACTTGTCAATGCCGACCGGAGAACTTTCCACTAGTAGAATTGTTCAGGATGCATTTGCGCGTGGGAAAAACGTGTATATCCCGTACATTCATACCGTGGAAAAAACCTCCGTCATGGACATGCTCGCCCTCGAATCAATGACGGAATATGAGTCACTGCTGCCAGACAAATGGGGAATCCCCTCTTTGCAGCCTGTGCAAGTGCCGGGTCGTCATAATGGTCTGGCAGAGAATGGATTGGATCTCATTGTGATGCCAGGCATGGCATTTGACCGGGGGTTTCGGCGATTGGGTCATGGGAAAGGATATTATGACCACTTTCTCACTCGTTATTCCCAATTAAGCAAGCAAATGCCCTTCCTTGGTAACAATCCCACCCCGAGAACTGTTTTTCCTTTTTTCTTCCTTTTTTCAAATTACTGAATTTTTACTAGTCGCCTTGTCGCTCCAGGAGCAGATGGTTGAAGAAATCCCGGTGATGGCGCATGACTGGCGGGTTGACGCACTCGTGATGGGTGATGGGGAGTATCTAAATCGCCAAATTGAAATAGAACAAGACTGAACCCAATCATGACTCTGAAGGTCATGTATTATATTATTCTCCAGACTCGAGTTCCATGGTTGAAAAGATCTTTCCCTATAACGTAACAGACGCTGATATGTACATATAAAAATGACTCGTTACGTCCGGAGGACTAGCACCACATCCTTGGGAGGTGAATTTTTGGAAATCTATTTAATGTTGAACAGAGGCCCTGCCAAGATGATCTAACTCCAGGTCTTTTCTTTTGCCCTTCCAAACATTTATTACATATGTTTCATGCAGAGGATTGAGACTCGTGCAGACCATCGCGCCAAGACCGCGTTTCCCAACTCTGTCCCGAGAAACATTCCATTCGTCGCCAACCAACCTTCAGGGCTCCAGCTCTTTTCAAGCTCATTAATGCTACAGTTATACTGCTCAGCACTTCACTGGGTACTGGAAACAATGCAGAAGTACTAGTGTCTGACGCCTTCATCGTGCGAAAATCAATATTGAACATTGCCATATCAATCGAATCATCTCAGCCGAAGACGCACGACAACCTTGGCATGGGAGAGAGATGGGCGTAAATGACAGGAAAATCAATCTGTGGATTATCCTTGGTTCAGGCTGTACATTAAACGTACACCGTGATATCCACCTTCATGATTTCAGCTCTTTTCGGACATGCTCTCGGTCTTGCAGGTAGCAGATCCGCAATGAACGGCTATAGGGATATCAAGAAGTTTTTTTTCTATAACCACCGCTGGCTGTAGTTACCATAGTTGACATGCCAGCGAGTTCTTCGACCCTTGTCAGGACTTAGCGGATCGGAGTCTTAAGTGCCCGAAGCGAAATAGTTTTGATCGTGAGACAGGTGTGCGGCGGCTATCTCCAGCATGCTAATTCCGGATTGTTCGGAGGGTCGGGTCGATCTACAAAGCACACAAGACAGCTTTGGTTTTCACTTTGTTTTCTGTATATCTCGTGGGCAAGTCTCCTGTATTTGTACCTAGCAAGATGCCTGATTAGAGTCTCACACCTTTTGACATATATACAAGCATACGCTAAATGTTGAGGATTCTTGTTTTGTTTCATTTATGTACAGTTATCGCCTTGTGGATGAAGACGCTGGTGCATTCCATCATTGATTCATGCGAGCAGCTCTGAACTTGCTCATTCGCTTTGGTGATTCCTCAGCCTCGATAAGAACCATCTCAGGCTCTTCATTGTTCACAAAGCCACCTCTCTGTTGAATCATATGGTTCCGCATCTTATAAAACTCAGTGGCGATTTCACGGCGGTGGATTTCTTCGTCCAGGTCGTCGAGTTCGGGGGCGGGAGCAGTTCCTGGGGCAATTTCTCGCTCAACCAGTGTGTCTGCCAACGTTTTCCCTTGCGGAGGCTGAGGGGCAGAAAAACTTCCAGGAGCGTCTTGGATCGGAGTAGAGAATGGCTTGGGTGTTTGGGGCGTGGCAGGGAATAGAGCTGGTAGACTTGTTGATGGAACAGCATTGACCTGCTTTCCAATGGAATGGGAGTCTGCGAGCTGCGCGCCACTTGTGGGGACGGGCTTAGGAGTAGTCCCAGCGGCTGGGGCGCCTGAGCGGGCGCTCTTGAAACGAGAGGCTTTCTTAGGAGTGGTTGCAGCTAGAACTGGTGGCGGGGTATCCTTCACACAGTCTGTACGTTCCACAATAGCATCTGATAGTACAACCACATCAGACTTAGGTGGGAGAGTTCTCTTCTCAGTAGTTTGGATCTGCTCGATACGAGGAGCCTGAGGTGCAGGAGCGATATCGAGGTCATCGGCGAACGCAACTCGCTTCTTCGGTTTCTTTGCCTTTGAGGGGCTCTTCGCGACATCATCAGGCTGAATAGCTTCTGCCGCTGCTGCCGCTTCGACTTCTTCTCGTACCTCGCTCGGGAAGGTTTGCGAATCCTTGCCCATATTCCACATACCACGAGCATTCAGCTTTTCCTCTAGCTCTCGCATCTGTTTGTGATATTCTTCACTCAATTCGGTCCGTGATCGACCGAACTCATCCTCCTCCTCACCGTCCTCATCTGTAGCCCACGCGTAGTCTTCGTCGAAGGACACGTCGCTTCCATCTTCATCCAGCTCCAACTCGGCGACAATCGCGCCCACTTCGTCAATGCCATATTGAAACATTTCCCGGCGTAACTGGGCATCTTCCAGCGACTCATCAATATCAGTAACGGGAGGTTGTTTGCGATCCCCGTCTGTCAAATTAGATACCGGCTCCGATAGATCTGTTTCCTTCAACTGAGGGGAATCGTTGGCTTCCGGACCGGGGGTGAACCTATTCGAATATTCATTTGGCCGAGACTCGGTAGCGCTCGTGTTGGCGTTTCCCTCCCGCTTCAAAGGTGTACTAGAGGCACCCCCACTGGGATTCTCGTCACTCCCAGCCTTATCTGGAATATTATCCACGCCGACCTTCTTCAAGACCTCCAACAGCTGGGGAGCCTGATCTCCGGGCGTGTTTACTGAGCCAGAGATGACCCCTCCATCCTCATCCAGCTCCTCCATAATTTCTCTCATTGGAAAGTCTGTGCCATCCATATCCGGCGCGCTTTCGCTCACATCCAACGCAGTCAACTCGTCCTCCGCAGCACATAGCCTCTTCTCCATGGTCGTAATATTCTGCTTCACATAGTCGATGCGCCGTCCAAGAAGGCTGATTATTTGTTGGCTCGATCGTGCGGCGCCTCGCGTCCCAAAAATGGTTTCCATTTCCTTCTCTGTCACTAAGGCACCCCCGAAGTCGCGTCCCACGGCGACTAAATCGTCAGTAGTAGCGTCATCGGGGAGGAGTTTGATTTCGTCGCGGAGTCCGTCATATTCTGCTTCCCAGGTGCGCCAGTGATAGAGGGATTTTTGGAGTTGAAAGACGTTTTCTTTAAGCGCGAGACGGCGCTGCTCGAGAGCGTCGAGGTTATGGCTAGGGAGACTCATAATAAGAAGGGCTTGAAAAACAATCAAATATTATCTTCCGCGAAGTAACGGCGAACAATTATTGAGGATCAGATTTGATCCGGAGAAATCGGATTAACTGGATCCAGATAGATTTGCAGCCAATCGGAGTAACTGCGAGTGTGGGTCTCTATGTCTACTGTACATACGTAGCACATGTTCATAGCGTTTTTTTTTTTCTTACGTTCAGCATCCAGTATCTATTTTTCACAAAATACATGTCAAGAAACCATAAAATAGATTATATCCATAAATACATTAATGCAAAGAAGTGCCAGCATCTCCACACTTTCAATTCTACTCAGCATCCAAGGGGCAGTAAGGTGGCTGATCATTAACCTGGATACCACCACGTTTTTTCTCAAGCGAGTCATGGAAAGGAAGCTTCCAGCCACCCTCCGACTCAGGCGCAGAGAGCCAAAGTCTCATCAAGTGACGCGCACGGATAGGACGACCGCTCTCATCCACAGCACCAGGAGCGTGGTCCTCGTAGGCAGTACGCGCATGGAAGACATGAGAGTTGCTAACAAACTGGATATCACCGGGAGAAAGCACCATGTGAAGCGCCAGCTCGGCACAAGTTTCCTCCCAAATCTTCAGGGCGTACTTCTGCTTATCAGACAGAGGGGGGATCTTGGCATCTGGACCAGAATTATACCGTGACAACGAGGTAAGGTTGTTCGGGTCGAATTTGGCATAAACGCGAGGGCTGGCGCCTGCACGCTCGTTCTCCAGGTACAAGATAGATCCCCGGATCCACTGCTCCTCACCTTCAGAGACCTCGCCCTTGCGGTCAAAGTACCAATTAGGGGTGGCCATGGCTTCGATCACGTCAGGATGTCTTTCTTGAAGAACATTAAATACATGGTGTGTCGACGCAATATCGGATTCGCCACCGATCTTAGATTTGGCGATGCACAAAAGACCGACGATGTCAGATCCATCCGTGTGGAAGTATTGGCTGATGAAGATGTCAGCTCTGTTTTGAAAGATAATATTCGAGGGTGACCTACCGAGCGTTGGTGCGGTAGATACGGACTCTTTCGGTCTTTGTCGGGTCTTCACCAAGGTCCTTGACATGGCCAAGGACATGACCACGACCATTTTGGCTAGTGAAATATCCGAGATAGGTTCCAAGACCCATGTATGCCGTGGCACACTTCTGGAGGTTCCATTCATTGACAGGGATACCTCTGAATAGCCAAAAACCAGTTCCATCAATCAGAACCCTCCGGAGCTCCTCCATACGCTTTGAAAGCTTGGGGAGGGGAAAGTTGCTCTAGGAATCGAATCAGATACAGCCAGTATGGGTCGATTGAGGTAAACCAAAATACAAACTGACCTTAGAAATGCCCTCAAGGGGTGTCTTGTCACGAATAAATTTATCCGATGCATCGCTGATCTCTTGGATCTCTTCCTTTGTGAAGCGATGTGTCCACTTCTCTGGGGCTTGCGAGAAGTTCTCAGCCTGCCATACTGTAGATCCCTGAATCCGCTTCGGGAAGTCCGAGTAAGGGCGGACCTGAGAGTAGATAGGGGGATGTTGACCTGAAGTCTTGAACCCATCTGGGAATTTGGTCAGGTCCACTGCCTTGGTGGAGACTGTTGCAGGTATAGTCTCTGTAAGGGTCGCCATGATGATGAGGAGGGGAGAACAATAGAATAAATCAAGCTGAAGAGGTTTCCCTTGAGCGTGTGAGCTTGCCAGGTGTCCGAGAGGTGAGCAGCTCAAGGCAAGGCCACAATGTGTAATCCGAGAGATCGCGTGGTTTTATACTTCACTGTAGACAGATCGGTGACATGGCCAAAGAACTCCGCATCGGCTTGTCGAATCGACCAACCGCGGCCCATCGGATAATTCAATATTATGAATAGGTACAGAGCAATAATTTCAACATTGATCTGGGGAAATGCGGAGATGTCGGCTCGTCGGCTAAATTAGGTGACATGCGTGATATTGACGCAATCACACCAAATTGCGTGATTACCAACAGGACTTGCTATATTGCGCCATGTCAAATAGCTTGATAGTTTGTGAAGATCATAAAGACTCAAAGTCAGGCTTACTGAGGAAATCTCAACACGACCTCGACGAGCTATCAGCACCACGTGACTGCATGGCGAGCTGTTTGATCCGATCAGCATGGAGTCCACCGGGGCTCACCCTAACGCCGAAGTGTAAAATGCCCGGGTGAAGACATGACATGATCTTACTCTTGAGTGGAATCCTGAGATGTATAATGGAGTAACAAAATCAGAGAAATGCTAGAGGCGTTCGTATCATCCCGAAAACCTCCATGACATGATGCTTGCTTTGGTGCCTCGGACAATTCCGATACCGAGTATGGTGTAATGGTTAGAATACAGCATCTAGAGTTCGCGAGTTCGTTCAATTATCATTTAGTCGAAACGCTTGAATTTTCAAGTCGCAAATTTACCGAATTCTCGGCCCGGTCTTCTTCGACATTGATGCGGTTACCAGAAGTTGATCAGATTGCTCGTGGCGCACTGCCCCTAATTATGCAGATGTAAGGAGAGACAATCAATTTGAAATTCTCCAACTAGTCGGAGTACATTTCCATAAAGAGCACAGCTATGCAGTAAAGTACACCACCATAAATCCAATCCAGCTCCCGAGCACCCCGAGCGCAGAGTAGCTGCTCATGAACATCAAAGGCAAGAACTGCAGTCGCTCAAACCCAAATATGAGCTGGTGCAAAAGAGAGCAGTACACTATAAGCGGGATCGCGATACTCAGATACAACAAGGAGAGACGGTCAAATACAAAGATTCGTGGACGTTCAGGCACCGGAGCGACACGATCAAAAACAAAGAGGAACAAGATCAGCCAGAAAACGGTGTATACGGTCTTAAGCGGGAACTCGGCTGATGTAAACAGCAGCGGAAAAAGAGACACATGGCCCGCCACTGCCAGGGGTCGGAACGCGCTAAAGTAACGGCGGTCCTTGAGGGCGATTAGACTGAAAGGAATGATGACTAGCAGAATGGCCTTCTCGTGGACATGCCAGCCGAAAAGGAAGGAGGCGTATCCACAAAGGGTGATGGCGCCGACAAAGGTATCCCAATCAGGCTGGCGCCAAAGCTTTACTAGAGGGACCTAGATATTTATTAGGAGGAGGCGATCAGCATTGGGGGAGGGCAATACGTACAAGCTGGAAGAGAAAGGTGAGCACAAAGGTTTGCTGCGAGGTGATATCGGGAAGAATGGCGAAGGATGAATCTCCTACGAGACCCCGAGTAACGCTATTAAGCGCTTCTTGGTGTACGGTAAACCCCAGACGCGGAGACACTGTAGAATAAGTTAGCCTGATCTAAGGATAAAGGTTCGTTCATATGTATTCTAAAACCCACATGGAATCAGAGCTCGGTCAGTAAACGAGTACAAAGCCCACACATTAGGCGCCCAGTACGCATGACATAGACCTCGTGAGAATGGAAAAAGTCGATCCTTCAACTGGAGTATCTGACCCCATTGCACAAACGGCCCGAATGCAATTGCAAAAATCCCAATTACGCAAACTCCAAGCTTGATAATGTTAAACAAGCGGGGTCGAAGGTAGTTCTTAGGGTCGAGACAGTAGACGCGGAGCAGGTAGACGAAATAGGCAAGGGAGAGGTATAGATAGATATGCTTAAAGCATAGCAGAGCGGCGAATACTATCCCGCTTAGAAGCTTTGATTGCCGACGAGCCAGGACAATGGACAGGATCAAGATCCCGTACATGAATCCATTGTATTGGAAATGGATGTGGTCGATAATGAATAAGCCAGGCGAGAGAAGTATGGAGAGACTGGCGATATGGGCAGCGGACTTGTTGGCTAAGGGAGTAGACTTGATGAATCTATTCCGCCAATCATTAGCATCTGTGACATTAATGTCAAAAAACAGGACTCACTGGCTTAGTGCATAGACTAGGACAAGCTCGGTCAGAATGACCGTCAGTCTCTGGAAATATATTGTCTCCCAAGAGTCATAGCCCAGGTTCTTCACCACCAGCATTGCCGGATCAACATATGCAGCCGCCTGGGACATCAGCCACTCGAAGGCCGCGAAGAAGGGGGGATAGTCGAGGGTCCATTCTGAGGTTTTCTGGTGTCGCATTAGATTAGAAGACGTGTAGTATACATTGCATTTGAACAAACCTCATAGTACCACTCATTCACTGGCAGCGAATTGGTGATGGCGAGCCAATTGCGATGGACCTCGAAGTCGGTAGATTTGCTGCGGGTGCGGGACACGATTAGAATATTGAAAACAGCTCACGATTGGGACAGCGAACTTACTATGCGGGAAAAAGGAGCACTTTGAGGGCACCCGCAACGATAGCGCACTGCGCCAATGAAGGGTATAACTCAGTCATTGGAGGATGAGCGCATGATATGGCTTGGGGGAGATGACAAATTGGAGTAGCTAATCCAAGGCGGTAAACTAACCTCCAAACACCGTCATTCTTATCGTTATCGACTCATATTCATGATTTGAGCTTCTGGACGCCATGCGACATCGCCCGGGATGCCCTCTTACTTTTATCATCTCAGTCTGGAAATCTTCGGTCCCCAAACATCATTTGCAACTTCATCATTAGCCCTGGACACCGCCATCGAAGCTCTTGAACCATTTCAGAACCGGCCCCGCCTCTCTAGCCCAAGTCACTCTGCAGCGAGCAATCTGCGCGGTATCGAGAAACACGATAAGACCCCGCGGATCATCTCTCACGGACCTCGATCCAGCTGGCCTGATAGCGCTTCAACCCATCAGACATCAAGTCCAAACAACTCCGCCGCTGATCACACCGACATTACGCAGCACATATTATCCCCCGACACAGATCTTCGCACTGGCCCGATCTCAATAGAGTGCATTGACATGGTCGCGCCCGAATCGATGCGAGCGCATAGGCGGCCTCCGTCGGAAGAGGCTAACCTCGTCACAGCAGGTATCGGGACTGAAATTCTCGGCGGCCTGCGCACCAAAGCCCGATATATACCCCTTGATCAGAAGGCCGGAGACAGCATCTACGGAGTCGTCCATTTATACCGAGATTCACAGGAAACGCATTATCTTGCGAGTAATAATGATGATTACCCAACCTACTTGAAGGGCTCTTCGGCGACTGCAAGGCAACCTGGGCAGCAGCAGTCTTCGGCTATCGAGCCGAGCATTAACCATAGTCACGGGAGGAGCAAGAGATCAGCCGATATGAAGGCCTTTCCGTTCCCTGCGACGGCTGCCTCTTCATCGGTCCAGAGCCCGAATGTGGCGGATGAGTGCAGGACGCTGTGTATATTGGCTGTGCCTTCTTATCTTTCACCCTCCGATTTCTTGGGCTTTGTAGGTGAGAAGATGCTGGACGATGTGAGTCATTTTAGAATGATCAGAACACCGCGTGCGAACCGGTACATGGTTTTGATGAAATTTCGAGACGGGAGGACAGCCATTAAGTGGCAAAAAGAGTGGAATGGGAAAGTTTTCAACAGCATGGAGCCTGAAACATGCCATGTCGTCTTTGTCAAGTCAGTTGAGATCCAAGTCGTGGATTCTCAACCGCAGTCGAGTTTCCCTCCTACCGAGCCTGGCCCTCTCTCGCCTTCTGGACAAGCCACTCTCTCCACCAAACCTCTAGCTCCACCGACACCGGCATTGATTGAACTGCCTACTTGTCCAGTTTGCCTCGAACGAATGGACGAAACGACAGGTCTTTTGACTATCATTTGCCAGCATGTCTTTCATTGCACATGCCTTCAAAAATGGAAAGGCAGCGGGTGCCCCGTGTGCAGGTACACACAAGATGGCTTCTACAAGGGAATGGATGGCAGCGAATCTGATGAAGACCCGGCGAAGTGCTCCGTGTGCCACTCTGAGGAGAATCTCTGGGCATGCCTGATCTGTGGGAAGATTGGATGTGGACGTTATGACGGTGCCCACGCATTCGAACATTGGAAAGAAACAGCCCATGAATTTGCCATAGATCTGAACTCTCAGCGAGTATGGCATTATCTCGGTGACGCTTACGTGCACCGTATCATTCAAAGCAAAACAGATGGAAAGCTTGTGGAATTGCCCGCTGCAGATGACAGTGCTCTCGATCCACCTGACTGGGCCGATGCCGTCCCCCGCGAGAAACTCGAGAACATGAGTCTGGAATACACTCACCTCCTGACCAGCCAACTCGAAAGTCAACGTGCCTACTTTGAGGAAATCGTTGAGCGTGCTGCTGATAAAGCCTCTCAAGCTACTGCGGCAGCCGTAGCAGCAGAACAAGCGGCCAACGCAGCCATCAAACGCCTCGAAGATCTACAATCTAAGTATGACACTCTCCATGATGAAACCATTCCAAGCCTTGAAAAAGACCGCACTCGCCTCGAGAAACGATCGGCAAATTTCGAGTCTTTGGCTCGGCGCCTGGAGAAAGATTATCGGGAAGAAAAATCCATGAATCAGTCTCTTATGGAGCGGGTCGACATTTTCACGAAAGAGAATGGGTCTTTGAAAGCTGAGAAATTGGATTTGGAGGAACAAAATCGCGATTTGACCTTCTTTATTAGTGGTTCACAGCGATTGCAAGGCCAGAGTGAGGACATCACACAAGGGACTGTTAGTGTCCCGGAGCCGGAGACTAAGAAGAAGAAGAACAAGGGAAAGGGGAAGAAGTAGTTGGAGACCAGGAGCACGCAGGTGTGCTGTGTACGAGTAGATACGCGTTGACCATGACTAAATGACACTGTATGAGGATGATGAATATGAATATATTTTTATGTTTTAACCTTCTTTGTCTTCTTATGGAGAATTTCCATTGATGGAACTATCAGGTTCGTACAACATGGATAGGATTTTCAAGCGCAATCGTTGAAGGAATCTGTAGATAACCTTATGGGTTGCTGGTGCTATCACCAGTCTGATCTACCTGCTTGAGATCATTCTCGTCATCCATAGCAAATCCGACAATCTTGCCAGTCCCGGGTTGTGATCGAGCCTCTTCAAGAACATCTCCGCTCCAAGGCTGACATTTCTTGACGGTTTCACCACATCGGAGACAGGTCCACCCCTGACCCTCTTCTCCTTCGAGCTTCTGAACAATGCAGACAAAACAATAAATGCAACCGCAGGGGATGGTTTCATATGGGTTGGTGATGTCGGTCTGCGCGGATCCTGCAATGCCAACGGAGACCGAGGCCGCGATCACATCGCTTTCGGTGGTGGAAGTAGGATTTTGGTCTCGATAGCAAATAGCGCATGTACGTTCCGGGAGATGAGCAAGCTCGCCATGTTTACCAAGGAATTCTTCCTCTTCCCCATTTGACTTGAGTGCATTGACGGTCTTCCGCCATGCACGAGACACCCATCGGCGCCAGCGACTGATTCCGACGAGAGGTAGCAAGAACAAGAGGAATTCGGTAAAGGCATGCCATACTAGTTGTCGGTTTAGGTATTCGAAGGAAACTTCCCGACTGGCCTGGGCAGATGGCGGTGTAAGGCGAATTCGTAGCATTCTGTCGATTAATGTACGATAGCGGCCGTTGACCAAAAATATGAGGAAAGATGCGAAGGCGGCCACCGAGTGAGCCGATGAGGCCAAGTCTGTTAATCGAGACCACATGCGAACCTCCTGGGATGGCTGTCGAAAATTGATTAGCATAGCGTCAAGTGAATAAGATTGAGTAATGACTAACTTCTTCATAGCCACCCTCCTGTCCGATCAACCAGCTCCCCCACTTGTCCCATGCATAGCGTCCACCGACCGTGAGGAGGCCGTACATGGTCTTTTGTGTTTTTGTCGGAGCCGAATAAACTGGGCCTTCACTGCGACTGTCGGTATATCGAAGGCCCTGGAGAGCGGCTCCATACGATGCATTGTGGTCCCATATCGATAATTTAAAGAGAATCGCTCGTAGCGCGAATAAAATTTCATGAGACCAGTCTTCACGCACCTGAGGCTATTCATAGCATTAGTATATGCAGTTCCCTGCGCAGAGGCGGGCGTTCATCGAGACATACCCCGAAATACTTGAGCGCATCTCCGACCTGGCCCTTCATCAGGCCTAGAAGCTCCTCATCCAGCAGCTCGGCATCGACCTGTCCGACTCGAAAGGCTGGTCGCGTTCCATCTCTCCCCTTCACTGAGTTCCAGATGTTCCATCCTGCCACTGGTATATTGCTCAACGGATACGGTAGACGTTGAACGGCAGCCGGGTTGATTGGGGAGGCTCGTTGCTGTTCAGCCTGACGGGCACGCGCTTCAGCCTCGCGGAGGCGACGGCGCTCCAGCACGCGGTCCTGTGCAGCAGCGAAGTTTGTTGAGCTCATCGTATAACCATCGTGTAATCATTATGCGAGGAAGGGTTGCGGAGAACGAGGTCGGCGGGAAGCGTGGGTGGGTCTCGGCCTCAAGCTTCAGTGCCGAGGTACGTCGCACGTGACTACCCCGGATCGAGTGGAGCGACATGTTGACAGTGAATCTCCACATACAAGAGGACAAGCTACGGACGTTGTTACGCTCCTTTGAATAGATTGGCAGATCTGTAATATTGGATATTCTAATTATCATCATGATGGCCTCTGGATGCACGAGGCATGTATACACAACCAACCCTGGAATAAAGCCCATTCAGCAATCACGATTAACCTTGTTTTATTCAATATTCTGGCCATCCCGGGTCGATCTGCTCTCGCCATGCCCGAAATCCTCCACGAATATCACCAATGAACCTCTGGCCACCCCGATCTAATCCTAGATCTTTCAATTTCTTGACGGCAATCTGGGAGTCATTGCCAAGCCGGCAAACCACGTAGATGGGATCGTTAAGATCCGAATTAGCAAGACCTAGAGGAAGCCATGAAGGAAGTTGGGATCCAGAATCGCCGCCTTGTAAGACCTGGGGAGTTGGAGCAGGAATAGAAGCCATAATATCTGAAATTGGAATGTTCACACTGTTCTCCAAGTTGCAAATACCAAACTGAGCTTGATCTCGAACATCAATGATTGTGTGTGGCCTCGAAGGGGATTGTTCGGGCTCTCCATGAATGGACTGTGGATGCAGTTTCCGATATTCCTGGGGCGACAGACGTTCCTCTGGGGCCAGCAACGATGGGAGGCTCGCTGAGCCACAGAAAAAAACATAGTCAGTAGATCCTGACTTGATGGTGTCCAGTGAGACAGTTGCACTGGCAGAGCATACTGCACAGTTGATTCTCCGAGAGCGAAGACGGATTGTGCGGAACAAAGGATTTGAGTAAGCCGAGAAGATATGGAGGGCCGGAGGATCTTGACGCGGAGTTTGATTCAAGACGTGCACGTCTGGTGCAGTGATCACCTTGATTGCCTCCAACGCCTGCAAAACACCCATAGTTCCAACAACTGGGCCCATAATACCCCCATCCGCACAACTCACTACGCTATCAGCTGGTGGTGGCTTCGGGAAAACACATCGATAACATGGCCCGCCATCTTTGTCCCCTGGCGGGCGAGGAGGATAGTTCAGTACCATAAGCTGGCCCTCGGTACGTAATGCAGATGCAGAAACCAGAGGTTTGCCCAGAAGCACTGCAGTATCCGAGATCAGGTAGCGGGTTGCCGGGTTATCGGTGCAATCGAGGACAATGTCGTATTCATTAAAAATGAAAGGTGCTGTATCTGGCGTGAGGTGTGTTCGATGGGCGATATATGTCACAAGTGGGTTCAGTCTGATCAGAGAGATTGCATTAGCAGCTTGGAACAATGCTCCAGAGCAAATAACTCACTCTCGTAGAGATTCAATGGCACTGTCCACCTTGTATTTCCCTACGTTGCGGCTTCGGTGTAAAATTTGGCGATGTAAATTCGAAATCTCAACCGTGTCGCCGTCAATCAAGCCCAGAGTTCCAACTCCGGCTCCAGCAAGGTACTGGGCTGCAGGGCATCCCAGTCCACCAGCTCCAACGAGCAAAACCTTGGCGGAGCGCAGCTTAAGTTGGCCTAAGAAAGTGAAGCCAATGTTAGTCGCAATGTACAACTTTTGGTTTTCGGTACTTCGTCGACAAAATAGCGCACGCACCTGGAAGCCCAACTTGTGAAACAATCATTTGTCGACCATACCGTCCATATTCTTCCGGAAGCAATGGCCATCGAGGCTCTGCCCCATTTTGGCCTTTGTCACGGTTTGCCGCGGGGGTTGTGCTCTCCGAATTCGCCGCGGCCTCAGCGCTCACGAGTTCACTTTTCAACCTCACGAGGTGGGCTTCGGTAGCAGAAATTTCAGCCCGGAGAGAGGCGCAAATATCTTCATCTCTTCCCATCGAGTATTCTGTGAGATGAGAAGTGCGTAGAGAGCAACAAGAAAGAAAAGGAAGCGGCAATATGTGGGGCCGTATACATTCTGCGCGTCACCGCTCTAGAAATCTTTCGATAAAGATCCCACGATAACGGGCTATTCGATCGTTTTCCCATTCCCTCAACTACTGGCTGGCGGACCACTATGGTGAGTCCGTTATGCTCCGTGCTCTCCGATCTTTTTTCTTTGGTCGAAGAGAAGCAATGGATCCTCTCATAGCGGTTGTTGGAGCCACTGGCACTGGAAAATCCAAGGTAGCAATTAGTATGCCCCGCAATTGACGCAAGATGCTAATGACTACAGGTAGCTCGCTGTGGACTTGGCATGCCGGTTCGATGGCGAAATCATCAATGGGGATGCGATGCAAATGTATCGTGGACTTCCGATCATTACGAACCAAATCCCAATTGACGAACGACGCGGAATTCCACATCACCTGCTGAGCTGTGTTGACCTGGAATCGGAGCCTTGGCGCATCGCACACTTCAAAAGAGAAGCCTTGAGACTCATTGACGATATTAGGTCACGCGGAAAAATCCCAGTCCTAGTCGGAGGCACCCATTACTATACGCAGGCGGTGCTATTCAAAGACCAATTGGTGGGGGAGGGGAAGGACGAAGAAGAATCAGATGGCGAAGAGGCACCGAAACTCTTGGGAGAAGTGGCCTCGACATCAGAAAAATGGCCGATTCTAGATGCATCCCCTGAAATTCTCATGGAAAAATTGCGCGAGGTGGATCCAGTTATGGCAGCTAAGTGGCACCCGAAGGATGGACGTAAGATTCGGCGATCCCTTGAGATCTACTTCCAGACCGGGCGACCTGCATCGGAAATCTACGCAGAACAAAAAGCGTTGAAGGCCCAGGCAATGGCGGAGGGTGCAGGTACTCTACGCTCCAACAACACCATGATTTTCTGGGTTCATGCGGAAAAGGAAGTACTTAATGGCCGCCTGGATTCGCGCGTCGACACCATGATTGAGCAGGGATTGATGACTGAGGCTCAAAATATGTGGCAGTATCTTAAGAGCAAAGAATCACAGGGGATCGAGGTCGACCAGACGCGCGGTGTGTGGGTATCCATCGGTTTCAAAGAACTGGCACCATACTTTGCCGCCGTTGATAAAGCCGAGCTTAGTGAAACCGAGCTTGAGAAGCTCAAACAAAGCTGCCTTGAGTTGATTAGGGTCGCCACTCGTCAGTATGGCACATCCCAAGTGAAGTGGATTCGCAATAAATTATGGCGAGCCCTCTCTGAAGTGGCCATGGCCGGCCGCCTGTACCTTCTCGACAGTAGCGATGTCAGCAAATGGCAACAGAATATCACAGGCCCATCGGAACAGCTCTTCGAGGCTATGCTTCACGGGGAGTCCACTCCTGATCCCAAATCACTATCTCAATTGGCAACTCAAGTATTTGGTGCCAAAGAGGCAAAAGCGCTTGCGACGTCAACAGATATGACCTGCTATACCTGTGACCAGTGTCAAAAGACGATGGCAGGTGAAGAGCAATGGAACATTCACCTCAAGAGCAAAGCCCACAGAAGAACCCTACGAAAAGGGAACGGCCGTGAAGAGTATCTCCGGAAGCGAGAACTCGAATCTGGGCCAGCGTCCTTAAAGGATGATTCCAATTTGTCATCCCTCTCTTGACCATGATATACCTTGTTCTGCGATTATTGGCCCATTTGTACTTTTCTTTGGCGTTGCTAAGGGTTTCCATAACCATAGAAACCATCACCTGTACACGACTTCGTGTACATATACACTAAATCGATTCATGGTGTCATCCAGTAGCTTTTGGCAATGGCTGCAGCTACAGCTTTTCATTCGTTTCTTCCTTTCCCAGGGAACGAGTCAAACATGATAACATTATTAGTTGCAGAGGTTCAAAGCAGTGACAAATACATGATCGTTCCTGTGTCTTAAGACATAAGTATATATCCCACAATCACCCCGGCGACTGCATATGATACGCAACCATCCGATCTCTCGCAGTAACGGGTATTCAGTGACAAAGAAGAAGCGGAATTGCGCACGACCTGCGGTGTTTGAAAGCCACGACACTAGGATGCCTCGGTTGTCTCGAACTTTTCCTTCTCTGCTTTCTTTTGTAACACACGACGGTAGATGAAGAGGGAGACGATCCCAAGTCCGACAAGAAAGACGATACAAAACACCAGCACCACTCCTGGATTCTTGCTCGCCCAGTTGCTTCGTTTGGTGATCTGATGCACGCTTGATTCTTGCGATCGAGTGGTCGGATAGATAACCGCCATTGTGGCAGTAGGGTGTGGGACAATCTGAACTGTGAGACAAGTAAGCCCTTTGGAATCTAGCGACCTTGAAAGGGACTCACCGGGTATGATATTATGGTCACTGAGTCTTGACAAGTTGCTCAAACGGCCCTTTCAGCTATGCAATGAGGTGTCAGAAGCGTAACGGGGTAACTTTTTTTGGAGGTACGGCAGAGCTTGGTTGGGGAAAGCGCAGGAAAGTTATGAAGGGATTAGAAGGTGTGAAGATACAATTTATGAGAAGTCGTAGACCCGTGTACGGGAAAGCACTTACTGTCACACCAAATGACCACAAGGCAAAATTGAACATGGGAGGATCAGATGTAAGAAAAATAAAAGTCTCCAGCAGATTTCACGTATCCAATTCAAATCACTTCAAGCTTTCGGCAACAGACGGACCATCCGCATGATGATGCCCACTTGGGTTCCATTGACAACCCTACTAGATCATATTCTACCTTTTCTTGTCAGCAACTGGAGGGCTACTATTGGTATCCGAAGACGTAGATACCATGGTTAGGTATGATTACACAGAGGCTTAGTAGTAGTCAAGGACGTCAAGAAGGATAACCAAAGCTCCAGGGACAATACACTTTGGTTCTCATGCGACTTACGGCCTGAGGAGACCTTGGAATCTTTTTCCTCTTCGTCCTTGCCCTGTTTTTACCCAAAGAAGAACAGGACGACTTGTTCAAAAGGGAACCGGAACCCCAAAAAACTACTCTGGACGCGGTTCCTGTCCCAGCACTGCGTCACCACAGGACCAGCGAATGGCGAAACATTGTAGCTTCCATCATTGGGGACCTATGGCCCTGGCTGACCATCTCCCTCCCCGGTGGTGTAGGAATTCTAAAAGGTCTATAGCAAATTAGCTACTTTCATATAATGCAAGTTCAACACAAACATATGAGTTCAAACCGCGACTCAGATTGACAATACTGGGTAATCCTATGTACAAATGTGATTGGTACTGTACAAATCGAAACTTCGGAAAATCTCTCCGATCCGCTCCGGTCCCCTGTCGTTGTGGAGACCATGTCCTTGGCATGGTAATCTTCTGTTTGTTGTCCACCAACATCATGGCGTTTGGAGATTTCAATTCGATATGTGAAAAGACGCCAGTGCCACTGTGCCTTCTGGTGGGCCCGGCATCTTCAATTTCAGGAGCCACCGGCATCGTGTCCAATTGCTATGCACGGAACATCGAAGTCGCCAACACGATGATCTTCCAGGGCGCCGCTTCTTTCATGCACATCATCGCACTTGGAATGACGGTGATTATGATCTTGCATATTCGATCCAAATTCACCGCAGTTGGTTCGTTCTACCCCTCTCGCATACTAGGGCGAACTATGTTGCTAAGCCTTGTCAACAGGGCGGAAGGAAATCATTACCTTTTTCTATCTTTATATGGCTCTGACAATTTTCTCCCTGATTATCGATGCCGGCGTGGTTCCACCACGCAGTGGTCCATTTCCTTACTTTGTGGCAATCCAAAATGGACTAATCTCGGCTCTATGCTCTTGTCTGCTAGTCAACGGTTTTGTTGGGTTCCAACTATACGAAGATGGTACTGCCCTGTCCGTTTGGCTGATCCGGGTTCCCTCTGCCATCATGTTTGTCATGACCTTCGTGATATCCCTACTCACTTTCATGTCCTGGGGAGGGTTGGGACCTGAGAATACCGTGGGCATGTTTGTCGTGCTCTATCTCTTCAACGCAATTTGCATTGCCATCTATATTGCCATGTCGCTGCTGCTGGTGGCTAATACACTCAACGAGCGTTGGCCTCTCGGACATATTTGCTTTGGTTTGGCAGTTTTCATCATCGGTCAGGTACTCCTGTATGCCTTCAGTGATTTGATCTGCAACAATGTTCAGCATTATATGGACGGTCTATTTTTTGCCACCTTTTGTAACCTGTTATCCGTTATGATGGTCTACAAGGTGAGATTACTGACCCGATGGGTCAATACGCGTATGAGGCTAAACAGTTGCAGTTCTGGGATTCAATCACCACGGAGGACCTGGAGTTTTCCGTTGGCGTCAAACCTAACACCTGGGAGGTCAAAGACCTGCCGGAAGCAGACCGACGTCGGTCCGTTTACTAGACCACTCTAATTCCAAATACATACGTCTAACACCGCGATCTATTGAATCATGGTCTTTCTGTTTTCACGACATTTTCATGGACATGCGACGAAGAGTAACTGGGTTTTCTGTTAGGTTCTAGAGTATTCATTGGTTAATTCATTCGTTCATTGATGCATAGTTGTCTCTGTAGTAGGATCCAAAAAGCACAAAGTCCAGGAGAGAGGGCAGAGAATACACTTATGCAGAACTTGGGGAATTCCATGTGCCATCACTGCGCCAGACTCCAGTGGGCCCGTAGCGACCAGCCTCGGCACCCCGCAAGAAAGCAAATCTGAAGAACAGGTCATCGGGTTCGTCGGAAATATGACCGTCAGCTAGAAACACAGCCTGGGAGTCAGGTTGAAATGCGTCAAGACTGCGGCGTTCGAGGATGGGCGGTTGTTGTAGCTCTAGACCATCATGGCCATGGCGGTGCCAAGTGAATTCGCCTCGCTTGTCTTCATCTAGATAACCTCGCCAGCGTTCCACGTCATTTAAAAGAACCGAAACGCCATCCACAGCAAGTTCAGCCATTCGCTCAGGCTCCCATAGATTAAAGGTGATGTTTCCATTGCCACGATAGGTCTCGCGGGATCCCACCCCAGGCAAGGAAACCCGTACCGAGTGATCGGTAATATTGGGATACATAGAGCCCCACCAGGCATGACCACCGCTACGGCCTGGGGCCAATTCTCCCAAGGCTGCGGGCGTCTCAATGATGGAAGCAAATCCCCAACGGGCAATTCCGTTGATAAATAAACCAAGAAGCAATCCTTGGTAGATCAGCGAGGGCCGTGTTGGGAAAGCCGTGCCGGGCATGAGCAGAATAGCCAGAATGTAGTGATGAATCCGGAGTCGGAGACCAGGTAGTGGCAAGAGGATTAAGATAATAAGAGCAATGCTGCAGTAGATCTTGAGATACCGAGGTAATAACCCTCCCTGGCGAATCTGCCACGCTTGGCTAAGCACAATCACAATCACGATGGGGATGATCAGTGCCAATGCCAGTTTTGCCCCGGGCTGTTGCTGAATGTCCATTGGGGTAAGACGCTGGAGTGGGATCAACCGAGCAAATGTATAGTTGTTCAAAGCTCCGATGAAAAGCGGTGGGAGAAATAAGAGCAGCTTTTCGATCTGGTATATAGGGGATTTAATTGGCTGCAGGAGAGGAGCCGCACAGAACTTGTATAGGACATAAACAACGAAGGATGCCGGCAGGAGACGAGATAGCAGAGTAGAAACGAGGTCGGCCAGGAGAGGATAGGTTGGCGGATCGGCGACTAGACCGGTGTGGGAAAAGACCATGAAGAACGTGCTAAAGAAAAGTACCGGTGGTGAAGTACAGAAAAGCCAAAGCATGCCGATGGCAGCAGCCGTCACCCCAAGGAGAGGCCATCGAGGGTCCGCTGGACAGTTAGCTTGCGATGAAGGCAACTGGAGAAAGCTGAATGCTTTCGGAAATGTCGATGGAAACGAGTTCGACTGGATGCCATTCTGTTTCACAGCCGGAAAAGAGTGCGCTGCGCCTTCGAGTTTCACAACACCGCAGCCACCGTCATTCGTGATGGCGCCCGAGTGGATCGCCGCTTGACATACAAAGCTGTCGGCTCGATAGATGGCCGAGTCACGGGAATGCGACAATGGACCGCCAATCACAAGACCCTGATAGTTGAAAGTCTGGTTGCCTACGACATGAGGCTCCAGTAGTTTGGTATCGCGGCAGTTGGCGGGACATCGAAAGGCGATCGTCGACGAGGAGAACGGACGACAGTCATTTCCGTTAAGACCACATCCGTTATCAGATTGCCTAAAGACCACTGGTCAGCGATAAATTCAAGGTTGGTCGCGTTGTATGGTGTCGTACCAGAAATTGGTTGAACACGAAAGGGTCTCAAGCTGGCCATATCCTTCAATGAAACCAGAGGAGCGGGAATGCAAAAGAACCAAGAACCATGGTAAGAACCAAGACACATAGAGCAGCAAAAGTAAGGATAGTTTCTGTTTGCGCTTAGGGAAGAAGCGTTCGAGGTATTGGACGGGTAGTTCCTGGAGTCGCGGGAACAGTGGTTTCAATAAAAGCATATGCGGTGGATCGGGGCCTTTGACCCAATTTGCAGTGGCACGGCCGACCTTTCGTATAGGCAAGGGAATCCAGCCCCAGCGAAAGGACCTGGATGATTCTTGTAGCCAGACAGGAAGAGAGCTGCCTGATTCTACATCGGGGGGCGGAGCATCCTCGGAATTGTCAGGATTGAGTAGTCGTACATCGTCATCTAGAAGTGGAGCAACATAGAGCCTGCCGGCCTCGTCGCGACCCTCACCGATCATAGTTGTGTGTGGCCAGCGGATGTTACAAGATACCGCGAAATGATTGTGAAGGGTATGATGTCGGCGGTGCCGGAGTGGTCGGCACGCTAGTCGAGTCCGGTGGGGATCGTCTCCAAAAAAGTGGGTTTGCGGTGGTGGAGGATCACCAGGGACAAGGGGAACACAGGAACGAAAGAACGGATTGGTAGAAGAGAAATATATGGCTGGAAAGCCGAATCATATGAGAGAGTGAATGTTGACAATAACGAGAGAAAGGAGCAGGACAGAGGATAGCACCACAGAACGGAAATCCGCGGGGGGCGAAGACATTGAAGGGCGGCTACCAATTTCAGGCAGCCAGGCAGCGACCCGGGAGAGTGGCGACAGTGCTAAAGTTGGTCGACTCATGTTTTATCTCATTTATGTTCTGATCGATCCAGCGCCTGCCCATAGGTACTCGGTTGCTTTACGTCTCCTGTATGGCTATTTGACTAGAGGCTCCCATGGGTCAGGAACCGGTGGATGAAACGTCCCACGCGGTGTCACGCCGGGTGGCGGTGATGGTTTCTCGACTGGTGCACCATGCAAGGACATAGGCAAGTAGATCTGAAGTGGCAGGGAGATGGCCATATTTAGACATTCCTTCAGGCCAAATCCACAGTTCCACTTGGTTCTTTTGGCCTTCTTGATTCCAAACGCAACGCAACTGCTGAATATGTATACTTCCAACCTGAATACGATTGGTCCCTTTTCTGCCAGTCCATCGGTGCGCGGTTGGCGGTGTGACCCCTCAGATGTGGTGTTTGCATACTTTGCCTGCTTCGTACCGTTTGTTCTTTTGGCTCTTTTGTTTGGTACCTCAAACCGGTCTGACATGGCAGTTTAACCCGCGGGGAATTTCAAAGCTCGTACGATAGCACGGAGAACGGAGTGTGCAGTGGAGACAACCTTCCAGCCGAAATTTCCGGATATATCCTCCCTAGGAAAGTTCAACAGACGATCCACGCCAGTCAATCATATGGTCCGAGACAATGCCTTGGCGAAATTTATTCTTCTCTTTTGCAGAGATGTATGTGGAACTTGGAACGTTGTCCTCCCTACAGTCATGAAGCCGCATTGAGTCCTTCTGATAATTACAATTGCGCTTAAACGACTCCGCATGCCTAATTGCACTGGCGTCACAAATTTCACCACTGTGACGAAAGGTGGAGCCGTGGGTTCTAGAATAATTACCATACATACACGGATCCACTTCGACCTCCTATCTGATTGATTGATTGACCGATACTCCGTACAATCGGATCTGATACGCAAAAATCAAAATCCAAGAAAATAAAATATTAACCTTACCGCGGTATTCGCCGGGAGCTATAAGCCCACTGTGCGCACCGGATCATTTCATTTTCTCTTATCCCTAATTATCATCCAGATTCCATCCCCGACATGGTTACCCCCCGGAGTGTTCAACGTCTACAGCAGACGCTGTCGCATGTCCAGCCGAACTCGGCCCCGGCACCGGTGCAATTGTCGATTGTCGCGGGGCCCACCCAACCTGCGCTATTGGATATTACGCTCGGCGAGTTGCTGACGATCCAGGCGCTGCAGTATGCCAACTACGAGTGTCTTGTGTTTCCCTGGACTGGGGCGCGCTGGACATATGCCAACTTGAAGGATGAAGCTGATCGCCTGGCGCGTGGCATATTGGCCATGGGCGTACAGAAGGGTGATCGCATTGGCATCATGGCAGGTAACTGCGAACAGTACATCTCGGTTTTTTTCGCGGCTGCCCGAGTTGGCGCTATCTTGGTGGTATTGAATAATACATACACCCCGTCGGAGCTATACTACGCTCTTAACCATTCCGGTAATTATTGTTTTACTCTTTCTCCCTTGTGCTATTCATGCTAATGCACGCAATTTCACCCTATAGGCTGCAAAGTACTATTCATGACCCCGCGTATTGGTCGCCATAATCTTGAAGAAGTCCTGGCCGAGCTAGGACCCAACCCGAAGGAGAGCGGAACTTCAAAATCCCTGGAGGAAATCATTATGCTGCGCGATAGATACCAAAATTTCCCCACCTACAACGATATCATCGTCCGTGGTGCTTCGCAACCGGCGCATTTCCTTCAGGACCGTGAGGCTGAATTGCGACCAGATGACGTGTGCAACCTTCAGTTCACCAGCGGCTCGACAGGTAATCCCAAAGCTGCGATGTTAACTCATTAGTATGTCATTTCAATTACACCGAAGAAGGTCAAAGCTAACGGCACGGTAGTAACTTGGTGAACAACTCGCGATTTATTGGAGATCGCATGAAGCTTACTTCCTTCGATATCCTCTGCTGCCCCCCACCACTGTTCCATTGCTTCGGCCTTGTTTTGGGTATGTTAGCGGCAGTGACTCACGGATCCAAGATTGTCTTTCCGAGCGAGACTTTCGACCCTAAAGCCGTCCTACATGCCATTTCAGACGAAAAGTGCACCGCCCTTCATGGCGTGCCTACTATGTTTGAAGCCATTCTCAGCATCCCCAAGCCCGACAATTTGGATACCTCTAATTTGCGCACCGGTATAATTGCTGGCGCCCCCGTCCCCCGTCCATTAATGAAGTCTCTGTTGGAGGATCTCAACATGAAAGAATATACCAGCAGCTACGGTCTCACCGAAGCATCGCCAACCTGCTTCAACGCTTTTACAAACGACAGCATTCACACCCGATTGACGACTGTGGGCAAGGTTCTGCCTCACGCTCGGGCCAAAATTGTCGATGCTAAGGGCAACATTGTTCCTGTGGGACAGCGCGGCGAGCTGTGTATGGCAGGATACCAGCTAACGAAGGGCTACTGGAATAACCCAGAGAAAACCGCCGAGACATTGGTTACCGATTCAGAAGGTACTGTCTGGTTGAAGACCGGTGACGAGGCGTCTTTTAACGAGGAGGGATACTGCACTATCACCGGCCGCTTCAAAGACATCATTATCCGCGGTAAGACCGAGTCCCCAGTTTAGTCTTGTTTACTTGGAGTTGACCAATATTCCTTTATCTAGGTGGTGAAAACATCTACCCCCTTGAGATCGAAGAGCGATTGACCGCCCACTCTGCCATCGAGCTCGCCTCCGTTGTCGGTATCCCGGACCAGAAATACGGCGAAGTTGTCGGTGCTTTCATCCAGCTCTCTGCAGGCCAGACCCGCCCCTCTGATGAAGATCTTCGTGCCTGGACTCGCGAGACACTCGGGCGTCATAAGGCACCGCAGTATGTCTTCGTGTTTGGCGAGGAAGGTGTACCTAGCACGGTGCCTGTGACGGGCAGCGGAAAAGTCCGGAAGGTGGAGCTGCGGCAGATGGCGACGGAAGCGTTGAGTCGTGTAACGGCATAAGACGGACCAGCTAGATCTTTTTGTACGATGCGGATAAAAATTTGTGGAATATTTCAGCGAAATGTTTATTATGAATGTCAGGGTTTTAATGCTTTAATCCATGAATTTTCAGAAGCTGCTATCGGTACCTAAGTGTTTTCTGTTCCTTCAAATGAACGATCGGGTCTCTCTGTGGGCCGAGGTCATCGCCAAAAGTGACAAAAGTGAAAAAACACAAAAAAAGTTTCAAGTGGGGGTAATCTTATCAGATACGAAGAACCTTGGAAGAATTGGATCATGATTAATACCTAGTATTTACTAGTGGCAGTAAATTTGGCCGGCTGACGAAAAGTAAATTGCGACATCTTCTTTAGCGACCTTGGCATCGGACCCGACCGCATGTACGACAAGCCTATCCCTTCAATCAGATTAGATGGGGATCTTGTCTGATCGTATCCAATCTTTTGATTGGCTAGTTCCTTGAATTTCACAATACACCAATACACACCCCCACTTTTCGCCGTCCCGGGTGAAACAAGGACAATACATCCACCCAGTCGTGTGGCTGTTGGATTTTATGAACTTGCCCCTCGAGCCCTGTGGATAATTTTATCAATCTCGGAACAATCCATTCATAATGCAAGTATGAAATATGCCATCTCGGCTTTTGGTTTGTGGACTGTGGGTTCTATGACATATTCGGATCCACACAACATTCAGGCTGGAACGCGAGATTTAACCTATCCATCGCCTTCATCTACACTCTCTACTGTGTCTTCTCCAGCACGTGGGTATAGAGAGTTGCATTCTCGCGGTTTGTGCACTTCTTTGCCCGTGGTCATGTGCCTGACTCGAGAGAAAAGGGAGCTAGGACATGGAGATCGAAGGGTTGCATATTTATTTTCGCTGATAGATACTTGAAACACATTATTCCCTTGGTGAAGCAGCTTGGCTTGAGTATTACCATGCCTCTCACATTTTTTGACCTCAAAGACTCAAGACTGCAGATGCAGTGTTTGTCTTGTTTTGCTTTGTTTGCATCTATTGACACAAGGACCAATACTAGGCAAACACGCCCGCATGAAGACAAGTGGCAAACATCACCCCTCATATGTATTTTCCCACCTCTCACTTGAACTGCTGCCTTAACATCTTCGACTGTGCGAGAAAATCAACATGGGTTCTGAACCAGACTGGTCCCAACGTCCCATTTTCTCACCAGAGCAACTGGAAAAATACTTCTCCCGAATCAGCCTTCCTCAGCGGTATAGGGAATCATCCATTGCGCAATCGGACAAACGCACCCAGAATGAGGTTTCCTTGGATTTCCTGAAAGTATTGCAACGTTACCAAGTGGCCGCAGTGCCATTTGAAAATCTCAATCTGCACTATTCTGTCCAGCGTCATATCTCCATCGACGTGGAGAAGCTCTTCCACAAGATTGTGGATACGAAGTCTGAGCGAGGAGGCTACTGTATGGAAAACAATACCTTCTTCGGCACTGTGTTGCGAAGCCTGGGATACAATGTCATGTCAGTTGGAGGTCGGGTTAATGAAGCGGCTCAGCCTATTTCGGCCTCAAAGAATTGGAGAGGCCCCAAATTCGACGGCTGGTAAGAGAAACCATTGTGATTTCTATTCCTGAAGCATTTTGGGAGATGAAAGTAATCTCACGGACTCTTTGACTATTCATCTATGCGATCTATACCCCTATTCAAAGCATTGGCCCTTGGCGCATTGATCGCTAATGGACTACCTTATAGGAACCATATGGTCAACCTGGTCGTTATTGGGCAACAAAAATACCTGGTAGACGTGGGGTTTGGTTCTAATGGCCCACATCAACCTTTGCCTTTGGTTGCAAATATTGAGTTCCACAACGTGGGCGAGCAGTCTGGACGGCTACGCTATGCACCAATCTCCCAACACTCAGCCAAGGACCAATTTCTCTGGCACTATGAAATTAAGAATGGGGACGTAGATTGGTCTCCCGCGTATTGCTTCACCGAGACCGAGTTTCTTCCAGAGGACTTCACTATCATCAACTACTATATGAGCACTAGTCGAGAGAGCATGTTCACATTCCATGTGCTATGTGTGCGCATGCTTCTGGACCAACAGGGCGACAATATTGTAGGTGATCTCACGCTATTCAATAACACATTGAAGCGTCGCCTAGGGGCTACATCGGAGATAGTGCAAACGTTTACCTCCGATGAGGAGCGTGTGGCAGCACTCGAGGAATTTTTCAATATTTACATCTCCCGGGCTGATAGAGAGAGTATTCGCCATACAATTTCGGAAATTCTTTAGGTGAAGGGTTAAAGTTGAAAACCGGAAAGCTTGGGATGTTGAGAGTGATGATCTCCTGAGGTGCTCATCCGTACGCAATAAATAGATGTGGGCACAACATGCATGACTTCCTATACAATAGTCCTCTAGCATTTGCCTTCATTTCAGTATGCCTACCCAGGCAGGACATTTCCAAATTCCAAATGTCAAGTGTTGAACCCTCCGGGACCAATCCCTGGGCCTGGAACCGATTGCTGGATCTGTATAATGTTACCTAGGTCGATCCGAGCCCCGAAGCCCTGAAGGCTTGCCCCAAAATGTCCCAAACAGCTTCCAAGGTTCTGTGCATCAATAATCATTCAAAAACACCCAGAATTTTGATTTATTTATGACCCCCAACTTAGGTAGAATACCAGGTTTACCAGCAAATTGGACCTTTCCATATCGATGTGTGCCCAACTGGGCAAGTGCTTGCTTCTTAAGGCTCAACCTTGGAACTTGGGAACCATGCGATATCTAGGTAGCTAACACATTCCAGATAGCACGGATTCCAGGAAAATTCAAACGTTTGGGGAAAAAATGCCGAGATTCTCAGTTATATCTGACCTATAATACATTCATACCAAGGGAGTGGATCCACAACCTCGGTAATCAGCAGACGAGCAACGTACTCAGTGCCAACATCAGGAACAAAACGCCGATACCATGCCTCTCACTAATAACGAAAGAAATTCCCAGAAAAACAATACATGAAAAAGGGAAGTGCATGTTGATTTACAGACGGCGCTCCATGCGGTTCAACCGGACAGGGGTTTTGATCTAATAGTCTCGTTAGTTTAGGCTTCACAAGGGCGTCCTCCGAAGTCCCGCTTTAACCAACGCAGACAGGCTTGAGTCAAGCTTCCAGTCGGGGAGCAAATCGAAAGATCCAAACTGAGGACCGTAGAGACTAAATCCCTTGGGAGAAAAAAACCCACCTGTGTGCGTGTTCGTTGTCCTCGCACGGGCAGACCCAGGGCGTGGCGACGACCACGGTAGGTACCCGTCTCCTTTAAACGCTTGATATCATTCAGAACCTCTCGACGCAGATCATTCTCGATCTTCATATCCGACAACACGGCGGTCAAGTCCAGAACCTGCTTGTTGGCTAGCTCGCCGACGCGGCAAGTTGGGTGGATGTTGAAACGGGCGAGAAGACGGGAGGATGTGTTATTTCCGATTCCGAAGAAGGACTCAAGGGATTTCTGTTGGTATAAGTTGTCAGGTCTTGGTTCATGCGTCGATTGGTGAGGTGGATGGCCAAGGTGTGTCGCGGGTTAGGGAATTGCTTGCCTTCAACAGGTTCCGCTCCGGGAAATTGACGCCGAGGAGGAAGACCTATGGAGATGTTTTAGCTTTGTATTTATTAAGTAATGAATCGAAATTTACCATCTTGATGGATTTGAGTAGCTATGAATCACAGTATCGTTGTTGCTCTGCCCCGATCAGAGGACTGAATGCGCGGGAGAAATCTTTGGCAACAATGTTTCTCCGAAATGAAATTTGCAAAGCAAAACGGGTATCGATACACTCAAATTCCGTAATAATGGTAATTGAACCACATTCTGCACCACACCTGCAATGCTGGTTTTGAAATTATACATAACGGGCCCCATATTCTCTCCGCACGCCATCTTAAATTGCAAGCTGGCCTCCCCCTCGCCGTTCCTTCCCTCTCCAACTTCCCACTGTATCCACCCAGTGCAGCGGTAATTCACGATGCATTTCAGCAACATTTTCCTATCCATCTTCTTGGTCTTCGCCGTCGGCTTCGCGCTGGTTCAAGCCGAGGATGCCAAGCGGGAAACCCGTGGTCCCAAGATCACTAGCAAGGTAATTTGATCATCGCTACGAAAGGGCCCGATGGCCAATACTAATAGACTGTATCAGGTCTATTTTGATATTCAACATGGCGATGAGTCCCTAGGTCGCATTGTGATGGGTCTGTACGGCAAGACCGTTCCTGAGGTTAGTGACGAAGCCCTAGTATCAACCCAGTACATCAAGCTGACTTGTCTATCCTTCTCTTAGACCGCAGAGAACTTCCGGTATGATCAGCATGACAAATGACCTAATAATTTCATACTCACCATCTATTCAGTGCCCTGGCCACAGGCGAAAAGGGCTTCGGCTACGAGAACTCCGCTTTCCACCGTGTCATCAAGGACTTCATGATTCAGGGTGGTGACTTCACCAAGGGTGATGGCACCGGTGGCAAGTCTATCTATGGCAACAAGTTTAAGGATGAAAACTTCAAGCTGCGCCACACCCGCCCGGGCCTCCTGAGTATGTATTTGATCCAATCATCAACGATAATTCGAATCTGACAGGTTCTCTCCAGGCATGGCCAATGCTGGCAAGGATACCAACGGCTCCCAGTTCTTCATCACCACCGTCATCACCGGTTGGCTCGACGGAAAGCACGTCGTCTTCGGTGAAGTCCTCGAGGGCATGGACATCGTGTACAAAATCCAGGATGTCCCCGTCGGTGGTGGCTCCAAGCCCCAGAAGCCCGTCAAGATTGTGAAGAGCGGAGAGCTCGAGATGGAGGCGGAACCCGAAGACAAAGGTAGCCGTGACGAGCTGTAAATGCAGCACGCTCCTGTTTTACTCTTGTTTTTGCTGCTCGGCGACGGTGAGCTGATGCGTGCTTTCTCCTAAGAATACGACGACTACCCGACCGATGAAGCGCCAGTGGACTCCTACTCTTTCTCGATGCGGCCCATGCTGATCTTTCTGGTGCTGGTGGCGATCGTCGGATTCTATTTCTATCGCCGTCGCAACCAGCAGGGAAATGGTGATGACGACTATAAGGAATACTTGTAGATTCTCCCCAAGTGTTTCATGAGCTTCTTTGATCTCACAGGTAGAAAAAAACAAGACCGTTTCTCCATTATATCAGCAGGCAATCATGAATGTAGCTGGCATATTAAAGCATTATTATTGCCCTTACACTAATTGCATCCGTGCGTTTAACGTTGAAACTAGCGGTGAGATTCTTCCGACGCAATGCTGCCTAAATAGTAGTACAGTGGTGATGCTGGCGTGTTGTTCGTTCAGAATAAATATATGATCCGAATACCAGTGAGGTCACACCCAAAACGAAGGGGCAGTACCAAGTTGTCTTAACCGGAGAAAATGAAGCTATGCCCAATGCCAATACCCAACAAAATATAGGGTATGGACCGAGGCAAGTTTGTATCCATAGATTTCCGTTCCTTTGCATCACCGGGGCGATGAGGCTTGTGACGAAGACCGACTCTGCCATTAGTGATGGCATCAGGTCGCTGCGGCTTGAGTTTCCTCCTCTCTCATGCTTGTATCCATTTGATCCCAGGACAGAGAGTTAGACGGAATTCGATCAGCCATAGGTCTGAAACAGCTGGGAAACTGATTCATGGACGGAAGACATTCCATCAAATGCTTTCATTACATCATGTCGGGATCCCACCAAAAGATACAGCGGGGGTAGCTCATGCAGTATGTCCTCATGCTTTCGAGAAAGATCGAACTCTTTGGTGACGCTCAAGAGTTGTTTAAGTATACGGAGCGAATAGAGTACAGCATGAATCTGTGCCAGAAGATGAACATCTACCCACTCAAAGCCTTTCTCAGCGAAGCCATGGGCAAGGAAGCGTTCCAACTGGCTCATACCAGGAAGTGTTGCGTGACTAGAACTGTTCCGATAAATTTCGGATAGAGCAAACATTACCCAGAAGCTAGGCTGCGTCTCACTCCCAAAAACAGAGCGCGCGAGACGAAGACGTCTATTGAGCAAGTCTAATTCTGAAACAGTGGTTTTGACCTGACTGAGAGTGACCTGCTCCGGAACAATTCGGCGGCCTCTGCGCACGAACTCATAGATGGCAGGAAATTGATGGGCTTTGGGTTGTGCCAAATTGAGAAGGGAATACCCAAGGGCTCGATATATTCTTCCCTGTTCCCATGCGCACTGTCTAGCATGGTCCTCGGCTAAGATTCCCAGATAGATGTGCGGTTGAATTCCTGCTCCCCAGCAGTAGGTTCCAGGAAGCTTATATTGCCAAAACAGTTCGGAAACCCGAGGGTCCAAGGCTAGAGCGTTTGGAATATCCTGCAATGACGTATGCTGATCGGGGTTGTCAAGATATTCCTGGAGGAATTCATTGAAGTCAATGACGGACTCCGTTCCAAGATCTTGTTTTGACCGGCCTACTAAATCTGAAAAGCTGCGTTGCGGATCTTGCGTCAACTCATAGGCGAATCGTTGCAAGCTTCCTATCCCCAACCGGACACAAATTTCATGAGGATGTATTTTTAATCCTCGAATCTCCGACGAGGTGAGATTGGGTGTATTATCAAAAAATTCCAACGAGTTGAGCAAGACAAGCGCTCCATGCGGCCCAAGGTCATGGACCGCCAGATCCGAGTCATTCGTGAGCACGGCCGAACCCGTTAGTTTTGTTATGCGAGCACAGTCGAGATCCGCTTCTCCAGGAACCATGATTGTGATTTTGGCCCAAGGGTATTCTCCCTCAAGCTGAGAAGCAGATGGGTGAACAGTTGTTGCCATCAACTTTTTGCTCCACCGGTTAGTAAGATCTTCATATACCGCAGAGACCATGAATGGGTTTTCGGGTAAATTCTTCCACCGCGAGGGGAGATGCCGGCGCTGCCAAATCTGTACTGGCTGTATGGAGGTCGACTTGCGGTGTCTGTTGGCCATTGAAGAAAATGGCCTTTGCCGACAAAATTCCAGCTTTTGCCGAGATTTTTCGATTCGAGTCAAGCGAGTCGCTCGTTTCGAGATCGGCAGAGCACCATCGAAGCATATTTGATGAATCTCAACTCCGCGGTCTTTCAATTGCAACAGGAAGCTCACAACCCCTCGACTAACATCGTCGCAAGAAGGTTGAGTGTCAAGTGCATCGTATCCAACGTCCGCCCAGGCCAGTAATCGGTAGTAGACATGGTACACTAGACTTGGTCCGTCGATGACCACAGATCGGACGTGGGGAGGGCCACCTGGAGTGACTGGATTCCCACTCAACACCACAGTTTCAGTGTATTGAGACAGATGCTTAGTTAGGGATGGGATTCCCATGGTCAGTGGGTCAGAATTGTGTTGTGCTGAACTACTACAATTATTTTTTGTCATTCAATGCTCGCTTATTGGCAGAAACATTGGCGGCTTTCCAAGGCAGAGTCTGGAAGGCGGTCACGGAATGGAAATGGTCGTCTTTCGCCTGGATCCGCTTTCCTCGCTAATACGAACAAGAAGAATGTTCGCTTATTCTCGACACTTGGTAGCTTTGTTCTTCTGGTTCAATCTTGCTTTTCGCTAAACCTTTCTCGTCATTCTGGCCGGTTAAAATTCCCAGTTCAATGCGGGACACTGCAGTCGAGAACTTTTGCTGTGTGATAAATGAGGAATGACTGCAGCAGCGTCAAATATTACTGCTTGGCAGCCCGGTTGGGAATTTTAATCTCGAGCAATACTACCCTGCAAGATTGTACTTCGCCTCAGTAGGCATGGCTTCTGAGTTCGGGAAGAGGTGTTGAACTTGATTAATTTCATGAATATTTGACCTAGATACTTATGAATGAGGATTATTGCAAATGGTATCGGTGATGAGTTAACGATGTTCTGATTCAAATTGAAGACAAAGATGGTATAACTATACGAAATACCTAGCTAAAGGATGTATATCGATCCATGTATCCATAGTATAGGGATTATTATTTCTCACCCTGACCCTCGGGTAAACATACCCAAACTACCAACGTGGCTACACATTGGAACGATTCACCGCAAGCCATACAGAATGTTTGTCTGGCGACGCAGCTGGTCCCGCACCTCCAGGTACTTAAGTTAACACGCCGCCTCTGGAAACTGTACCTTCCGCTGCAAATCCATCTCACGCTTTCAACTCAGAACTCGCCGACTTCATCTCCTAGTTAGGTAGATGATAAATTTTCGGTTCTCTATTATTAAACCAACGAAACAACCTAAGTATGACTGTTTCATATCATGATGGACACCCCGATGAGCATACTACTCAGGTGTCAGCCAGTTCGGAAGGTCGATCATCACACGTGATGAAGGCTGTTATATTCAAAGAAGTTGGATGTATAGAGGTTGTTGAGCGACCCAAGCCTGACATCCAACATCCTACGGATGCTATTGTAAAGGTACTTCACACAAGCATCTGCGGCACGGACCTGCATATCATGCGTGGTCATGTACCAACGTGTACACCAGGTCGCATTTTAGGACACGAAGGAGTTGGAATCATCGACGCTCTAGGACCTGGGGTTACCGGCTTGGAATTAGGCGACCTTGTTTTGATTTCCTGTATCTCAGCATGCGGCACATGTAAAAGGTGCCGTGAGGGAATGACCTCGCATTGCGTGCAAGGTGGCTGGATATTAGGACACACAATCGACGGGACCCAGGCTGAATATGTGAGAATTCCACATGCTGCATACTCCCTTTACCTTTTGCCTCCCACTGTTGATTCACAGACTGCGGTTGCTTTATCTGATGCTTTCCCTACGGCATATGAATGCGCTATTCTTCCAGGAAAAATGCGACCTGCATCGACCATGGCAATAGTAGGGGCTGGGCCTGTGGGACTGGCGGTGTTGATCCTAGCACAGCTATTTTCTCCGAAGCTAGTGGTATTAATTGGGAAAGGGGACCCCCGTCTGACCGCTGCAATGCAGCTGGGGGCTGATCATGTACTCAGCTCCTCCCTGGGAAATGTTGAAATCACCGAGTCAGCCCTGGCATTCAATGAAGGCGAAGGGTTTGACATTGTGGTCGAGTGTGTTGGGATTCCTGAGACCTTTGATCTTTGTCAGAGGCTTCTCGGATTGGGTGGTGTCCTCACCAACGTTGGAGTACATGGGTCCAAGGCAGACTTGCATCTGGAAAGTCTTTGGTCAAAGAATATATGTGAGCTCTTTGCCATTCGAAAAAGGAAAGCAGGGGCGGTAGGAACATATTTCTGACGATTCGATACAGCCATTACAAGTCGTTTGGTGGATACAACTACACTGAGCCATTTGTTGAGCTTGTTGGAGAAGGGCAAAATTGATCCGGGTCTATTGATATCTCACCGTAAACTCCTCCCCACAATGACGTGAAAATGTTTCTTGGTTTCAAAAAAAGCTGACTATACCAGGATTCAGCTTCGATGATATTATGCAAGCTTATGAAGTTTTTCAACTCGGCTCCTCCAAAGATGTACTGAAGGTTATCATCAGTATGAACTAGGGCATCGAAGCATGTCACCATATACACGTTGCTCCAAGGCACTTGTAAATCTTTCTTATGCAGATGTGATCGGGCATACAATTGTCATTGCACGACTTGATATTTGGCAACAAAGTTTGCAATTCCATTCTACTATCTTCTTTTCGCAATTTCTGAAGGGTTGTCTAAAAGAAGCTGACTGCCACGCATGACGCTTCGCTAGTATCATTAGAGTGAGCAGTCTAATCACTCGCAAAGAAGACGAGATAAGCCCAGCAGTATCCGGATCGCTAGGAACGCATGACATTGATATATTCCAGATATGCGTAAGGAAAGAGTCTCTATAGAGGTCCTCCAAGGAAACATGAGATGAGTGAATCGTAGATAGCCTGGCACCTGAATCGTTGCCCTCTGGTCTTCAGATATGCATGAAATCGCCAGTCTGATAGATTAACAATGGTGTAATGCGTGGAATCTTCAATTTCCCATTTCCCATTGACTGTAATAAATTGATGTTTCATTTAGCTATGTCGATCGCTGGTCTCGTTGATTGACCCCGAAGGGTCTCTAAGGTCACTCTCACGGCGACCAAAATGCCCTTTTGAGTATCGAAGCCAAGGCTCATATGTAGCACATGCGATCACGATTCAGGTTTCCCCGGATTCCGCAGCTCGGGGAACCCACAACAAGGAGTGAACAGGATGTGCATAATACGAGCTTTGCCCGCATATTGAGACCTGCAGACCATTCAACAGGGGCTGGAAAATCCGGACGCGAAAGCTCACGCGGGAGCAGGGTTGTATCTCATCTCCAGTCATACAAAAATTAGCCCCGCGTCGGTAAATCACAAAGGTGATTGCCGAAGTAGCTCACCTTGAAACGACAAGGACCTCTCGATCACCAAGGCCAGTCTGACCTAGGCACCTATTCAAATCCAATGTAAGATGAAATACCAGACCCCAGGGGTACAAGGGCAAAATGTATGACTTTGGCCACGCTCGGGGTTTGAGCCTGATGGTGTTAAACGAGGTTAAACAATCATTCTGCTGAAGCCGATTCGCAATTGACGGAAATCATGAAGCGAATTCCCCTTTACTCAACCCATGGAGGAAGTGCCAACAATTTCCTACCATTTGTATCGCAGTTGTTTTCGATGAGAAAGGCTGGCGCACGAAAGCAGCAAGATCTGGAACCATCAGATCGGATCTGTTCTACATTTACAACCACCTATCCTAAATCCAGCAGGTGCGAAGCCCAACCTTGGAAGCTATGCATCGTTTCTAGTTCTCGCTGGCGACCTGCTCGTCTCATTGCCCCGATAAAGAAACTGTATGTATCCGAACAATCATACGTCAATGGGATTTGGCCTGCCGCTGCAAGAGTTCGGTCAGTCATATATCAACAGGAATGTACACGAACGTGCGACAGGGAATATGCGCATCAGAATGATATGAATTGTGTGGTATGGAGAGAAGAGAGAGTCTAAGTCTATCTAGAAAGAGAGGATATGGATGCTGTGGTCAACTGACCTAACAGAATAAATAAGATAATGGAAAACTGAAAATATTATTATACTGGCTATATTGCAGGGCGTCAATTTGCATCAAATATATAATCACGTGCGGCGTCAGCAGGGTGGTGTCTATTGTCAATTACCCTTTCATGAAAAAATCCGCATTTTAGACCACCACATCAGACTTATTGAGTCTAGTGACCTGATAATTGGCTCTTCCACTGACTTGGGGGTGTAGTTGAATGACTCACACTAGACCCTCCATCCCAGCTCAATGGTTCACTCTGTACGACAGTTTCCGAAACAACAGTGATGTTCTTCGAAGAAGAATCAGGCTCAATGAGAACATTCTCATCACTGCCCCATGCGGAAGACTGCATATGAGATGGCGCTGCGGCGTTCATCTTACCCTTTCTCGCTTTCCCTTCATCGCCATTTGTCAGGGTTTGTAAGCCTCGACTGGAGAGTGGATATGACTGCCCTGATGGTTTTCCAGCGGAACTAAACAGTTGGGAAAGACCGATCTTGCTGAAGCCCTTCCGAATCAGTGGCTGCACAATGGGCAAATTAGAAACAACAATTGAGACAAAGGTCTCGCGACAAGCCCATTTAGAGCCCGTCGACGCGCCATCGGCCCCTGACTATACGGGCATATCAGTAAAAGTATACATCAAACAAACCACTTATCTAGGGGGCATTAGACTGTAATAGCAGAAGAATCTTGGAACTTACGCTGATGATAGAAACGGCTCGAATGATAGCCGCTGCAATGACGAATGCCGCTCCAGAAAAGAGAGCCACTAGGGGAATTTTCCGTTTAAGGTTGATCTTTACAGCCCATAGAAGAGGGAGCGGGATCGACAAAAGATACATGTCCGTGATGATGTCAAGAATCACGACAACCAGTACATATACTGGGGAATTTGTTGGTTGGCAGTACTCTGTGCATAGTATGTTAGAGATAAGCATTGCACGTTCTGAAACATCAATATACTCACTGCCTGGGTTAGGACTGATTTGCCAGAACGCATGGAAGGGTTGACATGATAGCAACAAGGACAGCTGTGTTGCGAGGTACGTTACGGACAAAATAACATACGCCAGTCTGACTCTGGCTGGGAGATTTTGCAGGCCAGTTCTGTGAGGCCTTTAGCATTGCTGTCCATATATCAGGGTTCAAGGCAAGTTATTGAACCTACGTCAATCGGGAATAGAAGACTGCCAGACTAAACTTGACCAACCAGAGACTAACCACGAACAGCGACCATCCAGTGACCTGAATCTTTGACCCAGCAACACGATTCACCCACTCAGTAGAATTATACCGAATTGTTGCTCGTTGTTCAGTCGTCATGTAGCTATTTGTCAAACCCTCATAGTTAGCCACGACGAGGTAAGCTGCCACTGTCTCCGCGGCAAAGAAAATCTGTCCCAATCAGTATATCAGACGGAACTGCAAGTAGTGGAGTATGGAGAACTAACGCCCGCCAATGGCATGAAATAATCATCCAGTTGGAAGTTGGCCGGCCCTACAAGTGTCCATCGTACAAAGATACGCACAAGGATTATGGCCAGAGCCAAGGAGAGCAAGACCCACGCCTCAACATTGCTCGCCATTGCGACAAGCTTTTGGGAGGTCGCGAGGCAGATGAAGAATTAATATATGCTGAAGACAGGGGTTGCAAGGTTCGAACTAATTAGAATATAAAATTTCCTTTCCACCTGTTCGACGGTGATCATTCCGCCACAACCCATTGCGCCCCCATTGCGCCAGGTTTTTAACGACGATCGGCGTCCTAGTGGATAGACTTAGCCTTTCCAATCATAGCTTCGGAGCTCATAACCGAACTGGTAGATTTCGTAGAGTTGCTGATAGGGCAACGGACCGACGGCTGAAGCCTTCCCGAGCACGTTGCTCCACTTTGCTCCACGCTTGACAGGGGCAGTGGATTGTGTGGCGTCTCGCCAAGCACTGGCAATGTTAGCTTCGTCTAGATAGGGTAATCGGTTGCAGATTATGGAGTCGTTGCAGACTTGACCGACATTTTTAACCTTAGGGGCGTTTCAGGGGTCACCCCGCTGGCACATTCAACGGTTAACGTCTTGTCCGTTAGCCGCTCGGTCCGGTGGAAGAAAAGTCATATATTGTCGTGCATATCCGCCCTCAAAACGAAGAAATCAAAGTTGAATCCACAAAGCCTTCCTTGTTTGCTGCATTTTCCCTTTCTTCGTGTCCGTCGTACAAGGTTGTCCGCAATGTCACCCTTCGAGTTCGTGATCGTTGGCAGTAAGTGCCCTATGCAGTTTCGATTCATTCCCAAATGACCGATCTTTCTCAATGATCGACTCCATTGAAAGATAAGCCACCTCACATGACTGATATTTCCACAGGTGGCCCGGCTGGAAGCGCCCTCGCTGCTCAACTTGCCAAATCGCCCGCCAAGCCCCACGTCCTTCTACTGGAAGCAGGCAAGAGTAAAGATGACCGTAATCTCCGCGTAGACGGGCAGCGCTTCACCACCTTCCAGGATAAGTCCATGAACTGGGGCTATAAGACTACCCCGCAAAAGGATTGTAATGATCGTGAGATTGACTACAGTCGCGGTCGCTGCATGGGAGGATCGAGTGCCATCAATTTCGGTGTTTACAGCGTCGGCGCGCGTGATGATTACCAAGAATGGGCACGGATCGTTGGCGATGAGGATTATGCGTGGGGAAGCATCCAGAGAAGGTTCAAGGAGCTTGAAACTTTCCACGGGAAAGTCCCGGACGGCCTGGACACAAAGTACGCGGACCCCAAGCCGGAGAATCATGGCAGTGAAGGGCCATTGCACGTGGGCTTTGCCCGCGAGTGGGAGAGAGATTTCACGGAACTCTTGAATGTCTTTGAGGAAGCTGGATTTGCCCTCAATCCAGATCATAACTCGGGGAATCCAATTGGAATGTCAGTGTTGATCAACTCGGCCTCAAACGGACTGCGCTCAACGGCCGAAGACCTTGTCACTGGGCACGAGGTGGCAAATTTGACCATTATCACTGGCGCACCGGTGCAACGTGTCCTGTTGGAAGGAAAAAAGGCCGTGGGCGTTGAATCGAATGGCAAGAAATGTAGGGCCTTGGAATCGCCGATGAGGGGTTTGAACATATACTGACATATTTTTCCACATAGATTACGCCTCAAAGGAAGTCATCTTGTCCGCCGGTTCGCTGAATGATCCTCGCATTCTGATGCATTCCGGAATTGGCCCCGCCAGCCAACTTCAAGCCCACAACATTGACGTTGTACTTGATGTTCCCGCGGTCGGTCAGGGTCTTCGCGATCATTGCTTTGTGCCGATGGTGAGCACTCGTACCGAAAGCAGCACAGACCGAAAATCCTTCTATGGCTCTCAGGCCGCTATGGACGCGGCACAAAAGCAATGGCAAGAGAATGGGACCGGGCCATGGGCGAAATTCGCCTGTGAGCTGGGGATTGGCTGGTTCAAGCTCACTGAGCAACTTACTTCCTGGCCGGAGTTCCACGCCCTCTCGAAAGACGAACAAGCATATCTTCTTCAGGAAACTGTGCCCCACTACGAGATTATTACGCATTTCCCCATCCACTGGTTCATTCCGGAATTCCCGCCTGAGGCGCTAAATTACTCCTGTTTACTTGTCTTTTTGTTCAACGCGCAGACTCGTGGAGAAGTAACCTTGCAGTCGACCGATCCCGATGCTCCACTTCTTTTCAATCCAAAATTCCTTGCCCATCCGTTCGATCGTCGGCTTGCGATAGAGGCCCTTCGAGACTCGTTCCGGATCGCCAAGCACGAGTCATACACAAAAGATAATGTGGCCGAGTTGGCGATGCCCAAGAGCGAATCAGACGAGGACCTTCTTGAATATTGGCGTCAGAACATTTCTTCCAGTTGGCATATGACAGGGACTGTGAAGATGGGCAAGAAGGGTGACCCGGATGCCGTCGTCGATTCTGATTTCAAGGTGGTAGGCATTGAAAATTTAAGGGTCGCTGATATGGCCGTTGTCCCGGTGTTAGTCAATGCCCATGTTCAAGCTGCTGCCTACGTCACTGGTATAACTTGCGCGGAGAAGTTGGTAAAGGAATACAACCTTGCCTAGAGATTCAACTGGTTTCTAATAAAATAGTTCACTAAAATCAGTCAACTGCGGTTCTAGAACAAAGAATTTACCTCGTTCTCTGTTACTCCCGTGAGTAAGTGATAAGAAGGCACTTGATTGGTACCGAAGCATTGAAGATATAAGTTATGCTAAAAGGTAAAATGGACATACATGCCTCCTTGTCGCTATTTCACGCTTAAATTTGATTCGATTGCTGGAATCAATGCAAAACGGCTCGGGCCGATCGTATTAATAACCCGAGGAATAACAGTATTTTCACTTATCCTCGTCATTGCAGGGCAAAAACCTTACAGTGATTATGTGGCTAGAAATTGATCCATCAGCAAGGTGCATTGTTAGAATGAACACCGCAGGTCTTGATTTTGCAACAGCTCACTGGCGGAATAAAGCGTGAAAGAAGTCATAAAGTCCAGTTCATGTTATATGAGGCATTAATTCCTAAAGATCACGCAACGAAGAACTTCGATAAATGAGGGTATGAACCTAATACAGACTGAGTCAGCGGTTGATATTGGTAAACCCAAATCTAGATAGTCTTTTTGTCATACTTTCTTACGTGCTGTTAAAGCAAGCGCAAGTCGTCGCCTATGCCATGCAGAAATAACAGTTGAGAAGAGTCGGCGAAAACGGGCCAGCCGAACCCGGTTTCGTCCATTGCTATCGAGTCCACACCTCTGCCTTGCTCAGACTCACTATAGAACACACTGATAGCAGAGATAGTGAGCTACCGATGGAACTCTCCTGGTCGGGTGATTTATGTTCATTCCGGAGTCCCTCATCGATGCAAAATTATGCAATCGGGAATGGAGAATGGCAGAGAAGAATATATGCCGGACGCAGGGCTGGGGATTAAAGCTGCAACTTGTACCATCATCATAATGCTCATGCAAGCAGACGGTAGATCACAGTCAGAATTAGGGAGACTGGTTTCATCGATAATCAAGCGAGAATATTCGGGCTCCCTGACATCAACAAGCTCATTCTTTGACTTTCATTACCATTCCTGAAACTAGTTATTTATGTCGTGTCAAAGGAAGTCACCTCACATTGACTTATTTAGAATTTAATCAACGGGTACCTTCTAGTCTCGTAAGCACCAAGATGTGGATTGAATATTTAGCAAGTTGTTGATGGTTAATTTGACATGAAGTATATTTTACCCGGAGGGATTCTATAACATGCCTTCCGGAGCCATTGAAATTGGATCATGCTTCACGAACTCTCGATACCTCGACTAATGATATGGCGTCATTGTATAGACCAGAAGCCACATCCGTAGACATTTTCGGATCGATAATACACTTAGCTCCTTCTATACTAGCTCCCAGTCGAGAGTACCTAGAGCCGGTTCTCTTATGCCGCGAAGTGTGGCCATACCTCGGGTCCTGCAACTGATCTGAAGAACAATTTGTGTCTAGACTTCGAGATACCAGTTTGGATATCAAGGGCCAAATAGAAGGAAGGCAGGCAGCAATAATGATAATCCCACCTTCGAGAATAGTCCAAATTCCAAGTTTAACGGAAGTCCCTAATAAGAGTTAAATTGAGGCGTCAATACAACGTCAGGATTCAGCTTGACCTACAGGTTGGGTCAGTCATAGCGCTTTCTTGAAAGAAGATAGTCATGCGCAGAATGCTGGCCACGGTTCCCCTATGACTGAGGTAAGTATCATTCTAGGCGCAGTTGGTCGCGCAAAGGAGAAACCCACAAGCTCCCAAGTAAGAAAACCCCGGTTAAAGCCACCTTCTGTCCAACCCGGGTGTGCAAATTCCAGACATAGGGTAATGGCATCATTAAAATCAGAACATCCGTTATGATATTTGGCGGCGACACATATCGGTAGAATGCTTCTTGGTCGAAGCATGAACCCTCAACAATCGTCTTGTCCCAGGTGTATGCAATCGGCGAACATTGGAAAATGGCCGCAAAGAAGACCCCCACTCCATGACTGGTAACGATTCCACCCACGATATAAGCTAAAATTCGAAAATTGCGAAAGCTGAAGATGCGGATGTAGAAAAGCAAAATTGAGATTTTGGCGGGAGCTACCGTGAAGGGAAAGTCGAGGATCTCATTAGCATAGAGAGCCTATATCAAAGATGTCAGCTTTGAGCTATAATTCTGAATGCCAGAACCATCAGACCTTCTCTAGAATGACAAGCTTTTGTGGGGTTCGTTCCACATATTCTAAATGGTAACCAACACCTCCTCGTTGGACCACTACAATCATGGTTAACATGCACTTACGAATCATGAAGTCGTAAAGGTCACAAACAGAATATGTAGAGTGCTGACTGTCCTAAGCTGGCGATCTTTTATGATAATCAGTTTTATTTCGAAGTGAAGTTCGGTATTTTGTCCTTACCAATGCAGGAATGATAAGGTAGTCGTCACTTCCACAGGCTACCTTCTGTATATACCTTGTATAGAAGCGCGCTCCGACGACTACGATCTGAACAACAGCGATCGCAATTGAGACACCAACCAACTGCTGACCGCAGTATGCGACCGCACCCGTATCTCCCATTCCTGCCAGGTTTTCACTAGAAAAGGCACAAGCGTGCTAATTGTCGCGGCCGGGGGGACATTGCCGTTGTCAATGAGAGAACAGGAGATCAGGTACCGACACCATTTAGAACACTTGCTTCCTTTAGATTACTCTACATGGGTTGTCTGATTGTCTAACTTTTGGCCCCCTTACCAACCATGTGGATCCATGGCGATTTAGATTACACCGATTGGGGGCGGCAAGCAATGATTGGCAGTAAATGAGCATTCCCCGATTATTTTTTTTTGAAGGATTCCGCACTTCAGTTCGCCGTGGAATCGCCGTGGAATTTTCCCATTGATTTCTGACTCTGCTGCAATCTCTGAACGCATTGATCTGGTTTTGCGATCGCTTCTCCACCTCAGCGGATCCAGATCGAACGACGTTCCCATATTGGCGATCCATCTTACCCGTGATCAACGAATCCTGTCTAGGGGAACTCCTTACCCCCACTTAACATTCAAAAGCATCGTCCCTCTGATCCACCACTCAGATGGGGCACAACATGCGTCAAAATCACAGTCTGATTAGATCAAGTTAGGCCCAGAGGAGCTTTCCAGAAAAGGGAGGGGGTTTATTTGTTTTGAATATCAAAGTATATGATTGGATCCCAATGAGTCGCGCTTGGCCCACCACTCGCGCAATTAAAACCGGAGATGGGGTTGAATGGTTCAAGCATGCGATTGGCCAGTCAAGTCTTGACGGCCGATATTTCGGTGAGCAGCGTAATTTCGCTTAGGGGAAAAGCGTGATACAACAGGGGTACTAGTCTTGAAGGTGGGACCTGCCACTATGCATAGCTCAGATTTCGCCCAATTCTCGGGAAATCCTCAGGACACGGTTTCTGCTGCGGGTATGTCAACTAGTCTTGTGGAGCTACGGATTCTTTTAACATGAACTTGTGCCCGGGGAGATTCGCGCTCAACGCATCACCGTTTTGGCAAACTCGATAATGACTCAGCAGAAGACAACAATTGCGACGCAAATTACTGCCTTGACCAGGAGTGTTCAGGCTCAATGTCTCGATGAAACAACACGCTTGGAGGCACTGAGCGCCGCTCGGGCCTTGTTAGCCACCCTAGAGTCGCCAGTTGAGAGGATCATTCAGGATGTCGTGATGGTAAGTCACATAGGATTCAACTGCCCCAAGACTCGAATAAGCCTCTTCGAATCTACGGGCTCAATCTCATGTAGAGATTGCTAAACAAAAATTGCAACTTGTAGAATCCGCCAATTTTGATGGCCCTTCGCATGGGTGCTCAGCTTGGCATTTTCACACAGATTAGCCAAAAACCAGAACAAGGCGTCTCTCTCACAAAGATTTCAGAGGATACCGGAGCGAGTCCCATCCTCGTAGGTGAGAAGCATTTGCCAATCCGACCGTGCTTTGATCGATGCGAACTGACAAAACAACCAAATAAGACCAGATTACTCGACTACTCGCTACAACAGGATACCTTGAGCAAGATGGAGTGCAAACCTTCAAACCGTCAACCCTGACTATGGCCATGGCGGACTCAAGTATGGAGGCAACTACTCGTGCCTGGTAAGTTTTCTACCACATCATACCGTGTTACAGGGGCTTGATAATCATCCTTGAATAGCTTTGAAATTGGCAATCTCTGCGCATCAAGAGCGCCTGAATTCTTCCGCAGAAACAACAATCAATTCCCTAACTCCGCCAAAGACTCACCTTTCCAGCTAGCATTTAACACTGATCTGAGTTATTTCGAATGGTTAGGCCAAAATCCTGGTCTGGCAAAGGATTTCCAACAGTGGATGGCGATGAAGCAGAAAGCAACGCTGAATTGGGTAGATTGGTTCGATATTCAGCAACATATCATTGATGGATTCGAAGAAAAGCCTCAGGGAAGCGTACTTCTGGTAGACGTCGGTGGTGGTGAAGGACATTACTCGTGGCAGTTCAGACACAAGTTTTCTAGGGCATCTGGCCGTGTCATTCTGCAAGACCTTCCACATGTGATCGCGAGCATTGAGAATCCACCGAGTGGGGTGGAACTGACCTCTCATGACTTTTTCACCCCGCAACCTTTGAAGGGTTAGTCACTTCGAGCCCTATCCATCTGTGACCTGAAACTGACAAACTTTACAAAGGGGCCCGGGCATATTTTATGCACTGGATTCTACACGACTGGTCTGATGAACATAGTCGTGCTATTCTTGCTCCTATTGTTGATGCCATGGAGCCCGGATATTCTCGCCTGGTTATCCATGAAACCATTCTCCCTAATTTTAATTGTGATCTACCGTCTGCTTGCATGAGCATTATGATGATGGTACAGGTTGCAGCTTTTGAGCGCTCCGAAAAGCAGTGGCGTGACCTGCTTGCCTCTGTTGGCTTGATCAACACAAGTTTCTACCAACCTCCTGGAAGTGGCGAGGGTATTATTGTAGCCATTAAATGATGTGATGATCGCCGCTTCAATACCAACCCTCTACAAGCTGCACTTGAGTGACGCTCTAGATGCGCTCTTTCATTAGAGTTCTACGGACGTACGACAGGGAAAATGCGCGTATCAGGACGATATGAAGTCTAATATAGTGAAGGAAGAAGTTTAAGTCTGACATACTAGAAAGATATGGATATGGTTAGCTGACCTGATACCCCCTCAAATAAACCCTATTTGGTTTACATCTCATGCTCTAAATACTGTATTAGATTATTGATACAGTATGCCGGCTCAAATATATCAACAAGCTAGACAAAATAAAATAAGTGAGATGTACAAAAGGTACTGTATGTGTTTTTCAAGGGATAGTCACTTCTTTGAGATTGTTATAATATATGTACCTATACATACCGCGCTGGTCTCTTTTTGGCACCAATTAAAATATTTTATCCATAATGCATACCACTAAGTAGAGATCGTATGTATATCTCCTATTATCGTAGGTAATGATTCATTTAAAAAGAATATAAAAGTACTGTAGTATTGGATATTACGAGGAAATAACTTCTAAGTATTCTAAACTCGGCCTTATGCAATGAATGAGTCAAATTACGTTATATCAAATTTTATAAGGGACCTAGCACTTTATCCAATCTAGTTTGAGTTATAGAAGCTTAATCCGTAATGAAGCGAAGTTGGGTTGTGGGTCAAGAATATCGACCTAAGTTGGGTTATGCGGAAGTCTTAAGAACCTTAACGAAGACGGACGCCAGAGAGTCCTGCATAAGTTGCCTTCTATTCATATATTGAGTAATCAACCTAAAGTGAAGGCTACTTGACTTCAAATTAAGATTTCTAGGTGGAATAGATGTTTTCGGATTCATTTCCGGGTCATCTTGAGGAATGAGTCTTCTGCTAGTCTACAGTGCCTCAGAAGTTTGAACACACCTTGCTACCGCCCAATTCTACCGCATACCATAATTAGCCTACCATGACAATTCGAAACAATAATAAAAAAGCTTACCACCTATTAATCAAATAAAACAACTCATTCCTTCCAGCAGAAAGTTACATACTCTAGTATGGGTGGGGTCAGGTGTGTTCAAACTCCGAGGAGGCACTGTAAGGAGGTCCGAATTCTCCAAGGTGTGAAAATAACCTTGTAATCCTCCTAATCTATGAACGAATGCTGTGGCGTTGCTTATTGACATGTTTCAGATTTTCTATCAAATAAATACTGCTTATCTTGAAAGTAAAAACAAGCCACAAGACAAACAGCCCAACACTAACGCACCATCAGCCTGTGGATCAACAACCTCATGACCCAGTTCTCGCAGCCTTCTTGTTTTTCAAGGTTGTCTAGACTGTTATATACATCTGACTCTAACCGTCTCAGAGCCTTCAAAGTATAGCCCATACTGCCCGCATGGCGCAAACGATCCAAAATGATCTTCTTATGTGGGACAGACAACGACCCAGATGCTATCCTCTCCTGTAGTACGCCGCGTAACATAAGATCAGGTGGCTGGGAATGCCATGCATGAATAATCGGGAAGGAGAATTTCCCTTCATCCAGATCCTCACAGAATCCTTTCTCGCTCGTATACTAATTTCACGTTAAAATCCATTGGGGCATCGGCGAAGGTGGTACTCGTACTTCATTATCCATCAAATTCATGTAATCATCGCGAATTTGAAAGTATTTTCCAATCAAAGACATGAAATCTGCGGAGATGGCCCTAAGAGGAATTTTCAGTACCATGGCTATATTGCTTGGAGATAGGAAATGAGTACCTTTCATGGAGCGAAGAGGCGCTCTGTGACATCAGTCGTGCAATCAGTCTGAAAAGGCCACCTGTTTCTAGAGACAGAATGTTAGTACCTAATCCGTGAGATGCTGGTACTTAATTTGGAAGGACCATACTTTGGCTGACCATCTCCAGGTATTCTTCCTCCGAAGGGCACTCGCCCTGCCGCGTCCAGTGTAAGTCAAAACTTTGGCCAATAAACAAGTTTCGAAGTTCATCTATAAGTATAGCCATGCATTGAGGGTCATCCAGATTACGGACTTCGTCCATGACGTCGATGAGCATGTAATTTGCACAGTTGATAGTTGACGCAGCGCCAAATACTGTGTGAGTAGCAGGGTTGCCACGCCGAAGAGGCGAAGAATCTTCAATATCATCCAACCTATGAACTTTAGCAACTGTGTACTGCTTCCAGATCAAGCTCAACTTACATAAGAGACGAGCTGTGTAGCTTTTGCGCTATTGATTTTACTGCCTTGACTGTACGATCCGGAAGACCCAACCAGACATTCAATGAGTCGATTAGAGCTTCACGAACACCTTTGGAGGGAAGAGAGTTGATGTATTCAAAGGGTGAAAGTAAAATCTGAAAGAATACGCATTGTTAGCGCAAAACGGAAACGGAACATGTATTATTCAAGAGAATAGGAGACCAGACCTCGGTACCCAAATGTACTTGTTGCTGGCCTTCGAAGCCACTGGTGAATTCATCTAAAGAGGTGACTGAAGATCTGCTTGACGGGCTAGATATGGGGGATTCCGTAGACGGAGGGCCGCTGGACTCGGAATCTGAAAATTCTCGAGCGAGAAGCTCCGAGTTTCCGACCAGGCGCTCTTTATCCTGTTCGCTTTGCGGTGCTTGATGGCTATTGACGGCGCCATTCTGAAATAGAGCTTCTCCCTCAACACAGAGCTCGGGATGGTATCGAGGGCACCTGAGGCTCCAAACAATGTTCCCTGGGATTTGAAAAGCCAGAGCTCTCAAGTACTCACGTAGCTTCGGAGAGCATTTTTCTTTGTCTGCAACGAAGCTGTTCATTCGTTGCTGGAATTCTTTTTCATAGTCGCGCACGACCTGTCGAAGCTTCGCTTTCGCGTCGTCACTGGAAATGTTTTCCCACTTCATATATAGCCACACAGCATTTGTCATGGTGGAAACTTTGTCGGTATTATCCATTTCTTGAAATTCACTCCACTCGATGTCGAATGAATAAAAATCATTAGCCAGCCCAAGAGCCGCGAAACATGGTTTAACTATCGAGGCAACTTGTTTTTCTTCGTCGTGGGTCAAGAGAATGCCCATACCAAAACGCATCACGGTATCAACGAAACTATGAATATGTCAAAATTTGTAAGTCCTTGCGTTTGGCTGACGGACACTTGTGGGGAAAAAAGTACTCACGGGGCACCAGTGTCAATGATCCGATAATCAACATATTCTTCAATACTGTCGAAAATGCAGGACTTATCGCGGGACGCGGTCGTCGCAACCATTTCCTTCCATGCTGCGATCACGACTTCAGCGCAAGGCTTGTCTGTTGCCAGAAGCTTCAACAGCATCTTAGACTGGATTTGCTTGGTTCCTGTCGTTGATCGTACGGTGCGGTACTCGGTTTCGTTCAAGACAATATTATCGGTTCCTTCATCCAACTTCATCGAAATTAGCATAGCTATTCCTCTTGATATCGACAGCACTGATGCTTACCGATACTTTTGATACAGATTCCACTACATTGTCGTACAAGAAGGCATCTGGGAAGATAATTTCCGTGTGTCAATTTCCTCTTGCCAAAGCTCGCACATTTCACAGCACGGCACAACCACTTACATTCAAAAACATATGAGACGAGTCCTAGTCTCTCCGGCTTACACAGCGGTAGGACTACCGATGCAAAGTGCCCATTGAAAGGATTGCAGCTACCCCAACGCTCAATCGGGCCAATGTATTTCCTCCAGTCATCGCGGCAGCGAAAGGATCCTTCGTTCGCGTTCTGCTCATACTTGTGACGGCGGAGTGTGTAGTCATGGCAGAACCCATCTATGCCGGACGCTGGTCGGCTCACTATGTATGAAGTCTTGTCTTGTTCTGCTTTACTGCTTTGGCAATCCATGGCTTCGAATCCGTGGTTAGCGATGTGGAATAGAATAGGGTTCTTCAGAGGAAATCTTAGGCCTATCTATATCCGCGGCTAGCGTGGATGATATACAAGCTGAAAACAACAAGAGAACGGTGACTTCATTTGCCGGCAATTACAGTGTAATGCTCATAATCTAGGTCGGTTCGTGCGTAGTGGGTATAAACAGGGTTCATCTGGCACATCATAATGCCATGGCCATGGTTGCGGGCCCGATTCAAACTATGGCGAAGGATGAGCCGATACTCGTGACATCAAAATCATGTCATCTGGACGAAATTCCAGGTCGCAAAATTTAATGGTCATCGAAGCTGCTGCCGAGGTTACATGTAGACGTGAGTAGGAGTGGATCTTGTTTGCATGCAGCAGCGCGAACAGGTTCGTTCCAAGGTTCGGGGTCCCAAATTCCTGGCACAATTGGTCGGGAGCGATCTCAATTGGAACTTTAAAAGTTTGTCGCGCTTCGTTATTTACTGTACAGTAAGCAACGAGCTTTGTTGTCATTTGTCAGCATACCAGACGCTAAGCGATTTGGCCCACTTTATCCACACAGCCGGGACAGAGCTCCAATTTTATCTTCGTCACCCTGCATGGTTTGCGTCATGTCACATACTTCGATCGCCAGGCCGATTCTTGCTCAGTTGTATCCCTACTTTAGAATAACCTGATCATAAAACTCTCTTGATCTTTCTCAAGGGCCACGATAGCTGGAGGACCTGGTTTCTGTGCCGGGATACAATCTTTACATAATCCTGCAAATCAACCAGTAGCAATAGAGCGAACATGGTGACTTCTACTGAATACGATGATTCGCTCAAGGCGTTTATCCAATTATGCTCTGAACGTGATCTTTTGACTCAGGCTGAGGGCCTTGAAGATGGAGATCTCGACGACGGAATATCAGACCCATTCACTCTCTTGTATGTTGGTGTTACACCCTTGCCTCCTTGCTTTGCTCTTTTTGGTGTTCACATCAATAGACGGTTCTTGACAGCCCGCGGATTCAATGTCGACGCTGCCTTCAAGCAGTTCGATGAAGCATCACAATTTCGCCGAGAGAAGCACATCGTCAGACTTTACGACATAGTGGAGATTACCGATTTTGAGCAAGCTCGTCAATTCGTGAGTTTGCGTTTTCTCTATAAAAGTCAAAAGTTCAAAACTAACTTGGGAATACAGTACCCACATTGGACAGGTCGCAGAGACAGAAGGGGTTTACCGATATGCATGTTTGATCTTTCTTGTCTCGATAAAAAGAATCTAGCGTGCTGGGAACAGACACGCCATACAGCAAGCTGGTCAGATTCACAGTATAAGGCAAACATGCCACCAAAGCCCGATATGTTGCAGCTGGCCTCTGTCTACCATGACAGTTTGACTCGCCTAGTCTTTCCTCTCTGCTCTATGATGACTGACAGGCCGAATCCTTCGCTACCAATAACTAGCTCCATATACCTTGTGGACGCATCAGACCTAGGATTAAAGCAGGGTTGGAGCTTGAAATACTTTGCCAAAAGCATCAGTTGGTTGCTATCAACATGTTATCCGGAAACCATCCAGCGTGTCTATGTAGGTAGCGAGGTGACATGATCTGAACGCGTTGTACGTGTATTAACATCATTTATGATAGGTGTGTAACGCTCCCTCGTATTTTTCTACGATCTGGAAATACTTAAAATCATGGGTCGACAAGAATACAGCAGAAAAGATCGTGGTGCTGAGTAGCCCGGAAGTTTTGCCCGCCCTTGAGGAGTACATCGATGATACGAACATCCCAACTGCATTTGGCGGTGGCTTCTCCTTCAAACATGGAATGCTCCCTGAGCTAGATCATAATATATGGCAGCATTTTAGCTGGAAACTCCCAAGTCGCTCACTGCCTCCTGGGCCCATCAAGTGGACCGAGGATGCGGATGGCAGGAAGATCGCAATAGCGGTTGGTGGCCAAGCAGGGTCTAAGAGATCTGAAAAAATTGCAATTTTAGATATTATCAATGAATGATAAGGCTAATGAAGGACCAAATAGATGGGTCTAGGAGCGTGTCAGACTGATATTGTTGGGGCACAAGCTCCCTGACCATCATGCTATACATATCACTCCGCCAAGGCTATACCAGATCAGCTGCATATCAGCTGTAGAACGATCGGGATCTAGTAAATTATTCGCTTAATTATGGTTCACCCAGCGCACTATTATTATTTATATCAATTAGTTATCAACCTTAGAAGCGTTGGGGTATCGAGAAGAAGAGCCTACGCTGCCTTTATCACAGGACATTTTATTTGAATAACAGTTGGCGTTCATTCCAAGAACAATGACCTAGTTCAATAGCTTTACTTACTGGTTCGAGGGTAAATTGATTGCAAAGTTGAAGTTGCATGAACTGCAGTTACACTCCTGCGATTGGATCAGTGCCCTGTTCTTTGATAAGCAGAAGGACATCTTACTCCCTTGGCAGCCCAAAGGTTTTCCTGAGAATGCACAGCCTCGCCGTCGCCCTCGCGAGCAGCAGGGGAGGCTATAATCAAGGCAGGGACAACCTCCAAGGGAAGTGCAATCTGTGTCAAATGCATGTTTGATTAAAGATTTAGAAAAACTAGGGGAAATACGAATATGAGCAAAATGATCAATTGAACGTTGAGATTCAAACCTAGTTGTTGGTCTCTTTTTAAAATTTTTGGGAGAACACCTTTTTTCCCTCGACTTGCATTCGCTGTTCCTTCGTTTGTAACATGACAAGGCTGGCCTGGACTTGTCAATCGCCCGTAGAAGTGAAAAGGCTATGCAAGACTCGGCAAATGTAGTTTTCGAAAGTTAGCCGTGGGGACTACACAGTAAAGGTGTGTTCCCAATTGATGCCCCCATTTCCATTCCCGCCCTGCGCCTGGCTCCCAGCTCTCTAACTCCCTACATCGCTAAGCCTGTGCCTTGAAGGGACTGCACCCGAAACTGTCGCTCTCAGGCCTTCAGTCATTTCAATGCCCTGGTCTCGTCTTTAAATCCACCATGGATGAGTCATTTTCTGTACCTAAGTGCATCACCAATATGTGGGCCCGGGGCCGGGATAGAGACTGTGGGGCTATCTCTATGATATGATCTTTAAGAGAAAGCATTTTTATTACACTATTTAATTCTATACTAATGTATGAAGGAAGGATAATAGCTAGGCAAAAAGAGGAGAATATTATTAGTAGGTAGGATACTCAAAACCTGATAATTAAAGAAGAGAAGAAGGAAACCATCCTTTTTCCCTTCAAGTGGGATATGCAGGCGATTCAGATGCGAATCGGGCGGGGTTTGGCCCTATGCACCACTGCTTAAATCCATGCTTCAACAGCAAGGAATCTTCCGTTCTCACATAACAACATTAAGGCGTCCTACAAGGGAGCGGTCCTAACCATGGTGGCCTATATTAGGTAGTTCTTAGTAGCTTAGGCAAAGCGGAATGTCAGACATATATCGGTGTGTGACCCGGATGAATGGCTATATCGAGATATCTGGGGTTTATGCGGCCGTTTTGAGACCGATTCTAGAGAACTAATGGCGCCTTGATATGAAGCACCTTACCGAGCTTGATTCGGGACTTTTGATTGGTTCCACAAATTAGATGGAGAAATCCATTCGTTAGTATTCACAATTACAAGCTTCAAAGTTCCACTTCATAACACTAATTTAGAAGGGGTGCGAAGCCTGAATAAATTACCCGGCAACCTTGGAAAGCTAGGAATGAGATTTTCTCAACTTCGGTACAGTTAGCGTTTTATTTTGTAACTACTGAGGTCCGCATCAATGCGGCATCATGCTATGAAGGGGATTTATGTTTCCAATATTTAATATGCATAGTGATATCAAAGCGAAATGGTTGTTCCTCCGATCGACTTCAGCTCTTTCCCTCCAGGCTCTAGCCGCCTCGGAGGCCCCGGCCTTGAAGCTGCCGCAAATCGATATATTGAGCGTATGCGCCGCGAACAGAATCACGGTCCTCAAAAAGAAGAAGTCGATAAAGTCGCAGGGATAAATCACGACACTGTCTCTCTAGCATCAATAGCGACACAACCTCCAAAGCGGACTCCATCATATCTCAGGGCAGCGAAGCTCCCCTTGTCCCACAGTCCGAACAAAGCAAAGAATCGCAAAGGCAGAGATCGATTTGGGAATCGATGAAAGGGAGGATCGGAAGCTGCTCAAAATCTTCGAAGCAGTGAGCTGCTCAGTGATTGTTCTCAAACGAAAAGTCTGGAATACGTTCTACTTTTATATCTGATGAGCACACTTCTTATTAGGAGAAGGAAAGGGAGAAACGGATGATGGAACAATACATTTAGTACAATAGAAGTGAGATGGGAGAAAGAAGAGAAGAGAGAGTGGAGCAGCTGCTGGTAGAGATAATTAGATCTGCCATAGAGCATTACTATCTTAGTTGAAATTCACGACGCCATAGAGAGTGGTACCATTTTCTCGATAATGGCAAACTTGATGACGTCAATTGACTATATATTTCACTATATGCCGGAAACAGGAAGAGGGGCAGTAGACAGATGTCCAGAATTGATAGGCCATATTTGAGGACGATATAAAACGGGGTAGTTGTTTCCCTTCGCCACACCCCAAGAAAAAGATTGGAGTTTGGCGGTGTCTAATCTCTTGAGTGGACTTTTTCGCTCCACAATCAATTGATAAAATCATGAGGGGCATGAGCAACGTAATCTATATTTTGATTTACCCCTTACAGTACTATGGGATAGCGTCCCGAAGCTGGGTACCCGGTCGAGCCAATGGCTCTAGGCGTAGAGGACGTAGCTGAGGTTGAATAAACCCTTAGGATGGTGATGGGCAAACGAGAGCACGAGAGCGCCCGATAGGAGTGCAAAGCCAGGTTCACTGCATTTCCTTGATCTAAGCGAGCATGCAAGCGGCAGCCGTGGGCTGGAAATTTAGGCTAATGGGAAAGGTCAAACACCCAGGAGAAGGTAGTGGGTGGGACCACGGGGGAAGGGGTCCATTTCGGTGCGATGTTTCTTATTTTCTTTTGCGTTGAATTTATCTTTTGTCTTCTTTGCATTCCCTCGAGAAAGACGCCCTAATTTCGCGATCGGTTGGCCCCCGGCCCCGGGGCGTGTGCTCTACCAAACCAACAGTCTACGATACCAGTCAGTCTCGATAGTTCTTTCCATTAAAGTGAACCAAGAGATCCGTATTCATTTTGCTATCCGGGCATTTGATTCTAGACCGAACCTCCATAATCTTCACACATTTCTCACGTCGATTTGAGCATAGGCGAGCTCAACTCGATGGTCCCATAGCGGCCCGGCATTTATTGGCACCGAAGAATAGCTCCAAGCTATCGTGATATATCTCGATACACGTGCCCTATCATGGTAATATCAGTCCTTGCCGTCGTACTGGTGTAGTCCAGGGTTGTTCTCCCCTGGAACATGGATCATGGAAACCGCCTATTCCCTGCGGGTCCAGTTAGTTGAATGAAGCCCAACACATCCTCAATGCCTGTCTCCATAATAAGGTTAGTGTGGGACCTGGCTTCTTCTGTCTTGAGCCACTAGCTATCAGTTACTGTGGCTACAAAGTTTGAACTTTCTGCTTCGTTGAAACTTCCCCCCGGGCCCAAACAAAATACGGTGAGACCCTCATCTTCCAAATCTTGCGACCACACAACACTCATCATGTTCAACGCAGCCTTTGTAATATTATAGGAAAATGCTGGGGGGTCCCGGTACAGATGCTATCGAGCGATCAAGCCGACGGCGCTGAAACTATTCAGAAAAGTAATGAATACCGTGTCCACTAGTATTATATGAAATAATAAGCTCAAAAATCTAGGACTCGCATATTGACGATCTTCTTCTCATTTATTCTAACCACATTTCCTGGCTAGAAGCTAGAATGGCTATCTATGCAAATAACATGCCCGATCTGGTAAATCTATCACGATGGTAACACTAGGAGTTTGGGGCTTCTTTCGATAGCCACAATTGCTTGGTACATCGGATTGGGATCATATCAGTCATACCCAGAGATTCAACACCAATTTTAACGAACAGGGAAAGACGGTCAAGGAATACTTGCAGTGTTGGAAACATTGCAGTGGTGTTAACAAGAAGCGACACGACGCATCACCTACAGTCGCTAGGCAACCAAGCCGCGACAGACACAGCAGACGACGAGTATAGACGAAGGAAATAGGTCACGCAATCGAGACACCGGAACAGACTCAGGCGGAAGTCATCGAAGCGAGGACCAGCATGCCAATAGGTAGAGGGAACACGGCAACCAACGTTTGGAATTAGGTGACAAGATAGCTTAAGTGGTCTGTCTATGATACTGACCCATCTAAATTTTCAGACGATCAATGCGATAATATGAAGCACCGTGTGGCCAGACAACCAGAGGATTCCCTTCAAAAGGCCAGAGCATTACAAGTTAATTGGTCTTTTTTTCATATGGAGATACATTTCGACAAAGTTAGATTGGGATTGCTCAACCCACTAAATGGGCCGTACATTATTACTCCAATATAGGACTGGATCTCCTTCCAATCCATGAACGGAGCCACATATTCTGCAATACAGAATGTGGGCTTTTTGTACGTACAGGCGCACACAACATGCAATCGAGTTGATGCTGACTGAGGGGACACGAAAACGTGTTCAGGTCGGTTTGCCCAGGCGGCCAGGATTCGCTTGGTACACTGTGGGGTCGCAGAATATGCCCTATCTAGTCAGTACGATGCTTAGTATCAGTCGCTGATCATAATGCCAGTATCTAGAGACTTTAGTGGGCCATAGGACGTATCATGAATTTTGGAAAACTCGGGCATGAAAATTCCTCGTTGGCCGCATGAGTGCCCCGCCCTGCCTCTACGGTTGCGGGAGTGACGCGGGATAAGCCCTTTGGAAGTTTGGGGCATGAGAATATTCCGATCTTCTGTTATGCATGGAACCACCTCCGATACGTCTCCTGAAATGATCGATGACCCTCGCTTCCATAATAGAAAGCTGATTAGTTCTTCGCACTATTTGCGCTATCTGTACAACTCAGGAACCGCAACAAGAATTGCGCTGAGAAAAAAAGTGGGAAAGGATTACCGGTATTCTTACTATTCAAGGTAATATAGATGCTGGGTGCACTAACCCAAGATGCGTGCACCTCGGCCCCATATATGACTGGCCAACAGCCAACTATATCAATGAACTTTATTAGTTGCTGTTGGTGGCGTAATAAGAGCTCAGAGCAAGGAATCCTCACAGGGCTCGCCAATGGGTGGTAAATATGCCAGTTATGTGACACCGGTTGCAACATATAAGTAAACAAAGCCTGCCGATCCCCCTCTCCCCTCTCCATGGTGTACGAAATAACAAGTGATCAAGCCTGTGCTTTACTACGCGCTGTATTGATTGGCTTAACAAATATTTTGGCCCCTGCTGATCTTGCTATATTGAACTGTGGCCGGAACCCTTTGGGAGAATGCTTGAAATGACCAAGATGCGAGAGTCAGCGAGGATATTTAAAGCTACGCTCGTCTTCACCCTTTGTTTCTCTCTATTACTCCTTCCTCAAAGCAACTTAATACGTCTTTACACTATTACATCCTCAAAGCATACAAGTTTCTTTCGCTCAAAAAGTCCATCAAGCCTCAGGACACAATGCGTTTCTCAACCACCTCTCTCGGTCTCTTTCTTGCAGTCATTGGGTCTGCCATTGCTGTGCCAGCTACTGAGCAGGTTACCCGTCGTAACACGTGAGTACAATCCCAGCTCATTGAAAACATTCCTTTGTCACAAGAAATATTCTCGAACGTTAAGATGTAGACCACACTAACATGGAAAATCAGTGAATGCAACCAGGACTTCGATGGCGCGGACACATGCGTCGCAAACTGCGCTGGTGGACACTGTCACGTTATCGCCTTGGGTCCGCTTCACAGATGTGAATGCTAAACGGAATGGATTCATTTGTTTCACATCTTCCAGTACGGAAGTGCTATGGAGGGTAAGGATTGGATCAGGACGGCCAAAATGGAAATGGGAGCCAGCAGAAATAACGACCGTCAGTGGTGATTACCAGAGCGGTTCGCTGAGCGAGGTGATCAAAAGTGTGAGCAGGGCGGGTGTCGCTCACACTGCTCACCTGAGATTAGGTGTTTATACGAGCTTGACTAGCATGTAGATAGGAGCCTCGTGCTCAACTCAGAATACAACAACCACGCTCGTTTATAGTCTACTAGGAACCCTTGAAACTGAGGCCTTCAAAATGTCCGTCCTGGCTCTGCTCGGCGGATATTGACAGTGCAATGCAGGAAACCCAACATCTTACGGGCCCCTTAATTGCTAAATAGCCACCTTTCTACCTGGGATTTTAGACGGCAAACAACTCCTTGGCCGTCAAATGCCCTGAACCGCCTTGTCTCCTGCGAAATAACTTTCTAGGAACAAAGGAGTGTCGAAACGGCAAGCAAAGAAGAATTAGAGGGAATATAAGAAGTCGTGCCAGAAGTCAATCGCACCAAATGATTCATCCAAAATCTATGCAGAATCTCCGCCTTACGAATGCCCAGAAAAGGACAGTCAAGTCCTTCGAATTAAAAATTGGATTGGTCTCTCACTACCATCGGCTGCCTACCAAGTAGCTGGTAGCCCAGGAACGGCTGTTGGTGGTACCTGGGCAACATGTAGTTGATGCGCGGACTCGAGTCATACCGCAGCTGCATAACCTGCATATATTATTGGTTGTGCTGGGGATGCGCCGGCCCGTGGTGATGATTTGTTGAAAATGCTGCGCGTGTGTCATTTTTATAGGGAATGTGACGGGGACGTTCGGCGTCACGATCAGCGCGGTTTCGTGGACGGACACTTGGCCCATCGGGGCTCTCTGTAGCTAGGTGTCGCAGGAAGCGCGTAGGAAGGCTGCTGTGCTAGGGAATCGCGATGATATAGGTACTCCGCATACTGCTGCAGCCCTTGAATTTGATTACAATCTGTAAGATATAATAAGCTAAGATAGCCATCCACATTGGACTTTTTGAGAAAGGCATCTTCTGTTCGGTATTGGAGAAAAATGACGCGTTGAAAAAGGGTTGTTGACTGGACAGCTCAGTTATTGATTACGTTCATAGAAGCTACTCACTGATCCATTTTATTGTGCTATGAGGCTGTTTCAGATTAGGAACAAGGCCGTTCCATCGAAAAAGAATTTCCAGACAGTAAAGTAGACGAGACACTGAGTTGGTTTCAAATATTTTGATTTTCTAGTTGTATATATTCACTACGCGTTGCTAATTGGTCACGGTGAGTGCGTGCGCGGAGGTAATATGTATCGACTTGTTGGTTATGGAAGTTTGGCTCCAACGCGTTCATACCAGCCCCAATTTCATAAGACGGTCTGGTCTTCTTATGAACTCCCAGTATTCCGGCAACCTTCCTTCCATCTCAATCATCCTAAAACGACCCATGATGGTCACATCTTAGTTTGAAGTGAAGCTGATTCCAACGAAAGACGAATAAAAGAGCCTCCTACTGATAAGGTCATTCGAAGCTAGTCCTTCTCTAGCGGGCTTTGACGTGATGCTGGGTACTATCACTTATTTAAAACTTCCTTTCGAGATGATCAGGCTCATGGGAAAATCCTCTTGAAAGGAAACTGGTCACAGAATGGCCTTTTGAAGAGCACAGATGGCATAGAAGGGGAAACGTCATATGAGCCGGATCTTAATGCTCCGTCTCTCCTGGTCTAAGCATTTTAGGCCTAGATCAATCTTGAAATGGATTTCGGCTGCCCAGCTGTCCCATATTGACTTCATTGGGTTAAGCCACCCCGAGAGTGGGTCCACGCAGTGGCATTCGATCTAGAGTCATTACCCTCCCGCTAGACGTTACGCGTTATAAGGCTCACTTTTTCTGAACTTCATATTTAAAATTAACTATGCCAATAAAAGAAAAGGGCTTAATAACATATAAATACCACTTTTGATCAGCTTATGGGGCAGTTTAATACGAGCAAATCAGGAACACTCATAGAAATAAGAAGGATCTTTAGACCTATACCTAGGACGGGATATACCTAAGTTTCATTTTATGAGTTGGCATGCGATTTCGCAGTGTCGCAATGTCATTAGGGCATGATTATGCTTGAAATTAGGAAGGCTAGCGAAAATCATGTCCACCAATTTCCACCTCCCTATTTAACACATGCCCCGCCCCCAAAGTTCTCATTATTGCCACTCAGCTCGTGCTTGTACCCTGAACATGTTTTTCCAAGGTTACCTGAAAATACCCAATCCCGGTCCTGTGGAGGATGAAGAATATGGTGTCGACGTAGAGGACAAATTGACCAATGAAGTTTCGAACGAGGTCTCTATAATTACAACAAGAAAGAACAGGCTACGGGTTCCAATGGTACTCTCAATTCTGGTCAACCACCTTCTTCTGGGTATATTGATAATTCGCCTGGAGTCCTCTCACGGACTCCTGCCACCTACCAGTCGAACGATCGCAGCGATCTCGCACTCGGAGATAAGAAAAACACTTTGACGCCAGAATCTGGCCGGGGGACAGTTCAACGGGCTCCCATGCCAGGAACGTACGATTTTCGTGGAGGTAGCAACCTTTCAAGGCTAGGAAACTGGGATGAAACCCCTCGCCGACCGAGCCCAGTAGAGCTTTCATGACGGAGGGCTGCTGTTCTAGCTGCTGGACATGAGCTAGGTCAGCTTTGTCGCTCCTCCGGTGGGCCAGCCAGACCGGCCCTACATAGACAATCTCAATGAACCGCTCCCACGTTCTCCAGGGATCTCCGACCACCTGCTGTGGTTTCAGCGGCCGTGCTTGGGTTTCGCGTTGCACGGGAGCGGGCGAAGGCTGTTCGCAATCGGCCGCAACGTGGCTGGACTGGGGGCTGGACGATGGAAAAGGCGGCTTTAGCGACTCGCTCATCCGGTACCAGTTAAAATCTTTTCGCGAACGACCTCCAAGCTGACCTATTGGGGCAGAACAACTATGTCTGCACGCGTTGATGCGGACCATGCTTCAAGGTCCATTTCCTCCAACTGAGCTGTCAAACCTTCCATGGCTTCCTCGGTAAGATGTTCGACGAGGAATATTTCCGGAGACGGAGCTGCTGACCGTTGTTCGCGACTATAGTCGAAGGCGGGCTCCAAAGTAGCAGAGCTCCAGTGAGGCATTTTCGTGGTGGTTGGCCGGCTTTCTTCCAGCACGCGTTGAGGGTTCGTGTCAGCTTCTGTACCAGACCTAATCGCCGTAGGTCCTTCATGCTGATAGCGGTTACTGGTGACGCTGACGATGAGGCAGTATAGTAGAAGGGAAGTGATGGATTCGATGCCAGAATTTTACACTGGGCATGAATCGATGCTTGGATTCGACATATACACAACATCTAGTGTCCACAAGTGTAATGTCTGGATCTCATCATCGCTGCTGTCATACGCCGTTGCGTGACCATCTCTCATCATCGTCTTCGCTACCGAGTCCACCGCTGCCCCTGGACCTTTCAAGTTCATGCAATACCCTGTCAAGCAATGGAAAAAGTAAGCCTTCGAGGAGTCTACATTTATTTCTGCGCTGCGCCCAATCGACCTAGAAATCATCCACACTTTCTAAAAGATCACCGTCACTGGCATCGACGGGATTCTCTCGCTCAAATTTTCTGATTAACTGAACATGCTGCTCGCTTCTCGGCTCAACTCGAAAATCGAACTCTGTGGGATAGGTGAGGAGACCTGGTTTCGGCTTGGCGTCGACTTGAATTTCTCTGCCAGAGCTATCCGCGGCTTTGTGGATGTTAAAAGCAGCCAGCGAATTCACAATGTTGATGTAAATACTGTTGTCTGCAAAGAATCGACCGGGACATATTCGGCGACCATAGCCAAACAGTTCTGCCTCAGGATCTGGCTCTTTGCGTGGCTCGAGGAATCGGTCAGGATCAAATGACTCTGGATCAAGATACACTTCCGGATCGTGCAAAAACCACCAGACCGCGGGGAGTATGGTTGCATCCTTGGGAATGCACATGCCATTGTACTGAATATCCTCGGTCGCCGTGTGTGGAAATCCCATAGGCGCAATAGGCCACCATCTCAGAGTCTCTTTGATCAAGGCATTGACATACGGTAGTCGATTGCGATGTTCAAAACTGGGGAGACAATTTCTGCCAACAACGCTATCAATCTCCTCCTGGGCCCTTCGCTGTGCCTCCGGGAACATCGTCATGGCTAGCGTGAAAACTGTCAGGACGATAACCGTAGTATCTGCAGCTGCACCGTATAGGCTTGCAGCAGTCCAAATCACAGCTTGCTCGTCCTCTTCGCTCACGCTAGCACCGTTCTCTCTCTTGAGATTCTCAACAAGCTTTGAGACATATGAAGGCTTGAATTCCGAGGAAGCCATTTGTTGTTGCACAAACTTATACGGTATGTAGGCTGTTGCTTGAATAGACTTGCGCCATTTTTGAGCTGTACTCTTGAATCCTGCGCCAGGAAAACCCTCCGGGAGATATCGCAGAGCAGGAATAATGTCAACCGCCCAGGCCATGGGAACAGCAGCAAGAGAGAACTCGGCCATCATCTGCTCAGTCAAGTCTACCAAAGGGTCGGACTTCGAAGACCCAATGGTGTATCCATATGCCATTTTCAAAACAGTTGCTCCAGCAGTGCTGTATCCTATTAGCACACAGTTTGCTATCATCGAGGGCACGAACTCACGTCTTGAAATGCTCCAACCACTTTCCTGGCTCATTCAGGATTCGTACAAGCTGTTGCCTGACCTCAGCCTCCTGTAACTCACTGAATGTTGCGGCGGTCACCTTGGTGCCTAGCTCTTGATGCAGGAGCTTGCGACAGCGGCGGAAGGTTGGGTTGTAACCCTGGCACACGACGATCGATTCATAACCACACAGTTTATTTGCCATGACCATACTTGGTCGCCCGGAAGTCTTGTTCGATGTCTTCCCCAATAGTTCATGCGCTGCCTTTTTGTCATGCATTATAACGAGCGTCATGCCCAAGACTGTCACGGAGCTAATGCCCCCATAGCGGTCCTTGTGCAGGAGCCAGTGCTGATGTTCAGGGGTGCCATCTGGAGGGAAGTCTTTGATATTCCCGACAATCGGGTACGGATTGGGGCCCGGGGGCAGTTGAAGTCTATTCGTCCGGATTGAGCGCTGGTATATGCGGTAGCCCACGAGAGTAATAATTCCCAGTAAGATCAGCGACACACCTGGCATGCTGATTATACTTCGCCTGTGGGGCCCAGTTCGAGAGGTATGCCAGGTCTATCGTATACTACCTAAGCAGTAGCAGCTTTTGGGAGAGACCGAGCTATGCAACTACGGTGGGGTAGGGGAAGGAATAGTCAGTAACAATCCAGGCCAGGCTATCTAGTAGATAAGTAAGTCATGTGACCCGATGTTGCGGAGAGGTTCAATTTTCGTCAAATTGTCCCGGTCTCAGTGACTCTTTCTGGTGTGCATAAATATCCCGTTAGCAGATCGCGATAGGTTATCGAAAGACATTTCAATAAAGAACATTTTAGCCCTGCAGCGTGTCTATTACCCGATCTGGAGGTTCGACTGTCACATGATCTAATCCTAGACTGCATTTACTACTTCAATGTGGACGAATAGTCAATAACTAATTGGATGGCAGGGACAATTGCATGATCCGTAACGACGGAGTTTCATTCGCTCTCATCGAGGAGCCGACTGACACAAGTGGTCGTCTGCGGACTCTAGGAATAGTCTATACAGGCACGTGCATTAGGCGTCCTGTATTGGGGGCGAAAATATGGAGACTGAACTTACCTCATTGGGTACGGACGAAATGTGTATGTGTTGCTAAGCTAGCATCAACCAGGAACGGAGCGTATTGCTGCCGCAAATAACCACGATTCAGTTGTTATTACTAGCACGGTGGCTAAGCATCTGAGCTTTCCCTCGGTCTTACTAGTCCGGCTTAGAGGACGCCATTGTCGTATTAAGCCGACATTGACAAGGATTTGGGGGCTGTGAGAGGAAGCGAGCCCATCACAAGGCATCAAAGCGCCCCCACATTGAGTTCCAGCCAATCTTAACTATGGAGCATCCCGGCTGTAAGGCAATTGGTTTTAAAGCGAAGACACTCGGCTTGATTCTTCTTAATCCCGAGGATGCATACTGAGATCTGGAGTTTCCTAAGGGAGAAATGAGAATAAATTAGAATCAGTCGCCCACTACCGTGCTGCCCATTTTGGAAAGGGCGCCAGCGAGGGCCAAGCTCTTTATGCCTATAGTCAATATCAGGATAATTGGGAACACCAGAAAGACGGTACTTGGCAAATCGTTCATCGCATCTGGTCTGACTTTGTTGAATAGCAGCAAGTAGAAGTATTGGCTAACTCTATCTAGTGTCCAAACATTAGTAATTTAACTATTTTCGTCTGTTAGTCCGTGTTTAGTCTAGCAAAAGCTTTGAGCTAATTGCAAAATGCTGTACCTCTTCATGAGGCGCTTAATCCATTCTCCTGTGCATTGGTATCTATTCATGAAAATGCCGCCACAGAAGAGATCTGACTGTAGTAAGAATAGTGAAAGGGATCGCTAGGCTTCGGCAAATGGGTTAGTAGACATCGCCAAAACCCACAAAGCCCAAAGCCCAACCCAACCCAACCCAACCCAACCCACAAATGGGTTGGGTTTTGGGCCCGTTGCTCGGCCCATTGTTGGGGGCCCATTGGGGGTCCACTATTTTACAAACAGTACAAACATTTACTAATTTTAGTAAAGAATCAAAATATACAGTCTTTTGTGCATTTCTATATTAGTCAGCAGGTTTATGAACGCCAAGACCAGTTTTATGCAAAGTTGGGCTTTGGGCCTGACTCTAGGCCCATTTTCAGGTTTTGGCGATGTCTAACCGAAATAGTTTTGAGCTAATCCGTAAAGGAGCAAGATACTCTCGATACATTCATCTTCTTCTTATATGTCTGTGGATCACTATCTTTTCTGCAGCCTGATGGATTCAATCGACGTTTGCCTCTTACCGCGAGTCTCTAGTGTCATGGGATGCCGCCGTGCGATTCTGAACATATACAGTCGTTCTCGAAATCGGCTTAAATAATACATGGTCACAGTCATCTTCTCAACCCCTGCTAAGGCCTGAGCGCAAACTCATTACGTGAGGGTCGCATAAGCAGCGAATCAGAGGCCTTGCCTAAGTGTTATTGCGGCGATCAATGCCTAACGATACCCGGGTGTTCGACATCTCCCCAATTTAAAGTAGGCCTATTTTAACCACCACAAGGCTCAAGGAATCATGAAACGGGTTAAATATGATAGCTCGTAGGTTTGACCATACAAGTGCGGAATTATCAGTGGCTTTGTCCTGTGGGTGATTTCGTGGAGCGTCTAGGTTTAAGATGGTTGATATTGTGTTCCGCGCGGGTACAACTAGCGCCCTCAATCTGTGCCAGCCACGGGCCATAGCCGTCAAATAAACACACACACACACACACACACATAACACATCACGACTCAGTAAAATGAGCTCTACTCCACGTAACGGATGTTAGGCTGGGGAGGAGTATCCATGTCATACCCAAGGAAGTAGTCAACTTCGTGAGACTGCATGTATCCATGGAGTGTCATAGCATTGCGGTAGGCCGGATTGTGAGGAAGAGTATAGAGCCGGATATCGCTGGGCTGGTTAGTAGTGAAGATGACCAGCTCGGTGTAGTCTTCGTTCACCACCACAATCTCTTCACGCCAGTCTCCGAGGATATCACCCAGGAAGCCCGGGTTGTAATTGTTTGGGTTTTGAGCTCCGAACTTGCTGATGGTGAGGATTCGAGGGAGACTACCACTCGTAGTGGGGCTCTCCCAGTCCCATTTCTCGAGTTTGCCGTCATTGTACAGCTCCATGAAGGCGTCGCCGTCCCACCAGACGCCCATCTGTGGCCATGGTGCAAGTGATGTGTCGTCAGTGGTGGTTTCGTTGGAAGCAGCGTTAAAGACCCCTTGGAATGACCAAACTTCCATACCAGGATAAGTTGGATCAATGTCCCCAACCAGACCGCGTCCCACATCGCCAACTTCACTGCCGTAATGCTCCCAGATAAACGTTCCATCGGCAGCGTCGTAATAATACTCCATCAGGAGATCTTCATTATCCTGCTGGATGCCATACCCTTGCAACCCCTCTCTCTCCGGGTCCATTTTGGCGATATAATAGCGGTCCCCATGCACCACAGGATCAGGCATCGTATACAACAATGACCCATCTTCCCCATTGAGCACAAATCCAATCTCAACAACATCGTCCTTCCCATCCCCATTCACATCGATGATCCGCGTATTATGCCCATCAGCACCAACCAAATCGTCCCCCAGGGTAATCCACTTCTCAGTCACCGTGTCCCCATCCCACGTCCACGCCCCCATCACCCGGTTGAACACCTTATCGTCCCTCCGGTTCTTCATGAACGCCACCAAATGCGGCGTCACCCCATCCAGATACCCAACTCCAAATCTCGCCGCCAACGGCCCATGCTCGATGTAGTCCGTAGGAATCTTGCTCGTCCCCTTCAGCGCTCCTGTCCTCCCATCCAATATCGCAACCCACTGTTCATTATCGATGTCCTGCATGAACTCCTCGCCATCGCCAAAGACAACCCCGTTCGCAATCCTCACAGCAACCTCCGCATACCCGTCGCTGTCGAAGTCGAACACCGTGACACCGTCCCAATTTCCCACGCTGATCGCCGTGCTTCCAGGCTCGATATTGTTTTGGTTCTCACTGTTCGGTCCCAATTGTACCTCCCAGAGGAACGTCCCATTGCTCGCATACCCCTCAATACTCTGCTGTGTATTCGTCCGATCAAGTACAAAATCATACTCCCCGTCGCCATCAAGATCACCCACCCAAACGAATTTGATTGCGCCGGTGTCCTTGATGGGAATACGGATCGCAGGCTCAACGTCGTTATCAGCGGCTAGCGTGAAGCTCCCGCTATTATCTGACTCTTCATCGTCCACGACGGAGCGCACCCAATAGGTGTTCTCCGCTGAAGCATCGGCAGTTGTGTCGAGGAAGTTTGTCCCCGTAGTGGAGGTTAGAGGTTCGTCATTTAACAGTTCGGCGTCACTAGAGTCGCTCGAGCGGTAGACATTGAAGCCAATGTCGCTGGGGTCAAGGCCTAGCAGACGCCAGGTGACTAGGACTTCGTCCTCACTGGCACGGACCGCGACGACGCCGCGGCCCAGGTTTTCCATGGGTCGGGGGCTGAGGGCTAGGACCGTTTGGGAGAGGAGGGTGAGGCTCCCGAGGACCGCTCCGGAGCTAGGTCTTTGAAGAAGTCTCATGTTGGTGTCTGAGTCAACTTGTTTCAATGTACTCTTTCTTGTTGAGGTTATCCAACTCCTGAAGGCATCCGTAGTCCTTTATATACCAAGACACCAGTCACTGGACGCATTCTACCTCAAATACATTTAGCCAACTGGGGGAAAATCACCTCCGGAATGTCCATGATTGTAACAGTGATATATTGATTGACGATCAATTGCCTTCTTTAGTCTCAGAGTCGGGGTCTGTTATTCGGAGGTCGGGAGAAGTCTGTTGAAGTCTGTCTTGTCATGCGACCTCTTCCCATAAAGCCATCACACCCTATAGGTATTGAAAGTCTGTAAGCGTCACGCTGATCCTTGAATTGTACGGAACTTCGATACTCCATAAAGTCAACATAGTTCAAAGATGCATGTGGCTATGGGCTGCTGTCTGCAAGTCCCTTGCCGATGAGTAAGACCGGGGTCTTCCTTGATTGTCTGTGCCATGTGCACCCCAATGAATGATCGGTTTCGGACGATCTTTTTCCTAGAATGTCGCGCTTGCCGACCTCGACCATACAACAACACTTGGCAACACATTGCCAGGATGCACGGAGAAGCTCCCCGGACAGTGAATCAACTACGATATCTACCCCGCGCCTATCTGTCTGCGGCATGATAGCTGGTAGCAATGGTGCAGTTCTCGAAATCAAATCGCGATGCGATGGTATACCGTGTGTTCCGATGAGGAAGACGGCTTTTTCTCGTCCCCTACCGCTGCATTAACATGACTACATGTGATTACCGGAAGACTGGGCTGGGGAGGGGAAATTAAACATGCCGTTGCACCGACCTGCTGACAGATCTGTATTGCCGCCTCGCCAAGACCGCTCTACGCATCTTATTTTTTTTATCTTTTGATTATTATT